TAAAATAAAATAAAATAAAATAAAATAAAATAAAATAAAATAAAATAAAATAAAATAAAATAAAATAAAATAAAATAAAATAAAATAAAATAAAATAAAATAAAATAAAATAAAATAAAATGAAATGAAAAGTAAAAGTAAAAGGGCAAATGCTTGTGAAACACAAAGGATATGAGTATTATTAAAGAATTTCAAAGCAGTGAGCACACGGTAAGCTGTGATCGTCAACACCACTGTTAGTGTTGCGACACGCTAAAGTTGGATCTTAAAAAGCCCTTGTTTGAGATGTAAAAAAGGAAATATTTAGTTACTTTTCCAAGATAAATGATAATTCCATAGTTGAATATGTCTAATAATAATACTATATTTAGCTAGCCAAAACTATTTCTCATAATATATAGCACATTTCCCTTTTATTCTTCTGATATTGCTATAGATGAAATATTGAGGCTCAGAAGTTTGATACGTTAGAGAAATTTTTGACATATACCTGTATTTGGAATAAACTAGACCAATAATTTCCATCGCCATTATTGTTATTATCATTAAACAAAGGATGTCATGTCAGCGGTCTTAACATTTACACCTGACAAAGAGAGAAGAACCCAAACACCACATACATCAGTACCTACAAAATCCATCGGAACTAAATAAATTGAATATTTATTGATTTTATCCACATTACTCTTTACAGGGAGGTGAATAAAAAAATCAGGATCAATGACTACCCATTTATCGTCTTATTCATTTATTTTTTCTGCTTTATCTTGTTTTCCCTACTCCATTAACATCCATTCATGCTAAACCACGTGACTAAATAATAGCCAATGAGAAACCTAGGAAATAATCCCTAGAATTTTTTTGAAAAAACAGCCATCAAAGAGAAAAGTGTTATACTCCGAGCATCAAGGGGGTTCACAAGAAGCTAAATCTCTTTATTTTTTCTTATCCTCAATAAGCCATGTCCAACACCAGAGAACCATCCACAAACTACCTGATTGAAACAGTTTCTTCTCCTCTTCCAAAGGATATTCCTCATGTGGATGAAATCGGTGCCACCTCAGCTCCACTTTTGTCAGCTGCTTTCTTCATTGGAGCCCGTTGTAAACCATTCAATGATGATTTCATGCAATGTAAAAGTGAAAAGCCAGGTAATGGTGAAATTGGCTGCCTCAAAGAGGGCCGTCGTGTGACGCGATGTGCTGCTTCTGTTCTCTCGGACATCAATAAGAACTGTCTTGACAGTTTCCGTTTACATTGGAATTGTCTCGAACAAAACAACCATGCTTTGAAAAACTGCAGAAAGGCTGAAAAATTATTCAACAAGTGTGTGTTTGATAAGTTGAACTTGACAAAAACCATTCCAGGTGTACCAGAAGGTGAAACTCCAATCCACTTGAAGGAAAAGCCATTGTACGTGCCGAACGTTGAAGATTACGACTCAAAGATCGCTTACAAAAAGGCTCAAGCAGAAGGAAAGATTTAATGGAAAAAACAAAACAATAATCTCACAAACTAGCAAAAAAAAAACAAAAAAAAAAAACATTCTCACATCGTCATTCTATATTTCTTTTGAAGTATATCAAGAGCAAGGATCATTTCCCATCTCACTCAGGAATCCACTTTTCAATGGAACTCTTTCACTAGAAAACGTCCTTTAATTCCCTAACTTTTTTTTTTTTTATTTCTGTGCTATATCATTTGTATTAACGTCACCGGCTTTCATTTATTCAATTACTCGTTTATATTAAAATACAATAACTTAAAACAACAATTACAATAATGATATTACCATGTAATTTCTAGAAAGATTACCATCTTAAAAAACTTTGATTCCTCGCTAACGCTCCTCTTTTCTTTCTTACTATTTATTATTTCTTCAAGATTTTTATAAACTCTTCTTCACATCCAATAATCAAATAAATCCCCATTAGCTCTAACAATTCGTTCCCACTACCATCCCCTTCAAGCGAACTTTTTAGTTCCAAGAAGGTTTTTTTAAGATCAGCGTCTTGCAGTTTTTTGTTGCCGAATACCTCCACAAGATCATCGGTAGGACTGGTAATCAAATCAATTGCAGATGATACTGCAGAATCTAGAGATTTTTTTTTTCCCGAAACAAGTTTTTTAAGATACTCATCGACTATAGCGCGGAATTCAAGGTGTACTTTGTTCGCTCGACGGAATTGAGCACTGAGAAATGGACTAGTTTTGAGTACTGATGTAGGATCATCATCAGAATTATGGTAAACGTCATCATCTTCCTCATTCATTTCATCACCATTGGGATTTGAAGTTGATGGTTGTAAAAGATTTTTTAATGTTAATTTATTGAGTTTCTGAATATTTTCCAATACATCCTTAGTCTTGAAACTTTCTTCTATGTCAGGTATTTCTAGAAATTCCTTATCATTTGTTGCCTTCAGAGCTCCAGAAACCTTCTCTGTTAGGTACTGCTCTAAAATATGCGTTGAAAGATATAAAGATGCCATTTCTTTAATAACTTTTAAATCTAAATCTTTGCCCTCTCCAAATGTTGCTTGTGATTCTAGTATCACTTCAAATGGGTCTTTAGAATCGGTACTTGAGTTCAGTATTATATTTTCATTAGAAGAGCTATATGCCAAATCGACATCATTGCCATTAATTGTGGAGTGTTCAACCACAAGTTTCTCAAAAATATCAAGTGATCGATGCAATAACAATATTTTTTCTAACATGGATCTGGTAAGATCCAATTTCTTTTTGAAACAAATAGCCCTATCTACTGTTTCAAAATCTTTAGTAAATGCACTCTGTTGAGAATTAATATTCACATGATAGTTTGCCACAGATAATCTGATATTGCTAACAAGACTGACAAAAGTGTTGTTATTCAACAGGGTTGCAAGTTTCACGAAATCGTGATAATCATCATTCACAAGATCAAAAAGCTCACGATCAAGTGATTCATGGAGCCGTGTAAGTTCGGAATTAAGATCCGCTAGCGAAATAAAACGGAAATTCTTGTAGAGGAATTGGTCAGGATTGAATGAATCTATGAGCGAATCATCATTATTATTACTATCCAAATTATCAAGAAGAGAGTCAAGACCAACAGCAAATGAGTCTTTTGAAACCTTATTTAGAAGAGGAAATTCATCTGTACCGTCCAATATATCAAATACACTATTTTGTGCTGATGTCATTTCGAAATATTTGATGTATCGACACTGTGTCTGGCCATTACTGACCACGATCAATATTTGGCTCCACAAAGTTTAGAGGATTTTATAGAACATCACGTGTCATCACACGTGACAAAACCGCTTTTTTTATTTTGTACAAGCCGCATATTACTTTGATTGTAGCAGTAAAGATACCTCATATGGAACGTATGCGATCCCAAGCGTAATAACATGGTATTGTAAAATGTAAGCAGCATCCTAAAAGGTGAATGACAACAAAAATAGGGTGAACATTAAATAGATGGAAGTATCTAGACGGTGCGGAAATACTATGTACCTACTGCACCTTTTTTTTTTTTTTTTACCATTTGGGGCGGTGTCCCACAACTGCTGTGACATTCTGTGTGTAAGGTACACGACAAAAGACAACAATTTATTGTTTAAACACCGAATACATTCAAAAAGATTTTTGGATGATGGTAACGCTGGTGTCGCATTTAGGTTGGAAAAAATAGTCATAAAAATAAGAACTTTTCCTTCATCAGGAAACTGATTTCTCTAATGATGCACGAAGAATAAGGATTGCTGTCCCATTTCCCTGTGAAGTAGTTCAGATATGAATCACGGACCAAGAGAAAAGAATTTTTTAAAAGCATGAAACCAACTATTGACTTGTCCTGTTTTAAGATTTTAGGAGTCCAAAAATAGCCTTGCACTAAAAAAAAGGGTCTGTTATATACTAGACAACTATTACTATTATTAGATCACAATCTGTTGGTACCTGACTTTATATCACACTTGTCTATCCTGTCCAAATCGGGAAGAAGGCTATTGGGCGAAGAGTCTGGACTTTTTTTGTACCTTACATTATTGTTTTTGTAGATTACTTTTGACAACAGTCGACCTGTTGTTCTCACTGTTTTTGTTACTGAAAAAGAATCTGCATGCTACATTCGACAAATAATAGGCATTGTTATGTTTGAACCTGAGCGAATAAGATAACAAACAAAATCCAAATTTTAGAGTCCCCCAGCCCTAATTTTTGCTTGACCAAATATTTTTTCTACAGTATCCTCGTTCCTTGCACTTTTTTTTTGCTCCCCTTCAACAGCTATTATCAAAAGTCATTTCTTCAGCCAAATTTTAAAGAAAATCCAGAAGATTAATTGAAGATGATTGCACCTAAGTTTCCCAGTAAAAAAGGTTTAGATGTCCATTTTACTCAAGGTAATAAAATCCAAGTATCCTACAGAGTTGACACAACTATTATAGTAATCTATTCCCTCTCAAAGAAGTTGTAATTGAAAAGTGAAAAAGAAAAAGAACAGAAAACGGAGATCCAGTGTAAACAGCAGCTCTATTTAATGAGAAAAATATAATCAAACAAAAAACAAAAAAAAACTCGCTCCAAAATGAAGAACAAAACGTAAAATAATAAGAACACCCCATCTATCAAAAAAAGTACCGTTACATAATAATAATAATATAATAATAATAACAAAAAAAGATGCATGCAAAAACAGAAGAGCCTGAGTCTAACGATTGATTTGCCCAACATTAGCAGGAATATCCAAATGACCAATATGTGGCAAACTCACGCTATTATTTTCTCTCGAAAATTGGGTTCCATCATTACTGTTGCTACTGTTTTGAATATTTGTATCATGATGTTCAACATTAGAACTTCCTGGGAACATATCATAGTTCAGTGCCATATAGTTGTTCAGTAATGGAGGTAAACCACTAACTTGCTGATGTTGGGAATGTTGAGGATTTTCCACTTGCATTGGATTTTGTACGCGTTGGTGTGGCTGTTGTGCCATCAGAAGGCTAGGAACCATTGCAAATTGACCTGGTGGTGGAGGGATAGGAGAAAACATTTGATTTGTCATGAATTGCATCCCTGGAGCCATTGGATTACCTGCAACACCTCTTGTGTGAGGACTAATGGCACCTCCCATTGGAACTTGATATATAATATCTTGGTGCATTGGATGATATTGAGGAAACCCGTTTGGATCTGGTGGGCCAGCGACGAAACCAGGATTACCAGAAACGTTTGGATCACTGACACCCATTGGATCAGCCATCAATGAATTGAATGCAATAGGAGCAGGCATAGGCGCTGATATTGGATTGGAAAGTTGATGTGCTGGATTTGTATGCTGAATTTGAGCGGCAGCAGCATGATTGGCAGCAGCTACACTGCCACCATTTTTGAGGGCAGCCTTTGCTTTACAGGCAGGACAGTTTCCTTTCTTGCCCGATCTTCTTGGAACATAGCGATAGCCTGGGTATTTTTCGCTATGCTTCTTCTTTTCTTCTTCTGCAAGTTTGTTCCAATATTCTTTTTCTTCTGCTGGCAATGCACGCCAACGTTTTCCTAATTCACGCGACACATCCGGATTGGTTTTAATAAGATTACCTTCATCAAGAACTGCCTGGTGGTGGTGTTGACGGAACAATATGAACGCGTTACGAGGTCTTGGGATTCTTGGCTGACCATCAGTACGAAATGGGCACTTTTCGTCATGTTCAGGAATTATAGGCCTTGAAGATATTGATAACAATGAGCCTGTTGAGGAAGGAGGGGCAGAAATACCGTTACCACCATGGAAAGTTGCAAACCCATCTGATATTATAAGGTGAGGCTGCGGCTGTTGGTGCATGGTTTGGGGATGATGGCCCTGCTGAGATGTTTGATTTGTGTCAAACATAACTTGGGATAACGGAGGAAGAGTTGTGTGAGGAGCTATTTCATTCTTGATAGTTGGAGATGCACTGTTTGACAAATCTGGAGTAGCTCCAACTGTGGATTGATTTGGCATTATTTGATAAGAATTTAATGGAGATCGAATTTCTTGAGACCATTTTTGTTCTGGAGGAAAATTTTGATAGCTCATAGTCTGCATATTCTCCTCTTATATTTTTTTCTCTTGGCTACGATCTTTGATGCCCTTGAAAAGAATAGTCGAATCAGTATTGTTCAATATTCCTCAAAAATGTTACTTCTATAGATTTATCTGTTTGTTATTTTCGCCCTTATTGTTATAACTATTATTTGTTGAGTTTCTTATCCCTATAAGCCAACAACAGTTAAACTAAAAACAATAATAACTTTGTATTCTTTTATGTATTTTATGAGTTGTAAGATCCAGAATTTGATCTTGAGGGGATTGGGGGCAATAGGGCTAGTCTTTATAGTGGGGAAGCCACTATGACGCAGTAAGCACCGCAGGTGGAGGTGATTTATGTGAGTGGAAGTAATACGCTGCACTAGTACCTTGCAGGCAACAAATTTTGCATGCGTTGCATAGCGTTTATGGCACATCCCAGATGACCATTTGCGGACCCAGGCGTAACGGTTGCTGACCTCTGAACAACTTCGATAAAAGCTTGGCGTGGCAATACGCAGTAAGAATCAAGGCAAAAAAGAAAAAAAATAAAGAAGAATTCTTTGTGTGGAAGGCCACAGCAGATTCATAAAATCAAAAAGGGACAAGCAGACAAAAAAATAAAAGAATATTAATAACAATAATTCAGGGATTGTGCTTTTGCTTGAGCTCCTGGCTTTGTTAGAGTATTATTCTATTTTAAAGATATGCTAGTTTCAATAATTCCCACTAATTTTTTTACCGTAAGGTACCAACATTTTCAATTCATTGTTTTCTTTTGTTACATTTAATGGTGTTTCAGCTTCTTTCAGGAGAGTTTCAAATGCGTACAGCAAAACCTACAGTACAAACAACTAATTCTTGGAAGAGAAGGAAAGAACTAGTTTTCTTGTCTTTTCTGTAAAGCAGGGATTTTCAATAGATCAAAAAATTTTCTGATGATTTGGTGCGCACATGCTTTTTGGATAGATAGATAGAATTTAGAGTAGAGAAGTATGTAGACCAAATGGAAAAGAGTTGTAATATTTTATTCACAGAAATTTGTATTTTTGCGTTCTGTGTTTGCTTTACGGTTTTTGAACTCTTTGAATACATTAATAATAACAAATCATTGACCTCCCTTTAGTATTTGTATCTTTGAGGGCCTTCATGTTTTTCGTCAAGTTATTATATTCTTCATCTCAAAGTCAATACCTTCTTTTCCTTGTTTCAGATTTGGTTTCACGCAGCTATGAGATTACTTCCAACCATAAAAGATGAAACCCACCAAAATAAAAAAGACAGTTAAAACTAGACTAAAAGGCTATTTACAAGAAAAGATCTGGATCGTTGCGAATTAGATAATTCAAAATTTTTTGTGGCTGAATTCTAAGAATAAGTTGTTTTCGTAACATACATAATTTTTATGATAAAAACATATTGCATTGCATAACGCATGACTGCATCTGTCCCACAGGGCCATAGCCAGGATACTATGCGGGTGATAGATTTGCTGAGAAATTTTATCTGGGAGGATTTTAGAACAACTGATTGTTTGAGATTCACTCCAAATGTCATAAACATTAAGGAGGAAATGGCAACAAATTATGTGTTTACACAGCCCCCATAGGATCTGTAGTGTTTTTATAATTGTGTTTGGCTCCTCCCAAAAGCGCCCACGACGCATCTTGATTCGCTATATTATAATTTTTTTTCGTAGTCTGCAATTCCATTTGATGATCTTTCCCATGATTTGTGGCCAATTAAAAAACACGAAAAATTGCTTTCTCCCATCTTGTGGGGTTTTTGAATACGGTTAATCACCACCGGAAAAACTGCACCCCGTAACAACACTTCAATCAAAGGAATAATTCATGAAGATCAAAACTAGGTTCGCTTTTGTTATTACAACATGTTCACACATCTTGGTTAATAATTATATGTACCTTTACCGTTTGCTTCGCCCAATCCGGATATCAAGAGAAACCTCAAAATGATTTCGTTTCTACTGTTAAGTTTACGATCTGTGTTTCGTTGCGAGAAAAAAAATAAAGCCAAGCAGCTAACGGCCATCATATGGCTTCCTCAGTTTAAGATTTTTTACTGACGAATTTTTTTTATTCCCTTTTTCTTTAATTTTTTTTTTCAGCTCTCATATGCATGACTGGGTACCTATTTTATAAAATTAAAGAATCAGCCTTTTGACTAGCAGCTCACTACATAAACCAAGCCCGATAGTCACGAAATTTTTCATTATTTTCTCTACTTTTGTTATTTTTTCTCCTCTTTTTCTGTGTCGAGTGTAATTCATGTTTACTTATCCCACATCTGTATGCCTTGTATTATTGTATACGAATTTGGCGATTGACCCAAGGATTTGGCAAAAGATTTTTTTTTTTTTATTTCAGTGATAGAATAACTTTGATCTGCCTGTTAATTAGTTTTTTTTTCTTTTCTGATCTACTTCTTGATGTACTCCTAATTACAATTGAACACTCTGCACCCCTGATCAACGGTACCACACTTCACAATATACTATACTTTAGTTTATCTTATCCGTGGGGACATAGAGTAGCTACATTCCCGAGTTTTCAATCACTAGGAACTGCTGGAGTAAAATGTAGAAGCGGAGATTTTTAAGCTTTTCCTCCTCTTTCTTTTTCTTTTTTTTTTTTTTTTCTTTTTTGCAGGCTTTGCTTTCTTCGGGATTTAAGGTTTTTCAATGCGTGACGCTCACCCCTCCTCACCCCTCTTGCTTTTTCGTTTACATTCAGATTATTGACTTGGAATTTTTCTTTTTAGAAGAATTTTCTTTTCTTTTTAAAGGAAACACGATAGATAGATTGCTCTCCCTATGATGTAAACCTCATATGAATATACATCACAGATCTATACAAGGAATCACTCCTCGGCCTTTAGCTCATTCCTATACGAAAGGCCATAGATTGCACTTTTAATTGAAATCCCAATTTTGCTTTTTATTTCACCTTCTTCCTACGTTTATTTTTTGTTTAGTAATAATGATTTCCAACTGAAGGGGGTATAGTTTGTTAAAGCATTGGCAATGTAATAAATTGTTATTAATGACTTCATGGTATTTAGTAAATGTGAGGGCTATTACGTAACTTCCTACTTTTATCGTGTTTCATTTCATCACCCATGATTCAGAAAAAAAAAAGAAATTTAAAAATAGTTTCATACTTTGCTAGTACGAGCACTTGGATTTTCCATGATCATTTATTATCTAGTTGGTCACTTGGTCACTGATATTCTGTTTTTTGTTGTTGTTGTAGGTAGCACTAATCCTTCAAGCCCTGTTCAAACAGGGTCTATGAGATATAAGATTATTTGTCAGCTATTATTCTGCACGTAATGCTACTAGTAATGTTTATGGTTGTTTCATTTATATTGTCAGGATAAGAAGTGCATATTGAAGAATTATTCGGAATAACCGGAACGGGATTGTGAACATCACTTAGACCCGGATCGGTAGGACTAAGAATATCCGTAATAGAGTTGTTGCAAGATATTCAGAATGTGATAATACGTTAGGCTAGAGAAACAGACGGAAGAGTGCAAGGAATACATTCAATAAACACTTTGGAAACCCAAGAAATCCTAATAATATTTGTTTAATATGCTGAATGATTCTTTAGTGTATTGAGAAAGCATTATTCACAAAAGGGCATTTCTTTGTGTGTAAGTCAAGTACGTCTGATTTCATATAAACAAAAGGATTACGGATGCTTGCAACTAATATAATTATCTACTAGAGCTTACTAAGATACTTTGTGTTCGAAAAAAAAAAATTGACAGGCAACTGAAATTACTCGTCTTGTTCAATGCACAAGGGGGTGCATGCGACTACCTAATGGGATTTGGCAGTTATCAAATACATGAAACAACAAAGTAAACTCTGTTTCAATAAGAATATGAAATACGGAATATATTATACTACGACTAATTGCTTGGTTTACCTCATGAGCTGAGACAACAGGGAGTTTGACTTTTTCTCAATTAATAATTGGGACTTGGCAGGTGCACCACCACTGTGGTATTATCCTCTCATGTTGACAAATGGTGAAAAATGGTTCAACCACTAGCCATACGTCTCACTGGCGAGCGATTACTTTGTAATAGAAAGTGAGTTGTGGGGTATTACTAGATATCCTTGCGAAATTTCCAGTTGTCGTGGAAAGAGGTGTCGATCTACTTTTTGAGGGTTCAGTAATCCTAAAATTTGTCATGCATATTTGAAGTAAATAGTTAGGGAATAATTAGGTAGTCTTACCTACAACTAATAAAAAATGGCTAACACAAATTAACTCCTCGTATGTCTGATAAACCTATCAAAGATCCCTTCACCGTCACATCCGGCGACGAGAAACATGGTGCTGTCAACATAACGCATAATACCTAAGTTTATTTAGCTACGGTGCATATTGGCTCACCAGTCACTGAGAAACTGGCTCAAATAAGTTGACGAACTTCTAAAGTAGACCATGTATTTTAAATACCTAAACTACAACTTAAAGTGTGATCAGTGACGATAGAATATAATTCTTTATTCTAATTGATGATTCTGTGAAGTATATAAATACAATAGGAATTAAGATTGGGATGGGGTTATTGCTACTTATAAGTCATTGCTTCTGCGGTTATGTAAACTTTAAGGTGTTACACAGAGCAAAGTTATGTTGAAAGATGGATGATTAAAGTAACTATACTTATATAAGAGAAGAGTCACTGGTTGTCGACTTTAATCCTAGTATAAGACTCCACATCTTCGGAGGAGAATACCGTAAAACATTTGATTCAACAGATCTGGTGGGACAGTGCAATGGAACAATAAATGAATGAATTGTATGTCAACGAGTCACAGAGGTTCTAAATAACATGCAAGCCGGGCACTTTATGCCGGTCTACATGCAGAAAAGAGGAAAAATAAAAACAAACAAATTATGCATTGGTGTAGAATCAGCAATAGCAGAAACCATATCTTTTCATTTACGCTAGGAATAAATCCCAGCTGATGATCCAGGGATCATGAGTTTGGTAAATTAACCCAGACTTGACACTTTTAAGGTTGGCGCGATTTTTTCTTTTTCTTTTTTTTTTCATAATGCATCACTCCGGGGGTCATCATCTTTTATTGGAAGTTACAAGCTCTAGTCTAGTAGGAAGAATCAAGAAAAATTAAAAACAACAAGAATTTATTTACCACTGTGGCGAGATATTTTGAAAGAATTAATTTAAGAAGGGTCTTGCATGGATTATCCAACCCTTTATTTTATGTATATATAGAGCGCGTATTTGTTGTCATGCTAGCCGTCGGTTGCAACGGCCATACGATTAGAAATAGGTTCTACAGAGAGTATGATGCTGCGTCGGAAACTTGTTATTAATTGTAGAAAAGGTTAACTAGTTATCTTCTAACTGGTTTCATAAATTAAACACGATCAACTCCCGGACTAGTTGATTTTCAAAAAGTAGATTTCACTTTCTATTACACAAAGGAATCACAACTGGTGAAGTAAGTGTGTGGGCAGTGGTTGAACCATTCGTCAATGGTCAGTATGAGAGAATTGCACCACAATGATGGTACAGTACCCATCATTTGTGGTGTTCCGTGAGGGATGAAGTATTTACAATAATAAACCGATTTTAGTCTTGGAAAATATAATTTTAAAAGGAGGTAGTATATTTTATGGTCCCATGTAAGGAGGTCTACAGCCCAACAAATAATAACGGGGAAAAAATGAAGAAAATAGAATAGGAGTACGAAAGAAGAAAACATATCGGTAATATTTCTCTGATAAAACATCTGGTTTTTGAGAAGAAGCATCTTGCGTTTGATGAGGGTATGATCAGAATTTTTTTTTTTTTTTACCCTCCTGTCGGAAAATTACACAATTGTTAAACAGGAGCCAAGCTTGCAATTTTTATACACAGGAAAGTAAGAAGGAAGTATATGAGAGGGGGCGCAATAAGGAGTGGTTTAATTGGAACAGTATCCCACCAGGTGATACTTTTTGATACAATATATATAAAATCATGCAAAATATTTCACGGCATAGCTTCTTACCTATAGATAGATCACACTTAAACCATAGTGACGTAAATAGGGGTAAAACTAAAAAGAAGTCTTGATAATAGAAGAAACGTTTGCACGTGATATGCAGAGGCCGTAGCTTCTTCTTTTCTTGTTGTGTTTTGTGTGTAGTGAAAAAGGGGACAGGGACAAAAATATGGATATGCGTACTTATGAGGTCGCGTGTCTTTATATGTCCACGAATGTTTGTGAGAGGCTACAAGAGTGGCTCATGGTGCCTAGATTCGCAAATTCTCAACACCTAGGCAAAACCTACACGTCTAAATCTTCTGGAGAAAGGAATACTATTATAATATAAATTGCACATGTGATTTAAAAACTTTTCTCCTTTTTGTTTTTGTTTTATTTGGGTTTCCTTGCCACCGCCAGCTGCAGTAACTAGCACCCATATAAAGTAAAAACCAAACAATTCAAAAAAATACTCTTACAGATTTCCTACCAGCAGATGTTTTCTTGAAAAACTCAAGGGAATGCCGAAACCATTTACGCTATAGATACTCTAAGCAAGCCCAACATTTTCATAATAACTTGATTATCAATATATCTCTCCTTTTTTAGATAAATACTCTATATAACTCCTATTCATAGCTACGTTCTCCTAACTGGTTTAGTGGCTGGTTTAGTAAATGGTTTCCAGCTAAGATTCTGTCTGCCAATCCCTCAGGATCCAAACTCACCCAATTGGGTAGCCTCCTCAGCCCAAAGCATCGATACAATAGCGCACAACACAGAAGAAGAACAAGGGCCACCTCTCGGCAACGAAGATCCGACCTGTTGTATCCCTCGGGAGTGCCCTACGATGTACTATAGGAGCGTTGTTTGGTCATATGATACAATGTAGGACGCGCCCTCGGAAAAGTCTTAGTATCTCGGAGCACGATGAACTTTCATGTGCCTTCATGCACTCAACGCGGTCTTCAGCACCTCAAAGGGCCGCCCTTTATATATGATTTTATTTCCTGGATTATTTTTGATTTGGAAAAAATTCTTTTTGTTTTTGTTTGTTTCCCGTGTCAATCCTAAACCTCTAACCTCAGTCATTCTTTACAAGAAACCGTAACTTAATAGTTCCAGACCAATCGTTTATCTGTTCTACTCAGCCAATCGTTATCCATATTTCAATCACTTTCGTTTTTTAAGAACTTAATTCTATCAACTAAAACCACGTATACTTACAATGCAATTCACCAAACTCGCCTTCACCTCTTCTCTTGTCGCTGCAGTCGCCATGGCCAATGAAGACACTACCACCACCTCTACCGTCGTCATTACCAAGACTTCTACTTTGGCCCACTCTCACGGTTCTGCCACCACCGACTCTTTCACCACCACCGAAACTTCTGTTTCTTCTGCCGCCACATCTTCCGTCGTTGCCTCTTCCGTCGTCGCTAGTTCTTACAAGTTTGACTTCTCTAATGCCACCTCTGGCCACTCTTACAACGCCTCTTCTTTCTCTAACAACACTGGTTCTATCAGCAACGTTTCTACCCCAGCCGCTTACTCTTCTTCTAACAACGGTACCTACCTCGTTAGAAGAGAAGCTTTGCCAAGTGAAATCGCTCCAGTTATCACTTACTCTGCTTTTGGTAACAAGGTCGGAACTGCCACCGGTGTTTCTGCTGCAGCTCTTGCTCTCGTTGCTGGTCTTTTGTTATAAGAGTCTTATACTATTCCTAAGAAAACTACCAACAGAAAGAAGTAACAATCACAACATAATTACAATCAAAACATCCCATTAACTGCTCATATCCACCAACACCAATCCCTTCGATAATTTCAAATTCAAGACAAATAAATCAATCAAAACTTTTGAAAATCTAATGTTATTATTTTGCTTTTTCCAATATTCTCTCAAACCTTTTCATTTTTTGACTTTTCCAGCTATCCATATGATGAAATGAATTAGAACACGACACTATTCTATTATAGACTTTTTATCCCTTCTTCTTGGATTTAAAGGAATCAGTGGTTTATTTTATTGTTCCTTTTTATTCTTCTCTTTCATGATTTTTTTCAAAGCGGAGTTTTTTTCATTTGTCTTGTTTCACCTCCTATGTCTTTATTATTTTGTTGCTTGCTTAACTTTTTCTGTTTATTGTTTCTTCTATCCTATATTTTAGTTCTTGATTGTCTCTACTGACTATGACTTAACCGGTGATAATTGTCAAAGGAGAAACAGGCTGGATTTTTTCCTTTTTTTTTTCATGAAGTTCCTTAGCTCGTTTTATTTGATTCAATTTGGTTTGCGTCGATTTATTTACATGGGTTTGGAAAGTCTTTCTGGAAAGCAAGATGAGAAGAAGAAAAAAAGAATATTAAACATTAGATAATCCAATTTGTTGTTCATTATTATTTCATCTGCTTTCGTGACTTCTTTTGTGGGTTATATCTGCTTTATTTTCAAACAAACCTCTTTGTACTTTTATTTTAGATTTAGTTTTTTTTTTTTTTCAATAGCTTATTTATTTCAATTTCTTATCATTGATATCCGGTGTAAGTGATTTTCTATTAGTATTTTGGTTTAGCCTTTTGCTGAGAAGTATCAATATTGGAATGGATGCTATATGAAATACAAAAGACATTGATATACCAATTAATAATTATCTCTTGAGTAAAGATGGATCGCGCTTTCCCTCTCCTCTTAGTTACTCCCAAAAAAAATTTTCTTTTTTAGTTCATGGTTTTTCCAATACAATACACAGACACGCCACGAAAAATTGTAGAATAATGCAGAACAACAAAGACTAAGCTATCCAGGCCTTTGGCTAATCATGGTTTATTGATTGGAAACTCTCTGAAGAATGCAATAAATTAACACATCTGCAAAATAATCAAACATAGACGGTTCGCAAGTTCTTTTTTTTTTTCTCCTTATACTTTCTTGAGCTGTATTTGCTGATCTTGCAATTAAGGCACCGTTTGAAGGCTCGCCTTTCAAATCTTGAGGCTTTGATTGTATACATATTCAATTATCATCTAGTAGGACAAGACGCGCTTTTTAAAATAACCAATGATTGCTTGGAGTGTATTTTACATTCTTTAATTCTTCTAGACACCAATCTAATCCTGAGTTGCCCAGGGATAGTATTCTTCGTCAGAGCATCCAAACATTAACAACTGGCGTATCAAACCGCAGCCGAAACGTCAGCTAATTAGCATACCCTGAAGTAGTTTGAAACAATAGGTGCTCCCTTTTCCGTGGACATGGTTATAAGCGAGAATCAGTATTGTAGATCCGGATGCACTAGAGAAATCTCAGAAACCAGCAAGGGACATGCCGAGTAATAACATTTAAGTAAGATACTCATGTAGTGTGGTGCGGTGTGTTAAGAGTTCTTGCCCCATCCAAAAGATAAATTTGTAGAATAGTAGCATTATATCAGCCATGAATTACCTAAACGATTATACTAATCCTGACATATACTTCTTTGGAAATCCCTGCTTGTATATAGATTTGAGGGCGATTAAAGCTGATCCCACTTTTTAGGAGAGACTATGACAGGACAAGCAGAATTTGAGAGCCCACGCTTTTACAAAGCTTTATTCAAGGAAATAGTGCTCACCAGTTGGTAGCCAAATGATAGAGCACAATCCATAGTAAGATGATTATAGGAATCGCTATCTCAAAATCACCTTGAAGCCACGTGCTTATACACACGTGATCAATTTATTACTTTTTTTCCTTTATCTTTTTTTTTTTTCTTTCACAGTTTTCAGGTTGATGATGGTTTCAAAGCGTTATAACGTCGGTTAAGGAACAGATAAAAGTAGTGCTAGATTATTGGATTTGATCCAAATATAAATAAAGGCCAAATAAAAGCACTCTAATTCTACTGTGGAGTAACTTCCCGGATTAACTAAATGTCATTTCCAGATGTACTCCAACGAGGAAATGATTTTCTCAGTGAATATCCAAGAGACCTGTCTTTTTGGAATCCTTTGAGTAAACTCACCTGTCTTGCAGTCATCGGTGCTTCTAAGGCATTTGTATATTCTGCCTACAAACCAAAGATCTTTGGACTTGAAAAACTTGATGATGCCTTAGCGAAATCGAAGAATGAAAATCGAGGTCTACTTACAATCATGAACCATATGAGTGTGGTTGATGATCCTTTTCTATGGGGGATTTTACCATTTAGATACTACAGGGATGTTGATGCTATTAGATGGGGGCTCGGGGCCTCCAATGTATGTTTTACCAACAATGCCTTGAAATATTTCTTTAGTTTGGGCAAAGTTCTTGCAACTGAAAGATTCGGGCGTGGTCCGTTCCAAGGATCTATTGATGCTGCAATTAGAATCCTCTCCCCTGACGATACCTTGGATTTAGAGTATTATCCAACCTGTGTACAAGCGAATATCAAAAAATCATCAATTCAGCGACTCGCCAAACCAGAATTCATCAGTGACAAAATTAAGCCGTCATCCACGGTTATTGAAAAACTCAAACAATCATCGCCCATTCAAAGATCTCGTCCAAGCTGGTTCCACATCTTCCCTGAAGGATTTGTCCTTCAGCTTGAATCACCACATTCAAATTCCATGCGTTACTTCCACTGGGGGGTCTCTCGTCTTGTTTTAGAAAGTACAAAATCGCCAATTATATTGCCAATTTTCTCCACAGGGTTTGAGAAGATTGCTCCTGAGTCGGCAGCGGAATCTCCACTTGAAAGATTCTTGCCTCGCAACTTCCGTCATGAAATCAATGTGATTTTCGGCGACCCAATCAATGATGCCATCATTGATGGGTTCCGTGCCGAATGGCGTAAATTGGTGGATAAGCACTATGACCCAGCAAATCCTTTTGATTTGAGTGAGAAATTGAAGTTTAGTAAGGAAGCCGAAGAGCTAAGAAGCAGAATCGCTGCGACTCTTAGAGAAGCAGTGGCTGAAATCAGACACAATGCAGGAAATTTCCCAGTCGAAGACGATAGATTTAAAAGCCCTGCATTTTGGAAGCGTTTCACCCTCAGTGAAGGTGAAAGTGATCCTGATATTAAATTCATTGGTAAGAACTGGGCAATCAGAAGATTACAGAAGTTTTTGCAAGACGATTTTGATAAACAAGTGGAGGTTGCCAGAAAGGAAGAAGAAGAAAAGAAGCACTGATGGTAGGCTTTAAATTTTGTGTATAGTGTAATATTTTACAATCATGATAGATTAATATTCAAAGCAAACGAAAAGGAAAGAAACGTAATTAATCGACACCTTAGGCAAACAAAACAATTTTTTTTAAAGAAAAAATAGAGAGAGTGTGAGGGAAAAAAAATATGACATGTAGGAAATGATATGAAATAAGAACTAGTTTACATAAAAAATAGACAAAAAGTATGGTAGGAACCGTGATTACTTAGCAGCCTTGACCAAATCCATAAATTTCTCTTTTGATATTTCATTCATTTTCTCTTCTTTCTTACCGAAAAGCATTTTCTCATCTTTGACTTCATTTTGGGCCCCTACCTGGGTGGTCAAGATAGCATTGAATAACTTGATTACCCCTCTTTGAGCAGTTTTCTTCAATTTACGCTCGTATTCCAAAACTTGCCTGGCATTGCTGGCCTCTGCTGATGGTAAAAGATTGGTGATATGAGATTTTTCATTTCGAAGCTTCTTTTCGGAGTTCAAAATCTTCCTGGCTTTCAATTCAAGCTTCTCATCCTGCTTCTGTTTCAATATGCTTTTCTTTTGACGTACAAAAATTGGATCAGCACGATCATGAGCCTTCAAATGGGAGTTAAGAAGGGCCCCAATGGCATTAGAAAATGATTCAGTACCATCATCGTTCTTATGACGCTTTGGTTTATTGTTTCTGTGAGGAATATCTCCATCATCTGGTTTTTCATCATCACTATCATCGCTGCTACTTGCCTGGTCAAGGTCAACTTCGTCATCATCGTCTTCTAATTCATCAACATCTTCATCTTCCTCTTCACTGTCATTATCATCATTATCATCATCATCATCTTCTTCTTCTTCTTCTTCGTTTGATATTGACTTGTCTTCCTCAATATCTTTTTCCGGTAGACTTTTAGTTGGTTTAGCTGATTTGTCTTGAAGCTTCTGCTTCTTTGCCGTTATTCTGATACTTCCTTTGCTTCCTGAAGCCATTTTTATTAAATGTTCTTAATAGTTATTAATAGTTATGTTATTGACACTATTAGAAAACAATCTCTAGTCAAAGAAGATGCTAAAAGTGTTTCTTTTATTTAAACTAATACTACCTTAAGTGTACGGGGAAAAAAAAAAAAAAAAAAAAAATTTTCAAAGACCTCATCTCCTCGGTGCGCATAGTAAATGTTTTTTTTTTTTTACACCTATCGTTCCTTATACTTCGAAGCAGGTTCTGAATCATCGGTGACCGTTCCCTTCGCTGCCAAAAATACATGCCAGGAATTTTTGGAGTTCACTTTCAGTCAATTTCTGCTATTTTCCTTCTTTTAGAATCTTCTTATTAATGAATTGTTTCTTTTCCAGGACAGAAGGAGTACAATGATGGCGCCATCAGATTCCAAGATTCCAAGATTGGCCTCCTTTAGAGGGAGTGCAATACCAGTGAAACAATTACCCCGTGTTACCTCCACCAAAGGAATTCTTTCAGAGCTAGATGTTAATGAACCAACTCTCAAATCAAGTTTCTCAGAAAAAGAACTTAAACAGGATCTGCAATTCAAAAAACCGAGGTTTCTGGATGATGATAATATTATTAACAACAATAACAACAACAACAACAATAATAATAATAATAGTAATAATAGTAATAATAATAATAATAACGGCAATGTCAGTAGCATTTCCGGAGCATTCAACAAAAAAAGATCGTTTTCCCTGGGAATACCCATTCCGAGCTCTGGTAGCTTCAATGGAAACAAGTCAGGGTTGAACAGAAGCACTTCGCTACTGTTTGCAAATCGAGCTAAGAGTGACGGATCGCGAAGCTTTAGCACTGGATCGGGAAATATTTTAGCGAGTCCAGCTAATCTTGATATTAATCACCTGAAGAAAATGAATGATACTGATCTGACAATGACTTTGAAGAACAACACCACTCCTAGATCACCTTTCAGTATAGGGGGTATAGAATTTGAAAAAAAATTGGAGTTACAGAAATTGAACCGCGATTGTGAAGTTAAAGAGAAAGAATTATCGGAATTACAGAACGATGTGATGATTCTACGGACTCATAAAAATGAATATGAATTAGAAAATCTGAAATTAAACGATTTGGTGGAAGATTTGCGCGAGACCTACGCCCAGAATGAGAGGGATTATAAAGAAATGGGAGACACCAAAGAACGAAAGTTGGTAGAATTGCAAGAAAGATTCAAATATGAGTTAGACAAGTTGGACTTAGCGAAACAGCATGAGGAATTGGCTATGCAAGAGAACTATGAATCATTGATCAATGATGAGCTAATAGAGGAGATTGAGAATCAAAGAAACCTGTTACGGGAAAAGCTATCGGATTTGCGAAGTCTTTGGAATAATAGAGATATAGAATTACAGAGCACTTTGAAGAATATGGACCGTGCGTACTATCAAAATGAACGAGAATTTTTAGCGCAGCGAGAGAAAGAGATGGGCAATTTAAAGAAGGAAGCTTATAGCATTGATAGTGAAATTGCGCTGATCAAACAAAATATCAATCAACTTGATCTGAAAATGAAAAGTAATACTACGAAAATGAGTCAAAACTCCTTCTTAGTGGCTAAATATGTGGGGATTACTGAAAACTTGGATCAATCAACAATAAACTTGAAAAATGAGTGTCGAAATTTAAATCATCAACACAACCAACAAGATCAGAGAATCAAAGAAATCCAGAAGTATATTGAGTATTCCAAGGTTCACCAACAAAATCTTCGGCAACAATTGATTGAAGAAGAGGCGAATCGTCGGAAACTCCACAATAGACTTCTCGACCTAAAAGGGAATATCAGGGTTTTCTGTAGAGTAAGGCCTCCAAAGGATACTAATGAGGCTCTAGAAATGCATTTCCCTGATGCTTTTGAAGAAGGTGGAGAAATTGTTTTGAAAAACGAAAATCAAAGGGGTTCAAGCTCCGCCAAATTTTTAACATTCAATTTTGATAAAGTCTTCTCTCAATCTTCAAACAATACTGATATTTTTGAAGAAATCTCCCAACTCGTCCAAAGCGCTTTAGATGGATACAAAGTTTGTGTTTTTGCCTATGGACAAACTGGCTCGGGAAAGACTTATACCATGTCATCTAAAGAGGATGGGATGATTCCAAGAGCCGTGCACCAAATTTTCCAAACCAGTGAGGCTCTCAAAGATAAAGGTTGGGACTATAATATTTCGGGTCAATTTTTGGAAATTTATAACGAAACCATAAATGATTTACTTCAGCGGCCAGCATCAGTATTGCTGAGAAACGTTGGGTCTGTTCCTAATAGTCCATCTAAGAAATCAAAATATGAGATTCGTCATGATGCAGCATACGAAAGGACCACTGTCACTAATGTCACAGAAATTGAATTGACTTCCCCTGGAATGTTGAATGATATCCTTGTGAAGGTGAATAATAACAAATCCGTGGCCGCCACCAAGGCAAACGAACACTCTTCAAGATCCCACAGTATTTTTCGAATTATAATTAGAGGTGCAAATCATGTTACAGGTGAATCCTGTGAAGGATTGCTTAACTTGATTGATTTGGCTGGTAGTGAACGATTATCGCATTCTCAGGTGACTGGTAGCAGACTTAAAGAAACCCAAGCGATCAACAAGAGTTTAAGCTGCTTGGGGGACGTCATATATGCTTTAGGGAACCAGAATTCCAGTCATGTTCCTTTTAGAAATAGTAAATTGACATATTTATTACAGTACTCGCTTAGTGGAAGCTCTAAAACGTTAATGTTTGTGAATATTTCTCCGGACAAGAGCCATTTTTCGGAGACGATAAATTCGTTGAGATTTGCCGCTAAGGTTAATTCTACAAAAGTTGCTAAGAGATAGCTGGATTATTTACATGGTTGCTTTTCATTTATTAATAATTATGGATCATGAGTATTGAATATATGATATATTTGAATAAAATAGATTTTTGTATGATATCTTCCTGCATGTTCCATATCCATGGATGCATAGATCTTAAGAGGAACAAAAAAAAAAAAAAAAGTTCTTATTCTTCCCTGTACTAGCTAGTACTGAAGCTTCAGAAGTACCTCCGTGAGAATTCAACCATGTCCCAACAACATGAAAGCGATCAAATTTTAGAGGGTGTGGTGGTGGATAAGTTCGACAGAATCTTGTTTTTAAATGATGTCCAAATTTCCAACTCTGTGGGAAAAAATGAACAATTCCTTGTGCTTCACCCCCAACAAATTACACAATGGATTGAACATATAAAACAGACTGGTGGTGATATTCATCCTAGTCTATTATATCAAGCGAATACATTCCAAACGGTCCAGAACTATTGGGCTCTAATAGAAGCTTGCACTGATGGTGACGCTGCTGAAACGCATTTCACGGCGGCAATGGAGATTGCTGCTTATTCCATCAAAGACACATTTTCTTTCTTTGATAAATACTTCCAATCGAGGTTTGGATCGTCGATAGAAGAACACTCGTTTCGTCATGAGGATCAGGAGGCGGTGCGTCATTGGTATATGAAACTTCTTTGTATTCCTCATTTGAGAATTGATGATACATGGTCAAGTTATAGTGCTGCGGTGAGTGACTTCAGTAACGGTGATTACCATACCAGTGTTGAAATGATGAAAGAGGGAAGCAAATTCTACAATCTGAGTAAAAGTATAGTTGCCGAATGTGAAATCTATGAAGTGAGACTTGCAGAGAATAAGGACTCGTATAATGGCTGGCTAGAGTATCTCAAGCACTTGAGGAGATTGTACCATAAGGCGAAGGCAACAGATGGAAAGCTTTTGATTTTAAAAATCATTGTTTCTATTTTTGAACGGTCTTTGGGTAGTGATCTTGGAAAAATTGATGAGTTTCTCATTTTTTGGATCGAGTTTATCAAGATCTTAAAAAGTCTAGCTACCGGTAAAGTACCAATGATAGTCCAACAATTGATCAATTCCCAAATCCATGAGGTATATTTACCAAAGTTGACAAAATATTACGAAGACCTGTACCTTTCCTGGGCCACATACCTCAAATATCAAGGTCCTCGATTAGTCAGTTCGACATTTTTCGATTATGTTAGAACCCATTTACTTAAAGTTGCGGCATCTTTAGAAGATTTCCTGCAATGGAATGAATTGATTTGCCAGATTCTAATTTTTGAGCTCAAGGGTACAAGCGTCGACTTGGATTATTATATGGAGAAAATCTATGAAGATTGTGCCCAATTTATGGAGGTTGCATTGATAAATAGGGATCCAGCGTTAACCGTCGAAAGACTAACTCTTGAAGTATACATTAAGTTAGAAGATATTGAGGAAGCAAGATCTGTCACTGAAAAAATCATTTCTGCAAGTCCTGACAGACATTGGGCTTGGTTGACATGTATTGATTTTGAGAAACGGTTTGGAAATCACGAAACTATATCGAAACTTTATCACACTGCGAGTAAAGCGGTTTTGCAATTAGAATGGCCTGAGCCAATCTTGAATGAATGGTTGATTTATGAGCAAATGTACGGTACTGCAGAGTCATACAGTTTTGCAGAACGTCAAAGACAATATGCTTTAGAATCCCTTTGGGAGGCCAGATCAGCGGAAATTGCGGAACCAACCGAGGATGTAGAGGAGATATTGTCTAATAAGAGAAATATTGAAAAAGATGAAGAAGAAATTGAGTCGCCTAAAAAGCTCAAAAAAATGAAAGTGGAAAATTCTAGAGACAGAGAACATCTTAAAATAAAAGTCACTAATTTGCCATCTAATATAAACGAACAAGAGTTGGAAGCTTTCTTCGTGGAATGCGGTGCCATACGGGATATTAAATTGCTAAACAATCAAGCAATCATTGAATTTTCTAGTGAGCTGGGAGTTTTAGCATCGTTAACCAAAACCTACAAGAAAATCAGAGATTCTGAGATTCGAGTGGATAGAGTTATCAATAATACAGTGTTTGTTACCAATTTTTCTCCTCTGGAAACTGAGGAGACTCTTAAACTACAATTTGAACAAGCTGGTACAGTTATATCTATTCGGTTCCCATCATTGAAATATAATGTTGATAGAAGATTCTGTTATATTGAATTCGCAACCCTGAAGGAGGCGTTAGCCGCGGTGGAAAAATTGGATCATAAACAGCTTAGAAATGAGTTTCCTCATCCATTAACCGTGAAAATCTCTAATCCAAAAGAAAAGCATCATCGATCGAAAACTGCAGCCGAGGAAGGTAGAGAATTGTACCTCAACAACCTTGATTTCTTCAAAGTTGATGCTTCGCTATTAGAGAAACTGTTTGGGGCGTATGGGAAAATTCAAAAAATTCATTTACCTTTAAGTCATAAAAGTGTGTCTAATGGTAGAAAGAATGATGGGTTTGGGTTTATAACGTTTGAAACTGCTGATGAAGCAACACGGGCATTAGAAATGGATATGGCCATGGATTTTGGGAACCGGCCAATCCTGGTTTCTGTGTCTGATCCGACAAAACAGGGAGCTAAAAAGAAAATCAAAAAGGTTATCGAGAATTTTGATACTGATCAGAAAGTCACTGGCGATATCTCAAACAGAATCATTAGCCTTTTGGACTTGCCAGACACCGTCAATGTGAATCAATTAGTCGAATATGTTTCAGAGAAAATTGGCCCTGTTAATAAGGTTGATTTGCGAAGCATCGATAGTGTGGCACTCGTCGAATTTAAAAAAGTAGAGGATGCAGGAAAAGCTGGGCTTGTATTGAATGGTGAAACGTTACAAGGAAAGATGATAAGGGTGGGAACAAGACAGGATTTTGACAGATTGAAAACCGCCAAAAAGCCAGTGAAAAATAAGATGATGGTTCCTACAAATGTCATTAGAAGAAAGAGAAGATGAGGAAAGTACTAGGTTATGCATCTGATTATAATGGTACGAGTTCTGCAATATGGTGCTGTTGAAAGAGAACATGTGTATAATAATAATAAAAAAGTCCCAAAAATTTTTGGAGCCTTTTTGTATTTTCCTTAGATGGATCGAATCTATTCAAATCATGTAAGAGCAGAAAATAAACTATTTTTATAGGGTTTAATCAACTCTAAGTGGGCTGCTGTTGAATCCAAATGTGCATATTTGCATGCAAATATCCAAATATATATACTTGACAGGTTGTTTAAATATAGTCTTTGTCTTCCATTTTCTTTCTTTTCTTGATTTCTTGCATTTAGCAAGAGCAGTCAGTATCATTGTTTGGTTATTGGATGACCAAACTTTTATGCTTGTCAATCAATCCTCACGAATTCCGGTTTATGTTGCAAATTTAGCTGTAACTGGGGGTTGAAGAGTTCCATAAATTCTAAGTCCGCTTCGCCTTTGCCCCCAGCAAACTTGACATACTCGTCGAAAATCCCACTTAGACTCCAGCCTTGGAGGATTTTTCTCATGATCCCCACGAGTACCCCAACCCGATGCTTGCCCTTGTTTGAATGGACCAAGATCGGGAAGTTTTTCTTGTCGACAATCAAATTGAGAGCTTTGACAATACTGTCGGGGTTGTTCATTACAAATGGCTCAGAAGATGACTCTGTTTTGATATAGTGGAACTTGATGTTCTGATTCTTCAACCAACGGTAGTAATCACACTGGTCTTCTTTGTCTCCCAAATAGATGATGGTTTGGAGGTTGAGTCGGGCGAGGAAATCAAAGTTGATCTTTATTGGATGACCCGAGCGATATATCCCGTCTTCCACCACCGAGAAGTTCAATGGGGGTACGTATATCTTGGGGTATTTGTAGAAACTGGGGACGACAATGCTGGAAAGATGTGGAGGAAGCGGGGTGCTGCAGGGAATCATCACCTCGTTGTCATTATCATCATCATCGAATTCCAATTCTTCTAATTCCGGTAGGTCGATATCATTATTATCAAGGGGTAAACTGCTCATATTTGATGGTTCATGTAATAATGATGGCAATAAGAACCGTCAATATTCAGGGTATCAATGAGGTTTTTTGCGGTGCGAATTGAGGTTTTGTTGCGTGCTATTAGTAATTTTTTATTTGGTCATTGGCGGCCTATATTGTGATGTTTATTGACTATCTAGAATTACTGTTGTTGTTATTATTATTATTATTATTATCATTATTATTATCATTATTATTATCATTATTATTATCATTATCATTATTATTATTATTATTATTATTATCATTATCAATACTCTTACGGTTTTGTTGACGAGAGTTGGGTGTTTATTTGTTGTGGGTGTCGGAGTGTAGACTAATAATAGACGGGAGGGGGCTTTGACTATCACGTGAGGGGCACAAACAGGAGGAGCAGCAGCAAGGAGTTGTTTGATTTGATCTGTAACATTCCAATCTTTTTTACATTCATTTCTTTCTCAAAATCCACTCTATTCATATTCCCTCCGAGCCAAACAGTCCACAAGACCCAAAGTATCATGGACAGTCTCGATTATTACATTGGTCACAGCCTCGAGCTCATAAAGAGAGCGGATACCACATCTTCGACCTCCTCCTCCTCCTCCTCCTCCTCCTCCTCCTCCTCTGCATCTTCCTCCTCTGCATCTTCTTCTTCCTCTTCTTCCTCTTCTTCCTCAACTTCCTCAACTTCCTCAACTTCCTCAACTTCCTCTTCTTCCTCTTCTTCCTCTTCTTCCTCTTCTTCCTCTTCTTCCTCTTCTTCCTCTTCTTCCTCTTCTTCCTCTTCTTCTTCTTCTTCTTCTTCTTCTTCTGCATCTTCCTCATCTTCCTCCTCCTCAAAATCCTCAAGTTCCCTTCCAACAGTATCCAGCTCTTCAACATCTCTGTCAAAGCTTCCGACTTTGTCCTCCTCCTATACTCTTCCGACAGTCACTGTGCCTGAAAATTCGGCAAATCCATACATCCATAGAAGCACTCAGCCTTCAGGTACCGTCTTCATCGCTTTTGCGGGGTTGGTATTCTTTGGGCTCGTTGTTGTCATGTTGATTTGGATTTTCACCTCTGTCGTTAACCGTAAAAATACTAGAAAAGGTTATTTCCACACAAACCTGCCAATGCCAGAAAAGGATTTCACCGATTTCACAGAGACTAACAATACTCTGATTTATAACAACCCATTCTATACAATGTCAAATCTCGGCAACTCTCTTCATTCCAGATCGAATTCCCAACTCGGCTTACCACTTGAAACTACCTCAACAAATATGTCCTCTCTCATGCCTTCTAACATAAACGTCAACAGAAACAGTATGCTTTCGATGGCAGGCCTTGATGCTTCGGATTCCAGTATCTTAGCAGGTAGTCGCAGAAACAGTGGTGGCAGTGCCGAACTATTAGATCCAGCAGGAAAAAAGAGCATGTATATTTCTCCAACTGCAGAACTTTTGCAATCGAAAAGAAGATCGCAACTCATAGGATCCTCTGAAGCCTTGGCTGACACCTTATCGCAGCCGGTTAATGATAATCTAGACATTTCACAAAGTGAGATCTCTCTTCCTGTACCAGCTGACTTGAGCTCTTCACTGATAAACCATACTTCAAGAAGAGGAAGAACCATTCCAAGTTTATATTTGGAAAACATGTTTGATAATGACGCCTCTACCAGTCCAAGAAACTCTAAAATTGTTTGATAAATTGTTTGTTCTAGAAAAAAAAAAAAAGAAAAAAAAAAAAGTTATGATTTAATGTTTGATAGATTTTGAAAATCCATATATATATATTTGCATCGTTTGTTCTTCACTTCTTAAAATTGTTATTATTTGATTAATTTAGTTTTTAGTATATTAGTGATCTCGATTTTGTAAGAGGCGTACCGTGGGGCTGGCACATGATGTTGGAAATTTGTCAACGTTTTTTGCGATGACCGGCAACAAACGGTATCAGTCAGCTGCTGTCAGCAATTGGTGATATATATATATAAATACATAAATACATAAACCCGATAATGGAAAAGTTCACCCAGTGGAGAGACCCAGGAACTGGGATCTCCCCATTCATGCCGGTGTCAAAGCCAAAGAAATCAAATGTTATCATCGCTGTTCTCCAAACGTTGCCAAAAATCGTGTTAGCACTCCTTAGGACCCCGCCTTTAATGCTTTATTCGTTGGTTTATTGCATGGTCCCGTTGGCATTTGTTCGCAGATGGGTTATCTCATTTTTATTGAACTTCCTTTTCAGTACAAATTTATTTGGCAGCAGTTACGATGCTTCGATTGAAGGAATCAAAAGATCAAACACAAAATTAAAGAAAGCAAACATGCCCCATCCAGGAGACGTGATTATTGTCAACCATACCTCGCCATTGGACGGCATGGTGCTTTATTTGATCAGCTCAAACTGCTCATTCTTGACCTTCACAAAAGACGGTGCATTGGTCGAACTTTCGGTATGGGAGGTGTTTACCAGTGCATTGAGTCTTGAAAAACCCAACAAGCCGCCAGTGAAATTGGCCAACTACGCCAATAAAGTGGTGTACTTGTTCGCTGAGGGGACCACCTCTAACGGGAAGTCGATTCTTCCTTACAATAAGGGCTATAATAGTGTGGTAACTGAAGCAAAGAAGGGTCACAAGTTGAAGATTCTTGCCATGAAGTTGACCCCATCTCAGTTAACCACCCCTATTCCAAAGCCAGTTGTATCGTATTTATGGGAATTGTTGACTAATTTTGGGGCTCTAATGTTCCGTATTAGAATTGAATTACTCGACGAGCACCAAAGTTTACAATCGATCAGGGAAAAGAGCGCAGAAATTGGTCGCCTTAGGCTTGTGGGAGCTCAACTCGATATAGTTAACAAGGGTCTTTTTGTAGAGGCGTACAGAAAGAATACCAGATCATGAAATTAATAAAAAAAAAAAAGATATGATATTTATAAATAGAAACAACAAACATTTCGAATAACTAATTATTGTAGGGTCTGCCGGATCGGTTTTCCATCCTGTCCGGAGAGCTCCAAGAAAAATTACACATTACAACAACTTACAAAAAAAAAAAAAAAAAATACATAAATATAAATAAAAAGTTTCATATAAACAAGTTACTGTTTAGATAGATATTTTACATATTTATTATTATTGAAACCCTTCCATCCCCACTGGTTTCTCGATACTCTCTTTGGCTTGCGCATTTTATCTTACTGGTTGACTCTTCTTCAATTGACTCAATTCTGATTTATAGCGACAATTGGTGACACGGTATATAAGAAAAGGCTACTATAGATCGGCAGATTCATATATATACATATATCAATATTCACAATTATTCAATCTCAATCCATTAATCAGATAAACATACTTATTTAAAAATGCCTTTGTGTGGTGCTGATAAGAAGCCAAGTATGTATAATGACCACCTCAATGATGTTTCTCTATCGTGTCATATACGATAACGATATCATAGCATTTTTATTTCTTATTTTTTTTATCATTTTTTAGTCACTAACTCTTTTTTCTAGTCCAACGTAAAATCGTTATCTTGGGTGATGGTGCCTGTGGTAAAACCTCTCTCCTTAATGTGTTTACCAGAGGTTACTTCCCTCAAGTTTATGAACCAACGGTGTTTGAAAACTATGTCCACGATATTTTTGTCGACAACAAAGCGGTCCAACTTTCTCTTTGGGATACTGCTGGTCAAGAAGAATTCGATCGTCTTAGATCTCTCAGTTACAGTGATACTCACACTATCATGCTCTGTTTTTCTGTGGACTCTCCTGACTCTCTTGAAAACGTCGAGAGTAAATGGGTTGGCGAAATTGCCGAACACTGCCAAGGGGTGGCCCTTGTTCTCGTTGCTCTCAAATGTGACTTGAGAGCCAATGAGGATCCTGAAGACGCTGCGGCTGGCCGTGGGCGTAGTTTGATCTCTTATGAAGAAGGTTTTGCTATGGCCAAAAAGATTGGGGCCCTCAAGTACTTGGAATGTAGTGCAAAGAAGAACAGGGGTGTCAATGAAGCTTTCACTGAGGCTGCTAGATGTGCCTTGAGTGCAAAGCCAAAGGGCGTTGCTGAAGAGGCCGAAGAAGAAAAAGCTGGTTGTGTGATTATGTGAGGGTAGGTACACCAACAAAACAAAAACAAAAAATAAAAACGTTGGGTTATTATTTACCGCCTCCTCAATGATTCTCTGGCAATTCTCTTTTTATTATTATTATTATTATTATTATTATTATTATTATTATTATTATTATTATTATTATTATTATTATTATTATCATGATTTGCTGTGATTTCAACGACTTTGTAAGTCGTTTCCTTTTTTTCAATTTTCAGTTGTGTTTATTTTTTACCATTTTTTTCATCTCACTGTCAATTTGCTGCTCTTTTATTTTTTTTGTTTTAAAAATTAATTATATTTAAAATCTTTTAGTTTAGTTTGTTAATTTGTTATCTTTTTTTTTTTTTTTCTATTTATTATTATTATTTAAGTCGTCCTCTCTTAATCCTTTTTTTTTTGTCTCAAAATTTCCAATATATACTTAATCTGAATATTTTTTGTCGTATTAATGCCCCTTTATGAAATACTTTCTTGTAGCGCAAGATAATTCTACATTATTATTACTTTTTCTGGCTGTACAAGATCTATATTATACAGTATAATGAATATATAAAGTGAAATCCTCTTAATGGGTCCAAATACGAACCATTTTATCCTTTCCCCCACTAACAACTCTTCTACCATCGGTACTCCAATCAACAGCATAAACCTCATCTTTATGACCTGGCAAATCAACGGCTAACTTTCTAGTTCTGACATCCCAAACTTTCAAAGTAGTATCCTTCGAGCCACTAACAAGCAATCTGTTGTCACTACTCCAACAAACCTGGTAAACTGGACCAACATGCCCGCGGAAAGTAGCAAGGAATTTCCCGTCTTTACCATCCCAAAGTTTCACAGAATTATCAAATGATGCACTGACAATATACTTACCATTTGGTGAGAAGGCAACGTGGTTAACGAGTTTCTGATGACCATGCATTCTTCCAAGTGGTTTATTTTGACTGAACGGACTCCAAAGGTACATAGTGAAATCGTCAGAGGCGGTCACCATGCGCTCATTTTTATCACCTGGGTTGGCTGATTGGAAAATTTTTTTAGCAATGGTGATCTTCTCATTGATTGGAAGTTTGGCAACTTTACGATTTTCTGGCTCATTATAAGTGTATGGACCTTTACGAAGAAGGTAATCTGTCGAGAGCGAAAGGTGGTTGATCCAGTGGGCGTGTGATTTCAAAGTTTTGATAAGAGTACCATTATTTGGGTTCCACATCATGATGGTTTTGTCATGGGATGTAGAATAGATTGTATCGTATCCACCCCATTTGACGCAAGAAACACTGGATTTATGACCACTCAACGAATAAGTACAGGTTCTAGCTTCGACATTCCAAACCTTCAAAGTACTGTCCTTGGAAGCAGACACAAGCATTAAAGGCTCACCAGCCTTAAGTAAGTGGAGTGGCTTCCAACTAATACTTGTAATCCACTTAGAATGGCCACTTAGTGTTCCTAATAGTTCACCAGTATTGGCATTCCAAATATTGATATTGTTGTCCATGGACCCAGTGGCAATGTACTGGCCATCTGGAGAGTACTCGGCAGTTAAAACCCAGTTAGAATGGCCGCTAAGGGTCTTGAACGGTGTTTGAGTGTCGCAATCCCATATTTTTGCGGTGGAATCCCCTGAACCGGTGACCATTCTAGAGGAGCTAATTGGGGAAAATTTCGCAGTGAGGATAGTTGCACCATGACCAGCAATAGCAAAGGAAGAACGAGTGATTGGTTTGACCTTAAACACCGACTGTGGGGTGTAAATGATCTTCAAATGGTCTTCGGTGGTCTTGGTGCCTGGCTTGATGACTGAATCATAAAGATTGTCACGGATGTCAACCACCAGCTGGTCTTTTTCATCAATGACCACTGCAAACTCATAAGGAACAGGATCATCAGCCGAATTATTGAGCTGGTTAATGAGCTTCTCGAGCTGTTTTTGGTTGATATTGCTAGGCACACGAAGGGTTCCTCCAAGAGATTCACCAGTTTCTGAAGACTTGAAACTCACGGTAATATTCGTCACTTCATGAGTCTGACTGCCTGGGGCGGTTTCAGGAGTATTATAGCTCTGGAGAGCTTTCTTCTGTTTCTTTGAAGGAGGAGGTAATATCGTAGACATGTTGGATAATAATTGATAGATTGATCATCTCTTCTTACTAAAATAAAAAAAAAAAAAAAAAATTTTTTTATTATTTTATTTTTCCTTTGACGCACCAATCCAACGGATCATTGGCAACAGGCTTTTTGAAAACTTGAAGATAAACCGCACGATATGATGAATACCCCCCTTTTTTTATCCACAAATATAGAATAAGGATGCTAAGAATCGGCAAGAATCTTTTAAAGCCAAGATACTATTCAACAGGAAGTAGACCAAGTCATGAGATCTTCGATAGAAGTGTGAAACTACAGCAGAAACGACTTCCTTTGGTTCAAACCCCAGAAGAATTCAAGAATGTTCAATACTTGAAAAACGAATCGATCAAGAAGATCATTTCCACCTTGTCATTCATTAACAGAAAATTCAAAAACACGTTAGATATCGGATCATCTTATGGTCATTTGGAATCGTTGTTGGCGAGCAAGCCAAGTTCTCTGGTGAATACCTCGATCACCGGGGATGAAAGTAACGAAGATGAAGTATTTGCCAAAGAAGTTGATATGGTGAAATCTAAATTCAAAAACATATACATGCTTGATTCATGTAAAGAAATGTTGGACATGTGTGATCATAAAGCGGAAGGTCTCGAATTCACAAAAATCCACGGGGACGAAGAAAGCTTGGATCATGAAATGCTCACTAACAAGAAATTCAATTGTATTATTAGCAACCTCTGTATGCATTGGATCAACAACTTGCCGGAATTTTTGGTGAAGACTTATAATTTACTCGACGAAAAAGATTCGATCTTCATTGGGTCGATGTTTGCCCAAGATACCTTATTTGAACTTCGATCATCTTTACAATTGGCAGAAATGGAAAGAAAAGGGGGGTTATCCCCTCATGTGTCACCATTTGTCACCGTCCAAGACTTGGGAAACCTACTCAATCGTGCCGGCTACAAAATGGTCACCATCGATATTGATGAAGTGGTAATTGATTACCCTGACCTTTTGACGATTATGGATGAGTTGAAGTTAATGGGTGAAAATAACTGCTTGTTCGAAAGAGAACCATTGAGCAAAGAGACTTTGTTAGCAGCTGACCCAATTTATAGAAAGTTTTACGGTGTTCAAGATGAAACAGGTAGAACTATTTATCCAGCTACATTTAGAGTGCTATTTTTCATTGGATGGAGAGACAAGGAAATCAAATCCGCTAAAAGGGGGTCGCAAAATGTTGATTTGAAGAAAATTTTATAGGATATACATGTATATATATTTTGCTCTTACATTTAGTAAAGGAAAAAAAAATAAGCCAGACTTTGTTTAGTATACAAAAAACTATAATATTCTATTTATCTTACCACTATTTATCATTATGTACCTTCTTGGAATGTTGGATCATTTGCTTCTTCATTTTTCTTTTATGAACCACTGCTCCCGGAACAGTAGAGATCTTCTTTCTTTCTATTGGCTTGAACTTCATTTGTTTCTTTTCCTTCTTTGAGATCTTGCCCATATTTTCCATCCATCCTTCAAGGTTATTACTCGAAGATTGTTTCATAACGTTAATGATCGACTTGAGAGGAGTAACGTCATCTTTAGTGTAAAATGTTACAGCAGTACCGGTCATACCATTTCTACCAGTTCTACCGACTCTATGAATATAGTTGGCACTGGAAGTTGGCACATCATAATTGATCACCAAGTTCACATTCTTAAAATCGATACCTCTTGCTAAAACGTCGGTACAGATCAACACCCAGATTTTACCCTGTTTGAAATCATCAATGATTTGGTTTCTTTGTGTTGTGGTTCTTTCTGAATGGATGACGTCGATTTTCAAGTTTTCGTACAATAATTCGTGGAATAACGCTTTGGCTCTGATAATAGATTGCAAGAAAATGATCACTGGTGGCTTTATTTCCCCATTGAGGATCATGTTTCTGATAGCCAATAATTTCCCATCTTCATTACCGCAGAACACCAATTTCTGTTCGATGCTGGCATTGGCCGCTTGTTTATTCCCAATGATTAATCTGATGCAATCTTCATTCATTACGGTTTTAGAAATCTCTTCGACATGGGAAGGAATTGTGGCACTGAACATCAATTTTGTCAAGTGGGAATTATTATTAGTTTCTTCAATGTGGCTGATAATACTATCCACTTGTTTCAAGAAATCACCTTCGAACAATTTATCTGCTTCATCAAATACCAAGTATCGAAGACTTCCCAATTTTATCTTTTCATTGGTGATCAATTCAACCAATCTTGAAGGGGTGGCAATCAACATATCTATCTTTTGATCAGTCATGACGTCGTTTCTTAATTTACCAGCTAAAGATTTGGTGAGCATTTTCACATTGACCGACAAGTTGAAACCTTTACTCAACTTGGCAGATTCGTTGAAAATTTGGGTTGCCAATTCCTTGGTTGGGGAAATGATCAAGCATTTGATCCCGGTTTTATTTTTCTTTTGAGAGGTGGAATTAGTAAGTAGCTGGATGAATAATGGGATTAAAAATGCCAATGTTTTACCAGAACCGGTTGGGGCACACGCCAATAAATCTCTATTGTTCAAAATTATTGGGATACATTCAGATTGGATCGGGGTTGGGTTGACAAAGCCAGCATCCACCAAGTTGTTCAACAATTTCTCATTATTCGATAAGTTATAACGGGCAGTTAAGTGGTTGAAGTCCTTGATGGGGAGAGGAACATCTTCACCCTGAATTTTCGCTTTGTGAGATTTTCTCAATGCATGAGCTTCTTCAACCGTAATATCTTCCTCATCATTCTCTTGATTTTGCTCTACACCTTCCTCTGATTCTGAATCACTTTCGGCAGCATTCTTCTTGGCCTTATTGACGATCTTTCTTTTGTGAAAGAAATCTAGTTCCTGATCGATTTCTTGGTTCAATTTTGAATCTTTTCCCTCATCTATCTCATCGTTTGCTCTTGCACTATTTATAAACTTCTTATTTGTGGCGTTCTTATTAACATAAGCACCTCTTGATAAAACCCTAAAAATATCCATTTTTACCTTGAATAATTATAATAACGGTGAATGATTTGGATGATTTCTATATAGTTGCTTGGAAATATAAAACAAGCTAAGAAAGTAAGTAAAAAAAAAAATTCTGAAATTTTTTTTAGTCTCGGCGCACCTTGGGTACCAAACCACGATATTCCTCATTTTAGCGAGAAACTTGAGGAATCTCAACTGGTTTTCCATGCGAAATCTTTTTGAAATATTTGATATTGATAATACCCAATTTTTTTCCCATTATTTACTTCTGTTCCATGAAAAAACATACTCGTAAGTCACACCTGTAACTTTGAAATAAGTAACCATCTCGATTCCCATGCCTATATCAACATCATGGATTTTCTCAGCATATCGATTATAATATTACTATAGCAACCCTACTCTCAAATTTGGTGGCCCAGAATAAATAGAGTAAAAAATATAAAATTCATTCCACGATTATAGCTAGATAGATTTTCGAAGACCATTGTGCTTTTATTGTGGAAACTTGGTTAATTATCAATCAATTTAGAACCGTTCGAACAAATTCTCCCTTTCATCCTTCATGAAAAGATATTTCTTAGTTAACATGAATGTTCAAAGCTTCCCAAAATTATATTTTTAATACTTAAAGATAATGAATAGAAGATAATAGGGTACAAAATAACATACCCGTTTGTTATTGATTCAAGACTCACAAGTTGACAACCATTGATGATTGATTAAAAATCTTGCATCACCTAATGCCATACCATCGTAAAATAAAATAAAAGCACAGTCATAACAATTCTAAATATTTCAACTAATAGAAAATCTAATATGGCTATAAATAAAACAATCAAAACAATCAAATATAAATCTATTTTGCTGTATGAGCGTCATCCTTCCTCACAAAGATCCTCTATATAACAAGTAGAAAATAAGCTTCTGATACGATATTGGGTATGAGGGAAAATCGTAGCCCCATTTCTTTAACATGAACTATAAATTAGATTGAAAACAGACAAATAAACGCTAAATAATGGTGTTTTTTTGTTATTAGAGTTATGAGCCCCGACATTTTCTCAGATATATATCTTATATCACAAAGAATAATCTCCATGTAAACATCGAAGGGCGTATGGTCTAGTGGTTAAGACACTATCTTTACGTTGAAGTCAAATTTGACCTAAGCACGATAGGGATCGGGAGTTCAAACCTCTCTTCGCTCATCTTTTTTAGTCCATTCACAATTTTTTTTTTTTATTTCAAATTATTAAAATGCTTTTTATCTTCTTTTTTTTTTTAATAATCAAAACTTCATTTATTTTCTGTACTGTTACAAACATAGTATGAGATAGCCAGTTCTAGGTTATGTGATTAGCACTTCCCTTTTCTAAATCTTCCGATGATTTTATGCATGCACGTGACACAAAAATCCAAAAAGGATATATCGATTCATCTATTCCGAATTTATATGTACAATTTTAATTGCAGTATTCCCACACAATACAATGGAAAACAATGAGATAAAGATTGTTAAGAACCAAGATATTATTTTGAATGATATAGACAAGGCGATTGACCGTGTTTTGCTGGGGAAAATTGTGCAAATCAATGACGTTATTCGGTTGATCAATGAGTTTCAAATCAATTCCCAGCTTCTTGACAAAGCTTTGCCCAAGTTCATTGGAAAACTCTCCATTCTGTACCTTGATTCGCTAGCTGATGATCCACTGCTTTTAAATCCAATATGCCAGATCATTTACAATTTTTGTAAGATCAGAGGGTTGAGTTTGATCAGTACGTTATTGTCCACAGATATCGAACTTTTCAACACGATTATCAACCGATTAACTGACCTTTTGTCATTGGGATCAAATAGTACACATTGGTACGAAATATCATTTCTTTTGCTATGGCTATCGGTGTTGATCCTCTCGCCATTCAAATTAGACGCTCTATTGGGGAATTCCGATTTGATTCAAAATATCTGCTTCGATCAACTATTGCTTCAAAATAGTTCTGTTAGTTATTTGAATGATGTGAATATCTTACTTTATTCCAAGTTTCTTTCAAGAAATGACTCGACTAAATATTTGAAGAATTATTATACGTTTTTACAAGCAAATGCCAGCGGGTTGTCATCAAACCAAACAATTGTTCATTTGTCAATTTTGTTGAAAATTTTGAAGCTTGTCAATTATGAGAACCATAGCGATTTATTGAAAATTCATTATCTTATTGTATCACAAAAGTTCGACCAGGTATCCAGTAAAGAATTTCCAATAATTTCGAAACTAATTATTAAGAACTTTGGTCATCTAACCACAAAATTCATCAATTCCGAAGAGGAAATTGAAAATGTCGAGGTGATCATTTCCAACTTGCTTTCCATAATAAATAGCAAGGATACGATTGTTAGGTATTCCAACGGCAAAAATATTGCGAAAATTGCGGCATTTTTACCAGAAGAGTTCCAAATAGAAATATTGAATAGTGTGCTTAGCCAAGTTGGCATTGATGCCATCGATGATTTCATGGAAAATCCTGAAGAAGTAGATATAAACCAACACATTACCGTCAACATTGATATGGTGTCAATGAACCAGATCCACGGAGTTTTTGTGGTGATTGCAGAGTTTCTTAAGCGCGGAATAATTCGACAACATTTGAAAGTTGTTTACTTGCTATTAAGAGAATTCTTTTATTTCCAGAAACCACAAATCAACTCAGTACTAACTGGAAGTAATATCCGAGACGCGGCATTGTACGTGGTTTGGAATTTTATAAAATATAATGGCGATTTAGTGAAGGAGTACAAGGAGATTTTGGTTTCAATTTTTAAGAATTTAATATTCATGGTTTGTTTTGATGATGATTTAATCATTCGTCGATCGACCAGTGCATTACTCCAAGAAATAATTGGACGGTATGGTTCATTGATTTGGAATGAGTTAGGGATTGACAAGACAATAGCCCATGAGTACTCGGTTAAATTTGTCGAGCTACTAGAATTTAACAAATTGAATGATGTGGATGCCTGCTTTTTGGAAAATTCAACCACGGTTTTCCAGAAAATACCTTCAATGCAAGATGATTTTTTCCAATACTTGTTGAGTTCACAAACTAGTATTATTGGCGATAATGGACCAATAATAAAGCTGATGGGGATCAGCAAGGGAGTTTATTCTCTCCATAAAGAAAGTGGCAAATTATCGTCAATTTTACTTGGAAAATTATTCAAGTTGAAAGGGAAAGAATATCTGGCAAGGGTTTTGGAGTGTATGAAATATCTTTTAGATCGACAAGAAACTCAGAGTGTTTTATTTGCAGTGGCTGAATTGCTCACGATAATTGACTTAACCGATGACAAACTGCTGGTTGAATTAATACAAAAGAGACTAATGTCCATGAGTTATGATTTCCACAGAGACTCAGTCTTTAAAGGTGAAGAAATATTACATCTTTTGACGGTATCTCTCAAGTATTATGATCATATACCTAAATATATTCTCAGTGATTTGGTATTCAATATAATTAGACAAAATGATGACAAAATTAGCGAGACGTTCAAATCATTTTTGTTGAGACTATCTAAACATGAGAAATTGTTACTCAGTACTGCTGGGGATGAAAAATTTTTCAATGATAAGTTTTTATATTACATCAGAAATGGGAATCTTATCAGTTCGAGGTCGGTTGGTTACATAAATATCAACTTCTTGATCAAACACAATTATTTGGAACAAATATTGAAATTGGTTCTTGACAAAAGCAAATCCTTTGATATCAGAATGAATTTAATCTTCAGTATTGGTCAAATGCTTCCGAACGACCACTTTAGTGAAAAATTTGTGAACTCAGTGATTGATCAAATGTTCGATTACACGTTAAGTGAACAAGGGGATGTTGGTAACAAGATTCGTTACGAAACTTTAAAGGTAGTAGAAAATAACCTTGACTATTTTAGACGCTATGGGATAGCTGTCGAATTGAAACTATTGCGATTGATAAGTGAAATAATTGATAGAATAAAGTACAAGGCCTTGATATTATTGATCCAATTAAAATTTCCAAATGATAGTGAGCTATTAAAGAAAGCACATGAAGTTATTGAAGGTAATGATTATTATCAATATTATAATTTTGTACTTGGCTTTTACTATGATAATTATTTGAATCAAGAAACCCGTGAAAGGTCCCAAGAATTTTTGAAGGGTATATGCTTGACCATCGGATCAATCAGTGGATCAAATTTGAGTGTTTATAGATCATTAAATTCTTTTATCGAGTTTTTCGACAAAACACTAATCACTAGCGATCTCGGAAATTTGAAATTGCGGAATAACTTGATTAGTGATTTATTGTTTTTGTTAAGAAATGATAATAATTCTAAAAAGCTACTTGATTTCAACCTTCAAAAACAGGTTCTGTTTGATCAAGATGAGAAGATTAAGAATTGTTGTTTGAACATTTTAGGTAAACTAATAGATTGTGAAATCGATCTAGTAGCCAATGTCCCGGAATTCAAAGAAGCAGATCAACTTACTATAAAGAAACTATTCGCGAGGATATACAATATTGAGATTAAGAATAAATCAATTAGTAATTTCAACAACATTATCAAAATCTATAAGTATTTGGCGACAAAGAATTTAGCAAGGCCTGAGGCTATGAAGAGGTTTGATGTTATGCTCAAGAAGTTTATAAATAGAGAACAATTGCTAGTAAAAGTATTGCAGGCATTATACACTATCTATAAAGATGACGGAGATAACGCGCATGAAGAAATTGTTCAATATTTAGAGGACACCCAATATCAACTGATTGCTCATGATTTGAAAATGAAGAAAGTGAAATTGATTTGATTCTACAAAGGAAAATAAAAAATCTAAGATAATAAAGATGACTTTATAACAAAAAATGACTAAGAGTATAGCTTTCTGAAATAAATAGCTAGGACGTAACTTCGTAAAAAGAGACAAAAAAAATAACAAAAAATTAGCTTGAGCGAAATAACAAAAAAGTAATAACAGAGAGAACATAAAAAGGGGATTTATGAGAAAGACGAACAAAAAAAAAAGAGGATTTATAAGAATTGAATACCCTAACCCAAGGTTAAGCTTTATCACTGTCATTTTCAGTGACATCTTCCTTTTGAGACTCAGAAATCTTTTCACTAATGTTGATTTGTTCTTGAGTAGCGTATAATTCTTTTCCGGTAGGAATGAAGCCTTGGGATCTCCAGGCCAATGGGACAACGTTATACATTTCTTCAATTTCTTCCAAAGTCAAACCCTTAGTTTCGTAAACCAAAGCCCACACAAAGAACAAACCCAACAAGTTACAACCACCCCAGATGAAAAAGACATTGGAACCCAAGTCGGCGTTACCAGGACCGGAATCAACCAAGTATGGGGTAGCATAAGCAATACCAAAATTCCAAAGCCAATTAGAAGCGGTGGCTAATGCAATGGACTTGGCTCTGACCGCCAATGGGAAGATTTCACCGGTGACAACCCAACAGATTGGACCCCAAGAAGCAGCAAAGAAGGCGATAAAGAAACAGGTGAAGGCAACAAGGACCTTATTAGCAGAACCAGAGTTCGAAGCAACACCAACAATGGCAATGATAAAATCAGAGACACACATACCAATCGAACCACCCAACAACAAGTTTCTTCTACCGACAAGTTCGACTAAAAGAACCCCTGGAACAGACATACCAAAGTTGACAATGTTGGTAGCCAAAGAAATCAAGAACGAGTTAGAAATACCAGAACTTTGGAAGAAAGTGGTACCGTAGTAAAAGATAAAGTTAATACCAGTCAATTGTTGCAAACCTTGCAAGAAACAAGCGGTAATAAGCTTCTTCAATTGGCTGTTTCTTGTTCTGAAAACATCAACCCAAGTAGCAGAACCTTGAGCCAATTCGTATTCGTAGTTAGCCTTGATTTCGTTATATTCTTCAAGGATGATTGGATCATCGACTGGCAAGCTGTGCAAAACAGCCAAGGATTCAAGGGCCTTATCAGTATCCCCCCTCTTGACAAAAAATCTTGGTGATTCTGGTAAGAAAATCAAACCACAACCCAAGATAAGGGCCCAAGCAAATTGAAGAGCAATTGGGATTCTGTAGGAGCCACTGTCTTTACGGTTGTGAGTACCTTGGTTAACACAAGAAGCAAGCAATAAACCGAGAGTAATAGCCCATTGATAAGAGGCAATCAAAGCACCTCTGATCCACTTTGGAGTACATTCAGCTTGGTATAATGGAATACAAGAAGAAATCAAACCGACACCTAAACCACCAATAGCTCTACCGGCACACAATAATGGAATGCTGGTGGCAGCAGTTTGCAAAATAATACCAATGTTGAAGACAATGAGGGTGGACAAGATGATAGTCATACGACGACCAATTCTGTCAGCAAAGAAGGAGCCAAGCAAAGCACCGAAGAAAGTACCAAGAGATAAAATAGACACGATCAAAGAGTGTTCGGAGGAAGAAAAAGCCATGGCAGTTTTGTCTTTTGGGAAACGTTCCAAGACGTAGTCCATGGCCATGATACCGGAAATAGTACCAGTATCATACCCGTACAAAATACCAGCAAAAGCAGAAAAGAACCCAACGGTGATACCCACCTTGGATGAGCCTCTCTTCTGATCAACCTTGAAGAAAAGATTGACGAGTTTGTTTTGTGCAAGACCCATAATAATAGTATAAGAGATATAAGTTTAAAGGAAATAAAACAAAAAACTGTTTGTTAATTACAGTGATAAGAATAATATTGTGATCTTAGAAATACTTGGAAAAACTAGGACGGAGTTGGTGGTATTTATAGGAAATTCCTTTTTTTCCCCAGAGGGGTCCAGCCTTTTTTCCCCAGATTTTTGTGGGGGAAAAATGCATATGTATGCAATCAGATTGTATGACTGTACATGATATTTATCCAGCAGCTTCGGAGAACTGGAAACAAACAACATCCTGGGAATTCATGCTGTTTCTTTGCGTGATCAAATATTGGAAAACTTTATTGTTGGTGATACTGCTGATGTTTTGTATTTCTTTGAAGTCTTCTTCTTTTTTTTTTTTTGGGTTTTTCCTCCGTCTGGTGCCACTGGTTAGAGGAGGTCAGAGTATTATCCGATAATGTGCGGCTAGCGTGGTGAAGATTTTTCCGGGGGCAAAAGACCAGTCTTTTCTTTTTAGCTTCAGATGTCCGCGGCCCGCTCTGTGGGGGAAAAGTTTTTCTTTTTTTTTTTTTTGCTTCCCATTTCTTGTGGGGTTATTGTTTGGCAAAAATTCTTTTCTGGGGAAAGCATGATTGTGTACATAAAAATAGCAAGGCACTTTACAGATTGTACTGTTGTCGCTGCGCCCCTCCTTTATTCAAACAATCAAAGTAACAATGGAGAAAGAAAGAAAAGTGTTCGAATTTTGTTTTACATAGCAAATCTCATCTTTCCCAAACCTTTTTTTTTTTTTAAATGTCTGTAGATGAGGGGGTAGGTGTAAATAAAAATCCCCAACTGATCTTTGGTTAATAACGCCAAGTGGGTGTGTTGTGAACTCAGTACAAACCCGGATTTTCTTTTGCTATCTATCATGCACGCAATTTTACCGGGGCAGAATCATGTTTTTCCATGTCTCCTTACTAAACAATTCCGCATTTGATACTGTCACAGAACAACTCCCGCTAACGACGCCGCGCAGTAAATAAAATAAGATATATTATTTATATACAAGAAAATATTAGCAAAAACCCCGTGATTTTGCTTGCGTGTGGGGGAGCTAACGCATAAAATCTTATAACCTCCATATTTTAGTGTCGTTTTACAACGTGGTACAAGGTACCATGTTTACGAGTCGCGTTTTAACACAATACTCAAACTGGATTACTCATTACATACTAGCTATAAGGTACTATACGGCTCCCATATGGCCTGTAAAATCATCGTAACTGTTGGAGTGTTCATCTACCTCATCAACAGATTCAGACTAGCCACCCATGTTGAGCTTTTCCATCAACTCGTCAATATCACTTTGTTTGGCCTTTACCACAGGAATATTGATAGCTCTAGTTGATAATGGAGGAGAACTGATGTCGGTGAATCTAGCAACAGATAACCTTGAAACCGACATACCAATAGTATACTTAGTAGACTTTGCTATAGTGCGTGAAAGAGCGTTCCGGGTCTTACGCAATCTAATAGTGACATTACAAAGACCCATAACAGACTTACCGATACATTGCATGAATTCGATACCACCATAGATATTGCTCAAGCTTTCCTCACCAACTTTTCGAGTGACTACCATGTCAACACCGCCTCTCCCAATTTTAGTATTAAACCAGACGTAGTTATTGTTTTGCTCAACATCATAGTTAACAACATTACTACTATAGTCAGCTTTTAGCTTAGATTGAATTTGATTCCATGCTTCTTTTGGCATTCCAACAGATGCATAGTCTTTCATGTAGATAGAACTCACTTTACCACTCCGAGTGTTATTGACACGGTTAATTCCAACATTCTGTCTGTATTCAATTACAGAATCGTTAATACAAAATGAATTAATCATTTCATGGTTAGGATATTCGATGCCTACAGACACAACATCAATATAGTTGCCGCTGGCCAATATAACTCCAATGTCCATAGATATAGAGTAGACCAATCCATACTTTTCAAAAATGTTACCTTTATTATTGTCAATAACAGCTTCTTCGGTTATTCCGTATGTGTTGGCATCAAGAGTGACATACGTCCCGTCAATAGAGACGTTTTGTACAGGATTATAAGACATTATGTATTCCCTGCCGGTGGATTTATCCCTTCTGATTTTTTTTTTGATAACTTTTGTCTTGAAGTTTGTTATCACTTATCGCAGTTTGTTTCTGGAAGTAATTGGTTTTTCTGCTTTTCACTTTGGATTGGTCATAGCGTTTGATACAAAATTGGTGATAGATATCAACGAATTGGTGGAAATCTATTTCTTCTTTTTGGCGGTTTGTTATCTCTGAATTGGTATGCAAGAATACATCTTGTTCCTTGATAGCTTGGGTCAATGCCTCCTTGAATAAGTCATAACGGGTGTTCCAGTCTCCAAGGCATTTGAAAGAGACTAACTGTGCAAGTTCGTTAAGCTTTTTCTCTCTCGTTTCCGCGTCTTGTTCTGCAGACATCTTTATTTCCTGGAGTTGGCTTCTCAATACAGTAATGACATTCTTATCTCCGAGGACAGACCGTTTCAACAATGTGTTTACCATCCCATTTATTGGATGATCAAAATTATCTTGGAGTAAGCTGCCTGCTGAAATGATAATTTTTCTTTGGAATTCGATGATGCAGCTATAGATTTCGCTATCCTCGATCAACCGTCCCAACTGAATTGGTGTTGAGTTAAGGAGAAGGTTGCCGCCGTACATCCTGTACAAATGGCTCTCAATTGAAAGAACCAATTGACCATTTTCAATGGATGGATTATCATGTCCTTAAAGCTCAATGTCTCGATGCTCACACTGACCAACAACTTGCTGGTAGGAGTACCAATGATTTCAACATGATCAACATACTGGAGACTTTATCTTTGAGTTCATTGAACTCTTTGATAGTGATGAATCCAGGATTGTCGGTGGCTTCGTGGTGAGTTGCAATTCGAGCTGACTCCGTGATAGCTTCGTTGAAGGTGGAAATAGTTTCAGAATTCATGATTGGATTGGACGTAGAACCAAATGTCGGTTTATAGATATTAATGTAATGATAATAATAAATATAAAGTAAATGTAAACGTATAATAGTATATAAACAGGAATTTGGTTATGAGTCTTGATACTTATATATATATGTTAGCGGTAACTATTGATCGTCAAAAGCTACAAAAGTAGTAGAAGTATTTGTGGTTATGAGCCATTGACCATCGAGCCATGTTAGGAGGTCTGTACTAGTGGCAGACAGACAAAACCACTACAAGAAACAAACGAAACAGTTAATAATCAATAGAGAACAATCAAAATACCCCCTCCTGGTGACGGTAATCCACAGGTGATTTCGTTTCGCAAAGGTTACGCTTCAATTTTTTTTCACTGCGGAGAAACATTTCTCCGCAATATTTGACGCATCTTCATGCGTTAGCCCCACACATTTTATCCGAACATTTTGCACAACAATTTAATGTAAGTTGGAGGGAAAAACAAACATGATAAAGAATTGGAGACATTACAGAGATGGCGGGAGTACGGAGCCATGCGAAATAAATCACCAGCTCTTTGAAACCAAAATGATAACTTGTTCAGATTTCTTTTGTTATATTTCTTTGGTTATATTTCTCCGTGAGTTTCTTTTTCCCTTTTTTTTTTCCTTTTTTTCCTCCTTTTTTTCCTGGCCCGCCAGAGCATATCCGAATATCACAAAATGTGTTTATTTTTTTTCCCCCTATTGTTCAACTTCCCGAGATTTTTCTACAAAAGATTGTCGTTTTCTTTTTTTTTCCCTTTTCTGGGATTTATTTATTTATTCACTCATTTATTATTTCTTTGCCGATTATATCGGCTCGAAATCAAATGATTGCCAAATTTGTAACTATTCCGAATGGTTAACACACGAGCGAGTCCACAAGATAGGCAGATCACTGAAACGATTTGAAAAGCACTCCACAAAAGTTTTTTTCCCCCTCATCTTCATCCTAATCGTATGATTTTCTTGACAAAAATTTCTGTTCCGTTTTTCATTGAAACGCTATTTTTTTTTTTTTATCTCAATGTAAAACCAAGATGAACTTTACACACTCAGACTTATCACGGGAAGGCGGGCTAATGACCCACAATTTATTGGGAAATAAAATTTATCAATAGTATCCATGGGACTCATTACATTTAGGAGGTCAAATAGACAACCAAAAGCAAAAAAAGAAAAAAAAATTAAACGTGTATGCAATTACTGTACTTATAGTATACTAACCTCACTATTACTTAGTCACTTTTCACTTTGATGAATGCCTGATAAATCGAATTTTTGGCTCCTGCTGGCTTCTTTAACCATCTACCTGTCTTGTGCTCTTTGGACACTGAAGCAAAAATCGCAATGACTTTCTCAACCTTCCCGGTGTTTGTGTTTTCAAACTTGTCAACCTCAACCGCTGCGATACTGCTTACAACTCCCTTCACACCATTCAACTTATACAATAATGTGAACTTCTTCAAAGTTTCATCAAGTTGCCATACCTTCAATTCACCACTCCATGAGCCAGTAATGAAAACATCAGTGTAAGGAATAGCGTGGATCGCCGTGATCCAATATGCTTGTCTTGGAGGAACATGAGCACGCTTATCATTTAAGCCTGCAACATCTTCCATGTACTCTTTGTCACCAGTGTATTGTTCAAGTGTCAATTCTGGAACCAACCCATGCGCTTGAAACATGGTATAGAGTGGCTTCTTCTTTTGGATCGTCCAGAAACTGATATTCCCGTTATCCGACCCTGTCACAAAATATCTATTATCACACATGGAAACACATTCCAAACTGCCTTCTTGGATATAATCTTTGGCCATGGCCGCTTTCGTGTCGCTGTTATTCATCACTGACCCTTTATTTTCCTTAAGGAATTGGTTGTAATATTTGTCAAACGATATGCTACTGTTGAATGTCAATCTTGTTTGTTCAGGAATCTTCCAATACATGGCTGAACGGTCTCTTAACCCAACAGTCACGCATCTTTCCTGGTTCAAAGCACTGATATCAACAATGGAGTCCTGATGACCAAACAATGTGTCGATGAGTGAAAATTGATTGACATTATAAATCCTGATTTTTAAGTCATTGCTGGCAACGTAAATTTCATTGGTCCCTTTTCTAAATGCAATGGCATTAACAACGGCGTTCTTATGATTGAGAGGAATCTTTTTAAGTAATGTCAAATTACTTGTATCCCAGATCAAAATATGTTTATCCTTACCACCAGTAACCACAAATTTCCCATTGGAGCTAACGGCAACACAAGTTATTTCATCACTATGGTACATAGGTTCTCCATTTTTATCGTCAGATTTCAGTTTCATGTAGACGTATTTGACCTTCTTTGGAGCTATTGTTAAGTTTGTAATTTCGTACTTGACCAATTTTTGTTCTTTGGATACCACGTATAAAAATGGGTAGTTCACACATAAGCAAGTTGGGTTCATTAGGTAGCTATCGGTGACGGTATTTATAATCTTCTTCTTCGAAAGCTGTAACTGCTTCGAAATAAATTTATAGATATTACCTTTCTGCTGTGTAACGTCGAATTGTAATCTTCTGGCTATAATGTCATCATCTAGGTCCTTGGCATCAAATGTGTAATCAGTCAATTGCTTGGTATCTACCTCGTCCCCATAATTACTTTCTCTATTGTTTGATGGGAGCATATTCTCTTGTTTTAAATCCTCAAGGTATTGCTTAGCCAACCTTCTTCTTTTCTCAGTTTTCGACTCTTCTTTATTTTGCTCATCTTCGCTTTGCAAATCTAAATCATCTTCAACTTGCTTTCTTTTTTTGTTTGATTCATTATCAGAATCAAACTCATCACTATCGATTTCTTCATCTTCGGCAACTTTTCTCTGCTTTCTCTTCTTTTTTGGTTCAGACAAGAATGGATCAGACCCCATATTTTCAATAGCAAAATTATTATATTAGTTATGTCTTTTATGGATTTTGCGTTTTTTCCGATTTCTCCTTGTTCAACAAAGCTATATCCCACGATATATTAATACTCTTCTTATTTCTATGAAAATTTTCCGAAAATTTTTTTTTTTTTTTTTTTTATTTGTTAATCATCTCAATGAGATGCGCCCCATCGGTCATAACCGCAATAAGCATCAACCAAATTAATATAACAATTATCAATAGTATTTTAGCAATAATATATAACTACAATAGATATAAATATCATCACTTTTGAGTTCATGACAAAATCTATAGACCCCCCTAATGGATTTAAAGTATACCAGCTACCAAAGAACAAGAAAACGAAAAAAAAAAAAAGGCTATCAATAGCTGCGAAAAAACTATATACAGCAAGAAAAAATAATGATAATGATGATATTTTTTTATGATCAGGAAATTTCCAATATTTAAGGCTCGATTTTGTACCTCCTTTCAAAAAACCCTTGCGTCTCCACATTGAGTCGAGATTTGATTAATTTCTGTTCTGATTTTGGTTTATTTATTGCTTCCATCTCCTTGAAACCTTTTATGGAGCAAGCAATACTGAAGTTCTCATGGAATGGCCATTTTAGGGATTGGTTGTATTTTTTGAAATATATCGGACGGTACTTGGTGATGGTTTCTAGACTTTCGTCGAATTGATACTCGGCCAATCCATCCTCCTGGAAAAGTTTATTGTAATGGCTCAACCTAGGCAACCCGGAAATTTTATTGAGTTTCCCAACCACTTCGGTGGTGGCGTCTGAATCTGTTTCGTATAGCACTCCTATTAGATTAGGGTATCTCATGGAATATTTCCCCTCATTTGTTGCTCGGTAATTGAATTGGGCGATCGGTGCAATCTTTGAGAGCAGCTTATGTAGATAATTGACCTCTGCTGCCGACGAAGGTGCGGGTGAAATCTTGAACGACACTTTTAGAAATTTCGATAGACCCATATTATATTATATATTATATTTACTATTAGGGTATTTGCTACAAAGAATATTATCCGAAGGTATAAATCGTTTTTGTATGATGGAATTGGGGGAAAGAAGAAAAATTCAACGTGAAGCATGGGCATCAAACCAGAACGCATCGCCATAATTTTTTTTTTTTTTTTTTTTAATTTTATTTCGTGTTTCCCCATTTTATTATCCACTTCACCGTTATATGAGATTAACCGTCGAAGATGTCTAATAATATAATGAATATCTTCAGTGACTCCAAACTATCGTTGACGCGGTCTCTGAAGAATCACTTGTTTGTCGGTAACAATTTCGGGATCATCAAGGTTGTCGATTTGCATCACAAGGAAAATGAACCAGAAGTTTTGGAAATCGCTGACGAATTGACCAATTTTGAAATCCGCCATAATTTGATCGCTCTCACCACTGCCGAAGGCGATTTCCTCGTATATCGAATCAATGAATCATTATCCAACGTGGAAGCCTCGTTGAAGTGCTATAGATCCGAACTACCGTTGAGAGACGTGGTGTTTTTAGATAATCAGCATGTAGTGGTTGGCGGGGACGATAGCCAGTTAATCTTGATCAATCTTTCGAAATTGATCGCCAGCAATGACCTGAAACTATACCATTGGTCAATAGACTCTTTTGATGACAAAGAAAACATTATCAAGATCGATATCCCTGATCAGATCCGTTCCATCACTTACAATGAGAAAGAAAGTGTCTTGGCCGCCACTCTTTCGTGTGGTGATATCCAAATATTCAAATACAACAAACATGATCTGGAAACCCCATTGACTACAGTACTGGCGGTGAGTGACTACTATGGGAAATACGTTTACATTCCAGGAGACGAAGAAGTCGGTAACCTTGACAATTTGGCCAAGGGTAATGCGTCTTGGAACCCAAGTAAACCTAAGAGCATCACCGTTATAAACAAGGCCAATGATATTAACTTGCACGATAATTATGCCGATGTGGGGAAATCTGTCGACCCGTCGTTGTCATTATCGGGGTATCACAAGTCGGAAGTGATAGAGATCCAATACTGTCCATTCAATTATCAATACTTGGCATCGATTGACTATGAAAACCGCTTAATTGTTTGGAATTTGGGTACCAAAAAACCGATTTTCAATAAAGAGTTGAAATCTGCTACCGATGAGAACTGTCATTTGAAAAATATTTCTTGGAGTTGTTTGGATAACACTAATGTCATTGTGTCTGTGGGTACCACTACCGGGAACATTTTCATGTTCGATTCACTTGTGGAAATTGAAGCTTCGACGACGGCAAAGAAGTTTGACTTCCAAGAAGAAGATGATGACGACGATATTGATTTCTCAGATGATAATGAATCACTTCATTCTCAAAACAATAATAATATATCTCTGACGCGGATCACGAATTTGAAAAGAACCAGAGCCGATTTTGAATCAGATTCGGAAGTTGATTTATCAGATGAGGAAAACAACCTTGAGGATACTCTTGCCATACTCAGAAAATCGGCCAATGTATTACCTAGCTATTCTTTGAAACCTTATTGTGTCGGGGTTTCTCCTTGGGTCAACAATAAACGATACTTGACCATCAATGAAATCGGGTATGTTTACGCTGAAAGAAATGTCGAAGACAATACTCAGACCATCAATGTCAAATTCCACGATTTTGGAACCTCCAAGAATATTGACTACTATCTTGTCGATGGCGTTGGCTATGATCTTGCTTATTTGAATGATGAAGGGGTGCTATTTGCGAAATCAGCGTTTATCGACGAAGCTGAAGATTTGTTTGGTACCAGCTTCACCAACTTGTCTTCTTTCAAACAAGCTAAAATATATTATAGACCACATAAGGGAGAATCGGACAGTTGGGACAAATTATTACCAATCAAAAATTACTTTGCTGATAAGCGCAATGATAACGACAAATCAAAACTATACCCGAACGAGTTCATCACCAATATCAACATGGCGAAACGATTTATTTTTGTGTTCACCAATCAAGGGCATACCAGAATCCTAACGAAATTCGGTCTCCTAATAAAAATCGAGAAATCTTTACCGGTTATTGCCTCGATATCGAACTCCAGGATTTTGTTCACCATTACCAGTAGTTTGAACGGCAGAGAGTTCCAATACAGTATTAGAGACTTGATCACTACCAACCAACAAAATTATATCGAGAAGAACCAGTTATTACCAATAGATTATTTGTCAAATAAGCTTCTAGACGATACCAAGAACTTTGATAAATTACTTGTGAGGTTCCAAGACTATGAGAAAAAGAATACATTGAGCGGCGAAGAGTTTGACATTGGGTTGAATAAAGGTCACAAACAAATGTTTGATGATCTAGTTTATAAAAGCTCTTGTTATTTACTAAAAGGGTTATTCTTCAACAACTATGGCGATCCCTGTTTTGTCGATAATAGCAATTACTTGTTCATTCTCAGTAAGTGGAAGAAATCGTCGCAAGGAGTGGTGATACCATTATTGAATTTGAACGAGATTTTGTTGACCAAATCGCATTTGAATTACGTTCCAATTAGTTTGGTAGATGAGCAATTTAACGTTTGCATTTTCACCGCAAACAAAGAGATTTCTCACAAAGAGATATCTGATCATATTTATCCGATTCCCCTACCTGAGCCAACGGAAATCAGTATCAGAATTCCTATCAGTTTGAATGTTGATATGAAAGTGGTCAAAGAACAACAAAGGGCTCGCAGAGAAGAAGAGCAACAACAACAGGACGAGGAGAATTTCATTGATGATGGCGACGATGATGATGAAAACGATGATCTATTAAGCGATTCAGATGATGAAGAGTTGGAAGAAAGTTTGAGACAAGAGTTAGCATCAGAAGAAGGGTTCCTACGGGCAAAGCTCATGGGAGATTTGATTAACGAGTCTATTGATAGTCACAATTTGTTTCAAAGAACCATCACCAACAAATTCAAAATTCACAAGAAAACCAAACGGATGCTTGCAGAAGCCGAGGATGATGATTACTATTTGAATGACCTTGATTTGAACTTGTCGGACAATGAAATTGAAAACGACGGCGACGAGTTGAAATTGAAAAATGATCAATTCGATATCAATGACTCGATTGATAAATTACAAGAATTGAACTCTGTCTATGATAAGTCACTATTGAAGATATTTTCGGAGTTTTGTTCTAATCAAGAACTTGTGAAGGCCGGGAATTTAATTAAGGAATTGAAGCAAGATAGAGCATTGATCGCTGCTAGTAGAATTGCCGAAAGATTGGAATTGGCAGACCTTGCATCGAGAATAAATAGTGAAAGAGAAAAGAGAATGGGATTTGATTAGACTATATATATAATAAAAGATATATTATAGATTCTTTTTATCCGCTGATAGTTACATAATTGTACATTATATATGCACATTTTTTTGAAAAAAATAAAAAACGAAAACTTCCGATAAATCGTAAATAGTCCGTTATCTTTGAGGACGATACCACATTGATTTTCACCTCTGTTGACATATTTTACTAAGAATATTTGTATGATATCCTAAACCCATTTTTTTTTTTTGGTCTGCTTTTGAGGTTGTTTTTTTTTTTTTCTCATTTTCTTCGCTTCTCTATATTCCATTATTATTATTATATGCTGACTATCAGGTTTTCATTAGTCATCCCATTAATAATCTTGATCATTGGAATTCAATATTCCATCAATCAACAATCGAAATCGACCCTTTTTGACAATATTATTATCAAAAGTTATAGTTTTGAAAATACCGAGGAGGACAACATGGTAATAGCCCGTTCGTTTAAAGAGACGTCCGACCGGATCCACCAGTTTGTAAATGATGAAGATTTACAAGGGACTGAGCCGGAATCGATATTGAAATTACGACAATCCACAAAGGAGAAAATCCATAGATCGATGGAGATAATATCCCAAGCCCTCGATGAGTTTGAGTACTCCAACATTTCCATTTCTTTCAATGGCGGGAAAGATTGTCTTGTGATGTTGCATCTTTATATGGCGGTGTTAAATGATCGGAAATTGGTACTGGAAACACACGACGATGGATCATTGAAGAAAATGAGTTCCGTATACATTTATTACGAGGATACGTTTGAAGAGATCGAGGAGTTCAATAAAGAAACCAGCAAGACTTACAATTTGGATCTCCAGGTGTATTCTTATTGCAAATTGAAAGTGGGGTTTGAAAAATACTTGGACGACCACCGAAATATCCAGGCGATCATCGTGGGCAACCGGAAAACCGACCCGTATTCGGAGAATTTACAGGCTTTCCAACCAACAGATAACGATTGGCCGTCGTTTGTACGAGTCCACCCGATTTTGGACTGGACGTACCAAGAAATATGGTTCTTCTTGATCAATTTGAATGTCCATTATTGCAAGCTTTATGATTACGGGTACACGTCAATCGGAGGGATCTCCTCAACAATACCAAACCAATATTTGAAGAAAACAGACTTTGAATTGAAAAATAAGGATATCAACAGAGAGAATTTAAATTGGATGATACAATTATATCAAAAAAATAGCCAGATTTCCCCAGAATACCGTTTTTACACCGATGAAGAACTAGAGGCTCATGAACATTACCCAGCGTTTTATTTACAAAATGACGATTATGAAAGATTTAGCAGACAAACAAAACAAAAAGCACAGTGATCTTAGAGTGAATTGGATATCTTTCTTTTTTTTTTTTTTCCCTTTCTTCTTGTGTTTCGCTATCTTTATTATTGTTTGTTTGATCTGTTGTATTTAACTGGCATAGCACAACATAGCATACATATATATATATATATATTGAAATAACTTTTTATTGGAAATAGTAAAACTTCAAAATCAAGGCAGCTCTCACAAAAAACCGAGGAAGTATATAAGTGTATATATATATATGATAGAAAACCGAGTAAAAGAAGCCAACAAAATAAAAATTTAAAGCTTATATCGAAAGGACAAATTAATATGGTCAACATCGACTTTAGAAAATAACCGTAACACATTATCATAATCATCATAATAAGAAAAGACAGACAAAAAAAAAACAATAACAATAAAACAAGCAAGCACTGAACACAACACAGAAAAAGAGAGAGAAAAAAAAAAAAACAAGAACAAAAAAGAAGGGGAAATTGATAAAAAAAGAAAAAAAAATGATCAACAGTGTGCCATCACTGGTCAAAGTTGAACCCAAAATTATCAAAGTTCTCACTTTTTAAAATACCATCAAACCCCATATTATCGGCATTTGAAAACGACATCACATTCGGATCCATGTTATTTGGTCCCGGGGATGGCATATTCGAATTGCTATCGTTCGTGCTATTGATTTGCACCAACGGGCTTCCCACGCTTCCTATTGACAATCTCTCATTGTTGCTTGTGCCGGGAATATTATTATTATTGTTGTTGTTGTTGTGATCATTATTTCTATGATTAATATTTTCTTCATTGATTGTGCCGTTATTTTTCCGATTCATACCATTATTACCATTAACCACCACTACCCCTGGCGAGTTCATTCTCGAGTTCGATACACTAGGGGTATTTTTGCCAGTGCTGGCAGGATTACTTTCTGCTAATGGTCCCACCCCGATATTTTGCAACGCTACTTCGGCACTGGTATGCCTAAACAAAGTTTTTGAAGGCTTTAAATGATCGGGCACTTTTTTCAATTCCTCCAATTTCTTCAAGATGATCAACAATTCGATTTCTTTCTTGTTATTTTCGTCAATCTTGTCCTGTAAGAATTCAATGTACTCGATAGATTTCGATAGCACCTGTCCCTTGTTTGGCTTGCCATCCTTGGTTCCCGAAGATTTATCTTTGTTTGATTCGAAAAATTTGGAAGGGATAATGGTTCCCAATTCCTGGATTTTGTCATTGATGTTGTCTCTTCTTTTCCGCTCGACGGTCTGCCCAGATTCGGTTCGCGATAATGCTTTGGAGTCTCTTCTTGAACCAATGCTATTGTAGCTTTTTGGCGAGAACACCACATCATTGGTGTCATTTATCTTTAAGGGGATATTATTCGTGAAGCTGGCACTGTCAAATTGTCCGCCTACATTATTGTTATTAAAACTAGCCATTTTTTTTTTCTTGTTCCTTTTTTGTTTTGTTGTTGCTTTTGTTCTGTATGAGGAGGATCTAGTATAAGTAATGAAGGTATTCACCGGATATCAAGATGGTGAAAATGGCGGCTTTTATTGTATGATTATCCCGAGATATTTGCCCTATCTACTCGCATATAGTAACGTTAGACTGATTGCAAATTACTCATTGAAAATCCCACAAAACAGAAAAAAAAAAAAAAAAAAGAATTCCGCCACCCGGATTCTGGCATGTGATCAAAGTTCGATAATACAGAGAGAGAGAGAGAGATGCTTTGATAAATATAATATATATATATAATATATATAATATAATATAAATAAATAAAAAAATAAATAAATGAATTAATACTAAGAATTGATCCAACTTTCCGCCTGGTTGATGGCGATTCTTGAAGAGAACCCAAGAGTGCTTCTTCCAAAGGGAAAATAGCTGGCAGAGTAGTACGCCTGCGATACCAACTGGAGCACCGCAAAGATGATAGAGAGCACCGTACTGTGGAGGACAATCGTCGAGTAGATTGTCATGATGATACTGGCAATCACCGCGAGTTTCAACGCCATTCGATCGGTCGACAATAGACTGTTCATGGAGCTTTGAAGGCCTTTCAAGAATACAAACCCAGTGACGAAGAATATCGATCCCAAAGTCCACAACGCAATGAATTTCCGCGGCTTGAGTGAGAGAATCGGGAACATCACGATGCAAATCCCGTAGCACGCCAACGATCCCACCAAGAAGATTATAAATATCATCCAGCGGTCTGATTGTGAAAGATTGAACATCCCTGGCTCGTTACTGGCAGCCGGGATTTCCTGGTTGTCGTCGTCATTTTCTGGTAATCGAATAAGATTATATTTCTTGAATGAGCTCCACCCGCCAAAATTCGGGAACGTTGATGATGATGATGATGATGTCGAGGGTGTGGAATTGGGGACTGGCGAAGGTAATGTGTTATCCTCGGTTATTTGAATCGCTTGGTTTCTCTTGAAAAAATCGATGATTGCCATAATGGAATATCACCCTTAGGGGTATTAATTAGTATTTTTTTTACAATTATTGTCGTCGTTATCTTGTGTGGGATTTCCTCATTTTTTGTCGCACCTTTTTTTTTTTTTTCTTCACCGCATGTGCTTGACATATATATATACACAGTTAGCTATCTTCACCAATTACTAATATATATCATCATGTTAAAAAAAAATACAGTACAATATGTATAAATATTCTATTTTTCATTTATATTAACAGTAAATAACAACCAAAGAGAGAGAGAGAGAGAGAGAGAAACAAAAGACAATAAAGCACTAGTAACTTCATAACAATCCAAGTTTTTCCATACGAATTTTGACAGCATTTTTGTGAGCATCCAATCCTTCGACAGCAGCAACAGACATCACAGCAGGACCAATATTCTTTAACCCAGTGTTATTGATTTCTTGAGAGGTGATGAATTTCAAGAAAGTACTAGTGTTAACCCCAGAATACATTCTGGCGTAACCATAAGTTGGCAAAGTGTGGTTGGTACCCGAGGAATAATCACCACAAGATTCAGGAGTCAAGTATCCAACAAACACACTACCGGCATTGTCGACCAAATCAATATATTGGTTAGCGTTCTTGATTTGTAAAATCAAGTGCTCTGGAGCATACAAGTTAGAATACTTGAAGGCATCTTCGACATTCTTGACATTCAAAATCATACTGTGTTCAATACATTTTCTAATGATCGCTTCTCTTGGCAATTGTCTGGCTTGTCTATCCACTGCTTCTTGAATCTTCATGATTTCTTCTTCTGACAAATCAATCGAGATCAAAATAACTTGGGAGTCAACCCCGTGTTCCGCTTGCGACAACAAATCGGCAGCCACGAAATCAGGATCGGCAGAGCTATCGGCAATAACCAACACTTCACTAGGACCGGCAGGCATATCAATGGCACAAAGAGCATTGGTATCATTCAGGACGTACATCTTGGCAGCAGTGACAAATTGATTCCCTGGACCCATAATCTTATCGACTTTTGGAACAGATTCGGTACCATATGCCATGGCAGCCACTGCTTGAGCACCACCAGCCAAGACAATTGCTTTGGCACCAATCTTATGGGCGACGTAAACAACCTCAGGGGTTAAAGTACCGTCTTTTCTTGGAGGAGAAGCAAGAATGATTTCTCTACAACCAGCGGCCTTAGCAGGAACCCCAAGCATTAATGCAGTGGATGGCAAAACCGCAGTACCACCGGGAATGTACAACCCAACTTTTTCAATTGGACGAGAGAATCTGGAACAGATAACCCCTGGGCTGGTTTCGACTTCCATGGTTTCTTTTTGTAATTGGGCCACATGGAATTTGTGGACATTTTCCATCGACAAGTCCAAAGCATCTTTAATATCTTTTGGAAGTTGGTACAATTCTGGTGCGAATGGTGCTCTAATGATTGGTGATGATAATTTAACCTTGTCGAACTTTTCGGTAAGTTCCAACAACGCTTTGTCACCATTTTTAATCACGTTCTCAATGATTGGATTGACCAATTTCATGATATTCGAAGTTGACTGGACCGGACGTTCAATGATCTTAGCCACTTGCGCAACACTGTAGTCAGCAACGTCGTATACCTTAAGATGGATATCGCCAGATTCTGACTTCTCTTCAGATGGTTGTTGTTGTTGTTGTTGTTGTTGTTGTGGTTTTTCTTCAGATGGTTGTTGAGGTAAAAACTTTGGTTTGGCATCACCTTTTCTTCTAGTGACCTTAAGGTGTTTCAAATCAAGATTCTTTTCGATATCAGCGATAGAAACTCCGTATTTTGTACATCTGGTCAAAGCAAAATAAATCAAATCGGCAGCTTCCCAAGCAATCTCCTGTTTGGTGGTGGCTTCGGTCAATTCTTCTGCTTCTTCCTTGATTTTAGCATTCAACAATTGTTCATCATTAAATAATCTTTTGGTGTATGAGCCTTCAGGAGCGTTGGCTTTACGGTCTTCCAAAATGGCTTGCAATTTGCTAATACCCGACAAATTACCAAAACAAGTATCGGTTTCCAAGTGACAGAAACCAACCCCGGTTTGTTCAACCACAAATTTCAACACATCGCCATCACAGTCAATGTCAATTTTCAACAACTTTTGGGTGGCACCTGAAGTAGCACCTTTAAACCATAATCCACGTTTACGGGATTGGTACACGCCGGCTTGGTTTTTGATAGCTTCTTCAATGGAGTTTGTAGAAGAGTACACCAACCCAAGGGAGTGGTTGTGGATATCAGTGACCATCGAGGTGAATAACCCGTCTTGTCTATCGGTGACCAACACTGGTAACAAGAAGTCAGCGATAGAAATCACTGAGGCATTGGCGTTGGTGTAGTCTGAGGTTAAGTTTTCAGATTTGATGATTGGGATGATTTCTTGTGAGGCCTCGATCACCGTATCTTTGGAAACGGCAGAGTTTCTGTAATCAACGAATACTTGAGATTGTTTAGAAAATGATTCAGGGTTATAAGTTGAGGCATCAACGAGATAATTCTTGAAGGTGCTTTGGACATCATTGGAAGCCACGATAATTCTTGATTCTGGGACTCCAAATTCTTGCAAATCTTTGGCGGTTTGCAAATCGACAATGACTCTGGTGACCCCTGAGTTTAGGATATCGACAATTTCACTAGTTTCTAATGATGAATCATGGATATCAACCAGGATAGCGGCAGGAGAGGCAAAAGTGTTGATGAATTGCTTATAATTGATGGATTTTGAGTATGGCAAAAGGATGTTACCGGTGATGGCAAGAGACGGTAACTGGGGATCTTCAATAGACCCGAATGAGGGCAATAATGGGAAGACCATGCTTAGTTATTTGTTGTATATAGGTAGGTTATCGATATTGTTACAGTTAGTGATAACATTTTTTCTCCGTCATTTTTTATTTTCCGGTGATGGATGGAATTTCCAGCATGAGTCAACGACGCATGTTCCGATGTGACGGGTGGTTCGCCTAGCGTAAGTAATATAAAGAAAGAAAGGGATTTGTCATATTTGAGGGTCTTAGTAATAACAACAGCACCTGCCGGGAATCGCGACAATAAAATCTGTTTGAAGGGCCTAATTTATTGGATTGTCAAGAAACTACCTACCTACATTGTTTCCCTGTGCTATGCTATGCTATGCTATTTATTTATTTTATTTATTTATTTTGTATTTTTTTTTTTTTTTTTTTTGCAGTGGAACAGACAACCTGTGTCGTTGTTAATTGGAGAATTGTCCGGCCGGCGGTAACATCGAGCATTTTTTTTTTCTCACCTTTGTGTGCGAGGTGAAGTTTTTTCTCTCTGTAATGTAATTGCATACAGGAAGTCAAAAAAGAGGCCACAATTGTATGTGAAATAAAACCATACCACTATTGATTGTCAGACATCCCCCACGGTGTTGTTGTAAGTTTATCTATTCTGTCTGGAGACAACCGAAGTCAATGGAATGGGAGAGGAGAGGAAAAAAAAAATATTCTCTTGCGTTGTAACCTATATAAGCATTATGGTTAACAAGAAGAAGAAGAAGAAGAAGAAGAAGAAGAAGAAGAAGTAAAAAGACTTGTAGGATTGATTGACAGCGACCTTCAAGCCATGTGGGGGGTGAAATTCTTTTTTTTTTTTTTTTTTTACTTCCCTTTGAATTAATTTACAATTCACTCCATTTCCCTATGGGTATGAAATGAAGGTCCAACCAACCAACCAACCAAACAAACACACTAAACAAAACAAAACAAAACAAAACGCAAAACGTGTTTGGAGGTAAGTAAAGTCAGGTGAATAAATATAAAACATGTTGCTCACTTCATATGGAAAGCCTCACCCTCGAGCACGTGCTTTCGTGCTATACAACAAATTACATAACTTCTTAGAATGAGAACGCAACAACGGGCTGGGCTGGGCTGGACTGGACTGGCACCGCAAAGGACGGCGTTTAAATTGCAATTGTTTTCCATTCCGTATACTCCACAAAGTAAACAGCAATCAATGCAACTAAATCACAAAAACACCCTGTAATTACCGGTGGGAATGTGTCAAGTCTAGACACCAGCAAACAAAGGCGGTTGCTACATATACAACACCATTGGTGTGGTGCGCTCCACAGAGAATTAAATTCCTTGTACATCAGATAAACAAACAAAAAGTAAACAACAACAACAAAAAATAATACAATTGTTGATGACTATTGTCTAATCTGTTGTTACATTTTCATCAAATATATTCGCATCATCACCATAGATTATTGCAAAATATCAGAATCTCCATCACTCAGTGAGTATTATTTTTGACTCGTGATCTTACCCTGTAATTTTTTTTACCCTTTTTTTTTTTTTTTCCTCTCTCTCTCAGGGAGACCGACCAAATCATTGCTGCGACTACTCCCTCCCCTTTTTAACATTATGATACCATTTAGAATTACATCACTACTAAAGATGTTGAGCAAACTCCAATCAAAGCCCTTGAATGGGGTCACCAATAATGCCATGGCTATTTTGGAACGTACCGCAGGCGTAGTGCCATCATCAAACATGATCCGATGCTACCATCAAACAAAGAATAATAAGACCATTCTTTTAACGCCCAGAACATCGAGTGATTATGTTACTATGACGTTGAATGCATTGAAACAAGAGTGCCGGAAACGAGGGATCAAGGTGAGCGGGAGAAAAATTGAGTTGGTGAATAGGTTAGTGAAACAAGATCGTGATTCAAACTCAAAGTTATCGGTTGGAGCGGCAATGGCCAGTGTTGATAAGGTTGGCGGATCAACAACCGCCCAGGGACTACACTATATTATTGATAATGGCAACAAGAATGGTAGCTCGGAAATTATTAAGAAAAACACTTTGAAGATGAAAAATAACAATAATAATATCCCTAACGAACGATTTATCTCTAGTAGTGTACAACCACAGATCAAAGCCGATCAGCCCCAGAATTTGGAACAGCAATCTAACCGCCTACAACACTCTGTTGGTTTTAAAGGGACAATGGATAGAAAAACCGGATCAACTACCGAATCTTACAGCACATTGAATATATTACGGGAACTCGACGCCTCCAATAACGTTGATCATGTCAAGTTCCCAGACTTGTTGGCATTAAACAGGGTAAAGGTCAGTGAATCGCCAATTTCCATGCTACTCCTCAAAACCCCAAGCATCGGTCACCAACCTGAAGAGAAGATTGTGGTTATGGATGATTCACAGCCGATTTCCAGCAGTTCGCCGATTGTCAACGGTTCGAATATCGACATTACTCCATCTTCGCTCAGCGCTACTACCGATTCTGGCAAAACATCACTTACAATTACCCCATCGAATGAAGAAATTCAACCGCTTCAGTTGATGATGGCAGAAATCACCTCAACTCCATTTTTCCGGAATATCAAGCGGATCATCACCGAGTTTGCCAATAGTGAAGTAGTAGCCGATGGAGAAAAGTATCAATTAGAACCGGTAAATTTGACCAAGAATGAAGTCAATTTCTTCCAGTGGTTTGTGGTTGGAGTTGTTGGGTACTGGGTCGGGTCAGAGTTAATTGAGAAGAAGAGGGGATCAAAGGTAATCAGTTAACGAGTATATATAATTGTAAATAATAAGTGGTGATGATTATAATAATAATAATAATAATAATGACTGTGGTTCTGCATTTGTAGTTAGCGCATAACCTGTGGTGGGACATACACACACACACACACACACAGTGGTGGTTACGTTGTTGTTGTTGTTGTTCTTGGTGTGGGGGGGTAATAGAGGGGAGTTACTCACTCACTCACCGGGTGATCACACAGCACGTGCATTTCGCAACAAATTTAAAGCAAACACAAACCACCGTGGTGGTGGGAATTGCTCGCGAGATTTTGTTGGTTGGTGACACACACACACACACACACACACTATTGCTTAGCATGCACCCACCGCAGGGGAAAGAAGAGAGAAAAAAAATGCTCCCGGCCGGCAACACACGCACGCACGCACCCACGCACGCACGCACCACCCACTGAAAAAAAAAAAAAAAAAAAATTTTCTTTCAGGATTACAAAACGTTTTGACCTCATCACATCATCATTTTTTTTAAATTACTCATGTACGTTAGTCACCCCCCAAAAATCAGCCTTTTTTTTTTATGAGTAACCCACGCTGTGTATAGAACAACCCACACCCAGTGCCACTTACATACACACACACACCCACATTTTTACATATATATAAGGTAATGTCCTTCCTCCTCCACTGCTTGTTTACTTTTGACATTTTCTTATTTCCATTATCTTTGATATAAATATATATATATATATATATATATATTAATCAGTGTCCTGCCAACCATACAGAGTAACTCACTCATACACGCACACACACACTTTTTTTGTCTTACCGCATACACCACTACTAGTACGACTATTAATACCTTTCATTCTGTCTCCCTTGTCTAATATTGCACACACACACACACAAACAATCAAACAATCTAAAATGACAAACTATTGTATCGTTGACGGTAACCCTTGTACCTCATCCTCAAGATTCTGTTGCCGTGAGTGTAAGAAATACTACACTTACATTTCATCCAAGAACGTCTCCATGTCTGTGTCTCACAGCTTACAACAACAACAGCCCATCACCGCCAGTCAAGATGACTTGGTCGATGATCTAGAATTTGAAGAAGAAACTTACCAACAACAAGAAGACTTTAGCGCTAACAACTACCTATCCAATGAACCAGAATACACATACACCAGCGACCAGACCAGATCGATGTCTAATGCCTCAATATTCTCGGATGGTTACTCATCTATGTCGGTGTCTCCGGATGCTAGCCCTCTCTTGACTCCAAGCAGTGTCAAGAACCACGACATTTCTCAAATCAAGTTCAACTCTTTGTTTGATTCATATAACATTAACGCCCCTAAGAAAACCTCGAATCAATACCAGCACAATATCACTTGTTTTGACGCCTTGACATCGTCGCCGGCTGTTGTGAGCAACCATAATAATCACAAGGGAAAGAAGAGTGGGTTGACTAATTTGATTAGCATTCCTCAAAACAGCTACCAAATTTGGGTCAATAGCCAAAACAAATACTGATTTGTCTCCTATTGCTATAACCTACAATATTACTATACCACTGCTTCATTTCTCCTGTTATATTTCAACTTCGCTGCATTTTGCCAACCGAGCAACACCAAAATAAAAGTTTTATGAGTTTTCTATTTCCTGCTATTGTTATTATTACAATTATTATTATTATTATTATTATATTTTCGGCTAATCTTTTTTGCTGATCCAAAAAGTATTTTACCCTTTTTTTTTTTTATTTTTATTTTACCTACACATATATCATCAATGTTAATGTTTTTACGAATTTATGAAATTAATAACCATCATTTATTGTAAGATTTGGTTCTTTAGTTAGGGATTTGAAATAATTACTGTAATCTCTTATGAGCTTTGATTTTCAGATATCTATCTATCAAATAAATGAATGAATGGTATATCAAATCATCATGGATGAAGGGTCTCCGTAATTTCACCTTCCGTATATAATTCTGAAATACGTCAATTTTTTTTTTATACTTTTACACCTTGTAGGTTCGGGAGAGAATAAACACAGTCGATACAACCTCGTTAATATCATAAGGAAGTAAATATCAATATTCCTAATTGAATAACCACCATTGAATTTATGTCGGGTGAAAATAATTGTGTTCCGATCGCAACATATCATGGCATTGTCAAACAACAGGGCATTGCGGATTTTCACCGTATATGACCAACCTCCGACGAAGGAAGGAAGTACGCAAAAAAAAAAAAATGTCCTTCAAGAATAATGTTACACGTGGGAGAGAGAGAGAGATAGAGAGAGAGAGAGAGAGAGAGAGAGAGAGAGCGAGGCACTACTAAAACTGGCTACATGATCTCGGTAATGTTTACCACATTTATGTTGTTATTAATGTTAATCCCATATTATTATTTTATTTTACAATCATTTTATTTTATTATGTCACTCACCATTGTCAGAGCTTTTTTTCTAAGAATAAATGATGTGATCAAAATTTCTATTTTTTTCTTCCCCGGATTTTCACGCGATTCAGGAACACAAACAACCACAACAAACAAACAACCTGGAAAGAAAAAAAAAAAAAATTTTCGTTATGATGCGTCTCTTGGAAACTTTCTTCCAGGGTTTTCTTTTTTTTTCTTTTTTTTTTTTTTCTTGTTTGTTCACAAAGGCTAGAATCGTATAGAAAATTTTAAAAATAAAAAATACCGAATCGGCTATACACACACACACACACTGGTGAATAATTTTTCGGTTTCAGTGCAGAAAAAGGCTCACCGAGGACATATAATTAGCGTGAGGCGGTAGATGAGAATAATACATGGTGACTTTCAAATCGAAACAAAACGTGCCGAAAACATCCCATTGGAAAAAAAAAAATTTTTTTTTTTCCTTTCGGTTTTGAGCAAAATATAAACATTCGTTCGATATTTCCATTATTGGAAAAAGGTAAGGAACGTTTTATTAGACCTCCACAGATCATACATACACAGCTTCGTAGGAGTAATGACATCAATCTTCTTTTTTTTTTTTTTTTTTCCTTCTATATGCAATTTAACCCTTGTCACAACAAGAAATATAATAACATAGTACCCCCTTTTACCCAGGATCCCACTTCGAGCCCGTCACGTCAAAATTTTTCACTCAGGTGGGAAAAAAAAAAAAAAATTCGGTTCTGGAAATTTCCACACCCCCCTTACTGCGTCTGTGCTTCGCCAGTGTTGTGTTGTGTTCACGAACTGTTCGTTTTTTGATTATTATTTGTTTCACCATACTGTGGATCATATCTTTATCTATCTATCTATTTATTTATTTATTTATTATCTTTCTATGTAGACCAGATAGAGCCTGTCGATACTTGGTGGTTATCATGGTTTATGGCCAACCCTTGGCTGCTGTCTTGTGGAGCGAGCGAGAAAAAAAAAGGTCAGTTTCCCGGTGTCCGCTCGGTTTTTTTTTTTTTTTTCTTTTTCGGAAAACAACTGCCAGGGTTATCTTTTCCATCAGTCCCCACCCCTTGTCTGAGTGATATTTCATTTCCGCCCATCACAAATCACAAATCACCTGTCAACGGCAATTAAATTAAATTAAATTACTTGGATCTAGGAAACGTGGGTGTGAAATAATAATAATAATATCTCCCACACATACACCCGTGATGATCGCCGACTGTTCCCCACTTCCCTTACAGATCTCTCACACATATGATGATTCTCTATGAGAGCAACGAGGCACAAACAAACCATTAACAAAAAAAAAAAAAAGCCTCTAAAGATCTGGCTGGGCCCGTTCAACAAGCATGGCAGAACTGCCAAACAAGAATGACGTACCATCAGTTCCAGACCCTCCTACGAACATTCCGCGTTATTTGCGGTCATGTACTTCGATTATTATTATTATTATTATTATTATTATTATTATTATTATTATTGTATTTATATATGTAAATAGATGTAAATATATTCAATACCGCGGTATCTATCATCCATTTTTTTTTTTTTTTCTCTTTCTCCCCCCACACCACACCCCACTCACAACTAACTACTTTCTTTATAAAATCTGGGGTTCATTTTGTATGTGTAGAACCCCATCATTAATTATTTCCAAGTCATTGTTGTTCAACAAAATACCCTCGTCGTCTCCATCCATCATCACTAAAATATCCGTCACGTCTCGAACCATCCCCAACGCTTGGTAAGTGAATGCCAATACCGGACCACAGGCTTCTTCTACCTGACCAACTTTATCCAAGGTCATCATCAGCTGGTGTTTCAACTGATCAATCTGGGTCTCAAGATCTTTATTGGAATCCTGCACCACTCCAAATGTATCATTCAAAACTTTGATATCTGTTTCGTATTGGCGTACTTTGCAATCAATATCACTGACCACGGTGGCGATGACCCCATCGCTGATTTCCTTGATTAATCGGGTAATTTCCTTAGATGACATTAATGGTTTATTATCTTCTTTTTCTTTTTCTTTTTCTTTTTCTTCTTTTTCCTCTTCTTCCCGTTTTGAAATTATGGAAATAGTATCACGGTGTAAATGTTTTGCAAAATTAGTGATCCCAATAATTAAATTATTGTACATGTCAATCCCCAACAATCCAAGGGCCAAACAAATATACAATGTGGGATCATCGACTAAAAAATTCCAAAGATTATTATAGCCATAATCATCGCTGAAGGACAATGATAACGGTTCCCAAAAATTATTTATTCGGTAATAATGATCTCGTAAGACGGAATTATTATTATCCTGATTCACATATCGTTTCCCTTGTAGACATTGATAACTACACTGTCGAGTTGAGCCTTCAGGGTCTCGACAGTTTTGAACGTTTGTACAATTAATATCTTGAGCAACAAATGAGGGAATCTCAGGGGATGATGATATTGATATTGATGTTGGTGGTGGCGGTATTGACGTTGACGTCATTGGCAAGGGTCTTGAGATCGATGCTGACAGATCAAGGAAATATGTTGGTGCTATATATAATCCAATTGTTAGCAAAAATGAAAAGAAAAAAAAAAAAAAAAAAGAACTAGTATATAACTGTATACACTCAGGAACCAAAAGATTCCAAATGGATTATGACGGGAAAGGACGGTCCTCAGGAACTATCAAACTTACGATAAGAACACCTGCTTGTAAATAAGCTCAAGCCGCCATACCAAACCACCAAATATTTGAGCCATTGTAAAGTGACGAGAAATTGTAACATCACGGAAATATCAATTGTAGATAGAGTCCAGTAATATGATATCTTGAAGTATGAAAAATTATAATTATGATAATAGTATATTGTAATTGTAGAATAAGGATCATCTCATCTCATCTCTTATTGCCTTATTTTGATTTTCCTGTGATGTCCGGGTGTCCGGGATGTGTTATCTTTTGTAAAGGTACGGATGCTTATTAGATAACAAAGCATTTCCCAAACTATAGTTTATAAGGTTATTTTATATCTATCTTGAAACTTATTGAACAAAATAAGAAAAGCAAAAAAAATAAGAAAAAAAAAAAAAAAATGAACGACATAAATAATATACTTGATCATTAGAAACTCTATATATACTTTCGGAGGAGATTTCTCAACTCCCATCATGTAACATGTTGTGGGAAAAATCATCCTTACGTTTGATGAAGCACCCATATCCAACATGTTGGTCCATGTGCCGTTAAATATAGAATGTTTAAGAAAAAAAAAAACACCCTAATCGAATTTGTCGCCCAGTATTGATCGATATCTCTGAACTTTTCCAAATTTTGACAAGTTTTCATCATGACTTTTTCTGCTGGTGATTGGTGCCATTACTTTTTCTTCAGATTGAATTTCTTTCCAGCACGAATATTATTTCGATATTGATATTCAATTCTGTTTAACAAATACTTATAGTCCTTTTCCCATTCGATACCCTTTGTGATTATATCTTCAATAGTATCAGCTTTGCAAATTTTAGGGAATTTATTCAGCTCGTTGTAAAAATAGAATCTCAGCTTGCGTTTGATATCGTTCAAGATAGAACTTCCGTCCCAATGTTGTCCAGAGTATTTATGAGCTTTCTTCAAGATCCAGATATCATACCTTAACTGGCGGAAATCAGTATTAGCATCGATCACAAGAGAATCAGCCATGTCTTCGACAAAATACTTTGGTGATTCCGGTTCGTATAGACTATTCAACAGGTCAGAGTTTTTTTTACACGACCGTTCAGGAACAACAATCTCTTCGGTGAAAATCAGCTCCAATATATAGTTGAAACATTCGACATCGAATTTATTTCTGATTGGAGGATCGTCGGATTCTGTCAAATAAAACAAAATTCTCAGTTTTCAAGAACCCCACCAATTTATAATAAAACCTGATGAAATCTATGTCTCTCGAGGTTGGTAATTCCGGAATCCTGCTACAATACTCTCTTCTGAGACACCTGTCAAATGGCGAGACCCAGTGTTCTTTCATTTGCGAAGTAGTGTCATTTTCAGGCATTGCTGCATCGCTAGGACCCGGTAGCAGTGGTTCATGACTCAGTGGTTGAGACTTGTGCATAATGCTGGATTCCTCATCATTAGCATCATTATTATTATTATGATTATTATTATTATGATTATTATTATTATTATTATTATTATTATTATTATTATTATTATTATTATTATTATTATTATTATTATTATTATTATTATTATTATTATTATTATTATTATTATTATTATTATTATTATTATTATTAGAAGAAGAAGAAGAAGGAGAAGAAGAATGTTCACCACCGTCTTTTTTTGATTGTTTTATTGGTGGCAGTTTCCGATTTTTCTAAACGCCGTGACTTGTAATAAATAATACAGACCTCTCCTAGATTTATATACATAAATCGCTCGATTATGGAAACCTCGAATAAGCATCCGCTAAGTCTGCTCAGCTCCAGATGCTTTATTTATTTTCCCCCGTCGAAAATGCTCCAACTTTCAGATCATACGAGAATGGTACCCAAGAAATTGAAATGACCGATATTTTTAAAACACAAAAAGAAAGCTGCCTGTAGTATAATTCATGCTAAAGGTACTACTAATTCTTTTGTACGACAGGGTCATGCTCAAGGTGTCATTGATAGGAAAGGATAAAGGATAGGATAGGATACTAATGATTGCTAATGTGGTTAGAACCAGTGATTGATCATTGTACTATAGTACATATATGTATATAGTTAACGCTCCCCTCTAGGATGCAATCGGTTATTGATAATTTTTTCGTAGTAGAACAATTCTAGCATTACGAAGAATTCTTTTAAACTTTACACAAAACATTGCTATCATATTCTATTGTCTTCTATTATTTTCTAGAACTATTCAATAGTTCTAAAAGAAAGACAAATTTCTTAAATAGAGCGATCTTTCTTGTTTTCTTTTAAACACTTATTTTATTGTAGAGGACACGCTTAAAAAGCATTGCACAGTATTAATACTTACTTTTAGCAATAACTCATTTTATTGCATTGCATTTCGATACCACACAAAAATTGATTTCAAGTAGTGTAATGGATGCCATAGAATAGCTCTTCAGTATCTCATTGAACCGATTATTTTAAATGAAGAGTTATTTGCCCGAATAAAGGAGTACTTTTGTTTTCTTTTTTTTTTTTTTTGGTACCAAAATACGTATTTCGTTTGACAACCATCATCATTGGTTTTGCTTCTATTTTCACAACAAGGTTGTAATCTTCACTATAACAGATTGGGAAAGAAGAAATAAGAAATGAGAGCAAAATGGCTAAAACTACTGGATAATTTTATCAAATGTTACTATTCACTGGTTTTAGATTATATTAAAAGGAGTACATGTAAAGAGAATCAAAATAAAAAAAAATAAAATAAACGGATTAGTAAAGATAAAACGAACTAAATTAACCAAACAAACATGATCCAAAGTGCAGAGAGAAACAAAATAGAACAAACAAACACAAGTAATAAAAAGAAAAATGGAAATTGTGAAAAAACCAAAAAAAAAAAAAATATAAAAGAAAAGAGATGTTAAAATTAAAAAAGGGCGAATGTCATGCAAAAGTCTGTTTGAAGAACTGAAAAAAAAAAAGAAAAAAGAAAAGGAAAAGAAAAGGATGGAAATCCAAAGAATCCGCAAGATGAAAGAGAGATGAAACAATCAAGCAGGCATTAAAGAACAAGCTGTTAATCATGATGATAATAGTGATAATAAGAATGATAAGAAATATGAACCGCTCTCTTTGTTTTTTGTATTTTTTTTTTTTTTATTTTCCTTTTCTTTATTTCCAATTATCTAATGTTTTTTTTCATTTATATATTTAATTCCTCTTTCAGTAAAGTAGATTGTAATAATACATCCACAAATCACCGTAAAAGTCATAGATTCTTTCAATGTTAGAGTCAAAATTCACCACTTTACCTCGGTATTGATCACCTTTGTATTCACCACCCCCAATCAAATCGTAGGCACACCAAAGGTATCCTTCACATTTTTGAGTCATCACCCAACTTCTTTTTGGTTCAAACCAAGGCTTGGTGTTGTTGTATTCATAATCTGTCGATGGTGGAATCAACGCAGCATTGATTCTCAAAGCATCTTTATAGAAATCATCCATCTTTTCATACTTTGAGAGATTGTCTGGGTCAAAAAATCCATAATAATTCAAGTCAATTGGTAAATCCAATTCGAAACGATTATCTTTTTTACAAAATTCAAACCCAGAATTCATCCAATACAATGTTTTGTCGTCGTCCGAGATATGTCCAGGATGGGTAGAGCATAATTCATTGGCTTGGGTACCGTAATTGCCATCTTCATCAGCTTGTTCTTTTTCAACAACGTTCTTGAATTTAGGAGTCACTTTACCTAAAGAAATCGCATAGTTATTATTGAATTCAAAATCCTCGTCAGAAGCCACCAATTGGGCAAGCCAGTACAACTCCTTTTCCCCGTGAATTGGTTGAGAAATTGGTTTCCAAGATTGAAGGGCCATAGTAAGTAATACCCCGTTATAATGCTGGAATTTATCAATGACCACAATACCAGATTCCATCAAGTGATTCAAACTTCTATTCAAAAATCTATTGTTGACCATATGTTCTTCAGAAATCATGGTCAAGTTAAAAAATTCGTGATCATACTTGTTTGGCAATAAGTTCTTGAAGAAATTGGTGGTTTGTTGAGGGAAATTTTCATGGATTTCACGATCTCTAAAGAAGAACGCTTTTTTACTCAAATATTTCTCATCGCTGAAAAAGAATTCAGGGTTGATTAATGGAACCGTGTCACTATCCATCAAAATGACTTCTTTGAACGATGAAAAATAAAACGCAATCAACTTGTTAGAATAGGCTTGGAACAAGTCTTGATATTCGTCTTTAATTGCCAGTTTAGCGTTAACAAATCTGATATCTTGTTTTGGGAATCTCACCACTTTGGAAGATAATTTCTCTCCGCTATCTGGATCATAAAACTTTTTATAGTTGTACACCATTTGTCTAACTTGCTTGAAATCTTCACTGTTATCTTTAATGATTTCATCGAATAATTTCATCAATTTTTCATTACTGTCCAATAACTCGTCGGTAGTAGCAATTTCCATCAAATCTTCTTGATTCCAAATTGACAAATCATCTCTGTAAATAATTTCGATTGGTAAAGTGTTACCTTGGACTCTCAACAACGCAATCAACCCCGACAATAATCTGAAGTGGTTATTGCTAGCAGAAATTGCAATACCTTTGCCAGTAAAACTGTGTTTCATATTTTTCACGTAGGAGTTGAAAGTTCTCTTCTTGAAGACATCTTGGAAACCAGCATTGGTTTCGTAGTTTTTGTAATCAATGATGTTTTTGGTGAACCATGGGAATAATTGTTCTTCGATATTTGTAGACAATTGTAAAGTCTTATCGGTCAATTCATCTTCTTTTCTCACTTCATCCAAAAAACACTTGTTGAAAATCTTGTAATGAGGAATCGATCTCAAGATCTCTGTTTCGAAATCCAAGTTATTCTGAGTTTTTTCATCCCACTCATACTTGAACCAAGTTTCGCAAAAAGTTTTTCCAAGCTGTTCACAGTCATTTCTTTCACGATCTCTGATCACTTCGTACTTATCTCTGAGGGCATCCAACCAAAAGATATCGTTATCGTAAGTGCTAAACTTCCAGTGTGATTTAGGGAAGATTTCTGAGAAATATTTCGAGCATTTTTCATCATGCGATAGTTGCTGGAATTGAATCAGATCGTAATAGTACGATAATAACTCGTATGGATCAAGGGCGTTGGCCTCGTGGAATTTTCTTGGGGCCACTTGATGTCTAATGGTCGCCACAACGCTCAACCAAAAAAGGGCAACGGGCTTTGGAAACAACAAGAATGACAATCCCATAAACGCTGCGATAACAAGAGCGTAACGTAGTAGAAACATCGCGATCCTTGCCTTAGATCGACTTTTTATGGCCTCTGCAAAGTTTTCAAAGCTTAGATAAGTTGTAGCGAGTGATCTATAGTTTCCGAGAGTTGGCACCATCATCATATTTTTTTTTTTCTCTATGAATTGCTTTGGTATTGTGTGTGTGTGTGTGTGTGTGTGTGTATGTATAGCTTTATAGATTTGGTAGGTGGAGAGCCAGAAGTGTTGTGAAAAATGGGGATAACATACAATAGACAAATGGTGTGGAAGTAAGAGAGGGTCTCGAACTTCGAAAAAATGAATATGGACACGCCGAATGAAGGAGGAAAAGCAGGATTTTGGGAGAAACAATTACTATCAAAGAATAATAATGCCCGGGAGGAAGAAGAATAAAAAGAAGGAGAAGAAGAAGACAAGAAGAATTAAAAAAAAAAAAAAAAAAAAAAAAGCATGTTGCAATGTTTAGAGTTCGTTGACCGGAGTGAGGGACAAATTTTTGTAGGAAGGAAGAAGAAAAAAAAAATGGGAAAAAAAACGATAAGCAGGGGGGGAAGGGGATGTGTGGGTGTGGGTGCAGGCCCATTATACTTGACAGTAAGGGTGTGACGATAACACTGCTGTCTGTCATTTGCCATTACTTGGGTGTTTTTGTCTCTGGGACAGTACGGTGCGGCCGAATGAACGACGATTCTCTTATACCAGAAGAAGTCTCGCCAATCCAACGGTTGTAAGACTGGCATGCTCAACATCTATCTACGAAATGGGCTTCACGTGAAAACTAAGCAAGACAGCATTCATTTCTATATTATTTCAGCAGCCTATCTCCACAGAAAGACTTCAGCAAGAGAAGAAGAACAAAGGAATGGTGTGTATGTTGGATGGCGGTTGGTCCTTTTATTCTGAGCATCTCTTCTCCAAAGGGCAAAAAAACAAGAGGGTCTTTCCACGGTGTGTTGTATGTGCGGAGGGCTTTCGGGTTTTCACTCCTTCGTGCGAAACTCCGGTAAAGGGTCCTCCCGGTCCCCCTCAATTGTGCCTGAAGGACAGATTGCCACGTCTATTGGATGTATGTATGTATGTTTGTCAAACCAGGTAGATATCAACTTATGTCACAAGAGACTAACAGCAGCATCTCCCTCCGATATTTTATGTTGCTCCTCATCAATAGTGGCGTGGCGTTGTTGTCCATGGTTTAGTTTGCGGCTGTTGCTGGTGTTGCTTATGAAGGGGTCCAAAGCCTCTCAAAAATGGAAAAGCGTACATGTGTGAGATGAGATCCGCGTAGAACCTGTGCAGATTGGTTTTTTTTTCTATTTTTTTTTCAATTGATTGACATGACGCCTATGGTTTACATCAATGTCCTTCTATGTTTTAAATTATCATGATATTACAAAAAACACACTAAAAAATTAAAAGAAGAAGAAGAAGAAGAAGAAGAAGAAGAAGAAGAAGAAGAAGAAGAAGAAGAAGAAGAAGAAGAAGAAGAAGAAGAAGAAGAAGAAGAAGAAGAAGAAGAAGAAGAAGAAGAAGAAGAAGAAGTACAACTATAAACAACAACTAAAAAACATTTACAAAACAGACCAATAATATTCTACATGAACTCTCTAAAAATCAAACATTATCATCATGGTACACCCAACCCAGCGAGCGTGGATTTTGAGGAGCATGGGAAATGTACCTTTCATCATCTGGTGGACGTTCTAAAAGATAAATTAAGTTAGTAAATACCTTTAAATCACTTGAAAGAGTCTCTCTCTCTCTTTCTCTCTTAGAATGCATATAGTAGTGAATTGAATTGAACCAACTTACCATTTTTAGTGTTTCCTTGTAACATCGATTGAATCGATAGGGCAATTGATCTTATCGATTGTGCCGGGGTCCAACCATCTCCCAAAATATTCAAGCAAATATGACCATTGCTATACACATGAGGATGAAGTGGGATTTCCTGGCCAATGAACTTCACCATTGGTGGCTCGATGGGATACTCATCTCCCGCAACAATCTCAAGGCGGAAAGCATGGGCGGGATCATATATTGGATTATCAACAATATTGATATCGACGTACCAATGATTGATCCCATCTTCGGTAGGGATGAATTTCAACCCTGGAATCGAGAGGTCCAAAAGGGTCTGCATTTCCTTCAACAATCTTCTTTTGTATGCCATTTTTCTTTTTTCTTTTTTTTTATCAAATTATCTGATTGTTTTGTATTCTATCAACGAAGAAGTAATAATGATAATAATAATAATAATAATAATGGTATGTAGAGGTATATTAAAAACCTTTTTATTGTTATAATTAGGAATCTTTGAAAATTAATTGATGGCCCTCTTTTTTTTTTTTTTTTTGTCAGGTTTATTTTTTTTTTTTTTTATGAAGATGCTCTTGGAGGGCTGGATATGTCATGTCATATCTCATGATACAATAGCCAAAGACAACAATTTATAATAAATGCACTTTATTAATAACAGGAAGAAGATGAAAATCACGCCTAGTGGTATATAAAAATGAAGGTTTAGAAAAAGAAAAAGATATCATAAACACCAAACAAAAAACAAAAAAAAACGTCTCCCAAGAACCAGAAAATATTAGCGGTTCATTCAATAAGGGATGTAATAAATAAATAAATAAATAAATAAATAAATAAATAAATAAATAAATAAATAAATAAATAAATAAATAAATAAATAAATAAATAAATAAATAAATAAATAAATAAATAAATAAATAAATAAATAAATAAATAAATAAATAAATAAATAAATAAATAAATAAATAAATAAATAAATAAATAAATAAATAAATAAATAAATAAATAAATAAAAACAAAACAAAAAAAAATCAGTCTATCATAATTTGAAAAGAGAGAAACGATAAATAAATGATCAAAAAAATAAAAATTAGAAAAAAACTTGACCAAATTAAATGTAAAGCAAACCATCGGTGTATATATATACTCATTAACTCCCCAATATTAATTAAATCCCAAAAGCCAAAAAGAAAAAATAGAAAAAAAAAAAAGTTAAATGAATGAATAAATCGCACAATGTTGAAGAATTTTGATGTAGAAAAAAAAACAAAAAAAAACAAAAAAGAGGCTGAAAAATAGTTCATTGGTTAGTTAGTTCATAAAATAATAAAATTAGTCAATTCGGTCAAATTGTCATCTGTATCAATAGATTGAATCAAATCATCAAATGATTTATCAATGTCAGCTTGTAAAGCTTTAAATGTTCCAAAAGTAGAATTTTGAGCTGACATAAGCCCCGAGAGGTTATTGTTCACATTATTATTGTTCACCGCCACAAAACCCAACCCAGTAATTCTGGTACCAGTGGAAACAGGATTATTCAATTTTCTCCTTTTTGATTCACGCTTGTCGGAATCTTGATCACTGGATTCATCGTTGCTGCTGGAATTGTCAGACTTATCACTACTACTACTACCTGCGCTACTACTATCTTCAGCCACATCGGAACCGGCACCAATACCGCTGCCCAATTCATTGAAAAATAAGTCAATATCATCAATCGAATTCAAGAACTTCCCGTATCTCCCAAATGACCCATTTATCAAATCATTAAATTTACGCTTCAAGTCATGTAAAATGAACCAACTAGTGCTCAAGAAGGAAGTGTCGGTGGAATCCATAGTCCCGTACCCCAATCTCCCATTATAATATTGGTTGTAATATGCATTATAATGACGGCTCTGTTTCTGATGGATATGGCTCCGAAGCAAATGACCACGATGAAGAAGCTGATGATGATGATGACGAGAATCTTTAAATTTTCTGCTATATTGAATCGGAGTAGGCGCCAACGAGGAAGTGGCAATTGATGGTGGTAAATGAGGAGTCCCCACGGTGGTATTACCTGGGTACTTACTAATTGTTGATGATAATGGAGTACCTTGATTGCTAGTACTAGCAGAGTTAGACCCCGAGGTGGTGGTTCGACTGTTTGGTCCGGCCGATGGTCCTCCACTCAACTTATTTTTTGACGAGCTACTGCTGCCAATATCCATAGGTCTTTTCCTATCAGTTCTAGAACTTGATCTGCCAAGATGATTCATTGGAGATAGCACGGCCACAGGGATTGGAGGAGGAGGTAAAAATCCGTGGGATCCCATAGGCATAAGCGGAGGGGTTTGGTTGAGTGGGGCCACAAACAAACGATTTGGAGGATTAGACACAGGAAATAACGGAATCAACGAAAAAATATAATCAAAGGAATCCGATAAAATCCTCATTGATTTCACCATCAATTCCGGTAATTGTTTAAGAATGTTGAATTTGTCAACCGCTAAAATCTTGTAGTCTGATTCAATGAACTTATTGATAAATTCTTGGTTGATCATTTGCAATTTAAGAATATTCTTTCTGATTTTCGATTTAATCAACATAATCAAAGTCTCGAATTTATTGCTAGAACTAAACTTTTTGGTAACTTTAGCATCCTGAGATTTCCCACACACTGGCAAGAGGTTGGTGCTGAAAAAATCGGAATCTTTGTTGTCGGTAACGAATTTATCAATCAATTTCAAGTATCTTAAATGGTAATTGATCATTAGATTGCTCAAGACTTCGTAAAGCGATTGATGATGATAAATACAGCTAATGAAATTTTTTGTCAAAATATTATCTTTCTTCAATATCTTTTCACTTTTAGTCTCTCCTTGAATCTCCGCCAACTTATGATAAAAATGTTCTTGATTAACAGTATATTTTGATTTTCCGTGGTCTATTTGCGAAACAAAACCGAATAATTTTTTGCAATATGCGGAAAATCTCTTGTAGCGTTCTGGATATTCTTCCATTAACTCCTTTTCTGATAGACATGTTGAAACCTCACTGGCCTTTAGCTTGTTACTACTTTGAACAGCCGCTTGCTTGCCGTAATCCACATCAAATCCATATTTTTTAAGAGAAGCTTCTCTTTGAGAGCTTGGCAAAATAAAACTAATGGGGGTGGCACTCTGTTTTGACATGGTGATGGTGGATGAGCAATACTCAAAGTATAACACAATTTGGTACAAAGTTTGGTATACCTCTCTGAAGTTCAAGACTTTCCATATTTCATGAGTAAATGGAACATTGTCTCTAATATAAAGGAAGTACTCCAAGATCTCAAACTTGAATAGCTTGAAGGTTAAAAACACCGAAAATTCAATTGTATTGTGATGCTGGGTTATCAAAGCGTTTCTCTTTTGAAGCAATATCTTAGAATCGCTTTTTGAAGACAATTTACCAATCGAGTCCATGATTTTTTTGCAATCAGTATTCATTTTGTTGATTTTCTTTTGGTATGAATTAAGGATTTCTTCGGCCTTTTTCAAATTTCTATTGATCTTAGAAAAATTGACAGAAATCACAGAATCTCCTTTAGTAACCGTGCTGCTGTGCTCGTGCTTCAAGAATCTTGGATTTTGGATTTTAATTTCATTCAATAATTTGTGGTACAATTTCTTGTTTGATTCAAAATAGCTCCGGGCTAATTGCTTTTGCCTCAGAGAATTGACAAAAGCCGATTTTAGATTTGGAATTGACATGTCGGCGTTGTCTTTTTTATCGTCGTTCGTGTCGAATGGTTGCTCAGCCATAGCAGAGTTATTGATCTGTTTTAGTTTTATTTCTTCTTCGTTATTGGATAATGACAAGTCCTCGAGAAGGAACTTATAGGCTAATTTTTTCATTTCTTTTTCATGATTGGAATCGTCGCTGTAGTACTTCTCTGTTTGATCCAAGTACTTTTCGAATTTAGCAGAAAACTTGCTAACTGCCGATAAACCACATTTGATACTGTTAAACACTACTTGTAAGACTTCGCTCTCGCACATAGGAGAGTCATTATTTGAAAAATCGTGTTCTTCCAAAACACTTCCGGCAAAACCAGATGAGCGTTCGGAATTAGAGGCCACAGGTGGTGCTATGGCAGAAGACTGGGATATGAAGCTTTGAGATGGGGTGTCTACCGTGGATGATGATGATGATGATGATGATGCTGTTGATAGCACCGAAGAAGAGCCAGAAGAGCCAGGAGGAGCAGGGACGGTGGGAGGCGCAGAGGCCAATAAATCGTGAGTCGTCTGTTCCATAATAATGTGGTGATATTGGGTGAATAGAGATCGAGTGGTTTACTATTCTGTATGGGATGGGATTCTCAGTGGCAAAATCCAGAGTTACTGCAACTGTCGGAAACAACAACGGGGATAAAATAATCAGAGAGAATCAGAAAGGCAACCCAGAAAGGGAGGGAAAAATTATTAGAGGGAAAAAAATAAAAAAATAAAAAAAAATACAACAAAACCTAAAAACCGACTTTGATCAGCTGAGATGGTAGTCGGATTGACGTAATTACAGGGGTTCTGAATACAAAGTGTAGACGATAATACATAACCTCGATATGGGGTTTACTATTATTATGTTGTTGTTTGTTTGGCTGACAGCAGAAGGTTGTATCACTCCACCTTGACAAACGTGGTGGCAACCAAAGTTCGAATAACCACCGCCATATTTTTTTATGTGCACAGAGATTTTAGCCCCAATTAGCCATGGATGGATCCCTACAAATAACGCCTCTTAGCACCATCCATTATTTTAGTCAATCAAATACGATTTCTCAAAAAAAGGAAAAAAAAAAATAGACATGGAAAATAATGAAAAGTAAATACAGATGGTATTGCTAACGTACGCCATTCATATTGAGCGTTTCCATCCATTTCACACACTTGTTGCATAGTAGCATCGGAGGTCCTGGGTAGGTTTAATTTGTTTCCCCTCAACGTGGGAATACCCGGTTAAATGTGTTTTCCACCAGGATATCTTCGATTCTTGTTCATTCTTTCTTCAAGGTGAATTGTATTGCCTTTGTTACAGTTTCTCTTCATTTCATGGTTGCCACCATTAGCCATATTTTTTGATATTGATCTGCCTACGATTTGGCATGTTATGGGTATATATATGGTACACTACTACTATCACATAGCTATGGGAAATCCCAAAATGACTGACTCCCCGCAAAAATTGAACTAAGGAGATCAAAGGCCCCTCCCACTCACTGCTATAGAACTCTTATAAATCCTTAATTAATCCCTTACCGTGACCGCCGAAAAACACAGCCTTATTAAACCCGAAAACCTAGTCCACGAAACAGAATCTTTGGAATTAAGAAGTGTAATGTTCATCCTCCCTCTTGTAAAGCTTCCAGCTATCGATAGTCTTCTGGAGTAACAGCGAGTTTGAGAGCTACATCTACACAGTATTCATTACACGGCTTCACTGGGCAGATTGGATGCTGGATAGTGGTTCCACTGCTATAGACACAAAAACTCTAGTCAAATATATAAATATATAAATCTATATATGTCTTATACTTGTTATACTCTTCTTTTCTTTTCTTTTGTTTCCCCCAGTTGAGTATTCAGAACAACAACAACAACAACAACAACAACAACCGTATACAATTTTCCATAGTGAGCGCAAAAACTAGATGCCAATACACAGGGCACATAACAAACTTTTCGAGAAAGAGCAGCAAAAAATTTTTTTTTTTTTTTTTAATATTGACAATTGCAATCTCATCGCCTGACTGTTAAATAAATAATTACCGAATAGTACTAATAGATCATGTCATTGAGCAATTTCGATGCTGAAAACGCCGACAATCTCGAGGATATCGAGAAGCAATTCGCTGTCAAGGCCGTTCAACAAGCCGAAGTCTACTGGAACTTGATCACCAAGATCCCAGGGTCAAAGTTGAAACTTACCAAATATGATGAAGAACTTTATGAAGATTTGGTAACGGATTTCCCGGAATTTAAGGACGCTGTCTACATCTCCAATATCGATGAAAACGAATTGAAGAATCACAAGAACAAGGAAAGATGGAGAAAGTTTTGCAAGAAGTGGGAAACCAAGATTGACGATTACAATTTCGGAACTTTATTGAGAACCAGCCCAAAGAATGAATACGATCAAGACGGAACTATTTTTGCTTTAAGATTACAATTTTACGCCTTTGAAATCAGCAGAAACAAGATGGGACTTAACGATTGGGCTGTTGGTAAATAATTAGAGAACTTTTTGTTTTATGGCCACCCTAAAATTTATAAAAAAAACAAACAAACTCGAAAGATGTATATTATAGCATCATTAATCAAGACAATGTATCATCTAAAATTAATATGAAAACAGAAAAGAAAATGCAATGTTTGTAAGCGTTATAAGGACAAAAAAAAAAGAAAAAAAAAAAGCAGGTATTTTTAACCCACCAATCTATATGAACAAGAAAGAAGTAAAAGTAAACCCAGCTCAATTAAGATAGAGATAGCTTAATTAGCAGTCGTCTCGTGTAAAACTGTCTCCATGAAATTTCCGTCTTTGGATATAATATTCAAAACTTTCGGAATAACCTCTGCTTGAATAGGTTCTAATGGAAAGCTTTCCCCATCAACACTAATGTAATTATTTTTTAGCGGAATCAATCTATAAGCAGTGATCTTCCCATAAACCGTGTCTTTATGAAATATGTGTTTGCCGGTATCTATGGAAAGCAAAATCTCGAGTTTTTTGAGGAAGCTTGTATCCGAATGCATCACCACAAGATCCATAGTACCATCATTGGGTAGCGCTGCCGGGAAAAATTGGGTATCTTTCGCAATATATGGCATTTTCCCAGTGTAGAACACTGAAAGTGAGTTTGTATCCTCGACTTTTGTCCAATCAGATGGGACATCTTCATTCAAGCTAGGCAATCCAAAGTCAAAATTCTCTTCACTAACTTGATGTCCATCATTAGACAAACTATTTTTATTTTGACTTTTGAAATGATCAACCACTTCATCTACCCCTTCAGAATGATATTTCACGAAAAGCTCGCAAGGATACGAAGCCTGTGTGATCACTTTATAACCGACTCCTAAGTCAAATCTCACTGGCCCAACCCTTCTCATCCATTCAGTACCGATATCTGCGTCAGCAATCATCCCATAAGTTTGACTGAGGAAGGAAAGATGATATTTGGCGTGTTCTCCGTGGCCTTGATTAATTGCCATCAAATCCATTTTAATAACCGCGCTCTTCAACAATGATAACGTGGCGTATGATGGACTAAGGGTTTTATGACATGTCAAGGAAAACGCATTACCTGATCCACAAGGCAATTGAGTGACAATAATTCTATTGAAGATCTCCACCTTGTCCTTACGGCGATAAATACCGTTGATAACTTCATGAGGAATCCCATCACCGGAACAACAAGCAATAATATCGTATTTGCTAAAGTCCAAGTCTTTCACAATATCAAGACAATGATAGTGATAATTAGTTTCCATAACTTCGTATTGAACGTGCGCGGCTTTGAGTATTGGCTGAATATATTTTTTGAATCTTTTCAAGGCTTCTCCTGCCCCACCATTTGGATTGATAAGAATAAGAATTCTGCGCTGTAAAAATGATGGATCAGAATATGCTTGAGATAACATGAATTGAGCAAGCTTTTCATTTGAACCATTGGTTTCGGGTTGGTCTAAGGTTCCATCTCCACGCCCCGCCTCTTTTTTGATAATATCATTTGGTAACATATCAAGGTTATCAATGATCAATGTTTTCGTCACTGGCACAATCTCACTATCCGATTTTATCATATAAGATATGGCGACTTCATTATCTGTAAGTTCATCCCTATATTCACCTCCGTGACTATCTTCAGCATGATCTGTGTAACAAGTGGTACCAGCGGTCTTATTGCCGACCCATATGATATCATCAAAACTAATTTCTGAAGGGGACCTAGTGTCATCAGCAGCAGCGTCATCAACAGGAAAACATTTACCAAGGAAATTGAATCCAGTAGTATTCTCAGGTTGCACATCAAGAGTTCCAGGTAAGTTCTGGTTATGGAGTTTGATGATATATTTATTACAGGACCCTGAGCCATCCTGAACAATAGATGCGCGGATCTTATCCACACCGTGGTCCGATGGTTTATCAGTGGATAATGTTATTGGCGAAGAGTTCTTCATACTTGAATTAGGTGGAATATTTGTGCCTATAGTCAGATTATCGACTGCACTGCTTGTCATACTCTGCAAGTGATTGATATACTAAACAAGTGGTGATTTTAACTTTTTTTTTTTTTTTTTATTTTTTTTTTTATTTTTTGTAAGCGGGAAATTTTATAGGGATTTTTATCGAATGCCGGAACTTATCATACGACACGCCCCAGTCATATACAAAATAGAGAGAATTAGTTCAAAAAGTGAAAGAGATAGGTCAGAAGATATATACCGCATTCTGAGATGAGCTCTCATTTCTGTAAAAAAAAAAAAAATGGTAGCAGGTATTCTCCCCCGTTCAATTGGAAGATGTCAAGATGTAATCTACAAGGAGGACCGCCGTTCATCACTTCCTAATAATAACAATCATAACACAAAGAAACTGTCATAAAAGACTGAAAACTTTATATATATTTGACGAGATTATAATGAATGTTAAACCATAAATTTTGTAAAGAGAAATCAAGCATCTAGGCACCGAGCTTTATAATATATATGTATATACTAGGTTTTAATTACCTCCATCAATTCTTTTCCAAACCTTGGTTTGCAACTTCTTTTGCTCCTGCTTCCGCTGCGTCAGGATCTAAATAATAATAATCTCCGATTTTTCCTAGTTTTTCATCAAATTCATAAACCAAGGGTACACCATTAGGAATGTTGATCTGCTCTATATCTCTGTCACTTATGGTACTAATAATTTTAATTAACGACCGAACCACTGATCCATGTGCCACTATAAGAACAGTTTTATTCTTTAGTAGTTCGGATTTGATATTTGTTTCCCAGAATGGCCTAACTCTTTCAAGAACCATTTTCAAAGACTCTCCCCGGGGAAGATCTTCAATTGGAACATCAGCATACTTGTAACGATCATCAATCAACAATGCTTCATCTTCATCATTCATCAAAGGAGGACATCCTTCATAAGCTCTCCTCCAATACATGTATTTCTCTTTACCGACTTCAGCAACCACATCCGATTTCTTTCTCCCTTGCAAAGCCCCATAATGTCGTTCATTCAACCTCCAACTTCGTATGACGTCCATCCACATCCTACCGAGCGACTTACTAATGATATCTGCGGTTTCACAGGACCTCGTCAATTTTGAAGTGAACATTAAGTCGGGTGATAGCCCATTTTGGGAGATGAGGTTGGCAGCCTGTACTGCTTGTTGCTGCCCTTTGGAGGTCAATCCAACATCGACCCATCCACAAAACAAGTGCTTATTGTTCCATTCACTCTCGCCATGTCTTAGCAATATCAACTTCGAAGTCATGATCTTTTAGACGGCTCAAAAAGTGGTAATGCCTGCTTGGTGTTATTGTTTTGTTTGTCGAATAGTTGTTCTTGTTGCAATTGTATCCTGGCAAATTATCTTTTCAGGATTTGGAAACTTGGGAGTTGTCACTTTCTCTTATGTTTGCATTCTTCTCTATGTAGCCATTAATCTGTTGAATAGATTCTTTATAGATATATCTCCTTTCTCTCCTATATAATGATAAGGAAGTCTTACAAGAAGAGGTGTTTCTTTCCTCATCCTTAGAGTCAGTCAGTCAAAGCACTCACGTGGGTACCAACCACCCCACGCTGTCGGACTTCCAGAGCAATAAAGGGCCCCTTCCATACACCTCTTTTTTTTTTTTTTTTTGACGAGCACTGTTCCTGAACTACTTTTGCAAAAATCTGTGCACAAGAATAATGTAGACGAGTGTTCTGTAAAAAATACTAGGTTTTGGATACCAGAAGAAAAAGATCTCTAGATTCATTAAGGCAGTTGTATAAAAGAAAACTGAAACGGCCAGGCTTCTACACTGTTCGAAACTAAAGGGCGGAGGTTCTAAACTTCTCCTTTTTTTCTTCCCTCTTGTCATTTATTCGCATCAAATAGAAGCATGTCAAAGATGCAAAATAATTAAGCCGATCATATAAAATTTTAGACAACGTCTTCGTTTCACAAGCTTCGATGCCCATTTGCATTATAGTTGTGAGGCTGGTCAAATGTTCACATGCGCTGCAGGTGCATGCTGAGATTGCAGGGAAATCTGTGAACATCAGCAATACGAAATATCACCAATCCTCAGCTGCAACTGAAGCGAAAACTGTTCAAAGATCAATTAAGCTACTCGAGGTGCATCCCAGTCAATTATAAAAGAAGATTTTGGACATGGATCATCAGATCAATTGGGCGGCGTCTCGAGTAACATAACAGGTCTTCAACAAATTATAAAGCAGTACATATTCGCCTACCCTTTTTTTTTTTTCATTTTTCTTTAATTTGTAATTATTAACGAATAACTAATCGCTTCTATACACACCTAGATAACCAATTGCTTCCATACACACCTGATACGGATTAAAATTAAAATAATTCAGATATATTATCAAGATGCTTAAAAATACTCTTTTGAGCTTGATATTATTCACCATTGGCTCCAACTCCCTCACGATTCCCCCAGGATATACGAGCACCACCTATTACTCAACTTCTATTTCCTCATCTATTACCGAGGAATTTCCTACCAGTTACGAAACCGTTTATGGTCCATACAGTGAAGCTTTTACCGAGTACACCACTGTGAAATCTAAGTTTGGTTTATATGTTAACTCTACTGTCACTCCAGAAGCAACTTCTGCTGATACTACAAGTGCCGCTACTACAAGTGCTGCTACAACAGATGTCCCAGTTCCAGGCACTGTTTTTTCAACTGAAAGTACTATCTCTTCAACATCTCCTCAAATATCGGGGGATGTCCCAGCTCCAGGTACTGTCTCTCCAACATCTCAAGTAACTGGTGATATTCCATCTACCACTTATGAATCCACTTTTATTTCATCTAATATTACAGCTAATATGGCCAATAGGGCCGTATCTGTGCCATCTACTACAAATGAATATTCAGCATCCACAGAAGCCGCATCCAATGATGATTCTGGTATACCTGTTCTCGCTGATACTCTTGCATCTGTCATAGGCAATATTGCTACATCTGATATAGCTTCTCTTCCTAGTGACATTTCCGCATCACTTCCTGTCTCTGTTCCTACAAGCCTTTCTCTCTCTATTCCTGTCGACCTTTCTTTATCTCTTTCCCTTCCACTTTCCATACCTACAGATCCTCCTACTTCCATACTTGCCTCCCTTACAACTTCACTTCCTTTGTCAACCCCTACCTCACTTTCCGTGTCTGTTCCTAGCTCCCTTCCTGTTTCTATCCCAACTTCACTTTCTGTATCTATTCCATCATCAGCTGTTACCTCTGTTTCTGTTTCTGTCCCAAGCTCTCTCTCAGTTTCCATCCCAAGTTCTGTTTCGGTGTCTATTGCTTCCTCTCTTCCTGTTTCTATACCAACTTCTGATTCTGTTTCTATACCAACTTCACTCGTGGCAGCTATTCCTACCACTCTTCCAACTTCTATCTCAACTTCACTTTCTGCTTCTATCTCTGAAGCTATTATCATCTCCACTACATCTTCAACCTCCACTACATCTTCAACCACCTCCACCGCTTCAACTACAATTTCTTCTGAAGCTAGAACCATCAATGATCAAATGATTGCGGAATCTAACAAAAAGAGAGCCTTAAACCAAGCTCCAGCCCTTGTGTTCAACGAAACCCTTTACCAATACGCCCAAGCCTATGCTGATAAATACAACTGTAGTGGAGCCCTCAAACACTCTGGAGGTCCATATGGTGAAAACTTGGCTCTCGGTACTAATTTAAACGCTAGCATGACCGTTGATTTGTGGTATAATGAAATTTCCCATTATAATTTCAACGATCCAGGATTCTCTGAAGTGACTGGTCATTTTACCCAATTGGTCTGGGTAAGCACTACTCAAATTGGTTGTGCTATCAAGAGCTGTCCTAATTATTACAGTTCTAACTACTACATTTGCAGTTATTCGACTCCAGGTAATATTATCAACAGCGATAATTCATATTTCATTAAGAATGTTCTTCCAGTTAAAAACTAATATGCGATTAATGAGTTTTAAAATGATATTCTGTTTTTGTTTATTCTTTCTTATTTTTATTTATTCTTTCTTATTTTTATTCATTCATTCTTATTTTTATTTTCTGGTTTTATGTATTGTATTTTCTTTTTTTTGAAATTCTATCTCTGGAACAATGTCTTAATAGTTGATAAATTTTTTTACTTTCATCACGAATTTTTTTTTTTTCTTTTTTCTTTTTTCTACATCATAAATGATCTATTCAAATTATTATAGATATTTTTGTATTTCTTCAGTTTGTTGAATAATTCTCTTGTGGTTTTCTTTTCCGAGGACATCATGATGTCAAAATAAACCGGGGCGCGTAAAGCAATTTCTGTGGATGGCACTTGAAAATTGAATCCCTGGACTTTTGATGAGACTGGGCTGAACCTGTTACCAACTATCAATAATGCTTTTTTCTCATTTTGTGAAAATCACACTGTTTTTCATAATCATCAAATGTATACAGGTGATAATTGTATTTGTCACAAATCAACAATTTGATACATCGTCACAAATAATATTTGAATCAGCAAACGTCATTCGACACAAAGAAGATTTTATCACATTAACTTCTAAAATAATACAAGATGTCCCACTAGTAGCCCAATATCCAGAACTTCTGCAACGCATCCCCAATTCCATATCACTCATTCTTGAGGGATTCCTTGAAAAATTGGTGGTATGGGATGCGGTTTATTTCAGCAAAATTTTTACAGAAGGGGCGACTTATGAACATGAATGGGTTTTCAGTCCACTTTGGGGTAGACTTGTGAAATCGGCTCCATTTTTCAGTATCCAAGATCCTGAATTGCACAAGCTAGTCTATGAGAATTTTTATGGAAAGCTAATTATTGCAGTAGGCTTAACAAACTTGTTGCATTATTTGTCAGTATTAGTGTTGTACAAATGGACCGCGATTGTATTTGATCACAATAGTAAACCATCAAGATGGTTTTCAATCAGTGAACTGAATGAGTTGGCTTTAAAATCGGCACTCGTTTATATTCTCAATCCAGCAGGAGTTTTCTTGACTGCGCCATATTCTGAATCATTTGCTACATTTTTGGCGTTTGTTGGATTATATCTTAGAGAATTATCATTAGTTGAAAAAGACGATACGAATTTGAGAGCCCCAAAAGCCTTGTATGGGATGATATATTTGGGGTCTAGTATTTTCATTGCTGGAGGAATCATGATTAGGTTGAATATTATATTGGTGGCATTTGTTTACCTCTATGACTTTTTGTATTTCATGAAGAAGTTGAAACTTTCCACCTTTGTTCCACTACTTGCTGGACTAGTGACTTTTTCCCTGTTTGTTTACATCAATATGTTGCCATATGAGGAGTTTTGTCCAGAAAGAGTGATCTGGTGCACCTCACGTTTACCTTCTTTGTATTCGTTTGCCCAAGGTCGCTATTGGAATATAGGATTTCTTAACTATTGGACTCCTAATAATATTCCTAATTTCTTATTTGCCTTGCCGACAATTTTGACTTTGCTTGTATCAATAAACTATTTCCGAGGGGAGTACGTTCCACATTTGAGGCCATTACTTCTTATGACAGGGTTGTTTTTATTTTTGGGGATTACTAGCTGGCATGTTCAAATTTTGACGAGAGTTAGCGGATTCATTCCACTTAGTTCGTGGTATTTGGCCTGTAAATTAATTGAGAGTAACAACTCTGCTGGTCTCCGGGGGAAATTTTACAAAGCGGGGGCTTCGCTGGGTGTTCCTATTGAGAAAGTAATAATTACCTGGAACTTCCTCTGGATTGTGGTTCAAACCGCATTATTTGCAGGATTTTTACCTCCTGCTTGATAGTGAATGGTTTCATGTGAAAAAAATTTAACATTACTTATTATATTCTATATTTGGAATAATTTTATGCCGATTTAGGTGTAAGTTTGTATATGTTAACAATATAATAATTAGTTGTTAGAAGTGATCCTTAACTACCATTACCAGAAATGTACTAATTACCTTTAATTTCCCAAGTATTAGTCTAGTTTCAAATTTCAGGTTGCGGCATGTGTAATCTGTGCTTACTGAGGATCATGTGTCTTAGATTTTTAAATACAGTGTGTAGATACATGTTCACTTCAATTATAACGATATTGATTTTGGGGGTAGCCTGAAAAATTTGAAGTAGATAAATACCTGAACTTCAAATATTAAGATAAAAAAAAAGGAAATATGCATATATATAACAGAAAAAAGGGGGGCATGGATTAATATGTATTAAATTATTAGATGGAGTGTTGTTGTTAATTCACGGATCACCTTAAATTAGCAGTATCTGTCAAATTGATGAAGTCAGCGCCCTTTTTTTTTTTTCCCACATTAATGTTCTTCACCTTTTCAGGACAATATCCGATGGCGGTAATCCCGTCATCATCGATGATGGCGGTGAGTGGAAACAGCCTGGTATTTCCGAAGCGGTAATGGCGAAGAGTCGCAGCGCCATATTAATAATATTCGGCACACAGCCACTGACTGTAGTGCACTACTCACCACCTAACCTTAATGGCTCCCATTTTTTTTTTTTTTTTTTTTTCCGCTGTTGTTGTTGTTGTTGTTGTTGTTGTGGTTGTCGGTAATTGCCTAAGTAAACTCCGGTGGTTGTGGTTTGCTAGAAGCTTCCGCTGCATTTCCGAGGGCACCGACGGCACACACCCTCTTCCGAGGGCACACAGTGGTCCTTCTAGAACGTGACATATTACGTAGTCCTTCGCATATTACTAATCCTGGGACCGAGCGTCGCACCCTCGGTGTCTCCCGGCTCCTCATCTCAACGCTGGTTTCTTTTTATAAATACAACTGCCTTTTTCTTTGTTCTTTTCCTTTCCTCTTGTTCAGGTGTGTCAAAACAACTAGATCAAAACTCTTGACAATCCCATCATCGCTATTTGCCCTGAAGTACTTGTCAACAAAGCTAAATTATATTAATATATACATTACCAACTGTTAATTTCCTATTTATTCACACCCTTTCCCCCTCCCCCCGCTCCCTGTGTGTGTTTCGCTCATCCAAGCGCTACTGTTTAATCATCTTTTGAAACAACCCGAATACCACCAAGGTAATTACTCATCACAACAACAACAACAACAACATCCAAAAAATGACTTCTTATGCCGTTTTCCCATCTTTAAACCGCCCAATGTCCGATATTTTGGAAGATGAGTTATATCATGTCAATTCAAATCTACCACAACAATCAGGCTCCCCAAAATTCTCAAATAAGATGTTTGATTCATCCGAATTTTTGAATATACAACAAACATCGGATACGGACAACAACTACAATTTCTCAAAAATTTATACCACATCAAACAATAGCCAGAACTCTGTGTGCTCCAAATCTAGCACTACTGCTAACACATCCTCAAATAATAATAACAATAATAATGCCGTGCCCGCCTACCAGTACCAGCTTCACAACCACGATTCCATTCAACCGTTCAATGAATATGCTAACCCAGATGTAGAATTGAATGGGTTTTCCAAGCCACAGCCTTCGCAGTTTGGCCAAAATTTCCAACAATTCAATCCATTCGCTTCTGGAAAACTTGAGGATGAAATGTTGTTTAATGTCAACATTTATGATAATGATCTAGGAATTTCCAACAGCGAAATCATTGCTCTTGCAGAAAAACACACATTCGATTCCATTCCTTCCCTTCATTTTTACAATACTATGGAAATTCCTTATGAAGATTTGGAGGATTATGGAAGTGACGACGAAGATGAAGATGAAGATGAAGATCGCTTGATTGATGTCAATGACGATCCCTTTTTTTACGCCCATGATCAAGAAAATGATGAGCCAGGTAGCGTATACGAAGCGCCATCGACTCCAAATACCTCTGTTTTGCCAAGCCCACAATCATCCAATGGGTATAGCAACTATTTAGCAAGCAACAAACAGTTCCTAAATGAGAGTGCTATCTTTGAGGATGATGATAATGAAAATAGAACGTTGAAATCTATGGACGTTGACAGCTCCGATGTGTCTGACTATGAGGATAGTTTCTACGAGCCTAAGTTTGATACTGCTGCTTTGATTGATAATTCATCTAGAGCCCATTCTTTCATCAATAACAACGATCAAGAAGTTAAGAAGTTTAGAAAAAATACTTTGAAACCAATTTCATTGAATACTCTTAACAACACTTCTGGGAAATTGAAAACTGTCTCCACCAAGAATAATCCAATACAAAAAATCAAACACAGACATTCACAGTCGATCTCAAATATGGAAGTGGGTGATATTAACAAGGCATTGAACGCTTCTTCAAATAGCACTTTGGTTATCTCTCCAAATTGTGCCGATCTGGATGAAAATAATCAATGTATGTTGATCAATCCATCTACTAACTCTCCTTGCCTAAAGAAGTTCTCGAGACCATACGATTTGATCAGACACCAAGAAACCATCCATGCATCCAAAAAAAAGATTTTCAGGTGCATGATTTGTGAAAATAACTACAAGAAATCTCTAGATGATGCACAGGCTAATGGTGAAACTGATAAACCTCTACACTCTCCTAAGACCTTCAGTAGAGGCGATGCTCTTTCCAGACACATTAGGGTAAAACACTCTTTAACTGGTGAAGCTGTGACTGAGGCTTTAAAGTATGCCAAGGATAATGTGGAATACATCAATATTTGTTGAATCCAGTCAGCGTCTCTTTTATTATAATATCATATCTCTCATACACTTAAACTTTTAATGACATAACTTTTTTTTTACCTCCCTTTTTTTTTTTTCATCTTATATTTTTTACATGTGCTGCACCTTCTTAATTTCATCCTTATGTATTTTTTAGTGATATTACCCCCCCCCTCCCTCTCGTATCTTTTTATCTCATCTATCATTTTTTTTCATATATATCTTTTATCTCATTATTTCGGTTCATTGGTTATTTCAGTTCTATTTAGGGGTTTTAAAAACTTGTATATATAAATAACGGACTTTATTTTCTTTTTATCGCCTGTTGTGATAATAAATCAAGTATAATATCTCCTCTAACAATAAAAGTTTGTGAAAATCACATGAAAGTGAAAAGTTTTGTAAAAATGATCTCATGACTAGAAAATCTTGACTATTTCTCTCGAATAGTCCAAAAAGTGCAGTATATTATGAAATTGTTGCATTCATTCATTCATTTACTCAATAATCTTACCATGTTGTGTACAGTACATTCATCATATAAATAAAACAAATCTTAGAAGCATCTATTTTTCTAATGGTATAAAAAACAATAAGTGTTATCAGATCCAGTAGCAATCTTCGGATCCATTTGCTTCAACATAGTCTTTAAGAATCACCAATTCATCAAGATTCAAATCCCTATCAATCTTCCCTTTGTTAATAAGTTCCAATATTTTAGTGGCCACTGCTTCATCGTATTTTCCAGCCAATTTTGTGCTCTTCAAATAGAAATAATGGTTTTCTAAACCATCAGCTTCAGAAAGTTTGAAGAATTTAGTCAAAATAACGTCAAATGATTCATCGGCGTTAAAATCTTTGAAAACGCTGGATATAGATTTAACAACCATAGATTTGATGGCCTCAAGTTTAGGATCGGTATTGTTTTTAAGTGATTCGACAAGTTTCATTAAGTAATATGGCAAGATAGCTTGCGAAGGGTCAACTAATATGTCTTTAGCATTCTTCAATGATTGGAATGCCAAAATGAATTTCCCTTGAATAATGTAAATTAAGAAAGACAATTTTAAGTAAAATACCGAAGTTTTATCAGTTGTCAAACTAAACAACTCATTCAATTTTTCAATTGGCTCATCGGTATTGACAAACTGTTCACCAAACACGTCAAGATCATGGTCGTAGGCAATAATCTTTGAGGCCTCTTGTTCTCTTCTCTTATTGGTTTTGTTTTTATTTTTATTTTTACTCTTCTTACTGGCAGAAGATGCAATTATTTCAGAATATTTGTAGATAATAGAGGCTTCCCTGTTAACAATATCATCGTTAATGGATAAGTAAACTTCTGACATACCTTTGACTGCTCTCATGAAAAGAGGTTGGTTGAAAAGACCGTCAGCCCAATTCAACATAGAAATATAAGCTCTTGGAGTACCTTTTCTTGGACAATAGCCATGGAAGTCCAACTGATCATTTTCAAATTCTTTATAGTTCTTAACCACGGAATTGAATCTTTTCAACGTCAAGCCTTTCAATTTTTGGACTTCGTCGATTTCGTCCTTCACCTCTCTTGAAAGCTCTGGGGTAAATTCGATATTCTCGGAATCAATCTTGTTCAAGTGATTGATCAATGCATTCTTAGCTTTCTTGAACAATCTGAAATAAGCCTCTGACTCCTCGATAAGATACCAGTTAGCTTGCATCAAATGTAAATCTTTCAAGCCGTTCACTGCATCATCATTCTTTGTGAATAAAGAGGCAATTTCGATAGCTTTTTCAAGGTTGTCAGCCCTCAAATAATACTTGGTGGCCTTACAATTGATAAATCTATCTTGCAAATCTAATAATCTGGCACTGTTGACAATATCAGCAGCCTCCACCAATTGACCCTTGTGCTTGGCAATATTAGCTTTGAACAAGATAAGTTCCACCAAAGTTGGAGAATGGGTCATGGCTTTGTCAATATACTCTTCAGCCTTTGAAATATCACCAAGGAACATATAATGTTGAGAAAGCAAGTACAAAGTCCAGACAGTGATGGTTGGATCAACATCTAGTTTAGATTTTTGTGCCAAATCATCCAAAAACTCAAGCACCAACTTTTCAATAACTTGGACTTTAGCAGGATTCTTATACAAGAATTTCAAAGTTTTGAACACTGATGGAACCCCTCTTTGCAATTTAGAAATCAAGTAGTTTTTCAACTTATCTTCAAATTCCTTAGAATCGGCCTTTAAAAACATTAATGGGATAACTTTTGGAGGGTCGGATTTTGGATAAAACTTTTCAAGCTTGTTGTATAATTTTAATCTTTTAGTTATGTTGGATTGTTCAATACCCAAAGAGGCCTCAAGCAAGTAGTAATAGTCAGTCTTATCTGGATTTCTTTGCAACAACTTTCTGTAAGTGATTGAAGCTGCTTTGTGATCACCAAGAGCAGTTTGATAAGTTGCTCTATATTCATTGACACTCAAATGATCAAACACGGTTTTTTCAATTTCCTTCAAGTTTTTTAAAGCTTTCTTGACGTCACCACTTTCAAAGATGATTTTATTCTTGTAAAGCAAGCATTCCGAGTGCTCCACAAATTCAGGGTCCGACAATTTGCCTTCAGCAAGCTCTTCAAATCCAGTTAAAACTTTTTCAGCTTGGTCATAATTCTTGTTCAAATGGTGGGTAATTGCCAAACCTGTCCAATTAGCTCTGTAACCTTGAAAATAGTTTAAAACTTGGAGTCTGGCGGCCAATGCGTTCTTATATTTTCTCAATTGTATTTCAGAAACCGCCAAATCTTTCCAAATATTTCTATTTTCAGACCCATTGTCCAATGCTAACTTGTAATACTTGGCAGCTTCGGTATAATCAGGTAATGCTCTATAGAAAATTGCAATAATGTGATTAATTACCGGATTTGATGCATCTTCTTTCAATGCTTTTTGGAAATAAGACTTTGGTTCAAGATTATCTGGATCCTCGTTTTTACCATTGGCAGCATGTATATGGTAAAGCAACAACCCTTTGAGGGCTAAAGATTGAGGATGTGATTTTTTCTTCAAGTTAGTGTCCACTAACTTGAGGGCCTTTTTGTATTGTTTGGATTCATACAATTTCAAGGCCTCTTTGAAATTTGTGTCTTCCTTTGATTGGAAGAGAGTTCCGGCAGTTCTTCTTCTACTCATCTGGATATTTCGTTTGTAGAACTGGATATAAATTTATATCGGTAACTTGAAAAATCGTACTGGTAAATGGTTTTAATCTCATGGCTGTTGGTGATGGTTGAATCAAAGAAAAACCCGTACCTATTATGGTCACGTTTAATCACTATGAGCACCACCGCCATTTTGGCGGAATTTTTTTTTTTTTTTTTTTCTTGGATGGTTGTGAACATTGGCTGGCCAATGAAATTAATCTGAATGAAAATACAAATAGAAACAGAGCTCCCTATCAACTACCCTTAGAGCCATTCAACAGCCATCAAGTAAAGTCAATAATGATTGGTACATTAGGTCTTAAGTCCGTTGCTTTGAGAAGCGGATCTCTCAATGCTGTGAGATACTTCAGAACCGTTGCCCCAGCATGTTCTGAATACGTGAAACAAGGGAAAGATGCCGACCCTTTGTTGGGCGGTTATCCACCTATCCAAACTGATTTATATTTCAACAGAGACCCATACAAGAAGTATGACGATCAACAAAATAGAAGAAACTTTGACGAACCATTGGATCCAGAAGATGATATGAAAAACATGTGGTCTCCAGATTATTATCAACCAGTCAGTGACTTGACTGCTTTGAAATACAATGGTATTTTCTTTGGATCCTTGATCACCATCGGTACCGTCCTCTATTTTTTCTTCTATCCTGAGAAACCAGCCGTCCCAAGAAACTACCCACATGGTGGTTTGGCTAAAGCATTGGGTGCCGGTAATGAAGAAGAAGCCAAGTTCTTACACGCCAGAGTGGATAAGACTGCCTAATAGTTATATGTCTGATGAAATTGGAACCATAAGATACAACTAATATCAATAAGCCAGTCAAAACAGGAAAAAAAAAAAAGAATCAATGTTTCCTTCAAGTTGGAACGAAACATTGTATATTTTAGCATTTGTGATCACAGATTCACAGTATCAATAATATTTGGTCTCTAATGATTATAACGACCAAATATCTCTCTCTTTCTCTCATAATCTCCCACTTCAGAATCTTGGTCATGCACCAAAGACATCATCATAGCTAATTTTTTTTAAAAATTCGTCCCCTTTATTTTGTATATCATATCAATATTACGTTTGCCACATTACTTTAACGCTACAATGCAAGTAAACCGGAAAACTAAAATTCATTAGATAACATTCATCATAAGTATAGATCTTTCTGACCATAGATATCATAAACTATGGCGATTATTATATCGCATGTTAACTTACTTTCTTTATCTTGTAGTTTCTTATTCTTCTTGAAAAAAATCATCTTCTTCGATACCTCTCTTAACTCGTAGACGTCATTGTATTCAAGCACATCTGATAATCGTAAAAATAAGGCAGGAGTCCATAATTTCATGTGGCCTTTCATAGATTTATCAACTAGCTTTTTCATATATATTATTAATTTGAGAATAGTGGCTTGGGGTAGCAAAACTAGCAAATACTTTGAAGGCTTATTGTTGATCATAAATGCTCTCCAGCCAGTGAAATTTTCTGGAAGCTTTTCAACATCAATATCTTTAGTTTTATCTTCGCCACATTCATCGATTCCTTCTTCTTCTTCTTCTTCTTCCTCTTTTCCATCATCATTTTCATATTCTGCTTTCTGCTTTTTGAAGTCCTCTATAAACGATGTTCTCCACTGATCAGATTCATATTTAGATTGCAGTGTTTCTTGGTCATTTACGTCCTCTTTTTCATCACTAGTAGGTGTGTCCACTTTAGAAATAGTGTCAACATTATCATCATCACCAAGCTCCAATGTCTCTGTTGAGGGTTTTTTTTCTTCTTCTAATTCACTAAACTTTCTTTTTACCTTTCGCGTGAAGAAGATTTGATCACCTTTCTCCAGTTCCTGCTTCACTGCAGATAGATACGATGAGACATCCGAATAAAACCCATTTTCATCAAATATTGGGACCTTCAATTCAAATGGTAAAGCTTGTTTCTGAGAGTCCATGCCTGATGGTATTTTCTTTGTGTCTTTAAAGAAACCAGTCACTCAATGAAATATATATATATATATATACAAAAATTAACTGCTCTTCCCCATCGCCATGTCCCGATGAGAACAAAATAAAAATAAAATTATCGAAAAATATGATCACGTGTTGATAATGAAATCGATGTTGAAAATTGATCGAAATCCACGAATAAGCGGCTGACTCCACCCTTTATCCGCTCAATTGTAATACTCAAAAATTAAGGGATATCGTGTCAAAATGGGTGCCTCTGTTATTCGTGAAGATCTTGTGGTGAAGTATGTGATTCTTTTTTCATCTTTCTGTTAGAAAAGAATAACACTGTCTGTCAGGCGAAAGATTTTGGCGTGATTATTAAATTATACTAACAATTCTAATTCTAGATACACCCACGTCCCTCCTGAGGCCAGAAACCCAGCTACTGGTATGATGGCCCAAACTATGCCAATGGCCTCTATGTTTATGAGAAATAAAATGATGAGTTGGGCTTCTTTCTGCATTTGTGTCCAACATTACATGAACTTCCGTAATGTTAAACTTTCTGAAGATGCGAATTCTCCACTTATGAGTCTTATTCTTGCTACTATTGGTCTTGTTACTGCTTACATTGATGTATGTATTGATTTTTTTCATAATTATAGCATTGACTTCGAATTTTTTTGATACTAACAGTTTTTAGATTCTTGTGCCAACTCCTCAGATTAAGAAAAAGGCTGCAGAAACCGTTGCTGACGCCGTTACTTCTGTTGTTGCCACTGCGGTAGAGACTGCTACTGGTATTTAAAAGGTTATTTGTTTTAGCTTTTAATGAATTGTATTTCTTTTCCCCGTTTTGTTTTGATATAATTTAAGTTTTACATTGTAGTCAATGGCTTTGTTTTCTGCTTCTGTCTTCTTCACTTGAAAACAGACACAAAAAAGACACGTCTATTATAGTATAAGTACACAAAATGGGAAACAGGATTGTATCTATTTTGGCTGAGGAGTACCAGCAGGGGTCGGTGTGGCATTTGGTGTTTCGCTATTCCCGTTGGCTACAACCTTCCTTTTAACGAACGGCTTGCGCGCAAGTTTTTCCAAAGCTTGTGGATCGAAAGTACTTTCACAAGTTGGACATTTCTTGTCACTTGGAATCATGCTCAACACACACAAGCACACAGAGCAAACATAACCTATATCCACGATGTTACCGGTTATAAAGCATGATGCCCTAAAGTCGATGTTATTATTGACAGGTAACGCCACATAGTTTCTGATCGACGGATCAATGAAAAAAACTGTAGTGAGATATTGTATTAAACCATTTGGATTAGTTATTAGTAAATAGATCCCGCCCGTTACATCGGCTGCTTGTTGTAGAAAAGTTGAATCATTGCCTAGTTTGCATACATCGATAGGTATTCTCATACCTTGGGCTGCAAAAATACTGTTCATCGTCGGGATGTATGACATCGTCTGATCACCACCCACACTCGCTACTAATATTCTTGAATTCATCGTGATACCTTCACGTACCTGTCGCATTCTATTGATGAAAGTTAACGCCATAGATATCGCACCAGGGACCGTGGATTTAAATTTGGAGTTATCGGCCACCGTATCATTGAACAATTGTTCAAGTTTCTCAAACACTGATTCGTCCATGAGTTTAAACTGTCGATAAATGTTCTTATTCTTCAAATACTGTCTCTTATCATCAATCACATCGGGGGTAGGGGAGGTCGATTTATTCGAGACGCTGTTCGGTGAGTGAGAATCCATCTTGGGAGGATTGGTATCATTCTTTAGTACGTTTGGGTCTGGAAAGAGAAACTGAGCCTTTCCTGAATGCGCAGCAATGACAATAACTTCATTAGAATTATTTATGGCTAGATGCGCATTCATGGCGACAATCAATGACTCTATTACTGATTTCAACTCCGTCTGTTGTTGCAATGGTACCCAAAAAAGTGGATTCGTCTCTATTACCACCGCCAACAACGAAGGGGTATCTTCAGTAGCATGGGAGGCAGCACCAGGGGCCTGGGCTATCGTTGTATCAGCTATAGCGTCCATGTTCCGAATATATTTTGATTTGATGCTCTGTAGAGTAGAAGTTATACAGAAGCTACTATAATTTTTCTATAGTTTTTGAGAATTTTATCTGTATGCTAAAAGACCCGTGCATATGGTATATTATATCGTAACAAAAAAATATCTATATATGTCAATCAGTATTCAGAATACACAGAATCAAGAAGAAAATCGACATCTAATCCCGAGAGTCTCAAATCTGCAACCTGTTTCTTAGTGATATCAATACAAGTTTTGTGGATTGGAGAGCCATACTTAACATCAAAAAGTTGCTTTTTTAACAAATCAGCTTGCTTCTTGACCTCCTCGGTACACCATTTAACGATATCACTGGAATATTCTGGCTCCGGAAACGCTTCTTTAAATAACACAGTGGTTGCCTTGATAATTTGAAATCTAATTATAGAAACTTGTGTGATATAGTCTGGCAAATCTCCTTCGAAATCTACCTCTTCGACAAGCTTGAGAATTAATTGACTTCTGGCCAAAAGCAAGTTTTCTTTTGCTACAGACGTCATGTCAAGAGTTCTCAAAAAGAAAATGAATTCACTGACATCCTCAGTACTGTTCAATTCATCGTTAATCTCGAATACCAAAGCAGTCTCCAATTGACTCTTTCTCTGATCTAGTTTCATTTTCAAAACATCAAGCAAAATCATTGCTTCTTCTGACGAATCACTTGAATCAGCAATTTTAATTTCTTTCTTTCGCTGGACTATATTGTCATCACAAAGCTTTACTAATTCAACTGCCTCGCCAAACTTGTGATGAGCAATATTAATATCTATTTCATCAATCATATCATCAATATCTCTTAAGTTCCTCATAATTGCAGAATTGTCAATATTCAAAGTTCTGGTATGCATTCTTGCACTCAAAGCTTGAAGCAAACCAGAATCCCTCTTTCCAGACTTCTCACTCGCTGACAATATCGAAATAGAGTCTCTCAATCTTCTTTGCTTTTGTGATTCTTGTTCGGTAATATCTCTCAATTGCGATTGAGCTTTCTTAAACGCCGATACGATCTTTATATATTGATCCTTTCTGTTGGTTTGATAAATGTAACTGGACCCATGATATTTAAAATTCAATGTGCTATGAGAATCGCTTTTATTTTGACTTTTAACTTCGGGAATCTCGATCATTTTTACTTCTCTAATTTGCCAACACTGTTCCGCCACCAATTTTGATCTCGCTTGCCCCTGGTTATTTCTTCTTGTTTTACTAGTAGCAATCATTACATGATCATTCAACACGAATAAGTGGCATGAATGTAAAGGTTTCCAAGTCGCTGCATTCAATTCAAACCATCGGCCACTTTCTGCTAACACATGTCTTGAGGGATTTGCCGTCAAAAACTTTTGGGCACCTTCGACATGTTTGAAAAGATTATTCAACTCATCTACCCACCTCTTCTCCAATATCATGATGCTACTTCTATCTCTTCTTCCTCCTCCTCTTTGGCCTGGACCAGCCGGAACTGCTAACGATGAAAGATCATTTCTCGAGGCATTTTTTTCATTACTTGCGGTTTGAAGTCGCGATTCTGCAGTTTCCTTCATTTGAAGAGTGATTTCTTGCAAAGTGTTGATGGTACTTTTCAAAGTCTTTAATTCGGAATCAGTGCTATTCAAATCATTAGAAACAATCAAAATCTTCTCGTAACTCTTATTAACATTGTTTTTGATATCTTCATCTATCTTTTCTTCTAGTGTAATCAACCTTGTGGTAAAACTGTCAACATCGGCGGCTTTAGCCTGTTGTAATTTAGTAATTACAAATCTATGAGCATCGAAATCTGGATCGGCCAATGGCGCAGAAAAACTACCAGCCTTGTTTCTTCCTTTAGGCTGTCCAGTTCTGGTCTCATATTTTTGAGCAGAGTCCCCATGATTACCACTGAGATCAATATTGGATCCACTGGCCATTGAGGCTTCACCATCCCCATGTTCTGCAATCATTGCCATGGCAGAAGACGGTAAAGATGGCATGCCAGCAAAATCAGGAGTGATTGCTCCTTCTACTTTCATTGACAAACGTCTCTTGATCTTTTGTTTATCATGGCTAGGTATTTTTGGAATCCCCAAATTATTGTTATTTTGCCCAGGCGCTTCAAGGTTGGCATATGGATTAGCTGGTCCTTTACCATTGAATTTTCTCCAGTCACCAACTGGAGCTCTACTTTTTCTAAGAGAAGCATTCCCAGCACTCATTTTCAATTGCAGTTGATTTTGAAGAACTTATTTGATAGCAATTAATGATAAAAGGAAAGTTCCACAGTTTCCAGCTGTTCTTCTTCTGTATGTATGTAGCCAGATCAAAATCATATCCGTTTACTGACTTTCACGAGGTTCGGCTGCATGGTGTGCGGATGTTCCAAAAATAATATAGAAAATTGAAAAAAGTACCAAATTTACTTGCCTTTCTTCCTGTCACTGGGACAATTAGCTGATGCTTTTCCTTCTTCCTGGACGATTGAAGAAGTTACTTTTGAATTAATAGACTTTCGTGTTTCCATTTCCATCAATTCGAAATTGGTATATAAAAAACAAAGCGCTCAATGTCCGTGACCAGTGAGGAGTTGAATTATCTCATTTGGAGATATTTACAGGAAGCTGGCCATGAAGTAACGGCGTTTGCTTTGCAAGATGAAACTAAAGTTCATAAACTAGATGAAAGGTTTGGAAGTAGAGTAAATATCGGCTGTCTTGTTGATTTGGTTCAAAAGGGTATACTATTTACGGAAGACGAAAACTTAGTGAATGAGAAAGGGCAATTAAAATCAAAGGAAGAACTACAGAAATCTTTCTCGTTATTCGGAGCTATAGAGAATGATAAGAATGAAAAAATCGAATTCAAGGGGAGATTTGCGTTAGCGGGGGATGAGGAGGGTCATGAGATGACCGAAGATGAAGGAAAAGAAACTGAAAAGGATTCCGAAATGAAGGATGCAGATGTCAAAGAGAAGAAGGCATCATCGATACTAAATGAAAAGGAAATTCCAGAGCAAGAAAAGGAAGAAGAGTTCGTTAAAGTCCTCGAGAAGTCTTACACGTTTAAAGCAAGTGTTGCAACCAGTTGGAACCCACAGCTGTCAAAAGTCTTGTCACTCGGAGAACACGACTCGACCGCGGAGATTAAAGTGTTGGGAGGTGACGAGCCTTCGAACACTGTGACGTTAATTCATCCTCTAAGTCTAGCCGCTGATTTTTCCATAAATTCCAAGTCACATAAAGAGGAAATAACGGCAGTTTCGTGGGCACCAAAAGGCCATTATCTATTAACTGCGTCTGAGAATGGGGAATTGAGATTATGGACCGCCGAGGGAAAACTAAGAAATGTATTAACTTTACACCATCTGCCAATATTGTCGATCAAATGGAATCAGGATAGCACATATATATTGACACTAGACCTGCAAAACAACGTTATTGTATGGAACACCGCTACCGGCAGCGCGATTCAGCATATTGATCAAGAATTGTTGAAATCACTAACATCGAATCCTCATAACACAAACCAAGAAAGTGGGATATTAGGCAGTGATTGCACTTGGATTAATAATACCAAATTCGCGATTCCCGGTATTGATGGAACGATTGTCTTATTCCAATTGAATGACAAGACCCCAATAGGATATCTCTTTGGCCATACCATGTCAATTGGATGTTTGTCTTATAACAGCAAACTTCATTTGCTAGCCAGTGGCTCGGATGATGCCAGCATCAGGATATGGAAGAGCAACTCATCGTCGAGTGTTCAAACTCTTTTAGGTCATGACCAAGGAATTGTGAGTATTGATTGGTTAGAATTGGCTAGTGATAATAATACGCCGCTATTGTTAAGTAGTTCTTTGGATGGGTCAGTAAAATTATGGAATGTGTACAGTGGTGCTTTGTTACTCTCGAACTTCATGGATGGAATTCCAATTTACGAGGCATCGCTATCGCCAAACAAAAAGTGGTTTGCCGTTGCCACTGAGGAAGGGGTTGTTTCAATATTTGATGTGACCCTGGAGAATTTAACAAAGATTATTCAAAGAAGAGAACTGATGAATTCAGTGGGGCATTTGAAAACCCTTGCCCAGTACCAACCAGAGGCATCGAACGAAAATGATAGTAACTTTGTGACCAGCATATCATGGAATTGTGACTCTAAACTACTCTGTGTAGCTTATAACAAATCAGAAACCGTGGTAATTGATTGGGGATTATAAGACATGTGCTCTTGAACTATTTGTGTATTATTAGACCAGTGTAACATATATATATATATATTTTTTTTCAGTTGTTTCAAATATAGTATCTTTACAAGAAAATAATATTATAATTATATTTTATTTTAAAATTTTATCTTGTTTCGTTATCTTTTCAATCGGGGAGTCAATTTTATCTTATTTTTTTTTTGTGTATCTGTAGTGTTATTTCAATGGATTTTTCCAGAACGTGCTAGAAGTTTTTTTGTTTTTTTTATTTTTTTTTTTTTTTTGCAGGAAAATTTTTATATATATATTGAGCCTTTCTAGACTTGCTTTATCTGCCCATCACAAAGTATCTGAGATATCATTTACGTTTTTTTAAAAAAAATAAAGCTCAACAGAATATATATAAATAATATGGAAAAATTGCTTCAGTGGTCCATTGCCGGTGCTAATGGTGATAAGGACACTTTGAATAAGATTGGTGGCCCAGACAATAAAGCCATTGCCGAACTTCTTGGAATGGCGGGCCCTGATGAACCAACATTGATGGTCGAGGCAATGAGAGTGATCACCAACCCAGAAGCCGAACTCGAGGCTAAAGAAATTGCTTTTGATAATTTCGAAATGTTGTCGGAAAACTTGGACAATGCTAACAATATTGAAAACTTGAAGCTTTGGGAACCGTTAGTGGAACAACTTAAAGCAGAAGAAGAGCTTTTGCAAAGATACGCTGCCTCAGTGATTGGCACTGCCACCCAGAATAATCAAAAGACCCAAGAAGATTTGCTCAAGTACCAACACTCTATGGATTATCTTTTGAATATTTTGAATGACCAGCAGGCGGGAGAACCACTCAAGATGAAGTGTCTCTACGCCCTTTCAAACTTCATAAGGCATAATGAAAAAGGTTACACATTGTTCAAAGAAAAGAACGGATGGCATGTCATTGACAAAGTTGTTTCTGGAAAACAGCTAAGTGCTAAATTCAACCTTAGGTTATCGTCGTTGATGACTTCGATCATGTCTACTGGACCATCTGACGAAAAAAAGACTCACATTGAGAAATTGTTCCCAAGTGAAAAGGCTCAGGAAATTTTAAAATCATATGAACACTAATATTGAATAATGGTTTATAGTATTATATTTATGTAAATTACTGATACTAAGTAAATTAGAATCAAATGTTATGAGACACGACCTTGAAAAACTTCTGTAGTCTACAGTCCAATTGAGGACTTCTTGATTTATTGATCAAAATATTTTGATCAATAACCTTAAAAGCGCCTCCACATCTCCCTTTTATTTAGCTCTCGTAAACAATATCTACAAAAAAAATCATTGCAAGTGAAGAATTCTGGTCTTCCAGGCATCAATTAACAGATGCCAAAATCTTGAATGAGTAAAACCACATAGCTTAACAGCACCCTCCGAAGAATTAAAAAAAAAAGAAAAACAGAGAATAATAAAATAAAACTAGGCAAATATAAATGCAACTTCTAATAAAATGACTATGTATATTATGGATGCGAGATCCACATCATGATCTTTTGCTAGCTCTTCGGCTTCTTCTAATTTCGCAGTCACTAACCACCTTTAATGCATCATCAATACTAGCATAGAATCCTTCACCCAAGCCAAGGGATGTACTCGTAATAGATAATGAACTATCTCTTCTTCCCAAAGTTGAAGGGAAATTATTTGCACCACAGTCCAGTGAATCAATCTCCAAAATCCCGCTATTATTTTCGATATTATCACCATCTGCGCTATTGTCAAAAATCACAAAATTATTGCCAAAATGTTTATCAAGCGCTTGTTTAACTAATTTGGAAATCCCGCTTTCAGTTAATTTTTTTCGTAATTGCAAAACGAATGGAACTCGAGTGAATAATACAATATAGTTATTTTTTGTATAATTACCAACAATTTCGTATAGAGTAAGAGTAGCCAGCGAGTCCAAACCAGTCATACTCTTGCAATCAATAATGATATACTTAATTTTACGTCTTTTATTAATCAAAGGCTTTTGTGATGGATGGACATTAAGTGAGCCATACTTTTCAATTCTCTTAAGGCGAAGCTTCAATTCGCTCAGATTAGCAAAGATCAAAGGCTCCGTGATTTTGATAATGAGGCAGTTTTCGATCTCTTCCAATTGACTAACCAACTCTTGACTGTTATTTTCAATGTCATCCTGGTTTACCATTTGATTGTGATCCTGGTTCTTTTGCAAATGATCAAAGCTTTCCTCAATCAATTCATCTGCATTCCGGAAAATATTAGTGTTTGGAACCCGTCCAAGAATTTCAATTCTAGTGCGAGTGGAAAATTTTATAACCTTAATAATAGAGAGTCCTATTCCCAAAGATAATCCAACATCTGGTGACCAAAACAAGGTTGATAAAACAATTATTGAGAACATAATAATTTCATCATAACCCTTAATTTTCAAATAAAATCTCAAATTCTCAGGACATTCTTCTACCAAGCTAAGAGATACACTAGTAATTATTGCTGCAAGGACACATTCTGGCAAATAATAAAAAACTTCAAGAAAATAAACATAGAATATCAAGCTGATTAAAGATAATACCACTCCCGAAAGTTGCGACTTGGCAGTCAAGGCATTAATTTTGGATCTACCATAACTTCCAAATGTTGGCAAAATGGTAAAAAATGACCCAATAATATTCCCGATCCCAATGCCTACCATATCTCTGTTCATTGAAAAGTCGGTGTTTCTTTGATTCTCTAACAGTTTAGTTGCTGTACTAGTCTCAATGAAGCACAAAATTGAACAAATAAAAGCAGTACTTAGACACTTCTTCACAAGCTTAAAGTTGGAAAAGCTCACAGGAAGTTTAAACTTCTGCAACGGACTAGCATCAACATCTCTTTGACTATTGCCAAAATATTTTCCGATGATCACTACGCCTTCCTTATCCCATTTATAATGATTAGATAAAATTATTGACACAATCACAACCACCAAAATCTCTGGAAAGAAATTAAGCCATCCAAACCTTTTAGCATCCCGATTTATCAACCATTTTTTAGAGTATCTAGTAATTGATAGCACCAAGACTGCAACTGCAGAAATCTTAGCGGTCAAAGGATGTACCAAATCTAAATTGTCAAAGATAAATGTCAATTTATCTATAGTGCTTGGATCAACTTCGTGTAACTCTGCAAAAGCGCTACCTAATCTCAACTCAGTTAGCAATTCTGCCACAATCATCAAAATTCCAAAAGCAGAAATGAACCCACTTAATAAACCTTGGGATACAACATTCCCCAAGAATCCCAACCTGAATAACCCTGCAATGAAGAGTATTGCTCCAATGATAAACGTGGTACATGCCAAAACATCATAGGCAGAAAATGTTTGATTATTGTGAGTAATAGACTCTATCAAACTTCCAACAATCATCGACATCGCCGCACCTGGACCAGTCATTAAGTATAAACAAGACCCGAAGACAGAATAAGCCACAGGACTAATTATTATGGCAAACAATCCGCATCGGACATCAATGCCAATAAGACATGCAAAGGACACCACTAACGGGATTTGAAAAGCGGCAAGAGAAAATCCGGCAACAATATCACCTAGTATATTTTCACTTGCATCATAATTGGGAAGCCAGCTCAATATTGGGAAATAGTAACAAAGATATGTCCATCGCTCATTCCCTTCGCTCGATTTGTTGTATTTGTTTTTAGTGATCTTGAACGAGTCATAAACGTACGAATTGGCACTTGCAATAGAAGTCGATGAAGATGAATGGAATAGTTTAGGCCGGCCTATAGCGCTAGCGCTCGCGGGATCAAGAAGCCCACTTGAAGATTTCCTTTTGGGACTACCAGCTGACACATTGGAGGCCGGAAGTCGAAGCCGATGTGAAGAATTAGCTTTGGAAGTTTTGGGTTTTATTAGGGGTGTATTTTCATCAATCATGGTGAAATATTATTACCTGTTGATAGATCATGTAAGCTAATAGGTTTTTACTGTATTTGTCTTTCTTTTGTGTACTCTCTTAGGATACCAACAATGCTTCAATATTAACCTTGCTCAAGGCATATGGGTGATTTTGACATTCGCACGTGGGAGTACTAAACGCACTGTTTTTTTTTTTGTTTTTTTTGTTTTTTTAACTCAACATGCTTCAGTCAATAATTTCGTGAAATTGTGCTCTGATTTATTTATAGGGTGAATGAGACCCTCAAATCTCTAGATAGACAATAGGGTGATAATAAACCATTGGAAATTTTTTTTTTTTTTAGCAGCTAATGATCCCTTATGAATTCTGGTACTGGAAATATTCTTACAATCCCACTTCGGAATAATTAGAAACTAAATAAAAGAAAGATAACACTAAACTTGAAAAATAAGCTGAGAGAGAGAGCCCTAGATTAGAAGACTAGTATAAGTAAATACTATTTCATTATAAGCATGAGGGTTGTAATGGAAGAAGCAGAGAATATTTAGAGGAAAAAAAAAAGAGAAAAGAGAACATAATTAAAAATGTGAAAAATGTAATAATAGTGTAAAACTAAAAAAAAAAAAAAAAACAAGAGAAAAAAACGACTTAGAGGTTGCAACAAAGAGAAATTCTATTTCTAGTTCTATTTTTCTGGAGCCTCGTTACTCGGTTGTTCGTGAATCTTGGCGGAAATTTGAGACTTGACAACATGTAATTCTTCTGGGTGAGACTCTTGATAAGCCTTCAACTTGTACGATTGACCAGTACAATCCCAGTAGATACCCTTCATAGTGAACCAGATATCTTCACGGCCTTCAACTAATGGGTAAACAACAACGACAAAACCAGTGAAGAAAATCCAAATAAATCCAACAACGATCCAACCGGTGAAAAACTTCTCGGAGAAAATGTATCCAGTTCCGTACATTGGCATTGGCCACATGATTAAGAGCGCCCAGGTCAAGAACAAACAAATATATCCGGCCTTTTTGGAAGCAATTCTCAAATTTTCGCTCTCAGCAGCCAACAACTCTTCCTTTTGGGCTTCGGCTTTAGCCAATTCAACAGCATAACTGCTTACAGGAGCTATATCAGTCTGTTCTCCCTTCTTTTCAATATCATCACTAGCATGAACGCCAGCAGTAGCCTCAAGGATTTCTTCGGTTTCGTCAGCACGTTTGATAGACTTTAAAATGTTCCAGTCAAAGTTTTGTGGACCAAAAGCGTAAGTCAAAACTGGAATGAAGATAATAGGAGAGAGCAAGGCGACAACGTTACCAATCAACATTGGGTAATCAGCAAAGGTGTTAAGGTAAGTCACTGAGCCTTCCAAAGCTTTGGTGGATCCCAACCAAGAACAAATGGAGCAAATAGTACCCAAAATTGGAGACCAAATGGCAGCAGCTTTGTTTTGTTTGGAGGACATGATGGTAGCAGCACAAGGACCGACGGCTGCAGAAATTGCTACACCCATAAATTCGTAAAGGTACCCCATGGAAACATTACCATAATAGATACCTGTTGAGAAACCAGCCATAACAAGGGAAAAAAGAATAACTGACAAGTGGGAAATAAAAATCAATTTTTTTCCGCTGGCATTTGGGTTAACATATTCTCTGTAAATATCATAGGTAAAGATACTTGAAACGGCCATTAATTCGGCGGAAAAGGCAGATGTAACAGCCATGAAGACCTAGTTTTAATCAGTTAGTAATACTTCTTTTTTTTTCTTTTTTTTTTACAAATTTGCTTATAATCTCACTTGCTAAAAAGCCAATGAAACAATACTTACCAAAATTAAAGAGGCACCAGCACCACCTTTACCCATGAGGGCCACAGCAGCATTTGGCAATACAAGGCCTGAAGAAACTTGGGCATCAGTCATTCTGTTTGGATAAGTTGGGAATGATGGGGTATCTTCTAAAGCAAGAGCAGCAAGACCCATTGTTGTGGCAGTGAACCATGGCAAAGCAAACCAAGCCAACCCACCTAAAACGTAACCTGGAAGAGCGGCAGCTGGTGAAGAAGCAAAACCTTTCAACCAGTACCCATTGTCAAGAAAGACTGTTCCGAAGTTACCGACAATATTAATAACAAAGAAGATACCGCCGGATCTTGACTTCATGGTAAGGTAAGAACCTTCAGCATTACCAGAGACGGGAGTTTCTAAAGCTCTCTTTGTTACCAATTCCCAAACAGCAGAAGGGGATCCCAATTTGTCAGAGACCGAAAAGACATTGAATGCAAATGTCATGATAATTACTAAAGAAGCTGTGTTAGTGATCTTGTGATTTGTAAACCAAAAGATCAAGGATCAAGAAAAGAAAAAAATACTTACCGACAATCATAACAGTGTGGGCATAATCAGTGAGGAAAGTAGCTTTAATACCCCCAAACAATGTGTAGACGGTGACACCTAATGGAAGTAAGAAAATAGCAGCCACAGTGTTCATACCAGTCAAGTCACTGATGGTGGCAGAGCCACCGGTAAGCAACATGGCGGTAACCAAAATGTTAGTGGCGAGAGCAAAAAACATATAGACGCCATGAGCCGCCTTACCGTAACGAGTTTTGATGATTTCCAAGTATGTGTGGGCTTCTGGAGCCAATTGCTTAGCCTTAATAGCTAAGAAAGCAAATAAAATGATTTGAACACAGGCACCGGAAGCATAGTAAAACGCACCACTAACACCATTCTTGTATACTTGGGTGGTAGATTGCAATAATGTGGCTAGATTAGTTTGTTAGTTTTCATTATTCCCAAAAATGATTCAAGGTGTTTGAGTCACCACAAAAAAAAAAAATTAAAAAAAAAAAAAAAAGATTTAAATGCCTCCACAGCATATTCAAATCCATCTTATTCGTTTTATTAACTCAGTCATGGGTGACTATCAAAGTATAGTGCGATATTGATGAGCAGAACACTTACCAGCCCAACACCAGGAAGACACCACAGCCGCACCAACCAAACTGGTACGGACAGAACGACCAGCAGAAACGAATTCTTCAGCAGTAACAATTTGCTTTTGATATCTTTTCAAAGCTATAGAAAAGAAAATAACTTGTTAGTCAACTTGTTTGATTCAGTATCATCACCATAAACAAAAATTATTTTCTAAGCAATTCAATACATATGCATAGCAAGTAGTACCAGCATAATTGCAAAAAAGTAATGATCAACAAACAATAATGAAACATACCTAAAGTAGTGAGAATCATACCCACGGAAAAAGCCAAACCGACACCGACGACGACACCATAACCTGCGCCCTGGTTGAGGGCATACTTGACATCAGACATTTTTGTTTATGTGAATGATTGTACAGTTTTTCCTATGTGTTCTTGAATATGGGCACCTTTTTTCTCTTTACCGGCAAGTTTGGAATAGAATACTGGTTTACACACAATATGATTTAATACCGATATTTGGTATGTGAACTACTTTGAAGAGGTTTATATAATGCTAGGGGGGAGGCATTGAAGATCATAACTGACTTACATGAAACTTACCTTATCACAGAAGATAAGGCAAGCATATTGCGGGCCTCCTAACCATTTACGAGAACGGCGAAAAATACAAAAAAAAAAATTGACAGTTTCGCCGACTTATCAGATTAGTCAACACAATTCGTTGACCAATCCCTGGAAAGAAAAAAAAATACACATTGTGAACACCGCAAAAGATAAAAAGATAATAGAAATAACAATAAATATGGTACTTCTGATAATAACAACGCTCCCACATTAAAAGAAAACGGTTGAAATCCTGATTTCTCTTTCTCCCGTTTCTCTTAATTGGTGAGTGAGTGTTCAAAGAAAAATTATCTGCAGATCTTTTGGCATTGATAGATAAGAATATCATATCTTTAAAACAGATTTGCACCTTTATCATATCTTTTTACTGCAACATGGGCCGCACCCTAAATCTTATATAGTATACTCAGAACTTTAGAATCAATCACGTAGAATAACAATTACTAGTGTGTAAAATCCCCTGCGATTAGGCTAAAAAATACAGGGTAGGATATGATATATATCTCCTTTCCTCATGTTTTACAATTATTTAGCCTATTCGGTTTGTATTTTCTTATTCCTCCAGTGTGAGAAACCTTTGGGCTAAGTTAACTATCTGGTCCAAAGAAGAAATTATACCGGATATTGCTGGTGACCCCTTCAATCCTAGGGCATACTGACGAAGATTAAAGGAGAAAGTATTTTCTGGATGATGCCCATTATGTCCATTTCAAGATGGTGTACTTCATATAACAGCTTATTTTAAGTTGATGTTTTGCTGGCACTTCTGTAAAACTATAGGTGTGATACGATGAGTTTCGTAGAATGTCTTTTATTCTAGCCGCTACTCAACTATTATTTGAATATCGGACTAGTCAGTGCCATCTTCCCAAACCAGCAATCTCACATGACCAGATATAGTACGATGTTCTACTTTAGTAATTATTAATTAAATGGTTATTTTTAATTGATTTAATTACCAGCTTGCAGCAACAGCATTTTTTTTTTTTGACAAGAACACGTCAAAATGTACCACATAAGCGGAAAAAACAAAATAAGAAAAAAGGAGATACGACTTAGCTGGATGACATATCCTTTAAATTGATTATGAGTTTTAATAATAGCGTACCGTAATTAATAAAGGTAATTTTAATTCCGATTCTAATGCAAATAACGATATGCTGCCACCAATAAGACTGATATAACGCTCATACTAAAGTACCTATGGGTTCCAGAACATTCTGTCTTCTTAAGATTTGAATTGTTTAAAGAAAAACAAAGCGAAGCAGAGCCAACGACGATCCATACAACTGTTTAAGGTTGAAAAAAAAGAAAATCAAGTGTTTTGCAGACTCTTCTGTTCACTTAAATTGTGTGTTGGATATAGAAAGAAGCATGAAAAGTTTTGTAATTTCAGGGTGCTAACAAGTTAAGTTTGCATTATCACCCCTTCACACCCTCCGTGAAAAAAATTCGAGAAAAAAACAAACGCGAAGAAGAAAAAAAAAATTTTCTATGAAAAGCTTCTTAATTTCTTTTACAACAGTAAAACCTTGTTTTTTCCTTCCTTTTTTTTTGATTTTTTTTTTTGCCTTTTTCAGGTTTTTTCTCCCCAATTAAAAATGGTTTGGACTATAGATTTTGTAAATGAGAAGGCATCTCCATCTCAACTTGTCAGTGTTGTTTGTAGGCACCGTTAAGCGACGCTAAAAAAAATATATATAAATAAATATTTATAAAAATAAACGCAGGCAACAAAAATTGTTTTCCGGCGGCATTTAAAATATTTGACATAACAAGAAACCACTTTAGTATATATAAATATATATATATATAAGCTTGAACAATCCCTATTGGGAACGCACTGGTTTCTTTTGTGCAATTCATTTGAAAATAAGGAATGTAGAGTCCCGTGTGAGGGCCTCGAACAACATGTTTGGAACTTTTGTGAATCAAGAATGGAAATGTCTCCACAATTCCTGATTTTTTACCCAAGTTCTTTTCCTTTTTGAACATTCATCACACTTATTAGCAAGGGGTATATCAAAAGCTTTTACAATAATAAATTGTTGCAATCAAAAAATTGGCAACAAATTAGCTAATTATATTCTATGGGAAAGGGAATAGCAATCATAACTAGTGGAAGCAGTGTGAATGTATATATACTTGACCAAAATGATTAATAAGGAGGCGGCTGTAGGGATCTTCTAGCAGGGCCGACTCTGTATTTACCTGTTGAGTGTACATTTCTATCGACGACCCACAAACAGTGATTGATCTATGGTGATGAGTAGTGCTTCATACACAAAGTCTCGAGCTGGCATCACCTTTACATCTAAACGATCGTTAGCATTCTTTTTTCCTCGGATTTTTCTTTTTCTTACAACAAAATTTTGCCTTTCTATCACATAGAAAGTTTGCCGAGGTAGTTGGCATCTTGCAGGTATATGCATCAAAGTGCGTATGTAACTGATTCCCCCTCTCCAAACAGGACATTAGTGGGCATCGTTATGGGAATTTCTCGCTGCTCTCCCTGCCGAACCACATTACTGCAGGAGTGACCTGCCTGCCTGCTGTTAGGGAGCCCTGGTCAAAAGCAATGTCCAGAGACCCCAATTGTCTATTTCCTGCAGTGTTTGTGCGCCATCCACCACAACATTCAGCAAAGTATATTCGGGGGGTGGCACAGGCCCCAACATTTTGTGTGGGAAGCTGCAAGATGTTGAGTTGTTTTTTTGTTTTTTTTTTTACTTTTTTTTTTTTAGAAGTAATAACGAAAATTTTCAGGTTAACTCAGCGGGCAGCAGCATTACCAGCGGCAACTACGGTTTCGATCCCTCGCTCTTTGACTGCAATGTATATAACGCTCATCATCCGCAAATTTTCAGTCCGCCATCGCCCACCTTCCGTGCCCCTTATACACCAAATTATCCAAAACATTGCCATTCACAACAGCAAGATCTGATTGATATATAAAATATTATTATTAGTTGGATCCAGATCTCCCATAATATAAAGAAAGAAACAGGGAGACAAAAAAATAAAAATAAAAAAGAAAAAGCAGAGAATTGGAAATTCACTTCAGCGCGTATTGCACACTCATCTCTTGTATCCTCCAAAGCATCCCCAGTTTATCTTTTGGAAAATTAATTGATTGACTACAAAGGCTAAGTATAACAGAAGCATTATGTCAAACTTCAACTTTGCCTCCCAACAGGCTTTTACCCAGATTGATAACTCATCATCAAGTCTCGGCATGCCTCAACAATCCCATTCCCCAGTCCAGCAACAGTTTGTTAACAATCCTTCCGCCATCCTTGCCACCCCTCAACAACAACAACAAATCCACTCTTCTCCATCTTCTCAGCAACAACAACAATCAAAGGAAAAGTCTCAATTATGGATGGGTGAATTGGACCCTTGGTGGGATGAAAGTACTATCCGTTCAATTTGGTCATCTCTTGGTGAAAACGTCATTAATGTCAAACTTATCAAGGAAAAATCTATGGATCCAAACGCTTCTGCCACCAGCAACAATGCCGGCTACTGTTTTGTTGACTTTGGTAGCTATTTGAATGCCTCAAAAGCAATTATGAAAAATGGTTTACTCATCCCGGGAACAAACAAAGTCTTGAAACTTAACTGGGCTTCTGGCTCCAACAACTTTGTCTACAATTCTAACAACAATCCTTTGACTCCAAGCAACAATTCTATGAATGGCAATATGAACGAATCATCTATTTTTGTTGGTGATTTAGCTAATGATGTTAAAGAGCATGACTTGTTTGAATTGTTCAAATCTAGATACCCTTCTGTTACAAATGCAAAGATCATGATGGACCCTGTTACTGGAACTTCTCGTGGTTATGGATTCATCAGATTTGCAAACGATCAAGACCAACAACGTGCTTTGATTGAAATGAATGGAATTGTCGTGAACGGCAGACCTCTCAGAGTTAGTACTGCTGTTCCAAAGAACTCGGTCAACAACTCAAGCAACCCTGTCAGTGCGACTCCCTTGTTCAGCAACAGCCCTAGCAGACCAATTGCTCCACAAACTTCCCAGTTTCAACCTCCATTGAACCAATATACTGATCCAAATAATACCACAGTTTTTGTCGGTGGATTAAGTAATGGTGTTTCAGAACAACAGCTTCGTTCCTTCTTCCAATCCTTCGGTGATATCATTTATGTTAAAGTTCTTAACAATAAGGGCTGTGGTTTTGTTCAGTATGTTCTTCGCTCTAGTGCCGAAAATGCAATCCAGCAAATGCAAGGCTACCCAATTGGTAATTCTAGAATTAGATTGTCTTGGGGGAGAAGCTCTGTACAGAACAACCAAAACCAGCAAAAGTACTTGCAACAATTAGCTGCTCCAAACTTATATACTCAATTCAATAGTGAATTGGGTAACCTTAATTCTACCATCAGTACTGCCACCAACTTGACCGCTACTCCTGCCTCAACTACAAACTTCCAGTCCTCCCCTAGTCCAACTGGTATATCCTCAAACATTTCCATTCTTGGATCTGTCCCAATGAATTCAACTCTTTTCCCAACACAGACTCTTACTCCTCAACAGCAACAACAAGCACAGGGTTTGTCAAATGGCACCGGTCTTGCCGCTCCAGTTCCTACCGGTATCTCCAACCCAAATACTTTCAATCTATCATCGACCCTTGGCGCTCCATCCATCGTAAACTCTAACTCCGTGGGTAATGTTCCAACTAATGGAATCAATACTGGTTCAATGTTGGCCAATATTGATGGATCTACTGATCAATTGAGATTGAACACATTATTGAATGCTGCTAGAGATGGAAGATTGGATCGTGTCGAAGCCAGTAGTGGTGGGTTCATTTACGCCTGATTCGTGACTTCTGTTTGATTAGTTTTTGTTACAGTTATGGTGTAATCGATTAGTGAAGTGAGATAGATCTCAGGTTATGAGGTTGTGTTAGCTCGTTGGGTTTGGAATGAAATTAATTTATGTTTTTGTTATTGTTGATAATTATGATTTATGTCTTATAAAAATATTGTTGTTGTTCGTTTAGTTGGATAATCTTGTTCCCATGTTATCTGTTTATTTCGTTCTTTCCCGAAACCTTTTTTTCAACCCTGCCATGTTGGTATCATTTTTTGGTGGTTTATGAAAAGAAAAGGTTTACTTTTGGTTCCACTACTTCTTCTGGATTTCTTGGTTGCTAATTTCTAGTTTTATTTTGTTGTTTCTATTTGATTTGTCTATTTGTCTGCTGCTATTACAGTTCTTTCCTGTCATGAAGTCAAGATTTAGAACGGTTGTCGAGGTTATTTTCATTACGAATTACTTTATCCATTGGGAAAAAAAAAAAAAAAAAAGGTGAGCTAAGAAGCAGAAACGTTGTTATTCTGCGGTTTGCTTCTTTTCTTCTCATTTTCGTTTCGATTCAATGCATTGTGTTAATATTTTATTAATTTTCTTCACTTTTTTTTTATTCTACAGAAGACCAGTTTTTTTTTTCAAGAGAGCACACCAAACGATTATTCAATGATGGAATAAAATCAGCATCGAAAAGTGAAAGCACTCTTCAGTAAATTATTCTTCAGGTTGCTTTCGTTTGTTGATAGTTGAAATTTGTTGCCGGTGTGCCTGCGTTTGTTATTGATTAGATTGTTATTGCTTTATTTTGTTGCTTATTCTTCCCAAGATATAGAGATATTGCCACTTTATCAAGCCAATCCTCCTCATGGATCCGCCATCATACACTTTTTTATTAATTGCTTTTTTGTGTTTCAAACTTATTCATCCCTAAATAGTTGTTTTTTCTTTTGTTTTTGCTGCTTACACACCCACCGTTGTTACAACCACCTATTTATTCTCAACTAGCCTTCTGTCATCTATTGCATCTGGATCCCCTTTTATTTGTGCTGGTTGTTGAATTTTCTATGCTAGTCCCTATCATCCCTATCAAAGCAACCAAAGGCCTGTCTCTTCTTGATCGAGATTGTTATTTCATACTCTTTTGGGGGATCATTTCTAGTTGGCTTTGTTGTTCAATTTTCCAGACCATCTGTTGTTACTCTGCTAGCTTTATTTATTTTCTGAGACATCAAAACCAATTTTCAGCTAACTTGTTTTTTGCTTTTTGTTTTGTTTGCGTTTTTTTTTTTTGTTACTTTATTAGTATTGTCTTTGTTATTATGATTATTATTATTATTATTATTATTATTTTACTTTAACTTTGTCTAACTATTGTCTACTGCTTTTTTATCCATGTTTTTTGTTGCCATTTTCAGTTTTCAAGTTTTGATATTTATATAACGAACCAAAAATAAAAAAAGATATATTTCTGTTATTATTGTTGTTCTAGTACTTATTTATGGTCTCTCTCTTTTAATTTTTTTTTTCGATTTCAGAAATTTTTTTCATGAAAACAGGAAAAATTTAAGATGAAGACTGATTTTCCTAGAATGCAATCCCTGAAGTTGGACATGTAATCATATGAAGACTAAGAAGATATAACCACCATCACGTGTATTTTTGAGAACTCTCGATAACCACTGTAAACAGGATTAGTACGTTTCAAGAGTTAATCCTAACTCTATATTGTTAGAAAAGATATTAATTACCTCCAATCTGGCGCCATTTCTTACAAATTGAGAAGGAAAAAAAAAAAAAGAAAGAAATTACAAATTATATGATTGCTGTGTAGATAACTCTTTTTTACCCCTCTGCATGTGCACACTAAAAAGCAATCAATGAATTGACGACCACAAATATTCATTTTCTGTGGGAAATAGTTTCATTTTTCAGACTCCCTAGGAAACAAGTCACATACGGAGATCTCTTTCAGGTAATTTTGTTTTCTGTTGTTCACCAGTCTAGAAGACTCGTTCGTATAGGGTTTGCAACATGTATCTGAAACACACAGAGATGTGGTCTTATGCTGTCAATTCTGACAACAGAATCGTCAGAAAGTTTAGGTGTGCCAATGTCCCAAAAGTGTGACGGTAGGAAACTCATTAGTGTGGCCTGGAACCTAAAATCATGATACTGATATATCTTGCTATTCTAATACGGGATATGTATCTCACAAAATATTCGAAATCGTATCACGATGGCAAGCTTATCTCATGAAAGAAAAACAAAAAGAAAGAGGTCTCTCTCTGATCTCCTCTTTATCACGGACTGCTTTTAGATGCGTAGCAATAAAGATAAATAAACAATAAAAAGAAAATAGATAAGACTAGAACAATTGGCATTTGGATTTGTGCTGCTTGCAAGTAGCAGTTCAAAGACATGACCAAGTAATGTCCAATAGGGTGATTTTTGATCTACAATACTCCTGCAACACATAATATTGCGTCCAACAAGAAAACTTTTGACAATTTAAATACACTTCATGTTGACACCCTACGTCCTTGTATTGTTTGGACATTTATTGCTGTCGATCAGGGTGATTAGCAATAATAATTATTACTTTTTCTATTCAAAAAGAAATCAAAGATGCTGAAATCTTTGGTTTCTAAAAACCCAATTAAGAGATGCATGTGTTTCATCGAGATGTCCAGGCCAACAAATGGCGGCCTTCCCTGGCGTATGGCTAGACTGTGGGGTCTGTCACCCGCTACCCATCTGCGTGCGAATAGACTGTACTTTTGTTTGTTGTGTGTCTTTCTATTATTATTATTCTCATCACAGAGGTCTGAACAAAGGATCGTATACAATATTCTTCTGGTTTGAAGCAAATGCATAGAAGCACTTCGCTTGGTGGACCGCTGAACGGTGGCAAAGATCCCGTGAAGAATGGGAGACCAACCCCCACTTCATTTCTACGAAAACCTTCATCACAGTTGCCCCAATCGCTAAAACCACCAGCAGGAACTAGTGGCAGAAATTCTACATTACGATCATCAAGTCTAAGACCAAAAACCTCAGATCCCAACTTCGCAAAAGTGGGAAATCAGGATAATGAAAAACCTCTTAAGCAGCGAACCCCAATCCGACCAAACTATGCCACTCCCATTGGAAGCGGGCATGAAAGTAGTAGCGGATCCCTAAAGCCATTGAGACCAACACCTAGAAGCTTAAGTCTAGCGGGAACTGTGACCTCCGATCGACGGCCTGTGAGTGGAAGAAGAAGTATTACTGGTGCTGTAACAAGAAGCATTACCAACGGAATCAATAGACCAGATCACAGGGTTAATGATGAACTCAAAAAATCAAAGAGTCCTACAACTGGCAGTGCCAATGCGAAGGCTGTAAGTGGCAAAAACTTATCATCAAGAGATCCAAATTCTAGAATAAGCGAGCCGAGAAATGAAATTTCAGAACAGAAAATTAATAACGAAAATTCAGCAAAGGAAAATGCGCCTGTTGATGCTTCTAATGAGGAACGCGAGAAATTACAACGAATCATTTTAAAGCTCCAGGAGAAAATCCGCTCCATGAGTCAAGAAATTGAATCTTTTAAACAAACAATCTCGATTCTCGAAACTGAAAACTCTAAACTTAAAGAAACCGCGGAAGTGAATGAGGAAAATTTTGAAATGTTAACCATCGATAAAGAGGTTTTAGATGAGCAAAATCAATCATTGACCGATGGACTTGAAAGGTTGAACGAGAAATATTCCCAATTAAAGAAAGAGTTAGATCTTCTAAAAATACAAGGTGGAATAGCGACAAAAATGGAGAAGAAGGAAGAAGAAGTTGGGGCTGATGTGCTTGTGGAAAGAAATGAAAAGTTAGAGATTGCATTGATCAAATTGCGTGAAGTTAGTAACTCCAAAGAGTTTGAACTCACTTCCCAAATTGAATTGTTAACTAATCAGCTTGAGAGCTCTGAGGATTATAAACAGAAATACGAAACTGTATCACGAGAATTGGAGCGAGCCCAGTTATTGATTGTCGATTTGAAGTACCAGCTTGATTCTTTACTTGAATCAGCCGATTTGATCGAATCTCTCACCGAAAAAAATGACAACTTGACAGAAGCAAACACGAGATTGAAACAAACTGTCGAAGAATTGGAAGATCTTAGAGATTTGGCTAACGATTTGGAGGATGCCCACATTCAGACAGAAAAAGAATTAAAGAACGACATTAAGCAACTACAGAAAGTCATCGATGGAGAAAAGATCACTATTGAAAATCTCGAAAAGCAAACGAAATATTATGAGACTTTAATTAGTACCCAGAGACAAAAACATGAGAATGAATTAATTAAAACAAGAACAGAATTCTCAGATATTTTGCAAAGCAACACAATGGAATCAATTCATGGTGGTGCTGATGTTGAAATCCTAGAAAATAAGATTAATGAGTTGAATTTGAAGATTAGCAGGCTAAACTCCATAAACTCTCAAAATGAGTTACAAAATAAAATTTTGCACTTAGATTACACTAATGAGCATAACCTTCTAGAATTTTATGAAAAAAGTTTTGAAACTGTCGTGGGAGAAAATGATCCTAAAATTAAAAATTATGAGGACCTTGTCAAATGTATTCAACTTATTCCTTCAATAACTGAAGTTTTAGATATCATAACGAATATGATTTTCTCTAACGATCTGAATTCTACCTGCGAGATGCTATATGGTGGGAAAGATTTCATGCAACTTGAATCATTTTATCAAATCCTTTTAACAAAGCTCAAATATGTTGAAGACACTGAGGACTATTCTAAGATTTTGAACAGTTTATCTACAACATACAAATACTTGAAAGATACTTCTAGTAAAATTTCAAATTCAGAACTTTCGGTGGGAAAGTTTTCTGATGCAATATCTTATGTGACCAACACATTGGCGCTTGCATTCCCAGATTCAAAAGGTAATGATTTTGAAAGCTTTTATAGGGAAATTTTTGATGGATGGTCTAACTTTGAATTCAAGAGTGTTGATAGATTGAGTTTGCAACTATTGAATATTTTATCCCACGCTAAAGTGTGTGTAAAATATCTTGGGCTTATCAATAGATTTATCGAAAATGATGTGACAATTGCTTTAGAAACAGATTCCAAAGATGGTATTGCTAACGTGACACGAGGGTTTAGCGACTTATTGAAAAATTATCTTACTTTACAAATCCTTTGCGAAAATCAATTGAGTGACTTATCATTCAAGAAATCAAAAAATCAAGAATTAGTCGGTGACATAGAAGAAATATTTTCAGGAAGCATTTTTTTTAAATCAATAGGGCATTTAACAGAAATAACTTCGGATTTGTTTAAAATTGCCCTCAAAATAGAGTATGAAAACAATTCTTTCACAGCTGAGCTTGAAGGCAAAGACTTTAATTCTATCTTGTCCAAGTTTCTTAATGATCCAAGTTTGCTCAAGAATCAACGCTCTAAAATCCAATCGGTTATTGAATGCTTGTCAAACTTTCCAAAATTTGCTACCAAAACTATTGATCAGAAACCTTTTTATGAGAGATATTTTGAACAGCATTTATTATCTAATGATAGCAGCCGTAATGTTAAGGAAGTTGAAACTTTGAATTCTCAAATCTCAGAATTAGCCAATTCTTTCAATGAAAAGGATCAACTCATTTCACAACTTACTTTGAAAATCAACGTTTTGAAGAATAAATTGGGTATTGAGGCTGATAAGGATTCTAAAATTAAGGCGTTGGAACAATCCATGGATCAGGCCGTCAAAGACCTTTCCAAACAGAAAAAAACAATCGAATCACTACTGGTGACGAATAGACGACAAGCATTAGAGTTACGGAGAAAATTGAAGAACAAAAACTTAATCGGCGATTTTACCTCAATCTTTGAAGAGAAGGAATTTGTTGGCAAACTAACTTTGATGTCCGAGATCCAAGTTATGAAAGATGTGGTTGGTTATTTGACAGTGCAACTTCGCGAGCAAAAACTGAAATTGACCAGCTCAATATTCGGATTACCTACGAGTTTTGATTGGTTAACCACTAACAAATCGTCTGCATCACTGGATCTTTTATCAAATCACAGCAAACTACGTCAAGTCACTCAGAGAAAGTTGTTTGATCTTGCTAGTAGAACAAAAGTATTATCTGTCAAACAACCAAATGATAAAGAATTGTTACTGTGGAGACCAAAGGCATCACTACAAAGTTACTATGTTGCCACGATAGATAAGCAATTTTGTGAATACAGAAATGATAAGGCTAGAGTTTTACATTAAAGAATTGGCAATAAACCAGCAGTTAATAAAACATATAATTGACAATAAGCTTTGTAACAAAAAAGTTTATGCGTCGATACTCTGAATTTAATAATATAATAATATTAAGTAAGTACAAACAAAGATATGATGAAACCACTACAAACTGAAGTTTGTATAATGTAAAAGTGGAAACGCCCCCAGCAAAAAAATAAAAATAAATACAACAATAAAAATAAAGAAATTGAACAAAAATATTGAAGAAAAAAAACTAACCCCATCATGAGAATCAAAGAATAATCACTTCTTACTGGATTTCACCGCATCTATTAAATGCTGAACAATTGGAGGATTGCTCAAAGTTGAAGTATCCCCCAATTGATCTTCCTCACCAGCCAAAATCTTCCGTAAAATACGTCTCATGATCTTCCCACTTCTGGTCTTTGGCAAATCATCGACAATGAAAATCACCTTTGGAGCAGCAAAAGGGCCAATTTCTTTGCGGACCCCCAATATGATTTGCTTTTTAGCATCTTCCACTTGAGTGCCCGACAAATTTTTGTTCTTCAATGCGACAAATGAAGCAATGGCCTGGCCAGTCAAATCATGCGAGTATCCAACGACGGCATTTTCAGCAACCAAAGGATTTTCAATGATTGCCGCTTCGATTTCCGCGGTAGACAACCTATGACCACTAACATTGACAACGTCATCAACTCTTCCCAAAACCCAATAAAACCCATCCTTGTCACGCGCCCCGCCATCGCCAGTGAAAAAGTATCCAGGATAAGGCTTAAAGTATGTCTCGTTGAACCGACCAAAGTCTCCCCAGATGGATCTGGTGACGGATGGCCAGGCTTGTTTGATCGCCAACACCCCTTCGACATTATTTCCTTGCAATTCCTTGCCAGTAGTTGGGTCCAAGATGGCAACGTCAATACCAAAAAATGGCAAAGAAGCCGATCCTGGCTTAGTTGGGGTGATTCCTGCCAATGGAGTAATGACAATACTCCCGGTTTCGGTTTGCCAATAGGTATCTTGAATAGTACATCTTCCTTGGCCAATCTTTTCATTATACCATTCCCAAATTTCTGGGGCAATAGGCTCACCAACAGACCCCAAGGATCTCAAAGAAGATAAATCATGACCCTCGATAAATTTATCCCCGGCTTTTTTCAACAATCTAAGTGCGGTTGGGGCAACGTAGAATTGGGTGACTCTGTGCTGTTCGACAATCTTCCAATATCTTGAAAAATTTGGGTACGCTGGTGTGCCTTCAAACACCACAGTCGTAGCACCATTCAATAGTGGACCATAAATGACGTAGGTATGACCAGTAATCCAGCCAATATCACCAGCAGTAAAGAGAATGTCATTTGGATTAACATCAAAAGTGTACTTGGTGGTTAATAATGCGCCCAACAAATAGCCAGCGGTGCAATGTTGGATCCCCTTTGGCTTGCCAGTGGAGCCAGAAGTGTATAATAAGAACAATGGGTCTTCAGAGTTGACTGGGGTAGGTGGGAAGTAAGTTTTAAACTTGACAATCTCGTCATGGTACCAAAGGTCTCTTCCATTGGCATTGAATGGGACGTGGCGATTGCCAGTTCTTTTGACAACAATAACATTTTTAACTTGTGGGGCTTCTTTCAAGGCCTCATCGACAATTTTCTTGGTTTCGATGATTTTGCCTCCTCTTTTTGATTCGTCAGCAGTGATGACAATTTTGGAATCAGCGTTATTGATCCGATCTCTTAAGGCGCCACTAGAAAACCCAGCAAACACCACAGAATGGATCGCCCCAATTCTGGTGATCGCCAAAATGGTGATGACCGCCTCAGGGATCATTGGCAAATAAACGGCGACGGTATCACCTTTTCTGACCCCCAAACTCACGAGAACTTGGGCCAATTGAGAAACCTTGGCCAATAGTTCGCTATAAGTGATAATACTCCCCTCGTTGGGCTCATCGGCTTCGTAAATGATTGCTGGTTTATCGGGATTGGCAAACGCATGTCTGTCGACACAATTGTAACATGCATTGAGTTGACCGTTGAGAAACCAGGAGGCGTTAAACCCGGTCTTTGGGTACTTTACCAAATCAAAGTCTCTGGACCAGGACAATTCTTTTCTCGCTTGTTCCCCGAAAAAGGCTTCTGGATCATTTATTGAGTGTCGGTAAAGCTCTTCGTACTCTTCGAAAGATGCGAGACTTGGCTTGGAAGGGTGGTTTGCTGCCCAATTGGCTGGAGGAAGCACCTTGTTCTCATGCATGAGATGCTCATTTTCAAGAGATTTTGACATTGCTAAACAAACCACTGAATATGATGATAGCAAAAGTTATACGATGGTATACTATAAATCACCATTATTGTATAAATCGTGGGATATATATATATATATATATATGAGAGGGGAGGTGCAGGATGGTGGGGGAGAGTGGTGAGGGACAGAACGTGACTTTTGGCAGTTTTTTGGTTGTTTGTTGGCTTTTTTTGTGTGTGTGTTTCTTTTTGTTGTTTCTCCTCTTCTCCGCTTTTTGATGCTGCGCCGTTTGAGAAGCACCAATACAATCAATACACAAAGTAATTCTCCAGATATATATATATATATATATTACACAGATAAATACGTAATCAGTCGACAACTTCAAAGTTGTCCATCAAGAACCGGTACAATTCTCCCACCACCACCTGCTTCACTTTGGCATCCATCTTCTGGTTGTACAATTCGTCGAGATCGAGTTGTTCCATGATGTTGGTGAAGTTCAAGTTCGCGGTACTGTGGAGCTCCACCGAGATTTTGTCCTTCAACTCCTTGATCCACCCGGTCTCGTACAACTGCTGGCGCAACTTTACCGCGATCTCGTCGTATTTCCCCAGCTCCACCAACTGCTTGATCACTTCGTTCTTTGCCGCCACAGCATTGGTCATGATTACCGTAAGTCAATCACAGCTTGCTTGTTTCCTGTGGTCCTTTTATTCTTTCTTTTCTACTTCCCAGCCTTTTTTTTTATTCGTTTTTTTTTTTGGCCACCTGCATCGATTATGTAATCTGATTATAAAGTGTTACATAATCTGACATATCAAGGATTACATAATAATATGGGGGATTGTGTCTATTCCCTCCAGCCGGGCAAAAAAAAAAAAAAAAGAAAAAGGGAAAGGAAGAGAAAAGAAAGAAGAAGAAATCACGACTACGGAGAATCCAGGATAAGATAACCACGGATGACTGGCAACTTGAAGGGAAATACGTTGCCAAGTCATGGATCAATGGCTAATTCTTTTTGGACTGCTAGCAATAATCAGCGTCCCACCCACCCCGGCATTCGGAGCTAGTCTGGTTTCTTGCCAAAAGCAAACATTCTTGTAAAAACACTCCATCTTCCTCTTTTTTTTTTTCCGCAAAGTAAATTTCGATGTTAGTGTATATTTTAGGCCTTTCATGCTACGATTAGGTGGTGTCAAAATGATTAACGATAAGGGATTAATTGAAATCTGCCATGATGAAGTTCCACGTGTGAGTCGCGTGTGACTCAATTCTGTTTGTGTCTTTTTTTTTTTTTTTTTTTTTTTTGGTGCGATTTTTTTTCCATGGTAATCCTAGAAACGATGGATAATATTAGTATTTTTGCCCCCAGTCAAAAGATAGATCTGTTATCACATTGTTCCCTTAAATCAACAGTCATGGATTTCCTCAAACCAGAAACCGTTCTTGATCTTTCAAACATTAGATCCGCCTTGGTGAGAATGGAAGATACTATTATCTTCAACTTCATTGAACGCTCTCAATTCTTCTCCACCCCATCCATTTATGAACCAAACAGGTACCCAATCCCTAACTTCAATGGCTCTTTTGTCGAATACGCTTTGCTTCAAAAAGAGCGCTCGGAGTCACAATTACGCCGGTTCCAAGCCCCAGATGAACATTCTTTTTTCCCAGCCTCTGAACTTTGTGAACCAATTTTACTGCCTATCAATTACCCAAAGATCCTTGCCAGCTACAATGAGGAAATCAACGTCAATGACGAAATCAAAGAATATTATATCAACAACATTGCTCCGGTGATTAGTGTTACTCAGGGAGAACAACAAGAAAACTTGGGAAGTTGTACTTTATGTGATATCGACTGCTTACAAGCTTTGAGTAGAAGAATCCATTTTGGAAAATTTGTGGCTGAATCAAAATTTATTAATGATCGCGAAGCCTACACAATCATGATCAAGAATAAAGACGCCAAGGGACTTGAGGCTGCCATCACCAACGCCGCTGTTGAGGAAAAAATCTTGCAAAGGTTGACTGAAAAAGCCGTGGCCTATGGTACTGATCCTTTACTTAGAGTCAGCCAGAACCAACAGAGTAAAGTGAGGAGTGACGTGTTGGTGAGCATTTACAAAAACTGGGTGATTCCTTTGACAAGGAAAGTAGAAGTTGATTATTTGCTAAGAAGATTGGAAGATGATTACTGATTATGGTTATCCATTTTCACCCTCCTATATTATATTATAGAAAATTGTTTTATAGCTTTTTTTTTACTAAATCAGATTTACTACGTCAATAAACTGATAATATTCCATCATCATGATACAAAACCAATATGAACATGCAGGAAGGGAGAAAGGGGGGATTTTTTTGGATTCCCCTCCCCCTCTCTCTCCCTCTCTCTCTCTAATTCCTATCATATTACAGGCTCATTATTCCATGATCCCTGATATATTGATCATGTTTTTTGTAACTTTACTGAACTTTGCTGCCTCGTTTCTCAATTCTACCTCGTTTATTCCCAACTGATCACCTATTCCCGGAGTCATCATCTGTTTAATCAACTTCAACAATTCAATATTTTGGGTCACTTGAAGAGAGAGTTGCCGCTGGGAAATCCCCCCTTCTGGCCCATTCTGTGAATCGTAATCCGGTAGGTGGACATTCATAGATTGTGCAAGGGAAATGATTGCTAGACATTGAGACTCGATAGAGCATATTAACGATTGTATTGAGGATGACTTTGAGTGCGAGTGCGAGTGCTTTGAAAGAATGTCTGAAATTGAACGGCACGATTTGAGGGTCATTTGAATGATAGGCTTTGTCAAAGTATGGAATTTTCCCGGTGCTGGTAGTGGCTGCACTAAAGCTTCTACAGGCTTTTCATATATTCTCTCATCTATTGGAGGTGTATCATTATTGGTGGCTGGTTTCATGATCACTGATGCATTATAAATCTCATTAAAGCATCCAAACACTGATAATATCAACATCCTTAGAAAACAAACATCAGTCAGTTTTGTCAATTGTTCAAGGTTCTCTTTTACCAAACATGCCAATTTTCTGAATGTCACCACACTATTCACCACATGGGTCAATACTGTTTCAATAATTTCGTGCCTTGGAGTCATAAAACTCAAAGAGTCGAGGTCAATATCAGATTCGCAAGATTCAAGGGCTTCCGCCAACTTATGGATTTTCTTCCGACTAATGAGCAATGTGGTGACAAATTTCTCTTGAGTTTTGGTATGCCCGGAATTATTAAACTGTGTAAACTTCTTTAAGGCATTATATAGTTCACTGAATGCAAACAATAACTTCCTAGAACATTTTAATACCTGGGCGGTTGCTTGTTCCGTCCTTGAAGGTTCTGTCAAAAGCGTAAGTTTAGCAAAGTATTCACTACTATGGTTACTAGTTGTATTAAGAGAGTCTGAAGATCCGGGAGCTCGATTTTTGGGACTGACCGATGCCTGCTTTCCACCATAGGTAGAGGACTCGAAATCTAAAGAAAATGTGGAATTTGGTTGAGAAAGTTGACCACCACTGCACAGTTTGTGGTGTTGAATATTATTCCTGTGTTTTAAAGGGCTTTGGCTGCGTTCACGAACAAGATTCTTGGAAGATATATTGTTACCTGCTAAAGCAATAGCATCATTAGAGCCGCGTTGAAGACTGTAGTCAGATCTTTCTCTTGGACCAATACTTCCGGCACTCGGTGATGGGCTAGGATTGAGCAAGGTTTTGGGAAATTCAAAATTGGTGATATTAACAGAAACCATCGATGATGGATCATGATCACGACTCGTGTAACTTCCATTACTCTGAGAAAATTGTGATTTCTCAGCACCGCCCGCCCCTTCCTCATAAATCATATTGTTGAACACATGTTGATCCCCATTTGTGAATTTGTCAATATTGGCTTCGGTGTAACTCTTTGAATGTCCATATTTCCCAGAACTTCTTGGATGGTGTATATATTGATGATCATTGCTTGTCAGGCATTTATTTCCATAATTCAAGGAGACCACCCCATCTCCTATCGTTTGGTCCAAGGTGATAACTCTAGGGTTGCCTAGTCCCTGATCGGTAATAATATCTTTCAATGAGTCGATGGATATACTGGTTTGATGGCTAGCAATGAATCCACGTCGCTTATTCAGGTTGTCACTACTCCGCCCCATAAACAGCGGAATGAAGGTTTCGGCATTACTTTGGGATCGTGACAATTTCGATGGCCCCCTATTGAGAACAGACTCAATGTTTAGCTTTGAGCTCATAGTATTAAAAAAAAAAAAAAGTAAGAATGATGGCTAATCAGGGTCCTAGTTGATTAGCGAGGAAAGAAAGTGGAATTCCTCGAAGCAATTGTATAAATAGATCGGATTGTTCCACTGAATCCTCAATTGATAACATGAGGCTAACCGGGGCTTTGTGCATCCCGTAGAAAAGTCCACATGTCAAAAATAGACGAGTCATCGTGAAAACTAAGGGGGGGGAAGGGGGAGACATGTAAGAGTCTAAACAATAGTTAGAGCTTTACCAATCGATATATATATATACTACCCTAATATATACTATAGTATATATTATAAACTCTTACAATGTTCTTTTTGGGGAAAAAGAAAAAGTAGTACATCAAAAAAATCTCGGCTGTAAAAAATTTCAAAACGCAAAATAACATGAACAGAAATAGCAAAAACTAACGAAAAAAAAGATAAGAAAAAAAAGGAAAAAAATTAATATATTATAAATAGGACGCCTGAAAACCATTCATCAATCCAGCCGTTTTTCCTTCAAAGATTCTACCAATTTGTTATCGTCTTCCTCCTGTCTAGCCATTTCCTCCTCATCATCGCGATACATTGCATATCTTCTATTCCATAAAAAGTGATTTAGCCGTGACCATTTATCCAATCCAAGCCCATGATTTATATAAGCAAACAACAAGTTATTATTTGCTGAGATATTACCGAGTTCGACCGCATTCATTTCTGCATGGTACCGATCCAAAGCGTACGCAATTTGCACACATCCAAAAAACAACATCAATCCACAGCACATAATCAACACTTCTCTGTTCTTTTTCGCCAACTCGGATTTGAAAATCGGATCATCTGGGTCTTGTTTGTTCTTCACATCCGCATAGTCCTCCCAATTTCCAGCGTGCCAAAATCTATCATCATGCATATTATAACGATGAGCATGAGCATAAGCATAGTTAGCAGTGCCGGTGTATTTTTGTTGACTGAAGCCCATTCCAGAAGTTGATTCCCAACCGGTTTGAAAACGATCATAACAGCTTCTCTTTGTCGGATCACAGAGTAGATTATACGCAGTGCTCACTTGCTTGAAACGCGCTTCCTTGGCCTTGTTATCGAGTTCCTCACCTTTGCGGTTCAATAGTTTTCGAGATTTCGAAAGATCCGGATGATAAGTCTTGCAAAGCTCCCGGTACTTCCGTTTAAGAAGTCTTGAGTCGTTAATCTCCGATGGTGTTAATCCCAAGATCTCATAGGGGGTGGGATTCGACGACAGGGGCCATGATGGGATTTCCGGTTTATCAGATATCGTTGAGGCCCTTCTGATAGTTGAAGCATTTAGGGATAATCTGGGAATATTTTGGTATATTAGAGAATCTCGGGAGAATCTTTTTGAAATCGTGAGCATGTTTAGGTTTTTCTTGTAGATAAAAATGCTGTGGGAAAGGTAGCTTGCTGCTGGTTTTTTTTGCGATTTTATGTTTTGGCTTTATTTATTTGATGGATAATGTGGAGGAATATTAATTTAGTATCCAGATATGAATAACAATTGAAGCCGCGGCCTGGGCTTCTTATTATCGACGTGGTTCTTTTTTTGTTAGAAATTGATCTAAGCTTATCTCATCGTCAGTTTTTTCTTGTGGTTAATTAATAGGCTCACAATACCTCATGTATAATGACGTATTTCTATGCACATATCATCCTATGGCGACGAGGCTGACTCGAGGAAAATTCACCGTTTTCATGTGAATTCTTTTATAGGAAGATTTGTCTGATAAGCCAATAACAAATAAAAAACTGAATAGATTAATTAATAGACCATGGGTTTTGATGATGAGCTTGGAATGCAGATCGCCTACGAAGAGGCCATGAAGGGGTATGAAGAAGGTGGGATCCCTATTGGATCATGTCTTGTTGATGAAAACAACAAAGTTTTGGGCAGAGGTCATAATTTAAGAATTCAAAAAGGGTCAGCGGTGTTCCATGGGGAAACTTCAGCCCTTGAAAACGCCGGTAGATTGCCTGGGTCTGTCTACAAGAAATGTACTTTGTACAGTACCCTTAGTCCATGTCATATGTGCACCGGGGCCGCTTTGCTCTATGGGGTTGGTAGAGTGGTATTTGGTGAAAACGACAATTTCTTGGGTGCCGAAGACTTATTGAAAGAAAAAGGTGTCGAGTTGATCAATGTTCAAGATCAAAGATGTAAAGATATCATGGCCAAATTCATAAAAGAAAGACCAACTGATTGGTACGAAGATATCGGTGTGTGAAGTTATTGATTCTCGATAACATTGCATATTTTGCTGCCTAAGATTGCTTCATGAAGATTATTTGGACAGCAGATTCTTTGATAACTTGTTTTTTTTTTATTGATGCCATGATCTTTCATATGTGTCAATAGAACGATTTTCTGTTTCATATTTGGTTCTTATCGTTTAGAGTTGGGGAGTGGCCATATAGATAGGTGCTGGTCTATTTTAGTATTAATCTTCTTTATATAGATTATAATATAGAAATTTTTAATAAATCTTGTAGTATTAATCATTGATATTTAGAATTTTCTGCTATCTCTTAATCTTGGAAACAGCTTAGTCACTTTAAAAAGGTGCCTCCATGTCGAGAATTTTTATCACCTAATTTAACTCAAAATGTGCATCTACCTCCCTTGTCTACATATAAAGGTCCTCCTTTTTGAAAAACCATTTGTATACTTAGGTTTTTGGTTTAATTATTATATTCTCTCCTGTCTTCAAATTTATCATGTTGGAAAAAAAAAAAAAAAAAAAAGACGCGTCATTTAGAATCTTTTTATCAACAATAGTGAGAATCTAAATATCCTACTCTTTAATCTAAATTAGTCTCAAAAGCATCTGAAATAATGGATTTTGTAAGAATTAAAACAAATTATGAATAATAACAAAGCGAAGTCTGGGAACTCTCCTTCTAAATAAAGTATCATATTTATTTGTAGGCTAGCCTTGTCCAGCGAAGTCGAAAACACTTTCTCTGAAAACTCATATGATATATTATCAAATAATACAGATAATGCTAATGATTAAAAAATTACTCAGTATATTCTCTCCGATTATTGGTTTGGTTTCTAACCGCCCTTTTGTAATTCTTCATTATCGTAATTTTTATTGCACAAGGCTTTTTCAATGCCTGATAATGAAAAAAAAAAAATGCTTTGATTTATTCCTTTGTCTCCCAAAGTTTTCCTGAATATCATCTTGTAACTAAAAAATTTGGAAATAAGGTCTGTCATAATGGAGCTCAATAAGCCTGACATCAAACCCACTCAGTCATTGGGGTATTTAGTCTTCGATATGAATCAAATCAAGAAGATTCAGTTAAAAATCGGGTCCGATTTAGAATTACAAGATAATCACAAGCAGCTTTCTTTTTCATTTAGAGATCAAATTATTGTCAAAAATATCAAAGAAACATTTAATAATAGCGGAATCTATAAAATTTCCAAGAATGATATTGTAAAAATTGGTCGTAACCCAATGAATAATAATCTCATTCTTGAAAATGAGATCCTCGTGTCAAAATCACATTGCGCTATCTGGCCAATACAATTCGAAGAAAATTCTGCCCCGTTGATTTACCTCAAAGATACTAGTTTAAATGGAGTATACGTTAATGACCAACTTGTTGGAAAGAATGAAATCGTATTATTGGAGGATGGCGACACTATAGAAATCAAGTTAGTGATAAAATTTGTCTTGAGATACAGAACTTATTTCAAGAACTTGATAGAACTGCAATCAAATGTTATCGATATTCAACCAGTATCATCAAAGTGGAATATATCCAATAGATTAGTAGGGTGTGGCACCTTTGGTAGTGTGTTTATCGCCAAAAATATTGATAAAATGTCTTTGACAAAGACCTGTGCCGTGAAAGTTATTAAGGCGTCTAATATGGAAGTTCAAATCAGAGAAGCCGAATTATTAAGTAGCTTGAACCATGTATGGAACCCACACATATGAGAAACATATACAATTTATTTTCGGTATCTATAATGGGAGTACTAACTAATTGAACCAATAGCCTAACATTATCAAGATATTTGAATGTCATTATGAGAATGGCAAAATATACCTTTTCGAAGAATTGATATGTGGTGGTGATTTATTTTCTTATTTAGCAAGAGGCGAACACTTAAAAGCTTTAAGTGAGCCAGATTGTGCAATAATAATGTATCAAATTCTTCAAGCTGTTGGATACCTTCACTCCAATGGTATTGTACACAGGGATTTGAAAGTACGCGTAATAATAAAAATCTCCTTTTATTTACTTGAATTGCCACATCTAGAAATACTAACTATCATGACATTTGTTAGTTGGATAATATCCTTCTCACTTCACCAGAATCCTTGAGTAAAATTGTTCTCACTGATTTTGGCACAGCTTTTAAATATGATGATCGCTACAAAAGAATGAAAACCGTGGTAGGAACTTGCGAGTACACTGCTCCTGAGGTCGGATTATTGAATAGTTCAGATAATTATGGAGCACCTAACTCTCAAACTGGATATACCAGTAAATGTGATATGTGGTCTATTGGGGTAATTTTGCACATTATTCTTAGCGGAATTTCCCCATTTTACATGGATGGCGAAGAACGCAATATCATTAAAGCTTCAAGAAATTGTCATTTGGATTTTGGAAAACGTCAATGGAAAAAAGTCAGTCTTGATGCTCAAGATTTAATAAAACATTTATTAGTATTGGATCAAGTACAGCGTTTTGATTGTGAAGATTGTTTAAATCATAGTTGGTTAGATTATTACCGTGAATTGTTGGATATGATTTATCGCAGCAAGATCCTAAGGAATTGACTCTTTTTTTTTCTTTTTTGCTATCATAATAATAACAGTTGGTTTTTAATCTATCTATGCGAACAAAATAATGCGTATAATCATAGCTTCAATTTTCACAATCAAGATAATACATATGATTTTAGCTTAAAGCTCTAATAGGTGAAGCCCGTTACGAATGGTTGCTACTTTCGAGTAATGCTTACGCTCTTCCTATAATTGCTGTTTTGAAGAGCGCCAAAGGAGAAGCTTCAAATCAAACCATTGCAAGATTAAAAATTTGAAATAGATACTATCATCAAAAAGTTTACAAGATCAAAAACTCTTAAAATAAACGTAATAAGCTATTATACACTAAGAAAATTCAAAAAATAATAAACGAAAAATACCGAAGAACCCAGAAAATAAAAATTAAAATACCACATAACTAAGATCTTTCACCTCTCAATCTTCTAGCCAATTGGATATCCTTCTTTTGGATAGTAACTCTCTTGGCGTGGATGGCACACAAGTTAGTGTCTTCAAATAAGGAAACCAAGTAAGCTTCAACAGATTCTTGCAAAGCACCGATGGCAGAGGATTGGAATCTCAAATCGGTCTTGAAATCTTGAGCAATTTCTCTAACCAATCTTTGGAATGGCAACTTTCTGATCAACAATTCAGTGGACTTTTGGAATCTTCTAATTTCTCTCAAGGCAACGGTACCTGGCTTATATCTGTGTGGCTTCTTGACACCACCAGTAGATGGTGCAGACTTTCTGGCAGCCTTGGATGCTAATTGTTTTCTTGGGGCTTTACCACCAGTGGACTTTCTTGCTGTTTGCTTGGTTCTGGCCATTTTTAAATTATATTGTTTTTATTGTGATGATAAATAAATAAATAAAAAAGCAGTGGCACAGAAAAAATGGTATTGCAGTCTTTTTATATAACTGTCACTTTAGTTTTTTCCCGACTTGTGTGCTATTTTGCATGCGTGCTGGGACATGTCCCCATTGCAGCTGCATTTGGTGGGGAAGGGACATGTTACAGCACACTCCGTGCCAGCACGCACCGAGATGACCATACATTTTGGGTGCGCGACCACCACAATTGCCCAGTGCGCTTTTTTTCAGTGATGAGTTTTTCTCTGTGCCGTCCAAATTGGGAAACACAGCCCATGGTGTAAGGTTTTTTCTTTTGCTTCTCCTACTCGGGTGGCAAAAAATCAGGAAAAAAAATATATGTTATAAGAGACTTATCCCCTGACTTTTTTAATCATCTCAATTCTGTTTGTTGTGTCATCAACAATCTAATCTAAATAAATATAACAAATAATAACAATGTCCGGTCGTGGTAAAGGTGGTAAAGGTCTCGGTAAAGGTGGTGCTAAGCGTCACAGAAAGATTTTAAGAGATAACATTCAAGGTATCACAAAGCCAGCTATCAGAAGATTGGCGAGAAGAGGTGGTGTCAAGCGTATTTCTGCTTTGATCTACGAAGAAGTCAGAGTTGTTTTGAAGTCCTTTTTAGAAAACGTTATCAGAGATGCTGTTACTTACACTGAACATGCTAAGAGAAAGACCGTCACCTCTTTGGATGTCGTCTATGCTTTGAAGAGACAAGGTAGAACCTTGTATGGTTTCGGTGGTTAAATTCTTCATTCTATTTCTCTATTTCTCGTTTTTTGTGTTTTATTTCTTTTTAATTATGATGTAGGTTTTGGGATTAATCTAATGTGATGTTTTATGTGTTTTATTATATGATATGAAAATGTAAACAAAATGTAAATAAACTGCATTCATCGTATATACTGATTGATATAAATATTATTTTATTGTTCACTAGGTACATTAATAGTATTATCTATTTGTGGTATCAGAATGATGTCAATTTAAAGCTGCAAGAAAGGCCGTCAAATATAAGGAGTGAAAAATTAACGCTTCTAGACAAGTTTGTATGATTGCCAAAATCCTACCCTGAGTATTCACTGATATGGTCACTCGCATTCAAAAATCGCTTATCTTTCAACTAATGTATTTTATGTTGAGCAACCTGAGATATGACGAAAAAAAAAAAAGCAACAATATCAGATTGTTGTCATACCCCTCTTCTTTATCATTATCATGGATTTACAGTAAATAATTATCAGCTATCGAAAATATCTGAACTCTCTATCAATGAAAAAACGGTAACATTCATAAGCATTTTGTGTGAACTATATCTGGATTCTCTTGGTACTCACTATAAGTAAACCACATTCTTTTGAAAGTGCTTAGCCCAGCCAAGATTGATCCCCCAATCCAGGTACTGTATTTCCTTTCTGGAGGAGCATATATCTTAATTTTCGTGCCTTTGGCAGAGTTATTTTTTAATTCTAACAATAATCTATCGCCAAACCCTTTTGTTAATGTCGTGCCCCCACTTAACACAATATTCTTGTATAGCGAGTCCCTCAAATCCAAGTCTATCTTATTAATTGACTCCAAGATCATATCGTGAACACCGATAAATTCAGATCCTATGATTTCTGGCCTAAACAAGATCTCTGGAGCTCTAAAGCACTCAGGACCCAATTTAATGATTTTACCATCCGGTAGCTGAAACGAATTGATTCTTGGTAAATCTGTCTCTGCTGTTGTCGAATGACCAATCGAAGCAAATGCCGACCAGTCATGCTCATCTCTTTTTGGATCTTTAGATATGAAGCACATTTTCTCCTTTATCGTCCGAACAATTTCCTTTTCTGCTGAAGTTTGAAACATGTATCCGGATTTTCTAAGCAATAGTTGCAACTGTTCGGTAATATCTCTGCCGGCAATATCAATCCTCTTGATAGCACTGGACATGGAAAACCCTTGATATACTGGTACGACATGCGAAACACCATCCCCCGAATCAATAACTACGCCAGTGGTTTTACCAGAAGCATAAAGCGCCAAAATTGCTTGAATAGAGAAATAAAGGGCTGGGGAATTGAACGTTTCAAAGAAGATCTGGGCACATTTCTCCCTATTTACTTTTGGATTTAACGGCGCTTCCGTAAGCAAAATGGGATGCTCTTCGCTGGATGTTCGAAGGTCATTTGTAAATATCGACTGCCATATCATCGTCATATCATCCCAGTTATTTATTATACCATGCTCAATTGGATATTTAAGTTTAAGAAATCCGCGATTTTCTTGAGCGCTATTTCCGATAAAGTTATCGCCTTCGACAGCCCCTGCCATCACTTTAGAATATTTTGGTCGCCCAATACTACCAATCAGTTAGTATACCATAACGTAGAAGTCACAGATGTGAAAAACAATGAAAAAAGTAGATGAAAACATACATTGCTGGGGCGAAACTTTTGGGTCTTTCTTCACCAGCGAAACCAGCCTTGATGGTCCCTGAACCCTAGAAATTGATCTATTAGTATACCCTTTCATATCATTAGCATCGGTGCTTCAAGAACGAAGGGAAAGCTGCTTATTGAACATACATTGTCAATCACAATCGGCTGGTTTAGTAGAATCAGCGAGGGATCAGTGTCCATTATTTGGTAGTGAGTTGTTTATGTCACTTGATTCTTAACTCTTCCTTTGTTTACGTATATTGATTTGATAGAGATACAACATCAAATGAAAATATAGGCACATGACACAGCACGTGCATTGACACAGAAAATAAAATGTTGCCTGCCCATCCTTTCACTAGTGAACACCCTACAGCTGTAGGGAATTGGAAATGAGATGCTCGGCTAACTGCTTAAAAAAACTACATTCCCGAACAATAAGAACTCTTTTTTTTTGAATAAGGTTTAAAAATTTTCAGGAAAATATTTCACATTGGACTCTGCTGGACAACCAAAACCAAGGTACAATGCCAGACACCAAGGAACTGGAGTATGCATATGAAAATTTTTTTTTGGTTGTGCGGGTAAAGCTGTAACTACTTTTTCACTATATAAGGACCTGTGATCCTCGATTTCTTACAATTCTTTTGATTATGTTTCTTTTCTTTGTCGACGTACTTCAGTAAGTAGCCCCCCATATGGTTTTACTTCCACAATAGTATTACCTTTTTTAAAATGATACTATTATCCCTTGGATTCAGGAAACTAACACCTTCAAAAGTAGGATCATTTCTATAGGTAACGTCTCTCTTTGACTCTTCAAAAGAGCCACTGAATCCAACTTGGTTGATGAGGCAATAACCCTCATGCTCTAGAATGAGGTTTGAAAATAGCTTGCTCTGTGATCCTAGTTGATCCAGTCATCTACATTTCTTACTATTCTTTTGTTCAACGGTTCATTATATGGACTTTAGAAAGGAGCGATGATTTCGACCCTACTGAACATACTTCTTTGAAGGAGTTCTCCTAGGGTGGGCGTGAGTGGCAGTCTGACAAGTTATAAATCAATAAATATTTTTTTTATCTATTAAAATGCTCGTTTACTGTAAGTGCCATCAACTACGTATTGTTTATTTCTGAAATCAGTTTGACAATTATTTTCCAAAGGAGAATAGTTACATTTTCGAGCAGTTCGATTTCGTTAATGCCCCAGGCAGAAGGCATAGCCCATATGAATTAAAAAAAAAAGATTCTATAGACAACAAAACCTTCGGGTTGTCTTCATATAAGTTCGTTTTCTACTGTAGTATAGGAAGTTTCAATTTGCAAAGAATAATAAAGTGTATTGAAATAGAATATAGAATAAATTATTAATCCTCATCTCACCAGGAGATTAGGAAAAAAGTCATCATGATTTCTTTTCAAGAATCACAAAAGGAGAGAATAAATCAAAAGCCAAATTTCATAAAAGGTTGAAAAGGTGTTTGTAAAAGATAATCCAACACATCAGGATTACCTTCACTATTTGCCGCTTGCCATACTTCGTCAGCACAAGCTTTAGGGGACTCTTCAGAGAGGAGATTAATGATTTTGTCACACAACCTAAAATTTTGGTCTTGCAATGCCAAAATAAGAGGTCCTGCATCACTTATATGCTTTTCTTTCAAACATTTGACGAGAGTGTCAAACAATTGCTCTCGGTCTCCTTGATAATTCATCCACACGTTCATAAAAACTCGATCACTATCAAAGAATCTTAAGTTTTTGCTTTCGGAAAGATATTCTGCTAGCTTGATAGTGTCAGCTGTAATGCTCTCTTGGTAAAACCTCTCTGGAAAATCAATAAACTTCTCACGGGAAATATATCCTTTTTCAATACATTTACCTAACTTCTCCTTCTGGAGTACCGTATCAAACGCTACGCTTTCTAAAACTCGGAGATTTACAAACTTGTAGCTCAAAACAGTTATATCCAATATTCGAACCATAGGATCCTCTGGAGTGCTCTTTTTTTTGGGTAGTGTGTGAATGTAGTTATCCACGATTTTGCAACCCAAATACACCGAGTTTTTTAGCGCTGAGAAGAAATATTTATTTAGGAGCACCACTTTTTCAAGATCTTCCACAGGTAGCAAAGAGAAGATCTCCAATAAGATCTCAGCAGGTAGTCTTTCCAAAACAGATTTCTTCACAATATTTATGAGTATGGCTTCGTTTCCTTTCAGAAGCTTTTGTCTCTTCACATTTTCCTTGCTCCACCGGTTGGCATTTGGTAGTCTTCTAACCTCCCTTATTTTTCTCTGGTATATCTTATTGATCTTCTTCCCCGGCAACAAAAATCCCATACTGTTGATCCTACTATTATTGGTAACTCATAAAACATTGTTAGAAGATCTATAAAAATAAAGAATTTTTTTAATACCCAACAATATGGTACATATCAAAACTACACGTGACAAACATCTTTTTTTTTTTTTCCTTTTTTTTGAAACATCTCCAAAACATTTGATAAACAGTGATTGAAGGCATTAGTACCCAAAGACTCACACGAGCCGGCAGTTGCGGAATATTGACTGATTTATATATTGGAGTATTACTGGATATTTTCTACAACCACAGAAGAGAAAGGGAAGGGAGACATCTTGCGCAGAAGGGATATATTGCCATTATTTGCTAAATCACAGCTGAATCATCAATAAATACTAATCGCCTTGCCAGGTTAAAAAAAAGATAAAGGAAAAAAACAATAATCAAACAATAAATAATAGATACTGGAATATATTGATCGATGATAAACTCAGGAAAATCAATATTGATCGGGTGCCTAGTGGGGATTATTTCCTTGGCTACCCAGTCAATTGGACTAACTCTACAACGGAAGTCACATCTTCTAGAAGACGCTAAGCCGTCATCGGAACATCATAGGCCTCCATATAGACGTCGACTTTGGAGACTTGGCTGCTTTCTTTTCATCATGTCCAATGTGGTTGGCTCTAGTATCCAGATATCTACATTGCCTTTGATAGTCTTGAGTCCCTTGCAGGCTGTGGGATTAGTGTTTAACTCAATATGTGGGTCTTTAATTTTGCAAGAAGTGTTTACAAAGTTCACTTTCAGAGGAACATTGCTTGTTAGTATCGGAGCTTTCTTCATTGCTTATTTTGGATCAATTCCTGAACCAAACCATAATTTAGAGGAGTTGTTGCTTTTATTGAATAGAAGACCGTTTCTTATTTGGTTTTATTTTTCTATAGGGTTGTTGGTGTCTATTCTTTTATATATTACTTTTCTTGGCCATATCGGAGAATGTGATATAGAAGAATCTGCATCATCATGTGGTGGTTACAACTCAATAAATAGTGCCAATAATCACGGTTGTGTACAAGAAACAGAACAGGTCAGCTCATGTTCAGATTATGCTTCGAGCGAGACCGACCCATTACTACCAACTGTGGCCACCAAAGGTTCAAATTCCTGTGCTACTAGATCTTTTTCTACCATTTGTCTAAAACTCAAGAACACCCGGAATTTTTCTTCAATTCTTTCCTTGGCGAACTGCATTAAGGTGGACAATGTGCTATTTGTTAAAGGTACTTTATATGGGGTAGTTTGTGGTATTTTGTCAGCTCACGCCTTGCTATTAGCAAAATCAGCGGTTGAACTTGTGATAATTGCCATTACTGAACATACTTTAGAAGACCTTAAAAGTTACCAATCTTGGCTAATCATTTCTGGCTGGATCTTTTGTGCTATTATGCAAGTGTACTACTTGAATTTAGGTTTAAAGATTATTTCAAGCTCAATAATGTTCCCTTTGATTTTTTGTGTGTATAACATGATAAATATCTTGAATGGGTTAATTTATTTTGACCAGCTCAACAAATTGACCATGTTAGAAATCGGGTTGATTATTACTGGGGTTTGTTTCATTTTATGCGGTGTTTTCTACTTGAGTATCAACGATATCATGAATGGTAAGGATGGAGAAGTAGGAGATATTGTCACAGACTCTCATTCAAACGTCCCAAGAGTTGTTGTTGAGCAACAATCTCTCGAAGAATCAGAGTCCCAGGATATCTTTCCTGTGGATTCTAACTTGCAGAGCTTCTTAATAAATACTAAGACCACAGCTTATGATAACAAGCATGTTAGACCATTGATAAACACTCCAACACTGACATTTTCAAGAGCTCATTCAGTCTACACCAATTCTTCCATGAATCCTATACTTTCCGAGAGCTTTGATGGAAACAAATTTCCTACTGATGATAATAAAAGCCATTCCTAATAATTATTATTTATAAATCGCATATTTTTTACGTCCTGTTTGATGTTACTTTTTTCCATATATTATGTTTCACGTTAATTTGTTATTTTGTTTTCATTTCTAGTTTTTTTTTTTTTTTTTTTTTTTTGTGTTTGTGTTTGTGGTTTTTTTGGTGTTTTTTTTTTTTCTTCTTCTTCTTCTTCTTCTTCTTCTTGTTTACTTATATAAGAATCTAATTAAATATTTGTTTCATGCTTCGTTTGGAGTTTGCAATCCCTAAAGACATACGTCTCTGACTCCACGTATGTTTGGGTGCAGTAAGATTTGATCGTAGTGGCGGAAGCCAAGAATAAAAAATTCCAAACCAAAATTCCAATTACGTGGGGCATACCTTTGTTAAAAAACCAACAAGGAAACATCGATAATGGTCTCCTCTATTGATGTTATTGTTGGAAATTTAGAAAATTTGTCATTGAATGACTCTTCAAAGGTTTCATTATATATCGACTATCTTGGGGAGCTTGCCGTGGAGTTGAGGGACTCGGCTAATAGATCAAATTCCCTAGTTGTTTCCAACATCAGTAGCCTACTCAACTCTTTGAATGCCCATTCTAGCGAAACTTCAGATGAAACTGTTCTACTAAATCTTGAAATTCTTAGAGTCCTTGTAAACTTCATTGCCGAAAATGATAGTAACAGATTATTAGTTGCCGAGAGCAAAGCATTTGCAGAAGCCTTGGAAAAATTATTGGCGCAGGATCTTTTCTCAACTGAGTATCGATACGGTCAAAGAATTATGATATTATTGGAAAATCTTACTTTCGGGAATGATGCCATAGAAGAAGATGAGGATAGCAAAACAATTGCCCAAATATTCAATATGTTGTTCGAAAATGGCTTGTTGACGGTTTTGTTTAAGTACTTTTTGAGATATATTAAGGATGCCAATATTAATTTGGCTTCTTGCGAACCAGATGAGGTATACGAGTTCATCATTGATTCTAATGGATTATTCGAAATCTTGAATAGCTTTTATGCTTGTTCAGCTTCAAGATTTTCTGATTTGAATATCACGATCGAACTCGACGATATTAACGGGTTGATATGGGTACTTTCGCAATTGGTTTTGGCGAAAGATTTAGATGATGAAGAAGAAGTAGACGACCTTTTGACAGCTCTTCTTAATTTATCCCAGTTTCTATTTCTTGAATCTGACTACGATAAGCTTGATGTCAGTACCGCACCACAAGAGGAATTGTTTGCCCTATTGTGTGGCCTTGAAACATTTGAGCATGAACTAGAGAATAAACCTGAGGATTTCAAGAACACCATGAAGCAAATTAATAGACGAGTCTTTGCTGTGATCGGTAACTTATCTTCAAATTTGAACAATGACAATCGCAATAATGTCGATTTGGCTTTGAAAGAGATGAACACTAATTCTACAAATGGATATTTGATTTCTTCCTCTTTTCTTATTTTGGCAAACTCAATAACTAATTCAACTGATAGAGACGCTCTATTATTGAAAGAGCCACATTTAGTTAGGAAGATATTCGAAAATATTCGACCAAAAAATGCCCCAGAAAACTATTACAGGTTAATGAATTCTCCTCAGACAGATTTCAATGAAGAAGAAAAAGAAGCCGTCACTAACCTTAAAAAAGAGATAACTTTTTTCACTGAACCTTTATTAGACCAAAGTTTCTTCCACTTATTAAAGTTGCTAGTTACTTCATCTGCATTCACTTTAGAAAACGAAGAAATCAAAACCAGTTTCGTCAATGAATTTAAAGACAACTTTCGCTCTTTGGTTGAGATCATTCTTATCAACTTTAATAGCGTATTCTTTGCAAGAGTTAATTTATCATTGATTCTCAAATTTTTAAACACGTTCATCAGAAATTTCCCAAATTATGATGATACCATAAGTTATGAATGGCTCCTTGAGAATTCCACCAATATCATATTATCATTATGTGGCTCGCTTAAAAATGAAAATGTGCCAAATAGAATTAAGGAATTGAATGAGGGAGCCAGAATAGAGATTATCGAGACCTTGCAAACTTTGATAAATAATATAACAACAAAGAATGTTAAAGTGGACAATAAAACATTTGAAGCACTTTTGGACTCATTATTTTTGGAAAAAAATGATTCTAAGAATCAAGATGTTTCAATGAGCTTCCAAAATCTGGCCACATCTAGTGGACCAACGATACTGACTGCGAGTTATTTGAGTCAGAGATTTATCACACTCACCATTTTGGTATCTATTGGTAAGCCTGAAATCAAAAATTTTTTACTAAAAGATCATACTCTCTCTGAAATAGTCAATCTTTTGAAGGTTTCATTTCAAAGTGTTGAAGGAGAAACGTCGCAAGATTTTTTCAAAAAGGGATTGAAGAATAACTTACGAGTTTTCACAATCAAGATGAACTTGTTTTTAAAGGAGCAAGGAGTCTCTGATGATATCCAGGAACAGTTTGACCAATTTTTGAAAAAATCTAATGAATTTACTGATTAGATAGTAGGTAATGTATGTATCAAACATCACCCCCATCTCCCCTGCCACCCCTGTCTGTAAGTACAAAAAAAAAAATATGCAGAAAAAAACAAAAAAATAAAGGCGAAAACATCAATCATGACAAAAGAAATTAGTGACATAAAATAGCCATTAAGAGAACTGAATAATAGAATGTCGGACTTAGGATCGGATATCGAACAGGATTCAAAACCAAGATCCAAGTATGTGAAATTGGTGTCTTCAGACGGATTTGAATTTATCATCCTTCGAGAATTGGCAGAGATTTCACCAACATTGGCATCGATGCTTGATGAAAGCTTCGAATTTAAAGAAAGTAAATTGAATAAGATAGTGTTAAGAGAAATGGACTCATTTTTGCTAGAAAAAGTGGTGGATTATTTATATTACCATAAAAAGTTCAGTGATAAGGACGATGTACCTGACTTCGAAATACCGACAGAGATGGCATTAGAGTTGCTAGTTGCCGCTGATTTCTTGAATATTTAGTATCACTCCACGAGGAAACCTTACCATTTCAGAGTACAAAACTTTGGGTACCATCATGCCTTTCTCTAGCTGGATTTATATTAAAGCTTTGACATACAATTATACACAAGTGGAATATCTATAAACACGAAATTATCCAAGGATTATTCATCTAATTTTGATCTTATAGTCTTTAAGTCTTTCATCATTCACCTTACTTGGGCTTCCAACGACGACATCACTACCAGATTGATTTTTTGGGAATGCAATAACATTCCTAATACTTGCATGTCCTAATAACATGGCAATCATTCTATCAAAACCGATGGCAAAACCAGCATGCGGAGGACAGCCAGATTCAAATGCCTTCAATAAATGACCAAATAATTTTTCTGGTTCTTTGATTTTCAAAACATTATGGAAAATGTAGTTTTGTAAATCTGTGTCGTGAATTCTTCTCGAACCACCACCAAGCTCAACACCATTGACAACCAAATCATAATGGTCACCTTTAATCTTTGTGAAATCGGCTTTATTTAACAAATAATCATAATCCTCTAACTGTAACATTGTGAATGGATGATGAGTTGACACAAGCTTGTCAAAATCGTATTGTGGGTACTTGGCGTTAGGAACAGTCTCTGGTTCATCTGGACTGAAAAGTGGGAAGTTGATGACCCAAGAAGCCACAAAAATATCCTTATTTTCCAATGACTGACCATTTATTTTACGTCTCCAGTTGTCTGGATAGGCATCAATAGCTTGTTGTCTGAAGCGACCCAAAGGTGTTGGATTTTCATATGGGAATTCCGCTCTAGTAGAAAATGCAACAATGTCACCAATCTCCAAATTCAAGAGAGATTGTAATTCGGGAATCTTTGATTCATCAACCGTGGCAACATCTATGTCTTTGAGGCACTCATTCAAATCTTCTTGAGTCTTGATTACACAAATATTTGGCACTCTGGACTTGAAGTTGTTGGTGTCAACTAATTTTTCAAATGCCTCGGCATCACTTGGTGGGTTTTTCAAAACGCAAGCTTCGACCACAGGGAAATCTTTGTTTTCAATATCTGTGAAATAACCGGAAACATCTTGAAATTTTAGAGTGGACCTTAAGTCTGGCTTATCAATACCATATTTGGTTAACGCATCGATATAACTTAATTTTGGGAAATGCTCATGCTTGATCACATCAAAAGCTTCCAATGATTCATCACCAACAGGGACGAAAATAGGCAAATCTCTAACTTTGTTCCATGTTGCACATATTAATTTTTCAATGACATTTTGAACGTCGTCATGAGTAGCAAACGCCATTTCCATGTCGACCTGGGTAAACTCTGGTTGTCTATCAGCTCTTAAATCTTCATCTCTGAAACACTTAGCGATTTGGAAATATTTTGGAACCCCAGATGCCATCAAAAGTTGTTTATATTGCTGTGGTGACTGTGGTAAAGCATAAAAAGCGTTTTTACGCCTGGTTGGCACCAAGAATTCTCTTGCACCTTCCGGAGTAGATTTGAATAATAATGGGGTTTCCACCTCCACAAATCCTTGATCTATAAGTTCCGATCTGATAGTATTAGCAGCCAAGGATCTTTTCTTCAAGATTGTCTGGAATTCAGGTTGTCTCAATTGCAAGTATCTATATTCTGGAGGAAAATCAAACGGACTACTTTTCTTCAAGGATTCTAGCTGTGATGCGATGACACTAGCATGGTTCAAGTTTTGAACCTCCGAAACTTTCAAATCCCAAACAGCAGCTTGACCTGCCTCATCTCCTTTCATATGACGCATCTCGATGGTACCGCTGATGGCAACAGCGTCTTCCACTCTGAATTTGTTGATTTTTTTCACTAATTCCTCGTTGTTCACGATAATCTGAATAATATTTCCATCATCTGTATCTCTGAAGTTTGCAAATAACAATTTCTTAGAGATCTTTTTGATCTTGCTATCTATCCAACCATGCACCGTAACATTAATTTGATTGTCCTTGAGATTCAGATAATTCTTTGCAATATCGTTAATGGAGTGTGTTTTTCTCGGAAATTGAAATTTCTCAACTGTGGAGATCTTTTCAGGAACAGTTAATTCTTTCTGTAGTTTTGAATAAACAGAAAAGTTAGCCTGAAGAAGCCTTTGTGGCGGGAGAGAAAATTTCGCCTGTAAGATTCTGGATAGCATTCTAACGTTTTCAATGTTCTTTTCTTTAATATTCCACTACCAATTTTATTTTGAAAAAATGCTTCTTTCGTTACATTATTAGTGATTTTTCGTCCCAATTCTCCGGGACTGTGTCAGCGATTAGTAACCTCTTCAGCGAAAAGTACAGCGCCATGACTAAGCACATTGCGTGTGTAAAAATACAAAGAACAAACAGACACATTTGATGACTATCAGAAAGTAGACAATACATACCCAGAGGAATTAGTAGTATCGCAATGGTCACCGCCAATCCGAGTTTGTGTGAGTATCATTATTATTGTTATTATTACCCCTTACCATCCATCAGTGAACTCTAATCAGAACTTATCAGCTAACCGTTGCTAGCTTGGGAGCGCTTAAATGATGTGTTTTACAGACTTAGGACTTGTTACAATTTGACATGGGGTGAGGAAATGAATTTAGCCAAATACAATATATCCTTAGCACCATTTTCCACAGCTATAGCATTATATCTGAAGGACCATGAGTTAGGTTCTACGAATGGGAATATCTACAATGCAGTGAGCTTTAATCAATCAAATTTAAAGAATTTGGAAGTGTTTTCGGGATCAGGAGAAAAAATATACAACATTGTATGGGACGAGAGTAAAAATGGTAAGGTTGTACAGTTTGGCTGGTCCAGCAAAGAATGTCTCATTGTTGTTCTGGAAAATGGGACCATTAGAAACTATTATGATTTTGAAAATAATTTTAATGAATTCAGTTTGGGGTTCGAATCAGAATCAATCGGAGTCAGCGATGTAAAGTTTTACAATACTGGATTCGTGGCGAGACTTCGAAATAATTCTTTCATATTTATCAACAACCTAGATAGCCCATACCCACGATTATTGTCGTTTGATAGCCCAGGAGATGAAACTGGGAGTTCAAAAGACGCCGATATCTCATGCTGGGATATTGTACCTCCAACTAGCAAATATAATAAAAATATCGAGATTCTTGTCGGATTAGGTGAGAAGTTATATAATCTTGATGATGTCTCATTACGCGACAGTCTGCTCATTGACGGACCTTACTCGTTTATTTCCGTATGCCCTAATAACCAATTAGTTGCGTTATATTCTACTACAACCAGGAAAGTCTACATTGTATCTAGCGATTTCACAAGAACATTGAACGCTTTTCAATTGAGTGAAAATGAAAATATAAATGACTTAAAATGGTGCGGGAATGATGTTGTGGTGATTGTTTTGAATAATGATGAGCTCAAAGTTATTGGACCAGGAGATGATTATTTAAGCTTTTATTTCAACAGCAATGTTTATCTTTTCACAGAGTTTGATGGCTTACGAATTTTGAATAATGAGCGATTAGAGTTTTTAAGCAGAATACCACAGAATACCGTTGACATCTTTAAAATCGGTTCAACTACCCCTTCCTCTATTTTATTGGACTCAATTGACTTGAGAAATTCCAATAATCCAACTGATAATATTACAGCACTTGAGAATATTGCAATTATCAAAAACTCTTTGAATGATGCAATCAATAATTGTATCGGTGTTGCTACCGAAGAATTCGATCAATATTGGCAAAAAAAGTTACTTAAAGCAGCATCTTTTGCTAAATCACACAAGGAATTTTATAATTCCCAGTATATGATTGAAGTAATTGAAAACTTGAAGATATTGAATCAAATAAGGTCATACAAAATTGGGATGTTCTTGACATACCAAGAGTTTGAAAAAACTGATTTGAATATTCTTTTGAATAACTTATTGTTGAAAAGAAAGCACCACTTTCTCAGTATCAGGATCTCAGAGTATCTTAATTTACCATTGGATTTAATTTACATTGACTGGTGTTGTTCAAAAATCAAAAATTCAAATGAGTTGAACGACGATAGTTTATTGGAGCAATTATTGAACAAATTAACTAAAATTAAAAATATTTCTTACGAAAAGGTTAGTAGGGTAGCATATCAAGAAGGCAGGTCTAATCTATCAATAATGTTGATAAATTATGAGCCAAGCGCTAGTAAAAAAATCCCATTGTTGATTGAAATGGAAGAGGATGAGCTAGCGGTTACCAAAGCTGAAGAAACTATGAACTTCAAGGTAATTGAATATGTGCTATTTTTCTTACAGAACAAGTTATCACTAAGTGACTTTTTGAAAATTATTAATAACAAGAGAATTGCTCTAGCTTATTGGGAGATCCTTATGAAATCGTTGAATAACTGGTATTTCTTGAAGAATTATTATCTTAGTTTTGATAGAAAGTTAACCATTGCCAATTTGAACTTGATTCTTGGATTGATCGGGAAAACCGAGCAAGATCTAATTGCTAATACAAACCTATCTTCAGTGAAGTTGAAGAATATGTCTTCACCGCTTGATGATATTAAACTGATCAATAGTTCCAATAATGTTGAATTGACGGATATTATGATGAAATTTGCGAATAAAAAAAAACTGTTGACTAGTACCATCAAGATGTACGAAGAACTCAAGACCAGCAACAAAGATTTTTCAGATGATTTGAAATACTTGAAACAAGAAGTTAAATTGGTTGAAACCCAAGAGTCATTGCAAAAAACATTCACGAATTTGAATTTCTTCGGCAAATCTATTATTGAAACATTGTGCTTGTTAATTCTTATCAATAATTATGACAGCTCATCAACTGATTCCTCCATTCCTTCAAGTTCGCTTGTCAACAAAAAGATCAAGAAGATATTAAAAGACTTTAAGGTGAGTGAGAAAAGATACTATTTCCTTGTGATTGAAAAATTAAGCGAATTTAAGAAATGGACTGAGCTATATTCATTTGCGAACTCGGGAAAATCCCCTATAGGATATGAACCATTCTATAAGATTTGCATCAAGTACAACGCGATACGTCAAGCGGGTCTTTATATTGACTTGATTGGTGGGTCAATTAGATACACGAAAAGAATCAAAATGTATTTGCGAGTCGGAAACTTTAAGAGTGCCAGTGAAGAAGCATTTAAAAATAAGGATTTAGTACATTTGAAGGAAATTTTCAAACTATATAAAGCAACATCACATCCCAATGCGGTGGTGACCCAACTGATCGAAGGCTACATTAGAAAGCTCAGTTAGGGATTGTGCAGTTTATTTAGACCTATTATTTTAATTATGAATACACCAAATGCTTCGCAAGGATAATAAACTGTACGAGCTCGCTTAATTGGTTGCAGGAAGATCATGAAACATCAAAAGATTACTACTAAAAGCCGTGCTGTTTGGTACACCCCCTCATGTGATGTTTATGTTAAATCCGTATCACCTGTGGGATTTTTCTTTATGTATGTTGCAATAACAATCTATGAAAGGAATGACTGACGCGTAAGGGAATTGTTTTAATTATATATATATGTATTTTTTTTTATTTTTTTTTTTTTTTAGTGCAAATGAAGTGCTTTGGATGAAAATTTCCGCAAACATTACGCGTCATACTCATCGCATGGCTACGCGTGATCGACAATTTTCTGAATATCAGCACCGCAATACATCCACGAGATTTGAAGATATTTATATGAAAAAAACTGGAATAAATTGATAATTTTTTTAGAAAATTTTAGAAAATTTTTGGAGAGAAATTCCAGTAGAATTGAGGGAGTTTTTCACTAGTTGCATTCAGGCCAGGGGGTGATGGTACGGGGGTGGGATGTACGCGTACGCGGACCAAAACAACGCGAAAATTTATATTTTTTTTTTTATTTTTCTTTGTTTTGTGGTGCGAATTATATAATATTAAACCCATTATAAATAGAATCGTTTCTCCTCGGTAGGATTCTCATATTTTATTAATTTCTTTCTCTTCAGTTTCCAACTTCTTATATCAATCAACCTTCTCTTCTTGATTGTTTATCTTACACTTTTCATACTTATCTTTACTTTACGATGTCTGTTTCTAACATCACCAACGCCATCTCCAACTTGGATATCGAATCCCAAATCAATGCTGCTGCTGCTAAGAAGCAAGGCTTGACCTCTGCCCCAACTGTCTCCGACCATCAAAAGTTCTTGAGCAAGCACTCTGTCCACAGAAACCAACTTAAGGCCAAAGAAGCTGATGAACCTTTGCTTTCCGAAAATAAAAGAAGATTCGTGTTGTTCCCACTCAAGTACCACGAAATCTGGCAAATGTACAAGAAGGCTGAAGCCTCTTTCTGGACTGCCGAAGAAATCGATTTGTCCAAGGATTTGCACGACTGGAACAACAGATTGAACGAAAACGAAAGATACTTTATCTCTAGAGTTTTGGCTTTCTTTGCTGCTTCCGATGGTATTGTTAACGAAAACTTGGTCGAAAACTTTTCTGCTGAAGTCCAAGCCCCAGAAGCTAAATGTTTCTATGGTTTCCAAATTATGATGGAAAATATTCACAGGTATGTTGATTATAACTGACGCGTCTATTTTTTTTCAAAAAAAAAAATATCTCGCGTTTTGGTTTTCTTTTTTTTTTAATTATCAAATCGAATTATTAATACTAACTTATCAATAGTGAAACTTACTCCTTGTTGATCGATACCTATGTGAAAGATCCAAAGGAATCTGAATTTTTGTTCAACGCTATTGAAACCATTCCATGTATTAAACAAAAGGCTGAATGGGCTTTGAGATGGATTAACGACAAAGAAGCTTTGTTTGGTGAAAGATTGGTTGCCTTCGCTGCTGTTGAAGGTATCTTCTTCTCTGGGTCTTTTGCCTCTATCTTCTGGTTGAAGAAGAGAGGTTTGATGCCAGGTTTGACGTTCTCTAACGAATTGATCTGCAGAGACGAAGGTATGCACACCGACTTTGCTTGTTTGTTGTTCTCTCATTTGCAAAACAAGCCAAACCCAGAAATTGTTGAAAAGATCATCACTGAAGCCGTTTCCATTGAAAAGGATTACTTTACCAATGCTTTGCCAGTCTCCTTGTTGGGTATGAACGCTACTTTGATGTGCCAATACGTTGAATTCGTCGCTGACAGATTATTAGTCTCCTTGGGTAACAAAAAGTTCTATAATGCCACTAACCCATTCGACTTCATGGAAAACATTTCTTTGGCTGGTAAGACCAACTTCTTTGAAAAGAGAGTCTCTGACTACCAGAAAGCTGGTGTTATGGCTAAGACAGAAAAGGAAGAAACCGGTTTTACTTTTGATGATGACTTTTAAGTTGACTAGTTTTCAATTGATGTTTTGTTTTATGTCATTTGACTTTTTCTTGTTTACTTTTTTGTTAATGTCTTTTTGGTTATGACGCGTTATTTTTTTTGGTTCTTTTTTATTTACTCTTTTTGTGTTTGTGTATTATAAATCTCTAAAACTCCCCTGCTATAATAATTAGAGCAGAATATAAATTTTAATTTGGATATAAAGCTTTTTGATTACTGTAGTTGCGGTGTTTTTTACATGACCATTCCAACATCATATAAAATTAACAATTAGTGTTACAAACGGTATTATCATTAACGGGGCAATATTATTCGAGAAACAAATGAAAAATATATAGTACAAACCAAGACAGGCTAGTGCGTACGAAAAAATCAAGTGAAATAATCACAAAAACGGAACAAATATATAGTATAAACCAAAATAGGCTAGAGTATACTAGATTAACAAACAAATAACAATTTGAAATCATCACAAAAACAAAAGAAAGATTAAACGGCAAAAATAAAAGATATTATAGAGAAACGATTTAGCAAGTTTGGTCATTAGCTAGAAAATTAATAATAGAAAAAAAAAAGAATATTAGACTATAATACATAGTGAAAAGGAGAAACCACATTATCTTCACTGGCTCTTTTTATTTTCATAAGTAGTACCAGTGGCACCAATTGAATTAGAAACCCCAGCTTCAGGTTCATTCACCTCATTGGAAGAAGTGTTACTCAGGCTGGTGTGTAGTAAGTTTTCCGCTTGCAATTGCGAGATTTCATTACGCAATTTCACCACTTCTTTTTCCAATTTACGGCCAAAGATATCGATATAGTAAGTGGCACCATTATACGCTGCGACAACAAAGATCAATGACATGAAAAGTCCAGCCAATTTCTTGTACTTGATCCAAATAGGACATAACAACATGGTTCCCAATTGGTATCCGTACTGAATCAAAGTGAAGGCCACCACCGGTAATGGCTCAGGCAAACTATTGACGAATTTCCCAATTGGCTTGTTGGCGTATGAACGACGCAACCAACTGAATGAATTGACACGGCCTTTTTTGATCTCGTCCTTTTGTTTGTAAGTGATGAAGTAATGATATAAAGATTGCCAGATCAAATAATAAAACGAAGACCATATGATTCCATTGATGGTATGCCACGACGTCACTTTTGCGGCACCTGGGAACCTGGAAGCTTTGAATTCCGGGTCGATTTCATGAGTAATGACAAATAACGTCACTGGAGGAATGATGTGGATGAATGATGAGGTGATTTTCTCAATTGAGTGCAATACTAAAGAGTTTCTCCAAGTAATCACCGCAAACGCCAACGTGCCGTAAGTAAAACTAAAGCACACAACGTACAAATGTTGAGAGTCAGGAAATAGCCAGATGTAGCACATGGTCAAAACATTTGCATAATAGCAAAAATCGGCTAAAAAGTATTGGAACTCCTTCTTGTAATAGGTGTACAATCGAATTGGCATCAACAAGGCGAATAATACCGAATAATACCAATGGAAATAATGGGGGTACTTGCCAATTAATATTCCAGCATAAAATATCTGAAATAATGCAAAGGAATAAAACCATTTTTCCGTTCGACTGGCTTCGACCGCTTTCATCAAATTGGCATCTAACTTGTTAATTTTGTACACCATCCTTTTCTTCATGGCAATAAAATCTTCATCGGTCATTTTCCCAATGAGCTTATCCCTTTGAAGTTTTGCCCGATTACGAATCTTCTCAGTCCGGGTCTTTACTTGAGTAAATGCTTTCTTGGAAACCATCACGGTTAATCCTGGATCCAACAAGTCCATGAACGATAAATTCTCCGGGGAGATAGAGCTGCTCACCGACCCACTGGAGTAACTCCGATCCATCAGTGGTCTTTGTGGTGTTGTATCTGTCTCTAGGTAATCCCAATCATCATTGGAAGACAGGTCACTCCCTGGTACTTTATCGTCAGGAGCAGTAGCAGCAGCAGCAGCAACAGTTTCTAAGGGAGCAGAGGAACCCAAACTTGCTTCCGCTGCCATGGCGCCATTGGGCAGCTCAGGTACATCGCCTATTCTTTCATCAATATCAAGGGTGGTCATATTTTGAAATGATAGATATTCTTGAACAACCGGTCTATTCAATTGTCAAGAATAGACTTGTGTTGCAGCCTACCACTATAAATTTTCAGTTCCTTCCCTTTTCCAAAAAAAAATAATTAGTGCGTATGCGTACCAGATGCCCTGAGATGGGAAGCGGTGTTGTTCTGACTGGGGAACGGATTGGCAATCGGTGTATGGGGGATGACTATATTGGCTGCTGGCTGGTTGGCTGTGTTGGGCTGCTTCGTGTGTCAGTTTGTGTCCACAAGATCCCTGTTATTGGCAGGATATATATATATATATAATATCACAATGTCAGCACCTCATCTCCAACCCCGTGGGCAATTCACATGCCGTCACAAGCCCTCCCAACAAACCGGTAGAGCACGGGGGTCAATGACACCTACAGATTTGGAAACTCACTAAGTCTATGTATACTACCAATCAAACTTTTCCCAAACAGAATAAATAAAAAGCATAAAGCGAAGCACAATTGAAAACTAGCAGCAAACAGATAACAATAAACAAACAAAACAGAGTAAGAAAACCTCGCACAAAACAAAGCAAAAAGAAAATGGAACAACGAAACATCAAGCAAAATAAGCTGAAACAAAAAAAAAATAAAGAAAAAAAAAAGTAACAAGTAAAACTATCAGAGAAGCATGAAATAAACGTAAATACACTCATAAATAACGCTTCAAACAATACTTTCGCTTCATAAAAATATTAGAATCTTGTGTAATTACGCCCAATACGGAGTACGTCCACTCCGTTACCTTTGGTATTATCCTTGAGGCTTCTCTTCAACTCTCTCACGGATCCCCTGATCGCCCAATCCAAATCTCTTCTCATCCCGCTATTTCTAAAATCAACCTGCTTCAAATTACCAAATCTGATAGCTGCTGATGTCTTCAAAAACTCAGAAACATTCTTGGTACTCAACCAGTTGATTGATCCCAAGTTCACTGTCTCCAAGTTCTTGAGCTGTGCTAGTGAATGAAGGATTGAATCGTTCAGAACCCTAACCAATTGTTCGAGATTCCAATTATTAATTTTGCGAACATCTGAAAGGTACAATGCAGTATCATTCTGACATGACGTCAATGCCTCAGTAGGATCGTGTTTGAAGTGGAAATATTTCATTGTCGGCAGTTTTGTGGATAATTCTGACACAAGTTGTGGCCTTTTAGACTTCTTTGGGGCAATTTTGCCATAATAATTCACAGAGGATGAATAATCACTTGTTCCAGTTGAAGATATCTGCAATTCCGACTCTTCATCTTCTTCTGACTCCTCGGTAATGTCGGCCCTTCTAAATGATACCGCACCAGTATTAGAGGTTCTAATATCAACACCCAAATGAGATTTTTTATCAGACTCATCAATTTTAAAGGTCCCACGAGGATTAGGACGTATTAATTCTTTCCCCTTGCTTTCCAAACACTTATCATCAGAAAATTGTAATTCTTTGCGCAATCCTGACCTCTCGTGATTAGCACCGGCGTGTGCAGAATTCAATACCAGAACCATTGATTCTACAGACCTAGACTCTTCCTTTAACAATAAATTCCCAATCCCACTGGCACATTTTTCTTGATGATATCCAAAAGTTGGGCTCTTAGAGCGACTTGATTGGGTAACATCAGTCATATAGTCACCAACTTGAGTTCCAGAATTCTCAATGATGGTGGAATGCTTTGGATCGCTTGAAACAACTTTATTAAAGTTCTCATTCACATACTCAGCATTATTATTAACATATAAACCAGACACTGACAAATCTTCCCCAAACGCTCCTGATCCAGTATTATTGTAGGTGCTGGAATTATAAGTGAGCTTGCTCGTGCTCCCTGACGGTACCCCCCAGAATTCACGATAGAACCGAGACTGTATCAGCTTGTAGTTACAATTTGAAGAATACCCAAAACTGTCTTTGTAGAAATCAAGTGGCAAGCTAGTGTCCTTAGGCGTCGTGTTCAACAAGCTAGCAACGTTGGTATTGGAAGAAGAGGAACCAGATCCGGAATTTGTGGTATATTCCAAGTCATCTGTCATTAGTAGTTCAGCACTATGCAACTTTGAGGAGCTAACTGTTCTATTGATATCGGTTGATGTAGTGACAACAGTACCAGTGGAAGTACTATTTTCCGCAATAATTTCTCCGCCAGCACGATATAAAATTGTAGGCGAAAAACGGTGACCATTCACAACGCTATTAAATTGAGAATAAATGCTCACACCATATGCCTGGTCAATTTCTTTAAGAATGGAAGAATAAGGTGGTTGAGAACTCTTCACTGCAGCCCCGGAATGAAAATTACCGGAATTACTGTAGGTTGATGTAGCATACAGAGAAGTTTTGACATCATTATTTGATTTGGTTTTGCAGATTGGTGCCATGTCAACAGAAAGTGAGCTCAAATTGTCCTTTCTATAGTTTCCGGAATTAAACTCACTGAATGATCTTCTACGATCATTTTTATCACTGTCAAAGGAGGCTCTTCTAATTCTTTCGGTAGTTGGAGAGGGGTAGTGGGGATCATTAGCAAAGCTGTCAGGGCCTGTTGACGAATTTGAAGCTGATAGATTCTTCACAATAGCTCGGTTTTTCGGCACTTTGGTTGAAATATCTCTCAAAATTCCATAGTCATCAAACGCATCATAAGATATAATGTAGTCACTGGCCAACATGACTTTACTCATGTCAAATACCTTTAAATTGCCACAGATCACTAATATGTGCAAGATAGCACCAATTGGTAAGTCTTTGGTAGTGTACTTTGTCAAAAGTTTGCATTTCATCGGATGAAGATAAGTTGGGCTTTGACAGCCGGCAAATGTTTTGAAAACGTTTGAAGAGGCTGGAGATTCTTTCAATGTGCTTGAAATTATCCTACTATTAGAATTTCCCGACAACCCTATAGTTACTGATTTTGATCTCAGCCTGGATTTGGATAAAGTTGAGGAAGATCCAAGAACATCACTCATGCTGTGAGATCGGGTATGGGATCCAAGCAATCTATTAGCTTTAGTATTTTCTTTCAACACTTCATCTTCTTGTCTTTTGCTACCACTAAACCGCCTAATAATTTTGCGAAATTTGGAACGAATTTGGAATGAAGATCTACTTTCTGATGATCCACTAGACGAGTAATTAGAGAAAACGGAGGAAACTGAAGACAGCCGTGACAGCCTCGTTTCACTGGTAATAACAGTTCCCATCAGACCGACACGGCGGATAGTATTAGAAGCAGACGAAGTTACCATAGAAGCAGAAGAAATATTTGTGGCTCTGTTCATTCTGGAGGCAGCCCAATCAACAGTTGGAGTGGTTGTATGATAAAGAGGGTCTGCTCTGAATTTCCACTCTCGCCAACCGGCAAGGATCACCTTTTCATGAAACCCAAAGTCAGCTCGATCTCCATGAGAAGTAACAATTGAATGCTCATCTTTGATTATGCATATTGGCAATCTTCTAGAATTTGAGTTCAAAACCTCATTCGGATTTATTCTTGAAGCGGGAATTCTTGACCAGTCAATAGAAGACGGGAAAGTGCCGTCGAAATAAAGCTCTGGGTTATTCATTAATTGTTCGATTTGATTTTTTTCGGCTTCCGTTATGATCAAATATGAGTCTGAATCAGAAATATCTATGACTATGTAATACAAGGTATCTATATCATGTAGCTCGATCGTTTCTGGAAGCAAACCAAGATTATTATTTCTTCTAATGGAACTAATGAATTGAGCAAAGCGATATGATGAATGAAATTTAATATTGCGATAGACGAATGGGAGGGCTAGTCTGTAAAGCCTTTTGTTAAGGTAAAGTAAATTAAGGGTGTTTCTTTTTGGAGACGATTGGTAACGGGATGATAATTTAAAATTGCGGAGGACTTGCTTGAGGTATTTTGCGTGAGACTTCAGCCCTGCATCTTCCCGAGGGCGTTTCACCTTAAGTTGGGTATTCGGGCCAATATTAATAAGAGGAGAGACGTTGGTATCAGCTGGGGACAAGATGAACGAAACATTATAGGATCTTTTAGATGGAGAAGAAGATAGTTCATTTTGACCAAGAAATGCATCGGGATTGTAAGGGGTCTTGCAGTATGATTTTTCTGAAGATACAAAAGAGAATACAAGTTGAATGATTTCATCAGGAAGGGAGGTGAAAGTTATGGACAGTTGGGTGTTGTTGTTGTTGGTAGTTGAATTTGTCGATTTGGGTAAAAAATTAGTGTTTGATTTCTTTAGGATCAAGGATCTGTATTTCTGGTATTTCTTTGATAAACCACTAGAAGAAGTCACTGAGCCGTCCTTTAGACTTAGACTGCTTTTATCACCAATATCGTTAGAATCATCCTGGATCAAAGGTTTGGGAAGCTGGTTGGTGGCCACATGGATTGAGGAAGAGTTCCTCGGGGTGACGGTGGGGCGGTAAGAATCAAGCGACGATTTTGAGTACTTTGCGTAGTTAAAGTTTGATATATTGATGGAATTGTATCCCGAGTGGGAATATAGGCCCAAATGAGGCCTGAAATCAGACATTCTGTGTAGTGATATTGATCAGATTGTTAGATAATTCTAAAAAGGATTGTGAATCACTTGTGTAAGATTAGCAACAGTGAGGGGAAAAAGGGAAAGGAAAGAGTATCTGTTGGTGTTGATATATTACTGAGTCCTGAGAGGTACTATGACCAATAGCTCTATCAATACTACTGTTTGCCCAATGATTCAATGTCGACGTGTATTGTACAATACTTGTTATCACAAGCGGCACACGATGGGGTATTTATAAACGGTGTGAGACTCCAGGGGTCATGTGCATATGATTTGATCGCCGGTAGTCTTATCAGCTGAGTGCTACGGGATGTTTGACAGCACCGACAGGGCCCACCACTAGGGCAATTACATCTTGTGAAATTGATTTGGTGGATGGTAGTGGTATTTACAGATATTGCTTGCATTCGGTTTTCTCTTCTCTCTTTGACCGTTTTTTAATGTTTTTGAAATGAACTTGCTTCGGTATCATGGAAAAATGCCCAATGATAATAAATTGCGATTAGAAGAATAGCTGCTTTAGAAAATCATCAATCGTGAAATTACGTACGTCAACATCTTCTTCGTCTCTGCCAGGGCAATGCTGCTTCCTCCGTCATCCCCAGTCCTTAAACTGCCAATCGGCTACCTTCCACTTCGTCACCATTTTAGCCTCTTTTTTCTTTTTTCTTTTTTTTAAGGGGCTGTGGCTGCTCCTATTATTCCGAGACCCTGTGCTATTCATCCGATCTGGAATAGCTTCCGGGCCATATCATATTTTCATCATGTTGGAAATCCAAGAAGTGCCTTCCACTTCAAAAAAATTCGCATTCGCCAACTTTCGATAATTGTTTACTAAAAATGAAAAACTTGATTATCTATATATATTCTTCTTCGGTGAGCGATATAATTGTGTAGTTCAATGAATAAGAAATACTCTACGCTTATGTAGCAAATTCTAAATCAGTTCACCTGGCCATAAATAATATTAGCTATTCCCACGGCTGCTTTACTCCAATCAAGGGTATCTCCCATTCCAATCCCGATTTTCAACATTGCACTCGCCAACTCCAGCCATCCCAAGCCGATTAATCCAGCCATATTGGAACGACCGCAGATAACTTTCCAAAGGTCTCTCGATTTCGAAATGCCGTATATCACTGCTGCTAGGTCTGATAATCCCCAATTCCGCGTCTTTTTTTCTCGTTTCCATCTTGTCTTTGAGGTTTTTTTAGTACTAAAGATAGAAATGGCCCACATGATACCAACACATGTCATTAGCCCAACACATATTAACGTCAATAAAAGTCTGAAATCAGCAGTAACACTCTTATTACCCTTTCTGCTCGTAGTAGTAGAGGATTTTTTCTCATCGCTTCTTCTCCACTTACTGAACCATCTACTTTTTGATCGTGATCTATTCCTTCTCCTAGACTTTCCTTTGACTTTTTGATTCTCGGCTAAGCTTTCTAAGTAAAAATTAAGCAAAAGTACCACAAAATTCTGTATTAAGGGCCCCAAGTACACCCATTTGTGGGTGCCAAATATCATGAGAAGATAACTGGTGGTCTCCAAGGTTAAATCTTTAACGTCTATCTCATGGTTTATTTTGTCCTTTGCTGTTTGTCTGATTTTTGAGTTGTCTTGCGAGTTAAAGGTTCGGCAAGTTTTACGTATCAATTCGTAAATGATTCCCCATTTATTGGACACAGCCATTATTGCCACCCATGGTCCCCAATCACCCATATGAAGCATTATCCGGCTCATGCATTCTGATACAAATTCGGGGTCTTTATCCCACAGGTGAAGAAAACATCTCTGATAACATTTTCTACCAAGTTTTGGATGTGATTGATGGTAAAAGATCCAAGTTTGATAGGTTTGAGGAATGGATTTCAATAAAGGCCGAAGGTAAACAATTAGTAGCTGGATTTGATCCATTATCCAAGGGTCTATGGAGCTGACCATTGTGTTTTATTTGTTTTTGTTTTCAGTGATTCGGGGTTTATAATTAGTTTCTTCACTTCTTTTTCTTTTTTTCCTATTTTTCTTTTTTTTTTCTTCTTCTTCTCCTTCTCCTCTCTTGGCAGTGAGTATGGTGCTCAATACGGCAAAACCATCAAAATCAATTTCGAGAATCCTCAATTTTCAATTCCAAAAGGTAAACAATAGGGTTTTCCACCCCCTATATTTATTCAAAGCGTTATTTTTGTGCTTTTAAAAAGTTTTTCATTTATTTCAGCCTTTAATGCTACTCTTAATCCTGATGATAATAATATACTTCATCAGAGAGTAGTCACTGTTCTTCTTCACTATGGCTGCAAACTTCATTATCAATTATGGCCTCCCAAAATTCACATTTTCAACCATTACAATTCATTCTCATAGTATTATTGTTTTCATAATACAAACCTCTGTAATTCATATTCTAAAAATATAAAGATAAATAAATAGGAGTTTGAACTTTTCACGTAATATTAAAAAGTGATAATAGCTTGTTTAGGCGTATTAATGAATAAACTTAATAAAGAGAAGAACGTAAATAGAACGAATGCATGCAACAAAGCATCATGGATAGAATAGAATTTATTATCAATCTACAAGATCACGAGTTTAATATTCTTCTACTTCATCATTATATTCGAATTCATACATAATCATGAAAAACAAAAACCAAATCGCTATTCTATCAGTCTAGCAGCCTGGCCCGATGCAAAAAGCGGTATTGATGTGATATGTCTTTGCTCTAGTTCTAAAATACTAACATAACGATATAATCTGTCATCAAATTCATGATCGAATTTGTAAAGTGTATATTTCTTTCTTTTGTTCAGCTTCGTCGAGATCGCATGTTGAAGAAACTCTGCCTGGTAAATTTGATACACCGAATCAAAGACATTGGTTCTGCAGGAGGGACAGTTATACCTAGCGTATTCCTGTCCAATAGTTCCTCCCACTGTATTGTACAGTGCTAGACTTTCAGGTGCCCGAAAAAACCATGATTGAACACAGTCTGAATGAAGAATATGCCCACATGAAAGTTTTTGCATCACACTATGGGAGGTAAATGCTGCACTGCAAATGGCACAATAAGAAGACCCGTCAATCACATACTGGGTGGAAAATTGAGAAAAATTGGAGATAGAATCATCATTGTCCGTATCTTCAAGTTCCTTTGGTATCGTTATGTATTGATCTTTTTCGAAGCTAGGAACAAAGCTTGTCATGAGAAGAACTGTACCATTAATATCAATATTAAATTTGGTAGGACGAGGTTTCTGGATTGCATCCTGGATCGTCATCATTGGAGACAAAAAACAGAGAACTTGAGGAAAACTTATGAGAATCGCACAGAAATCATAAAAGGATTGAACCATGGCAGCCTGAGGGGTTTCGTATTTAAGTTCTCTAAGGAATCCATTACTGAAGTCATAAGTCTCAAAATCTTTTTGATAATCAAGATAACTGTTTGAATTAACACCTTCTTCACTTCTCTTTATTAATTTTCTTTGACACACTTTTGAGGTACTCCCTAGCTTAGCCTTGATTTTATGGTTTATCCGTGTAATTTTTGTTATTCTTTTTAATTTCTTCGTAATCCACTTTAAGACCGTATTCCCTTGCCATCTTTCATTTTGACGAGTCATGGTTATCATAATAAACGCTTATTTCAATTTCAACGATTTATATTGTTTATTTTGCTATTAAAATTACAAATCAGGAAAGACAAAAATCAAGATGTGTTGATCTTTTTCCACTTTTATGAGGAATAATGTTTCCTTTCTGGGTCACGAAAAATGACAGAAAATCATGTTCGTAAATCTTCGAATGTTGTCAACATCAACTAACAATTCAATGAAAGATACCTTGACTATAATGCTCCCTAGAATTAATGAAATACTATACAATTTACTAAAATGCCTCACTCTTTTTGATCATCGAAACTTTTTATTTTTTTTTCGAAGTTCGGTATCAACATACTTGCATATTTTGCTAGAAAGGGTTTCTCACCTAGCCCCCTCTAATTGCTTCTTTTGATATAAAGGTGAGCAAACAAGAAAGAAAAAAAAAGAAAAGGAAAATCTGAAAGCTTTTTTGAAGTTAAATTGGAAACTATTTCAGCTTTGAAACAGAAATACTAACATCGAGCGAAGTATAACCCTGGAGAACGTAAGAGGTCAACGCCTGAGTAGAGACCTACACCAAGCCCATGGTTTAATGCACATTTATCTGCTATGCAAATGTATTTTGAGGAAGTTTACATTCTATACTAAGTGAATGGTATCATATCTTATTATTTTATTATTTTGTTATGCCAGAATGAATATAGATGAATTTCCAAAAAAATCAAAGTTAAAACAAAAATAAAAGCAAAAACAAAGGAAAACCGAGTAAAATGAAAAAATGCACCACCAGAAGCTTTCCACTACCATTAAAGCTCTCTGATATCTCTACGTCATTATGCTTTCTCCATCCGCTTCTTGGCCTTCTCTAAGAGCTTAGCATCTCTTATTGCCTGTTTCTTATCAAACTTCAAATTAGCCTTGATTCTCAACTTCTCCCCATATTTGTAAACATAGAATGGAAATGGAATACCAAGGATGACCCCGGTGAAAAAGAAGATTGTATTACCCCAGCCGTATCCAATATCATTATACATCTTTGGGGCAAAAATTGGGAAAACAAAACCGAAAATTGATCTGAATAATGACAACGCAGCATTACTAGAAGCAGAGTATCTTGGGTTCATATCAACAACATAGTTTATCAAGAAAGAGAACATGCCTGTATAGAAACCGGTATATAAGAACACCCCAATGCACGGACAGAGCCAAAAGGTACGGTACTGAATACACCAACCGTAGATAAGTAAACCAATAGGACAGAAAATTCCGCATAAATATAAAGATTTGATTCGAAATTCTGGTTTGGCCTTGCCGTTATTTGCGAGGGTTAACTGGCGGTATTCACGGTCATTAACCACCACCCAGATTGGATTGAACACCAAGTAACCGGCACCAACCGATAAGTACATGAGGGCGGTAGTCTGGTAAGAATATCCATAATGACCTCTCCAGGCACTAGGAAAAGAGATAAGAATAAGATAAAAGTATCCAAAAAGGAAAGCCATGAAAATCCCAAGACCATAAATCATTGGATGATGAATAAGCAACATAAGTGGACGCTTAACATTGACAATGATTTTCAGCATTGCAGTTTCATTGGCATCGGCAATGTGGTAAATAGTTTTCAAATTAGGGTTTCCTGTTTGCTTTCTGAGTTTTTTACATTTCCAATTCAACAACACTGGAGAATATGTTTCTGGGAAAAAAAGTAATCCAATGACGACGGCAACAACGTCAACGATGGTAAGCACCCAAAAAATCCAACGCCAATTGATATATTCCACAATCAAACCACTACTGAGCCCACCCATGATTGGGGCCATGTTCACACAAGAACTGAACAAGATAATATACTTCCCACGGTCATTCAGATCGTAGATATCACTAATGACCGATGACCCAATTGCCATAGGGCCCGAAGCACATATACCAAGAAAGAATCTGCAAACAAATAACGAGTATGGGTCATTAGTAACTGCGCAGCCGATATTGAAGACGGCGAGACAAAAAATCGAGGTGGTTAAAACCACTCTACGGCCGTAGATTTCTGATAGCGGAGAGGTTATCATCGCAAACACACCTTGCGATAACAAGAAAATAGAAACGATGATACTAGAGAAATAAGAATTTTTGATACCAAATTCTGCATCGATAAATCCCATCCCCAAAGTGATCCCACTGGCAGCGTACTGACCAGAGAAAGTATAAAGACCAACTATCGCCAATGTGGCAAGTTTTTTTCTTCGATCCCAATTACGAGGGAATTCAGGATCTGATTCGGTATTCCAAGTGACTAATTCAGGATCCAAGGAAGCAAATTCAGAACCATCAACGGCGGTTGGTAATTGTTGGTTTTCCAGATTTTCAGCATTGTTAATTTTTCCGATACCGTTGGATTTTTTATCAACATCGTCATCTGGTTGACTACCCAGCTCGAGATCGTTGACGGAGTATTTATTATTTGTCAGTTTTGATGTGGAAGATATCAATTCGCTTTGTTCGAATCTTTCCACTTCTTGATCTGCTCTTTTTGAAAGTACAGAAATGATGGTTTGTCTTGTCTTTTGACGATCAATTTCAAGATAATCTTCCAATATTTCGCCAGAAGCACCAATAGTTTCTTCACCATTATACGCAGCAATAGAAGGATGAGCCGAAGAAGTTCTGGATAAACTGTGTTTCAATCTTGTTGCAAGAGAATCACTTACTCTGAGGTCACTATTTGCAGTGTTTATGGAAATGTTTGATTTTTCACGAGCCAAGGGGTTTTCTGGAATGGATTTGTGTTTTGATATTTCTTGATCAAAGGGTTGTGGAGTGAAGTTGACTGTAGAGTCAACATCGTCAGAAGAGGAAGAGAACGAGGATCTTGAATGAATAGATGAATCATCTTTTTCTTTGCCAAGGGGAGGAGTCATGATGATAAGTTAGTTGGGTATATGAAAGATAAGCCTATGCTTGTTTCTATGATATAGGGGTTATGCAATTTAGTAGGGATTGTTATTTTTTTATTTGCAGCTAGTGACAAACTCAGTGCATTATCTTCAAACTGTGCCAAGAGAGGGAATACAGCCCTGGAAAATGTAGATTGGGGTACAAAAGAAAGATATATATATGACTATCACCGCAACTGCCTAGAGTTAATTATTAAAGGGAAGAAAATTTTTTTGTCTCCCATTACATTTCTTATAATAATTTTTTTTTTTTATTTTTCGGTGTCCCTGTGATCTTATTTATAGCCATTATCGATGAAGGTTGATAAGACTATATTTTCTTCTTTTGATATGGGTTAATTTCCGCTATTATCCGTATATGAAGACTTTTGCGGTGGGGGCGGAGAAAGAAAAAGGTTGCCGCATTTAGCCGTATCATCCCGACAGTTTCCAGGGTGGGGGTTGTCTTGCTTTGCACGTGACCAAAGAGGTCCCCTCCCCCCCCAAAAACTCTCTGCCATTTTTTCAGCCAAACAATTTTCATACATAGACATAATAACAATTGTGTGGATCTGCCTAATAGATAGATTTGGAGATATACCAACCAGCGTCAACCAACCATGCTACGCAGGTTACGACCTCTCGGGTCCCAGAAGGCTTCACTCGCAAAAAGAGCTTCGTCTTCGTACGGGAGCCCTAATAACAACCCTGGTCTCTATAATACTTACAACAATAACAATTATACCAGTCATCAGAATAACCAATATAATCCCCACCAATATAATAGCCAATTTAACAATAATAACAATAACAACCAGTACAATCCCAATCAATACAACAGCCAATACAACAATAACCAATATAATAACCAATACAACAACCACCAAAAGAAACCCTTCTTTTCCTTCAGAAAATTTGCTACCGTGATTTCCGTGTCAACGATATCCTACTTTTTCTACCTTCAATGTTTCAATCCTATAATAGACCCATTCCCAATACAAATACGTTTACTCCTTCAACAGGCAGTACAATGTCAATCTGATCCGGCTAAGGCATTGAAATTATACATCGAGGCTCTTGAAGTAGCAGATTCCCTTGATATTGATCCGGTTTCCGACCAGTACACCGAAATCCAATTGCAAATCGCTACTAATTATGAAGCATTGGGGTTGGATTTAAAAGCACAAATGATTTACTTGGAAATAATGAGAGCTTATGAACACGCCTTATTAACCAACAAAGTCGACATTTATGACCGCCCATACATCATTCAAAAACTTTTGAGAGTATTAATAAAAAACGCATTGCTATGTGGCGAGACCATTCCCGATCACATGTCGCTATTAATACTTCAATACTTGCAAGAAACTCAAAATGAAGTTATCAACAGACTTGGTGGATTGGATGTGTATCCAGGCGCTGAAGATGATGGACCACCATTCAGCCAGAGCGCCCCAAGAAATAAAATCTTGGGAGCCAGTTCAGAATTGGCATCGTCTCATAGACCAGGTCAACTGAATAATAACAGAAACAGAAGCAATTTGCCTTCCAATGGCTTTCCATACCCTATAAGTACAGCTGCCACCGGCCTGCTTGATGATGATGATGATGATTTGACCCCAACACTACTTGATTTAAATGCTGCGTGGGCGCCTTTTGCCCCGGAATTTTTCACCGCTAGAGATTTGTTCCTTTGTCTCACCAGTACTTCAAATCGTTTCAATGTTCACTCGTCGATGCAAGGCGCTGCCTGCCAGGCAACAGTTACCACCAACCAATGGATGAGCAATGCTGGAGCCCATCCAGCAGAAGTCATGAAAAGTTATAATGCTTGTGGATCAATATTATATACTATGGGTATCCAGATTGAGAGGTTGGGTGATTATTTGGCTGATTCATCGACATCTGAGTCTGATAACGCCCTTCAACTCTCTGACAGTTTGCTTCGTAATTCTGCCGAAGCTTACAAAGTGGTGATTGACATCTCGAAGAAAAACCTGAGCATTAAGAATTTGTCCCTCCCACTAAGTGCCCTAAGACCTGTTGATATAACTGATATTCTTGTGGCTACACGACAGGAGTTAAAAGATAAACAAAAGAATAAAGATGAGACCTCCTCGCAGTCGAGGTTCTCAATTTTAAATGCGTTGCGCTTCCAAGTGGCAAGTGAAGCAGTATACCAGAAAGTCATGAAGAAGAAGGCTTCATTGTACCAAAAAGAAATGTTGCGGCAAACGGCAGTCGCACACTATGGTCTCGCATTGGTGTCGCTTAATGATGGGGATTTCCACACCGCAGAAAGAATGTTAAGACACGCCCGAATCATAGCCAAAGACGTAAATGATGATATTATAATTGGGAGAGTCGAAGAAGAATTGGAAAAATTGTCAAAGCAGAAAGAATCTGTGAAAGATGGAGATAGACACACTGGGCCGGGAGTCGGTGTTGAATGGTTCTTGGAGTTTGAATGATTATTAGATGATTAAAAGTTATTTATATTGGAAGGATATAAGTTCAAAGTATTATATAATAGTACTGCATATTATAGATGGACAACGAACTTTTATATTTTAATGTTCAAGGACTGACGTAGAAACATACTTAAAACGAAAAAAAAGGAGTAAAATGAGCTTATTTAAAACTACTGGAAAGCTAGACTTGTCTTTGGAAAATGCCTCTTCTTACTGAGGTTTGCACTTCTAAAGAAGACCTTGATAAAAATGACTACCTCCAAGAATATATCAAGCTTAAATTGGCCCAAGTGATTTGATATTTTTTATGAATATTTGAACATACAGAGATGGTTTGGGCTTTTCTACAGGAGAAACCGCATTGAGACAACACCCCCATATTATATAATGCATATGCCTCCAACATCTAGCTCCAATGGTGGTTTTGAACAAATATAATTAAAGCCTTCTGGTAAAACCACGAGCGCTAAATCACCATCTTTCAATCCTCATATTAATAGAGAAGCCAATATATAAAAAATATGCATAATTCTTGGAATTGCAGAATAAACTTCAGAAAATCACCCGGCATGGATAGCAAGCGATATTTCAAAGCTATGTTTATTTCCATATTAATTTTGCTATTCGGGGGGAATTTTTTGCTTTTATTTATTCTTATTCTTTCATTATCAATAATAGCTGTGGTCATCAAAGTAAATATATCCAGTATGTCTGCAACTGATTCTACTGCTGCCAATCATGCTGCACACAGCACTTCTGCTCTTGCAAGTGCCCCAGCAGCAACAACAACAAAAACAAAAACAGCAGCTACTGCTAACACAACTACCGCTTCTCATGCTTCTGCCGATGCTGTTTCGACCAATGCAATTCCTAGTGCAGGTACAAGGGATGTTCCTAGCGAGCCTCCTGCGGGAACTGCTAGTGATATTCCTGGAGTTTCTACCGGAGTCCCTATTGAAACCACCCATACTGAAGTTTATCCAAAAATCACCGTCCATTGGCTAAACCACTCTCGTGCAACCCGAGTGCTTTGGCTACTTGAAGAGCTTGGTCTCAAGTATGATATTAAAACCTACCAACGTGACAAGTACCTTCATGCCCCAGAATCGCTTAAATCAGTGTACCCACTTGGGAAATCCCCGGTGGTGGAAGTTCAGAAAACCGCCGACTCGACTCCGGTGGTCTTGGCAGAGTCGGGGTACGTTTTCCAATGGGTTTTAAGAGAATTCGATGCCGGAAAACTTAGAAACAAGGGAAACCGGGATAAAGTGGATTATTATTTGCATTATGGTGAAGGATCTCTCCAGCCCCCATTATTGTTTGAAGCGGTGCTTCAGCTAGTTGAAAAAGCATTTGCTCCTTGGCCGATTTCGGCAATAAAGAAGGGGTTGGTCAATAAGATTAGACTGGCGTATTGTGTTCCCGAAACCACCAACAATTTGGAGTTTCTCGAGAAGGAATTATCTAAAGGTGGCGGATACTTTGCCGGCAGTAAGTTATCAGCAGCCGATATCATGTTGTCGTATCCTCTTGATGTTGTGGTCCATAGAGGAGTGAAGTTGGATGAGTTTCCGGAGATCAAGAAATGGGTGGCGATGATCAAGGAAAACGCCAACTTCCAAGCTGCTCGCAAATATGGCCTGGATACTTGAGTAAGAAAACCAGAGATGTTTTTTTGAGTTTTTTTGAGCGTCAAATTTATCATGATGGAATATGTTTTCTTTTGTTATCGCTTCAAGCTTATTTTAATTACTTTTGTGTATACGGTTTTAATAGTTTCTAAATATGTAACGTTAAAAAAATTAGGGTGTATGTGTATGTGTATCTATATCTATATCTATATATTAGGAGGTTGGTTGGATTAAATGAAAAGAAAATGTTTCAAGGGCCATTGGCGATCAAAGAAACAAGTAAAACAAAAAAAAGTATTGCCTCAAAAGCCTATGAAAATTAATAGGAATATTGAAGGCGTATTAAAACTGCAAACAACAGAAAGCAAAAAGGTAAGAATAATGCCAATGGAGCAATAACATTTGCTCAATAATGCAAGACATGTTTCAATACAAATACCGAAACAAACGGCAATGATACCCCCAAAACAACATACTCCAGCCATTGTAACATTTCAATATTCTTCAATTGTTGAAATTTGTCACCGCCATCGATGGATTTGACGTCAAAATCTAATTCTCTGTCATTCTGATGACTAACGGTTTTGCGTTCCAGAGTATGTACCGCAGTTAAATAAACTTGGGCAGCATAACTCGGTAGAGCCCAGAATAAGCACATCACAAATATCACAACATTTTGCTCCTCCTTAGTTATGCCCTTAACTCCTAGCCAATTATGAAGATCAAACGCAGTAACAATAGAAATACCGATAATTGGAAGAACACAAAGCTTCAAAACTGTAATAAAGACAATGCCTCTAAGTTGGGTACGATGGGAGACAATCGAAGAAATAAGCCCAGATACCTTGTCCATGAGGCTAATTTTAGAAGTATCAGAAGTTCGTGAGGTCAATCTGGAAAAAGTGGCTCCCAAAAGAAACAATGAAATTGGAACTTGCGCTTGTGCCAAGTAAGAAGAGTAAGTCATAAAAACATTCAATGGAGGATAATCATCAGGAGCATCTTTATAATGTGGATTAATGGTATATCTTGGTTCAAAGGAAGGAGTGGCGACAAATAAGTTTTTCAACCATGGAATCATCGATACAAAAAAAGATACCATCACAGCTGAAAGATAAGGATTTTTGAAAGGATTGCATGCCAAATTGAGGAGTCTTCTGAATTTAGATTGAATATCGGAAGCGGTGCGTTTATGCCATATTGGGAGAGTGGTTGGATTGTCTTCAAAGGCAGGAGCAGCGGAAGGTTCATTTGTACGGGATCTAATCAAACTCAATGCATTCAAGTTTTCTTTGTTTTCAGTTGCAAATTCATGAACCACGTCGGAAATATTTTGAGGTGGGAGCTTCCGAAGCTCAATCGCCCGGAGTCTCTGAGACGTTGTCGAGAATTGACTAGCTCTCGAGTTCAATTTTTCAAGCATGTTGTGGCCTTGTGGATCTTGTGGTTTATCAAATGGTTGTGGAATGGCATTATCGCTCAATGTCGAAGGAGCTGATGATGTGATTGATTGTCTATCGTCAGAATCAGGGACATTTTCAGAATCTTCAGGCTTCACCACAAACACATCTGGTAACTTTTGTAGAGCAGATAGTTTCTCTTTTCCGTTGCTTGATTCTTGAATAGAACTTTCAGATTCTTCTTTGCCTTCGTGAAGAACTTTGGTGCCATCATTATCTTTTTCAAGATTTCTGAAATCCCATTTGATGAATATATGCGCCCCGTTGTAGATCACAAATTCAAAGATTGTAAACCCAATAAAAGCGAATGCAATACCACGATTGATTTGATCAGAGGAAAATACCTCAGTATCGTAGGCTAACGATTGCAAATAAGAGACAATGATCGTAGCGCTGGTGGAGAACATCATCGCAAAAAGTGACCCATATTTCCAATTACCAGCAATGTTCAACACATCCACTCCCGCAAACTTGTGCAAACCAGAATTAGCATATAAAACACAGAGCCAAGTGGCAGCAGCAACAAGAATATATAGCACTGAGTTGAAGCACACAACCGCGATAGGTTTGATATCAGTGTATTGAAGGTAAGTGACAATGTTGGTGAAGATGAAGCAAGGAAGAAGAATACGTTGCTGGACATAGGAGACATTACGGGAAGTGGAAACATCAAAAACGTTTTTTCTACCGAAATAGTACCCAATGGCTAACATGGTATAGAGCTTAAGCATTGGCTTGAAGCATGTCCAGATTAAAGCACCAGTGGAGCGACCAGACATCGTCACACTAATAAAAACCTAAGTATTATAAAAAGGGTGGGAGCAACAGAGAACAAATGAGTGACAAGTTAGGTTTACAACTTAATAATTCAAATAAGCAGAAGAAAGAGGGCAAAATTTTTTCTGCAAAAGATATTATCAACAAACCATTCATTACTCATCTCTCTACGGATTATTCCCTATGCGGCTGTACAAAAAGGAAAAAAAAAAAAAAAAAAAAAATTGAGGGCTCTTCCAATTACCCTGCATTATACCATCATGTCAATTGCCCCTAGCAACATTGTAATAATCATTACTATTAAACAGCGATTAAACCCTGATAATAATAATTTACCAGTGACTGGAAGACCAAATATGTGCATAAACATCTTTAGCGAATAGCGTGATATACCACAGTAGTGGCAGCTCCTAAAAAAAAAAGAGGCTGAATATTATAATGCTCCAATAAGATTTTAGAAAGACTTTTTTTTTATGTTAATTAATATACTTATTCCTATGTTTATTTCTCTTTGATCAGAACAAATTTGTTTTATTATATTAGAGCCACTTGTTGGGCTGTCAGCTCTGCCAATTGCTACGGATCAAAATTTTTATATTTAGCCTTATCTACCGCGAGACACTTGGGAAGATAAGTATTGATTTGAGTCTAACAAAAATGTTGAGCAACCCACTTAGGTGATTACAAAATGATAAGCTAACATCCAAAACGTGCATGTAATATATTTTCCCATTGAACCAAATAAATATAAAATAAAAACCAAATGAAGAATCAAAAGCAAAAAAAGATAAATATAATTTACCAATACCAAGAAAAGAAAAAACAAAAACAAAACCAAATATTGCCAAAAAAAAAATAATCAAAAGTGTATCTCATTATAAATTTTTAATACTGCTTGCTGCACGTAAAAAAATAATGCTAAGAAATGATGCAAGAGAAATTCCATCTCTACAACATATTGGAACCGGCAGACCAGAACTCAGTCAAGTCACCGCCAGCACCATTAAATGCCAAAATGTTTGGAGAGTCGGTACCAACATCGGTCAACATATCATCAGAACCATAGGCAATCAAATTCTTCTTCAATTGAGCAGGTGTGATCTTGCCAGTGCCAAAACTAGAAGCAGAGTCTGGTGCCACGGAAATAAAATAAGCCAAAAGACCAGCAATATGTGGCGAAGCCATAGAAGTACCAGATAAAGTAGCAGTGGCAGTATTAGAGCCAATATAAGTGGAAAGAACATTCAAACCTGGAGCAAAAATATCAACACACTTACCCCAGTTGGAAAAGTAGGCTCTAGTGTCAGAAATAGTAGAAGCACCCACAGTGATGGCTAACTCAGCAGCAGCTGGGGAAGTGTTACAAGCATCTTGATTCTCGTTACCGGCGGCAACAGAAAATGCAACACCAGCCTTGACAGCAGCATTAACAGCCAAATCTAAGGATGGAGATTTACCACCACCAAGGGACATGTTAGCGGAGGCACCCTTCAATTTAGGATTCTTCTTAACTTCTTCAATGTAATCTTTAGTCGCAACTTCGACACCCTTAACCACGTCACTCATGGTACCACTACCATTTGCCCCCAAAACTTTAACTCCTCTGATGTGAACCTTCTTTGAAACACCGTAAGTCTTCGAACCCATGGTACCAGCACAATGGGTACCATGTCCATTACCATCAAGAGCTCCATCGTCTGGAATGTCAGCAATCAACTTAGCTCTACCTTCGAATTCTTCGTGGGTATCCAAAACACCAGTGTCAATGATATAGGAAATGACGCCTTCACCACCAGCACCGTCATACAAGTACTTATTAAAAGAGCCCAAGTTCAAAGGGTCTCTGTGGGAGATTCTTGCCAAACCCCATGGAGCACCATTTTCAACTTCAAATTCGTTGGCATGCACAACAGAATCTTGTTCAATGTAGGAAATCAAAGGATTTTTCTTCAACAATTCGATGGTAGAGTCCAAAAAGTAACCAGAGTAACCAGTCAATACATCGTTGATGTTGAAAGACTCCAAGATACCACCGACAGCAGACTTCAACTTGGAGTTGACGGCATTAGCAAAGAACTCATTGTGTGGGTTTTCGGTGAACAATTTCCCAGCAGCGGTAACTTGTTCAGCTTGGATCCATTCTTGGTGGAATTGGACTTGGTCTGGAGTGATACCTTGCTTAAAAACAATCATGTAACGATTTGGAATGACTTCGTGGGTTTTAGAAGACAAAACTTGCACCTCTTCGCTGATAACATCTTCCAATGAAACCGAAACCTTCTCTTTGATTTTAGCAATACCTTCAGTGAACGCTTTCTTAGGAGAAAGAATCACAACGTTGTGCGAGTTTTCCGGTTCATTCGAGACTTGAAGAAAGGAATCAATGTCAATAGATGGAATCACCAAACCTTGGGTCACAGTGGCGAGAGCAACTGAGGCGAGAGCAGAGCGAGAGAGTTTCATAATTGGTAAGAACCTAGGTTGTTCTATAAGGAAAGGAGAGGAAAGAAAAAAAAATAAGTAAGTAAAAATATTCTGATCAGAAAATCTTTATGAACGATAAAATAAGAAGGCAAGAAGAATAAAAAAGACGTAAGAGATGGTTGTATTTATAGGCGGTGGCGAGGGATGACGAATATAACGCGATGAGGCTACCCGGTTGTAAAAGGGGGTGACACTGATAAGAACACATGACTGATAAGCAACGTCATCGTGACTTGTTGACCCGTCCCGGGGTGAAAGGTGATTGTGGGTGATTGTGGGTGATTGTGGCAGATTATGACCAGGTTATTGATAGCCCTATGTAAATGAAGAAGCTAATATTACGACACTTTTATTCATGTTCTCTTATGTATCATTAAGGAAGACGAGTAAAAGAAATAGAGTGTCCTTAGTAGTTACCTTACTTTATAATAATATGTCTGATAAGTGGCCAGGGGGTGTATAGGGTCATGATATTCTCCAGGAAAAAGCCAAATAATCATCGGCACACGATGATAACATTCATTACAGAAACTGCCCCCCTTTTCCCTAATGTAACAGGAAAAAGAAAATAAAAATAATAAACACTAATCTCTAATGAAACCAGGATCATCTTGCGTTTGTTTGCTAAATGAAAAAAAAAGAATCTTTGCACTAGGCTCTTAGAGGACTCAGCGATAACCACACAGTATAATAAAACTAAATAGTGGTAACCCCAATGGTAGCCCCACTACATTTTTGGAAATGGTGTATTGATACCTTCATTGATTGTGGAAATTGAAAGCCATAACAAAAAATCTCACCTGGAAAGCCTGATTCAACATTTATCCAAAAAAACAAACAAAAAAACCTCTGAAATAGGGTCTTAACTTCAACCCGGTTTTGCCGCTGAGATATTGGCAGCCATGAGTCAATAAATACACTTGTTTACAGCCAAAAAAAAAATGAAATGTACAGCAACAATGTCCTATTTGAATATAAGAATCAAAGAGATTTTAAACTCTTATTGTGTTATTTTTCTCTGCTCTTTCCTCTCTGTTTTTCTTCTAGTCAACGACTTTATTTCACTATCTTATCCTGATACTCGTCTCACCTCATCTCACCTCACCTCATCGCATCGCATCGCATCTCTTCCTGCCTAAAATGGAAGGGGGTCCAGAACCCGCTCCATCATTTTTTTTTTTTTTTTTTTTTGCCGAAAGCAGAAAAATGGAATTTTTTGCTCAACATGGTGTATTGGTGTATTTGGTTATATATACAACTAACTACGGATCATATCACAAATAGATAATGGCAAACAAAAGAAAGAAACTTACTCCTATAACAAAATCCAAAAAATCTAATAATCCTACAAATATTAGACTCAAACCTGAGGTTTCCAGGAAATTAATCAATAGATTCCATGTGTTAATCAAAGCCAAAGCCTTACTTTTTACTAAAATCCTGTTACCTAAAAATCATAAGCTTTCAGAAGAAAATTACCTGTCCATATTATCTGACTCATACCCTAGGATTAACCAGTTATATTTAACCAGAAAAAATGAAATATTTACTAAACTCTCTCAACAATCTAAGAAACATCGGACGGAAATGAGAAATGACTTGTTCGTCACGCTTTCTAAACTCCATGACTGCAGGCTTTCTAATGATATAACTGATCAACTTCTATCGACAGCAATCGAAATACTAGCAGAAATTGATGCAGAAATTGATCTTCAAGGTGGATTGCACACCTATCAAGTAGCATCGCTCAATGGCCAAGACAAACTACGGGGTAGTGATTCATCAAAAAAGTTGATTGAATGGCTAACCGAACTCTGCAAATCACCACCTGACTTACCATTAACAGCATTGGAAATCGGGTCACTTAGTAGTAAGAATCAAATCTCCACCTCAAAATGGTTCAAGGATAATGTTACCAGAATAGATTTGAACTCCCAGGATTCGGATACTATCCTTCAACAAGATTTTATGCAGCGGCCTTTACCAAAATCCGAAAAAGAGAAGTACCATCTAATAAGTTGTTCATTGGTGTTAAATTTTGTTTCTAGTGCCCAAGAACGTGGAGAGATGTTGAAACGTATCGGCAAATTTTTCAAACCTTCAAAAGACATCCAGGATCATGGTATTTTTCCATGTTTTTTCTTTGTACTACCATTACCATGCGTCACCAACTCGAAATACATAAACAAAGAAAACATACTTCCCTTGTTGAATGGTTTGGGTTATTCGCTATTGAAGTACCATGAATCAACTAAATTAGTTTACATGCTACTAAGATATAATGAAAGTGAAAAGACCAAGAATTTCAAGTTTCAAAAGAAAGAATTAGACGTTACCAGAAAGGCAAAAAGAAACAATTTTTCAATCATCTTGAAATAGAAGTGAGGATATTTTTTAAATAATATATAATGCTTGTTGTGTATAGCGGAGATTTTCATTTGTGATTTATATTAAACCTTTTCTTTTTTTCTGATTCTTCAAATTAACCTGAACAAATAAACAAAAGGAATTGCTAGCAATAGTAAAGCTTGTTCTTGCAAAATGTCGGCATCTTGGGTGGTAGTTATAACTCTTCTACCAAGAAGTAGTCTACCAAACCATATTCATAAAGAAAACACAAAAGTAGTGAGTCTATGAAAGTTATTGGTATCATTTAATATCAATATGCTATCAAAGAAGAAGCTTGCTCAGATTTTACAATTATGATTAAAAGATCTCAAAATCATGATTAACATATGACGAAATAGAAAATTATCAAACAAAGAACCAAATATCGTTGTGATAACAAGGAAGAACAAGCAAAAAACCAAATATGAAAAAGTTGTAACAAAGAAGAACAAAAAAAGAAGAAGATAGAAAACAAAAAAAGGGGTATCCCTTTAAAAGATAATAAAAAATGAAAACCGAAAGTCTAAATTTCTTCAAATGAGTATGCAATTTTTCAAGAAAGACAAAATAAAAAAACAAAACAAAATAAGCTAAGAAAGAACTGAGCGATTCAAACTTTCATCTTGTATATGCAAATGATACTGCAGTATCGAGAATTTAAAATAAGGAACCGACGTAAAAAAAACCAAATTTGGGAGAAGTCATAACTAGCTAGATATAAATCATCGAGAAGTCCTCAGGCAACAAACTTTTGTTGATGAGTATAATGAAAATGAAATGTGATGGACCATCAAAATAAAACCAGAAAGCAAAGATTATAATTGAACTGATTCTGCGTGCTGGTTTAAGAAATCCAATTAAAATCCCATACCGGTCATGATACCATAACCCAATGAAATAATGATCAAGAAACAAATAATGGAAGCTGGAATCCCACGAGAAATAAAGGTGTTATGCTTGACATATCTATTTCCCTTTTCATCCAACAAACCAACAGCAGTAACATTAGGGAAACCAGAAGTTGGTAAAGCCATGGCAGCAGAAGCAAGTAAAGCGGTAGCCATAACTAACACTTGTGGTCTTGGGTTTGGCAAAGATTCACCAACCTCCTTCACCAATGGAACGATAATTAAGGTAGCAACGGTGTGGGACACAAAAGTAGCAAACACCAACACGATAATACCAAAGATTAACATCACAGAGAATAAAGAGTAGTCCTCAATACGGTCTTTCAAAGACATAGCCACGGTCTTAAGCAACCCAGATGAAGTAACAGCGGAACCTAAGGCAAGACCACCTTGGGCCAACACAATAATATTCCAAGGGAAAGCATGTAAATCACTGAGGGTTAACAATCTAGCACCAAAAAACACCACGAAAGGAATGAATGAAATAATGCCAGACAGACCAAAAACATTCTCGGTTTTTGTCAAGACACACCACAAAATAATGGTGGTGATACTGGTGATACAAACCACCCATTGTTCAAAAGTAAATCTTTCCTTGATTGGTTTCACCACCTTAATTTTTTGACCCTTGAAGTCAAAGGTGAAAATTAACATCAACCAAATGAAAATCAATTCAAAGAAACAAACAGGCAAAGCCACCGCAAACCATTTACCCCAACCTGGACTAGGATTCATGGATTCAATTGCCACAACGTTTTGTGGAGATGAAATTGGAGAGGCCATACCACCCGCGTTGGAGGCCAAGGCAATACCAAGCACCAAAGCAGTTGCAACTGGTGATTCAGTTGGAATGGAGCGCAAAATTGGTTGGATTAAAGAATAACACAACACTGGAGCAGCGACATTAGAGATCCACATTGACAAAAACATGGCAACACCCATAATCGCCAACAAAACTCTTTTTGGATTGCTGCCGGAGAAGAATAAGATATAAGAGGATAAAATTTTGGCAATATTATATTTCGATAAGGCAGCGGCCAAAGTGAAACCACCAAGCAACAACATGATCACTGATGAAAACATGGTTGATAAAATGTAACTGGCAGCTTTAGAACCGTCCATCACTGTACCATCCAGATTTTTTAAAACTTTGCAAACCACAACCAAGAATGGAACCAAAAATGAGGTGACAAATAATGGGATAGTTTCAGTGGCCCATAAATAAGCGGCACAAGCCAACACTGCAAGAGATCTTCCTTGGACTCTATCGTTCAAAGTCTTGACAAAAAGCAAAACAAAGAAAAACACAACGCAAATGTAGAATCTGATCAGTGTCGAGTTGAATAACCATCTTGGGATTTTCATATCGAATTTCCCTAAAGGAATATGGAAAAATTTAGACTTGTCGTGCATCAAATCTTGCTTTTTTACTTTAAAGGTGTTATTTTCCAAACTCAACAAATCTTTCCAAACCACAGATCTGTCCATGATGATTTGTTCTCTGAGATAAATCTTGAAATCATTCTTGACTTCTTCTATAGTTTGATTGGACAAATTGGCATAAGCAGCAAACAAATTATGGATTTTCAAATCGATGGCTTCCATAGTTTGTGGGTCAAACACAAGAGTTTCAGTTTCAAGTTTTTCAATGAATGGTTCTCTGGTGACCACATTGATAGTCTTATCCAACTTCTTGGTAATTTTGGAAAATCCGACTTTGTTCAACTCAATATAAGATTTCAATTCGGACAAGTCAATGAAAACCTCAGTGATCTTCTTTTTAGAAGAAATTATAGCTCCTTCGGTTTCAAAAGTCTTTTCATTAATATTGGTCATCAAAGAAGAGTTCTTAAGGATTGAATTTTGGGAAAGGACAGATTGGTTGGTGATAGACTTTTGCAATTCATTCTTTTCATTCTTTTCGATTCCAATAGTGGTGTTTTCAATGTATAGTTCTGGGTCATCATCGTCATCAATTCTTTTTTCTTCACTATCATCATATTCTCCCAGGGCGCTCACCTTTTCATCACTCGAGCTTGATTGGGTGGTGTTTTCGTCAAGGTCGAGATGCAACTTGGCTTTCAACTCCTCGGCCAAGGCCCGGTATTTTTCAAAAGCGTCATCGGATTGAGCGGAGTAGAAGCTTTCCACGTTTTCCAATTGCTTGTTCAACGACTTCAAGAATTGTTCCTCGGCCTCGAGCTTCCCCAATTTTCCGTTGACAATTTTGGTGTCAAGGTTGTAGATTTCTTCCTTCAAAGATTCGTAGTCCAAGTACTCATCTCTCCATTCAGGGACGATGTTGAACCTAAGGGAGTCGGCAAACTTCATGTCTCACTTGTCAAACGATATACCAACTAAATAGGAAAGTCTATCAAAGGGTCTTCGGACTAATTGAAGTACGGTAGAGAAGATAGAAATGGGTCGTGTGAAGATATCCTTGATTAAATATATATATCCCCAAAAAGAAATGAAAATTTTCCGCTGTGCATCTCTTCGCCAGGGAAGGTAGCCCACATGGCCTTCCTAATCGGGAAATTCACCACAGGTCATCGGGGGTGCGAGGCGCTCCGTGACGGAAAAGGCTTAGCATCACACGACCTGGGGGGATTGAGCATTGGCACTCCGAGGAAGCTTAACCTTACCATCCAAGGAAAATAGAAAAAAGAAATAAAAAAAAAAAAGAAAAAAAGAAGAAAAGAAGAAAAGAAGAAAAGAAGAAAAGAAAAAAAGAAAAAAATGTACATTGGGGTGGATCTAAAAAAAAAGAAAAGAAATAGACAAGAAAAGAAACAAACGATGCTAATCTCAGCAGAAACTAAAATTGCTTGACGTCTGCGGACCCTGTATCAAACAAGGGAATTTCTCTATTATCGAGGTATAGTCCTCCATGAGTTGATTGCTAGTGCAATCAACTGGGAAAGGCTTGTATTTAATAGTATCCACCTCATTGGTATGTTTGTTTATGATCACAAGAAGTTTCACCTTGGATAGCTGATTGATAAATTCATCAGCACTAAAAGATCCAAATTTAACAAGCTCATGATAATTGTACTTATGTTCATCCAGGAACTCGGAATTATTGAAAAAAATGTGGTCACCGAAATACTTGTCTTCATCGAAGTTTCTTGACCGTTTGTTATTCGAATAATTGGAAAATTTGTTGTTGATATCCAATAGTGACCATTCTAATAGAGTGAAATTCTCTTGCAAAAATTTGAGACAATTATTACAGAGCATAATCCGTAAGAATTGAAAATAGGTGGAAATGTTATCAAATGGACGTAATTGCTTCCATTTCCTAATCTTACCGGAACTAATGTGCCTGTATTCATCATTATTTCTCATAAGCTCATTACTATTCAAAACAATATTGATGAATTCTTCAAAGCTATCAACATTCAAGCATTTGTGCTTCGTAGAATCATTTATTGAGAGTGTAGCTTCTGATGGAACATTATTTTCGGAACAGCTGTCTCCATCAGCTGATTCAATATCAATCAAACCAATTTCTTCAAAATTTATCACTTTAACATTAAATTGCAACTCATCAATATCATCTTGTAAAGTACTATCGTTTTCAAATTTGAGAATTTCTGAAGCTTTGGAAAACTTCCCCAACTTCATCTGTTTTAACTCTTCCAAAAAATTGAAATTGTTGAATAGCCAAAACTTGTAAAGTTGAAAATTACAACGAAGCTTCCCCTGAAGAAATTTAGGAGAAATTCCATCACTTCCACCAATGGTAAAATTCAATGAAAGTTTTTGAATGAATTTTTTGAATGCAATTTCTTTTGAATCATTATGAATTGGATACAAATACTCAAATAATATCTTCAACCCTATATCACTCTCTAGTTTACTCGCATCTAATGAAAATTGCAAACCATTTCTTAATAATAAATTGGTTGCTCTGGTTTTTGAAAACTTGAAGTGATCATTGAGAGCATTGACTGAGGGAACAAACTCATTACTAGAAATCGCACTCTTTGTCATTGGCAATTCGTCGTACAATCTGCCTGCAGAAATCCGTTCATTATAAAACGACAGTACGCTATCAAGATTTGCCGAATATTTCTGTTTTAACGAGCAATATAAGCAATGATGATCTTGGAATATGTTCAAACCATTTTCATGAGATATCAATAGCATATCTTTCTTATCTTTAACAACATTTTTGGAAAACCAAGGATTCCTCTTCTTTCTATCAGCCACAATTTTTCTTCTAACAGTCCTTGCTATTTTAAGCTTATCATCTGCATCAACCCAAACTCTGTCATAAATTCTCTTTTGTCCATGGGACGGTCGCATGAATAATATTGACGATCCAGCCATTGAATTTTCATCATCCATTACAAAAGCATGGCGATTTCGCGATCGATTTTCTTGTTGAGTCAAGTGACTCAAAGTATTCTTATCAACATCATTGGTTTCTAAGTCCTCGAATTTCATATCTCGATATTTTTTCTCAATGTTTGATTTCAATTCGACTCTATTTATTTTGAGCTTGCACAAATCCACCGCTGCTCTAAAATGCAATAATAGCACTATATTCACTTCGAGTTGTTGGAGCTTTGAACTTTGAAAATCCCTATCTTCCTGTAGCTTTTTGAGCATCAGGGAATCTATCATCTCATACTCATTGTCAAATCTGGAATTGATCAATTCAATCTTCTCCTCAATACTTTCGCGTAACTGAGAATAGGTATTGCTTTTGGCCATCATTTGGGATTCTAATGTTCGTAGAGTTGAATCAAACAGTTCATTTAAGGTGGTGAAATTATCGGACTCAATGGCACTATTTATTAAAACTCTTTTTGCCACTGACCCTATGGCTCGATGGAGCCGGGGCTGTATGAAAGCGTCATGAGTTATTGGAGGCTCTTCTTCACGATTAGCAGTTTGAGAAAGAGGAAGATGGAATCGTAATGAACTAGCCATGATTAGGCATTATAAGCGACAAGAAAGAAATCGTTAATATCCAAAAATATTGCCAAGATATCTCAATAGACTAAACAGGAAGAAAATAAAAAAAAAGAGTATTTACTTGTTGATAGATAGATACTATATAAAATATAGCATTATTCAACCTGTCAAACTTGTTTACTTGATTCTGTGATATTTTTTTATTTTTTTTTGGTTAGATCCGTTGGGGGAGATGAGTTTGCGGAAAATATTTTATTGAGACGGTATAGATAGCGCGTTCCATCATTCTGTGATCTGAGAATATTGAAGTTATTAACAGCATGTCACGATTTGTAACAGAAGGTAGTCTCAGCAAGGAGCAGCTCGATGCTATAGAGGAAAAGGAAAACGAAGAAGCCCAAAAGTACAAGGATGAGGAAGCAGAAAAAGAGAGAAAAACCCTATATGAGCAGCTAAAGGCCAATAGAGGTAAGTAATTTGCAGACTTTTTCCTCTTTCTTATATATTTCTTTATTTTCAGAATGGTGGTGAAATGCTAACAATTTTCTATAGCTCGATTAGAACAAGAAAGGGAGAAAGTTTATAGAAAGAAATATTTAGCACATCATGTTAACGATGATGCCAAAACATTTTATGAAGGATTGAAAAATGAGGAGATCCAAAGAGAGCAGAAGTTGAAAAACGAATTGGATAAAGGAATGGAAGAGTTTTATGAGTTTCAAAAAGATAAAACTGTTCGAAAGCAGAAAGTGCCAGTATCAGTAGCAAAGGATGGCAAGAATATTAAAATTGTTAAACAGAGTACAAAGATAAAAAAGAAAAAGGCGAAAGTTATTATATGAAAAATCCTTAGAAAATTTTATTGAATGATATTATTTTCATTGATAACGGTTGAATATTGGTTGAAAAGCAAATACCAAATATTTCAGGCTTCAGTCCAAAATTTGAAAGAAAATAAATTAAGAGCATCATGGCGATATGCTCAATAAAGCACTAACTAAAAGCAAATCAATAAGAACATAGAATGATGAAGTAAATTAAAGTGAATTTAAAGGTATAGGGACGAAAACAAAAGTGAAAAGAACCTCTTACCATTTTGCGATTGATTGAAGTTTGTTTATCATCATGCTTCAAATCCTTTCAAGGTTAGATATATGATTTCTTTTCCAAATTAATCTAATTTAGTAAATTTGTTATAATTAACTTGGGGAGTAGAGAGTGATGTCCTCTGCAAAATATAACGGCCTGAATGTTCTTTGACAGTAGACGACAGTGCTCCCAAAGGTTTTCCATAGCCATAATACTGATAGAGAAATCAAGAAAAATATTCATCGCTACTTGATGCCATGGAAAGTAATGCTATAAGCGTACTAACAAATGGAAGAAGTTTCTGTCAATAACTATCTTGATTATAATAAAAAGAGGCGTCTTGGGTAAAACGCACCATGATGTGGTTTTATGTATTGATGGTGTGATAGACACTTCATCGCCTCTTAACCAGACGATCGCGACTTTTTTTATTTACTTTTGTTTACTACCAAAACATAAAATTGCTATACATTGGAAATTTTGAAATATATGAAGACATAGCAAGCTTCAGCTTCTCGATTTTCAGAAACATACTCCAACAATGCCATTGAACGTCTTGAGGTCTCCCCTCAAGTCTATTAATAGCAATGTTGAGGTAGTATCACCTTCAAAGAACCGTTTTATTGCAGACGAAAAGCCTGATTTGCCTCCTCCATCAGCATCAGCTTCAACCCGGCCTATGCAATTATTGGCATTATCTCCAACTAAAAATACTGTATTAACTCAGCCAGATGCTGTGGATGAAATAGGTAATTCGGGACTGAAGAGTCGTTTGGTGATTGATAAATTGGTACTCACAAACTTCAAATCATATGTCGGTGTGCAAGAAGTTGGACCTTTCCATTCATCATTTTCGGCAGTGGTTGGGCCAAATGGTTCTGGAAAATCAAATGTTATTGATTCTATGTTATTCGTCTTTGGTTTCAGAGCGAACAAAATGCGTCAGGCCAAATTATCTGAATTGATCCACAATTCTGATAAGCATCAAAATTTGTCGTTTTGTTCTGTCGATGTCCATTTCAAACAAGTAATTGATAAAATTGATTATGGGGAAGATGAAAGCCCTGTTGATGTAGTTCCGGGTGAGGATCTTGTGATCACTCGTAAGGCCTACAGGAACAACTCTTCTGAATATTATATCAATGGGAATAGGAGCAATTATACTGAGGTTACTACTCTATTGAAGGATCAAGGGATTGATTTGGATCATAAAAGATTCTTGATTTTGCAAGGGGAAGTTGAATCGATTGCTCAGATGAAACCAAAAGCGGAAAAAGAAAATGATGATGGTCTACTTGAATATTTGGAAGATATCATCGGGACGGCTCAATATAAATCGAAAATCGAGAATTCTTTGGATGAAGTTAACAATTTAAATGATGTCTGTGTGGAAAAAGAGAACAGGTTTGAGATTGTGGAAAAAGAAAAAGATAATTTAGAGGACGACAAGGATAAGGCCTTGAATTTTTTAAAGCTCGATAGGCAACTAACCCTAAAAAAATCCGTGGCATTCCAGGCGCAAATACACAACAGAACTGAAAAGTCTAAGGAAAATCTAGAGAAATTCACCAAATTGAAAGAAAGACTTGATGAGGAGAGAAAGATTAATGCTGATTTGCACAAAGAAATCAAAGATTTAGATACTAAGTACTCTGAATGCTCTATGAAGATAAAAGATATCAATGAACAGATAAATAAGCTTCAGAAGAAGCAGAGACAGGTTGACAAAGAGAATGTTAGATTCGATGAGCAAAAGAAAAATTTGAACAACAAGATCAAAAAATCAGAAAAAATGATCAGCGCTACAAATACTTCTTTACAAAACGCTAATACCAAATTGGAAAATCATTTGATGGAGCAAAAGGAGTATGAAGAAGAATTGAAGGAATTACAATCTCAATTAGAAATAGAGGTTAATGAATTGGAATCAGTTAGAAAAGAATTGTCTAATAAAACGAAACCTTTCACCGACGAAATTTCTAAGATCCAAAAAGAGTTGCAGCCTTGGAATGAAAAACTAAACGCTAAAGAATCCCAAGTGAAGGTGGCGGAATCAAATGTTGAATTGATTGAAAGCGAGTTTTCTAATTTCGACAAAGAAATTGCAGCTAAGCAAGACCAAATGGAGAAAATTGTGGACCACGGTAAAAAGCTACAGGAACAATTAATTTCCTTGAAGAAAGAGAAGAGTAAGATACAAAAGCAGATCGAACACGGTACGAAAGAAACTAAGAATGCGGAAATCAGGCTTCAGGAAATGAAAGAAAACTTGACCAATACTAGACACAAAGTAGTTGATGCAAAAAATTCCTTATCTAATTCTCAGAATAAGTCTAAAGTTTTATCTGGCTTGCTAAGATTGCAAAGATCAGGAAGAATTTCGGGCTTCTACGGCCGTTTGGGGGATTTGGCTGTCATTGATGATCAATATGATGTCGCCATATCTACTGCTTGCTCACAGTTGGATGATATGGTTGTTGAAACCGTGGAAATTGGCCAACAGTGTATTGAATATCTTAGAAGCCAACACTTGGGATATGCCAGATTCATTTGTTTGAATAAATTGAGACAGTTTAGAATGGATCCGATTAACACTCCAATGAATTGTCCAAGACTATTTGACTTGATTAGCCCCAAGGATCCAAAATTCTTGCCAGCATTTTACAGTGTATTGAGGGACACTTTGGTGGCCGAAAACTTGAATGCTGCTAATAGAGCAGCTTATGGCTCTAATAAGAGATATAGAGTCGTCACTTTAGATGGTAAATTGATTGATACTTCTGGTACCTTATCCGGTGGTGGTAATTATGTTCATAGGGGTGGCATGAGAACCAAATCTAACTCAACTTATGATGATGCTGAATTGTACACAGAAGAAGATGTCAACCATTTGGAATCTGAATTGGTTGCGAAAGAGAAGCATTTCCAAGTGGCTCAGGATACATTAAGAGAAATGGAAACTGCTTTAAAGCTGTTGCATGATAGAGACCCTGAAATTGATGTTCTGATTTCTAAAATCGAATTGGAAATGAAATCATTGACAACAGATTTGGCGTCATTGACCAAGATTGTGGAAGATTTGAATTCGACAAAAGAAGCCACGATCGCAAAGTTGAACCTGGATTTGACAGATGCTAAAGATATTGTTACTCAACGTAAACAACAGTTGGCGGAGTTGAAAGATGGTGCTTCATCACTTGAGAATCAATTGGAGAAATTGGAGCAGAAAATTATGGATATTGGTGGTGTCAAATTGAAGATGCAGAAATCGGAAGTGGATGGGATAAATCAAAAAATTGAGATTCTCAATCACAAATCGTCTACTACGTTGCATAGCATAAAGAAGGCACAGAATGAGATTAAAAGAAGTGAAAAGACTTTGAAAAATAGTGAGGTGGAATTATCGACTACTAGTGCCGAATTGGCAAAAATCGAAGAAGAATTCGCCAAAAAGGATACCAATACCGCCGAACTTGAAAAGCAGATAAACAAATTGAATGATGAAAAAGAATCAATTGCCGAGGAAGTTGATCAAGTTAAAGAAGAATTGGGTACTAAAAAAGCCAAAATCAATGAATTGAAGTCAACTGAGATTGAATTGGAAAATTCTATTGAAAAGTATGAAGCAGTTGTTAGACATGATAAAAAAGCCATTGCCAGTATTAAGCATGAATTAGATTCTTTGGAATTCAGGGATGTCAGCCATTTGATTGGTTGGCTTGATTTAGGCATTCCAGTCAAGAAGGCTGCTGTGAAGGAAAAGTTCAATAAGAAAAAGAGAAAGAGAAAGACCAGAATCAATGATGATGGTGAGGAAGTTGAAGTTGAAGAGGAAGATGATGTGGAGGAGGAGAGTGAAGAGGATAACGAACATGGTCAAACAGAGGAAATTGAAGTTGATGAAAACGAAGAAAAGGAAGAGGACGCAAATAAAGAAGGGCAGGAGGATAATTCTGAAGGTGAAAATGAAAATGATGAGAATGGAACCCAGGCGGAATCAGGGGAATATGATCTATCAGAACTCAAGGAGCTCAAGGAACTATTCAACACAACTGGCTTCCCAATTCTTAATGAAGAAAAGATCTCTGAACTTGATCTTGATGAAGTTTATAATGAAATAGAATCTATTGAAGGTGAATTAGAAAACATCAGAGTTGATGTTAATATTTTGGAAGAATATGGTAGAAGAGCCTCAGAGTACCATAACCGTAAAACTGATTTGAATGATGCTGTTGCGGAACGTGAAAAGTTGAGAGATTACGTTGAAGAATTGAAAAAGAAGAGATTGAATGAATTCATGAAAGGTTTCTACACGATCTCTTCAACTTTGAAAGAAATGTATCAAATGATCACCATGGGTGGTAATGCGGAATTAGAATTGGTGGACAGTTTGGACCCATTTGCAGAAGGTATTTTGTTCAGTGTTATGCCTCCCAAGAAATCATGGAAAAATATTTCAAATTTGTCTGGTGGTGAGAAAACGCTTAGTTCTTTAGCATTAGTCTTTGCCCTTCATAAGTATAAACCAACACCGTTATACGTTATGGATGAAATTGATGCGGCGCTAGATTTTAGAAATGTCTCTATTGTGGCCAATTATATTAAAGAAAGAACCCAAAATGCCCAATTTATTGTTATTTCGTTGAGAAACAATATGTTTGAATTGGCACAAAGATTGGTAGGGATTTATAAAGTTCAAAACATGACCAGAAGTGTCACTTTGAAGAACCGGGATATTCTTGGTAATGGTAATGGCGGCACTGATACAAGGGGCAGAAGTAGCCAAATGGTACCTGGATCACCAATAAGAAACTTATCTCCACTAAGAATGATTTCTCAAAAGAGGTCTCGCTCTCCAACCCGCTCTCCCTCTCAGGCACCTTGATTGATTAAGTTGGGAATACTTTTGTATTTCCCCCTGCTGTACCATAGGATAATGACTTTTTATTTTTTAAAATATACCCCCATTTTTTTCCCCTTTTCTTGTTGCTATTTTTAATATTGCTATTATTATTATTATTATTATATATTCAAATGAAATTTCAAGTTATTTATCAGTAGGATTCACTATTGAAAGAGGTGGAATATTGTGCGTGCCTTTAGTACCTCATTGCTAAAAAAAATTTTAGAAGGAAAAATTTTTGATAACTTATGTTAATGTAGTGAGTGATAATGCAATATTAATAAAAATTGGTTAAAGTAAAAGGATGGTAAAAGCTGTTTCAATAGATAATAAACCTGCTGCTAACAAAAAAAGAGCTTCCAGAAGAAGAAAGAAGAGAAGAACTGAAGATTTTTCTTCTAGTGAAAGTGATAGTAGTAGTGACAGCAGTGATGATGATAGCGAACATGATTCTAAGAACGACAATGATAATGACATTGAGATGAAGGATACTGAACAATTGAAAGAGAAACCAAAAAAAAAGTCTGATATTTCAAGCATTGAAACTAAAAACGTCGAGCTTCACAATGTTGTAGAGGAAGATGTTGTTGAAGGTAAAGGAATCAATAAATTGAGCAACGAATTAAAGAAAAAATTGAATGAAATCAACTTGCATTCCAATAAGAATACTAATGTGACTAAGATATCATTTGAGTCAATACAAAACTCTGAGGAATTTTTGAAGAGATTTGCCGTAGAGAACTTAGTGGATGGCGGTTCCGCTTCGAGGATCAATTCAGAAACACAACAAAAACTCCAACCTTCCAAAACCATAGAAAAAAGCTCAAACCATGATGCCAACGGTAATTCAAATTCTCAAAATGAAAATAAGAAAAGTGAACTTTTGGATGAATACTTGAGTTTAATGATGGGTAACTATGAAGCTGATTTGGATGATCTAAGAAAAGCCAACGATTTGAACGAGTTTTCATTACCAATTTTGGCTAATTTGTTAAGAGAAGGTGGAAATATTTTCGATTATGAAAGCTTGAGCACGATTGTCACTAAATAGTTTTCATCATGCTGTATGGTGGGCGTTTATGTGACTTTTCTTTCATCATCAATTGTAGTTGCTTGATATTTGCTGCACCTATGGCTAATATTGTCACATTTTGGAAATCTTATAGGATTCCGGATAAAGTTTCTCACTGGGTATTTTATTATTCTAAGTGAGTTTGTAACATAGATATGAGATATATGATGATTATACTTGAAATTTGTTTTTGTTTTCTTTTTTTTTTTTTCTTCTTTTCTATTTTTTTTTTTTTTTTATTTTTTTGTCTTTCTCACACCAATATATAATAAAAGTAATTAATCTCTCAATTAATTTTTGTTTATTTCTTGTAGACTCCATCAAGAAGTTTCAAACATCCTTAAATACTCAATGATTCATGATGATGTTTTCTGTCACACGTCCATGAAAAAAATGTGTGCGAAAAAAAGTTGGAAATTTTATTTCTTGAGCTCTTCCTCCCCCACCACAAATCCCCCAATTAACGAAGACAATCATAGGAGAAAATCTATTTATATATTGCTGACTAAAGAGGACATTAGATTAACTGAATATTGTCTATAATCTAATTCTGTGGATTTATGTTTTCTACACATATAGCTGTCGCTGAACTAGATTTAAACATGGATGGATTCAGTAATGGTGCTTCACATAACAACACGTTTGAAGAAATTGGTAATGATGTTTTAAATTTTGACGAGATACTAGAACCTGGCTCTTTTGAAAATAAGGAAGACTCGAGTAGTGTGGATAATGTGCTTCCCAAGGAAAATCTGATCGGTACCGACGCGTTGAATGGGGATGACGCGACTAGAAATGATAAGAATAATTTATTCCAAAGCCTCAGTACCCCAAGTATTATTTCAAGTACTGCATCTTTTCATGCCATAGACGGTAATATCAGTGATGATACTTTTGGTACTAATAATAAATCAAGCTCCGTACCACTACTGGATATATATAGCAATGAAAGCTCTGCATCGTCGTCACAAATTTCCCCCACTTCAAAATCGCAAACTCCAGTTAGGCGATCAAAAAGAGTTTCTGAAGCTGCTCGTCAGACTTCCACTGAAGAAGAGCTACAAAGGAAACTTTTTGAAAATGAAATATCTAAGAAGTTTCAGGTGACAGTTGAGGGAAAGAAAAAGATCTATATCAGTACCAATGATAGTTTTCATGATCAGCAGCTGGTGCCTGAGAAGAAGAATAAAAGCAAAGTCAATCACTCAAAGAAGGGAACAAAAAATAAAAAGCAAGGTGACTCATCAGTGGACGTTGATGATCTTGATGAAAGAATCCAGGCCCAAACAAAGGCTATTGTGACTGGATACCCTCTAGAGTTTGCCCCACCGGCAAAAGTCCAGAAAGAAGCTCTATGGAAAAAAACCAAGATAGGCTCGGGTCCTGGAAGAAAAGGTAACAAGGGAGGAAGAAGAATCCATAAAGGCAGCAATAATGACGGTTCAAAAGATCCCACGCCGGAGCTTACAAAGGAGACTTTGGAAAACCAGATCGATAGAATGGCGCCAGAACGGCAGCTAGAGAAAAAATTACAGTTAGATAAAGGCTTGAAAACACCAGAGGCTGATGAATTGACCAGTCAAAGTTTTATTCGTGATGCGCAAAATGTAAAACCGGTGGTAAAGCGAGGGTCCTTAAAATATGAAGTCGTTCGTGTTCCGACTTCAAAAAAAAGAAAAACTGCTAGTTTGATTGAACCAAGTGATAATTTCAATTCGTCCAGCAAGAAAAAAAAGATCAAGAAGATCACTTTGAATACCACTCCAAAGCTAACGAATGGCTCCTTTGGATATGGCGGGCCAATTGATTTGACCGATACCCCGAGAGCAAACTCCGGATCACTCCAGCCATTAGATAATAACGAAGAATTCTGCTCTGGATGTGGTGAACCAGGGTCCTTTTTATGTTGCGAAGGATGTCCGAAATCTTTCCACTTTTCTTGTTTGGATCCACCCTTAGATGAGGAAGAGTTACCGGATGGTGATTGGTTTTGTGATCATTGTGTTGCCAAGAACCATAAAGACAAGTTGAAGGCGCCTCCGGGAATATTTGGTAAATTATTACTTAGCTTACAGAAAACGAATCCTCACAGGTTTGAGCTACCGCGAAAAATTAGAGAAAGATATGAAGGGGTCAGCACAGGAAAGCTCGGGGAATATCAGGATGATGATACCAAAGCTTCAAAGGAAGTTCAGAAAGGTGTGTTGCAACAGTTGGAACCAATAAAAGCCTTCGACAAGGATGGTAAGCCAATGTTCTGTTACAAGTGTGGTGAATCGGGAATTGGGGGTAAGGAGTTGACCAAATGTGAATACTGTCCATTGTTTTGGCATTTGGACTGCCTAAGTCCGCCGTTGGCCTCAGTTAAGCTACTAGGAACCAAGTGGAAATGTCCAAATCATAATGATGGTCTCTATAAGAAGAAAAGAAGGTTGAAAAAAGCCAGTGTTTTAGATGTTTCGGTTACTAGAGGCTTTAAAAGCAAAAATAATGATATTGATATCCAAAACACTGAGGAAACTGAAAAATATTTTGGAGATACCAGTTTATTGGACACTAGCGATCAAACAATTCTCGAACAGAACGATGCACTGAACGTATTTAAAGACAAAAGATTCGAAGATCGAATGCCAGAATTTTTCAAAATTAAAGATGAGGCAGAAGGGCTTTCTGCAGCAATTCCAAAAGAAAATTTGAAAAACTTTGCTAAAGGAAAAAACAGGGATGATATTGAAATTATTTATAGAGTTCCTGAAAGAGGCTTATTGCTTGACTTTGTTTCAAAAGTAAGAGAGAAAAGGGAAACGGAGATCAAGGAATTCAATAATGCAACTCTTGGTTGCTTAAATGAGATTTTGAAAATGAAAGTGGATTACTCTCAAGAAGTGTTAAAGAACTTTAATGGAGCCAAGAATTTACTAGAGTTACAAAACAGTTTGGTGACCTATAACAAAACTCAAGAATTTAATGCTTTTGTGAACAATATACTAAACCACAGTAACATTGAAGGTAACAATGTTGGAATTGACAATGAAGAGGAGAAGATGGAGCTACTAAATTTGAAGAGAATGATGATGTTGGTTGATAGGGAGAAATTGAAGGAATTTCTTAGCTGTGAGCTATCTGGGAAGCAAGGGAAAGATTAATTTTACTTTTGGGTTTTTGTTTTGTGTAATTATCATTAAAAATTATCAATATTTTAATAAATGTACATTATAATCTTATATTTTCCCTTTGTATTCATTTTTTTCATTCTAATTTTCTTGTCTGAAATCTAAGGAAATCATACGTCAGAGTGTAGAGGACATACGACTTTTCACAGTGTGAAGCTACGACGATTTGGCCTTATTCAGAATATGGTTCAAATTTTCAGTATAATTTGTTTCATAATAACCAAATGAAAAGCAGGTACCGGCAACATTGGGTGATTGTTCTGTGAGTTTGATTCATTGATCTGCGGTACGAAAAAATTTCCTTTACGAATTGGAAAGTAGGGAAAAAAAAAAAAAAAAAAAAGCTAGAGAAAAACCAATAACGAGCATCATAAATTTAGTTCTTTATTATTTTCTCTAGAAATATCAATTGGGCCTTGTGAACTCTTTTTTTTTTTTTTGCATTTTCCTCCTATAAGCTTAACTCTGAAACTTATTTGCCTCTATTTTTGGCTTCTCTGGTGATTTTTCAGGCTACACTACACGTCAGCGAAAATAACGGTTGAAAATTAAAGAAAGCTTAACTTCAAAGAGCTTGGTTCTTAAAGCTAAGAACAGCAAAGAATCACTTCTATATACCATTACTGGAATCTATTTGTTGGGTTTCTTTCTTTTTTTGAAAAAAAAAAAAGGTCAACGTTTATTTAAAGCTCAAAAATAACCTAGGTGCCAGAATTGGTTGGGATTGAAACTTCGGATCAAATCGTTGTGCTTTATCTGGTTTCATGAACACTTGAGGAAAATAGGATAAGAAGTGAAGTATATATAATTTCTAATTGCAGAACCTCATATGAATATAGTCTAATTTCAGTCAAAAAAAGGTTATTGAACTACAACTTTTTTTTTGGTGCACAATTCATTTAAAGCTATGGGTCAGATATTAAGTTTAAGTGAGTCAAAAAATCACTCTCTTTGTCCAATTATCTTGGAAGATTCTATTAAGCTTAATCTTCACAGTGTGACTATCACAAGAACAAATAATAATCACATTAATAAAGCACTAAAGAAAACATCGGGTCATTCACTCACACAGGAGGATGAAGATATTCCTGATGTGATTAAAATTGAGAACATCAACAATTTTCTAACAATAAACTCTTTCAAGAATAAAGAGAAACCATTTAACACCAATATCAAAGAAAACAAAAAAGGTTCTTCAGATGAGCATAATTCATTATGCAAATATATTCAAAATCCAAATGTCATTGATTTTGAATTTCCATTCTTGCTTCAATTGAATTCCAATTCCAACATAAATTTCACTGTTGAATCAGACGGCAAATATATTGATGAGATCAACTCGAGAAATGAGTATCTATCAAATCAGCGACAAAGCGGTGCCGAAAAAGAGGATCAAAATCGTTTCTATAATGACGAATCCGATGATGATTCTGACGACGAGAAGTTCAATGATGCCATTGAGTACAATTCTATTCATAAAGATTCTTTTGTTGCAGATGATGGTGAGCTAATTGATGAAAAACCACAGCCAAAATCTGATAGACTGCAGCAGGAAGGAAAGGCTCAACAATTTGAAAATATTTCAACAGTATCGAAAAATAAAGATGATGCAGAAACTCAAAGCTTTGAATCGGATGATGAAGATGAATTCCGTCATTTGATTTTCAAGAAATTGTGTTTAATCAGAGGTCATAGTTTGAATGATATTTACGAAAAACTAGATCAATTAAAGTACAAAAACCTTGATCATACACTCAACACCGGTTCTAGCTATCTTCTGGAAAATTCATTTGAAAACGATCCCGATATTGAAATTATAGGCGATGTTTACAAAGATGATGATGATGAAGAAGAATCCGAGACTGCTGAAGCCAACGAAAAGAGAGAATCTGTGAATCATAATCACACAAAAACTCCAAAATTTCGATTCAGTTTCAATTATGAAATTCCAAGATCCTCTGATGGTAATTACATATACAAGATTTTTTATCAGGATATTAATATTAATTCAGAAGAGGTTTATGGAGATTTCAAACCCTTGATGGAATTCAGTGTTTGGATTAATGAAGAAGATGATAAGAAAAAAGCGTTGCCAGGGGCTGTGGAAAGCCATTCACAACATTCCTCTCCTATATTGAAGAGCAGTTCTGCCGTTTTTCAGCAAAACAATAGCAGCAGCACATCAAACCAGATAGCATCTTCAAGAGCCTCTTCAAGAATCCCGTCATTTAATTCACGAATACCAAGCGTATCATCTTTATCTGGAGTGTTATCAAATACCCTTTCTGACAAAAAAAAGAAAATTAGCATCGAAAATTTGATGTTGAAGCGGAAAAGCAGCAAGTCAATGTTGCCAGTAACCAAGAGAAATTTGGAATTATTAAATAAGGGATCCTCTAGTCCATTGGCCTCCGGTTCTGCAGATCTAACAAAAATCAATAGAGATGATAACCAACCTGTTGCTTCTTCTCCTTTATTTAGAAATAAAAATAACAACAAAATTATCATTGTTGGTGATAGCACCAGTCTTAGGGAACCCCTTACTTCACCAACTGATACTTTCCATACAGATACCATGACAGTTCAATATAAAGAATCAGATTTCAAGTCCAACATTCTTGATGACAGCGAAACTCCGACAAGTCCTACTAATGAACAATTTTCTGGACCCAGTGTCGACGTGATAACTTCTAGTGGTCTTTCAGCAGCCAGAAGTAGAAGAAAGAGCTTGAATCTCAGTCTCGGGAAAAAGAAAAGAAACTCATTCTTCGGAGGTATTTCAATTAGAGATAAATTTGGTAACGGCGAAGATGGGGGCGAAGAGTCTCTTGAGATAACTGATGGTAACATTGGAATTCCACGGGAAGAAAGCACATTTATAGATGATGAGGGTGACTATGATGTTCAAATCCAGGATATCAAAAGAACAAAATCAACAAGATCAATGAAGTCTAACATTTCTAGTAAATCTCTCACGAAGACTGGAAAGAATGCGCTTAGGAAATTGAAAAAATCTTTCAGCATGAAACGGCTTGGGGCAAAGGATGAAACCGCCAATCCTGGAGATATTGATGGAGATGTTAGGAAAGATAACATTAAAAAAACGGAAAGCAGTGTCAGTCTTATTTCCTACGCTAATACTAACGCAAGCGTTAATGCCGCTCAATCCATTCATTCTTCAGACGCGGAAGAGGATTCCAAATCTCAATTTGAGGATGACACCGTGGAGATTTTACAAGAGAAGAAAGTCAACTACGAACCCTACTTCATGGAGAGTAATGATGGTCCCGAATTCAGAAATGTTCTAGATGATATGGAAAATTATATTATGAATTTCAAACCAGTATTGAGAGATTATTTCAAGAAAACTGAGTGTTATTTAAGCTCTAATATTGAGGCAAACAACAACAGAAAGGAATATGTCGACACTCTTGCTGCACTCAAGAAATTTTTGATAAAAAATGATAGTGGGGGTTATGATCAGGACTTAAATGAATGCATCAATGATATGCTTAAAAGGTTGCAATTGGAAATCGAGTTTTGTGAACAGTACAACAAAGCAGGCGTGCTCAACTTGTTGAATTCCATGAGGAAACTTAGCAGTGACTATGAAGGTAATATGGTTACCGGTGGTGGAGACCTGGAAATGTCACAAGTTGATACAAGTGTCAGCAAAGAGTTTGAGGATGATATTTTCGATAAGAAATTTACTCTTCAGAAGAAAAAGTACAATGACAAGAGCAAAGAATACTACAATTGGTTGAATAAGTATTTGGCTAATGATAGATCTTTAATTAGCAAGTTGCCGAAGATTGGTAGTAATAATAATGCCAACAGTAGCAATCAGGGTGAGGTTAAATCATTTGCTGGTGATGATTCTACATTAAATGATTATAGTGATGATGAGTCGATAATAATTAATAGTGGTAGCGCAGTAGGAAATTCTACCAACAAGAGGCTATCATTTTCTTCAAAAAGAAACTCTATTGGTGGTGACAAATTTCAAGCAGCTAATAATATTGGGTCGATAGTTTCCAATTCAGATGCTACTGCAAAATCTAACTCGACTGAAAACAAAGATTTGAAGTACTTGAAGAGAAAGAAATCCTTTGAATTGGCCAGGCTTGATTATTTCAATTATCTTAATAACTACAAAAATGGAAATTTGATAGAAACAATGAAAATTAATATTCTAAAATTAATTAACGATGTCAATCATTTGGAGCTTAACCACAAACATAAACAGCAACAAATTTCTCAAAACGACTCCATCATGGAAATTAATAACCGGGTCCAGAAGCTAGATTTCCAATGGCAGGATGTGGAATCTAAAAAGAAACTTCAAAGACATTTAATAATGAATGCCAAAAATAATTCAGAGATGATTGACGCTTTGAACATTTTGAGCAAGGGGTCTATTGAAAATCCGGCATCCGTCGCGGATGTTGACAGTACCGTCGCGGGCACCAACCCCAGCCCGGTTTTACCTGACCACAAAGGCATATTGTGGACATATGGAGGAGGTAATCGTTCTGGTTGGCACAAACAATGGGTCGTGTTGGAAGATGGGTATCTCAGAGAATATGTTGATTGGAAAAAGGGAAAAGTTATTCGAGGTCCGCCGTTGGATATCCGATTTGGATGCATTAAGCCAAGTGTCTCATCTAGTGACCGTCGTTTTTGTTTTGAGATTATCACCACGAAGAATGAAAAGAGATTGTTTCAGGCTTCAAGTCAACAGGATCGTGATACCTGGGTTTCGAGCGTGAACGAGTGTTTGAACTTGTCCGTGAACAGCACTCATCTTGAACAATTGACCCACCAGATTGGTGCACAGGTTGAAGGTCTGGAAAAAAATTTTCTCAACGCAAATGCAACACGTAACCCATCTACTAATAAACAAAAAAATATTATCGATTTACCACCCTCATCTTCAGCACCATCACCTCCAGGTGATTCCAATATCAACAAAAATAATACCAGTATGTTTGGACGAGGTTCTAGGAGTTTCAAAAAGTCGACAACTCAAGGTTTTACTGGAGCTGGAGTAAATGAGTTTAGTGGTCATAATAGCGATATCATCAGCAACAACATGAACAATAGTATCGGTAACAACTATCAGAGCAACTATAATTCTATGTCGATAAACCAGATAAATAGTCAATACGCTGCCGCTACTAATCAATCATCTGATGAATCGCAACTTAATTACTTGGAGATCGTGAGACGGAGCCATAAATCCAATGTCGTGTGCGCTGATTGTGGATCAACGAAATCAGTGGATTGGATCTCGATCAGTTTACTAGTAGTAGTTTGTATTGATTGTTCGGGTGTTCATAGAAGTTTGGGTTCTCATTTGTCGAAAATTAGGTCTCTAACTTTGGATATATCGATTTTTACACCAGAGATTGTGAAGCTTTTACATTCTGTTTCCAACGAGCAAGCAAATAGTTATTTGGAAAAGAAATTAAAGGGAGATAAACTGGCGTTGATTAGCCCAGGATCCAGTTCTAATGAGAGATCATCTTTCATCGTGAATAAGTATAAGGAAAAGAGTTTTATTGAAGAGGACCCTAAAGTCAACTCTCATTTGATTTATGGTATCCATTCAAACAATGTTCATTTGATTTTGAAAAGCTTGGCGTGTGGTGGTAATCCAAATATGGTCGTTATAAAAGGCAAAGAAAAAGAGGTTGAATCAAGTTTGTTGGAGTATGCACTCACGCATTATTCTGGCACCTCATCAAATCCTATATTTGAGATAGCCGAGCTATTATTATTAAATGGGGCCAGCTGCGGAAATGAAGTGAAAGATAACTTGAACTTGATTAAACCTGCTAAGAATTTTTGGCAAGCGAAAATTGACAGATCTTTAGGTATTTCGTCAACAAGCTCTATACCTGCAACAGGAAGTTCCGGTCACATGAATACTAATAGCATGAGCTCAAGTTATTTCAACAGTGATCAAAATAATAACAATGATGATTTTCTTGACTCATCGCATCACATAACAAATGGTTTATCATTTAAAAAGGAAAAAAAGGGAAAGAAGAGCAACGGAATTCATTCCTATAGTTACAGTGATTTGAATGGGGGTAATAGCCAAGTAGCCAATGGTGATTCATCAACAAAAAAGAACTTTTCATCTCAGATTCCTCTATTTAGTTTCTCAAGGTCATCAAAAAAGAAAAATTTAGGCTAATGTAGAAACTATCAGTCTCTGTTTTTACTGGCATCTTTGATTCTTCTTTTTGATTGGGGGTTTTGTTTTTCTTGTTAGACCATTTCTTTTTTATGCACATCGTCATTTGGTTTGTCTATCATTTCATTTCTTCTTTACCATGATATTTGTGATTATCACTATGAAGGTTTTTATGTTCCATTCTATTTTCAGGGGAAATTATATTATATTTGAACATCCAGTGGCTCCTTATTTCCAGCGCATCACGGAAAACAAACGTTCCTATCTATTTTCATTTCTAATTTGTGTTGTTTACGTTTTGCTTTATTTGGTTTTCTTTGTTCCTTGGAGCAGCTTGTTAGGAATTATAATTGTTTTGAGTAATGGATTTGAAATAACTTGCTCATTTTATTAATATTCCAGAATTCTCCTAATTGATGACTATTTCATCAATTTGTTCCTTTTGCCTTTCTGTTTCTCTGGATGTGTTTTGCCCTTCAAATCAGTTATTCATAATTATTGGTAGCTGTTTGTATTATATTTTTTTTTTCAATTGTTTTTGTTTGTCTTGTTATTTTGTTTCTTTTTTGTATTTGTTGAATTATTGCTTTCAAACAGTTTAGTTAATCTCGTTATAATCTCAATCACTTTAATCTCTAATTATTATGTTTCTCACTTTTTTTTTTTCTTCCATTAATATAAATTTTTGTGTCTGATATATTTTGTGTATTATAGTTCCAGATTGTTTAGTTATTCTGACACAAAAATCCCGGTTTTGTGTCAACATGCAGCTGTGCCCCATTAGTACTTAACCCATAAAATGTCTGCGAAAATTCAAATTGGAGAACCCAAAAAGCATATGAAGTGAATGGTATATCTCTGATAGTTGTTTATAGTTTCAATATTGTCTTATTGTCTCATCGCTTTATGGTTGCTCTTTTATTAGCTTTGCTTTCAATCGTATTAATTATCTTCTTGTTATTATAAGGCCACCACAAGTACGCTAGAATTAATTTTTTTAACATAACTATTCCTAGGCTTTGGCTCTTGGAAGTATAAAAAAATAAAGAATTTTGAATACCACAGTGTTTTGGAGGTAAATAGTGGGCTTTGGAATTCACTAAGGAATAAGAGCTTTCAGAAAGTATTGAAGCTTTCGTATTCAGAAAATCACTTTAGAGCATTCTTAAAAAGATTTAATAGCGATTAATTTTTCTGCTTCCTATCTTGCTCCAAGTTGAAGTTTCGTTTTAGACAACTACTTCCTAGAGAACTCAGAGGCGATCGGTCTCGCGTTCCAGTCATGAGCATTGATCCAGCCGATGTTTTTAACATTAAGGAATGTATTGGAAGAGGAACTTTTGGAGAGGTTTATAAAGCGTATGAAACTTTTTGACCCATTTTTCTTATATTGTTATTCATAACAGTTCTAACAAGCTCTATAGGATTGACAAAAGAACGAATGACGTTGTGGCCCTCAAGGTTGTCAACCTTGAAGAATCCAATGAGGATATCAAAGTTTTGGTTCAGGAAATTGGGTTTTTATCTCAACTAAGATCTCCTTATATTACTACTTATTTTGGTACCTATCTTAGGGATGTCTCCATGTGGATTTCAATGGAATACTGTGGAGGAGGTTCCTGTGCTGACTTGTTGAGATGTCACAAAAAATTGAGTGAAGACGTTACGTGTTTCATTATCAGAGACTGTTTAAAAGGATTGAAATACCTTCATTCCGAAATGAAGATTCATAGGGATATTAAAGCTGCAAATATTTTGTTAACCCCGACAGGCCAGGTCAAATTAGCAGATTTTGGGGTAAGCGGACAGATCACTGCCACTCATGTCAAAAAACAAACATTTGTCGGAACCCCATTTTGGATGGCACCAGAAATGATTACAAGAAAGTTTGGCTATAATGAGAAGGTTGATATATGGTCATTGGGCATTACTGTTATAGAATTAATTACTGGGTCGCCTCCTCATGCAAGCCATGACCCGCTTAAAGTGTTATTCAGGATTCCAAGAGAGCCAGCCCCGGTATTGATTGGCGATGATTTTACTGAAGCAATCAAGGAATTTACACAATGCTGTTTAATAAAAGTTCCATCCAAAAGACCTTCGGCTGAGTGGTTGTTAAATCATCGGTTTATCAAGCATTGTCGGAGAAATGTTAATGCAGTGGCTTTAATTCAGCAAAAGCAGGATTGGTTTGCTAAAAATTCCAGACATAAGCCGTGCTCAAGATATAAAAAAGATCCTCTAGTGAATGATGTCTACAACGATGATTATAAGACTGCGTTTAAATGGAGTTTCACTACCAAGAATTTGTCAACCCCTGATATCATTAATTATGAGTTCTCTGATGAAATGTTATTCGATTCACCCCAAGTTTATTCCAGTTCATCAATTGTGAACACATCTTCTGTTGGGAAGAACAGTGGAAAAGACAGTAAATCTGTGCCATCAAAAAATTTATCATCCCCGGATACCAACGCTACTACGCCAAATGATAATGTAGATATCCCCTGTTCACAAAAAACAGTTATGACTGGAAAGGAAATGCAAATTGATTACTTAAGAGATATTTTACTTTATTGTTTGAAGAAGGTTTCCAATAGAGCAAAGACTTCTGGCACGAAAGAAACTGTCCTCCAATTAGCCAAGACCGTTGTGGAATTCGAACACCAACAAGTAGGTCTTAGCGAGGCTATAATAGAAGAAATATGGTTGAGAATTAATGGATTGAAAAATGAAGGATTTTTATAAATTTTTGGATGTTGAATGGTCTCAGGTTTTTATTTCTAGTTTAGGCTATTCGAATGAGTTTCATCAAACGATATCTGAACATAATTTTAGTGAGTTGCGTAAGTCGAAATTTACAAGGCCCTGGTGTAAGGCTGTCTATGCGAGTGTAAAGATGTCCTTTCAGCATGCATGACTTTCCTTTTGTGGCACCCAAGTGATGCTTTTTATTTTATTGATAATATTTATATTTACCAACTTTTGTCGTTCTCCAAAATTTATTCCATTGGAAATTTTTTGAGTCAGCTCACCTTCATTGAAAAAAGAAAATAAACAACAGTAATAGAAAATAAAGAGAAAATAAAGAGAAAACATGAAAGCAAACAGTTTCATTTGCCAAATATTATTTTGTGTTTTGGTTTCTTTAACCACTTCACAAGCTCTTGGTCTCCATGAGAAGCAAGACCAAATTTATGATGAGAAAAAAAATGGAATGATGGTTCCAAAGCATCACCATAAAATCTCTGATCTTGAACAGATTGGAAAATTAAGGGAACTAGGTTCTTTGAAGAAGGACACTGGCAAGAAGTTTGAGGAAATTGTAAAAAAAGTGAAATCAAGAACTAAAAACAGTTTCGGTAAGTAAAAAAGAAACATCTTCAATTTTCTCATTATCGATATTATTGAATAGAAATACTGACTATTACAATTTTACAGAAGATATTAAATATGTGATCAGCCAAGAGCAAGAGTCGCAAGCCAATGAAAGCACCCGTGCTCATCCATCTGATGCATTTGAAAGGGAGGCAGTTGACCCCCTTTGTACCAAAGCACAACATGACATCAACAATTCGGGGGATTTTGCATATTTGACTCGTACATGTGCTCATGTCTCAGGCGATATTTTCATCAATGAATATAATGACGCTGTTTTAGACTTTGGGACTCTTAGTTCGATTGGGGGCAGCTTGAAAGTTGCAAATGTCTCAAACTTAGTTAGAATTGATGCCCCAATATTGACAAGTATCAGGAGCAGCTTCAGCTTAAATGAGTTGACTTCTTTGACTTCTATAAATTTCTCTTATTTGAAATCAGTTGATAGTATTGAGTGGAAAATATTGCCTATATTGAGCTCTATTGGCTTTGATGCTGGATTAGATCAAGTCAAAAATATTTTAATTTCTGATACTTCGCTTGTTGGCTTTAGCTTGAAAAATAAGGTTAAAGATTTAGACTCTTTAAACTTAAATAACAATAGATTTTTGGAAAGTATTAGTGCCGATATTGAGACAATCACCAACGGGTTAACAATTGCAGCCAATGCTAGAAATTCTGTCGTTTCATTTCCATTTTTAGAGAAAGTCAGCAGTTTAACCATTAGAGATGTTAGCAACATCGATTTACCAAAGATCAAAGAAATAACTGGATCTGCGAAGTTTTACGAGAACTCCTTTCAACGCTTGAAATTACCAAATTTAACATCTATTGGTGGTACTCTCAGTATTATACAGAATAGAAATTTGAACGAAGCTGATTTTGGAAATGTTAATGCTGTTGATGGTGGTTTAATGATAAGTAATAATACTAATATGGAAAAAATCAATTACTTTGGTAAGCTAAAGTCCATTGGTGGAGGCATTCAGTTTATTGGTAATTTTAGGGAAGCAAGTTTCCCTAAGCTTGAACTTGTTAAAGGAAGTGCTATGATCAAAACTACTTCTGGTGCTTTAGATTGCAGTAAGTGGACAGATACTGATCATTTAATTATTCGTGGTGGTAATATTGTTTGTGCTTCAGGTGACAAAAAGGAAGTTTTACATTACGACTCCAATGACATTAAGGGTACTCTAAGCAAGTCAAAGACTATTGAAGATTCAGAAACTGAGAATGAAAATTTTGCAAACATTTTTACTTCAAGTTATGGATTGACTTTTGCTGGGTTGCTTGTTCTGCTTTTATAAAAGATAATTCACATATTATTATTTAGTTTCTTCTGTTTTTGTTTTACTGGTTTAATTATTTGAAATAAAAATATAAACAATATAACAAAAGACCCGATATAATATAGCAACTTGCTCAAACACTTGAGGGAAAAAGAGGGAAAAAAAATCATATTAATAGTAAAAAGTAACTTCAAAGGCAATGGTAATAGTAATTGTAATAACAATAACAATAATTATATCAACTCGCAGAACTAAAAGAAATGAATTTGGTTTTGAGAAACTGTCAGTGTTTACCCTTCCAATCAGGAGACTTTGGTCTAAGCATTTCAATTTCTGCGTCTTGCGAAACATTATGACCAAGTCTTGTGATATCCTTCTTGTATTGTTCAGGATCAAAATTATCAAGCAATACGTCGGGGCTCATGATAACCCAACCTCTCCGCAATTTTACTGGAGTATTAAGCCCAGTTCTTGAGGGTATGATATGCAACCTTCTATTTCCAGAAGCAAAATTTTCAGCGACCTTATACATTGAATCTGGAACTGAGCTTGGATTAGACTCTTCATCATCATCTTCAACTTTTAAATCTGGATTAATATTGCAATGAACCAAGTGTCCATCAGCGTCCCTTTTGACAGTTCCAGTTATGCACATACTGCAGTGCCACTGTTTTCTGGTGAGAATGGAGCTATCATCATCTTCAACTTTGTAGCTTCCATCGCTTTCCACATTTTTAGTGAACACTAGTTCCTCACTTCGACGAAAATGTTTGCTCCAAGAATTGTGCATACTTCCACTTCCTTGAATCAGATTAGTTAGTTCATTCAACTTGTGAGAAGATCCCCAAATATAGAGAAACCCTGGGCGTATGGCAAGCTTTTCAAGAGGGATTTGATTCAAAATTGGTAGAACTTGTTGATTTTCGGTTAATGAGCCAATCATTATGGTATCAAATACCAAATTGTGTTTATATATCCATTGAATCAATACCTGTACCATTTTTTCTGGAGCAACTCTGCATCCTAACGGTTGAGTGAAATGCTCAGAATTTTTCTTTTCTTTGAGATCCAATAGCTTCTTGAGCTTTGGATATCCTTCAACAGAAGATTCAATGTTTGGAATGTGATCAGTTGGGAATTGGCCATTGTGAATATACTGGTTAGAGAAGTCGTTAGGCTGGCCCCTTAGTGATCTGAAATAGTGTTGTTGTTGGATTAGCGGGAGACTATAATCATAACTTGGATAAGATTTACTTGGATCATATTCATCTTTGCGACGGCTTCTGGAATTCACACTGCCGTTGTTATGGCTATTGTTCTTGTTGAAGTTGTTATTGGAATATCTTCTAGGATTGTATTCTTGGTTTTGATGAACCAGAAGTGGCCTGTTATGCGTGCTGTACATCTTCTGGATTCGATTTGATTTATTCAATGTACATTCCATCAAAAATGTCCAAGATTTGACTGTTCACGAGTTTGGGAAGAAAATAAGGATCAGGGAAGGAAAAAAAAAACAGGAAAGAAATAATTGGAAAACACAATAATATGTATATGTGATATTAGAATAGAATAAAATAATTTAAGGCTGGAGTATATTTTTATTTTCCAAAAAGAAATAAACGAAAAAAAAGGAAACCCTCAAGACTTTGTTCTACTTAAACCGTGCACTGTGTTGATTTTTAAGTGTGTCGCTTGGTTATATATAGCACACTCTTCCCAACATGCATGAGCCAACGTTTCATTTTTTTTTTTTTTGTATTTGTGGCAAAGTATGCATTTTGGAGATTTCCTTTTTCCAAAGAGAACATAAAAAAACAATACTGGAATAACATTCTCATCACAAAAAAAACTATACGGCAGCTCGTTGACAAAAATGGTGATCCTTGATGAAAATTTCAAGGAAGAGATTTCCCAATTGTGGGATCAATACCAAATCAACAATGGTTTGGACTGTGAAGAAAATCTGGGGCTTCAAAGAAAGCCCTCTTTCTGTTTTTCAGCTTTTGGTTTTAATAAGGTTGATGGGTGTGTAAACAATCTCAGATCTTCGATTATTGCCTACTTGGATGACGTAAGTATTTATTCATCTAACCAAACACCATTTTGTTCCATGAATGAACACTCAGACTTATTGGGATACTAACTGTGGGGTAAAAAAGCCCAAAAATTCTGAAGAACTATTGAAAGCTCTCGAAAAGGTTAATTTCCACTTGAAAAATAATAATAATAATAATAAAAGTGTGATTAGATTAGTTCATAATAACTCTTTGAATTTATTGGCGATGATTGGCGCCAGTCTTCCCAAATCTCTATCTGAGCAAATCTCTATTTTCGACTCACTAGTCAGCTACTGTATCAGTATCAAAGATGATTTCATCAACATTGTTTGGCAAAAATATTCGGTGTGTCCAAGCCCAAATAAAAAAAATGATTTCTCCAGAAAAGTAGATTTGATTGTGGTTCATCTTGCCGAAAGAGATAAAATAGAAGTCTTGAAGAATGAGTGTTACGGTCACTTCATCAAAAATAAGTTTTTTCAGAATATTTCTAAGATTATTAATCTCTTTTTAATAAATTTGAGCAAATATCATAACAATCCAGAAATCAGAGCACAAGATGTGTTTGCTTTCTTACATAGGCTCTCTCAACTTGCATCTGATATCAGATTTTTGGTTGAACCTTGGCTTACAGAAAACAATCCACCAGAACCGGATACTATGAAATTGATAAATAAACTTCAGATATTGACTTTTGAATCCAATTATTCTCCACAAACGTATTTTCCATTATATATTTTGATAAAGCAACTTCTCTTCAGCGAGGATCTTGAATTATTGCAATACAGTCAAGAAGGAATCATTAATATTATAGAGCTTTCAAAAGGAAGCAAAATTATTGCTGGTTGGCTACTTCAAAGTGATATTTCAAATACGGTTTTTTTAAGATTATTCTCATATTTTAATCAATGTTGTTGCAATGATCAGTTTGACAGTCACTTTTTTAACAACATATTGCTGACAGGTTCTGGAAAATTAGAACTATCTGGAAATTTTGCGAGATTTAGTGATCATCTACGATTTGTGATTAATTTGGTTGGTCTGATAAAAGATTTTAGAGTTCAAGAATCATTTGCCAATAGTTTTCAACACCAACTTATTGATTTAATCGAAGAGCAATATAATTTTGATTCGCCCTTAAGTTATCGTGCTTTTGTTATGCTCGGTTATATATTTTTGATAATTATAGCACTTGATATTGAGTTTTATGAGATCATTGACTCGCAAATTGATAACAATAACAGCTATTTTATCAGACTTTTCCAAAATTTATTGATGGAACCAGAAAATGGTAAACTTGAATTTGAAATCCAAAATAGCTTGAGAATATTTACATTCAAATTTTTGAGAACTATCTTGTCAATTCCCGATTATTCTATCTCTTTTGGAAAATCAACTTTCTTTGAATTCACAGAAAGAACAATTGAGCTTGATGATACTGATAAGACCAATAGGATGCTTGATTATGTTAGACTTAAGGCAAGTGTTTTGAGTAAGTTCTCTTCAGTCATTATCCATCCAGAAACATTAACAAAGTATATTCATTTTTTGAAGCAAACAATGGATATTTACAATTCAAGAAAATACCTCACCCCATCGAATTTAGGTGATTATTTGAAGTTAGATACCTCAAAACCTTTTACGAAGTTCCTAATTGACTCGCTTTCAAGATATTACTTCAATGGCTTCCAGACAAATTTACAATTGAGTGAACTTTTAATTATGTTACTAACTCAATCGGTAACTTCCGTGGACGGATATTTAAGTCACGTCAAAAGTATTCATGGAAAAGAGGACGACGTTTCTAGGATTGTTGAGTTATTATACGATATAGTAAGTTTCTTATTTCTTGAAATAATATTTTTCGCTGTTAGTTACAATGATTTAGATTTCCTAACATCTTTAGTGCTTAACAATTATTGAGGATCCTGAATTCATTAACTTGGAAGATGCTGCTTTAATAAATAGCTTAGAAAAGAAAGATAAAAAAATCCAAGTAAATATTGCAGATTTGAGAAAGAATTTTGATTTATTTTGCTCAATGTATCTTGAATTGTTCACTGCTCTTAAAGCAAAAAATTTCTTGATGAATTACTTGATCTCAAACGAAGATTCAACCAGGTGCATCGAGCGTTGCTCAACCAGGCACACTAAGTATTAAAGAAGACCTAGAATATTTCCTTAAATCTATTGTTATCAACTGGTTACTATATTTTCAAACAGCAGTTAATAGAACAGCAGTCATATCCCAGATTCTAATAGAGTAAAGCCTGTATTTCCTCTCTTTCTATTGTTACGTAGAGACCAACAAAGAAGAACAAATTTCTTGGTACATTAACATGAACATTAAAAACGAAGTAACAGAAGCCATTAAAATAAAGCAAAATAGAAAGCAATTATATGATTAAGCATAGAAAATAGTGATGAAACAAAGGGAAATAATGAAAAAAATGCATTTCATATAATAAAGAACTGAAAAACTGCATATATAATATAACAATGAAAGGGAATTTTAAATAATAATCAAATTAAATAAAACAAATATCTAAAGTAGAGGTAATAGCGCAAGTTACGATTTCAATAAGCTCAATGATTTTTTTTTTTTAAGATCAGAAATGTCAAAAGATTCCTTTCTTGATTTTGTTGACCATGCTGTTTTTTGTAACATTCAAGCGCTTTTGTTTTTCTCGTTCAACGATTTCACGGACCAATTCAGCCAAACTTTCTTCAACCCCCATTCCCATTTCATTGTCGACACAAGAAAATCCGCAGTCCCAAGATTGTGCCAATTTACGGCCTTTTTCAATTAAAAATGGACTGGCAAGAGGGTCTTGTGAATGAGTACAAATCACGAGCAATGGTGGCACCTCGGAAGGCGTTATTGGAACTTGGAATTCAAGCTTTTTAAGGGGAATAGAAAGATCAAGATCATCAATTAGCTTCTTATTTTTAGATCGATATTTTGCCGTCTTTTTTTCCGAACTCAGCGACTCATTAGGGGTGTTGGATGATCCGGCAGCGGTTGGATCTTGTGAAGCAGACTGGCCTTCGGTGATTGTTATATTTTGCTCGGCTTCCGCTTGTCTAAGTGCCTTTTTAGTGAGTTTTTCTTCTTCAGCAGCACGCTTATTTGCTTTCCACAAGTGCTTTACCGAGGAAGTTAATGAAAAAATGTCGGTTTCACTTTTAGCTTCATGCTGCCTAAGATATAATTTATAACTCTTCCAAGATTCAAGGATCACGGATCGCATGCTTTCAAGCAATGAAAAAGATGATGCATCGTTTAATAGTGAGTCTGAAGCACTAAGTTGTGGTTGAACAGCGCCTGATTCCTCGGTACCTGATAAAGGTAGGGAGTCACAGGAGTCGTAACTTGGCGGCATTGTGCTTGGCACAGCAGAGTACACTAAGACATAGCCATCAACAAAGCCATTCAATTCACTGGCAGCGGAGCCAACAAGTAGAGCTTTTGTTGCTACAGCTGTTCTAGGGTCCCGGCTCAAGTTGTGTAGAAATTCTTCACCCAATCTGGCGCCGAGAGAAAGTTCAAGAAATGGCACAATCAAATCAGGATTGAATGCGGGGGTATCGATCAATTCCACGAGGACTGGAGATATGTGAGGAACTGGGAAATCAAGAGTGATGGCTGAATTTGTAGGAGATACAGTTGAACCAAGACTCAGATGGGAAATGGTGCTATTAATTGGGGGTGTGTGACCTGCACTTTTGGTAGAACTTTCCAGAGCAATTCTGCCAGAAAGCACTCGACTATTCTTGATTGAGGTGGTTGAGTTCACTAGCTGAACTGGATAATAGAAATCGTCGTTATCGAATTCTTTGAAATCAGAAGAATCATAGTAATAGGTGTAGAAATCTGATTGTAACGATAGATCTGATGGTACATTTTGGTTTTTTTTAATCAATCGCAAAATCCTTTCATTGTTATAATTTCCTTCGGAAATTTTTGTATGACTTAACACCGTTTCTATAGAATCGTTATACTCAAAAGCTTTTTTAACGCCTTGGGAAACACACAATTGATTTTTCTCACTTTTGACAAATCCATCAAGCGCCGCCGAATCTGCAAGCTCATCTAGTAACACTCTAGACCTTCGAAGCACTGGAGATAATTTGAACAAGGTGGTACTGAAATCAGGAGTCGGATAGTGAGTTTCTGGGAAGATTCCCGAAGTAAGTTTCGAGATATAGGAGGTTTTGCCCACCGAGGTGCCTCCAAGCACTGCAATTCGAAGTGGCCTATCCTCATTCAATAAGATATTCCGCCCCAGTTTCTTGGTCAATCTTGGATTTGGGGTTGACAAGGACGCAGAAGATGAATGTTCTGCCATTTTTAGTGTCTTAATACTGCCAGAGTAAGTTCCCGCACCCCTAATATCTGCTATTTCAGTGTAATTGATAGATGATGGATGCTCGGTGACCAAAAATCCGTGGGAATTTTTTTTTTTTTTTTCTAAAGGCGGGGGAGCCAATATCACGGAACGTCAGGGTATTTTTCCCTTTCGCTCGGCCGGCCGGTTGCACGCAAAAGGGAGTCATCTTCACTATCAACAATCAACAACAATTCCCTGTTTTGCACCACCAGTGCTTCTCAAATGCTCTTCGAAAAACTCTCATGCCTATTAGTGTTTGGCAGCAGTGTTTCTGCTTTCGTATTGAACCGTCCCGCTTATCAGTCCGTGTTGGATGATCATCAGCTTATCAAACATTCCGCCAATACCGACTTTGATACTCTCTTTGAAACAAAATTTCCGGAATTCTACCTGAAATACCACCTCAATCACAACTTATCATCTATCTTTAACCTTCACAAAACCCTTGTGGATATCCCATCGTTATCAACACACGAGCAAGCAGTAACTCACTATGTTGTTCGGTTCCTCCAGAAACGTGGCTTGACAGTCGAGACACTGAAATTACCAAACTCCACAAGAGAAAACATTTATGCGTACTACAATGATGGTGTCTATGGAAACAACAGTCACAGAAAAATATTATTGACTTCGCATCTTGATACTGTCCCACCTTACTTGGGCTACAACCTTGATGAGCTGACTGGAGTAATCACCGGCAGAGGTGCTAACGATGCCAAGGCTTCCCTTGTGGTACAGATTTACAGTGTTTTAGAACTTATTGAAGAAGGGAAATTGGATCCTTTGGAATTTGCTTTCTTGTTCGTGGTTGGGGAGGAAATTGATGGTGATGGTATGAAACATGCAATGGAAACTTTTAAGCTCGACAATGGTGAGCTTAAGTATTCTTGGGACGTAGCGATTTTTGGAGAACCAACGGAAAACAAGTTAGGTAAGGGCCATAAGGGTAACTATATGTTTGATCTTGCGATCAATGGTAAACCTGCTCATTCAGGCTATCCGCAATTGGGAGTTTCAGCTAACGAGATTCTTGTGTCTGTCTTGAATCAGCTAATGGTCAACTCCCATAAATATCCATCAAGTGATATACTCGGCGAAACTACTTTTAATATTGGAACAATGCAAGGTGGTATTGCTTTAAATGTTATCCCAGCTGATGCACATGCCAGACTTTTTTTCAGAGTGGCCAACGATTTAAATAAATTACATTGGATAGTCACAGAAATCATTGATAATGCTAATGCCAACTGGGCCATGAGATATCCTGGTTTTACAAGCCCGTTTATTGAAGTCCATAACTTATCCTCGAAAGAGCCTCAATTCTTGGATTACGAAGTCCCTGGTTTTGAATCTATTGTTTTAGCTTTTGCTACTGATATTCCTGATTTCACAATTCCAGTGAAAAGAAGATACTTGTATGGACCAGGCTCAATTTTTTCTGCCCATAGTGATCACGAGTTTGTTACAATTGATGAATTAATCGAATGTTTAGAAGGTTATAAAAAATTGGTGGTGTTCAATTTGGAAAACTTGTAACAATACTGAGAAACTCGAGGATCTTTTTAATATTCCGGATTTATTTGTGAAATAATGACGTTTAGCAGAATCTTTGGCGATTTTTTTGACACCCCAAGAACTTTCTGATTTCAAAAATGGTATTTGTGATAGAAATATTCTAGTAATTAGCTTATTTGGAGATTTTCTCGGTTCTACAGAATATTTTAGTTCATAAAATTTTGTGACATAATTGAATAAGGCTATGTATATATATTTACACTTACTTGGGCGTAAATAAAACACCTGGCTGTTGTCTGCACTTGGCACTGTAATCAATACATTGTCATGAACAATAAGAACCTACATGTTTCTAGCATAGGCAAGAGTAATAATCCTGTTCCTAAGCCAATATTTCATTTTTTCTAACCATGCACATTGTTCGTAATCTATGTAAATTACCTAGTAGGTTAACATGACAGGATTCAATCCAATCCGTTTCCTTATTACTAAAAAAAACCACATGAGATGAAGCTGAGGCACGGCAATTAAGCAACCTAAATGATGAAGCCTAATAATACAGAAAGTACCTTCATCTTCTCGCAGAAACTATAGTTTCTACTATATATAGTTTATATATATAATCAAGGTCACTGGCATTGCAAGAATTCCCTTTTCAAAAAGAGAATATTGTTTTCACAACAAAATCTCTTTCTCAAAATAGCATTATAAGAGTATTTTATCCAGGTAAAAAATAATAGTCAAAAATTGGATATCTCAATTCACGTTATTCATGACGCTCATTCAGTGATAGAAATAAACACTTGACCCAAGATTGCAGTTGCTGAAGAATTCTGTGCCTGAGGTTTTCAACTAGAAGATCTTTTTGAAATCATAAATTTTCCCTGAGATATTATTCTGTTTCGAGTGAAACAAGTTTCTTTAGTATCATTACACCGGGATAACATCAAAACACTTCTACCAAAAATTAGACTCATTTCCAGCCATTCTCATGACGCCCTTGAAAAGAGTGTTCTAATTGTTATCATTTGCTTCCAGTATTCTCTCTATCCTGCACTTCATCTTTATCTTTCAACTGTTCGCTAACCTCCTTAAGTTCTAATCTTATCTTGTCCTTTAAATCCTTCTGTTCCTTCATGGTTTCCCTGATGGATTCCTCAATGATCCTATTCACCTCCTCATCCTTATACAAGTATCCAGTCAACAACCCAGCGGTTTTGCCTCTGTTATGAGTGGTCAATTTGGGATCCTCGTTCAACTTTTTTGTGATTTTGCTAGAAATACTTTCCAGTAGCCGTGTAAAACCGCTAGTTCTCACTTTGTTATTGTGATCGTCATCACCATTGGGGGTCTTGAAACTATCATAGATGAGGTGCCGGTATCGGTCAAAATTACCTTTCCTCTTGAAGGCAGTAACTATCTGTTTGCTGTCGGCCATGATATTAACAGTTTCCTTCTGCCTCTTTTTGGGTATTAACCTGGCAAGATTTGGGTTTGCGTTGTGCCGTAACAGTTCTCCAGATTCTACGATTACGCAGTTTTTTTTTTTCTTTGTGTCCAAATCGGGTAAAAATCATTACTTATCTAACGGCCAGCCACTTATACATAAAACTGGATTTTTTTATTGATTTTTTTTTATCAATATTTCTTTCTCTTATCTTTAACAAAGTGTATTGTCTTTCATCAACATTGAAATACTTTCTATACCTCTAATAATATTACAAAAGAAGATGTTGTTGAACTACGGGGTTCTTGCACAACTCGTCATTGCCGTCCATGGGATGTCTATTCCTTTTGTTGACTCTTATTTCAAGTCTTCCCAATCAGTATTGGCTGGTTCTATCCAATCTACTCTTGATGATATTGCCAGTATCTCTCAAAAGCAACAACATGTCGACATCTCCAAGTTGCCACCTCTTGATTCCGAAGAATTGCAATCTTTGATCAACCCAGAAGACTTGGAATATCACGCTAATGTTCTTTACAACCTTTCAAAGACTTCCATCGATGAATTTGGCAACCCAACTAGAGTTATTGGCTCATCTGGTCACTTCGCCACCATTAACCACATTTTGAGTGTATTTAACAAGTACCATTGGTACTACGATATTACGGTTCAACCTTTCACCACCGTCATCAGCAAAATCGAATCCGCAAAACTTTATCTAAATAATGAAGAGCCAGCCAACTACGCTGGTTTGGACTTGACCCCACCAACCAAAAACAATGGTGAATTCGTCAATGGTACCCTTGTTTATATTAAGAATCAAGGTTGTGAAGATGCCGATTATGAAGATTTGGTTGCTGCTTACGAAAAAGATTCTTCCGTCGACTATGTTGCTTTGATTGAACGTGGTGTTTGTTCATTTGGTGACAAGTCCCGTAAGGCTGGTAAATACAATGCCCAAGCTGCAATTGTTTTCGACAACGAAGACACCGACGATATCTTGCACGGTACCCTTGGCGAACCTCAAGGTGGTGAAGTTCCTTCAATCTCGATTGTTCGTAGCCTTGCTAAACATTATATCGACAACTTCTTAAGCCAAGGTAAAACAGTTGATGTTTCTGTTGCTATCGATTCATATGTCAAGAGCGTTGTCACCAAGAACGTCATTGCTGAAACTAGATTTGGTGACAAGAATAATATTGTTATGGCAGGTGCCCACACTGACAGTGTCACAGCTGGCCCGGGTATCAATGACGATGGTACTGGTACCATTTCTCTTCTTGTCCTTGCTGAACAATTGACTAAATACCGTCCAACAAACGCTATTCGTCTTGGTTTCTGGGCTGCTGAAGAAGAAGGTTTGATTGGCTCCACATATTATGTTGAGCAATTGACCGCTGAAGAAAATGCTCGCCACCGTTTATTCTTGGATTACGATATGATGGCTTCACCAAACTACGCCTATCAAGTCTATGATGGTAATAATATTGACAACCCAGCTGGCTCCCAAGAAATCAAGGACTTGTATATTGATTGGTATGTTTCCCAAGGCCTCAACTACACTTTGATTCCATTTGATGGTCGTTCTGATTATGCTGCCTTCATTGAAAACAACATCCCAGGTGGTGGTATTGCAACTGGTGCTGAAGGAATTAAAACTCCTGAAGAAGTTGCTATGTTCGGTGGTGAAGCTGGTGAATGGTATGACCACTGTTACCATCAACTCTGTGATGATTTGACCAATGTTGACTATGAAGCTTGGGAATTTAACACCAAATTAATTGCTCATTCTGTGGCTACTTATGGTTTTTCTTTAGATGGATTCCCAGCCAAGAAAGCCGCCAGTGAAATTAACACTCAATCTAAGGAAACTCCGCAATTCAAGTACAGAGGTGGTAACTTGATTTTCTAAGAACTTCACTCTTAGAGTAGAACTATTTTTTTTTTCTTTTATCATTAATTATTCTCCCCTTTGTCAAGAACAGAAGAGTTCTCGATTCTTTCTAACCATGTTATATGATAACCATTATTTTACTAAAGCATAATATAAATTATAGAAAAGATACATCATCGAAATGATTGTCTAAAGACCCTTTGTATTTGAACGAATAATCAAAGTTACAGCAATATAATTCGCTAATATCAAGGAGAGCAACATGTACAGATCCTAGCTGGACGTCCTTCAGAGGATATAAGGATGTATTATTAGTAAACTAAAGTTTTTTGCATTATAAAAAAAGTGACAAAATAACGATCATCTAATCGTCGATTGATAGTCGGATTGTTCGATGAGGAAATATTGGTACCAAATGTTATAAAATACTAATTATATTGTATTTTTTTAATAGCATATACATTATTTAATATCAGGAGGGTAGTATAGTCGAGGTTCTCGACTCGTTCTATTACCGCTTCCCTCTTGCCTTCCCTTGAGACTCACTTCTCTATATAATTGTATATAGTTGAAAAAGTGAAGGTATTTCTCACCATAGATGATATAAACTATGATATTAGAATGTCTGCAAGATCTGAATTAACAATAGGCAAGGAAGACAAATTATGTGCATATTACGGGGTACCAATAACAGTTATTTTAATCAAAATAATGTTGTTATGGCCTTCAATGGAACACAACAAGTATTAAGATCATTGTGTTGCATCGGGCTGTGAACCATTCAAAGGTGGATTAATAAAATTAAACCAAGAGTACACATCATGTAATCTAATTTTAAATCTAGATTTTAGTTCATAAAATTTAGAAATCAATGAGCACCTTTATGAAAAAAGACGACCCGAAATATCCACATCCATTCACCTATCCAGGAAAAATTGATCGATTATTGACCTACATGTACGATGCCATAATGAGAGGTATATATAGAGTACTGGATGGTTCAAGACATGGAAGGAAAGACTCAGTAATTCCGCCAGGACTTCAAAAAACCCATATCTTAGCAAGCTACTGCAATGAAATCATGATATTGAGTGCAGCATAAACTTGGGATATAATACTAAAGATGTACAGATATGTACAGGCATAGACTCTAAGAGATAATAGTTGTATTGGAATTAAATAACCAAGACATACACCATCTGAACTCTTAGAAGCTATAGCACGTTGCACAAACAAACACTTTAACGCGATAGTAAATCCAAAGAAATCAAGAGTGATCAACAGATCGTCAGCTATTAGTTTCTTATCATATAAGATAGAAAAAGAAATGTTTCGGATGATAAAAAATGATTTAATTGGAAAACTACTTTATCCAGAAAACCCAAATTTTGACGGTAGAGCAACAAAGTCACGAGCCCTAGTCATATTAGTTGAAAATTTGTGTAGTGATCTTTCAGTTTATGAGGTTTGTTTACATATAATTAGATATTTAAAGTAAGTTGAAGTGGTACATGAAACAAATCATAATGATGAATTAAGGTTAAAATCAGCTCTCGAGTTATACCCAAGGAGTGCAATACGTCACAATCTCTTTATATTAGCAAAAACCGTTAATAGAAATTTGGAAAATTCGAATTTTCTTACGTATATATGTTAACTAGTTACATTTGAATAAATACCAGCAATTCTTACGATGTTACGCATACAGATGTATAGTCACAGGTGACTGTGACATAGACGCCTTTAATAATCTTTAAAGGTGTTAATATGGAAAACATAACATCAGATGAACGGAGATTTTCCCGGACAGTTATTAGAAAAACGCTGCCCTATTTCAGATAAACTTAAACAATATATAGATTTTCAAATTAAAGATTTATTAAAATCAGAATAAAATTAACTGATCTAATTCATGTTGGGAATAAGTGCGGATTTCCGAGTCGGAATCGTGATCTTCCGTTTAGCACGTTACTGGCAATAACATCACAGTGTTGATGATTGTAATTTAATCTCCTTACATTTGTATTATTGATTGAAGACATATTCATATATTAGTTCTTATTGTGACTAACTGGTAATATTGAAAGGTAGTCACAATGGTTTTTTGGTTGTGTATATTCCAATCTGAGCTTTATTGAACTTAGAATAATCACGTTGATCTCATTCGTCTTGATCCTTTCACTCTTAGCTCCCCCTCCCCCTCCTAAGATTAGGTAGGATATTATATTATTATATAGACATTTGAGCTATTTCTATAATCAACCATAATAATTGTTAATCTCGGTAATAATCATGTTAGAGATCTTTGACAGCTACATTGGCAAATGGTACACTTTCTATTGCTACAGTTAGACATACTCATGAAACTTATTATTACTTATTCTTGCTCTGGATAATGGCGAGTAAATATTAAAATAATAGAATGGAAAACCGTACAAATTTTACAGTGTTCTTATTAATCAATCCGTAGATTGGATTTGTATCAAACTTAGAGTTTTAGAAAAATTGATCAAGAGCCCCGGCATGCATCGTTTATTTATAATCTTTTTATTTTCCAAGGGATTTCCCAGCTCCTCGGGTACTTGAAGCTATTTTATAAAGAAACTCAGTAAGGAATTGCGAATATCAATCTATGACACTTGAAACTACCACCATTCATACTATAGCACATGCTTCTTCTCAAATTCTGTCAGCTTTAAAGCAAATTTTGGATCTAACTCCAAACTTTGAAGAACTTCAGAAAATTGACAAAAACCCGGATACATCAAACGAAATAAGAGGCCGCATTAATAACGGTAATTTTCAGCTTGCAGTGATGTTGAAATCATTATATCAAAAGAATAAGCTTCCAATTCTAAATGAAATCTTAGATCCCAAGCTTGCCAGTAGGCTATCCCTTGATTACATCAAGCGGTTCGATGCCAAAGCCAATTCAACATTACAAACAAAGGCCTCTGAGAATGTTGATCCTGAGAAGGATGTTTACAAATTCATTGAGAAAAATAGTAAGCATTATCCTCCCTCAATCCCACCCATTAGAAATCATTCATTGGAGGTGAAAGTATTCACACATAAATCGTTATCAAGAGCAGATGCTTCACAAGACGAAAAGATTAGTTTCACTAATGAGAGGCTTGAATTTCAAGGTGATTCTGTGTTAAATTTTATAATGACTGATATTATTTGCGAATGGTTTCCAAGCTATGACCAAGGTCAGTTATCTTCATTAAGACAATCGCTCATTAAAAATGACCGATTGGTGGAATGGTCAAAATTATACAGACTCGAGAAAAAGTTATGTACCTCAAAAGTGTTAAATATCAATGTGTCAGGAGATGAAATGGCTAAACGTTATGCCGATGTGTTTGAAGCGTATGTTGGTGCGTTGTGGGAAGAAAACCAGTCATCGAGTTTCCACACCATAAAGCAATGGCTCAAGATGTTGGCCATTCCTGTGATCAAGAACCATTTAAAAACTTCAGGCGTACCAGCAGTTTTGAATTCTGCGAATTCTCAACCTTTATGTCAGATGTCTGTGACAACAGTCGATCAGAGAAACTACGTTGGTGAACTATATTCATTGGTGGGTTATGCTGCTAATCCCCCAAAATATGATATCCGAAGATTGAGCGAAACTCATTTCGTAGCTACCGTTTCAATAAGTGGTGAAGAGCTAGGGACCGGAGATGCAAGAAACACAAAACTTGCGAAAAAGGCGGCGGCCAAGGACGCTTTAGAAAACCACAAGGACTTGGTTCAAAAGTATCATGATATCAGACTGAAGATTCCAAAGAATGAATCAATTGGTTCCAAGCTTAACGAGCCTCAGGGAGATAAACCACATAATAATAGCTCCAAGAAAAGCCACGGTGTGGGTAAGAAAGATGCCCAAGCTGCTAAAATGAAGAGGGGATTTAATGATCTTTTGAAGGATAGTGGAGATTGGGATTCGAAGTCACAACAGAAGAAATCAAAACACAAATAATAGGTAATTCTGAATGGAATGAGTTTGTATATTTTGTATAATATGAATATTAGATATAAAGTTTTGTTAAAGTAGTCTGTAAAACATTAAAAAGTGAAAGAAAAAAAAAATGTGATTTTACTTAGGAATACTTTAAGGAATGTTTTCGTATTTTATCTATATTTTATATTATAATTCTAGTAAATTGAAGAGATCTAAAAAGGGGTTATATTTGTGAAGAAAATTATCTAAGTGTTAAAAAATAAAAAAATGAAAAAATAAAAAAAAAAAAAGAAAAATAAAGTGAGAAGCAGAAGTGAAACTGAAAAAAAAAAAATTTGAAGTTACTCAATCATATCTAATAAGCTGGATTAAATTCTTCTATATTGATTAATCTTTTAGCTAAAGTCAAAGTACCGTTGGAGTATCCACGACTAACTTGCAACGAAGATGTTGATGATGGAAGGGGGGTGGAGGCTGAAGTGGTGCTGTTCTTAGCATATAATGTATGCGTCTGGGTGATGGTAAGGGTGTGGGTGATTGAAGAAGTTTGCGTATAATCTTGTACGGTAGAATACACTCCTACTGAACTGCCTTGGCTATCTGTTACTGTGATGACGGCGGTGATAGGAATAGTTGCTGTAACGGCATCGGTAACGTATACTGTAGATTCTGATTCGGTGGTGTAAGATGCTGGAGAGTAACCAGTTGAAGTTGGACATTGATACTGGGTCACAGTGACGGTTACTGGGCTGCAGCTACCATCACCAGAAGTTGTGGTGGCAGCCAAGTTCTTATTGTTAGCAGATGCAACTGAAACACTTTCATCGGCAGAACTGGAAGAAATGAGCTTATAAACTGTCATTGTTTGTGTGGTTGTGGAGGAAGTCCAATCGGATGTTGTCATATTACTGTAGTAACGTCTGTGTAGATGCACAGCAGAAGCAAAATTTGAGAAAATAAGCAAAATCAAAACTTTGAGTAGCATAGTAATTATTTTTTAGTATGATTGATTATCTGTCTGGATAAAAAAGAGGTTGTAGCTGAGTTTAAAAAATGAAATAAAGGATATGTGACGCAAAAAGTTCCAAGTCAAAAGAGTGTAAAAAGTTGGAGAGACTAGTTTGATTTCTTGCAATTACTGGATATTGTGGGATAAGAAAGACAAACTGCTAGGAATATCCATTATCCTCAAAGTCCTGGTCTTCTATTATATACTTCTCATGTTACCAACGCCTGGTGCGTGGAGCGTTTGAGAGATGCGCCGCCATGCGGGTTTAAAAAAATTTGTGGGAGGCTGATTGCCTGCCCATTTTACTGGAAACGCGCTAACTGCTTGACGTTACAGTGATTTCATATAAAAAATATTTTTTATTCGTACTAACTACCGGAAATGTTCATACCAGTGGCAAAAAATATTTCATACCGTCCCCCGGTATTCTTCGTACTACCGTTGCGGGATTTATTTATGCCTTTAGTATTCAAGAAAATCGATACTTGATCTTTGAATAAATGCTCAATAGGTAAGTCAATACATCTAATATTCCGAGGGCTCATAACTGAAAAAATTTGGCCATTTCTTGGGGGAGCCTGGAATACTTCATGGTTTTATTTTTAAGCTTTTATACGTTCTTTATTTCATTTTTTCATATTATTTTTTTTGGTTAGTTTTCTTTTTTTCTTTTTCTGATTTTCTTTTGGTCTTTTTGTATTTCTTTTCAATAGAGCTGCTGTTGTAAACAGAGATCGATATGTCTTGCAGCATGTCTACAGAATCCCTTATAACTGTCAAGGGAAATATTTTCAGCAACTTCTTTCACACTCAGAGTCAATTGCTCTTTCACACTCAAATTTGATCTTTTAGCTTTACTTTTTCATATAGGTCAGAATTTTTGTATGGCATTTAACCCTGGAGAAAAGGGAGGTAAACATGCAAGTTCCAACCCACTCAGTGCAACCAATAATTGAAGATCATAACGTTTATGAATAGCAGCACTGTCAAGGATCAAATATCTCATACCTTTTAGCTTGTCATTGTTTTCTATTTTCTGAATGACTGACTTAACAAAATCATAGAAATGATTAGCTGTAGTACCTCTACTCACTTTCTCGGCATTTGTTTCTGAAGCAAGTTTTCTCTTCTTATTGGAAGCAGCGACTGGTGATCTGACCCTTAATTCAATAAAGCCTTTAGCAGAAAGTGCACTAATGAAAGAAACTTTAAGTCCTCTGGTAACAGGAGCAGTGATTACAGCTTGTTCACCTGCATCAGACCGTCAATACAACGTTGGAGAAGTCCGAATACCTGCGCTCAGCAGATATAAAATGTTATATACTAGGAACCAGATCATTAGATCTCTACTAATATATCATTATAGTCGTTGCTCTGTAGATTATAGTTTACAGCTAATAGTATTTCAAGGTTGCTAAGTGTTGTGTTGTCTGTCCTTACTACTGTCTTTATATCTAATTCCATTTGTCTAAAGTGTTTGTTATAATACGTGAGTACGTTTGTTTCGTCTTTATTTATATTGAAGTGTTTTGTAGACCTGTAGAATTCTAACAGAGGGAAATACACGCTGTTGCTGGCCACACTACACGGCCCTACAGTGCTCCTGATGATTCATCTAGCCAACCAGTGCACGTTGCGCCTGGATCAAAGTTATCGCTATTGGCATTACAATACTTTGTTGTAGGGTCCATTGCCATGACTGCCCCTATGTGGTCATCGGACCAATCCTGACTATCTGCAATCATAAACTGATCAAGCCAGTGGTTTTTACCTTAATTGTTTAAATATATTTGTATGATAAAATAATATTTTGTGAATTGACCGATTTTTACCATTTGACCAAAAAATAAATTTTGACAGATTTTTGATAAATAATATATCTATACGGATCATATCACGTTTTTTTTACCATTTTTAATAAAATCTGTTTCTATATAATAAGATTTTGGGTCATTACTTTATTGTGTATTTCTTTAGTACTGTTATCATATGACCACGATATCCACGTTATCTCATACTCATCACGTTTGTAGCTAAGAGACGAAATAATAAAAAGGTGAATCAAGTGATACTTTGGGAAATCAAAAAATCATGAGAGGAAGGGACAATTAAAGAAAACTCTAAATATAAAGAAAACTCTAAATATAAAGAAAACTCTAAATATAAAGAAAACTCTAAATATAAAGAAAACTCTAAATATAAAGTTTAGAGTCAAGTTATTTAAGGAAGGTGTTTTAAATCATAAGAATGAAGAACCACAAAATACTGGCAATAGATTCGCCTGTGAAGTGAACTCTAGCACCAACACCAATATATGTCAACATGGATGTCAAAGATTGAGCATCGGGAATATATGACGTGGAAGGATTTTAGAAAATCATTGCGCTTTGGGATCCCGATGATGTAGTTGTTGGTGTATAGAAACCCGAAACAGTGTTTGAGCCAGATCCTGGACTATTGGATAAACCAAAACCAGAAGAAGAGGTTGAAGCAGAATCAGAACCAGAAACTGATTGAGATGATGAGGCATTTTCCGAACCAGAACCTGTGTCATTACTCGTGCCTGAAGTTGAGCTTGAACTTAAATTCCAGACTCATTGTCTGTTCCAGAGCCAGAGCTACTACCAGAAATAGGGCTACTACCAGCAGGTTTTGACGACGAAGTTGACGCAGAAGAGGTCAATTCTTGACTTGAACCTGAATCTGAACCTGAACTAACGGTGACTATAATGGATGAAGTCCTGGAATTAGAAGATATGGAGGAGCTCAGCGGCTCAGAAGATGTGGAAGGGGATGCAGTTATACCTGAAATAGTGCTCAGCATAGTTTCTGAATGCTCAGAGCTCAGAGAGGCTTGAGAATACAGTGTCAGTATACCTGAGCTTGTCGATCCAGAAGATGTGGTATTACCATAGCTAAAAGTTGGTAAAACAGTTGGAATATCGACAACGACTGTTACGGGATATTTGGATCCAGAAATACTGGTGGATGGTGAGACAGTGTGGGCGGTAGTGAAAGTGCCGGACCAAAAGCTAGTGACAGTGATGAAAATCATTGCATCGTTATTGACTAATGATAGCTTGTAATAGCTTCATGACCAATTAGTAATTGGTTCACTAATATATCTGGATTCTGTATTTTATCTTATATCCGAATTTGGTAATATCGCAACTTCCACTTATCATGGTCTGAATAGAAGAATGCTACTGAAATTGCCCCAAGTGGATTGCAGCCAGTGAGAGACTCTAATATATTTCATTAATATTTTGGTTATCCCCGGCTCGTAAGGAAAGGAACTTATAAGAATCTCTGCAGCTCGCCAATATACATACATTACTTATAAATAGAATGTACTGTGTTTTATGTTTGATCTCATTCCCCATCAATCAGCTCCGGAATTCGGTTCTCATTTCACTTTTTTCAAGTACTATAATTATTTATGATCAGTTTAACAGGTTATATTTACCATATGGTGGGTTTAGGTAACGAAACAATACATGTAGTGGTTCCAAAGTATCAGATCAGTAACCAGATGAATTGAAAACTAATACTTGGTAACAATTGGATACTTGGTGAAAATGGATGGATAGTAAAAACGGACACACTTGATTTTTCCTCATAAATATTTATGAGTTTTTCATAAGTATTTCCACTTATTATTTCGCCTTTTATTCTTACCTTCCTATATGGTGATTTTGGCGAATTAGATTGTTGGATCCGGTATGTTGGTACAACATTTTGACATCTGGGTCACCCGCCCACAAAAGTTCACTGTCTTCAATCAACTCTAGTGTGGGTGGTGGACCCGTAGTGGAACTACACATCTCTGACATATTTTGGCTATAACATAAATCATAATTAGAAGACTATGGGGGAGCCTGCACTGAAGGCGTCATGGTTGAAACTTCTGGAAAATAATAATAATAATAATAACAATCTGGTAAAAACTCTTCCCAGACCCACTATGAGAAGCGATCAATCTTCTTCATCGAATTCAAAGGCTATCCCTTTGGATCATTTGACGCATTATATTGATTCTCAGATATCTGAGATTCTAAGAGGGGATCAAAAATTTCTTCATCGAGTCCCTGTACTGAAATTATATGAAACAGTACGAGTCTTATGCGTTAATGGACACGGATCTGCAATTTATCAATTAGTCGTTGCAAAGTTTAAGGAATTTTTCACTAATGATCCAGGAATCAATGAATACATGAAACAAATTGTTGAAATAAACACCAATGACACCAGTGATGACCAAATAAATCTCGGGAAAATTTTTTCTGAGTTCCACCAGGAAAAGTTTGATTCTTGTTGCAATGCTATCCGTCAATTTCTTTTGTTATTCAATTACGTCTTCAGCAAAATTAATGTCATTAATTTGACCCTTGCTTACTTAGATCGCAATATCTTGGTTAATTCTTACTCAAAACTAACAATTGTTGAGCTAAGTAACTCCTTGTTTTTTCAAAGACTTTTCACAGAGACCGATGGAGTGGCATGTGGGCAGGTTATTCTTAAAAATTTGTTGAATTTGCTTCATTTCAACAGGTTCTATCAACTCAACAAACACTTGGAAATAAATAACTTTGACGCACTCTTACCGGTAAAGATTTCGGTTTCTGCCTCCAATGATATCGATCCAGAAAAATTACTTGTCAATTCTTTGATTATTCTCAAGAAAATCGACCTTATTATATCTAATCTTGATTATTATAGGAATATTTCCACAGAAATATCCTGCCTTACAGCCAAAGCCATCAATTTTAACAAGCTCTATATTGATGAACTCAATAGATTCACGACATATGTCACGGAAACTTTATTGGTGGATACCAAGGAAGGGAAAGTTTTTATTCACCATTTCATCTCCATCTTTGAAAAATTGTATCAACATGAAAATATTCTCATCAAGTTGATTTATAACAACAAAGACATGAAATCTGAATTGAGAGTGTTGATGCCTTCTTGTCACCTGGGTCAAAAGATTTACTTTCAATTTTTACACCAGTACTATCAATATGGGTTATTTAGCATTCATGCTAACTTTATCGTTGATGATAATGCAAAAGTGTTATCGCTAGTTGATAAGACTTTACTTTTCAAATTGATTGTTAACAACAATACGAGCTTGCCTTCCATATTGAATAATTTGATCACCAATTTGAATTACGAGGACTTGAAGAAACTATATGAGTTGCATTGTCAATTCGACAAGATCCCTGTTCTGTTGAATTCAAATTTTATGATGGAGCTCAACAATGATGAAGATACTGACATTGAAGATTCTTATGGTAGTGATGATGAAGATAAGATTATGAAGGTTCCAAGAACACCCTCTGATCTGGGATCCACACAACAACATAAGACGATTGAGTCTTTTGTGGAAATTTGGGGGTCTATTATTCAAACCCAGCTCAAGACGACATTCATCAATTTCAAGAAAAAACTGAACAAGCGCGACTTGTTTGGTAACAATAATAATAACAGGACGGGTTCGATCATTGAAGTTTTATACAATTTGAAGCTTGGTTACTTTAACATTGTCAAAGAATCATTCAAAGGAAATCATAAGTTTCTTGAAGAAATCGATAAGGCATTTATCAAAATTTCGAGTATCAATAAGTATGAGCTTATCAATGAATTGGTCAAATATTGCGACTCCTTGATCACAAGCATGTACTCAACTTACATTAATCCGAATAAACCATTCATAAGCTGCTTCAATGAAGATATTGTGACAAAAATCTTACCAAATTTCACTCCAATATACTGGTTTTTTCTCAAGTTTCTAGAAGAAAGAAGATTCGAAGTTTTCATTGGTTGTTATAAGAATTATCTTTCTAGAAGATTGTTGAACATGAATAACCTCCTTGAATCTGAGAGTCTAAATAAGAAATTAGTCATCGAGAAAATCATTTTAATTCTATTCACCAAAGATTTTGGTCATCAAAAAGACCCTGATAATGATGAAATTATGGTGAAATTTCAGGATTGGAACCGCAACTTGAAAATGATCAGCCATTTCTTATATGAAAAATATACCGAGAATGACACAGAGTTTGGAACCATCGATATGACCCAGATTAGCAAACCTCGTAATTTGGACTTGCTGAAACACATTGATGGATACAGTAGTATTATCACTGATGATGCCACTGGGGTTAAATATTACGATGGCATGCAATTGGTTATTGAAAGCAACAACGAGAAATTTATTGAGGTCGATGAACTATTATCTAAATTCAGAAGGGTGTATTCCATGATCACTGATCTTGAAACTTCACGAAAATATCTGGTTGATTTTTCACAGCAAATGAATAAATTCCCAACCGTGAAAAGTGGTAAAGAAATCGAGTTTGATCCTGTGGTTCTCAGTAAAAAATCTTGGCCCAATTTTAATAACAACAATTTTGGAATTGAGTTACCCCAAAAAGCTCCTCATGCCGAAGATGATCATAATCACTATTCAATGCCTGAATTATTCGACGCATTCAATGAATTATTCTTTCTTCAAACAAATAAAATTGTTTCATTCCACGAATCCATGCCTGCAAATTCAGATAAAGTTCCGTATGACAAACAATCAAGAATCTATAGCTGCTCAGACCATAAATCTCTTAATTGGAACTACTCACTTCACTATTTAGTGTTAGATTTCCACTTAACTGAAACCCAAACCGTGACGATCCAGACAGTGTTTGTTATTGGATGCATATTATTGATGTTCAACGATGCTACTACAATTAGCTATGAAAGCGTTTTATCAAGACTAAAGTTGAAGAAAAACTCTGCTGTTGGAAAAGCGAACATGATTAATGGAGAGACCTTGGCTCAAAATATCAAATCTAAAGCTCCAAAATACTCTAGTAGTAATAAGTTTTTGATCATGGAAAGTAAATCCAAACCTCCTCCTGCCATTGCTTCTTTTTCTTCTTCTAGTGGCATTGGAGGTCAAGACACCATTATTTCGGATTCGATGAATAGTTCTACCACCGTACCCATTAATATTTCGTCAGTAATCACCGGAGAGGCTTTCCTATCTGCTCTTCCGCATGATCCTGATGACTTGGTAAAACGTTCGATATATTCATTACAAAGATCCGGGGTTATCATAAAGTGTAACCCAGAGACTCGAAACCCTGATTCTACTGCCTCCATTTCTGGGAAATTTGATTCGCATGGTAGTTTTATGATCAATGAGAATTTGCAAACGGATTCAGAAGGAGAACACACAGTATTGAGAATTCCATTGGTGAGCAGTAAGAATTTAAAAAAGAGCTCGACTTGATAAGGGACTCCGTCTGAGAACGAATGAAACTTTCTTTTTTTTTTTAAGCAAGACAATTCTATTCACTTATTTATTGAAGTGTGTGTAGTGTTGCCAACTTATATTTGTAAATATTCAGTTCTCACTCAACCGAAGCTGTTATGAAATTCATAATAAGGATGATACTGCCTATCAGACACTGCAAACAATTAACGAAATTCTCGAGCTATTACTAATCATCAATTTTAATTGTTCCTGTCACCGGACTGTGTATTACTTCGATATTGAGCTACGGCATACACAAAAGCAACTTAGCAAGTGTGTTACTAGAGTGCATATTTTCTAAAAATTCGATATAATCAAAGCCGGTGTATAATGAGTAAAAATAATAATGAAAAAATAGGATTGAAAAATAATGTCTGAAAACTGAAGGAAAAGGAAATATTTTAATAATGAACAGAAGAAGAGAAAAACCAAAAAATATGATGATGGTCTTGGCTAGTAAAGAACCCAAAAAAAAAAATGTTAAATGGAAGCCAGGCAATCTAAAATGATTTGAAAAAAAAAAATATATCTATATATATAAAAGTTTAAATACTCCAATATTTATGAGACGAACTGTTCTTGAGGAGGTTAGAAAAAAAGAGAGAAAAAAAAGGTAAAGCACAGGAAATAAATCGTAAACGAGAAATTTCGGCTGAGCTTTAGGATGAAAAAGAAGATTCAGTGGTGTTTCTATTTGGTTTGATTTTCACAATAAGCGAGTAGTCGCAATTGGGACTCTCAGCCTTTGAGGAAATTAAGATCCAAAAAAATAATAAACGAACACGACCTGAAAAAGAATGGATTTGAAGTAAAATTGGTATTAGGTTATTGGGGGAAGTGCATATGTATAACTTTGATGTTATTTATTTTTGGGTATACGTCACGTAGATCGTGCTTGTTGTCGTACTAGTAACGTCTTCTGAATCATCGTCATCAAAATCATAATAGAAGTAGCATGTGCTTTGGGACTGGCTAATACTATATGGAGTTGCTGATGAAGGAATGGAAGTGATAGTATCGTATGATATGGTCAGCGTACCGACTACTTCACTTGTGCTGGAAGCCACACTTACCATATTGGTTCTAACGGAGCTGCTGGACCTGCTCGAAGTTGTCATGGAAGTTGAGGTCAAAGTTATAGTCGATCTAGAAGGAGAAGATGATGAGGAAGGAGAGGAATAGGAAGAAGAAGTGGAAGTGGAACTTTTTGTTGAAGAGGTTGTTGTTGTAGCAGGTGCACTCCCATACATTGTGATGTAGTGTGTAGTACCTTGAATATTAACTGTCTCTGTTATGATGATTGTGGTATAGTAGGACTCGTATGTTTTGGTCGAGCCTTGTTCAACCGTTGTGATTGTTGATTCAATCACCGAAGTCATGCTAGCCATATTAGTTATAGTGGTGGCTGCTGGGTTAGCCACAGGGGCTGCTAGAACTTTCTGAACTAGAAGAGGTATGCTGAGAATATTGAGAAGCTTCATCTTCGTTAATTAAGAAAAAAAAAGGTTTGGGTATCAAAGGATGAAAAAAAAAAGGTATGGGTATCAAAGGTTTGGGTATCAAAATTTAATTAACTCAGAATTAGCTTCCAAATAACAGCTTCAGAAACTGGAGGATGTCTCTATAATTCTTCTGTTTCTCTTAATTCAAGATAATTAGAAATTAATTAAAAATTCCTTGGGTTCAATTTTCGGCAAATTTTTTTTTTGGATTTTGAGCGGACGAACGAGGATATATATTATCCCGTTTAGAGGATCATTGACGAAGAAATCTTGCTTTAAACGAGATACTGATATCATGAACCATAAAAGTTTTCCATTCCGGAAAATTCCCCACTTCTTCCTAGTTTCATCCTCATTTGAAGTAAATGACTTTTGAGGAACCATCCCGAGTTACTAGACGGCTGGATCTAGGTTTTATCGCTGTGCTGCTGCATGTTGCGAAAAGGTGCATAGGCCGACTAAGACAGAAACTTTTTTGACAGAAATGTCAATCGATCAATTGTTTGGCAACTTGTGTATTATCACAGCTCAATGGTAATAGTATATTCATAATGTCATTAAAATTACATTTCATTCATTTTCGGGCAGCGCTCTCTCTATACTGGTGTTGGTAGACGAACAATTTTCGACAGTGATCGCCGGTCTAGTGCATGCCAATAAATGAAATTTTCTTGGGGGTCTATTGCGAATGATCGGCCGACTCTTTTCGAAGACCGTCACAATAGTGCAAATTGTAAGTTCCAAGCCCGAGAATTCCTTCTGGGCTACTGGGTATGGATTGCTTTCAAATGTTAGTTTAATGATTTTTTGAAGCGACTGTTATCCTTAAGGTCCCCACCCCAATAAATCTCTGTTGTGTCTAATAAGATAGAATTGAGACAAGATCTCTTGTCTCAACCTCAAATTATTTCAATTAAAACAAAAAAATACTGTCTCACTATTGCGTGGATATAATCAATTATCATCCTTGTGTGGTGATAATTATTTTCGATAAACCTCATGGGTCACCCTGTTGAGACATGCAGGTAAGATTTGGGTTTCCATCCCATCTCGTGTAATTTAGAGTAGGTAGTGATTTTGGTGCAACAGTTAGAAAAGAAAAATGAAGTCAATTCCTTTTATATTTGGTCATGTTTATCAAGTCTGAAGAAATAATTGTAATTCGGTACTATTCATGCCAGACATTTTGTTTAATGTATTGAGGGTTGTAGTAGAGCAGTGCTCATTTAACCCGGGCTCTGTCTTTGAAAAATTGACCACTGTTTAAAAATCTCCGAACTGGTGAAATATGACAAAGAATATTTGATTGACGGAATGGTTGAATGCGATCTTCATATGTGCTTAGTTATTGGTCTGCAAAGATCAAAAAAAATTTTACACGAAGGCAACAAATTCATATTGCTGAGGTAACATACGATTACATAATCAGTTTATTGTGATCTATGACAAAATCCAATTAGATGTAAATAATTTGTAACAATTAAGAGATCCTATTGATACTAAAACAGAATCAAGCAAGGCTTCTATCCAACAGAATATAAAGTCCACAACGAGCAAGAATGATACACCATCCATTAAGAAGATTAAGGACCATTGGAAAAAAAAACGGTAAAAACCCAAATCATGGAAGATTGGAACAAAATGATAAAGGATCAACCACCATCACTTTCAGAAATATATCGTCAACACCTAAACTTAAAAATCCAAGTAAAGCAACACTTCAAACAAACCATGTTTGGAAAGACTATCAATCAGTGGTTGCAAGTTATTAATGAGTGCTTTGTCACAACTATTGAATGGCAAAAGCGTTATTGACCACAAAGTTAAAAAGATTCTTAATCCTGAGGAAACCACCAGTTGTACAGATTGTGGCGAAGAACCGCTAGCATTCGATCTTGAAGTAGTGGTCTGTCCTAAGTGGAATTGAGAGAGAGAGGTAAGTGGGATAGCTTCCTACCAGAGTACATACACCCCCCAGTTATTTGAAAATAAGAACATCATGAATCTCATTCATTTCTATGAGTTAAGGTATGCCGCAACAGACAAGTCAAACTGATATAGTCCTATCGAGTATGGGGACTATTATCAAGAGGCGGGACTGAGTCTAGACTAGTCCTCATGGGTTGATTCTCACGGTAATTGAAGAAAAGCACCACCAGATGGATAGTCATGCGGCTGAGGTTTCTCTTTTCTAGAGGTTTACTCGGCGGCAATGCACCAACCGGCAGGTATGTTATGTGCCTACTGCTCTCCACTAGGTAAGGGTAACCCTGACCGTTATATAAAGTTGATAAACCTTTTGTATATCTGCGAAATATATAAACGGTTAAAAAAAAAAGAAAATTAATGAGAACCAAGTATATTCATTTTTTCTTTCTGGTTGGTTTGGTATTTCTAGACCAGCTCCAATATTGCATATACGAAGGGAGAAAGCTTGTTCTCTTCTATCCAGAACTTTTAATATTTCTTAAAGATTTAGCTACTCGAGTCTTTTATGAATTACTGAACAGCATAGAAATCTACAGAATCCCACATTACTAAAAATCAGAATATGAAAATTGCTTGTTAAATGATAAATCTCTCAAAAAAAAAAAAACTCTATTTTTTCAAAGATTTGACCAATTCAACATACTTCTCAGTGGAAAAGGACTTTGGTCTTTCAATAGGCATACCATAAGCTCTATCAATGATCAATTGTGGCAAGACACCAAAAGCTCTGGCAACACCAAACAAAACAGTGTAGAATGGGGCTTCAGTCAAACCGTAATGCTTCAACAAGACACCAGAGTGAGAATCCACATTAGGCCATGGATTCTTAGTCTTGCCGTGCTTAGTCAAGACCCCTGGGGCAACTTCATATACTGTGGAAACAACCTTGAACAAATGGTCATCAGGTAAATGCTTCAAGGCAAATTCTCTTTGAGCAGTATATCTTGGATCTGTCTTTCTTAAAACAGCATGACCGTACCCTGGAACGACTCTTCCACTGTTCAAAGTTTCCCACAAGTATTTTTCAATGGATTCCTTGGTGATATTACCGTGCAATTCCTCATCAAGCTTTTCTAACCATTCCAAAACTTCTTGGTTGGCTCTTCCGTGCAATGGACCAGCTAAACCATTGAGACCAGCGGCCAAAGACAAATATGGAGAAGATAAAGCAGAACCAACCAAGTGGGTGGTGTGAGCAGATACGTTACCACCTTCATGATCAGAATGAATAGTCAAGTACAATCTCATCAATTCGATGAATTCCTTGTTTTCACCAAAACCAAGCATTGTGGCCAAGTTGGCACCATAATCCAAGTCCTTACTAACTGGGGAAACCTTTCCGTCCTTGAAGACGTTTCTGTAAATCTTGGAGGCTATGGTTGGCAATTTAGCCAACAAGTTGATGGAATCTTCATAAGTGTAGGTCCAGTATTCCTTCTTACTGACACCTTTGGCATATGCCTTAGCAAATTCGGATTCAGATTCCAAAGCAGTGACTGCCATAGAAAATTGGGCCATTGGGTGTAAATATGATGGACAGGAATCAATTAATTCTGCCACGTGCTTTGGTAATTCAGACCTGGCAGCCAATTCTGCAGAAAAAGCCTTGGTTTGGGCCTCAGTTGGAACTTCACCAGTTAATAATAGCCAGAACAAAGCCTCTGGTAAAGGCTCAGTACTTCCTGGGGCCTTTGGTAACTCTTTCTGAACTTCTGGAATTGACTTACCTCTGAATCTAATCCCATCAAGAGGGTCAAGAACAGAGCCTTCCCACACTAAGCCTTTTATACCTCTCATACCACCATAAGCTTGTTCTAATAAAACATCCCCGATGACCTGTTTAAATGTTAGTTATCATGTTTAAGTGAAAAAAGGTGAAAAAAAATTCCCCATTATATAAAGTGAAAATGATTTCAAGCATACAGTTTTACCGTGTTCTTTTTTGAATTTCTTAATGAATTCCGCTTTTTCAGGGTATATTTCAGCAAAAGTTTCCTTCAAAGTCTTTTCATTTGTTGAATAACATCTTAAGGAGTTGTAGATCAATTTATGGGATGATCTGGAGAATTGAGAGCTGCGTAAAGCACGACTGGATGCAGTTCTTAAGCTGGCCATTGTGCACAATACTGTAATATTTGTTGTTTGTTAAGAATATTTTATGGTATTCCAAGATACTTAAACTATTGATTGATAAGAATCAAGTGAAATTCGTTAGTATATATATATATAATGTAAGTTTACACCCCGTGGCGATTCCGGATGTCACACAAATGCACGTCACATCCCTAAGTTCCGACGGAAAGCAACAGATTATGGGGGGACCAAACATATTGTGAGAAGATGATAACCTCATCGGAACCGAGATAAAAGTGACCACACGCCAGTTCTAGTAGTGAAACGTACTAATAAAATGCAACTTTTGCTTTATTTTTATTGTGGATAGAATGGAAAATAACACTTGAGTTATTTATTATTGACTGAATAGTGATAATGCGCAATCATCAAAGGATACACAGTGTTGACCCCAATTCCTTGTTTAAAAATTACTTGGCTTCTCGGAAATGAGGTCTACTTTAGATTATTCCGGGTGAAATTCATTCTAGGTTTTAAATATCAGAAGTTCTCACTTATAAGAATCTCCTCGCTGTGCACATTCTAAATTGCGCGGAACATAGATAACAGTTACTTACATGCGACTCCTAACATGCAGATTTTAGCAATTGTTGCAGTTACTGCTTTATGAATTCTTCCAAGAAAGATCCACCTCTGAATTGATATTTCATGGAAAAGATCTATATGTAGTACTTCTTATTAAAATCATAGAATAATATCTATTATATCTATATAAACATATATATTTCTATCTGTTAGTCTCACTTATTTATATTTTTTTCAACTTATTGAATCCTTTAAATTCCGTTGCTTGCTTTTCCTTCCTTCCTATGCGAAATACTATAAAATTGAAGGAAAATACATTTATGAATATTTAATGCTTCTTGCTCAAGCTGAAACTCCTTAATATATATATTTTCCCTAGATTCAAGTGCTATAACATATTTGGCTGTCAAGAAAACATGAATATTTTAGATATTTATCCAACAAGCGTCCTTCTTGAAATTTTTGAAAATTTGGATGGTGATGCCCAAGATTTAGTGAATGTTCATCATTCCCTAAAATCTGACTTGTCAAAACTTTGTGTGGAATCGATTTTATTTAGGAGCGTTGAAGTGGTTACTGAATCTCTTGGTCAAGAAAATACAAGGTCCACCTTCATGTTGAACAATCTTAGGTTCTATATTATCACTTCTAGACTAGAATATCATGTTAAAATCGAAAACAATGAATTGAAAAGACTTGGAAAGGCATATTTCTTTGAAACATTGGCACCGCACATCAGAAAATTAATGTTTCAATATCCACATGGGAAAGATGAATTTTTGGGATCAATCAAGTATTTTTGGAAACTTCCAAAATTAAAGCATTTATCTTTGCAAAGACCATGTGATTTCTTATATCGAAAATTATTTACTCCAGTACAAGTCAATGAGATGCCTTTAGCAGTGGATGAATCGCCTCTAACTATGTTTAATCATTCAATGGATTTTGGAAATCTGTTGAAAAAATTAAATTTGGAAAGATTAGTCTTGGCCAAAATTGAATTTTTCCAATTGTTTACCAATTTAGAATCTTTGAGTTTAGGAAACAACTGTATTTCTGTGATTGAAAATTTGGATCATATGAAATCCCTTCGAAATCTTAATCTCAGTGGAAACAATATCACAAAAATGGAAAACTTGGGCGGATTGAATAAATTAGAAATACTCAATCTCAACAGAAATCCTATCGAGAGAATTGAGAAGTTGGATGGTTTGGTAAACTTAAGGCACTTGGATCTTAGTCAGTGCAAGCTCACAAAAGTTCAAGACTTGGATAGGCTAATTAACTTGCAAGTCTTGAACGTTCAGCATAACAATATCAACTCAGTGGTAGGTGATTTTTGTAATCATTCCAAGTTGACAGACGTGAATCTTGATCATAATATTATGCGTTCCTTGGGTGAACTTGAAACAGTCCCAAATATGAGAGACTTAACTATCCGAAGAAATTGCATTTCAAGTCCTGCTCAAGTTGCCACTCTTCTCGAAAAAGGTGTTAGTGTCAAGTGGGGATATGGATTTCCTTTTTCGGATATTCAAGTCGCTGATTATGGACAAGATGGGATAGATAATTGGGCTCTCCAAAGATATTGGATAAGAAACCATGAGAATGTCCAATACAACTCTGTTGAAAGCTTCCAAACGGATAACAATGCTTACGCAAATACACTTCGCCCAGGAATCTCATATATTCATGGGTAATACGATATTTAGAATCCTGAAAATAGATAGTTATTGATAACTGAATCGATCATCAATTGTCGTAATATTTGTTTTTCAAAATACAGTCTTTTATACTAGGAATAGTTCTTTTAGATAAAAATTCGTCAATATCTTCATTCTTACCTTCATTCCCGTAATATCTTCCCAATGAATTTCTAATTTCTGAGGAGGAGACGGTAGTCAAAAACTTGGAGTTCTCATCTTTGATAGGATTTAAAATCACAATTCTAGAAGCCCAATGTTTTGGAACTCCATCAATTTCTCCGGATTTTATAGACTCGATGTAAGCCTCTTGGCTCAATATATCATCATTCCCATTATCTCTTGCAAGACATACCAACTCCGATCCTTGAATGAATTCATTGAGGGATTCATCAATTGTTTTCGGTTTATAATATTTAGAGTCAAATATCCGAATCAATGTATCGAAACCTAGTAAGAATGCTAAATTCAAGCGATCCGCTTCTTGCAACTTCTTCAATGACTTCACCACAATATCATCACCAGAGTCAGGCAACGATAAATACTTCTTCAACTCTTCATATTTATCAGTAAATTTTGCTAGCTTCGTAAGACAAATAAGTACCGATACATTCTCTCCGTTGATTTTATATAGATCTTTTGATAATAGATCAATCATTTGCAATCGCTTATCAAACAGTTCTGGTTTTGGATGGATCTTGTCAGCATTGTTGACAGATAACAGTAACACAATTGTGTTAAGATTTGGGCTGCCCAGGCACACTTTTTTTTGGTAGTGATTGATGGCATTTTCAATTATTGAAATATGACCTTTGTGTGGTGGATTGAAAGAGGAATCAAGGAATAAAACATTATGTTTGTTATAGTCGTCGCTAGTGTTAGATATGGCAAGGCTTTTGGCTGCAAGATGTGATATAAACTTAATTTTCGATGAATTTTTTGTGAATTCATCAATGATGGATTGGTAATTTTTTATAATTGGCATTTTATATATCCTTATATATACATATATATTCAGTTAAAGGAAGGCTACTATTATGGTATTATGATTATTTGGCTGAAATATATATATAATCTCCGAAATTCATGATGGCACAAGTTACCCTGGGTGGGTTTTGTGATGGCTGTAATTTTTAAAAAGGTTCAATTTGGACCCATCATCACATTACAATATTTGGCAATCACTTGATATATATCTGACCACCTTTCCAAAAAAAAAAAAAAATGCTGAATTTCAAATTTCTTGCCTTATTATTCGCGTTATTGTCTATTGTCTTTGCTACCGAAGGCGATAAGCTCAGAATTGGTGTGACCAAAAAAGTTGAAAATTGCTCCAGAAAGACCAAGAATGGCGATATCGTCAAGGTTCATTATACTGGGTCATTGAAAGATACTGGTGCTGTCTTTGATAGCTCTTTGAACCGTGGTATTCCATTCGAATTCAAATTAGGTGCTGGAAATGTAATTAAGGGTTGGGATCAAGGTTTATTGGGGTATGTGTCCATCCGCCTTTGTTTTTTTATGATAGATCGAGTTAGCTCACTTACTGACAATTATTTTATTCTAGGATGTGTATCGGTGAACAAAGAAAGTTGACTATTCCTCCAGAACTTGGCTATGGTAGCAGAGGTGCTGGTGGTGTTATTCCTCCAGACGCCACCTTGGTCTTCAAGACTGAATTGGTTGGAATCGACGGTTACGAACCTGAGGATCATAAAGACGAATTATGATTGTATTATGTTGATGTATATTAGCTAGTGAAAATTTGTTCTTTCAATTCATGTAAAAATATTTTTTTTTAGCTCTCCTCATTTTTTAAAATTTTTGGTAGTTGTTACGTTCAATCTCAGGAAGGTGGAAAGTGAACAAGTCACATAAATTCAGAAGTTTTTATAATACATGTTTTATAATATACATAAAAAAAATGAAGAAAAAAAGATTATTGGTTCAATCACCAAGTCTCTTGCAAGTATCTGTACTCGTTCTCAAAATCCAATAAAACCTTCTCTGCTTCCTGCTTGGAGATTTTGCCACACTCTTCAATAATCAGAACAATAGTAATTCTGGTTTGAATAGGCATTTTACCAGATGATCCACAAAGATAAATTATCCCATCACGATTCATCAACATATCATAAATGACTTCCTTGTTGTAGTATAACATATCCTGAACATACTTGATCTTCTTATTACCATCGTATAAGGTATCGTCTCTGGAAAACGATGGAAATACTTTAAGCGTAGTAGCATTCTGCTGCTCCAATTTTTCAAAATATTCTCCATAGAGATAGTCTTTGTTTTTGTAGCGGTTACCGGAGAACACACACATTGCGGTGTCCGAGGATAACTTATCTTGGATAATTGAGCGAACAGGGGCAATACCAGTACCCGGGCCAATAAGAATTAGTGGGCTATCGTCTTTAAACTTTGAATACACGTCGTTTTTCTTAATTGAATAAAGTATTTTCGTGCCTGGTGCCAAGTCTTTCAACCAAGTGGTACACACACCCTTCCTGATTCTCTTCAATAGGGTCTTATATTTCACAATTGCCACACAAAGGTCAAATGAGTTACTTTCTGGGAAACTAGAAAGTGCAGATGCAATAGAAAACAATCTAGGTCTCAAAATTGGAAAAATATCCAACACATGCGCTACCGGAATTTTCAAACTAAAGAATTCCGTGACAGTTTCCAAGATCGATCTTCTTGGCCTATCAGCATAATTATACAAATCCTCAGTGAACTCCAATTGAGAAAATTCTTGTAATTTTTCACGTTCTCTCTCATCACTAGCAAACTTGTATATCGACATGAAAAAACTTCTTCTAGGTATTGACATGATGTCTAAATGATGAGTGATCAATGATCTCAACGTCAATGGCTGGACTAATCCACCTTCGATGTTAAGCTTGTATTCTTCAGTGTCTTGTGAAATTTTGATTTTGTAATCTGCAATCTCTTCCCATCCTTGACTTTCAAGCAATTGATTAACATCATCGACACTATTTGATGGGTATAACGAAATGATATCACCGGAATTATATTGAATGGCCCCATTTATGTCTTTAATAGTGAAATGTCTAACATCTTGAAAATGATCTTCACTAGTCAATCTATCATTGCACTGTACTTCTCCGAGTCTAATTTCTTCATCATCATTACTGGGTCCTATAAATCTAGTATTCGAAACATCTTGGATATTCACATCTGTTTTTCTTTTAGGTCTATTAGTCTCGACTTCAACTCTGTATTTCGGAGGAGCAATATAATCCTCATTCATCTTCGGGGTTTTTGAAATCATCGGATATTTTGTAATGATGTTGTTGATTAAAGAATCTTCCCATTCTTTATAAAAAGCTTCCACACCTTCCGGGCTTTGCTCATCACCTTCACCCCTCGGACTGATTTCTTTGGCCCCCAATTGACGTAATCTAGAGTGTAGTTTTCTAATGAAAAAATTGTATCTAGGGTATGACGAGTCCCCCAACCCGAACGTGGAAAATTCAATGTGGTCCAAAAATTCATTTCTCGGCAACTTTCTTTGGAGTAAAAATCTCCAGAACTTTTTAGTATTCTTAGGATTATCCCCATTGCCAAACGTTGATGCCACGAAGATTATTATTTTGGTTTCCAATAGCTTCCTCAATGGAAAATCATCCATGGAATAAACTACCGCTTCATAACTGTTAGCCTCCAATCTATTTGCTAATAAAACCGCATACTCGTAAGAGTTGAAGGTTTCAGTCCCATAAAGAACCACAATTTTATTCATGATTAAAAAAAAAAATGATAATATCAACAAAATCTCAGGGTGAGTTTTGAGAAACAGCAGTCAATGGAACTTTGAACATAAACAACACTGCAATAAAAATAAATGGACCCCCTGTTGTTGAAGCTCATGATGACGATAATTATTGAAAAAAAAAAAAAAATTGGAAATTTTCATGCGCCGCTGTCGTGATTTATGCGTGCGACGACTAATGCCTGTTGATCGAGGTAGATAAGAGCTTTTTAGGCCCTGGAATGAGAATTCTCTGAGGTTTTGGTGTTGTCTTTTAGTAGTCGTGGATATGTAAATTTATTTGGTATTACTTTTTTTTTTTCTTTGTTTTGTTTCAGAGGGTTTTTCTAGTGTTCTTGGAAAAATATCATAAAGCACAATGTACGATGAGTGGAGAATTTTACGATCGACAATCATTAACAAGTATCTTGGGCTAAAAAAACTCGTCACTTCTTGCAACCTTTGGAAATTTTTGATATCGTCTACTTAGGAGAAAAAGCCCTATAAATCCTATAATATTCATGTGTCAATCAATCCTTTGGTGTTTATGTAATTGCAGTGATTGTGACGATCGTCGCGCTTACCCTGACATGGGAAACAGTATGGCGATGATTGAAACTTTCCAACAAAACTAGCGATGGCAAAGTACATCATCATTAAAGCAATCTTGTCTCCACAGTATACATTACCTAATATTCAATGTTTTCTAGAAGTATCAAAAGAAGCCACGTCTTTTCATCGGCTTATAAGTCTGGCAGGCTATTTTCCACCACTTACAATGCGTCACAGAAAAGTCCTACTGGGATCGTCTTCATGAATATGGGAGGCCCATCGACTGTCGAAGAGACCAGAGAATTCTTGCTCAGGTTATTCAGTGACAGAGATATCATTAATATTCCTTTCCAAAAATACCTTGCCAAATGGATTGTGAAAAGAAGAACTCCAGTTATTGAGCAAAGATACCTGGAAATCGGTGGCGGTTCTCCAATTCGCCAATGGTCTGAATACCAAGCTTCGAAAGTTTGCAGTATTTTGGACAAGACGTGCCCAGAAACTGCTCCTCATAAACCATACGTTGCCTTTAGATATGCCAAACCATACACCGAGGAAACTTTACCATTGATGCTCAAAGATGGTGTCAAGAGAGCCGTTGCATTTTCCCAATATCCACAATTTAGTTATTCCACCACCGGTTCAAGTGTGAATGAATTATGGAGACAAACCCTTAAATTTGATCCTCAAAGGAGCATCAACTGGTCGATTATTGATAGATGGCCAAAGAATGCAAAATTCGTTAAAGCAGTCTCGGATCATGTGTCGGAAAAATTACAAGAATTCCCAGAAGAAGATAGAGATAAGGTTACGATTTTGTTTTCTGCCCACTCATTGCCAATGGATGTTGTCAACACTGGTGATGCCTACCCAGCAGAAGTTGCTGCCACCGTGTATTCTGTTATGGAACAATTGAATTTCGGTAATGAATATAGATTAGTTTGGCAATCTAAAGTCGGACCAAAACCTTGGTTGGGTGCTCAAACGGTGGCCACTGTGCAAAAATTGGAAAAAGCCGATGGTTACAAGGGTCTTGTTATTGTTCCAATTGCTTTCACCTCCGACCACATTGAAACTTTGCATGAATTAGATATTGAGTTACTTGAAGAAGTGAAGAAACCAGAATTGATCAAAAGATCTGCCTCATTGAACGGGAACTCTCTTTTCATCGAAGCTTTGGCCGACATTGCTAAAGAACACTTTGACCTGGGCTTGCCTTACTCTAAACAATTGGAATTGGATTACAAATTGGCCCCTCCTTCAGAAGGAATTTTCAATCATGTTTCCGAACTCTTTGGAGACCACAGTACTAAAAAATAGGGAAATTTAGAATTTATTTTTTTCTCATTTACACTTATAATTAAACCTTATTTATATATATATATATATATATATATATATAACACATAGTTAATAGAAGAGATCTCTTAGTATTAAGGCATCTATCCATCTGTGTTATGTTAAGGCTTCGTTGACGCCTTCATGGATGCACTCCGGGTAGCACCGTTTTTTGGTAATTGGTTTTTTTGTTTTTTTTTTTCGCTGCAACAAAATTGACGAATAATGTGCTGCGAATAAAAAATCAAATAATAATAGTGAGGAGAATACCTTTATCCATCATATCAATAGGTAATAACCCTTGAATAACAACACAAAATGAGACAGTCTCTTCTTAGATTATCTGGTCACGGTGCCAAGTATGTTCGTCATGCTGAAGTTCCATACCCAAAGGTCCCAGCTTTTTACAGATACTCCGCCAAACTTTTGGGGGCTACCATGTGGTTTTGGATATTCTACAGAGCTAAGCAAGATTACAAAGTGTGGTTTGGTATGAAACTCCCATTCGAACATTGAATTCATTGATGTTTTTCTTTTTGTTGGGGGTGGTTTGTTGTTGCTGTTGGTGGTGAAGAGTTGGAAGGAAGAGATAACTTGTGAAGTTACCTTGGAATAATGGGTACAGAATAAAAAACTGAATTCCATTCTATAAAATATTACCATTTTAATTGTTCACCAATACTTTATTTTTTACCTCTGGGAGAACTTCATTTATAAAATTATTTTGCATTTTGGTGGACTGGCTATCTTGAGATTATTTGTCAAAAAAAGGGCATATATGTTCACTTTCAATACATTTATGGTAAAGACATTAATCTTTTATTAATATTATTATTTGTGATAATCACAATGTAAGACTACAATTACAAGATATAAATCGATTAAAAATACCCCACATTAAGCAAAGATCTGAATATTCGCAAATAATTTTGCTCTATATAGCGGAAAACAATGACAAGAAATGTAATATAATAATAATAATGATGATAATGAAAACAGAAAATAATATACCAATTAGAAGAAAAAAAAGGAAAGAGGTCACCATACAGACTGAGTGAATTAATAGCAGCAGCAATCAAGAGGTTTAACGACGACCGTAACCACCTCTGCCACCACCGTAACCACCTCTACCACCACCGTAACCGCCTCTACCACGGCCACCACGACCACCACGACCACGACCGCCGAATCCGCCTCTACCGCCGAATCCACCTCTACCACGACACATACTTCTCAAGCTGTCTGGAATTTCTTGCTTGGCTTCTTCCATGATGTGAACCAAGTCATTAGCCAATTTACCGTTACCTTCAGTGAAGAAAGAAATAGCAGTACCAGTTTCACCACCTCTACCAGTTCTACCAATTCTGTGAACGTAATCTTCAATGTTACCTGGCATGTCAAAGTTGATGACCCAGTCAATACCCTTAACATCTAAAATTAAAGTTAGTTTCAACTAATCCTCCTCGACATCATTAAAAAAGAATATCAAAATAAGAGAGAAAAAGCACACAGAGCCCAAATTCATACAACCGTCATCAACCAATATTATCAAAAAATCATCCTACGAATCAAAATGATGAAAATGTATCACCAAGAAAGGTAATGGAAAACCAACGTTTATTGATTGTTGAACATACAAAATATGCAAAATTGAATCAGCATATAATGATACTTTGTCCATTCCAAGAGAAAAAAGACATTGTAACCGATGTATGAGTAGTAGAGAAAAATTAAAGGATGCACAATTGTCAAGGCTCAAAGTAAAACCAAATATTAAACCAATCAGATTCAATAAAGGAATACCCGACCGCAGTGTTCAATTTAATCCTTCAAAAATTCAATTCATAATCAGGAAGAGGAGAGATAATTCAGGAAAAATGAAAGCCTGAATTGCGCAATAGATACCAATAAGACATGAAAAATAAGTTGGAGAACAAAAATATCCCAAAACTTCAATTCTTGAATGGTTATAAACGCTGCAAAGTATCTCCCTTTTCTGACTTCGACACTAAAATGCCAGTCAGCTTCTTCCTTATAATCGGTTAAAATTCTTTTTGGTGTTTCTCTTGGCGCTTTCGATCAGTTACTGACTTTTAGCGCTCAATAAAAAAAATCGTTAATTTTCCTCAACATAAGTGGAAAAATCCTTCATCGCCTCAATTCAAGTGAGTCTTGAAAAATGAGGAGTTTAGATGATGTTCGCAACACAGATTTATTAAGCCCCGTGTAAAAGGGGCATCCTAGATGGTTATGCTATTCGGTTTCTTGTGCTGATCTCAAAAAGAAATCAAATTCCCGCTTCAAATCTCTTGAAACAATAAAAATTTGCAAATAAAATAAAAGTACTTACCAATACCACGAGCAGCAACATCAGTGGCAACCATAATGTTATTTTGGCCAGATCTGAATTGGTCCAAAACCCAGTCTCTTTCAGATTGGGCCTTGTCACCGTGTAAGGCCAATGCAGCCCAACCTTCAGCTCTCAAATAACTGGTGATATCATCACAAGTTCTCTTAGTGGAGGCAAAGACCAACATCTTGGAATTGCTACCAGACTCATCAATCTTGGTCAACTCACTAATCAACTTGTCTCTCTTTTCATATTCACTCATGACAAAGACATTTTGAGTAATAGTGTGAGAAGCAGACAATTCCAAAGAACCAATGGTGACTTGAATGTAATCATGCAAGAAATCATGGGCCAAGGATTGAACGCTCTTAGGCCATGTGGCAGACCACATAAGGGTTTGTCTGTCTGGTCTAATTTGGGAAAGAATCTTTCTGATTTGAGGTTCGAAACCCATATCAAGCATTCTATCGGCTTCATCCAAAACCAAGTAGGTAACTCTTCTCAAATTGGTCTTACCAGCTTCCAACATATCAATGAGTCTACCCGGAGTGGCAATGACAATTTCAGAACCTCTAGCCAAATCTCTGACTTGAGGACCCTTTGGAGCACCACCATAAACACAAGTGTTTCTGATTCTAGAAGAGTGACCAAACTTAGAACATTCTTCTTTAATTTGAACAGCCAATTCTCTAGTTGGGGCCAAGACCAAAACAATTGGACCATCACCTCTTTCCAATAATGGTTGAGCGTTAATATGAACGATAGCTGGCAAAATGTAAGACAAAGTTTTACCAGAACCTGTAGCGGCAATACCAATCATATCTCTACCAGACAAAGCCATTGGCCAACCTTGACATTGAATAGCAGTTGGAGATGGGAAACCACAACGTTTAATTTCTTCCAAAGCGTAGTCTGGGAATCCAACTTCATCGAAAGTAGTGACTGGCTTTGGAATGTCTCTACCATGGATGGTCATTTGGTGTTCTTCACGGAACTTGTTGACTTCACTGTCTGATCTACTTTGGACTGATTCGTGTTCAACGTAAAAGTTCTTTTCAAACTTTGGCATTCTTTCGAGGTCCCATTCTTGTTCTCTCAAACCACTACCTAATTCACCCATTCTGTCACCACCAAATCCACCACCAAATCCACCACGACCACCGCCAAATCCACCGCGCCCACCGCGTCCACCACCAAATCCACCTCTACCACCACCGTTTCTGTCACCACCGTAGCCGCCTCTGCCACCACCGTATCCGCCACCGTTTCTGTCACCACCGAATCCACCGCCATTACGGTCGTTGTAACCACCTCTGTTGTATCCACCGTTGTTATAAGACATATCTAAACAAAAATTAAGTGAATTATTAAAAACAAAGGAGCAATTCTTGTTAATTGATTAATACCAATGTTTACAAGAATGAAAATTTTGAGAAGAATTGCAAATTTTTATATTATTAAAAAAAAAAAAACTTTTTCCTAAAAAAAAAAAAAAAAAAAAAAAAGAAATAATTTTCAGAGTCACCCTCCCGCGTCCTCATCTCCGTCTCTTTATCTTTTATGAATTTTTGTTTTGCAATTTCAAAATGGGAATATTTTTATAGTGTCACGCGTTTTTAACATAGAGTATCCGTATTGACAGCAGTAATCTTTTCTTTTTCGACCGGTCTAACTGAAATTTTATAAAGTATCATCAGCCTTCGCCATATGTTATTTTGACATTACTAAATAACTTCCCCGATGGACAACATCTCATAAGTATAGCTTCGTAACTTTATTGAATTGCCTTTACCTTGGAATTGCAAATACTAGTATCGCTAACTCCTTGTCGAAATACATTTCAATCTATATAGATAATTATTAATATTTAATATTGTTCATGATCTCGGGAATTGTTATGAATTTTCAATTCATCTTGATTCAAGAATTGTAACAACTCCTTTGGTAAATTACAACCTAGCCAATGTATACTCTTCTTATTGACCTTCTCACCGTTTCCAAAAGTCCTTGCTCTTTCCAACATGTCAACTATCGCTTGTAATGAGTATCCACCTTCATTCATCGCCCTGTCAGTGGCATTATATAAGTTTCGTCGTCTGCTGAACTGTTTGGAAACTGAGTGTTTAGCTCCTCCGCGCCATTTGGCATTATATTGATTTTCTAAAACCTTTATTGATGGATAGCCATCGAGTCCATGGAAATATTCTTCTAAAACCCCCGCGACAGTATCGAGCCTGGCAAAATTATAAAGAGGAACTGCTGCTTTCTTGAGGATTTTAGATTTCTTGCTCTGTAACTGTATAGAGCTTGTACCTTCGCAAATGAATTTTTCCGAGATTTGTTGTTGATGCTGTTCGAGATTTCCATCCAATTTTCGTTTTCTCAACTTTTCTGTTGGAAAACCACTATCCTCCAAATTTGACGAGGAAACACTATTTAAAACATTGGCTTCAACAATACCAGAAATAGAGATAGGCACCAGTGGAACAATCTTTTCAGACGAAAACCGAAACGCCTCAGAAGATTGGTCATTGGCGCTCAGTTGGGCGAAACTAGGATTTGAGGACAGTGGCGTAACTTCATTGAGATTCTTTTTGGGAGCGAGCGATGGCTCTAATGGATTGTCAAATTTGGAGTAGGGACGATGTAATATGAAATTTTTAGTGGAGTTTCCTTGCTCTGAGTTCAAAATGTTGCTAAGACTAGCGTGTGCGTGGTTTCGAGTTTGATTGGTAGCATCTACTACACTGTCATTGATGTTGTTATTGGTATTGAGATTACTTGAATTGCGGTTATCAATATTGGTATCCCCAGTGATATCTGGGTCCTTCACAAATGACATATCATCAATAATATTTGGAGGTTGTTTATCATTCCTATCACTTTTTATATTTGATTCGTTAAATAAATTCTCCAAATTTTGTAGATTATTATTCAAATCGTTGATATTTCCCAAAACCTGCTCATTAAGTTGATTCAAGTAATCATCATTAGCCGCTGACTGGTTGGGCTGCTGCTGTTGCACTCTGTGGTCACCTTTGAAAGGCACATTACCCAAACCCAGATCTGAGAAATCCAATTCTAATTGATTTTTGATAAATAAGAGTTCTTTTGTAAAGGCTGGGGAGTTTTCAAGATGAATATTCAATAGATTTACTAACCTGAAGACTATCCTGGATAGCTTGATGACCTGGTGATGAGAGTCATGGGATTCGAGCAACAATTCTTTCTTGAAGTTCAATAACTCACTTCTAGTGATTAAATCTGTCATTTGAGTGGGAAAATATGGAGCTGGTCAATCTATATATAATACTGGTATCATGTTAATAGCATAATCGTAAGTAAACCTGCAAGATTTGATGAAAGGGATTTGTGATTTGCCATTTTTCCTGTGGTGCATTTTTTAACGACGATGCGGTTGCAGGCCTGACAGCTATCAAATCAAAGAGTTATATAATACCATCTATTAGGCTAACAGGTAAATTACACTAATTGATATTATTATTATTAATGATAATACGAATAAGGTATTTTTCCAATCTCAATTCAGCATCTTACGAGGGGGGTTTTTTTTTTCTTCCTTAACGCTGAAAATACTTTTTTCACCTCTCCGTCTACATACTTTTACCCATCTCATCTCGTCTGAGCCTCGCACCTTGCAACGGTCGTACTCGAACAACAACCTCGTCCATTTGCAATGATATAACTTTCGTAGAAGAACACCAGAGTGCAGTTTCTCACATCTATCATTAGAAGTCACTAGTAGAATATACAGAGAAGAAGACCCGTTCACCCGTTAACCCCAAGCACAGTCTAGAATACTCAAAGTTGCCATCCTAGCCGGCCGCATTCCGTGTTGCTGACGGTTAGTCTCCTGCAGGTCGGTACCTGTTCGGTGCCCTGGCGTTTAAGCATGTCACCCGACCGCAGGCACACGCTGAAACTCTTATATGATGGGATAGTCATCCCCAATCCCCAACCCAACATATATGTCATTAGAAAAACCACAACCACTACAACCATACACAATATTCTCCCGATAACAAGTTTTTTTCCACAATAGTATCTCTTTTCAAGCACATATACACATATACTCCTTCGCTTTTTTTGTTTCTTGTTTTTTCTTTATCATTTGTTGTTTTTTGTGTTGATATTAAATAACGTTATACCATGTCACATTTCTCTTATGCCTCAACCCCTAATTATACCTCATCCCCTATATTAACCAATGTCTCCAACGACTATTACCATCAAAGCATTCCTAACGATAATATCTTGTACTCCAGTAACGTTTCTGCTACTTCCAACAATGCCGGTGGGTCTTACTTCTCTGCTAAAGTGTCTCCTAATTTGACCAACGCCGCAATCAATACCAATCAAGGTTTTCATATCCCTTCCAATAATAACATGGGCAGCCCTCTTTCCATCGCCAGTGCCACTTCTTCTATCGTTTCTTCAACCTCAAACTCTTCCTCTGGTAGCTATTCCTCTAGAAATCAATACTTTTGCTCTAAGGGGTTTGATTTTGAAGATGATTTTGAATTTGTTCCAGATTTGTTAATGAAACCCCAACCTCAACAGCAACAACAAAACCATCATCATGTTAGCTCTAATAGTGTGAGCAACTACGACTATGACTACTATTACTCACACTCCCCTGATTCTTCTTATGGATCTATTCCTTCCCAACAACAACAACAACAACATCATCAACAGTACAAATTCAACCCTTACAAGAGTGTTACTTTCTCTCCAAAAACATCACCAAACAAGTTGAATACTGAAAGCCCAAAAACAACTCATTCTTCCTTGAATGGCAACATTGCTGGTACGCCAAGAGTCAAGAAGGTTATTGAAATTGTGAACCCAAACACTGGGATGAGAGTTGATGGCATCATTACCAAATAATCATATCAATAGATGAAATGATGATGTGGATAGATTGAGTTTTTGACTAAATCCGGTTTTTATGATAAGAATGTTGATTATTTGCTTTCTGTGTATAATAGTACCCTTAAATTTTCTTGGTTGTTTTATTTTGTTGTTTAAGTTATGCTGATATTTTGGATGCCCTTCTCATGTTATTGATTCTTGGTCTTATTATCGACACTGGCGATGCTTTAGTTCTTTTTTTTGGTTAGTTTGTTTTGCTGGTTGGTATTATATTAATTTTAATTTTTGTCATTATCAGTAAATGCTTCAGTTGCTGTGAATTTTAGGATGATTTTCATCCAAACATATTGGTTTTATTAGTACAGGGTACTACCTCCTCTTTTTTTTTTTTTGTCTTAATTGGTCTGGTTTTTGTGGTGGATTTTTTTTTTATTTTGGTATGAGACTTTTTATTGGTTTTGTGATTCGATCTGATCTTGTATTTTTGCTTACGGTTTTTCTTTTTCAACTTTCACACAATCATCAGCTGCTTATACAACAAATCTCGGGCAAGTATAACAGGAACACGAGGTTAAATATTTAATTCATTATTGTTTTATCATCATTAACTTTTATTTTCCATCCTTTTTTTTTTCTAACTTTTGTTTTTATTTACTGAAATTTTAATCAACTAATCCATTATAATTTATTCTTTGCGAGAAATTAAAATATAGACGAACAAATGGATTCAAACCAAATAAGTACCTTTTGTCATTTTCGATTGTTTGTTGTTCCTGTTTGTATTTATATTATAATTATTTTCATCAGCACAATCGAGCTGGTGCATAGCAAGCCTAGGATGTATAGACGCTACCTGAGTGATCTCATTGGCGGTGTGAATAACACTTATCACGGCACTCATCGCCGCTCCCTCTTATCGCTGCTTTTTTTTTTTTTTTTTTCTATCTGATCGACACGTGATGTAGTGCACCAGCCCACGTGCTTGGAAGCATCACGATCCCGTAACTGAGGGGCGCTCAGAAACGTGTTGTATAATTGCCACTGAATTGTTCATAATAGCTTCAAACAGTGTGGTGGAACGTCTGAGTTCCATAAGAATCGCCATCTTGTTGTCAGGATCCTGTAGGTTATTGTCGATGATCGATCAACAATAAGGTAATACATGATCGTAATTTGTTGCTTTTTTGCACTACCATTCCATCCCCAGTGTGATTGTAAATTATACAAAATCAAAAAAAAATGCAAAACATAATAAATATGTGTATCAGTAACCATTCATGATAATGTGATTCTGTAAATTAATAAATCTGTTTATTCAACGTGCACACAAAGTATGGTTACTTTTTTTTTTTAGTATTGCAGCAGTTTTGTTGGCTCTGTGCACGCTGGTTGGCCTTTTTTTTTGTGTGAGCAGGGCAACAACAACACAACAAGCACAGTTTCTGTTGAATTCACCTCGGAGATAACACGACTAGTAATTGAAACAGGAAAATGAAGAGTGTTGAGTCGCTGTTGATTATTAATTATTCCTGAGTTATCACTTACCGTCTGATTACAACTCCTGCGCTGTTTTTACCGAATCTCAACAAAAAGAATTATGGTGAATACGTAATCCTTGATCATAAAATCCAACCTAGGTATGTATACCTAGAAACACTACCGAGAGAAATACTGTAGACTGTGAAAAGAAGAAGGCGGATGAAGACGAACTTTTAAAGACAAATCTTTTCCGTAAGATTTTGCATAATAAAAACTGTACAGGTGACAATGTCAAACCTGTAAAAAGAGCTTATTATCAGATCAGAACAAACATTGATTCATATATTATATGGTTTATAGGAAACTTTCTGGTCATTTTTATAATATTAGTACGTATGATTGTATCAGTATATACTTTTAATTGCATTTTCTTTCGTTATCGTAAGCGATGTAATAGGTTTCCAAAGTATTGCTTTTGGAAATATACTTGATTAGTTCACTTGCAGCATCTCTATATATACTATCACAAAATCTTAAACATCAGAAGATCAGAATGTTGGTAATTACAGCATCTACTAATCCTTTTTTTTTTTTCATCTTTTAATTTGCGATAAATGTTAAAACAGAGAGGTTCTCTACGAAAAATAGTATCTTATCACTCTTTCTTTCATGTTGAACTTTTTCTTTGCCCACATTATCGGTTTGGATTGATAACAATATCCAAAAATTCTTCTATTATGAAACGGCTTATTTTTGAGATAACTTATTGTTTACAAGATAGATAATTAGGAAAAGAAGTCTATAGTTTGTGACACTGACATAATTAACGGCAAAGTTCTAAAGAATAGAAAAATTGTAGAAAATAATAAGCAATATCAAAAGGCAAGATATTAGTAATCGAAGAAAAAAAAAAAAAAAGCCCCTTACAGAATAAAAAAATCTTTTCATTAACCGAATCACAAATTTTGAAGAAGAAATAATCTCTTTGCTTGAATAGCTTGACGCGTTTTCTTATTAGTGACACGTCTTTTTATCATTTACGTGTTCACAAAATAATTTTTGTACTGGTGGCAAATAAAAAATTACAAGACATATTCATGATTTGGGCGTGTGCTTTATTTAGGATGGTAATAATTTGGTTCTGTTTAATAACTATAAGCTGAATTAGAGGTGGAATTACAATACCATTAAATTGTAGTCCCTTCCTTCCAAGATCAGCGTAAACCGCCTTAATGTCTGGCCTCGGTACTGTCTATCTACATTGCGTAAACATCATAATACATAATAGTGAAGATCTAATGATACGTCTTAGACCAATCATCTCCACCCACAGGCATCGATCGTCAATGAGCCTGTGGTTTATAATAGTGCAACGCACCGCACTAGTGGTAGGTGTCAACTTATTGGTCGTTGGTTCATGGATCGTGCATATGGCTGAAAAGAGCTGGTTTTCAAAATAATGGAGAGTGGGGAGTATACTAGGAATTGATGGGAGTTATTATAGTTATGATAATGAAGAATGGCAACAAGTAAACTTTGAAGGAAGGGAATTACTTAAAGATTACGTGTATCTCCAACGAACATTAAAATCAGTAACGATGAAGTGTCTTCCTTCCAGTTTATGCCAAGTAAGATACCAAAAGTCCGACGCCTACGTCACTTTGTCAAAAGCGAATCAGGAAGGAGAGATGTTTGAACAGCACAATAGAAGGCCTCAGCACGGTTAATCATCAGATCAATAATTGATAATGTTTTTACAATACCAATATAATAGACACTACTGTGATAATAATTTCTTACAACTAGCATGGTTTCTGTTGGCCACTGCAACACCACGCTTTTTGCAACCACCAATGGGAGCAAAATCAAGATTATGGCCTGTCATAAATAAAAATAAGAAGAACTGTTGGGGTTTTTTGTCGTCCAATTGCAAAGATCTCAGTCCATAGAGGCAAATTGCAACTTCCATTTGCTTTTTTTTGAACGTTTTCTATTTTCCTATTTTTTTTTTTCCCTTCCTTCCCTTCCCTCTCATCCCCAACGCCCAACAAAAAAGCCCAATGAGTTTTTTTCCCTCGTAATGCTGCACAAATTATCAACAATCAGCCATCACAGTAAAAAAAGGCACGATAATTCCATCCTTTTGGACTTTTGTCTTTTTTTCCCCAACCAACTGTCTTGTTGTCTCTTATTTATCCAATTGGTATATCTATTCCAGCACATAAATTCTCATTGCCATAGGTTATTTTGTCAACCATATAAACTCTCTCTCTCTCCACGACAAAGTATCACTGTTATCAATAGAATTGCTTTTATCCTACCAATTCCCAGAAAAAAGAAAGTCATCAAGTTCTTTCAAACAGTTGCTACCATTTAATAATACCAATAATAGAAGCCAATAATTACCCAGTTAATTATCAATAATAATAACAACAACAACAATAATAATATCCCAAAATGTCAAGCCCTTCTATCAGACCTTTTGACCTTACCCACGGGTCAATCGAAACTAGTTTCTTGATCCCAACCACTGCTTACTTCAGTGCCACCCAATTGAAAGAACAATTCATAAAATCTTTACCACAAGCCACAGAAAACTTTGCCGATGAAAATGAACCTTCCACCTCGGCAGAACTACTCGGTAAATTCTTGGGATTTGCTGCTGATTTGGTCGATCCAAACGTAACTGGTTTGTTCGACGATGTTTTGAAGTTGGCCGTTAACGAATTCGAAACCAACTACTTGAACAATAGCTCTAAAGATATCCATTCCTTGGCCACAGACTTGCTTGCCGATCCTGAAAACTCCACCACCACTTTGCCAAAAGTGAAAAATTTGGTGAAAAACTATATCAAGGCCAAATACATTTTGAACTCGCCATTCAGAAAATCCGTTTCTGCATTATACCAAAATGACAAAGTTAAGATGGTTGCTATCTTTGGTGGTCAAGGTAGAAACGACTATTTCGAAGAATTAAAAGAAATCTACGACATATACCACCCATTGATTGCCGATTTGGTCAAGACCATCAGTGAAAAATTAAACAACTTGTTGTCAATAACCCCTAACTCCAAGAACAGCTTTTCCGAAGGATTTGACTTGCTTGGCTGGTTAAACAACCCTGATAGCATTCCTGATGAAGATTATTTGTTGAGTGCCAACGTTTCCTGTCCATTGATTTGTGTCATTCAAATCCTTCATTTTGCCATCACCGCCAAAATCTTGGGTTTAACTCCTGGTGAATTGAAAGACCACTTCAAGGGTTCTACTGGTCACTCTCAAGGTGTGGTCACTGCCATTGCCATATCCGCCTCTACCTCTTGGACCTCTTTTATCGAAAACTCTTTGAAGGCTATCAGCGCTTTGTTCTTTATCGGTTTGAGATGTTCTGAAGTTTATCCAAACTACTCATTGCCTCCTTCAATCTTCCAAGATTCTATTGAAAACAATGAAGGTAAACCATCCCCAATGTTGTCTATTAGAGACTTGTCCAGAAAGCAAGTTGAAGAATTTATCGCTGCCACCAACTCCCACTTGCCAGCCGACAAGCATGTGGTTGTTTCTTTGGTCAACGGTGCCAGAAACTTGGTAGTTTCCGGTCCTCCACAATCCCTTTATGGTTTGAACTTGGCATTAAGAAAGGCTAAGGCCCCAAGCGGTTTGGAACAATCCAGAATCCCACATTCCGAAAGAAAGTTGCAATTTTCCAACCGTTTCTTGTCCATCACCACCCCATTCCACTCTCACCTTTTGGACAATGCTAATAAATTGATCTTGGAAGATATGAAAAAGAATAACATTGACTTTTTGAGCTCGGACTTGAAGATTCCAGTCATTGATACCTACACTGGTGATGACTTGAGAGAAATTCAAGGTTCTGTTATGGAAAGAGCCATTTATTTGATCACCAACTTGCCTGTTCATTGGGAAGCTGCATGTGATAAGATTAAGGCCACCCACATCCTCGACTTTGGCCCAGGTGGTGCCTCAGGTATCGGTGCTTTGACCCACTACAACAAGGAAGGTACTGGTGTCAGAATCATTGTTGCTGGTACTTTGGATATTAACCCAGAAGATGAGTTTGGTTACAAGCAAGAAATGTTCGACAATGATTTGAACAAGGTTAAATTTGCCTCCAACTGGTTGAGTGAATTCCAACCAAGCTTGGTCAAGAACTCCAAGACCGGAGAACTCTACCTTAACACTAAATTCTCCAAGTTGTTGGGAAGAGCTCCATTGATGGTTCCAGGTATGACTCCATCTACCGTCGATACTGGGTTCGTTAGTGCCACTTTGAATGCTGGTTACCACATTGAAATTGCCGGCGGTGGTTACTTCAGACCAGCCGCTTTTGAAAAAGCTTTGAGAACCGTGGCTGAAAATGTCAAGCCAGGTACTGGTATCGGTATTAACTTGATTTATGTCAACCCAAGAATGTTGCAATGGGGTATTCCATTGATCAAGAAGTTGAGAGATCAAAACTTCCCAATCCAATCTTTGACCATTGGTGCTGGTGTTCCATCTTTGGAAGTTGCTACTGAATATATCGAAACTCTTGGTTTGACTTATTTGGGTTTGAAACCAGGTTCCATTGACGCCATTAACCAAGTTATTGCCATTGCTAAGGCTCACCCAACTTTCCCAATTGTTCTTCAATGGACTGGTGGTAGAGGTGGTGGTCACCACTCTTTTGAAGATTTCCATCAACCAATGTTGTCGACCTACTCCAGCATTAGACGTTGCTCTAATATTGTTTTGGTTGCTGGTTCTGGTTTCGGTTCTTCTGAAGACACTTACCCATACTTGACTGGTGCTTGGTCCAAGAAGTTCAACTACCCAGCCATGCCATTTGATGGTTTCTTGTTTGGTTCTAGAGTTATGATTGCTAAGGAAACTATGTTAAGTGTTGAAGGTAAGGAATTGATTGCCTCTGCCCCAGGTGTCCCAGATGAAAAATGGGAAGGTACTTACAAGAAGGCTACTGGTGGTATTATCACCGTCAGATCCGAAATGGGTGAACCAATCCATAAGATTGCCACTAGAGGTGTTCAATTGTGGGCTGAAATTGACAAGGATTACTTCACCATCAAACCAAAGGAAATGGTTAAGAAATTGGCCGCCAACAAGGACAAGATTATTGAAAAATTGAACAAGGATTTCCAAAGACCTTGGTTCGGTAAGAACTCCAAGGGTCCATGTGATGTTAAGGAAATGACCTACTCCGAAGTTTCTGCTAGATTGCTTGAATTCTTCTACTATGAACCAACCAAGGAATGGATTGACCCATCTTTGCGTACCTTCATGTTCAACTGGTTATCAAGAATCGAAGAAAGATTTATTACCAAGGAAGGTGAATCTATTTTGTCTGTTAGTGAATTGTCAGCATCTCCTAAAAAAGTTCTTGCTAAGGTTGACGCTGCCTTCCCAGACTCTCTCAAGCAATTGGTTAATGCTTATGATGTTATTCAATTCATGAAATTGTGTGCCAACCCAGCTCAAAAGCCAGTTCCATTCATTCCAGCTCTCGATGAAAGATTCGAAACTTACTTCAAGAAGGATTCCTTGTTCCAATGTCAAAACTTGAACTTCGTTCCAGACAGAGATATCCAAAGAACTTGTATTTTGCACGGTCCAGTCGCTGCTCAATACACCAACAAGGTTAATGAACCAATCAAGGACTTGATGGACAGTATCAACAATGGTTTGATTGAAAAATTGTTGGCTGACTCTTACAATGGTGACAAGTCTACCGTTCCATCTGAAGAATACTTTGGCGGTCTTGAAGCTTCTGAAGTTGTTCAATCATCTGATGTCAGCTCCGACTTGAAGGTTGAAGTCAGCACCGACAAAGTGGTTTACAAATTTGGTGAATCTGTTGCTAACGTTGACAATAACAAATGGATCAAATTATTGGCTGGTAGTACTAAGAACTGGAGATATGCTTTCTTGACTTCCAAGTTCTTTGTTGCCGGTGTTGATTACGTTGACAACCAATTCCAATCACTCATTGAACCATTCGCTAACGCTATTGTGGAAATTGAACATCCAAATGTTCCTTCCAAGACCGTCTTGAGATTGCTTGATGGTAAGACCTCCAAGCCACAAAAATTGATTGAAGTCAAGTTGTTGGCTGATGGCAAGACCATTGAATTGTTGTTGTTCACTGCTAGATGTCACGACGATGAATTGTTGCCATTGCAATTGCTTTACACTTACAACACTGAAGACGGTTTTGCTCCAATTTTGGAAAAGATGGATGACCGTAATGAAAGAATCAAGGAATTCTACTGGAAGTTGTGGTTCGGTAAAGAAGACAAGTACGATGATACTTTTGATTTGAGAAGCCAAATCTATGGTGCCAACTTCACCATCACTGCCAAGGATGTCAAGAAGTTTGCCCACATTATCAAGAACAAGAACGACTATTGTAACACCCACGCTCCAATGGATTTCGCCATCGTTATTGGTTGGGAAAGAATCATGAAATCCGTTTTCCACAAAAAGATTGACGGTGATTTGTTGAAATTGGTCCACTTGTCTAACTCTTTCAGTGTTAGATCTAACGCTGAACCATTGAAGATTGGTGATGTTGTTGGTGTTAAGTCTGAAGTTTTGACCATCATTAACACTCCAACTGGTAAACAAGTCAAGGTCTTGGGTACCATTTTCAGAGTTGACGCTGATGGTAAAGAACAAGCTCCAGTGTTGGATGTCGAATCTCAATTCTTCTACAGAGGTCAATACGATGACTTTGAAAACACATTTGACAAGATCATTGAAAAACCAGTCAAGGTCAAGTTTGCTTCTTTGAAGGATGTTGCTGTGTTGAAATCTAAGGACTGGGCTCATTTCGAAGATGAAAGTCTTGACATCTTGGGTGAAACTTTGACTTTTGAATTGGAAACTGACGTGACTTTCAAGGACCAAAAGGTCTTCTCCTCTGTCAAGTCCACTGGTAAGATTTTGTTAGAATTGCCAACCAAGGAAATTAAGCAAGTTGGTACTGTTGATTACGAAGCCGCTGAATCTTACGGTAACCCAGTTCTTGACTACTTGAAGAGAAATGGTACTAGTATCGAAGAAACCAAGTTGTTTGAATCTCCTATCTCCATGGCTGCTGCTGAATCCATTAACAGCGTCTACTTGCCAGGTTCCAACGATCCTTATGCTGTTGTTTCTGGTGATTACAACCCAATCCACATTTCTCCAATCTTTGCCAAGTACGCTCAATTGCCAGGTACTATTACCCACGGTATGTACACTTCTGCTTCGGTCCGTGCTTTACTTGAATTGTGGGGTGCTGACAATGTTGCCGAAAGAGTCAAGGCTTACAAGGCTAACTTCACCGCCATGGTGTTGCCAGGTACTGAATTAACCACCGAACTTGAACACATTGGTATGATTAACGGTAGAAAGATTGTTAAGATCTCCACCAAAAACGCTGAAACTGGTGAATTGGTGTTGGACGCTCAAGCTGAAGTTGCCCAACCAGTTTCTACCTATCTTTTCACTGGTCAAGGTTCCCAAGAACAAAATATGGGTATGGACTTGTACAAGACTTCTGATGTTGCCAAGGAAGTTTGGGATAGAGCAGACTACCACTTGATGGAACAATATGGTTTCTCCATTTTGGACATTGTTAGAAACAATCCAAAAGAATTCACCGTCCACTTTGGTGGTGTCAAGGGTAGAGCTATCAGAAGCAACTACACCAGCATGATTTTCGAAACTATTGATGCCGCTGGTAACTTAAAATCCGAAAAGATTTTCAAGGATATTACCGAAAAGACCAAATCTTACACATTCAAATCTCCAAATGGTTTGCTTTCTGCTACCCAATTTACCCAACCTGCTTTGACCTTGATGGAAAAGGCTGCTTTCGAAGACTTGAAGTCCAAGGGTTTGGTCACTGACAACTGTGTTTTCGCTGGTCACTCTCTTGGTGAATATTCTGCTTTGACTTCTTTGGGTGATGTTATGCCAATTGAATCTTTGGTCGAAGTTGTGTTCTACAGAGGTATGACCATGCAAGTCGCCGTCGAAAGAGATGAACAAGGTAGATCTAACTATGGTATGATTGCTTGTAACCCATCCAGAGTTTCCAAGACTTTTGACGATGCTGCTTTGAGATTTGTTGTCGATGCCGTTGCCAAGAAGACTGGTTGGTTATTGGAAATTGTCAACTACAATGTTGAAAACCAACAATATGTCGCTGCTGGTGATTTGAGAGCTTTGGATAGTTTGACCAACGTCTTGAACGTTTTCAAATTGAAGAAGATTGATATTGTCAAGCTCCAAGAACAATTGTCTGTCGAGAAGATCACTGAATATTTGGATGATATTACCGAAGAAGTTTCCAAACAATCTTTGGCCAAGCCTCAACCAATTGACTTGCAAAGAGGTTTTGCTTGTATCCCATTGAAGGGTATTTCCGTTCCATTCCACAGTTCCTATTTGAAGGGTGGTGTCCAACCATTCAAGAAGTTCTTGCTTAAGAAGATCCCACAAAAGGCTCTTAACGTTGATAACTTGGTCAACAAGTATATTCCAAACTTGACTGCCAAGCCATTCGAAGTTACTAAGGAATATTTCGAAGATGTTTACCAATTGACTGGTTCTGAAACAATTAAGCGTGTCATTGATAACTGGGAAAGTTACCAAAATTAGGGAAAAAAAGTCACCATTACCAAAATAGATATTTTGAAGCCGGTTTTGTTATACAAGGTAAGGAGAGAGACCGGGTGTGATTTAATGCCGGTGTAACCAAAATATATTATGATGTTTGTTGATAAATAATTTCTTTTGTCATGTTTTTTTTTTTTTTTTCACTTGTCATGTCTTTGATTCAAATAGCTTTTATTCATTATTATTATTATTATCATTTTTCTTATAATTTTAACTTTGCTTTTATATAGTATCAGTATCTACTTTTGATAGATAAATATTCATAGTCTCAATTGGCATTTTTGTAAGACCCGAATTTTCTTTTATACACTATGTGTATCTACTTTTGTATCTACTTTTGTTGGATATTTATTTATAGTATCCATCGAATTTTTACAATAACAAAAACAAAAAGAAGATATCTATAGTTTATTGTCATATACTAAATTATAAATCACTCTTGATCTCAACGAGTTTATCCCAACCGTTAGAATCCTCCCAGCTCATTTTCCCTTTACTCATCAAAGTTCTAATCGAACTTCTTGCCTTAAATTTCCAATCTTTGCATACTAAATCCCCAGCTCCGTGTTTACCAGGCATTTCCCCAAGAGATTCATAAGAGGCAACCAAATCAGCACAAGATTCCACAGCAGCATCCCAAACGCTTTCATCAGTGAGCAAGTTTTCATTGTTCAAATCAACTCTGTAAGCCTTTTCCATACAATTGAGAGAATTCCAAGGTTTCTTAGCCCATAATTCGACTCTCGCCTGTACTTTCCATAATCTCGAATTCTTGGTATTAACTTTTGGAACCTGGTTACAAATGTAATCCAATGACGATTTCTGGAGAAATGTAAGCTTGACTTCATCTTCTCCATCTTTCTGGGTTGGATATTCTTCAGAAGTGATTTGTGCCACTAATGCATCGACAACTCTCATATTAATGGCAGATTCATCGTTTTTCAATTCAATCAAAGTCTTAGCGGCTCTAATCACCTGGATCCAGTCCCCTACCTTCACTGCAGTGGTCAAATAGTTTTCCCAAATTCTCCAGTTAGATACCTCGCTGGTTCTAATGGCGTTTTGATAAGCATTGAACGCTTCTTTTGGTTTATTGATATTAAGCAAAGCACTGCCCAAATTACTCCAACTATGGTTGTGGGCATCCTCAATAGAAACACATCTAGTGAAGGCTTCTGCTGCTAATTCATACTGTTCAGATTCCAAACCCAAACAACCGTAAAAATACCAATTTTGGAAATTCAAAGGATTTTGGGTTAATGCCTCGTTCATGTGCTTGATGGCGGTCAACATATTTTGACGATCTTCATGTTTTTTATTATAGTAATATCTCGCCAACGAAACTTTAGCCCCTTGATATTTATTCAATTCCCAGGCCTTTTCCCATAATGTTGGATCTTGGGTCAACCCACCCAAAATAGACATTGATCTTGAATCATTTGGATGTGTTTCTAATCTCTGTCTTAAAACCTTTTCTGCCTCGGCTTCCTGTCCTACCGAAATATAACAAGCCGCCATATCATTAACCATTTGCAATCTCTCATAAATTTCCACTGCTGATTTGATCACCCCAATCGACATAAACTTTTCTGCCAAGTCAACATCAAGCGACCATCTTGGGGCCAACGGTAGTTGATTGATGTATCTTAATCTAGTAGCCGAGGAACAAGTTTCCCCATCGATTTGTTTATCGTCCACCGGGAACAACCGTGTCTGGATTTTGGCATTCATTTCTTCGACTAATGCCTGCATTTGGAAAATCCCTCTCTCGATAGTTTTGGCCTTCGTGGCTTCAAGCCAAGATCTTTCCCATAATGCTTTAGAGAAAAGCAACCAGTTCATGGCCGGGAAGTCTTTTCTGATATCTTCGGCATTATTGGCAATGACTCTGGAAACCAACGCCGCCAATTCTTCTTCGATCAAATGACTTCCTGATGGCGAAATCTGTCTCAAAGTCATCATTCTCAAGAAAACTTGAATGCTGTCCAAATCATTCAACCTTGGTTGTTCATTGGCATCGAGCTCTTTCAAAGATTGGGGAATATTTTCCGTTCTGATAGCAATTGGCAATAATCTCTGCTGGTTGGTTTTAGTAGATTCTTCATATTGTTCATTATAGCCATCGAATGATAATTTTATACGCTTGAGACTCTTCCCACTTTGAATATCGTCATTTTCCATAATCTCGTTTACCGCTTCGTCATTGAGAGATTCATATTTAGGCACTTCCAAAAGGAAATCGGAGTTCAATTCTTTGTTTTCAATGAAATTCCCTTGTTCTTCAGAGCTATCAATTTCATCATTTGGTAACAAAGGCAATGTAGATTTTGCCAACACAATCAAACTGGAAACCGCCTTCTGTTGATATTTTGTTCTTCTGGCTTTTGCACCGGTCAAAACGAGTTCAAGATTAGATAAAGTTTTGGCCTTCTCTAATGATGGGATGGTAAGGGTTTCGATTTCTGCATGGATAGAATTTCTGGCACTTTCAAGATAGTAGGAAGTGTAAAGTTGTTTAATAAGACCTTCTGAGACGTAATCAGTAAGCAAGATGTCATTGATGATTTGCCCACTGTGCAAATGAGAGCAAATCGAGCAAATGATACTTGACGGTTCGATGAATAACGACATTTGTACTTGCAAATACCTGGATCTCCACCATGCAGTCACCCCTTGGGAAATTGATTTGTTTGCGAGAATGGCGTTGATGGTAGCTTCAGATTTATCAGAAAAATGTTCGACACTACCACAATCAGATTTTCCTAATAACGTCCAAGAAGTACTATCCAACAAAGCTTCAAAGATATGAAGTGACATAACCAACAAAATCGGATCATCGCATAATTCATATGGGGCCAACCCTTGTAATTCGAGCGAGGCAAGGACCTCACGATGAAAGTCGTTTGAGTTTTCAATACCGGCAAAAAACATTTCATGGGAATCCAAATTCTGGATTGAAGGACCGGTGTAGTTTAGTTGTACAAAACATTGACCCAAGGCAATGGCATAGATCAACACCAACGATCTCCATACTTCTTGATCTGGATAGCTGGAATTATCAACTAGTGATTTGGAGAACTCTCTGATCGATGAATTTATATCTTTCTTGTTGGCATAAATGGCAGGAAGGGTTTCTACCGGGATGATATCATGATATATTGGTAAACTAAGCACTTTGCTTGAGTAACCTTTGAGGATCAACTCCGCTGGTTCTACTAGCACTTTAAGCTGCTCATCGGCCTCAAATTTTGAAATATTCACCAATTTTTTGAAAGATGGGTACGGACTGAGCAAAAGCAAGTGGATATGCAATTGTTTCAATAAATTATTCCTTTCTTCATTCATATTTCTTCCACTTTTATTCCCCACAACTTGAAGAAACCATCCATTGGTGACAAGGCGAAAATTTTTTTGATAATTTTCCCAATGAGCTGCTCAGAATGCATAAATCTGTAATGGTATGCGCATCTCAACAAGCCAATATTTGTCTGCGCGATGGGCTGAAGAAAATTTTTTTTTTTTTTTTTTTAAGTGCTTACTTCTCAGTGTTAACAGAGAAATAATAAGTATTTGGATTTCATCTACAAAACAGAAAAATGTCTGATTCCGAAGAAGAACAAGTTGATTTGACTTCCAAGTTTGGATTGGGCGATGCGTCCGATTCTGGAGATGAAAGTGGAAGTGGAAGCTCGGATGAAGAGCCAACTCAATATCAAGATGAGATTATCTACTCTGATGAAGAAGATGATAATGATGATGCAGAGGAAGAAGAAGACAACAAGAAGAAAGAGAAAGCATCTAATCCAGAAGATCAGAAAATGCCAAACTTGGAATTATCTGATGACGAAAATGACGACAACCTTAACGATTTGATCTCCACAAACCTCCTACCACTGGCAAAGAAGGCTAAAAGCGGTACTTTCCAAAGTTTTGGTTTATCAAAGAAGATACTTCACAACATTGGTAAAAAAGGTTATAAGCAACCCACTCCTATCCAAAGAAAGTCTATCCCATTCATCATTTCCGGTAGAGATATTGTTGGTATGGCAAGAACGGGGTCTGGTAAAACCGCTGCATTTTTATTACCAATTATTGAAAAATTGAAAACCCATTCCGCCAAAGTGGGTACTAGATGTGTTATTTTGTCACCAAACAGAGAATTGGCTTTGCAAACATTTAAATCCTTCAAGGATTTTTCTAAAGGTACTGGTTTAAGAGCTATTGTGTTAGTTGGTGGTGATTCTTTGGAAGATCAATTTAGCTCTATGTTGCAGAACCCGGATGTCATTATTGCCACCCCTGGTAGATTTTTGCATTTAAGAACCGAAATGTCATTGGATTTGAAGTCGGTTCAGTACATTGTTTTCGATGAGGCTGATCAGTTGTTTGAAGTTTCCTTCGAAGAGCAATTGAACGAATTGATCGCCTCTTTATCACCAAACAAACAAGCTATATTGTTCAGTGCCACATTACCAAAGACCTTGGTGAATTTTGCCAAAATTGGTCTTAATAATCCAGTTTTAATCAGATTGGATTCAGAAACTAAAATCTCTGACCAGTTGGAAATGTGCTTTGTCAGTGCTAAACAGGCTGAAAGAGAAGCAAATCTATTGTACATTATCCAGGAAGTTATCAAGATGCCACAGTCCACACCAGAGCTAATAGCCAAGCTTGATGAATTCAAGGATACTAGAAGTCTTTCCGATAGTGATAGTGAAGATGATGAAGCCGATGATAAAGGTAAGAAAAAGAAGTACAAAAAGAAGAAGTTTAACAAGGATATCAAGTTTGCCAAGGCTAATGAGCTTGTGTCACCAAACGCTACAATTGTTTTCGTTCCAACTAGACATCACGTTGAGTATATCAAAAACTTTCTTACTCAAGCGGGCCATGCATGCTCGTATATCTATGGTTCTTTAGACCAACGTGCAAGAAGAAGACAATTATTCAATTTCAAAGCGGCCATTACTTCATTATTGGTTGTCACTGATGTTGCGGCTAGAGGTATTGATATTCCATTATTGAAATATGTTATCAATTATACATTGCCTGCTTCCTCAAAGTTGTTTGTCCATAGAGTTGGTAGAACTGCCAGAGCTGGTAACACCGGTTTCGCTTACAGTATTGTCACCCCAAATGAAGTTCCTTCTTTAGTTGAAATGGAATTATTCTTAGGAAGAAAGATTTTGTTGACCGGTATGCACAATAAGAAGAAGGAATTATTGAAGCAAAAATGTGAAGAGGAAGGGGTCGAATATACTGAACCAAAGGTTTCTTATTCTGATAGATTGGTGTTAGGGTCTGCCCCAAGAAGACACCTTGAAACTATGATGGAATTCAGTAATGCGCTATTAAAAGATTATGAATTACAAGTGATCAAGAAGGTTGCAGAAAAGGCAGAAAAGTTGTACTACAAGTCTAAAGCAAAAGTTACTTCTGTCGAATCTTTGAAAAGATCTAAGGAATTACTCAAAAGTGGCTGGGATGAACAGAACTTGTTGTTTGGAGATGACGAAGAAAAGGAAAAAGAGAGTTTCTTACTCAAGTTGCAAAACAGAAGGAATAAGGAAACCGTCTTTGAATTCAATAAGAAAAATGAAAAAATGATTGAATTCATGAACAAAAGAAGAAGACAAATTGCATCAATCCAGCAGTATGCCAAGGAAAGAGATGAATTGCTTGAAAAGGAAAGACTTGCTGGATTAAGTCATTCTTTGCAAGACGAAGTTCTTAAAGGTGACAATTATGAAGTTGGTTTCAATATCGTTGCATCAGAGGGAGAAATTAAAGATGCTTTTGAAAATGCCGATGATATTATTGAAAGTGAAAAGAATTCTAAAAAGAAAAAGAAGAGACCACAATCTTACAAGGATCCAACCTTCTTTATGTCTCATTATGCTCCTACTTCTGATATCCAGGATAAGCAATATGATATTCCTACCTCTTATGCTAATGATGCACAAAAGGCTACTTTTGATCTTGCTGGTGATGATAATGTTCAAGTTCATAAACAGACCCAAGTCATGCAATGGAGTAAATCGAAGAAGAACTACGTTAACTCCAGATCCACAGATGAGAAATTCATCATTGGTGAGAGTGGTCAACGTATTCCTGCAAGTTATAAATCTGGTAGATTTGAAGCTTGGAAAAATGACAACAGGATTTCTTCAATGAGTTTGAAGGTTGGTGCCAAGGAAAGCCAAGCAGCTAGCAGTGGTGGCCAAAGATTCAAGCATAAGCAGAATAAGGCGCCAAGAGCCCCAGACAGATTCAGAGATGATTATCATAAGCAAAAGAAGAAGGTCGAAGCTGCTCTTGACAAGGGTATGAATGTTAAAGGTTTCAAAGCAGCTGGGCGTGCCAGTACAAATGAAATTAGAAGTACCGAAAATATTAGAAAAGAAAGAGCTCAGAAACAACAAAGAAGAGAGAAGAATGGTCGCCCTAGTAAAAAAAGAAAATTTTAATAAATTTTTGACATTATATCTTTGTATAATTAGAGTCTACCATAGACTTACTGTTTAATATATTTATTATTGGATTAAGAGAAAAGAAGCAGAGAAGAGAATACTTTTTTTTGTCCTTCTTCTCACATATTTATTAATGTTTTTAAATATAAAGTCTTTTTTGGCAAAAGTAAGTATATGATACAATAATATAGAAATGAAATGTTGATAATACCTTTATCATAAAAAGTATACTGAAACCATATTCAGCCTCTTCTATTTGGTCCGGCATTGCCCCCAAACCCGCCAAAATCAAAGCCTCCAAAGTTGAACTGGAAGTTACCACCATTTCCAAAATTATGGAAGCCTCCACGATTAGCAAAAGGATTGCCGCCTTGGTGACCGCCGCCACCACCGCTACGATCATTCGGATCATCCCCCCGGTTATATCTTTCTCTCAATTCTTCATCTGACAATACTTCGTACGCGGTATTAATTTCTGCCATTTTCTCTTCGGCATCCTCACCTTTGTACTTATCTGGATGGTACTTCTTCACGAGATTACGATAAGCGGTCTTTATATCTCTATCACTTGAGCCCTTATCGACCCCAAGAACTTTGTAGTAATCATTCTTTGGAGGAGAGTTTTGTCTCTGTTGGTTTTGATATTGTTGTTGTCTGAAATTCTGCTGCTGTTGCTGCCTTTGTTGTTGTTGTTGTTGTTGTTGTTGTTGTTGTTGTTGGAACTTTTGCTGTTGTTTGGCAAACATTTTTTCAATTTTGCCATAAAACTTGTTGAAAAGCGGAATCTTTTTGAGATTCTCATTATCCTTAAACTTTTCATATATAGGCTTCAACTTGGTTAAATCTTTACTCTTGATGAATTTCTGGATCTCAAATATCATAGATGGTAGGAATGATGATACGTATTCCTGGGGGTTAATAATATCCTCATTTTGCATTTCAATGGCCAAAACTTTCAAACAGTATGGTTTACTGAGACCAAGTTTCTTTTCACTTAAATACGCCACACAAGCAATTTTATTCAAATCTGACATCAACCCGTTAATAAGATGACTATCCCCAGAACTCTTTTTGGAAAACCCTAATTTTGATTGCCAATTCGATTCACGACTTTTGAAAAACTTCTCGTTAAATTGATTGTCAAGATGCTCGAAAAACTCAAAATTATTTGCGAATTCTTTATTGTCGTAGACTCTTCTGATATCCCTGACAGGAATATTTGGCTTTTCATGGAATAATAATTGAATAATTTCAGCATAATCTTCAGAAGTAATGTAATTTGCATCAATTTCCTCTCTCGCCACTTCCTCCTTGTTAAATAACCAAGCGTTGTAGTCTTTAAATTTTTTGATCTGTTTCAACACTTTTTCGCTTCTTTTAAAAAATAACGAATATTGTTTCAAATCTTTATCGTCCATATCGTAATGCAAGCCTTTTCTTATATGTTTGGCGGCATTTTCAAATTCATCCAATCCGAAAAAATAAAGGTGCGATAAATTGATATAGTTTTCAATCGATAGAGGGTTCAACTTCTCTAATATTAAATAATCTGGAATCAAGTTAGAAGCTAAATCTCTCCGTAGATTGACCGGTTGAGTTGTTTCATCACCGGCTTTTTGCTTTTCATTGTTGATCGCAGCATTGATGGAGCACTGTAATCTGATATTATAAAGATGAGAGTATGAAGGAGAGATTGAAATGGCGTTGGAAACCATATTGATACAATCACTGTATTTCTTTTGTTTCATGAAATCTTCTGACTTGATCAACTTCTGCTTGACGTCGTTAAATTGGTCCACAATTTCCTTAATTTCACCATTCGATTCAAAGAAAGACTTGAATTTTGGATCACCAAGCTGAGAATCTCTCAAATTGTCGAATTCTTTGTATTTCCCGTGCAATAAGTACAATTTCAATAACCTTACTTTGGCAATATTCATCGAATTATCGTGTTCAATGCAGTTTTGGAAATCAGCAATTGCTTTCGATTCTTTCCCTAAAAATAATTCAATTAGCCCTTTTTTATAATAAATTTTTGGCAAAAGAATTGATTTTTCGGTGGCCGTTAATGCTTCATTTTTATTTTTCGACGAAGAACTAACAATTGTGGATAAAAGAGCCTCATAATCTTGTAATAATTGGATATTTGGACCAACACTAGAAAAACTGCGATCAAGATCGGCTAATTGAGTTTCACATTCCTTGAAAGAAGACAAACACGATACCAATGTCAAAAGAGACAAAAATATCTGGAAAATTAGTGTCATCATCTTGTAGAAAAATACTAGGTTTGCTGATCTATTCTGATCCCTTCAATGTTATGGTGGGGGGCATGCGGTTGTTAAGTGAATTTTCCAAGAACCAGATAGATCAAACATACACGTGATCCATTATGTCGGGTGTGGGACCCGGTGAATGAATATAAACACACCATAGCATAGGTAGCAGTACCTACAACTGTGTTTGGAGTGATCTTGCTATCATTTACTGATAATTGTTCTCAAAGAGTTTATCGCGGTAGTATACATGAAGAATTTGGGCTTGACAAGTGTCTAGGGTTTTGGTATTTGGAAGCCATGGCCTATGGCATTTTTCAGTTTAATTTTCAACTACTCATTATCCGGCTACTAGTAGACTTGTGTGTGATTTTAGATAGGTATGTAAATTCTTGATCTTTCTCAATTGAGCTTTATAGTGAGCGAGATCCTTAAGGAGGAGGACTAGTTTCTTTGCCACGAATAGATATATATATATTTTGCATGCTGATACATTATATTGTTTCAACCACAGTTCCCAAAAAAGTGACCCAAAGATCTTAAAAAATATCAATATCTCTGCATTTCATTATAAAATACACAATAGCTTCTTGTAATCTTCAAGAGAGTGAGGTTTTCAATTGAATACCAGAGAGTTTCTTATATCAATACATAGTGAGGATGGACAATACAGTTTCAGAGCAATTGCTACTGATTAATGTTGGTCATAGTAGACCCATCTCGAAGCGTGAAAATTCAACTTAAAGTAATTTTGTGCTCAAGAAAAGCACCAGTAAGATAGTACGAAGCCGTTGACAGAAGAAAGCAGGCTTTGCTAATTATCACAGGATATTTGGGAAAGTCAGTGATTATAGGTGCACTTATAAGCATTTCAGTGGCTTACGCTATTGACAAAATAAACTAGGTTTTCATATACATTACTCAGTCATTTTGGGAAGGATAGATACTCCCAGGCTATTGATAGGCAAAAGGCACTTTCCCACTAGCACCTTCGGGTAGCTGATTTTCGTTTAGGTATCCATTGAATCTGGTGTTCCCATCTCGGCCGTCCTTGAATCGGATTGATTATAATTATTATTTTTTTATTTTATCATTATTCCAGTACTATCATTTGTCCAAATGCAGTGTAACATAGCAACGCTGATAACAAATCATGAGGCAAAGATGTTTGGGTTTCCACGTTCAAGTGAGGCAATGGGGGGTGAGCGCCGAACCATGGAACTTTTTTTCTGTTCCAAATTATCCGCCGCATCCAACAAAAAAATTTTTCAGGAAAATACACAGATTTCAGCGATCCGCCATTTCAAGAAAGACTCATTCATGTACAAAAAAAAAAGATTTGAATCTTACAGTCCAGATATTAAGAAAATTAAATAATTTGAAATTATTATTAAAGAAGTAAAGACCTAATTAAGATAAATGAAAATTAAATAATAAATTGATAGATGAACTTAATGTTGACTGCAGCAGCATCAGTAAATACCTTATAGATATAAAATTTCATTTCTCAATAATTTGTAGGTATCAAAGAGAACCGAAAAACACCGAAATAATTGTTAGAAAAAATAAAACTATAATAGAGTTATCTTACAACAAGAAGACACCAGCAACACCAGCAAGGGCAGCGGCACCAGCAGCCAACTTGTTACCGGCACCAGTTTCGACAGTGGCGACGGAAGTGTTAGCAGAAGCAGAGGTGGCGGTCAATGGACAGTAGGTGGTGAATTCAGTGACGGTACCTTCAACAGTAGAAGTAACAACGGTGACACCGGTGGTGACAGCGGTGGTGGAACAAGCATCATGCTTACAAGAGGTGATGGTGACAACGGTGGTGGCAACTTCATCGGTGACAACAGCGGTAGAGGTGCTGTTAGCGTAAGAAGCAGAGGCGGCAGAGACCAAGGCAGCGGCGGCGAAGATTTGAGCGTACATTTTTGATAAGTTGATTATTGTGAAGCGAGTGAAAGACAATTTGTTTTGTGAAGAAAAGAAAAAAAAAAGGAAAATGTACACTAGAATGAGGGAGGATCCCAAAGTATTTATATGGATGTCAGTGGTGCTTCAGGGGGTATCTCATACGTTACCCTCTGTATTTCCACATTTGTCCAGACGCTCTTATTTGGGCAGAGATGCAACGCGTATTGACGCACTATAGTATCATCTAGCGGGTGAACTAGACACTACTACGGGACGTTCAAACCAAATCAACCAATGATCCAGCGGTTAAACTACTTGTATCCTTACGAGGAATACATAACCAATTGGAAAATAAAAAAGAAAGGGCAATAATAATAGCAATATTGAAGAAGATTTCGGCATCTGCTCTAAAGAACGATACAAGCCGCCATCGTTTCTTTCTTGGTTACCGGAGTTTATCATGGAAAAAGAAAAGTCGGGGGTTAATAAAACCACACCTCCACTGGCGGCGCCTCAAACTGCCGCACCCCCGCTTTCCCGAGCAGCGATTTTCTGGTTCGATACAATTCTAAACATTAGGCTTGTGATAGACTGGCTAGACTTGGACAGGCCAACCGACATTGTTCAGTCTAAAAATAGCACCTCCCTATTATCACTGAGATCAACTTCTACACAGATGTCCACAAAAACGAATGTGAAATCACCATGGAACAACTAATAAACCTGATCTTTTTGTTCATCTTTATTCAGTATGTGTCCAGGGTTGTTCATTGGAGCATTTACATATTCCAAGCACTTCAAAATAGGGAGAAATCTATTATTAGTTGCGTTCCCAGCTAACAAAAAAAAAAGAAAAAAAAAAAACATTGCTTTTATAACAACCAAATGCAGTAACCTAAGCGCATGGAGTGGTCTATTATTTGTAATAATAGATTACAACATCCACGCCCCCACCCCCACCCCATACTGAGGGTAGCTACTTACCCTATTAGCACCCCCTTTAGGGTCGGGGCCCCTACTGTCACTTTGCATGTTGGGCGACCAACATGTATGGAATGAGCAAACCATCAAAGGGAAATTTCCTTACTACGTAGATTGCTCCAGCGCTTGTCTTGCTGTAACTTGAACTAGATAAATATTACTCTCTTTCTATTATTTCTTGAATATTGCTCCTTTCTATTATGATAATACGTAGTCTGCTTTTAGAAAAAAAAAAAAAAAAATGGAATACAAATTTATGATAATCATTTTGGTTTTTTGTGCCATTATTAACTGTCAAAATATTTCAATTGTTTTCGTTCCTCAACAGACTACCATCACTGTTACTCTAACTTCTTTTGTGAATCAGGCTTGTGTCACCCCCAGCGCTTCCATTCTACAGATAACCAGTAACATTTCTTCTGGAATTTTGCCTACTTTTGTTACGGGAGCGGCAGAAAGGAAGTTTATAAGCCCTACTGGTGCTGCTGGTGCTGGTGCTATTGCCGTCGTTGGTTTTCTATTTCTTTGAAAAATTTAATATAAATATCATGCTTGTTATCTTGAGTGCCATTCTCACTTGTTTATTTCTTTCTTTGCTCACTTTTACCACCATCTTGTTCCTTATTTTCTGTGGTTATTTTGCTTTTTTGATTTCCAAGTTGATATTCTAATTTCAGTTTCTTATTATTCTTTGTAACGTTTGTTTTCTTTGAGTCCTTTAATGTCTTTCAACTTAATGCCATATAGGTTTTTTTAAATAAATCTTTTTTTTTTTGTATTCATTTGAGGCTTGCCTTTATTCAAAAAGATCACACATCGAGAATGTTTCGCCAGTTTCTTGCCGTAGTGTTTTTTACTATCATATGATGAATAAGTGCTTCAATGTAATTAGAATTAAGAGAGTTTATGGTGGAGATAACAATATAATTTTTATTATTTAATTTACAAAAATACCAAAATAAAATAAAGGTAATTATCAGCCAAGCAAGTAAAGCAATGATAAAAATTACAGTAAAGTGTTACAATTTGATGCTGAAGTCTTCCTATTAGCCATCATTTTTCTTTGAGAGAGAGAGAGAGAGAGAGAGAAAGAGTGTGTGTGTGTGTGTGTGTTTGTTCACAGCTTAAAGTAGCCACATGATAGATAGTAAGCCCAAACGGAACCAAATACTGAAAATATAATATGCTACCAATTCCTTAGTTTGGAAATATTTCAATAGCACGTTGGATTTATTCAACATGAAGAGCATCCTGCATTGTTCGTTTTTCAATTTTTGCCATAGCCATGCCAGGAACGACACGCTGTCCAGAAACAAAACTTTAACGCGTCAAAATAAACTCTTCCCGTTTCTTTTGAATAACTTTTTTCAATAATTTTCCGCTCTCTTTCTTTTCATATTTCCCCTGTAGCTTTATAAATGCGAAATCATCTTACTTTTTTCTTTCGTTCCTTTTTATTTTTACTGCAAGGGGATGGGGGTTCTTTTGCAATCAATTTACGCAAATGGGACAAAAAGAAATATCTCTCAGGAAATAAAAAATAAAAAATAAAAAGAAAATCCATACAGAAAAAAAAAGAAAAGAGAAAAAAACAACAGAGCAACAACAAAACCCCCTATTATAGAAATAAAATAAATGTTAGTAAGGGAATGCACATAGGCCGGGATTTAAATGATGATGAATATTCATCTTCCTGGAACTCCCTACAAAAAAGACAAAAAAAGAGTTGTTTTGCTAAGAAGTAGAAGTATGACCAGGTTCATCATAGGTATTTATGATATTTTGAAGAGTTTAGTGTACCTGTTGTATTTTTTGGCTTTTATTTCGTGGGGAAGTGGTGGGGATAACAAACAGGCATCGCTTATCTGTAGACAATTGTACCTTAAGAAAATGCTTGGCTGCGAATGCGAGGTACTCGAAATTCCAGGGATTTAAAAATAGCGAACCTGAAGATCTTTATTGAATACATACACAGAAGCACATTCTTGGTAATTACAATTAATTATACCAAACATCCTCAGCTGAAATTATGCTTTGGCATGGAACTTCATCCTGCGTGTACATTACATCCTGATTGCTTCCCCCTCCCAACGCATTAGGTCCTCATATATTACCTTAATCCCACAAAGTGAAAATTTAATCCTGAAAAGAATAAGCAAGGAGTTTAACAACCGAAAGAGTTCACTCCACCAATGAAACTCATGTTTTCAATCATGATGATGTAAATAATTCCCGATATCTTACAAAAATCCTTACCCGAAACCACCAAGGATTATCAATTGGCACCAGGTAGTCTAAAGTCACTTTTTGACTGGGTACAGATCCATAATTATTAGCAGATGTTTCTTGATAAAAATAACTAAAAATTCTTTGTAGAAAATTTGGGACACAGAAAACACGGTTGACAATGTCTATGCTTTCCATTTCATACATTGCCCCATTGCACTGGTATTAAACATTTACACCCTGCGTTTCGCGATGACACCCCTAAAAAAATTTCAAGAAAATTTTTTTGCTTGTAATAACAAAGCAATTTCAAGAGTAATTTATTTACAAACAACATACAAAATAAAGAGACCTTATTAAATACATCCGGATATGGTTCTTAAATCAACATCATCCAATAATATATCGGTGTATCAAGTCAGTGGGACGAATTTCTCAAGAGCTCTTCCTGACTGGATTGCCAAAAAGAGAAAGAAGTCTTTGAAGAATGATCTTGAATATCAACAACGGATTGAATTGATCCAGGATTTCGAATTCTCAGAAGCTTCCAACAAGATTAGAGTGACAAATGATGGGAAATATTGTATGGCCACAGGGGTATACAAGCCACAGATTCACGTATATGATTTTGAAAATCTTTCACTTAAATTTGATAGACATACCAACGCCGAAAATGTGGATTTTTTATTGATGGCCGATGACTGGACCAAATCGGTACATTTACAGAATGATCGTTCCATTGAGTTTCAAAATAAAGGAGGCTTGCACTACCGTACAAGAATCCCTCATTTTGGTCGTGGTTTGGCTTACGAAACCAATAGTTGTAACTTGTTTGTTGCCGCTAGTCAATCAGAATTGTTTCGTTTGAACTTGACCAAAGGGGTGTTCCTTAAACCATTTGATTTGGAAATCGAACAAGGAAAAGGGGCAAACTGCGTAGACATTAACCCGAAAAATTCTCTTCTATCGGTGGGGCTTGAAAAAAATATCGTGGAATTCTGGGATCCAAGAGCAAGATTTAGAGTAGCAAAATTGACGGTTGAAGATAATGGATTTTCGGATTTCGCTACGAATTTATTGGGGGTCACTGCCACTTCATTCAAGGATGATGGGCTTCATTTTGCATGCGGTACCTCTGACGGGAAATCATATATTTACGATTTAAGATCATCTAACCCAATCACCGTCAAGGACCAAGGGTACGGTTATGACATCAAGAAGCTAACATGGTTGAACAACAATAAGAACAACCAAGATGCCCAAGACTTGATCTTGTCTTCCGATAAGCGTATTGCCAAGATTTGGAACAGTGAAACTGGGAAACCTTATGCTTCGATGGAACCAAGTGTCGACATCAATGATATTGCGTATATTCCAGATAGTGGGATGTTCTTCATGGCCAACGAAGGGATACAAATGCACACTTATTATATTCCAAACTTGGGACCGGCACCACAATGGTGTTCATTCTTGGATAACTTGACCGAAGAAATGGAAGAAAAGCCAAGCGATACCATTTACTCTAATTACAAGTTTATTACTAAGGAAGAATTGAAGAAGTTGAATATTGCTCATCTTGTGGGTACCAAGGTCTTGAGATCCTACATGCATGGATACTTCATTAGTACCGAGTTGTATGATAAGGTTTCATTGATCGCCAACACCATGTCATACAAGGATATGAGAGATAGAGAAGTGAGACAACAAATGGCTAAACAAAGTGAATCGAGAATTAAAAGCTCGGGCGTTGCGTCATCCAAGATCAAGGTCAACAAGAACCTTATCGAAAAACTTTCAGAAAAGAAACATGGGGACAAGATGGTGGACTCGTTACTTGCCGATGATCGTTTCACGGATATGTTTGAGAATCCAGACTTCCAGATTGATGAGGATGCTCATGATTATAAACAATTGAACCCAGTTAAGGCACCTGGCGAAACAGATGATAGACCAAGAGCTTTGACTGCTGCCGAGGAATCAGATGAAGAAAGAATGAATAAGAACTATGAGAGAAGTGATGATGAATCAGCTAGCGAATCGGAAGGTGAAGAAGATTATAACGATAAAGATAAATCATCGGATACCTCTGATTCGGAACCTGAATCAGAAGACGAGGTTGCTAGAAAGATGAGAATTGCCGAAGAAAAAGCGGATGAAAAGGAAAGAAGAAGAGTTGAGAGATATAAAAAGAGTAAAGCAGAATCAGATAAGTTCCTTAAACAACTCGAAAATGCCAACAAATCTAACAAATCATTCAATATGTTATCTGCTGATAGCGGCAATGGAGATGCTAAGTCTGGCAGATCTTTCAAGTCGCTCACTTCAGAAATTAACAAGAACCAAAGAATATCCAAAGAACAAAGCTCCCATGAGCAAGTCAGAGTTCACCGCCATGGTAAAGGGGAGGTGGAGATCAGTTTTGTTCCACAATCTGCTAAAGAAAAGAAGCAACAAAAACAAAAGATCTTGGATGAAGAAGATTATGACGAAGAGAAAGACGGAAGACGGGAACAAAGATACGAGGGCCGTAGAAGAGTTTCAAAGAGAACTATTTTCGAATGAGTTTTATTTATTTATTTCTGCTGCAATGGGTATATTAATTAGTTTATCTTGAAATGTATATTAATAGAGTTTCGTTATTTTTTTTCTATTTTCTTGTAATTTTGTGCATCATTTTACATTTACAATCTATGTTTACAATCATAGTATATATTAATGAATGGTACAGGAAGCAGAAATAAAACCTATCAGAAAAAAGTTGTCCTTTTTGAGAATAAATGAAAAAACAAGAAGCAAATCAATTTCTGAAAGAAGGACAATCAATCAGTAAAAAGTTGAGACAAACATGAACAATAGAAATAATAATAAACCACGGGAAAATAAAATCATGAAAAGTTAATCGTTAATCAGGAAAAAAAGGGCAAAACAAAGATATTTTAACAGTCGAACGCTGGTAAATCAATTTAAAAGTTTCCCTAAAGCATCGACCAACGCGTCACATTCACTATTGAAATCTAAGTGACCAATATTTTGTACTTGGTATCTGATTCTGCTAACTCCATTATAGTTATCTTCTCTGGCAGAGATTCTAAAATTGAATTCCTTCATGTTGATTGCTTCAAAAACCTCTTGGAACTTGTTGCTATCGCCAATGGCATCTTGTTCCCTAATCTTGTGAAGCTCATTGGCATCACATCCCAATAGCACCTTAGCCGATTCATCAAACAAAGTAACCCAGATTTGTCCAGTATGGTCTAAAATAGAACAACTCAAAATATAACGGTGGTTTGGCTGTGGATGGTTCACGTCACATTTCTCACATCTCCAAGTGCCATCTGGTTGTTCAATGACTTTTCTATTACACCCTGTGCTAGAGCATGCTGGGTAACTGAAGTTTTCTGATTTGATGAAGTTGATGGTAGCCTTCAAGTTGAAGTAATCTGGCTTCTCATGAGTCCCCAATCCTTCATCTTGAACGTCTTTGATGGTTTTCCGATCATTGGTCACGTTTCCTTTAGTGCTTCCGACGTCTTGTTTAAGCGACTTGAAGTTTTCTTCTTGACCCTTAGTGTCGTACCAGCCTTTCAAAGCAAAAGCTTCAGGAACATCAGGGCTACCGGAGATTGTACCAGATTGGGTTAATGATAAACTTCTTCCTCCGAAATCTTGCACCCTAGCACCTTTGACCGCCACCACGCTATTGACAGGTAGAGCAAAATCAAGGGCCATTTTATTCCATAATCCCAAAGTAATCGAGAATTGGGATTGGTCGACAAGCACGACATCTCTTCTATCATATGGACGACCAGTAGATTTAGAGGTGATTTGGAAAGCAGGATTGACTTCTCTAAGAACCCCAACGACGTCAATAACGGAATTGACTTCCAAATCTTCAACTTTCGATAATGGAACGAAATTGTAGGTCAATTTTGGGACGTCACTATCGTCAAGACATTCTTCAATGACAGAATCTCTATCCAAACTCAATTCGTATGGATGTTTCAAAGTAGAAAATTGGGTTCTAGCAGGATTAATTCTTGCTTTTGAGACGTAAAACACTTTACCTTCTTGTAAAACATCGAAAAGTTGATCAGCTTGATCGTTAAAAGCAGTAGCCTTGATTTCATTAGTTTCGTCTAGGAAGTTCACATTGAACAATTTACCTTCACCCTTTTGGTTCGACCAAGTTCTCATTGGACTCTTGTAAGAGACTCTGGCTTTAATGGTCCACAAGTTCTGGTAAGGGGATAATTGGTCGATAGCAAACAAGTTTGGACGCTCAGGAGCTTTGCGAGTCTTAACCGGTTTTGTATCATGACGGGTGGCCGCTGGGATAGGTGGTGGGGATGCACTTTTAGCAGCAGCAGCAGAAGCATGAGATTGAGCATTCGAGGCATTACCAAGAAGCAGGGATTCAGTAGGGTGAAGTTTGAAATACTCATCCATGGTAGTAGTTTTATTCATACCAATTCTTGCATGGGCTGATTCAAGCACTTGGAATCCTCCAATGATAATGACATGTTTTGTCTTTTCTCCACTTCCCATCAATTCAATCCCATAAGGAGCAATTTTGATGATCGACAGTTTTTGAACACCATCGAAATTAAACCCATCGGAGGCCTTGCAAATACCATGACACGAGTATTCACCATCAGTAAGAATATATCTGAATCTTTGAGTGTGCTCATTACCAATGTTCTTAAGATTGGTGATTTGAAGAGCTAAGGAGTCTGGATAACTGCGTCCACAAAATACCTCCTTTAAAATACCTGGAATGACCCCGAATTCTGACATTTTTTCTTCTTTCCTGTTTATTGATGATATGATTATCGGTTGATATTCAGTTAAACTTGAAGTTGATGGTTTGCCACAATTGGAAAAAAAAGAAAACGCGTTGTTTTTTCCAGGAAAAAAAAAAAACGCGAAAAAAAGAATAGCTTCTTCCACGTGATCAAAAATTGCCTTTTTTCTCATCTTTAAGAATAAATGGTTCTTGATCTCATATGCTTATTTGTATTGCCCATTGACAAAAATATTTCCCAATAATCTAGGATAAATTATGAACGTATCTAATCTTACACCACAACCTCAGGAAACAGACTCCTCGAAAAATGAATTCAAAATATATCAAGACCGAGGACTTGCTAAGAATGTTAAATTGGTCCATGGGGTAAACCCAGTATTATTAGTGGAAAAAATCACTAGAGAGAAGATTCAAGACTCAATATATTGGAAATTAAATTGCTTTGGTATAAATATAATCGGATTCATTGAAAAGGCCTCAAGTTTGCAGCTTTTAGCGGGGACAAATATCTCTAATAATCCATCGCATTTCCAATGTCTTATTCTTAAGCTCTTGCAGATCCAACCCTCGGAAGAAGTGATCAGGGAATTCTTGGAGCAAAAATATTTCAAATACTTGACCTGTGTCGCATTATTTTACGTTAGACTATGCTACGATTCAAAAGAAGTGTACGAAGTGCTAGAACCATTCTATGAGGATTTTAGAAAAATTAGGATACGGGAAAACGCCTATTCCGAAGTGAAAGAGTACCATATTGATGAATTTGTAGATGATATGTTGCGGAAGGAAAGAGTGTGTGATCTTATTTTACCTAGACTAGTGGATCGATTAGTGTTGGAAGATAATGGGGATTTAGAACCAAGGAAGAGTATTTTCGAAAATAGTGAAAGTGAAGAGAGTGATGACGAAGTTGACGAAGATGAGTTGTAAAGTAAATTTCTGGGATTATATTATAGAGTTTTTATGTTGTACTATATTTTAGTTGGAATTAACGTAAATTTTGTATTTCTTACAGTCTGAAAGTTCCATTTTCTTTTTAATCATAACATCGTAACATTTAAAAAGGCCTATATCAAAGCTTATAAACTTTTCATTTTTTTATTCTGAGTCTACGTTCTCATCATCATTTTCTTGCTCTTGTTTGTGTTCCTGTTCTTTTTCCTGTTCTTGTTGTTGTTGAATTCTCTGTTTGTTAGTGAATTCCAATTCTTGAATTTTCTTTCTTGCACTCAATATCTGTTCCTGAACTTCTCCTAATGCGTTATTGATCCTGAATAGTTCTTCTTGTTCTAATTCATCACTGTATACTAACTCCGTAGTCTTTTTGGAGTTTAGTAAATGGCCTGGCTTGTTAGTCAATATCTTAAAGAAATCCTCTGTTGGTTCATTGAACATCAATTCATCGTATAGAACCGACTCCACCGTTCCATCTGGATTCACCACTCCTGAACCAGACCCTACAGGCACCGTACCTCCAGACTCCCCAACTTGGGGATTATAAGGATGTAGTTTCAAATGATGGTAAAACTGGACCGGTTTTTCATTTGATTCTGGTTGGAAAAAAATCTTGATGATCACTTCGAACTCCCCCCATCCGGTCTCAGTGATTTCAAACGGCGGGGATTCAATGGTTCTCAATGGGTTACGAATGGTATCATGGAGCTTGAATACCACTTTTTTGATCATGGATAAATCCTGCGATTTGGTGGGATCACGGACAAATACTGTCCAGGAATGTGTATGGTCAGAAGGAACTGACGAAGGTTTGTTGGTGGCATCGAATGGCGAGGCGGTATTCCCGTAGATTATTGGGCGGGAGATAGAAATATTCTAAGAGTCAAGGAATGTGAGTAATTAATGATCGATCAATAATATATTTGCGATTGAAAATTCAAATCAGCTAAAACTATGAAAGAACATGAAGATCCCAATTAGAACAGCTGATCAGACTTGAAATTAAAAACAAAAACAAAAACAAAAGCAAAAACAAAAACAAAAAGAATAGAATAGAACGAAATTAAAAAATAAACATACCTTTACTCTTTTGACGTGCGGAGCCATTGCAAATAATTATAATGCGCTGACCAAAGGAGCTGCTTAGTTTTTTCAAAATGCAAAAAAAAAAAAACACAAAAACTTTCTATAAATCTGTTCTTTTCAGATCCTAGAAAAATTAACAGAGATAAATCAGGTAAAAATGAACTGATCAGAGGCAGAAATATTACAAAATACCTATTGTTTATCAATTTTTCCCAATTTTTTGATATTTTGAAAACAAAATATAAAGAACACTTTACCCGGCAAACAATCGAGGAACTTCCACTATTCAAGGCAAGTGAGCTCCACTATTACTAGACAGATGATAATCAAACAATAAATAAGAAACCTCAAGGCTCCACGGTAAAAACAATTTTTTTTTTTACCATGTTCATTTCTGTTTCTTTTGTATGCTGTACACTATATTAAATTTATAATTGTGACTATTATTTATCACGAATCACAACAAAAATGCAAATTCGTGTACTGATAACCAAATTTTGAATTTTCAACAGAAAAATATATTTCTCACCCTATTAAGTATAATATAAAACTTTTTCTCTTGTTTTTGAGGGATATGACAGGGCAAAATGTGAAGGGACAACGAAACAAAAACCTAAATGATAACTAAAATTGAATGAAAAAGAATAATAGTCCGAAAGTCAAACCAGAAACGACCGGAAAAATGTGATTTATAATAGAAAACACGGAGAAAAAAAGAGAAGGAAAATAAAAGAACTGAAACTGATAAATTTAAAAAATAGAAATTTCATTCCACGGAGGAGAATAAACAGCTGCTAAGGCAAACAAACAACAACAAAAAATAATAAATAACAATAATGATGGAAAATCGTAACAATCATAGACAATACCAGGTTATACTTGGATGTTAATGGAGATCATTAGTCAAAAAGTGGCATAGGAAAATAATTCAAAATCAAGTAAAGAAAAAGCCTTTTGCGAATTCAACCATTAGAATACCATTTTTAGATTGTTATGCTTATAATAAATAAGTTGATGATATTATGGGAAAAAGGGGAAGATGGCATCAACTTCTCTGATGATTAGATTTGACTAGATTGATGTAGTTGAGGTTATTGAAACTGAGAGAGGGGTGGGGAGGAAGAATGGTAATATATGAGAACCTGTAGCTTTGAAGGAAAGAAAATAATGGGTCCGATACATAAAAGAAAAAAATGCACGAATATGATACAATAAGCCAGCAATTGTGTAGTTCAAAACGAACTAAATCAACAAATGCACTAAAAGTAAACCGAGTCCTCCAATAATTATGAATCCCTGGTTTAATTCCATAGCAAAATTGTCTATTGGATCCCATTCAATTCCGCTAATTAGGCTATGAACGCTTCTTTTTCCTACTTCGACATACTGTTCTGGATAAGAGGACTTAATTTTGTTAAAGTCATTGAGAAAATGAAACAAAGAACCAAAATTGATGGCCACAGGAGACTCAGAAATCATGGATGCATTTGGAAGAGATGAAATCACCATGCCCGTCAAGAGGATAGTGAACAATGTAGTGGAGATAACCGACTTGGTAATATTGAAAAAATCAAGAGAATGTAGATTATTACAAGAGGAGTTCTGAGACAACACATGGCAAGCAGCATTGTTGAGGGTAGAAAGAGAAGGTGAAGAGGAGTAATATGTCATCAATGGCGCTCTAGTAGCAGTCAAGGAGGTTTTCGTTGAAGCTCTTTGGAGGTCTGACTTTGTCATCACCAGCAGTGAATGGTTGGAGTTGGGCAAATATTTGAGAACAGGGGAAGAAAGGTTTGGGGATGATGATGTATATCTTATATAACTAAAGGAGTAAGTGGACATTATTTGTTTCTGATACGACGATGATGGGCGATGAGTTGGTCAAGTCAGATGTTTGTGACGGCAATTAATGGAATGATTGGCTGATCGGACAGGGAAAAAAAATGATGAGAGAGTGAGGATTGGGTTAAGAAGCTACTGCTCATAGAAAAGGAAAGAAGATAATGACCAGCACTGTAACAATTGTTTTCCTTTTTTAATTTGTTATAGAGGATGGATGAAAGAGTCAAATCAGGATTGTCAATATTTGACTGAGAGGGGAATGAAGTTGGGTTAACCTTTTGTTCCTTTTTTTTTTTCTTCTCTTTTTTTCTTTTTCTTGTTGTTATTTTTGTTTAGGGGGCGCAGGAGCCAATGCGAGATGCTTTGTGTACTTTCTATATATATATATGGATGGATGAATGGATGGATGGATGGATGGATATATATCGAGGGATCGTTATTGATACTTGGTTCAGTGTATGGTTTGATGGGAATGTGTAGGAACAATGTTTTAGGATGAGTGTGGAGTATTGATGGTGGTAACAATAATACCTTAGCTGACACCAACAATAACAATAATAATAATAGGAAATTAAGGGTGTGATAAGGAAGTTGAAAAACGAGGATTGTAATTTTTGTTTTTATGCCATACAGCTACAATAACAACAACAACAACAACAACAGTGGTCAAGGTGATGTCATCGTACAAAGAGCTATCCACTGCTTTTTGTAGCCACTACAGCCCAGAATAGCATTGTAGAAGGGTAAAGGCTCGCCACAAACGGTGTCAAACGCCTGCAAGTGTCGGTGGGTGGGTGTACATACCACGCTTTTTTATATAAATAGCCTTCCATGCACCCCCCTCCTCTCCACCACTCGGAGTGCTTTTAGCAAACGCATCATCACATGGGATCCACCACTGCGGGAAGATAACTTCATCTCGTGCACAGTCACGTGAAAATTACATCCTGATATTCCCAGGGTGGTCTATTATCATTTGACCGTCATAAGCCAAACAGATATTATTATTATTATTATTATGTATATATATATATATATAGTATTCCCTGATTCCTAGCAGCTAAACTGTAAAGGTACTGACTGTCCAACCACCTGTAAATCACACACTCTTCAACTTCTTTCATAGTGCAGTCCGATTCACTACAAACATCCTTACCCATCGTGGGTTTTTTCTTGACCCGACCCTTTTTTTTTCTCCCTCAAAAAATCTTGGGAATTGCAGTTCATAACATTGCAACAAGGGAGCCATCATCACCAGTAATCAGCCACTTGACATTGACATTCCTACTAATGTCTTCGGTAAATAAGTTACTCAAACAGGCAAAAAACCTCGTGTCAGATGATCCAGATAGCGCCATTGATATTCTTCAAGACGCCTTGAAAATCGATCCTTCCTCTACCAACGCCTATCTTTTACTTGGTAAGGCTTACATTATCAAGGATGAAGTTGCCAAAGCAGAAAAAACTTTAGCTAAATGTATTGAGATCGACGGAAACAACTTAATTGCTTGGAAAGGTTACTTTTCAATTGTGAAGAATCAGCCTTCAAATCTAGCAAAATTTATGGATGTCTGCGGCAAATATTCTAAAGTATTGGTCGATTGTAATGAAAGCGTTGTCGAGTTGACTAAACAAATAACATTATATTTCAAGAAAAATGACGATAATTCAAAAGAATTCAAATGCAAATATTATGAATATCTTATTCCTGGAACACAGCTAGCTGAAAACTGTGGATCACTAATCGTTAGACCCGAAGACGCTCTTGAAAGATTATTAACTTTGAAATTCGAAGCTCAGCTTGAAGAGATAAAGATCCAATCTGATAAAATCAGACTTAAAAATAACAAGGCTGCTACCGCTACAAAAATCCGTGAATTCAAACTAACGCTTTACAAAAAATCACAAGTGGAAAAACTTTATGAATTATTGATTAACGTCACCCACGACGATGAAAAAAGACAGAATCTTGAAGAAGATTTATTGAAATATAAGTATGAAGTGTTGTCAACTATTGAGGAGGAAAAGGAGCCTGCTTTAAAAGATCAATACAAGAATCAAGTGCTTGATATGGTCAACGGTATGATTGTCGTTAATCATCCATCCAAATTTGCTTGGAATTTGTATTTTGATTTGAACGATTTCATCAATATTTCCGACATTGACATAGATAATATTATAAACTATATCAAACGATTCAATGGTCATGGGTTGGCAAATATAATCTACGCTTACATGGCATCTGAAATTTCAACTTTTGATAAACAAGTGTTTTTAAAGGTTAAAGATGAAATTCTGAAGAAAGATAACAATAAACGGAATCACAAAAATAAATCCAGAAAAAACAACACAAAACTGAAAGTCGTTGATGATGAAGAGCAGTCTGATATCAGGGAAAGTGACACTACCACCGAAGAGTTACAAAAGGCTAATCTTATTGAAGATTCGACCAATGATCAAACATTATCCGAGGAAGAAGTTTTATCAATCATGGTAAACGGCTATCAGTCTGGCAAAAAATCAAAAAATAGTGGGAAAGATAGTCTTTTTGCCCACAGAATCCTTACTTCGTATTATCTTCATTTGCAAGAATACGAAAGTGCATTGAATATTTGTAAAACTGGAATTGATTTATTGGTAAAGCTCAAGAAAGTTGTAGGTTTTGATCTACCAAATTCAAAACAATTCTTTATTGTCAAGTTGGCCACTATATATACCTATTATGAGGCTCCCAAAAATTTTCCAGCGGCTTTGAGATTGTATGATTCTATTTTGGATTCATTTCCAGATAACTCAGATGCAAAGGTGGGTAAAGGTTTAGTTTATTCCCAAGAAGGCAAGTTAGAAGATGCAAAAGAATTGATAAGTGATGTTTTAGCGGAATACCCAGACAACAATAATGCATTACTAGAGTTGTCTTGGTGTAAAATACAGCTTCATGAATTAGAAGAAGGTAGGGAAGGGTTGCTTAAGGGGTTTGAAAATATTAAGGGTTCAGATCTAAGGTCTTTTGATAGGCGGTCGACTATTTTATGGAGGTTGGCCCAAAGTTATATATTTGAGGCTGAATCGGTTGAAGATGAAAATGTTATCACAGATTTAGTTCAGAAATCATATGACTATTTACTCCGTTCCTTGAAAACCAACAAGAATAATGCTGCTTCGTATACTTCCTTAGGTTTAATTTACAAGAATTATTATGATGATGAAAACAGGGCTCTCAAATGTTTCTATAAGGCATTTGATCTTGATGTGGGAGAAATCGTGTCAGCAAGATTCTTAGTTGAGGATTTTGTTGCCAAATCAGATTGGGAGTTGGCTGAAGTGCTATGTGAAAGGTTAGTGTCGTCAGAGAAAGTAAGACGTATGCTTCCAAAGGAGAATGTTGACAAATCTTGGCCATATAGAGTGCTTGGAGTTGCAGCTTTGGAAACCCAAAAAGGCGAAAAAGCAGTGGAATGGTTTCAATCAGCGATTAGATTAGCTGGTAATGACGACGTGGAATCATGGGTTGGTTTGGGAGAAACCTACCTTGCGTTTGGTAGACTTGAATCAGCAATCAAGGTTTTCAATAGAGCGATTTTTATTGATGAAACCCACTGGCATGCCAAGTATTTACTAGGTGTCAGTCAGCATCTTATTAAGGAGTACGAGGCTAGTATTAGTACCTTGGAGTCAATCTTGGAAGAAAGACCAGAAGAAGAATGTGTTATTATTGCTTTGTATGAAGCGTTGATCTCCTTGGCAAACCATTACATTGATGGTGGATTTTATGGTAGAGCCGTGGGCTCTAGTTGTAAAGCCATAGATTTCTTGGTTACTGCAAGTGCTAAGACTATCAGATCTCACAAACTTTGGAAATCAACAACTGACGTTATTAGGTTATTTTTAACTGTTCAATCTAAGATTGAACAGTTTCCATATAACAAAGTGATTCTGATTATAAAAAAGCTTTATGAAGATGTTGAGAGTGATAATCCAGATTCTGATAAATCTGAAGAGGATGAGTTACTTGGGAAAATCAGCGTCATCGATAAAGTCACGATCGATTATATTGATGAACTTTCATTATCCGAGAATATTGTGGAATTATTGAACTGTTTATTGGTTATGACTGCAAAATGTTCAATTTTGTCTCTTCAGAAGAAAACTGCCAAAATTGTTAGAGCCACAAATTGGTATAATTTAGGTCTTGCCCAATTAGAGTCATTCATTCAAACAGGTAGAACACAGTACCGTGATGCAGCTATCGACTCCTTGAAGAGATCTATTCAATTAGAATCTAGCAATGCCAACTACTGGGTTTCCTTAGGGGTGGTTATGGTTTCTGTCAACCCAAGAATTTCTCAGCACTGCTTTATTAAGGCTTCTGCGCTTGATCCTAAGAATGGTGAGATTTGGAATAATTTGGCTGTTTTGTACTTGAGATATGGGGACTTGGAGTTAGCTCAACAAACCTTTGTCAAGGCTCAAAGCATCGCTCCTGACCTTGCACATTCATGGATTGGTGATGCCTTGATGGCCACAGAATCTGGTGATAATGAAACCGCGTCTAAATTATTCACCCATGCCTTGGTTTTGTCTAATGGACGCTCTCCAATTGCTCAGTTGATGTATGGTATGTCTGTTTGTAGTAACAGAATTGGTGCTAATGATGATAAGATGGATATTCAAGCTGCTCAGGAATTGACAATGGCAAGTTTCACCATGAGCAGGTTTTTAAAACAGAAACCGAACGATCAGGTCGGTTTAGAGATTGCCTGTGATATCGCTGAGAGAATTGGGGATTATGAATATGGTGAACAATTAGCAGCTAAGTTATGTGATATGTTAGAAGCAAAATATGAAGAGAATGAGAGCGAATCGGTATTGATGCAGTATGCCCAAGCGAAGACTCAATTGGCGAGACTCAATTTGGGGAATGGCAACTATGAAGGTTGTATTGATAATGCTCAATTTACGTTAGATATCCTTGGAGGCGATGAGGATAACGAGGAAGAGAATGATGATGAAAAATCACCAGAAGTTACAAAATGCGTTCTATCATCAAGAACTGTTCTTGGATTGGCTTATTATTCCTTGGACGAGTTTGGTCAATCCATTGAGGAATTCAAGAAAATATTAAGGCATTCTGGTGGAGAAACTAGCTTTATCATTTTAATTGCACAAGCGTTATATAACTACGATGATCCAGAAACTAAGCAGGCTGCTCTTGATGAATTATTTGAGTCCATCACTCAAAAAGGCACTTCATTGGTCACTTTGTTCATATTGGCATCCATTGCTCTTATTGAAAAGGATGAACAAATAATGTTGGTAATCAAGGAAGAGCTTGAAGGCTTGTCGCTAGATTACTTATCAAGTGATTGCTTTCATAGAGTCCCATTATTGATCAATCTTATTTCCAAAAGATTGGGTCTTGAATCCAAGGAAATCACGCAATGGCAGCGCCATGCAACATATTTCCCAAATGATTACTTGGTTTGGAGGCATTTGGATAGCAAAATTGCTGCGAAGATTGGAGAAAGTGGTCAATCTAGCGTCGATACCAATGAATTATCAAATTTGTATGCCGAAACCGGCCAATTGAGATTAATTCAAAGAAGTTTGATTCTCAATCCTGGGAATGCTCATTCGTACAAAGCTTTGGCTGAGATACCACAGCAATGATTTAAGTATATAGGAGATAGATAAATGATTTGATGATGCAGAGAATGATTGTGTAGTCTTTTTTTTTTTTTTTTTTTCTTAAGTTTTGAACAAAAATATGATTTAATAATGTTGGTTAGCCAATTTTGCGATAACTTACGGGACGAGTCTGTTGATGAACTATCACTTTTTTGCTTATTTCTTCCATTTATTGAGGAGTTTTGAGCAATACGATGTTGCTACATTTTTCCATGTAAAAAAGATTCTTTTTCGTTACTAATATTGCTGCTTCCTTATAGATCAAGATTCCCTTAATAATAAGAAATTTTTTCCTCTTGATTTGTATTTTGCTGAAAAGATAAATCCCTACTAGGAATATGCTAGCGAGAGATTATTAATCATATGCGCACGTTGGCGTGTGCGTATAGTATTTTTCGATGAGATGCAGCAAGGCCCAAAAACATTTTATTTTTTTTTTTTTTTTTTTTTTAAATATATTTATGAGCTCATCCCGCTGTTCTTCTTCTATCTTTGTACTTTCACATATAAAGAAAGATATCCAAGTATAAAAAGAAACAGAAAGAAAATGCCTTCTTTTAAGAGCTCAACCATGGATACGTTGGTTTGTCCAACTGATGAGATCTACACTTTCATTCCTGATAAATTTCATCCGACAGCCTCATCTAATAAGGGGCTAGACACCAAAAGTGGCGACGCTGATTCTACTACAGATAAGGCTCCTCTTAGTTCTAATTCTGTTTCAGATTTAATCCAGCCACTTGTCTACTCGAGGACTCAAATATCTACTGAGTCAAGAGAGAATTTACTCTATCATATCTTCCTTCATCTGTCTCTCAATAAGAGCAACTCCGGGGAAATCACAGAAACCGACATTGACGTATTGCTAAAGTGTCTCAAAGAACAACCTTTTGGTACTGAGGGGTTTTTCACTTTCAAGTCCTTGGTGGCCATTTGTATCTCATATATGGAAGACTATGGATCGCCCATCTTTTCTGCATTATCGGAGTTTATTAAAAAAAATATAAAAGATGTCGAAAACGTTCCAGCAACAATACGATCATATCTCATCATTGGTTACTTCACCATGTTCCTTGCCTTGAATGAAGGATCACATGTTTCTGGAATAGAAGAAGAGATTGGATACTGGCTTTCTAATTTGGATGAAGCTTCCACTAACTTAACCAATGATGCAGAAGAAGCAAAAGTCATGGTGGGGATTATTAATGGGATTGGTATCTTAGTGTCCTTGGTAAATGATTTTGTTGAAAGAAACGAAGTTATCGAGGATTTGATCCCAAGTCTCATATTTTATTTGAGTGATGAGAGCCCAAGAATTTCCATCCCTGCCGGGGCTTTGGTTGCTCAATGTTATCAATCATATACTTTCGATGATAGTCATAATGATGAAGATGGTGACGCAGATGAGGATGTTCCATATTTTGATAATGATGAGATAATAGACATTTTGGCAGAAAAGACTAAGTACTCGTCCAAAAAGATTTCCAAAGAAGATAAGAAGCAACTTCACGTTGCTTTCAGAGACATGCTCAAAACTGTGACCAATAACGTTTCACAGAACGCCAGGGATGACTTCAAAATCTCTGAAGAATCCGAACCTTTATTGGCGGAGATATATCTTACTCGTCCATATTCGAAATTGCAAATTAGAATGAAAGATTGGGGTTTCATTAGTAGATTGGATCATATGAGATGGGCGTTTGGTAGTGGTTTAGGATCTGCAGTGTTAGCCAATGATAGTGAACTTTTGAGTATGTTCAGGCAGAAAAAGACTTCGTCTTCCAGTAATGCCAAATTTGACGTGGATGATTCTATTAGTGAGCTCCCGGTTAAAATCAAGAATTTGGAGGTTAGTACAGACCAAAAAAAGAGAGACATTGCCATAAATAAGGCAAGATTCAAGAAGACGCAAAGTCAAAATGAGTACTGATATCGACTTTTTCTTGTTTAATTTTCCTGTTTGGCTGTTTGCTATTTTATATTTTTTTTTCTTTCTGATTTGTTTTGTTGGTGTTGTTGACATGATGCGCCTTTCTTCCTTTGGTTCATTTTTATATTGTATTTTTTTTCATGTTTGGAAAAAAAAAAAAAAGTTTCTTTTTTTTGTTTAAAATCTGGCCTTTAATAGTTTCCAATTTTCAATTATTACTAATATTATTATTATTCATTGCTTCACAACGTTCAAGTGACTGTAGCAAGATTTCGCCGCAATTGGCGGATAGATGCTGAAGGAGTTTTTGCTCTCATCAAAGCCAGACTTTTTTATGCGTATCAGAAACTATGATACATGCGGAAGATCGATGCTTCATTATTTTTATTTTGTTGATGGGTGTTGAATTTTGAGAGGAAAATGATTGAGAATACATGAATAAGGAGTATATTGGTACACATATTAAATTGAAATAACTCAAACAGTTTCATTAGACTGCCAGATCGGAAACAGTATCATAAAATCCAAGTGAAAAGAGTAAGGCTTTCATGATTGTTCTGATTGTTCTGATCAATGCTGCAAATCGGACCTTTATTAATTAATTAGACTGCTGCTCTATCATGAAGAACTGTTAAAATGTTCGCAAATGATTCTTTGAAGTTAGTCCGAAGTACCACTGTTTATCTCTATGAAAGTACCGCCTGACTTTTGATAAATCAATCAATACACGCCCCATAATATAAATACATTAAAAAAAAAAGAGAAAGAATCATACAAAGTTCTAGAGTGATAATAATACAAAGTAACAGAAATATCTTTTGAATAGCTGATTATTTAATCGAAAGGCCATGAATAAGTAAAAAATAACTGTGAAGTCTGAAGACGTTAACAGTCTATAACGATGATTACAGGTAATGATAATGAAGTAGCGTGCAATGTTCCTTAATATTATTAACATACAGAAAGTGCATGATAATAAATATTAGAAGCAACGATGTTGATGTGGATCACTTGAAATATAACGTGCCGTGTGCAATAATATTCCCTGTTGCTTCAATATGCGCTTGCGATATAATGTTTACGAAGAGGGTGGGTAAACTGAATTTTCTAGGCTTCCTGGATAATTACTACTGGAGAGCATTCTGATATAATGGTGTTCAAATCGTAGTTTTTTTTTTTCTGTTTCTGCTCTGGCTTGAAATAAGTTGGTACTAGTATTGTTGTATGGAAACTCAGATTCTACGAATATATTTGGATATTCTTTTCAGTTGTAGGCACCCACTGCTAGACAGATTCAGAAAATTTACTGGATGGTAAATGGACAGCAGGTTTGGAGTATCGCAATAGTAATCAATCAACAGGATGTAAATGAGGAGGAGGAGGATGGAGGACTGTTTTCCAATGAATCGGGTAATCTGGGAGAACGCATTATTATTACCATGCTAGAGTGGTATGATATATCTATCGCCATCTTCACCAAAAATGTCTAATAATGAGAGGAGATTAAGAGAAAGGCTCATGCAATATAAGATAGAAATATGTAAACAAGCTATGCCCATAATTATTCAACACGTCATGAAAAATGTCAACAAACAATTGGAGCCAAAAATCAAAGAAGTTTACTTTGCACACCAAAAAAAGAAGAAGCTTGCCTAACAATAAAAAGAAAGACTGATAGAAGCTGAAGAAAGGAATGCCACTAAGAGGGATGGTTTCAACTCATTCAAGTTCAAATTTGAGCTTGATTTAATGTCGTCATATCTTTGCAGGATTTACTTTCGCTTCACCAAGCAACAAATCTATACATTGATTGCCCAACTTAAAATAACCAAAGAAGTGTGCAAAGAGCTCGGCGTCAGATCTTCTCCTTTGCAGGCATTCTTATGCCTATTAGCTCGACTCGCGGCACCATGTAGACCAGCTAATATCAATATCCTCCTTGGTATTGATATCGACGGAATTAGAAATGATGCTATAAAGCTTTCCAAATATTTGTTTCGTCAATTTGGATACCTCCTGAAAGTAGGGCATTATCTGGTGTCCAAGCAAAGAATCCAAGACGTCTTGAAAGTATCCAGAGACAGTCAACCATACATCCGTACATTATATGGGTTCGTAGATGAAACCTTATTGCTTACCGGTGTTCCAAAGAATAACCCCACCGTTAATTATGAAAAATCCACAGGCCTCAAGTACCAAGTGTTGGCTGACATGAAAGGCTTTGTCCTTTCCCTAGAAGGCCCAGCCAGTGGTAATACTTTAGTTTTACCTGGTGTCCAAAATTGCTGAAAGGTTTCAAAGTTGTTTCGAGAATTGCGCAATTTTTTGTGATAGTGCTTATGAACAAAATGAAGTTTTGCTTAAAACTTTTACAAGTATAGAGATAACAAGAGTCGATGAGTTTACAACTGTCGAACCTCACCTTGTCCCGGGGGTGCAAGCTGCAATGAAAGCCAGAAACTATCGACTCCATCAGTTGCGAACTGCCAATTGAAAATGAAGCTTGTTTAGTTGAAAATATGTGTATACTATATTGCTGTAAGCAAACTCTTGCGTAAAGATAAGGACAATGGCTTGAAACAATAAAATAACTCCACAAACTTTATCAATTAAAAACTGAGAAGCTGGCGAGTAAGTGGATCAAGCTTTTCATTAATCCCATCTACCTGGTTACTAAGGTCGCTAAACTTACTATCGGAGTTTGAGGAAACTTTAGCCATTTAATCTTTAGTAACGTCATTATTTTTGAGTGTGAATTGACCAGTATTTTCCCCAAGTTTCAATAATTTTCAGCAGGTCTGCCTGGCCTGCTCACGGAGAGAATCCATGTTAATATGGGTGTGCATCTGTTTAATAATCACTCACCGATGCCTTAAAGAGGTGGAGAAAATGAGTCTTGTCTTTGTAAGTTGCCTTGCATTTATTGCTTATCATTAGATAGATGCTTTCTTCTGTTGAAATTGGATCGTCAATCTACCAATTATCACCAGCAATTGTGACATGTTGAAGGTTGTGTCATCCCCATACTTTTTTGCAGGGATTGCATGACGTGCGCCAGGCCCTCACGTGGACGATGGGGTGGGGGCCGTAACTTGTTTGTGAATAATATTTGTGTCAAAGAAAAAAACAACATCCTTTTAGCAACGATAGCAAAGTTCACGTATTTTACAGGATAATCTCTTCATAGTCACCGGAAGCCATGAAAGAATTGCTATTGAAATTGGGAGACCATGGTGAGCCTTCTACTTTCAATAAAGGAATATTGCTATTGAACTCGTTCCCATTTGACACCTCTGGGGATTACAAAGATGTCATTTTTAAAATTAAACTCGTTATCTCTGCTGCGTCTCCAGTGACAAGGGATGGGATTATCTGGACTAATATTCCTACAGACCCTTCAGTTATGTTTAATAGAGAAAAATTCTATAAGAACCCCATCGACAATTCCTTCTACAAGGATATCAATTTGACTTTAAGTATTAATAAACCCGGGGTATATGCGTACTTTGCTTCTTATCGTTCTGCAGAAACAAATAAAATAATCACGACCAGAAAGTACTATTTTGTGGTTCAACCATCGTTGGATATAAATGGTGAATATTTAACTTTGAATTCCGTCTCAATTCAATCAGTTGTTTCGAAATGGATGGGTCCATTGAAAGACTGGGATAATATTTTCCAAGAAATTTCAAATAAGGGATACAATATGGTTCATTTCACTCCGTTACAACATCGAGGGGAATCTAATTCTCCCTATTCCATTTTTGACCAGCTTCTGTTCGATCCGAATTTATTTGAAAGTACAAAACAAGTTGAGAATCTTGTAAAAAAAATGCATTCAGAATTTAAATTGCTATCCATGACTGATATTGTTTGGAACCATACTGCCAATAATTCGGACTGGCTCAGAGACCATCCTGAAGCAGGCTATTCCAAAATAACTGCTCCTCATTTAACTGCAGCGATCGAGTTGGATAAAGCCTTATTGGTGTTCTCGACACAATTGGAGAAATTAGGCTATACATATAATATCAACACTGTCGATGATTTGTTGAATATAATGGATGGTATAAAGACTAATGTTTTGGAACAGTTAAAACTTTGGGAGTTTTATACCTTGAATGTTGAAAAAACTATTTCCCAATTGAAAGAGTTTTTAGTGCTGCACCCATGTGAATCTATTCCGATCATTCAGCTAACTCAATCGCAAATTGAATCTTTATCCGAATTGGCAAAACTTGCCACAGATTTCTGTACTGATGGTATGGGTTTTGGATTGCTGAGTAGACATGGGAATGAATTAAATGTTTCAAAATTCGCGAGTGTTGTTTTATCATATATTAAGGAAAAACCTCAAGTTTCTGAGGCTTCTTTTGAGAATGTTCTTTCTGAATCCGACAGATTGTTGAATGAAATAAACTTGCCGTTGTACAGAATTTATGATACAGATGTTTCAGTTATTTTAGAACAGTTATTTAATAGAATAAAATATTTGCGAATTGACGACCACGGTCCTAAATTAGGAAAGATTAGCATTGAAAGTCCATTGACAGAACCTTATTTCACGAGATTTGATGATCCGAAGACAGGCGAGGAAATTGCTTTAGCAAATAACGGGTGGGTTTGGAACGGAAATCCATTAATTGATTTTGCTTCAGATAAATCAAAAGCTTACTTGAGAAGAGAAGTTATTGTTTGGGGCGACTGTGTCAAATTAAGATATGGGAGTGATCCAAAAGATTCACCTTATTTATGGGACAGAATGATAAAGTATACTCAATTGTGTGCCAAAGTATTTGATGGTTTCAGAATTGATAACTGCCATTCCACTCCTATTCATGTTGGCGAAAGATTGATTGATGCTGCCAGGGAGGTGAACCCTAATCTTTATGTAGTTGCAGAGTTGTTTTCAGGAAGTGAAGATTTGGATAGTTTATTTGTTGAAAGACTCGGTATTTCTTCTTTAATTAGGGAAGCAATGCAAGCTTGGTCAGAGGATGAGCTTTCTAGATTACTTCGTCGACATGCTGGTAGACCTATTGGATCCTTGAAATGGCTACCTTTGGATGATTTTGCTTATCCGGCTAGTTGTGAGCCAGAAGCAAATAAAGGAGAATATGAAAGAGTATCCGAGATCGCAATCCCAAAATTCCTCGCGTATCAAGAGCCTCATGCGCTTTTCATGGATTGTACTCATGATAATGAAACACCATTCCAGAAGAGAACTGTCGAGGATACGTTACCAAATGCTGCTTTGGTTGGATTGTGCTCTTGTGCAGTTGGATCAGTGTTTGGATATGACGAGTGCTATCCGAAATTGTTGGACGTGGTCAAAGAAACTAGAAGTTATACTTTTGGAGATAATGGTATCGGTCATGTTAAGAAAAAAATATACGCTTTGAGAAATGAATTGGCAAAAAGTAACCTCTCTTTGCAAGCACATGAAATGCACATTCATCATGAAGATCAATATATCACTTTCCACAGAACTAATGCTAAGACGGGAAATGGGGTGTTTTTGATTGCTAGAACGAAATTTGCTGATGAGGGTGCTGAGTTTTCTTTGAAACCAATTACCTTCCATGGGAGTAAAATTACTCATGAATTTGCCTATACTTTGAAGAAAGTTGGAGATCCAAAGGCATCTGATGCATATATTCCATCAATTCCCGTGGAAGTCCAAGAATTGGAGAGTCCGCAATTTGAATATAACCCTGAAACCAATGAAACCACCGTTACATTACCTAAATATTTTCCTAGAGGCAGTATTGCGGTTTTCAGGACTCAATATCTTGATTTCAATGAAGAGTTAGACAAGTATCTTCAAGAGGGCGCAATTGAAGCATCTAAAGATTTAAACCTATATGACCTAAATGCTCTTTTGTATAAATGCGAATCAGAGGAAAGAGATGCGAGTGCTGGGAGAGATGGTAACTATAATATTCCTAAGTATGGTCACTTGGTGTATTCTGGGCTACAAGGTTGGATAAGTGCCATAAAAGATGCCATTAATGAGAACGATCTTTCTCATCCATTCTGCAAAAATGTTCGGGAGGGTGTTTGGTCATTAGATTATATTGTTAATCGGACACTTAAATACACTGATTCACCAGGAATTCAAAGATTTCATGATTGGATGGCATCAAGAATCAATACTGTTAAGGGATTACCGTTTTTCTTGCGTCCAAAGTATTTTGTCTTGGTATTGGGTATTGCTTATGAAGCATGCAGATTCAGGTCTCTTTCGTTGCTCTCACCGATGTTTCACGAAGCTACACTTTTTGTTCAAGATTTGGGATTGACATCTATCCAAATGATTGGTATTAATAGATCAGCATCTCTTAACCCTTTCAAGCCGGTTCCTAGTATGGCAGCCGGACTTCCGCATTTTAGTTATGATTGGGCAAGATGTTGGGGAAGAGATATTTTTATTTCCTTGCGTGGGTTATTGCTTGCATCTGGTAGGTATGATGATGCTAAGAATCATATTCTTGCTGCAGGTTCGACTTTAAAGCATGGCTTGATTCCGAATCTTATTGATAGCCTCAGAAATCCTAGATATAATGCTAGGGATGCAACTTGGTTTTGGTTGCAATCTATTCAAGATTATATAACTGTTGTTCCAGATGGTGAAAAAATATTGGATGAGAATGTCAAAAGAAGGTTCCCACTAAACGACAAATATGTACTGCACGATGATCCAGAGGCTTTCAGTTACGAGAGTAGTATCAGGGAACTTATATACGAAGTCTTTGCTCGTCATGCCAAAGGTCAAGATTTCAGAGAAGCGAATGCAGGTCCAATGTTGGATAGACAAATGAAAGATGAAGGGTTCAATATTAAGATCAACGTTGATTGGGAAACAGGATTGATTTTTGGAGGTAGTCAGCTTAATTGTGGTACTTGGATGGATAAAATGGGTGAAAGTGAGAAAGCCGGAAGCAAGGGGATTCCGGGCACTCCAAGAGATGGCGCGGCGATTGAAATTAGTGGTTTGTTGAAAAGTTCTTTGAGATTTGTCAATCAGTTAAATAAACAAGGGTTGTTTGACTATACCGAAGTTGAAAAGGAGGATGGAACCAAAATAAGTTTTGAAAAATGGGAACAGTTGGTGGGGGAAAACTTTGAAAGGGTGTACTATATTCCAATGGATGACGCTGATAATCATAAATTCGACGTGAACCCAGCAATTATTAATAGAAGAGGAATTTATAAAGATTTATACCGAAGCGGGAAAGAATATGAAGACTATCAATTAAGACCAAATTTTGCCATTGCGATGGTTGTTGCTCCAGAGTTGTTCACTCCTAAATATGCAGTTGGTGCGTTGAGAATTGCTGACACCACAATTAGGGGACCGGTTGGTATGAGAACCTTGGATCCTTCGGATTACAATTATAGACCATATTATATAAATTCAGAAGATAGTACTGACTTCTTGACCTCGAAGGGCAGAAACTATCATCAAGGTCCAGAATGGGTGTGGTGTATTGGGTACTTTTTAAGGGCATACTCTTACTTTTATTCGCAAGATTCTATTGTAAAAGCTAGGGAGCACAATAATACTAAAAAGATCCGTGAACAATTATACAGAGATTTGATGTATAAGTTGGAGGGGAATAAAAAATGGGTTAAGTCATACGCCTGGAGAGGCTTGACTGAATTAACCAATAAGGATGGTGAATTATGTCAAGATTCGTCGCCTACTCAAGCATGGAGCTCTGGTTGTATAATTGATTTGTTTTATGATTTTTATGATACAGACAAAAACAATTTATAATTTTTTTCCTTTTTTTTTTTTTTTTTTCTATTTCGATATGTTTCTTGATTTTGGAATTTAATACCTTTAGATTTGAGTTTTTATTTTTTAATATATATATCTATATTGGTTTTATTCAAAGTTTTAAAAGTACTTCTGCAGATCTTCTAGTTTGTTTTGGATATGTAGTAAGTACACTACCGTTCCGGTTTATGATGCAAATCACGTTTCCCTTCAAGCAAACCCCCAAATGTATAATTGCACAACTTTAGAGTTGGATTTTTCCTTAAATAGCAACAGACAACCAACCATCTAAACTAAAGCCTTCACAATGCCTATTAAACCAAAATCTGCCTTAATCGTCGTTGATCTTCAAAACGACTTCTTGCCACCGTCTGGGTCTTTGGCAGTTCAAGGGGGTCGTGAAATCATCCAACCGATCACCGATTTATTGGTATCTGAAGATTGGGATGCGATTGTTGCCACCAGGGATTTCCATCCCAAGGACCATTTTTCCTTTGCGTCCAATTGGGACCAAGCGCCATTTTCTTCCAAACAGTTCACCCATCCTTTGCAGGTGATTGATCCCAACACCCAGAAAGTTGGAACCAAGACGCAAATTCTTTGGCCTGATCATTGTGTTCAAGAGACCGAAGGGAGTGAATTGACGGATACTTTTGCCAATGGTTTTTACGAAATGATGGCCAAAGAGAAGAAAATTAGCAGTAGCAGTAGTAGTAGTAGTAATAGTGGTATTAGAGATACCATACCAATGGTGGTGGAAGTTAAGAAAGGGTATTTGGTGGATCGAGAATATTATTCGGCGTTTGAAGATACTTGGGGGTTACATCATACCGAATTGCACAATTTCTTGACAAAACGCGGGATTGTCAATATTTATCTTGTGGGATTGGCATACGATTTTTGTGTTTTGAATACCGCTATCAGTGGGACTAAATTGAATTATAATACTGTTGTGATCAAGGATCTATCGAGGAGCGTGTATCCTGATAAACTAGAAGAAACCGATGCGGTGTACCGGGAAAATGGGATCCAGATCATCACTTGTGAAGACCTCAAGAAGAATTAATAATTATCGTAGTTTCACATGGGTATCCAGATCATCACTTACAGCAATCTCAAGAAGAAATGAATTAATAATAATGGTGTTTTCGCATAGTTTAAAAAAAGAGGATATATTGCTTATATAATATAGTACATAGGATCATAAATTGATCTCCAACATGGTATGTTCAAGTATACTACCATTACCCTCGTCAAGCAGCAGCAGTGGTTGATTCCCGCCCTTGTTTTGGGCTTCCAAGTCTTTGAAGCACTTATTTGACAATTTCATGACTTCGGGACTGACATTCAATTCACTCAAAATATCACTGTACTTGCAGATCAACTCGACAAAGCAAGTCATTAATAGTTTATGTATTCTGAGCACCAAATATTGATTAGTGTATTGGTGATGAAGTGGTTTATAATATTTCTTCTTGGCATCTCTGAGCTTGACATGATCAAAATCGATCTTGTTGTAAATCATATACTGTTCACTGAACTGAATGGATTGTTGCAACAATGATAATACTTGGTCAATATTGGAAAGTATTTTGTTATTTAATTTGAGGTCGATATGTGAATTTTTCACCACTAAGGTAAATGTTGAAAGATAGTAGTACAATTGGATGGCATCTATCAATTGTAAGTTTTGCTCTAAACTGTTGATATTGAGATAGACCAAGACAATTGTCTTGACATGATTCCACATCTTGCAAAGAAAGGCAACTTTGCCCCTCATGAAAGCAATAACACCAAATGATTCACTAGATTCTTTATCTTGTAATGACGCAACAAACTTGATGGAAATAGAGTCCAAAGTCGACCAAAAAAATGATGTCTTATTTTGCTTGAACATGTCTTTTTCATTAATTTTCACCTTTTTATCGTCGTTTTTCAATAACGTTTCCAAACTTTTAACTGGCGGTTTCTTTTCATCAACTTTAATTTTCATTTTAGAATTTAAGCTATCAACATTGGCCTTGACAATATGTTCCACACTATTGAAAAACTCACCGTAATAAGAGATGAATTTACCATAAAATTCCGGTTTTTTGCTCACTGCCATGTATCCAAGTTCTTGCAAGATGGTGATCTTGATCAACCTGTCTTTACTAGTATCCTTTAATCCATTGAATAATAGTGAGAAATTAACGGCCTGAGAATTGTTAACGTTGGAGTAATTAGAAATCAATTGGCCAAAATGCAAACCACCAAGTAAGATGTAAGAGTTGAACACGCAATATGCGACAATGTAGCACAAACATTTCAACACCACGCTGAATATAACGATCTTGAGGGTAAAAATGACACTGACATCAAAAAGACTATTCCGAGAATACGAATCTACGTTAGTGACCAAGGACGCCCAACTACTAACAATTTGGTTGATGTTGATAAAGTAAAGGAAACATTTGAGGCCTGCAAGAAACACCAAGAGCAGTTGAAGGTAATTCTGCAAGAATTTTGAAAGATTCTTTGGATCAAGGTACGTTTGCAACAATGATTTGGAAGTCACATGGAATCTGGTGAAATCAATACTCAATATTTGTTCATTATGGCACAAAGAATAGAACCCATTGAAAAACCCGTTGGCAATGGCACATGAGTAAAAATAGAGGAATGTACTGTTGATCGTTGGTTTCTGGTGCTTTTTAGCCTGGTTCAAGAAATGTAAATCATCAAAGTATAAACTGCCAATCACGCCAAAATAAAATAACGACACCACAACACTGATAAGGTAGATTGTCAAGGAAACTGCATTAAGGTTCAAGGCATTCTTCACGTTAAAATACGACAAAGTGGAATTGTTATAGTTGATAAGTTTCTTCAAAAAGGCGTATCTGAATAGGATAAATATCGAGCAAATTGTCGTGAATAATGTGTATAATAATAACGATGTTTTCCATGAAAGTTGACAAAGGAGCAAGCTAGGAACTATGAGACATGCCAAAGTGAAATTCAGCAAGTACTTGAGCCTTATCTTTAAGACATTATCTACCAATACACCATAATCATCCATGCTTGAAATTCATTAAATTGAAAAAAAAAAACTATGGTTAAACTGTATAGAAGTTGGCATCTGCTTCGAATTCCTCCAAAGTTTTTTTTTTTTTTTGTTTTTTTTTTTTTTTGCGCGATGAATCCTTTACGGCCGCGGCGGCACTGGTGGACGTGCTGGGAAATTGGGTGCACAAACAAAAGTGGTGATGCGAGTGATAGAAGGGAGGGGAGGGGCAAAGTGAATCACTGATGGATTTGCCACAACGATGAATTCAGATATAGATAGAGAAATAAGTGATCTGGAATCGGATCAGGACCCTCAGCCGTTTGGGTCGCCATCAAAGAACTCGAATTTATCCGAGGAAGAAAGGCTACAAATGGCGTTGAAGCAGATACAGCAGTTAGAGAATGAGTTGTCGGATTTCCAGCAGTCCAGTTACGAATTGGAGCAAGAATTGGAAAAAGAATTGAACGATCTAGAAACCAGGAAACAGGAATTGGAGGAAGCACTCGAATCTAAGCGTAAAGAAGCGGAGAATTGGAAGGCAAAGTACGTGAGATTAGAATCGGAGTTCAATAATGTGACTAGTCGAAATGAGGACAAATTCAAGAACTACAAGAAGGAATTACAGTCTGTGAGAAGCAAATTGGTGAATATAGAGATTCTCAATGACAATATTGAACAGAACGAGCGGATTCTTTCCATTAACTTGAATGATTTGGAAACTAAGTATAATGACTCTTTAGAAAGGATAGCATTATTAGAGAGCGAAATCAATTACAAGGATGAAGCATTACTTAAAGAGAAGCTTGACAATCAAAATACCCAGAATCAATTCAATGAGTTGAAGGGAGAAATAGATAAGTTGCGTAGCCAACAGAAACAGAAGCTCCAACGCGAGAAATCACAATCAGGTCAATCCTCTTCACTGATCTTCGATTCTACTGGTAATGCTTCGGTTAGTGAGCTGGTGAGAAATAATATTCCGAAATCAAATTCTATCAAGCAATTACATAATATGATTGAGCAGACAAAGTTCATGGAAAATAGGGTGGAAACCATTAGAAATACCATTAGACCATCAAAAATGAGAAAAGTCAGCGGGAAAACTATCAGAGCTGAACCGGTAGAACATGAAAGTGATATGTCCTATGATGGAGGGTCGGAATTTAATATTACTGGGGTATCAAGCATTGCCAATAGCACGGGAAGCATGGATCAAACGGCTTCATCGTATTTCACCGCCCTAAGTAAATCAACCACTAATGATAGTTTGAGCCACTCCAAAGCAAGAAATAGAAAAGTCAGAAAGCTGAACTTACAAAAACCACCACTTCAGCCACTAGGATCCAAGCCATTTTCGGGTACCAAGGAATTCCAGACCCATTTCACGGAAAAGAAAACCACTCCTGCAACTACAATTAAGATGGTGTCATCTAGCGTATCCAGTACTAAAACGTCTACCACTTCTAATTCGACAATTAAAAAAATATCTAGTACTGCCCATCAGTTAGAAACCATTAGAGGATCGCCTACGACGGTAAGGACAAGGGAATTGAAGCGGGTTGCAGCAGCAAATAATTCAAAAACGTCAGAAGTGAAAAAATTGTTTAATAGCCCATCAAAGACTAAAAATAGACTAAAGGGAGGACTATTGCCAAGCTTACGGAAGTTCAATTTGAGTGAAAAGTGAAGTGTTTATCAATTTTTTTTTCTTTCTTTTTTTTTTTTTTTTTTGTCGTGGAGGAAAATTCTATCATATCTAATATATACTAATTGTGAAACTGCGATTACTAACTAATATATCCATTGTAATCGATTTCTTACCCATTATAAACATAAAATAAATAATACAAGCCTAATTATAAATGACTGGCGAAGGCGGCTGTTTCGTAAGCTGCTTCGAAAACCAACTTTTCAAAAGTCTTTTTGTCGAATCAATAGTTTGATCATAAACTGAGACGTATTCAATCTGTGTTTTTGAAGAGCTCATCTTTTCTGCACCATCTATGTCTGCCAGTCCATAAGCGTCAATGATATTTGGCACATCCATCGCTCCCATAAAATCCTGGGGTTCGACACAATTCATATGAAACCTAAAAATCTTTTGTGATTCACCCTCACCCGATATTTGAAAAATAAATGATTCGAGTTTGATTTCTTGTTGACATTTGCTGCACACTGGGTCCAGGAAATCGTTATCATCTCTAGCGTGCAAAGGGGTTCTACCATTCAACTGTATTTCGAAATCCTCGGGAATAACTGTCTTATCAATACTATCAAAGTCTGAAACTTGGTCGCCCGTATTAGCCAACAAAATGTTATTAGTATTTTTATCATTATTATTATCCTTATTGAGTGGCTTATCAATGGTGTTTTCTGTAGTGGTATCAGGTATACTTGATTCTTCCAAAGCGCCGGATTTATCATTGACATTGATGCTTCGGTTAACGCTTAGCAAGCTAGCGTTGGTTTCCTGATCAAAGTTTAGAAAATCAGTATTGACAGGAGGTTCTTGGGAGATATACTCTTTCAAGATTTCTCTATTTTCCTCCATGGAATTCTCGGCCTCAGTATGAGTATCCATCACCACGATTTCAGAGTTTAATTTATCAAGAAATAGCTGAAGCAAATGGTTCTCTTTAGTAAGGTAATTATAAACAAGGATCTTATGAAGTACAAAGGCAATGACATAATCGATAGTCTTCACTAATTTCGTGCCAAATTCCTGCATCTCATAATCAGAAATGCTAGTTCTTAATAAATCGGCGAATAAGCTATGAATCCGGGTATGTTTTTCCTTTAGTGTGGTGTACCTGGTGAAATTGATTTTTTCCAACAGGTTGCCGCTTCCGTTTTCTGACTCTGCTTCTGTGAATTTGTACCGTCTAATTGCGGTATAATGGTCTTCAATGACGAAGAAAATGTCTTGGGTCGCGTTGAATAGAAGTTGGATTTGTGATAGTAGGTTATTAAAATTTTGAAACAATCCCACTTTGTCGCGGTTATTGATGTTAACCCCAATGAAATTGAATTCCAGCTCGAGTTTTTCAAAATATAAATCCAATTTTTGGGAAATATTTCGGAGTACCGCATTCAAATTGATACTACTGGCATTTTTGTTGAACATTATAAATCGTCTTGGATCGACGAACTTCGGACTCAATATCACTTTATATTTCTTGAACAATGTAAGACAATCAAGGTGCCAGTATTCTCGTTTATCAGAATTATAAAACCGTACGTCTTTTATATTACTCCCTGCCAAAAGCATGGTGTTACAACCGCCGCAGTATTTAGTAGAGTAGTCATTTTTGCTGAAATCTCGAATATCCAAATTATCGTGGTGAAACTCCGCGTCTTCTTCGCCATAACCCTCGCTGTCTTCGTCGTCGTCGTCGTCTTCCATATAATAATCTAAACTGAATCCGTGGTACAAATCACTATGGATTCTACTCTTGCGAATTTCTTTATTTTGCAAAAAAGTTTCTTGATTAACTTTTTCTTTCCGATATTCGACAATGAAATGTTTGGAACAGTACAATTTCCGTTTCAATTCGAATACTTGGCCGTCCAACGACAATATTTTCAAACATTCGGAGCAGCGGAAATGCTCTTCATGGTACTTGTTTTCTAAATAGGTCACAAGCCCTCCTTTCTCAATCGATTCTCCACAGGCATGGCATACCTCATTCATGTCTCTTTTGCAGTATATCATCGGTAAATAATGTCTATTGATCTTCTTGAAGGTAATGTAAAACTCCGACGAGCAGTCATGCTTGCATTGGTGACAGGTTAGGCATTTGGTATGATACAAGTTCACCCCATTTGACTCCTGGCGATAATCTGAATCTTTGTTAATATCCCCTTTGCAATAAAAACACTTGTAATCTTTGTCCTTTCTCCTTATCGATGGCATTGACGGGATCGTCAACTGCTCGGACGCCTTCCTTACTTTTTTGTTGAACAAATTCATTTAGTTAGGTTCTTTTAGCGAAAGCAGAATACTCTGGCGGACAACAACCCTATTCGTCCTCCTCGATGATGATGATGATGATGATTGTGCTGTTTGACAGTGGTGGTAGTGATGGATGGTGTGTCGTCAAAACTCTGTTTGATGAATTACCAGATCGGTGGATTGTCACGTGCACGGGCACCGAAAAACTTCACCCGAACTGAGGAAAAAAGGAATCTCACTCTTTCTTTCTCTTCTTTTTGATCAGGTCAACTACCATAGAGATTTTATTGATCTTCATAGACAGCAAAAAAAAAAAAAAAAATTAAACAAAAGACGAAAATCTTTGGGCAGTAGGGAATGATCGGAAGAACACGGTTGTTCTCCAGGAAGATTTTCGCTTTAGGCGAGTCCAATTTATTATTACGGCAGCATCCTAGGCTATCGTGTGCCAATAGAAGAGGGTTTGCCAGTGGTCCTCCTTCATCGTACAAAGGGCAAAATGACAACAAGAAGAAGAGAATTTTCACCACGAAAGTCATCCCGGGATTGATTATCACTGCGGCAGCGTACGCTGCAATCGACGATGATTTCCGCAGTGGTTGTGTCCATGTTTTCAAGATGATGAAGCGGACGGGAATCGTTGGGGTGGCCACTGTTAAATGTTTCAGCAAATATAAAGCAGTGTTATCGAAAGAATACTCATCCGAAGAAGAAAGAAACAAAGCGTTATCAAAATGTCATGCCGAATGTGCACATATTACTTATGAAGCTTTGGCTCACAACGGGGGTATCTACATCAAATTAGGCCAACATGTGACAGCCCTTACGTACTTGTTACCCCCAGAATGGCCAGAAGCGATGTTACCGTTATTAGACCAGTGTCCTAGATCCTCCCGCGAAGAAATCAACCAGTTATTCATCGATGATCTCGGGAAACCGATCGATGAGATTTTTGAGACTTTTGACCAAGACCCATTTGGCGTGGCCTCATTGGCCCAAGTCCATGTAGCCACCCTCAAAGATACTAAACAACAAGTGGCAGTGAAATGCCAGCATCCAAGCTTGAATGAGTTTGTTCCACTAGATTTATTGTTGACGAACGGTGTGTTCAGTGCATTGCGGAGGATTTTCCCTGAGTACAATTTGAGTTGGTTAGGTGATGAATTACAGCGAGGCATCTATATAGAATTGGATTTTAACATCGAAGCAGAAAACTCAAAGAATACCCGCGAATATTTTTCGAATTTCAAGAACATTACCGCGCTAAGAATCCCCGACATCACTTGGAGTTCCAAAAGAATTTTGATCATGGAGTTTTTACCAGGAAGAAGATTAGATGATTTGAAATACTTGGATGATAATAATATCTCTCGAGCCCAAGTGAGTACCTGTTTAGCCCATACTTTCAACAACATGATCTTCACCCCAGGGGTGGGTATTCATTGCGATCCCCATGGTGGGAACTTGGCGATCCGCGCGTTGCCAAAGTCCGAATCTCACAACGGCCATAATTTTGAAATCATTTTATACGATCATGGACAGTACAGGCATGTCACTACCGAGATGAGAAGATCATATGCAAAAATGTGGTTGGCATTGCTTGATTGTAAACCTCAAGAAGTTAAAAAGTACGCCAAAGAGTTTGCGGGGGTTACCGAAGCCGAGTTTCCGATCTTTGCTGCTGCCATCACCGGCAGAGACTTTGACCATGCGGTAGGCGATCTTCGATCCAAGAGAACCCAAGCGGAAATCGATAACATGGCGGCAAAATTCAGAGAAGAGGATTTACTCATTGTGCTCATGGAATTGTTGTCCCACTTACCAAGAATCGTGCCGCTTATCCTTAAGACCAACGATTTGGTGAGAAATTTGGATGAACGGTTAGAGAATCCTTTGGGGATGGAAAAAGGGTTTTTGGTGATGGCTAGTTACTGTGCCCAGACGGTATTTTATGAGGATAAACAGGTGTTGAATGAGAAATATTCCAAGTTTTCTGTGCGGTGGGTGTTGGGGTACTTGAAGGCTTTATGGAGGTATGAAGAAAGAATTGGCCAATTATATATATATGACATTGCGGTCACGATGCAACAACTCAGAGAGAGACTATATGGATACCTATGTTTCTGATATATATATATATATATATATAAGATAATATATATGTATAGAAAGACGACAAATACATTGTAAAAGATATGCCATTATTGTGGGCGGACAATCGGAGGGTGTGATACCCTGGTTAAGAGCGCGGGGGTGTGGAGGGAGAGGGGAGGCTGTCATTTGCTGCTCATCGTGTGCTTCACGTCATACATAGCGGTAGGCAACATTACTAGGAGGAAAGAGGGAAGAAGAAAAAATAGAAGGCACAAGAGATCTTCAGTAATTGGTTTTTAACGAAGATACAAATTACATATATTCCCTTGCTAATTATTGAAATATCTGTTGAATCATCCAAACAGCCCTTTTTAACACCCCCAGACGTCATCGGCATTATCATACTTTACAGTATCAAAAAAAAATATATATAAGTATAAATATTGAAAAATAGGGAATAATATATTATTATTATGAACCAAAGCTTATTAAAATGACAATCCATTATAATTGCCATTCCGATGATAATGCGAAGACCCGATCAAAGATCAACAATATCGATAATTTCACCACCTCGATATCAAAGTACCCATTCTTATACCCGTACTGCAACCAATACCAGACCCACATCACCAACAAGCACTGGCAATTACGGGCCCTTGTCAAATTCGATTCACAGAGTGCCGATCGAGCGTATTATGCTTACGAGAATGAAATCCGCGCTGTTGATTTGCTAACCGGGGACACCAAGAATGTCACCAGTGGCCATTTCCCCGTAAAGTGTTTTGCCGAATCTGATGGGTTGATCATCAGTGGTGGCCTGAAGAGTGGAGACAAGTCTCAAGGGTTGGTTGATGCTTATAATGTGCATACTGGTACGGAATTGGGGTTCCAAGTAGGAGAAGTGATCAATAACGCCGTCACGGTGGATAAGTTGAACAACGGCCAGTTTTGCTCTTTTGTCTGCAATAATGACCAGAACTTGTATAAGTTGGATATCAGTAATTCGGCAATCAAGTTAGTGAATAAATTGAATATTGGGTATCAGTTGAACTATTCGTGTTTGTCGAACGATGGGCGAATGGCTTTGGTTTCCGGGGACTCCAACAAGATCACCATGGTATCGCCCAAGAGTGGCGAAGTAATGCATAGAATCCATACTGATACAAAGCACGATGATTGTGGATTCTCGATGGAATTTCAAACGTCGGATGCTTATTTTGCCGCAGCGTTCCAACTGGGGAAAACTTTTTTGTACGATGTTCGGAATTTGCAAGATGCGATTCACGTTTTCCATTCGACCAAGCCGGAAGGGAAAACCGATGGAGCGTTTAGACATCTTAAGTTCACCAATGGGGCTACTGACGATTATCTTTTCATCACGGAGCACCAAGGAAAGGTTCATATTGTGGATATTCGGAACTTTGAAAATCATCGGATCATCACAATCCCTACAATGTACGAACAATCATCGCATCCTGGTGATGATACAAATAATACTAATGATGATGATCACAACAAAGATGATAACGGTGAGCTAATTTTTTCATCAAGGAACATTAACAAACCATTAGTTGTCCCTGCGATGCAACCGCCCTCGCCAATGGATAGGCTCAATTTCCCAATAATTAATGATTATCATGATGTTAAGTATACCAAGCACATCAAGTTACAGAAATATTATCATTCAAGTGGGAAAGTCATCAATGATTACTCGTTTCCTCCAATTAATTCTGTCGCCGGCAATAGTAACTCAACCCAGGGGAAGTATGACTTGAGCCAATATAGTTATATTTCAGATTATGAACAGTATCATGATTCAAAATACGATATCCTAGGAATGGATTGGAAATCCAATCATCATGGATCGAGGTTGATCGTCGCGGGGAAGTCATCGATCACTAAATGGGAGATTGATTGTTGGAGTAGAAGAGGGTTTGGAGATTTTGAATTCTCATAAAAAAAAAAAAAGAAAGATATGTGATATCTCCTTGGTTGGAAATGTTGTTTTTCCCCCAATAAAGATATGATACTCTGTATGTTTTAAAAAATTTGGGGGGTTTGATGATGATATGATGCTCATATTCTCCATGCTTGTTAATTTTGGGATTCTAATGATTATATGACGCTCACCCAAAAAAGAATTATTGAAGTTTCAAGATAAATGCTTCATAAGAGATAGTTCTTCATAAGAAATGATTTCTTCAGCTCTGCGCTTCTCTCAATCATTCCTCTATTGGTAATAATTTTCATCTCCTCTATGTGTGTGTGTGTGTGCGTGTGTGTGTGTGAATGGTGGGGAGGGTTCCAATTTGTATTATTTCTCTTTAATCTATTCAGATTTTAACGTTTTGACGACTTTTTGTTTTTTTATTTTGTTTTGGAATTATTTTTTTTGTTTATTAATGATTATTCTTCATGAACTTTTTGCTCTTGGTTCGACGCTGGCGTTGTCTTCTTGTAGTGGCTGGATCAATGTGTGGTTTGATTGAGGCAAAAAACTAGACCATTCATTGAGGTTATATACTGAAACAAATGCGTTAATAGCTAAATTCCAAAGAGTCTATAAATGGGTTAAACAAATTTTTTACGCTTAAAAGGACAGTTGATGAAGATACATAATTGACAGTATGTTGATATAATATAAATAATAATCTCATTAAAAGAAGATATAAAAAAAAATATACCGGAATGGTAGGCTCACTATAATTGAGACACTAGCAAAAAAGTGAAAGATGTGTTAGCATGAAACTTGAGCAAAGAGAACATAAAATGAGAAAAAATTTCAGTGCTTGAATCAGTAAGTTAAGTTCTATCAGAATTCGAATGAGAAAAAAATGAGATGCCAAGAAAAAAAAAAAAAACTAAAATGAAATTGTAAATGATAAAGAAAAGAAATGATTGACATAATCAATATACCCCAATTCTGTTATTGATGACCTTGATTTTCCCTTTATCAATCTTTTTTTTCTTCTTGCTACCCCCAAACAAACTCGCCAAAAATCCAAAAATCCCTCCCGATCTTTTCTTTTCGTTACCACCAGTAACCAGATCCATCGTTGGGTCAGGCTTCATATTGAGATTAGTGACCACACTGCGTTTTAATTCTTCGCGGGTTGGTAAGTCTAAATCCTTGTCAGCACGTAAAGTGTCCTCAAGACTGAAAACTTTTTTTGGCATCTCGGGATCAGCAGTTTGACCACTAGCATAATTGTTGTTGAATGTGTCATTATTGCTATTGCGGCGCTGGTGGACACTATTGAGCGATATCTTAGATCGAAGTGAGTGATGTGAATGTTTTCTTGATCTCAAAGATTTACCTATTGATGCAGTTTCCTCGGGAATCTGTTTATATTGAGATCCGGGATTGGAGTGAGAGTATTGATGATGCTGCTGTTGCCTTGGGAAATGGCCCTCTTTTGGAGTGGCCACCTCGACAATTGACGAAAGCTGGTACGAGTTATTATTTAAGTTTTGATTAGTGGAAAGATTCGACAATTGCGGGGAGTTATGCATGGAGTTGGGGTTAGAATGATGGCCGTCAAATTGTTGGAACATCGATTGCTTTGGGTTATTCATTGGTGAATTTTCAGGAGATGTTAAAGGACTACTAGAATTGTAATAATTGTAGGAGTTTCCGGAATTCGAAGACCCAGCTGAGTCGGTGGAGCCTGTTGAGTTGATTTTGCTATTGACTAAATTGACTTTGGGACGACTGGAGTTGCGAGGCGGCGGTTGATGGAGAGACATCTCATCCAATAGCGAATATTGGTCATTATTGATAGGAGTGCAAGAATCTTTGTCAATAATAAATACTTGATCATCATTGAAATATTCCTGACTCGTTCTGGATCTGTGAGATTGTCTATTTACTGCCTGCGGCGAAGAATATTTCCTGTTAGAAGATGTATTGGAACCCATTGATCTGACGCTTCTATTCGATCCGTGATTAATCGATGATTGTTGGTAGGCTCCAGATCTGCCGCTGGGGGTGCTTACCATATCGTAAACATCATTGGACATTAGACCCAAGGCTTTTTTTTCCGAATACATTCTGGCTTTCTGTTTATCGTAGTTTGTTTGGGCCCCGGAATTTGATTCTGTCGAGCCAACATGTATGTGTTTTTGGTGTATCGAAGATAAGGCCACAGAATGCATACTTATTGACATAGATTCGTTGGCGGAGGCGGCGCTACTGGAGTACCGACGACCAGAAGATAATGGACGAGAGATCGATTCTCTTTGAACTTTTGCACTTTTGGAACTTTTGGAACTTTTGGCACTTTTGGAGCTTTTGGCACTTCTATACGATTTTATGGTGGCGGCACCGCTGATGGAGGCTCTAATTTTTGCGGATTTCGAGCTTTTGAAATCGCTGATGTCCTGGTAGTCATAGCTGCTGAATTTTCTTTCGAGACTGGCTTTCTGACTATTTTTATCGTCTTCGAAAGAAGGCTGGTGATAATAAGAGTGATGTGATGGTTGGGAGTTGGGGTGATGGGAGAAAGATTCCAGAGTAGAATAGTAGGCCAGAGGTGTTGGGCTGGATATTTGGTGTCTACGGGAGGATGAAGAGGTTGACCTTGGAGAATGAAGTAGGTGGGACATGGTAGATATATCCGATGTATATAATATCCATGGATAATAAATACCAACTATAATGATGATGAAGAAGAAGAAGGTGGAATAAAATAAAGAGGGACAGTGGATATATATTAGTTAGATACGGATTATTGTTTTAGATTACTTTATTTTTTTTTTCGCTATGTCTAATTTTTTTTAGTGTGAGTGGGAAGAATAATAAGACCCAAAGTTTACAGGATGAAACAGTGCTATAATTACTGGACATCATGTAGGTGTGGCGACAGGCAACTGGGAAGGTTATGTATTATTGTATGTGATATACACCATATATATGTGCATTGTGATATATATACTGTGGATATGATATACAATAGAAGATGATGAATAACAAGAAGAATAGGAATAGGAAGAAGAAGAGGAAGAAGAAGAGGAAGATGAGCGCTTATCAACTACCCACCGGTGGCAAATCCGTTAGGTGTTTTAGCGCCGGAAACCCTAAAATGCGCTTGTTTGTTCTTGTCCACGTGCATGATGATGGCCCTTGTTTGACATTTTCTTGTGTATCGTACGTTGTTGTATGGTGTATGTTTGTTATATTGCATATTATGTTATATAGTATACAGTATATATGACAACCACAACAAACAACACAATACATATAATAGTAATAATAATAATAATAATAATAATGATAATACACACGTCCTGGGGAGTGGTCTTGCGATAAAAATGGCCGGCACCAGCCTTCTTCCTTGATTGGATTATATTAGCTACGTCCAATTTACTAAAACACCGGTTTAGCGTGCATAGCTTAGGCTGTGGTGGTGCAAGCACAACTACAGCAGTATGTTAGTCAAGAGTTACCCGGTGCCAGTCGATCATCCTCCCATACTAACGTTTCACAGATGCTCCTCTATCTAATGGTAAACCACAATTGTGATAGATTTCATGTCAAATATATATCAACTATACATCCATTCATCCTCTACTAATTGGTGTGCCTTCGTTATCATCAACTCATCCATGTAATCATCGTGTTCTCCAAAATCATCAACATCGTCATCGTCATCATCATCATCATCATCATCATCATCATACATAATATTACGCCTTACTTTAACATCACTAGCTTGTAACCCTTGTTGTGATTTTAAAATCGCTAATTCTCTATGGAATTCCTCATCCATCTCCAAGAATGTCTCCACTTCTATAGGCATCAAATTATTTATAAAGTCGTAGCTTCGATTAAACTTCGCTTCCAATTGTTTCACGTTTTGTCGGATATTGGAATTCTTGATTTGCAAAAATGGTTCATCAATAATTGAGTTCGTCGTTGGTGGAAAAAAAGCTTCACCATTATTATTATTGTTGTTACTATTATTATTATTAGGATTATTGTAGATCGCTCCAGAATGAGGTTTTTTAAATATTCGTCCCTGACTTCTGCCACCAAAAGTTCTTGTAACTTTTCCATCATCATCGATCGGCATCATTTCATCATCTTCTATTTCTTCCTCCTCCTCAAGATCGTGATGATTTATCGTAGTTGGTCTAAAGTCTTTTTCTTTTCTCGCCAAATCTTCTGCAAGGTCGCTGTTACTCACCCCAGCAATCGAAATAATAATATCACTAAGTTTAGTCTTTTCAGCATTACTATTGAAATTATTCTCAAATTCTGACCCAGAATTTTTATTGGTCTTCTCATGGTGATCGTAATATTTGAACAAATCAAACTCTCCAGATTCCTCGGTTTTCCCCAACCTCTTCCAAATATCGGCCTGTTTACCTCTACCATGAGACCCAATCTTTGGTTTATTATTATTTCGTGGCAAAAACTTCACTTTCCCCTTCTCATTGTATATTTCATTGAAAATAAACGTCGAAGTGACTTCCGCATGATGAATGGCATTCAATTTTGATTCACGCAATAATTTCCCATTATTGAAAATATTCAATTTTTCCATGATTTCTGGCGGATGAATAAATTCTTCCGTGAACCCCCCGATCCCAATGTTATGAGATCTTCGTCCTCCTCCATTGGCAAACTTCTTTGGTTTCTGGATATTATTTTTCCCTCCACGACCGGGTTTTTTCCACGCAAATTCAAACGATTCCTCCGCCTCATGACGCTTTTGGATCCCTCCTCCAATCTCCCGGCTAGCTTCGCTCATCGAGCTTTTTTCGCTAAATCCCAGTAAATTAATAAGATCTTTCTTTCTTCCTCGATTTGCTTGGTATTGCAGTTGGTACATTTGAGAATGATGATGGTTTTGTGGTGGTTGCTGCGGCTGCGATGATATAGTATTAGAATTCGTTTGTGATTCCCCTCCGTTCCCACTTACACCATCTCTTTCACCATTGCCCATCGATCTAGGATCTCTAAACCTTATTGGGGTGTTCTGATTATATCTAAAGAATTTCGAAGGTAGATGGAACCCATTAGCATTGTGACCGTTGGAATTATTATCAGTAGTGGATTCAGACATGATCGGATATAGATCGAGTGTGCTTTTTGGGAGTGGAAAGTACGCTGATAAATTCCTATTTTCTTTCCAAATAATAATTTCCAATCAAGAATTATTTCTAGCCAATCTTCTAGATCAAGGATATTGAAATTCCCAAGACTCTCTCGGCAAGCAAAAAAACAAAGAGGCTCAGATTAACAGAAAAGAAAGAAAAAAAACAAAAAAACAGGAGCAATGTGAGAAAAAAAAATATTTCCTTCGATAACCAAGTTTCTTTAAATTTCAATTTCTCCTTTTTTTATTTTTTATTATTGTATTTTTAATATTCCAAATATCTATGGCACCATAAAACCACAAACAAACCACATCGCTGCTGCCCCCATATTTCCCAAATTTTTTGTTTGTTTTGGTAAACAATCACGTGGATGGGTCACTTCACTTTAGTGAGTTCCACCCATTCTACTAGTATTCTTCATTATCTTTAAAAAAGACTTCTAAGTGGAATAATAAGTACTTCATTATAAATTATAGATATGTCATCCTAACAAAAAAAAAATTGAAAAAAAAAAAACCCTAGCCATTGATATATACATAATATCTAGTCCCTATTTCTGCTTGGAACCCATCTTCGATAAACCATTTCCGTTATATTATATTGATTCAATAGCTTTTTCCATAATTTCTGTTGTTCAGTAATATCTTTCTCGATGGCAATTTTCTCCATTATCTTCTGGAATGTCAGCACCAGGGGAACATCAACGCACACAAACACCAACGTCTTCCTCACCCCTCCAATCACTCTATTCAAACTCGAATACTCCACAAAGTCCTCCATGTTCTTACCCGAGTTTTCCACCACATGCAAACAATACTGGGCATGGGATATTGGCGGACCTTTCTCATAAAGAAGAAAATCAACCCCGAATTTGACCCCTGATCTAACACACCATCCGTGAGATCGGTAATGATGGTAAACCGCATAATCAAGAAGAAATTTTTCATTACCAGCTAACCTAGACATAGGAGTAGTCAGCGAATAATATGAATCCACACATCTTTGAAACAATTCCAATGTTGAAAGTTCATTGGAACCGGTGGTCTCTGGGAACACCTTAACTTTATCCAACGCAAGTTGAAGAAAAAATGCTTCCACAGGCATAAGCTGGAGGTATTCTAATTGCATGAGCTTTCGCTTATCTTTATCACTAATCGTTGGATCATTAATGATTAACGCATTATCATCAGGACGGAGCGGACCGGCATATTCGTAAAGCTTTACTTTGTGGGAGCTTTGAAACGCTCGGAAATCTTGGTTTTGTTGCGATAATAGTTTTAAGTCTTCCAATTCACGTTGAATGCGTTTCAAATCATTTTCCATTTCTAACATTTCCTTTTTGGTGCTCACAATTTTTTGTCGATCAATGATCGCCGATATCTGTCGTTCTAACTCCAATTGTTGATTTTCGTAGCTCTCACGTAATTGCTTGAATTTCTTCCGCTCGTTACGTCTCAAGGCAGTAATTTCTTCCGAAGTTAGATCCTTCTCGCTATATTGATCTTTCAAATGAAGTCGTCTTTCAGTTCGTTCGTACCATGTTGGTTCACTTCGACTTAAGATCCCTTTGCCAAAAAATCCATTCTTCCATAACTTGATGGCATCAGACTCCGGAGTGCCAATTTCAATTTCCACTTTGAATACATCATGATCACTGACCTTCACCACAATCTTCTGCAGTGAATTGTCAATACTTTGATGAACCTTCCCCGTGTTATTTATTAGTTGCCCCGATATTTCCAAACAATTTTTTAAATAACTTGATGCAAAAAAAATCCACGAAACCGGATTGTGGGCCACCACTTGCGGAATCACAAAAGTTATATCATTGTCATAAATCAAATCAATTGGAAGTGGGTTTTTATAGATTGAGAGCAATCTTTTCTTATTGAATTTACTCATAGAACGAATAGGAAAAAAAATTGAATATTTATTGAGATGTTTGTTACTTAATACTAGATCCATTCAGTTAGTAATTGTAAGCGAGAAGCATTAAACAATTCCAGGAAATAAAAAATATATTCCTTTTAGATCTTTGTTACTTCTTCAAAAGGAAAAAAAATTCAGATACCGTTGTAGTCTTGAGAAATCATAATTGCTCACATAGAAGATTCAAGCAATAAAATCAAATTATCATCACCTAAAACCAAAGGAAAAAGTAACAAAGAATATCCACGGTCATTGTTTCTGGTGTTGTGGAGTTGATAAAACGTACATTATCCATTAATTCCTTCATCAAAACCTCAGTTTCATAGTCAAACTGTGAAAATCTTTTTTTGTTTTCTTCTTCTAATTCTTTAATGATTTATTAGTTGAAGAAGGAATGGATGAAAAAGAAAAAATTTTCATCGAATTTATAGTTGAAAAAAAAAAAAAAAAAAAAAATAGAAAAAAAGGTCACGTGAAAATGAAACTAACATGCATGAGAGTTGTTAGTTAGTTACACAGATGGAAACCATAGCTGAATCTTACAATGGCTTCTCATTGGAGGAATATACATAGGCACCTATCAACCTGTTAATAATTAAAATTGATTAAATATTGATATGAAATTGAAATTTTTGAGCTCATATTCAAAAGAAAAATTAAAAAAATATAATTGAATAAAAAAATCTACTTATAAATATCAAGATAAATGTAAAACGCCTCAAATGACTAGGAGATTTCAATTAACAATATAAAGAGATGAGAAATGGTAGATCTGATTGAGGCGGAAAAAAAAGGAGAGCTGATTAACAAAATCAGACTTTTAGAATGACTGAAAACTCATTTAAATTAAACACAAAACGCCAACAACCATCGATGATAATATTCCACCAACGAATAAGGTGGTATCATCAGAATTTCCACCAAATACAAGCTTACCAGCAGCTGCATTTTCAGAGGCAGTGTATGAATCTTTGTAATAGACAGTTGATGTAGATACTTGGGTCTTCAGGCGACCAAAGATGTCCAGAGTAGTATAAGTGACATGCTTTGTAGTGAAATGGACTTTTGAAGTCAACCCATGGGAGCCATACCCACGGAACACTGTCTCGTTATCTTCAAGATCCTGCAATTCAGACTCAGTACCTGATGAGAGATCAACGCTCTCTGGATCGACGTATTCAGGACCAGAACTACTAACGAATGAGCCATCCATTTGATTCGAGGAAACTCCGCCAATAAAAGAGCTGTTGAGATTATTGTAAATCTTTGCAGCACTGTTAAAATTTGAGAATGTCAAAAGGACAATGGAAACATTAGAGATAAGCTTTGCTGGCATTTTTTTGTATGACAAAACAGAATGGATTATTTTTGATACGAGTATGATTATTATTTTTTATAATATTAATTCATATATTTATTGATTTGTACAAGATCTCAAAATTGAAGATTTCATATCTCTTATATATTAGGATTGGAAGCCATTTCCTTACTTTCCAGTGTCCTTCATTTGCTGTCCAGGATAGATTTATTTTCCTTCAATGTTACGCCCACTCACAAGTTTGCTATTTGAGCTAGATAGAAAAAACAGAAAAAAAAAATGTAGTAATGGAAATACCTCTAAGAGATAATAGGACTAGCAACTTTTTTTTTTTCCATGAGTTGCTAGGATATTCTTGCTTCTCATTTGGTCCTACGGAACAAAAATATAGACCTGACAAACGTTTGCGTGGCATGGCAGTGATATCTAATTGAAGAGTTTAAAGACGAAATAAATGTCCCTCAGTAGTTGAAATATGAGGAACTATTTTATATATCACATGGACCACTTAATGATACGCTACATTATTTGAAAGGGTATATTAATTTTGATATTTTAGTAACATTATGCATGCGGACCAGTTAGCAATTTGCTTGTTTTTCATTATCATTACATTGATATTAAGAATAATCTCTTTGATAACTAATAATGTATTTAGATATATATAATTGGAAATAAGGTACCAAAAAAAAAGCAACTCAACATGACGTCCCAGGATATAATTGGAGTGCCACACCACTTGGCTTTCAGGAGATCTACTGCCCGTGGAATAGAGAATTTATCCCTTTTTTTTTTTTTGGAAAATATACCCATTAACACCATCTTAGGATTTCACTTACATTGCTGAATTACATAGTGCATAACAATATTTCAACGGCCATTTAAAATATCTATAGCTGAAGTTCAGAGTGTACCTTATGTGGAGCATATCATATGACAAAATTACATTCTAAGATTTCCTTTACCCCCAAATGGTACAATAACATTTTAAATTGTGTCAAGTTCTAACACAGGAAAAAACAAAAGGATAAGCAAGCAAGATAGATATAGTAGTAGTATATCAAAAAAAAAAGGAAAAAAAAAGTATCAGCAAGTAAGATAACAGTATATAAATGAAAATAAGAAATAGTACTATAGGACCAAAAGCACACTACAGGCAAAAGCAAAAAACGGAGGAGAAAAAGGAAAGTGAAATATAATCAACCAATCTAATGTAAGGAGACAAAGCTCTTTCTATTGAAATCTCATGCAAAAAATTTCTTTGGGTTTTTTTAGGGTTTTTTTTTGTTTGTTTCATCAAGCTAAACAGCTGTTATGGCAATCACCAATCATCATCGTCTTTCTCTTCATCGCTATCGCTGTCATATTTACCCATCTTTTTAGCGATTGCCGAAGCCAAATCTTCTCCAAACCCAACGGACTGAGGACCAGGAGTGGCAGCAGCAGAAGATTGCGCAACCGAGGCACCAGAACTATATCCAGCAGTAGCAGCCATGGGGTTTGTTACTTGATCAGCATAACCATTGGATACTGGTTGGCTGACAGCAGCTGGAACAGCGGCAGCGACAGCTACAGACTTGTTAGGATTTTCACATTCCGCAACATAAGCGGCAGGCACCCATCCTTCTTTGACGAGATCCAAAGTTTTGGCCAACCACCAGCCATTGGTTTCTTTCTTGGTGATATAAACAACATCTCCTACATTAATAGGTAATTCTGTGGCTGCTCCAGTACCTTGAAAAGTATAAGCTGCTTTATATGTAGGATAATCCGGTACCGCAGGAATTTGGGAAACAGGAGGGGCCGGTGCTTGAACGGGTTGTTGAGCCACTGGCTGTTGAACCACTGGCTGTTGAACCACTGGCTGTTGAACCACTGGCTGTTGAACCACTGGCTGTTGAACCATAGGTTGTTGAACCATAGGTTGTTGAGCCACTGGTCGAGGTTGATGGTGGGAAACTGGTCGCTGAGGAGTCACCACTGGTTGAGGCAGAGAAACAACTGATCTTCTTGATGGCGGAGTAGGAGCCGGTCTCTTAGATTTTCTAGATGGTGGGGTAGGAGCCGGTTTCGAAGCTCTGATTGGCTTTGGAGGCGGAGTTCTTCCCGATGACTTGGAGAATTGCAGTGGAGGAGCAGGAGGAACCTTGTGAGCTTGTGGGCGTGGCTGCTGTTGAGGAGCCATCACAGGCTGCTGCTGCTGCTGTTGTTGTTGTTGTTGTTGCATCATTGGAGGAGGAGGAGGAACCTTGTGAACCGCAGCAACAGCAGCATTATTACCATAATTGTAACCATTGCTCACCTGTGAAGAAAATGTTTTGGTTGGCGCAGGATTATAACTGACGGCTTGTCTCACAGTATCACTAACACCGGTCGCTCTGGTTTTGTAAGGATATTTAATATCACTTGGTTTTCCCTTTGGTTTCTTTTTGGAAACAGAGTTTGGTGGCAAACCTTGACGAACTATGATAGTAGAAGATTTATAGTTGTCATAGTTTGCTGGGGCAGCTGGACTGATTTGCGACTTGATCTTATGGAATTTGTTTCCTGCTTTCTTCCTATATTCAATAACCGGGCCAATAGTAATCTGGAGAGAGTTATTGACCTTCTTCAAGTGTGTAAGCAATTCTGTCTTGAAAACACAATTAAGGAAGTAATCTGGACTAGTGGATTGAGCCATGTTGATAGCAATCCAGTCATCTTGCAAATTAGTCAAACTGACAGCTTTAATTCCAGAAACACTAATATTAGCTTCCACAACGTAGCTGACCTGGTTTTCCACCACAGATTCACTAATTATATAAAAGTTACTGTTTGTTAAAATGAAAATCTTTGGCAACCTAAGAGAAGATCTACCAAATTTGGATTGCAACAACTCCCCTCTAATTGAAAAAACAACCTTGTCATTAATGCCAGTTTTCTTTACAATAATTCTTCCGATCCCACTATAATCATTACAAGCCAAGTAATCACCCAAAAACTCTCTAGATCCCAACATTGACATTGATCTTCTTTCCTTTCTTGAGCCCAATAACTTGGTACCATAGTCACGAACTTGGGCAAACTTGTTACCATCTTTACGTTCTCTCCATAATCTTTGAAAAACCACGGCGGCCGCCACTTTTCTTTTCCAATATTTTCTCCAAGCTCTTTGGATTCTTGCAGCCATATTGTGCCAATACTTATCCTTCATTGTTTCAAGAGCAAACAAAGTCTCTGGACTCTTGATGAAAATTTTAGTGACACCTAATTGATATTCACTGGTTGGAATGGCGGAGTCTTTTAAGATTTGAACACACGCACCTTGTGCTTCACCTTCCCAAATATAGTCACCAGCATAGGAACATTTAGGTGATAATAAGTAAAATCTTTCGGCGAATTTTTCAAAAGTTGTTCTATAAGCAAAACCTGCTCTTCTAATACGAACGTTTTCCTTCAACCCCAAATACTTGACTTGATGCAACACTTGTTTCTCATCATATTCTAAAGGACCTTTTCTTTGATTTGGTTTAATGGTTCTGATATAAGATGGAGTGGCTTGAGAAAGGGTTTCCACTAACAAATTGGCAGATTTTTTGATCTTGTCACTGGCGGTGGTTGGCTTACCTCTCTTATTGACCTCTGGTTGATAAGCTGGGCCGAACAAAGTTTGCGATAAGAAACCATTTTGGGATGTTTCCACCATTTCTCTCAAATCCTTCAACATTTGATCTTTGTTCTTGTCGGTCATGTTGGCAAGTTCGTAGTCCACATCACCAGCATAATGCTTAATAATGAATTTAGCAGATCTCAATTCAAAATGCTTGTTACTAGTCACCATATTCAATCTTTGACTAAAAGAAGAATCGGCGGCCGCAGAATCCGCATGGGCAGTGGCACAAGCATCATTCAAGGCGGCAAAAATCCCCACTGGTCTAGTGTTTTCAATCAAATCACAAACAACCTTGTTATTGAAATAATCAATTGGTTTCCATTCAATTTGTTCACGGACATATTCTTCTTGTTCAGCTTTTAAAGTCAACTCAATAAAAATTTGTTGAAGTTTCTCATTCACATAATTGATACACAATTGTTCAAAAGAATTATGTTCAAAGATTTCAAAACCGTAAATATCCAAAATCCCAATAGAGTTGGCTTTTGGTTGGTTTAAATTATTCAAAGACTTGTTAATTCTGTCCACCAACCAGTCAAATAAGTTACTATAAATACCTTTAGCTAAAGCGTCTCTAACCGCAGTCGCTTGCACAATATTTAAAGGAATGTGGAAGGTTTCACCTCCTCTGCCGGGTGTTTCCATTGTTCTCTCAATGATGGCCTTTGTCAAGCTGTCGCTACCAACCCCCAAAAGGTATGCCACAAAGTCAGTAACTGAAGTATCAGCAACGGCAGCATTCTCTTCTTCGTTGAATTTGAAAGTAATATTACCAATCCACAAAACACCCGCCAAAACTCTGAAAACTTCATCCTGTTCGGCTTGGGATAAACCAATTGTGGTCATGGCTTGCAATGTATCATTCCATTCACGAGCATCATCGATAGATGTAACCGATGTACAAGTCTTGGTATATCTATAGGATTCGGGTCCTTGAATACCATACAGGCTTCTGTAGTTCTCTGGAGCGTTTTTCGTTAATTGATAAAAGATATGGAAATTTCTCTCATTATCAATCTGTTGAACAACTCTATTTTTTTCTAATAAATAATTGGTGATGTTACCGGAGACTGGTTCCGATTTCTCATTGAAGTTGATTTCAAGATATTTACCAAATCTTGAGGAGTTATCGTTTCTCAAAGTCTTGGCATTACCAAATGATTCCATAATAGGGTTGGTGGCCAACACCATATTCTTGATTTGTTGAACCGATTCGGAATGGGATCCTCCAGAAACCGAGGAAATGTACTGCATGATACGTTTAGCGGCTTCGGTTTTACCAGCACCGGATTCACCAGAAATGATGACACACTGACTTTCATGATAAGATTTTAAATTATAATACATCGATTCGGCGATGGCGAAAACATGGGGCGCCACTTCCAATCTATTTTTACCAACGTACGATTCGATGACTTTATCGGTGTAAATTCCCAAGTCTTTGAAAGGGTTGATGGAGATCAACACCGGACCAATAAAAGTATAGATGATCCCTGCCTTAAAACGTTGCATCAAGTTCTGATTGATATCATTATCACTGATATTCTTCAATAGTGTTAAATCAGCTAACCCAACTTCTTTCTTTTTGCCGGAATCAAAATGGGCCTTTTCGATTTTGCCCTTCTTCTGCGGCTCTTGACGCTTGCCGGCATTTCTCCTCCTTGTGATAGCCATATTGGTGAGAAGAGCAGTATTATTTGTAAAGGCTATCTAATCCGAAAAAGGAAAAACACAAAAGAAATCCACTTACTGGGGTCGAAACAGATCTGTAGTAGCTGAAAAAAATAGGAGATATTGACAACTTTCAAGAATAGACGAGAAAAAAATCAAATTCCGCCTCCTAGTCACATGGCCAACCATAGCCTTGAGCATGGTCCGCCCCGGTGGATCCTATGTAATGGTGTTTACAAAAACAGCAATAATAATAATAATAATAATAATAATAATAATACTTTATATCATACAGACTATAATACAATTACAAACGGATATTTATCCAGTTACTTGCCTCCTCGACGCTCCTAAAATGAAACTTGTAAGGTTCTATTTCACTCTTCACCTTATCAGAAATAAAGACTTTAGCATCGACTCGGTCATATTCAATATTCTCAAGGTAAATTAAAGGAGCAAATTTGATAAACATTGAGTTGGCTTGAGAAAACTTGGTGATTACCAAGCACATATTCAATAAAATAAGACAACAGTCTAATACTTCATTGGTGGCCTTACTCTTGTATCTCACATATGCGTGCTTCTTATAATGAACATCTGAACGCTTCACTTCAAGATTTTGAATTCTCGAAATATATGCCCTGGTGACCGCTCTATCAAGAACAGAGTGAAGCTGGAAACTATACTTGTTAATCAACATAGATGTTTGGAAAACAATGGTATTCTCTGGGTCGTCTTTATCTAAAAGTTTCTCTAAGCCTCTCATGATTTCTTTTGTCTGGATCATTTGGTAATAAAATTCACCCGATAGAAGTTTATCAAATTTAGCAGAGTTCTGTTGCTTGATCCAATTTTGTAAATGCAGAACTTCTTTCATTTTATCCATATCTAGGATCAATTCTGATTCTGCCAATTTGATAAGATAAGCATCGTATGCATAATAGGATTTAGTGATCCAACTGAGATATAATTTGAATATTTGATTTTTTATTATCATTCCTTGATCTGATAAAAATCTCGTCATTGGGGAAAGTAACAATCTCTTGTGAATCTTCCTCAATTCTTTAACCGGTCTGAATATAAGATCATATAGACCTGGGTCCAATTCTTCAGGGGATTCCATGGAATCTTGGATATATTTGTCTCCTATTTCCAAAAAATCAGCGGCAGAATCAACAAAAAACTGTTGTCTATGAATCAATTCAAATATTGCCGATTGGATTTTCTGAACATTCCTATCATACTTGGCCAAGTCATCTTTATCCATTCTCCAATATTGAACCCACTCTTGACAGATATAGCCATAGTTTTCATCTTCTAATTCCTGAATCGTCTCCAAAATGTTAGCTTTGAGCAAAGAAACAGCCTGCTGTTTACTTGAAACTCTCACAAAGGAATTAACTTTGATAACGCTTTGAATTTGACTATTATTTGAAGATGCACACCTGTAACATACAATCAAGCTTCCAGATTGATCCAAAAACGCCGACATCAAATCTTTATTGACAAGCTTTTGATTACACGTGGAACACACACAACAATTTATATGCCATTTCTTTTTGGATTGGGGCTCTCTGATACACGGCTGGATCAAGATATCTTTCAGACAGTTGGAACATATCGACTTTTCTTCCAACCATTGTTCCAATTTTTGAGTAATTTGAAATCCTCTTTTCCTATTAATATCAATATTTTGCAAAACTTTGGTAAATGACCACAACGTATTATTGCTTTTTTTGATAGATACGAATGCCAATAACCTTTGAATAATGTAAGATATCATATCCATGATCACCACACTCATTGAATGAGCTACAGAGGTGACTTCTTGTTTGATATACTTAGGATCAATAGGGGGGAAAATTGAATACTTGAGCATTTTTTTGACTAATGCGTAGACCTTTTCAGTCTCATCTTTCAATCCAATTATTTGATCGAATAGGGTATCTTCGTAGTCTTTAGTCAAAAAGCAAAAATATGTCAGTATATTCAATATTTGTTCGATATCACATATGATTAGGCCAATGACTTCTAATGTCTTATGTTTTTGGCGAGCCAAACAGCAAAGCTTGAACACATTCAAAGCATTCTCAATTCTTCCATAAAACTTATTAGTGTACTGTACCAAAGCACTAACCATTTTTGGATCGTTCAAACCATTCAACGTTACTGTCAATTGATACTTTTCTTCAAACTCTTCAATTTGTTCCTCACTCACAGATAGTATCTCGCCAGCAAAGGTTTCCCTTGATATTGATTCCGGACTTGTTAAATTTAGCGATGATAAGCTGGCATCTTCAATTTTCATTACCCCATGTTTTTGAGGCAAACTTCTGGTAGATGAGTTTGCACCGCTCCTAAATGCAGAAGATGATGATGATAAGTCACTTAGCGATGTACTCCTAATCGAGCCATACCTGCTGAATGCCATCACTACGAATCAAACAAAAGATTGAGTAAAAAATTCCAGGCTCTCTTCTGTATATTCCAACTATGTTATCTCACCAGCTGGGGACGGTCTGGTGGGCGTAATTTTTTTTTTTTTTTTTCCTTAATAAAGTTGATCTGTCTGTTACTTGGAATCGCCTAAACTGACATGTTCATTACCAATTTTTTTTTTCTTTTTTCCTCCGCCAGGAAAGTTCCGAGGGTGTGGCGCACGAGGTATTGCGACCGAGAGATTTCGGATCCCCAAATTGCTGAATAATATAACGATATCCTTTATCGCGATATATTAGTAGAGGAGCATAGTGAATAAGGAGTGGGTAGAGATGACCATGAAGAGTTTCCCTGTTCTCAATGATGCTTCTTTGGAAGATGCCGTAGAAAAGCTTTTACACTGGTCGCTTGTTCACGGGTTAGTGATGTATCCAACCGGTTTCAAGAGCTTCAATACCAATGCTGCCCCAGTGACCCTTTTCCCAACCCCATTCCCAAGAGATGGCTTGAACGCAGCCCTTAATGTCCAAACTCTATTCAACGAGCTATATGCCAAAGTTGCTACTGATGAAGAATGGCTCAGCTTGATTATGGATGAACTTATCGATGTTGATAAGGAATTTACTGGTAAGCTTTGGCAAACCCATAAGAGAGCCAAGGAAATTGGCATTTCTCAACCATTATCCTTGAGTTTAGTGAGAAGTGATTATATGCTTGACGAAAACACCGGGAAAATCAAGCAAATTGAATATAATGCCATTTCGGTATCTTTTGGGGGTCTTTCTCCAAAAGTTTCTGATTTGCATCGTTATTTGAATCATGCTGGTGCTTATGATTCAAGAGGATCTCAGAAGTATTATGAAGATGGTGAATTGGCAACTACAGAAGCCTCAGACAAACTAGTTGAAGGTTTCAATGACGCAGTGAAATTATACAATGGCAGAGCAGATAATAACACAACTATTGTATTAGTTGTAGTGCAAGAAAATGAAAGAAATGTCTTTGACCAAAGACATTTGGAATATGCTTTGTTGAATAACCATGGAATTAAATCACAAAGAGCTACTTTAAGTGAAGTTTCAAATGTAACTAGAATTGATTCCGAGAGTAAAAAGATTTACTATATTCCAACTGGTGATGAGATTTCGGTAATCTATTATAGAACTGGCTATTCTCCAAGTGATTATAGCTCTGAAGCTGATTGGGAAACAAGACTACAATTGGAAACCTCAAAAGCAATTAAATGTCCAACGTTGTTATCTCAATTGAGTGGTGCCAAGAAGATTCAGCAGCTTTTGACCGATAGAGAATTGGTTTCTAAATATATCTCCAAGCTGAATATTGATACCCTTTTTTCAAAATTTGTTGATATATGGCCATTAGACAATTCTGAGCTTGGTAAAAAGGCAAAGAAACTAGCATTTGAATGTCCAGAGAAGTTTGTCTTGAAACCTCAAAGAGAAGGTGGTGGTAATAATATCTATAAAGAAGATATTCCGGGCTTTTTATCAAAGCTTCCGGAAGATAAGTGGAATGCCTATATTTTAATGGACTTGATCTCCCCGTCAACCCATAAGAATACAGTAATTCGTGAAGACAAGTTGTATACCGAAGACGTGGTCAGTGAATTGGGTATTTTTGGGACTATCATTTGGGATAGTGGCACTGGAGAAATCAAAAGCAATAAGACCGCTGATTACTTATTGAGATCCAAGTTTAGCAGTAGCAATGAAGGTGGTGTCGCTGCTGGGTTTGGGTGCGTTGATAGTCTTTACTTATACTAATCTTTCAATATTGTAGAGGATGTTATGATTATATTATTAAAGATAATAGATTTTTGTTTGCTAAAACCACAGATGGAGCTCTGATTTTTTTCTTCATTTTTCTCCCTTTTTTGTCACTTAACTTTATTTTGTTTTACTATTTGTTTTATTCTCTTTTTCCTTCAAATCCCCTCCCCTACTCTCTTTTTTTTTTGTCAAAGCCGTGGAGTTTTCCCAATACAATTTCTAGATTACTATTACTATTCTATCAAATCTTCTGCAAACAAGAAAGTAACAGATAAATATAATCAGACAAAAGGAATGTACCCAATTTATTTACAACTCCAATACAACAAATTTCTGCCTTAAACAATCTTATGTAAAAATAAATAATGATGCAAATATATAACCACAGAAAAAGAAAAAAAAAGACTATTCTATTTACGATCCCAATAAACCTAGCAAAAGATAAAAATGAAAGAAAAAAAAAAAAAAAATCCTTCAACAACCCGCGTAATAAAGCTATCATCTTCGTCTCTTTTCATTCTCGAAATTGCCAGAAAAGCTTGTAGTAGGGGATAGGTGACTATTAGAAGAATCAATAGTCACATTACCACTATTCAATTGAATTGATGGTTTATTTACAAGTCTCTTCAGCTCATCACTATCAGTTAAATACAACTTTTTAGCATGACTCTTGACAACTTTTTCTCCTTTTACTCCATATGTTGATGCCCCATCATCCAAAACCATGGAAGCATTGTCTATAGATCTCATCGGAGTTATAGTAGCGTCAACATATATTGATGACATTCTAGAGCCCGACAAATCCAATTTTTTTCTTTCAGTATTTGCACTGGTGTTTGAGTTGGTACGGCATATTGTGTTGTCTAAGCTGTGCAATTGTGGATTGTGTACCAGTATCGAAGCTCGCATTGGAGGAGTCTTAGGGTTTTGCAATTCACCATATCCATATCTGCTGAGGGTATTAGTGGTGTTAATAGATTTATTATCCATCATACTATGGGCTTCATCGTAAAAGGTCTCAACATAGCTGATATCATTTCGAATGGAAATAGGTTTCGAATCTTTGTGTTCCAATAAATCTTTACGGAGCTTTTGGATTTGACCATGCTTGTCCCTTAGAGAATTGGTCAATTTACTAACAGCCTTCTTTAGTTTCTTAATGTCCATATCCTTTTGGCTTATTTGCTCCACGCATCTAGATTGTAACCTAGCAAGATTTTCATTATGCTTTTCAGTCATTTTTTCAATTTCCTCCGCAAAATTTTTTTTCAACTCCTTAGATTCCTTTTTGGTTACTCTTTCAGATGTTTTAAACATTTCTTTTTTATCATATAACAACCGCACTTCTTTGTTCAATTCCTGAATAGTTTTAAAGTCTTTTAGATGCTGTGGTTCACCATCACCCACAGAGTCCTTATCCAAACTTTCGACTAGTTTCCTTTGACTTTCACTGTAAGAGATCTTTCGTTTTAAGTTCATTATAAGCGTATCTTTATCATTTATGAGCTTTTTTATGTTTTCTGTTTGTTTTTTTTGGTCCTGGATAATTCTTTCACTTGTGCTTTGTGCATTTTTCAAATAAAGAACTTCGTCTCTCAAGTCCCGGATTTTTTGCAAATTCAACAGGTCATTGGTCTTTTTTCTAGATTTAGTTATAGTATACTCTCGAGTTATCTTTTTTTGTGCTTCAATTAAATGATCAAGTTCCTTTTTATTGTTATGTTGCTTGAGATATTCGAGCTCATTAGCTTTAGTCATATCAAGATATCCTTTATATTTCTGATTTTTTAGTTTCTCTAATTCATTGTTCGTCATTAGTCTAATCATATTTGAAAATTCTGCATCATTAGCGACTAATAAAAGTTCACGTCTGTAATATTCTAAAATCTCGCTCAATTCTTTATTCTCTTGCTTTAACTTGGAGTAATCATCTTTATTGCTATTGGGGAAGGAGTTTGAATCCAAGGGTACCAAACTAGGGGATTCTATAGCTGATGATGCACCCACATTTGGCGAGGAGGACTTATCATTGTTCTCTTTTCCATCCGAAGATGTAGTAAATGAGGGCTCTTTAGAGAAAAGTTGAGACTGTCTGTTCAAAACAGACATCAAATCACTTGATTCATTGATATCCAAATCTTTGAAAGAATCATTAGCCAAAGAAGCTATACTTTGCTTTCGTTGCCTGGATATTGAATTGCTTTTGCTCAAAAGCGACAGTTGTCTATTGGCTATTGATTGTATCGAATCAAGCGGGTACAATAATGGGGATTCAAGATTACTACTGAAAAAGCTAGGAGAGCTGCCAGTATTTCCCAATCCGGATTTCTCATGAAGATCGTATCCGTAAAGTTCTACTTTAAATAGGTTGATTAGTTTGAATAGCTCATTAGCGTTTTCTAATTTCTTTTCATTGGAACGAATTTTCATAACCCCAATTTCACTATCATCATTAAGGAATAGTTTAAGGATGTTTTGATTAATGATATTATCTGGAGGGTAGAAGAATTTAGTACTAATGTTTCTATCGAACTTCAAACAATACCATAGCAATTCGCTTGGATTAGACTTTTTCTCTTTCTGCCATCGCAATTTACCTGATTTTGTCAATTCGTCCTCCGTTGAACAAGAAATTAAATCTTCATTGAAAAGATGATGCACTGTTATATCCCTGGAGTTTGTGAGAATGTCATCTTCATTGAAAAATGTTAGGTGCTCCATTTCCACAAAATCTTTTAAATTGACTCCAAATTTAGTCTGAAAGAAATCCAAAGGAGATTTGATGAAAGCCAACGCAGTGTTAGGGAATAAACCATAGAGTAATGTGTATAATTTTGCAGATTGGTTATAATTGAAAGCGCCTTGATTGATGTCCTTGTAAATTATAGTCCATTCGGTGAGTCCAGAATTAGAAAGGATTTTTAGTGAACCATCACCAAATCCAGGAATTAATTTTTTATTTGTAGATACTTTATCAAACACCAATCTCTGTAACATTTTTTGAAAATCATTGTATTGGAAACTAATGAACATTTTTAAGCTTCGGTTGTACGATAATAATCTGATTAATGTCACTAACATTAGTAGAATCAATTTGTTGAGCTCATCATAAAAAGCAGGAAGAATTGTCACAAAAATGGTCAAGGCGTAGTTAAGGATTATAACATCATTGTCATAAATTAGACAGTAGCAAATAGATTTGAATAAGCCCGTTTCGAAAATGGCTTTGACGTCAACTTTAAAGTCACCAATTGCATGAGATTTGTTGTAAATATTTTGAACTTTTCTCTTTAATTCTTCGTCCAGTATATCTGAGTGATTTCTTTCATCATTATCAGTCACCGCTTCAACCAATGTTTTAAAGTATGAGGGTTCTTTCTCCTTTATGGCGCTATCAGATTTGAGGATTTCCAAGTTAAGAACAAAAGACTCTTGATCAATTAAATTCAACAACAATGATAATGTATCTAGCCGGAAAGATGGGACCTTCATGTAATCGTTGAAAATTTCGAAACCGAATTGTGGGTCATAAATTAGGAACTCAAGTAGTAAAGGACGAATGTTTAGGTTGATAAATCTCTTGGCTTCATAGCTTTCCATAGTTTTAATACTTTCTTCCTTGATCTCTGGTGATTCTTCATAGCTAATTTCTAATACTTGAGTGAAAATTTCAAGATCCAGAGATGCATTTATGGTAACAATGTGATCTTTTTGGTAAAAATTCAAGTCATTATTGAAATATAGATTCAAAAGGAGTTTAAAAAGATAGCAAGAATTTTTTGATCGTATTTTTCTGAAATTTTGAAAAGAATTCAAATCAGAGTTTCCCATTGATTGATGGGCCATCACTATCACTGATTTCAAAAAGTACCTGGAAACAACAACCACATCATTTGATATCCCCGGGGAATTCAAAGCAAAAGTCAAGCATTCATTTATCCAGTATAATAAGTGCCTGAAATTGATTATGAAAGGGCCTAACAATGTCAATATATGGAAGTATGTTACTCGATTTTTCTTATTCTTGTGAATGACCTCAGTATATAGTTGACGTAAATCATCATGGAAAGAAGAGTCCTCAAGCATATCCAATGCACTATCCTTGTTGAATTCTTTTTTGAACTGATCTATTTGAGAGACCAAAGAACAAGAGAAGGGTAATTCCAAGGCATTTGGGAAAGCTTTATCAAAGCTTTGTTCTAGCGCCTTGAATAAAGCTTTTCGAGCACCTTCACCTCCCATATCAATAAAAAAATAGCAAAATTAGAGATTTTCTGGTGATCTTCTATTGGGGGATCGCCTCCTTGATGAGAAAGACCTGTTATTCTGCTCGATTACAGGGCAATATGGATAAAGAAATTGTAAAGGTATATATATCCATATATATTTTTCGATGCCAAGTCAAGATTTTGTAAAACAGTATTATTGACAACCTTCTGATTACTATTTTTCTGGATTTTTTTTTTTTTTTTTTTTTTTTTCTCGGTCGGCGGTGCATACTCACATTGATTGCAGCAGGCCCCCGACCCGAGGACTCAATTTCATCAATTGACCAACGTAAGCGTACTACAATAACGTTCAGAGAAAAAAAAAGTGCTGAGCTTAGTCATATTGCTTACAGCTGTAGAATAAGCATTTCTCATGCCTTGCATAGATATTGGAATTAAATGTTAGAAAATAATCATTGGTTCTCACTTCCTCACTTTATACTTGGAGACTGAGAACTCCAAGACAGCAAATTGATCAACTCGATTAATTATTCGAGAGAGATATTTCTTGTTCTTTAATTTTGCTTAAAATTTATTTTTTGATTTTTAAAAACTCTTCTTCTTCTACTTGCCTACTTGGGATCCTTTTAGGTGGGTAACCATTACTCTAACCAAGGGATATATCTACATTAAATTGACGAATATTAATAAATTTAAATAAATACCCAGATAGATAGGCAATATCAAGAGCAAAAAACTGAAAGGTAAGAATAAAACAATCTGTTTATTGATTATTCCCACAAAAATTAACCAGGTATTAAGCATCTAAACTCCAAGAACCCAAGAACTAGAAACAAAAACAATACAAAAAAAGATTAGAGAAAAAAAAGATTATTCTAACACTGCTAGCTAAAACTGACCCCGAAAAGTTATTGAATTTAGCGGTTTCCGTCATTCTCAACTTCAGTATCCTTTATCAACTGTTGGTTCAACTTGGTTATTTTGCTGGTCAATGTCTCCAATTCTTCAAAATCGGGATCGTTTTCATACATCAAGTATTTATCCTCACGACGAAGTTTCTTGACTTTCATTCTATCAGCAATGATCTGCTGGAAGGTTCTAACTTGTGGGATTGCTGTTGCATCATAACCCATACTAAAGCCCAATAATTTCTCTTCAACCAGGAAGTGGACCCTTTTATTATCTATGGAACGCAATTGGCTCTTCTTGATGATCCCTTTAGGTGAGGTACCCGAGGAAGCAGAGCTACTAGCCCTAGGTGAAATAAGTCTGGTATGCTCATCAACCGAGGACATTTTATCTAACTGAGAAATTTAAAACCTTTTGAATATTTTTAGTGGAGACAGATCATAGAATATTCAAGCACATTGAAATGGAAGAGTGATTCTCAATTACCACCGTTGTATTTATTCTTGGCGCAACCTTCAATAGATCAAAATGATACAAGGAAACAAAAGAAAAGGATAAGCCGTTCTTGAAAGTTTATAGAATACCGAAATGAGTGCCCTGGTGATGCACTGCTATTCTTTCTCACGTGATTTAGATAAGAAGGTGGTGAGGACTTGCTTTTGATTATATATATAATATATAATATTTATAATCAACTAATGCTTTTGATAAACGGAAATGACCAAATTATTGCTTCATGACACATGCATATATATTGAGAAGAGTGGCTCTGAATCCTTCGAAGGATAGGTATCCCCAGGTATAGTATCTACATAGCGCAATTGCGCTTAATTTCCAATTGATAGTATTTACTGACTCTTTTGATAACGCTGGCATTATAATAAATGAATGGTAAACCATATAAAATCCGAATATCTTATTGATTGTGATTGTGTATTGAAAATTTGTATTGGTGGAACTTATCTTCGAATCTCAATACTATTTTCAAATTCCCTTCGACTACTTTCCTTTAAAACTCTGGATAGTTTCAATTGATTATTATTCCATATTTTAACAGTATTTATGGATGTACTACAAAAACTTATTGAGATTTCTACTGGATAAAGTGACACAAAAAGTGGGAGAACTATATGAGCCAAAAATTTTTGAGAAAAGTGCAAAAAACAATCATCGGGAAGTGTCGAAAAATGAGTGGAAAAAGAAGAAGTGTCAAATAGTGGATTTAATAAATTTCAACATATGAATTAAAACAATTTCTTTAAAACAAAATTGGCTGCTCATTAATAATGTATATATATTTCCAATACAATAGTAATACTCGGGAATTATAAAATAGCGTTTAAGAAGTTTATCAAGTAGAGAAAATTAGAAAGAACATTTTTATCAAGAACAGTTAGTGCTGCTCCATTTTTCCAACCTCGGTTACTCTCTTATTTCCTATCATTCTCTCAAGATACTTGTCTTAATCTCTGCTTTGATTATTTGTGTTGACCTTTCTGTTAATTTTTCTTATTATTTCCTATTTTATCCAACTGTTTTTGTCTCCACTGTTTACTTAACATTTTTAGAAAGATGTGTCGAATAAATTTAACAAAAAAAAAATATATTTCAGATCCATGAAATTAGGTATCTATCGGTTGAATTTTTTTTGAGTTTAAAATAATGAGGAAAGGTTGAAAAGTGATAAGCTGGTTGCTATAATTCCCAGGTCGAATTGTTTCCACTATTATCTGCATTTTAGAACTGCATTGATCAGCAGAGGAAAAAGAGAAGAAGAAGAATAATAATAATAATAATAATAATAGTAATAGTAATAATAATAGTAAAATAACACAGTAACTGGAAATTAAAATGCTACTTGAAATTATAATGATCTTACCTCACAATTGTAGCTCACTTGAATATGTTGATGTAATGTCATGCTGCGAATATGCAACCTCCAGATGAGAGCTGAAATCTATCAACATTCTATACAGCATATCTATCAGTGTATCCTGGAAACGAAAATATATCAAATAGAATAATATCATTGCGCAAAAGTGATTGAGTAAGAATAAGATGAAAAGAATGGCACTTCCCTACTCTTCCATATGTAGAAAAGAACCTTACAAGGTTGGGAAGTCACCTTATGCTATAAATATTTTCTCCGCGCTCATGACACACCATTTTCACTATTGTTATTTGTCTTCTTTTATTTATTTTCGTTCCCCCAAATAAATGCAATTTTTTTAATTTGATCATATTCCTAAAGATAGAATCACTTCATATATCTGATTCTCGAAAGATTGATATCGTTAGACCGAGTACAGTATCTTGATTGGTTCAGATCCATCTGGCTACCCGACTTAATTCTTGCAACAGGTAACCCAACGTATCAGCGTGACCTGGAAATCTCTGTTGTATTCCTGTGCCTCTCGAAAAATTGGCTTATCATTAAAAGGCTATTATACCAATTGGTGTAAAATATCAATACAATTTCTCCCCTATTTTTTTTTTTTCTATCTCTTTCTTGGTTTTGATTTAAATTCTTCCCATTATATCCATGCTTCGTGCTCTTGGGCTCAGGAAAGCTGAAAGCAGCGCCAATTTAGCTGGGGCCGCTGCCAAGCAGGCTGATGAAAACGTCAATGTCATTCTTGAGGAATTTCATGATTTCGAGTTAACTCTCCAAGCTATGGACTATGTTCTTGATGATCAGTCTGCAAAAGGTGTTCAAATCATTAATAATGCAATTAAGGAAAAAGGCCGCCTCCCAATCTTTGTTCTTGGGTTGGGTGTGATCGAATTCATTGAAGCCACGTTAGGGTTTGAAGTAGAAACCATGAACCGTGCCAAAACCACCCTCACTGAAGCTGAAGCATTGTCAACTAAAATGAAAAATCATCACGAAAGATCAGAAATTAGAACTAGTTCCATATACCCCCCAGGAACTGAGTACGCAGTGACATCCGCTGAGTCAAATCTCCTTGTGGCATTAATTATGTTGTTAAGTGAGAACGTCATCGAGTCTGCCAAAGCGCTATACAGATTGCGAAAGGCATACCACACATTAGATGATATCAACAAATCTATACAGCAGCACAACAGAAAGAGAGCATTATTAAGCAAACAAAATGCCTCAGTGCCAAATTTATCGGGATCCATGAATGCTTCAAAATCCACCTTGACTTCCTTTTCCGACCTTAGCTTGAGCAATAATGAGTTGACTCTCAAAGAAGAAACTCACAAAGAAGATTGTTTTGCACATGTTCCAGTGAAATTATCAAGTAAACAAAGAAGCGATATCAAGATTTTGAAGATGGCAGAGAAAATCTATCAACTAAAAAAATCACGCTTCGTTGGCTCAAATATTGGGAACTCCCCAGCCAGTGATAGACACAGAACGGAAATTGGTTATTCTTCAAATTCGCTTTCTGACAATGAGTCTAATACCTCAGATTTTGTGGATGCTGAGGAGGATGTCCCAATCAATACAGAAACTACAACAGATGCAATCGATTTACAAGCAGAGCTTTTGGGTAAGCTTGATAGTTTCACTATTGATGAGTTCATCCACTCTGGTGTCAATTTGTGTTTTGGTATCCTTCAAGTGGTTCTTCTGTTAATTCCACCAGCTATTGGCCGTGTTTTATCTATCGTTGGGTTTAAAGGATCTCGCGAAAATGGTCTTCAAATGCTTTGGGATGCCACTCGTGAACGTAACATTCATGGAGGAATTGCTACCTTGGGATTACTAGTATTCTACGATGGTCCGTTCCAGTTTACTGATAACGATTTTGATATCCCAACTATTGAGGGTGATTATGGTGGCAATGACAGTATTCAACATGTTCAATCACGCGCCCTCGACCAAACTGGAAAAGCCACTTTACTTCATCCTGGACATAAATTAGAGGTTGCCTTGTTACGTGGGCGCGCTTATTTCCCAAATTCTTCTCTTTGGTTGCTACAAGAAGGCCGTATGCTTGCTGGCCAAGGTAAGCTACACGAAGCAGTGGCACTTATGGACTCGGCCACCGACGGAACATCCAAGGAAATTGAAATGAAACAGTTGAAAGCTTTGCTTATGTTTGATAAGGCTATGATTCTCGTTTATATACATCATTATGAAAGAGCTGCAGAACATTTTCTTATGATTTTAAATCTTAATTCTTGGTCCCATGGTTTATACACATATATGGCCGCCTGCTGTTACTTGGAATGCTATCGTATGTGTCGTCTTGGTATTTATCCATTAAAAGATGGTGAATCTAATGAAAAGAAACAAGAGGAGTTTAAAAAATTGGCGGAAAAATATCTTTTGAAAGCCCCTAGTTATCTTGAAGGGGCCAAAAAGGGATTCTTCCAGAGTAAGCAAATGCCAATGGACCGTTATTTCATGCGGAAAGTTGCCGGTATTAAAAAGATGCACGCGAATTATCCTGATTTGGATCTCGTTGATTGTGTGGGCACATCTCTAGCCCACGAATTATGTTATTTCTGGAATGCTTTCAACCGTATGGATGCTGAAAACTTGGAACTCTCATTGAAATTATTGGGTTATAGTGCCGATGTCGGATCAGAGTATTCAATAAACACCGAAGAAACAAACTATGCAAAAATTAAGGAAACTGAGCAACAATCCATGTTACGTTACTTTTTACAAACTTTAACATTACGTCGTCTAGGAAAAGTTGCAGAAGGTACTATAATCTTGGATCAATATGTCATAAATGATAAGATTCTTATATTTGAAGTGACTGACAGTGCTGGAGGCGCTAGTTCTATTAAATCAAAATCTCAAACTTTGAACAGTTCTATTCCATCTCGTTATGTGAAACGTACTGATGATCCTTGGTTGTATCCAACAGCATTGTATGAGAGAGCTATTTTCTGTTGGAAAACAAAAGGTATGGAAGGTATCGATGAGGTCAAGGAATGGCTACAGAAGGCTCTTAATTATGCGGATGATTATGAATTGAGCGCTCGTACTGGGATGCATATTAAGGCGGCCATGGATCGGTTGGATGGATACTAATATTGAGATCACAATACTAGATACTATGGAAAAATAGTACTTCAGGAATCTTGGACCGACAAAAACCAAATAATAAATAATAAAATTCTTTACTTCTGTGAATACTTGCTATTAGTGGATTTCTTTGGATTTTTTGTCTCATATTTTTTTTTTCTGTTTATATTACCCTTTTGCTAGTTTTTCAATTTATTCAATATCAGACTTCATCTTTTATCTCTTATAGCATTAAATATATTATACTTATATCTACATTGAAACTAGGCAAAAAAAAGGTAAAGATAACGATGTATATTAGTAAACAAGGAATTTTTTCAAAAAAAAACTACAGTACTCTGCAATAATATGCATTGCTTTTCAATAATATATTTAGTAAGAGTATTTGATTTCAGTCTCAAGCAAGTCAACCAAAAACTCAAGTTCCAATTTCTTTCTAGCTTCAATCAACCAATCATTACTCAACTTTCTACCCCATCCCTTGAGGCTTGACACGGTTTCAATGGCATCATCCAAATCCCCGTTAGATAATTTGTAGTTAACTCTGGATATAACAGATTCAATGTCATTACCAACTAGGTTGCCATCTACGAGTGGCTTATCTTCACTGTCAATGTGGGTTGGGACATTACCTTGTTTAGAAATGAGGAAGTAGCTGAAGAATCTAGCAGACAAGTGACCTAACAAACCAGCGTTTGGTGGCAAGAGGGAGGCAGAACGAAGCTCTGGAACCAAAAGATTCCAACGTTGGATCAATTGGGCATTAGAAAGAAGACCGGTGGTACGAATACTTTCAGTTGGAATAGATTGAATGGTGGTAGAAACCAAATCATCTGGGGTAGATTTAGTGAGTTCAACAAGTTTGGAAATTTCTTCAAGGATTTTGGCACCGTCCAATTCGGTCAAGTTGTTTTGATAAGTTTCAGAGTTGAAGACAAGTTTTTTCAAATTACTCAAAGTAACAGTCAATTCATTGTATTTAGTAAACTTTTCGAAGTTCTTGAAGATTTCGACTTCGAAATTTTCCAAGATCTTAACTTTTTCATATAAGGCGTTCAAGTTCTTTAATTTACCGTCTCTTTCCATTTCAATGCTCTCGGTCAAATTCTGAGAAAATTCATTCAATTGTTGGATTTGGACGGCCTTCAATTTGTTTTCGTATTCCAACTGAATCAAATCCTTGCTCATAGCGATATCCTTTTCTAAAGTCTTTTCGTAGGCAGCCTTTATTTTATTGACTTCCGAGTTGAAATCAGTTAAAAATTTTTCAATCAATTCATTTTCTTTTTTCTTCAAAACAACAGCATTTTCAGAGGTGAATTTGTCAGTGATATTCTTAGCTAATTCCACATTGTCAGCTTCAAATTGTTTAACTTTGTCTGAAATTTCAGCGATGGATTTAGAAACGTTTTCTACCAACTTTTGAGTGGTAGCACTTGGACTGTTATCATTAACAGAGCTAATCAAAGAGTTCAATTTGGTAATCAAGGCATTAACTTCGGCATTATTAGAACTGTATTCGATTTTTGGAATTGACAACTTTTTAATTACTGGAGATACTACTGAAATTGCTGTTTCCTTCTTTTCCTCTGGTTTATGAATTAATTCAGTAGATTTGGCCTTGACAACTTCATAAGCACCATTAATTTTTTCAGTAATGGCACCCTGTTGTGGAATAGACACGGTCTTGTCCTTGAGATCTTGGATCTTCTTCTTCAAAAGATCAAGATCAGAATCGTTCAAGAATTTTTTATTGTCTTCAACGGCTTGCAAAATTTCATCAGCCAATGGCACGTATTCGGTGAAGTAGTCACTGAAAGTGTCAGATTCTAAGGAGGCATAGACACCCGCACCATAGAATACACCAGTGGCAAAAAGAACTTTCAAAACGAAATTACGGATTGGATGGCTCTTCTTCTTTGGTAACTTTGGTGGTGTAACCTTAGCTTCATTGAGAGCACAGCTTAAAGTGTGGAATTGTGGTTTGGCAACGCGACGACTCAAAACACGAGCCTGGAAAGCAGCAGATCTACCCAACATTCTGTTTCTATCTCTCTGTCAAATGACCTATTTGGATGTTCTGCTCTGGAAATGCCCCACAAAGATGTCTTTTAGCCTCAAACCCCCCAATACATTGGTTGTTGAAATTTCCAAACTTGTCCAATGAGAAAAACTGGAAAACTCAACCATGTGACTATAGTCATACCGTGTATGCATATTGTAGCATATATAACATGTTATATATACATATACACATTATAACAACGATATTGAATAGATGGTTCTCCAACTATCGTAAGAATTTAAGTATTATCATGATAGTTATTATTATTATATATATTCTTTCATGACACATGTCATCTATAACAACGGTTTCTTTGTAGGATATAATTTACGAAGTGGAATCGCATCTGCGTAAAATGAGTAGTGGTTGTGTCGCTCGCTTCATTTTGCTTTTACATTCCTCAATTTCCATTAAACTGAAATTACTTGGTGAGAAACACAAACTTATTGGATTCATATAAATTATCAACCATTACATTTCTACTTGCCCCAAGCTTACAGTGTGGATATCTATCAGCTAAGGGTTTCTGACAGATATTCTCTTATTACCCTACCTTAACACCCTCATTTACCCCCTAAATACAAGTGAGAAAGAAAAAATTGCAATAATTTTCAACTTCGATACACCAATCAAGGTCAATAAAGCCAAGTAATAGGGACATCGAAAATGTTGACCAATCTCGTCTCCAGTACGTCTGCTCATAGCGTGCTCTCGCTCACGAGACAGTTTTCTCAAACCTCTATTAGTAGTGGTAAGAAGGCGTGGAAATTCAATGAAGCGCTTCTTAGAAAGAAGGCCAACATCGGTCGTCAAATCAGAATTCAAGATGAACTTGATAAGGTTGATCCAGTTTTAGGTCGTGCTGACACTCCATTCATTGACCGTATTAAGGCTGCTGTGGTTGAACCAAGTTCCCTTTCTTATGGCTACGAACGTGGAGATGTAAACAACTTACTTTATGGTGCCCAGCGCGCCCTTATTGCCAAACGTCCAGGATACAGTCAAGAGCAAATCTTAAGAACTGAAGAACGCAGACGTGAAATTGTGGCCAGAATCTTAGATATCAAGAACTCTTCATCTTCAATTCAGCGTAAATTGGGCATCAAGTTAGCTCGTGAAGAATTTGCCAGATTCCCTGGTGATAGTGGAAGTTCAGAAGTTCAAGCTGCCATCATGACTATGAAGATCCATTACCTTACCGCACACATGAAAAAAAATAAAAAAGATTTCCAAAACATTCGCAGATTGAGAATGTTGGTACAGCAACGTCAAGCTATTTTGCGTTATTTAAAAAGAGACAACCCAAAACGTTACTATTGGGCTATTGAAAAATTGGGATTGACTGATCATACCGTGACAATGGAATTCAATTTGGACAAAAGATATATGGAGAAGTTCAAGGTTTTCGGGGATGATGTGTTGATTAGAGAAAGTAAGAGTGTTGAAAGTAAGAAATTGAGAGCTAAAACTAAACAAAAGAAATCTTTGAGAAAAGCTTTGAATGAAAAAGCCGCTCAGGAAGCTGAAGAGTTGGTTGAAGAAGTGGAAGTCAAAGAATCTTCAGTGGAATCTCCAAAATCCTCTGAAGCTACAGTTTAGAATTCTGGAAATTAGTAATGCATTATAGGTTATTATATTTGTATATAGTACAATATCACGTTAATCATAAATATATGAAAAATTGTATATCAAGTTTTGAAAAAAAAAAAGTCTCAATGACCAGTCCAAGTAAAGCAAAGAACAAATATTATCCCAAGAATTTGCTAATTGGCAGCCCAATGTGCTCGACATCAAGCAAAAAGGTATCATGACCGAACATGCTAATATCTTCTCCTAATTCTTCATATTTTACTTCAGCTTCCACATCTTTAAACATTTCATAAGCCTCTCTTTGTTGCCATACAGGAAAAAGAATATCAGATTTCACCCCAATAACGAGCACCTTTTTATTTCTCAAGTGAGAAAGGCCTTTTCTCAAATCTTCAAGACTTGATTCATGAGAGTGCAGAGTATAAAGAGTGGCATTTGCATAAGGGTTTTTCTCGTTAGCTTTTGGAATGCTCAAACACTCAGAAACTCCATCCATAGTCTTGAATTCTGCCATGGCATTAGATATTGGTCTTTCTGTATTGTAAGCTTCTTCGGCTTGTGCCCTGGCTCTAGCGGCCCTAGAACGATTGATATAACCCAAGTCAAAGAGATCCATTGCCTTCAGAACATACAAGAACGAATTTGGATCAAATTCTAGCGAAAATTTATCACCTTGGTGATCTAAGTATGTCTCCACAAGAAAATCAGGGCAAAGTGCTGGCCTATAATGCTCCTGCAATCTTGCTCTGGCAAAACGCAGTTCCCATTCAGGTCCTGAACGGTAAGTGATAGTGGCAACTGATCTTGCAAGTTTCATTCCTGTGTGAGGAGGAATCAGATCATAATAATTGCCCCTTTTTGAAGCCCAATTAGGATCGTGCATCACAATTTGACGCTGAGAGAATCTCATGGCAATTGATGCAGGATGAGATCTCGTACAAGCAGAAATCGAAACAACTTTCTCCACGGTTTCTGGGAACTCCAGAAGATAAGCAAAACTCTGCATACCGCCTAATGAACTGCCAACCGAGGCATAAAGTTTCGATATTTTAAGATGCTCGGTAATAAGACGATGTTGTGCTCTAACCATATCACTCACCGAAATGATTGGAAATCTTGTGGCATATCGCTGATTATCAGCAGGATGTACAGACGAAGGTCCAGTAGAGCCATAACAGCCACCAAGAACATTGGTACAGATTATAAAGTACTTATTAGTGTCCAACGGTTTGCCAGGACCAATGAATTGTTCCCACCAGCCTTGCTTCGAATTGGCTTCATGAGAATGAGCATGTGATGATGCTGAAAGACCAGTATGGAGCAATAGGGCATTAGAGCGGTCTTTATTTAGCTTACCCCATGATTCGTATGCAAGAGTGAATTCTGGGATATGACCACCGTAATCAAGAAATAGAGGGGATTTGGAATGGTATAATTGAAAGCCAGACTGAACCTGAGAATATATTGGCTCAGGGCCTTGACCCATTAGTGATTGGGTCTTTTGCTGATTTCTATCAAGGCATGGGAATGATAGTTGATCGGGTGGGGCCAACCGGCGCGGACTGGTGGTAGCAAACCGCCGTAGTGATGCAATGCTATCACCAGCAACAGATAATCGTGGAACTATTGCCTTTAACATTTTTTCTGAATAAACTTATTGTCTTATCCACAATAATCATCTCAAAGAACAACCTGCTTTTAAGTTTTTACTTGTTTTGTGTCTGTCTTCAAGGTGCGAGAAAAAAAATATACGTGATTGCAGGTGACTTTGCTGTGCGGTAAACTGTCTTATTTTCCAACATGAACTTTTTATCGATTAAACAAAGGTAAACAACTTTGGGAGCTTAGTTTGTAAAAGCTTTTATGTCTAAGGTCCTTTTTTGATGAGGTTTTCTTTAATTGTTAAAACTTGGCGACTTATATTGAGGAATACATACATGGTGGCGTGAAATAAAGAGGCATTACAATAGTCACTTTCTTTAATGAAAACCCATTCTCGTGGTAAACTTTAGAAAAACAATTTCGATCAATATCTACTATTATTATCCCCAAAAACTCTTCAAAAGCACTATTAACACTGTTATATACAATCAGGGCAACAAAGAAATCTTATATGGAAAACTTTGGCACTTCTATTCCTTCAAATTACAATGAAAGATAAAAGTCTCTGGTATACAACAACCACCCCATAGACAATGTAGAGACAATGAATGGGCCCATGAAACCTTTGCCAAACTTGGCAGTTTTGTATATCACTAATTCAGCCATGAAATGGCCGAAGGCGATAGCGTAACTGGCGAACACTAAGTTCCAAATTTGAGGATCATTCAAGTGGAAGGCAGCAATGTAACGAATAATGGCAGAGATGATGGTCCAAGTTCCGAATGTACGGGCAGAAAGGCCTGTTGTTTCAAGAGGTTTGTTCTCATAGACACGGCGAGTCAATTCAAGACCAGATAAATAACATTGAGCAGAGTTAAACACAGAAACTGCTGAGATCTTTATAATGGATTGTTAGTATACGAGTTTTCTTATTTTCAACTATATATAAAGCGGCAATTGCATACAAAAAGAAGCCATTTTGGGAGAATTCCTGGCAAAGGCGTAATAAAATAGCTAGCGAGAGACGACATCTTTTTGGTATTTTTTCTCTCTATATTTATATTTTTGTTTGGAGTAAAATGAAGAAGTATCATGACTTCGATTTGTTCAAATTCACAACATTCGTTTTTTTGTGATGTGCCGCTTAGCAATGCTGTTAAGCTCTTCTGGATAACAGAGTAACAATCATATATTCTAACAAGCCACACGCTCAAATGAGATAGCAGTTGTGAATGTATGAAATACTATCTAATTTATTATTCCCTTCAAGGTTTAATGATCCTGGAACTCTAAACATCAGATTTCATAGTTGTTGGTGGTGTATGTTTTCATATGCATTTCAATGCATAAGCGGTGTGATGTTGATCGATGGGTGTCATTTGAAAATGGTGATTTTTTGCCTTTCGGCTCAGCCAAGTTTGAAAAAAATAGTGAACAACTAACAGCAAGGAAAGAAAAAGAATACAAACTCAAATTCATAAAATATGAGAATTTCCTTCTACTGTTTGGCATTGTTCATTGCCTCTATAAGTGCTCATGGAATACATAGATCTCGCAATGACGTTGCTGTTGCTTCAAATGTTGACAAAATTCTATCAACGCTTTTCCACACAGATGGTGTATTGAATTTAGACCACTTGGAGAATGAGCTTGATAAATGCTCAGTGGTTAAGGACTTGAATGCTCATCTTGAAGAAGAGCATTCAGACCACGAGGAATCCTTTATCCAACAACTTTTTGAAAAACTTTTCCCATTTGGCCCTGCTTGGAACTCTGTACTTGCAACATGTTATATTTCTGGTCCTCCAAATCTTCTTCTTCTGCTTCTTCCAGCATCCATTGATCCATCTCGTTTGACTTTTCTCGTCTCTTTTGCCGTTGGTGGTCTTTTGGGTGATGTGTTTTTACATTTATTGCCTCAAACCTTTTTGGGTGAACCTGTCGATACCAAGGCTCATTTTGTATTTGTCGATGAAAAGAGAAATATAATTCTTGGTGGATTTATTTTCGTTGGTTTTATGTTATTCTGGCTTATCGACAAAAGTTTAAGAATCTTGAACCATGGTGAAGAATCAGAACATGGTCATTCTCATTCTCACAGTCACTCACATAGTTCACATGTTGATCATGCTGAAAGCTCTGCTATTGAGGCTAAGGACTCGAAGAATATTCGTAATAGATCTAAAAAAGAAAACCAAGACAATGGTGAGGAAGAAGATTCGAAGCCTGAGGAGCCAGCAAAGCAGGATATTTCATCATCGGTGCGTACTGCTGCCTACCTTAACCTCATTTCCGATTTCACACACAATATCACTGATGGTCTTGCTATTACCTCTGCTTTTTATATCTCTCGTCCTGTTGGTTCTACTACAGCTCTTGCCGTTTTCCTTCATGAAGTTCCTCATGAAATCGGTGACTTTGCTGTTTTAATTCAAGGTGGCTTCTCTAAGTGGCAAGCTATGGGTTCGCAATTTGTCACAGCTATTGGGGCATTTACTGGTTGCTTCATTGGGATTGCTATTCAGCAATGGGCTGCCAGTACCTCTGTGATTGTTGCCTCTAGCGAATTAGGGACTGCTGTTGTTTCAGGCAGCAATGGTTTGTTTGGAACCACCGTAACTATTGGTGATTTGACATTGCCATTTACCGCTGGTGGATTCCTTTACATTGCAACAGTTGGTGTCATTCCAGAGATTTTGGAGTTGGACGAATCTACCAGCCGTTTTGGAGAAGTTAAAAAGGCCATTGGACAAATTATTGGTATTGCAATGGGAATTGGCATGATGTTTGCTATTTCATGGTTTGAATAAGCCATTAATTTCAAAGGTATCGTGTAAACCATAGATATACATGGGTTAACTAATGTCAAGATGGCTTTTTCGTTATCTATATGAAAACGTTAACACTTGTAATATATACGATGGACTCTATTATGGACTCTTTCCTTTTAATGTTATTTCTTGCCTCTATTCTTTCATCCCTCTCCATCGCAGTGTAGTAAAGTTACCATGTAGTAGTATGACCTTTCAGCAGGCTTATCCAATTGCCTGGCTAACAAAGCTTCAGATTCTTTTTCTCTGTTGACAAGCCTTTGTGTTTGTTTCCTTACAAGGATATTTAACATTCGTTTCATCTTACAATAAAAGAAGGTGGATCCTCTCAATGATAATATTGTAGATATCCTTTTTTCTGTTAAAAATTTTTGTCAGATAGCCCCTACTAGTAGCCCAATTGGAGAGTGGTTCCTTGTTCTATATTGTCTTGTTCCTTGTTTGTGTCACAAAAGCGCTGCTTGTCGGAGCCCCCTAAAAATGGATCTCCTTTTTTTTCTGATATTTTTTTTTCCTTGTTCCCACTCTCCTTCCTTTATTGATTGTTAATAACCGAATTCTCATCAAAAGATATCCAGTTGTGCAAATAAATATGCATGGAGATAGTGTCTTATACACTTTTGAATGGTTAGTATTAAAGTCTTGAGTTCTTTGACATTTTTTTTCTGCCATTTTCCCTGCAAAGTTAGTCTGATCTGAGGCATCATTTTTGACAGCGTTTCTGTCACTTTTTTTTTCAATTTTTCTATTCCTAAACATTAAAAGACAGTAAATATTCCATTTTGAGATGAAAAAAAAGGTATTATTAGCATGTTACTAACAATACGTAAGGCCTTCTGGAGCTTCCAAGGTCGTGGTCACCGGAACCTTCGATAATTGGAGCCAATCTACGCAGCTTACCAAATTGGACCCTGATTCTAAATTCATGGCCACCATTTCACTTCCAAAATATGAAAAAGCCTTATTCAAAGTAAGTATATGATTTTACCACTCTTGAATGGATCTGAAATATTTTTTTGCTCTATTTTCTTATCAAAGGTTCTTATTGTGTTGATTGCCCCGCTTTCATCTCATCTCATTTTTGGCGCCCTGTCAATGCAATTTAGCACATGCGTCAAAAGATAAGATCTTCGGTTCCCCCAAAAAGGCAACTTACTAACATCATGTCAAAAAGTACGTGGTTGATGGGCAATGGATTACTAGCTCAAAACATGCGGTTGAAATAGATTTTGCCGGTATTCAGAACAATGTTGTTTATCCTGAAGAGTTATCTAAGTTTACTAATCCTGATGACACTGAGAATGATAAGGAAAATGAGAATCCTTCCTATAAGGATAATAGCAATAAGACGGTGGAGAATAAACTTGCTGAAGTAGTAGAAAAAATTTCTCCTTCTGAGAGAAAAAATTATTCAGAAACTTATTCATTAAGCAGTAATGAAACCTTGGATACTGCCAGTATTGGGAGGGCACCGATACGCAAAGAATCTCAATATGATGTGGGAGATCGATCAGAAAAATCGCAGTCCGCGGAAAATACTCTGAAACTCTTAACTCAAGGCGAAAGAGAACTTAAAGAGAAATCTCCCGATCTTGATGAATCTGATAAAAAGCAGATAACCCGATCAAATAGTGAGTATTCCATGGTTACGTCGATCCCATCAAATAAAAAAAACGCCGAGAAATCATTACAATCTTGTAATGTTGCTATTGATAACCAATCTCATTTTTGTGCACAGAAATCTAATACAGAAAGTAGTGTTTTCACGAGTATTGAGCCACCAATTCATCTAGGGAATAAGGAAGTTGGAAATGGTATGAAAGAAATTGTTGGTGATCATACACCGTGTGATGATCAAGGCATGATTCTCAATAGTTTACATTTGGATGACTTAGGATTATCTGCCAGCATTAAAAGCATAAGCAGTAATGAGATTTTTAGCAGTACCCATGGATCACTTTCACATTTCAATATGAATGGTTCTAGTGAAAATATTGAAAGTAACAATGAACTATCACATTTTGATGAGGCTTTCATGAGTACAATCGAGCACGATCATCCTACCCCTTCTAGATCTATTGGCCACAGGCAACTGTGGTCATCTTCGATTGTGTCTAGAGTTAAGAAAATTTTCAGATGATTTAGTGTCAGCGCAATATTTGAGAGAGATAGTCCTCTCTAATATTCAAGGTTTGGGAAATTGTTTTTCCCTTCACAGTTTTAAGATTTCTGGTTATTTTTTTTTTTTTTTTTTTCACTAAAGTGTTCCTTCTCTCATTTTAGATTTAGCGTCGTGATTTTATCATTGAGGTGATTTAATGATACTTACATGCGCTTCTCTTATCTGTTATTGATCTTGATTTTATTCTGATTTTTTTTATCTATTTTTTTCTTTCTAAAGCAGGATTTTGTGCCTACCAACTCGTTTAGCTTGACCATATTTTTTGTTCGCAATCTTTATATTATCCAATATAGGTTGATGTTTCTGCTGCAATAGAATCTTTCTTAGAATATATATACAACAAGAAGGTATATCTTCTACGTATTTGTCATGGCTGCGTACCACATCTGCGTTGCACTGTAGTTCTCCTAGTTACCGGTAAAAGTAGATTTACAGTCGACTGACTGATTTGGCCAAGCAGCGGCTACCCGTTCTTGCGGGAAAACCCCCTAATGTGGATAAATATTAGTAAAATGCCCGCTATTGTTAATTGCGTCACTGCACAGTGAACTAAGAGTATTAGATACTGGTAAGTGGCCATCTGTTGATGGTGGTAGAAGTGGCTACCAAAGATGAAGGAAAGAAAGGGCCTGTATTTGTATAAGAAATAGAGATAGAAGGAAGGCCAAGGAGCGCAGGTCCCTGTATTTTGATGGTGGCTTAGAGGGGTTCCAATTCTGTGGTGACCTGAAAGAATAAAGAGCATTTGCACTAATGCATGAACTTTAATTATGACTTCCCTGATGCAAATCGTCATCAGGGAACTTTTAGAATTGATTTCCGTGACAAAAATTTTCTTTTCATTGGCTGTGTATGTCAAGAACCGTATATTTGTCACCACTTGCTTTTTTTTTTTTTTTTTTTTTTTTACCACAGTATCTGTTTCTGAACGAATATAGAAATATAAATATCGGGTATAATATCGCTTGGCAAAATTAAACAATTTTCTTGTCTTTTCTCTCTCTCTCTCTCTCTCTCTCTCTCTCTCTATCTATCATTACATTAACATACACAGCTCGATGAAGTTTCAATACCTTTTTGCCGTTTTTCTTTTAGTATGCCTTTCACTGGCCAACATACAAGCCAACATTCCAGCGTCACTTCAGAGAAGAAAGGGAAGCCATGGCGAAGGCGAAGGCGAAGGTGGAGGTGGAGGTGGAGGCGAAGGTGAAGGTGAAGGTGAAGGTGAAGGTGGTGGTAATGGTGGTAGTGGTGGTAGTGGTGGTAATGGTGGACATGGTAACTCAGCAAAAGCTACAACACACGCCACACCAAAAGTAACTACACACGTCACACCAAAAGTCACTACACACGTTACACCAAAAACAACTACCCAAATTTTGCCGAAAAGTACATCTCAAGATTCACCAGAGGTATTATCGCAGGTCTCAGTAAAGCCTTCTGGGCAAGTCTCGGTAAAGCCTTCTTCACAAGTTTCAGCAAACTCTGCATCACAAGTTTCAGCAAACCCTCCTTCTCAAGTTTCAGCAAACTCTGCATCACAAAATTTGCCAAGAGTTTCAACAGAGACATTGACCAAAGTAGCTTATATCCCTATCATTTTTACAAATAAATTCGGGCATTATACTACTTCTACAAAGAAAAGCACCTACGTTACTAAGGTCAATACAACTCTGTATTCCTCATCCAATGATGGGATCAGATCAATTATTGGTACGTCTTTCAACTTTGCTGGAACCACAATTTATGGATTAATGATTTTCATGACCATTTTTGTATTGGCTTTGGTTTAATGATATTTTTTTTGCCTTGAAATTTACTTTTAGACTCACATCTCTACAGATGATGTTAAACTAATAAATGTTTGTATTGTTTTCTATGAATCTATATCTAAGTCACAAAAAATTATTTGATTTTCTGTTTTTATGGCCATCTACGATGGAGAGAGCCAAGTTATAGGTTATGGATGAATGGCATCAACATCTTCGGTCATGATCTTGATGTTTTTTGTGTTGGAATACTTTGCCTGGCCCATCATGATGGCATCCTTGTGGGCATCGTGGTAGACATAAGAGTATCTCATGAATGAATCCCCCAAGATGTACCCCACTGGTCCATTGTCATTGATTCCATCGAAATAGCATTTATCACCGTACGTATCGACCAAAGAACTTGCTTCGACATTGATGGATAAATTATTGTCAAAATAGAAAGTGAGGTTTTTGTCATTTGATGGACAATCCAAAACCCAATTACCGTTTTCTTCGGTGGCACCAAAAGTTGAAGTGATATTTTCCCAAACGGCAGTTGGAACCCCAAGATTGGTGGTACCGGTATCAAGCATCGCTGGATAAGTTTGATCCACAATAGTTTTACCGTCGTACAGAATACCTCTACTGGCGACAGTCCAGTTAGTGGCTCCTTTATATTGATTTCTCCAGTTAGTGAGCTTCAAAGCGGTGAAGTTACCATCGATTTTGTCATAGTCGATGGCCCCAAAAAGCAAAGACCCGTTGAAGTTCAGTTCTTTTGGCCCTAAATAAACACTGAAACCTTGTTTTTGAGTATTAAAGACTTTCTGGAACTTGCTGATGAGTTGCTTGGATCTCACATTGATACTGAGGGCCATTAATCCCCCAATTGACGACCAGCTGTCTTTATCCAATTCAAGATATTGATTTGAGAACTGGTAATCCCCTAACCAGAAGGAATCCGTGACAACCTCGGTATCGTACCAAGAACCGTCACCGTAACTGAGACGAAGTTCTTTCTTTTTGTCCTTCATGGTGGTCGATTTTTCATAATCATAAGACCCGTACCCAGAACAATCCGTAGAAGCATTGTCACACATGTCGCTAGAGCGGACCCAAGTGTACGAGGATCCAGTATCAAAAAGCATCCTCACAGTGTCTTTATTTGAACCAACTTGCGCATCGATAAAGTAGGCCACCCCTTCATAAGTAATTGGGAATTCTGCGTAGCTGTAACTTTTCACACGCATCTCCACAGCGTTGTTGACTATATGAACCGAGCTATTGGAAGCAGTAGAATTGAAATTGCTGAAAATACTGGTGTTGGAGCTGCTGATGCCATCGTCGAGTTCAGTGTTGTTTAAACCTTGGAAAATTGGGTAAGCTGACGCCACAGCAAGAAGAAGAGAGTGAATAAATAACATTATTTTTGAAAAACAAAAAAAAAACAAAAAAAACAACAGGATTGTGTTTTCTGTATTGTTAATTGAATGTTTTCATATTGTTGATAATAATACTGAGCATCTGATTCCTTTATAAGATGTCCTGAAGTAGTACGGTATCACTGTTTGGTACAACGGTAGTACCAAAAATTGTGCTTTCACTCCTTCTTGATGGGGAATAGGCGTCGGTGCTAACAAACCAGTGAATCATTGGGCTATGATTTTTCTTCTACTTTTGGATATATTGGCAAGCTCCTCGATTACACTAGATACCATTGTGAATCATCCACATAGTTATTTTTTTTTTCTGTGTGTGGGTATTCATCAGTAATGAGCCTTGCATGGGCCAAAAACATCGGACTTTTTTGGTGTCAACATATTTTTTTTCCGGGAAAAACTATCTATAAAAACGAGATAATAATAGTAGCATTTATCAAATCAGTTGCCCAGTCATGACTGTGAATTATCACTTGGAGGATGTTGTTAAGTCTTGCCAGATAAGGTATCAGTGAATTTCATGCTTGTTGGGATAAAGTGAAGAAGGCTCCCCCCGTTATGAAATCGAGCTCTTTTGGTATATATGCACGTGACTATACCCATGAGTGTGAGATTTATCCAGGTATTTTTATTGTTAATACCAGCAAAAAATAATTGATACCAGCAAATATTTCTTGATATTTCTAACCTTCTCTTCTTGTCCCTACTACGATCTCCATATGTATCATCGTCCTTATCACTTTCATCGTCTACCATTCCCCAAGGGTGTACCAATTGCCGGGAACAAGTGCAGCGGCACCATTGCGCTATAGAATTAAGTCGGGTAGTTAAACGAACCGAGCCAATCAAGACACTGTATTCAGCTTGTAAGACATAATTCTATCGTAAAGAGATAAGGTGTAAAAAATAAGTGTTAATTAATTGTTCGATGATAAGATATCTTTCCCATAAATAAGTAATAGAAGAAGATAAGAAAATAATAATAAAAATAGCACAAAAAGTTATGGCAATGAGCAAGAGGCTTCGTTAACCAGATCTAACAAAGGCGTGTCCGCACAAAAGTGTAGTGGCACGTGTAAATTTGGTGGTGAGTTATGCAAGTGCAAAAGTTGAAAAATGTGGGGTGCGTCTATAAATATTTGCAGACGGTTGCTGTTTTCAGGGGGTTTGGAACACCCTTGCTACTAGTAAAATGTAATAAAGTTCCGCATGACTTGCATGACTTTTACATATTTGGTTGATGACAGTAAATATGAGTTTTGGTCGAATATTCGAAGAGCTCTAAATGACCAGATACGGTAATTACTTGTTGGGTATTCGGGGTGTAGCACCCATGAGAAGACCCCGCCTTACAAAATGATACTTTGGACTCTTGCTTTGCTACGCTGTATTGATTCTGCACAACTTTTTCTTTTTTTTTTTCTGTTTGCTTAACCAATTTTATGTTTATGGTTATATATATTGTGACTAGTACTGTAAGATGGACATATATATATATAGATAAAAAGTTGGAATGTTTGCGATTGTAGCAGGGGATTAAGTTCAACTAAGAGATGGGACTTTATCATGGTATTCGGGCACTCCTTAGATTTTTCATAGTCTTTGTCAGTTGGAATGAATAAAAATTTGTCCTGAGGTATTAGTTGATCATCAAGATTGGGTATCAGCAGATACGAAATGATCCGATATTCCTTATATCGCCATTTTAGATCCAACAGCCTCCTCCAATTGGGCGATTCTAAATATCGAGTTTCCCAACATATTAATTAAAATGCTCTTTGCATTTAGTGACGATAGAGTTTCTAATTATATGTTTACTAGTTACCTCAGGTTTAGAAACCTCAACGTAGAGTAAGAAAATAAAAAATTATTGATATTGATCCAACTCAATAGTTCTTTCACATGAGTACAAATTAGGAAACGTTGGTTACATAATTCTCATAGTAAAGTTCAACAACAAAAGCCTTTATTTCAGTCAATTGTTTGCAAACAATATATTAAACTTATATATCCCATAATAATCGGAGAGAAAAAAAAAAACCAAGAAAAAAAAACACTACAATATCTCCATTCAAATCGACGCTAATTCAGTTTCTTCACTTTTACCATTGAGAATTCCCAAATTGTAAAGATATGTTTCACTTTCCAAAACAAATGGGGTATACAATGGGCCTCCCATGATGAAAAATATTGTCACCAAGAACACTGGGGTCGAATCAAACACGTAGAAAAACCATGAGTGATTCATGATATATCCTTCCCAACCTTGTTTATATTCCACCAATCTGATGATAGATCTCACTAATAACGCCGTAGTGGAGAGGAAAAGAGCCCAGTTCATGGTTTTCCAATGAGCAGTCAAGTGAGGGAATTGATGAGTATGGATGGTCAAACTGAATTTAAGCATCGAAAAAAGAAGGATCCCGAACATCGCAATTTGCAACGAGATCCCAGCAATATAGTAAGTCAAAACTTCATCAAGTGCGTTTGGATCAGATAATTTCGCACCGGCCACGACTTGCATCACTGATGAACTAACGATAAGTCCAAAAAAGAGCATTCTGTTGAGTCTTGGAGAAAGATTGAGCGGGTCACCACAGCCAATACGTTTCAACATCCGACGGTACACGAAGAGAATGGTGACCATCTCAATACTCGGACCAATCAAGATCAAAGTACTCATAGCAATGTAATCATTGACATTGAAGGAACCTTTGCAAAGTATAACACGGAAAATGTATCCCACACCTTCGGAAAAACAAGCAATGATAAAACTAAGGTATCTTGGAAGCAAAGCACGTAATTTCTTTCTATGAGTTCGCACTATCTCTTGGGCAGACACATTCTCAGGGAAGACTACTTCACTTCGGTGTATCTTGGCGAGGAAAAGAGTATGGACCTTTCTTGCACTGTACAATAATTCGACGGTTACCACTATCCCGGCAACGAGAAATAAAATACAAAACAAAACTGACGGAGCAGTTTTTAAGCCAGCGGTGAAATCCATTTGGGTAATAATTAACTAAAATGTTTGTTTCTGCCAAGTGAGAAGAATTGTAGAGAAAGGGTCCAAATACAGCGGAAGGCATTGTATTTAAATGTTGAAAAGTTAAAACTTTCTATTGTTTGTTTTCTGTGTACGTCCGAAAACGATGGCGCGTTTAAGGCGGGTTTTTGTCGGTGGTGAAAGCCGTACCTCGCCTCGCAGGGAACGCAAAAATGGTAAAAAACAAGGGTCTTTTCAATATTGGCTGTGTCAGGATCAATCGTATTACTGATACAGTAATTGTAACAAGGTGTGTGGTGACATAACCAGGGATGTTTTGGTGGCCCAAACGGAAAGCGAAAAATATCGTTGTCTTATCCGAACTTGGCAATAACAGAATAGAGTGAGATGAGCCAAAATTGTGGATGAGTAATCGCAATCGCTGGTCTGCGCCACATTACATTTTCAACACTTGCGAACATAAAATAACAACGGATTAAAAGAAACTATATAATAAACTGTATATCATAAAAATAAAAGAACTGAAATGAAAAAAAAAAAAAAAAAAACTAAAGCTGAGAGAAACAAATGGCATTTATCTTTTAGTAGCTCATTGGAAGAGCAATAATCAAGTCGATTAGACCAAGATAGCATCACTTGCAGTACCAGTGATCCAGCCATTGACAGTATCGGCATCAATACTACTGTCGAAATCAAAATTGCTGACTTGTTTCAAGTAAACGTTCAGGCCATCGAACACAGCAACAAAAGTCTCGGCAGAGCTAGTAGGTCTAGTGAAGTAATCGCTGCTTCCTCCACCACCCCAACGAGTACCGTCTTCCCCTTGGCCATCGTGCAAATGGTTAGTCATTTGACTAGACCCGCTGGTGATAACTTCCCACAAGTCCAATTCCCCACAACCAGTGGACCAACAAGAACAAGATTCCGTACCGTATTGCAAAGTTCTTGGGATTTTGGCGTTCAATAACCACACGGCTGGCATATCGTAGTTATTGGTGGTCTTGGTGCCACTATCGGTTGGCATTTGGAAATTGAAGGCAAAGATCTTTGTGGAACCGTCCCAACCTTTGTAAGCAGGAATATCGGATCTGTAGTACCCACAATCAGAACCACATTTTTCACCAGTGAATAACACGACTTCGTCATCGGAGGCCAAGGTGGTGTCTTTGAGAGTAGTGGCGGTCTTGGATTTACCTGTACCAGAGGCATCAGCATATGAAATGGAGTTACCAAAGGAAGAAGACCAGGTACCAGAATAAGAAGAGTCACCCAAATGGTTCATGAACACCACGTTACTGGCAGTACCAGCAGAAGCATCATAATAAGACTTTCTGGTCCAGGAACCTGAAGTGGTACCGGTGGATGCCGATGATGAAGATGAAGCAGTAGCAGAACTGGCGACACTGGAAGGATTGACATCGGTGGAATGGTATGCGTCTAACACTTTGTTAACAGCGCCGATGCTGGCAACCGCCACAGTAGCAGAGGTGGTAGAAGCCGGGGCCACGGTGCTGGTATCATCATCACCTTCGGTAACGTAGACGGTTTCGGTGACATCGACGGTTTTCACGTCGGCTTCTCTCTTTTGGTGCTGGTGTCTTCTACCGACAGGAGATTCTTCTCTCTTCTTTTTGGAGCTGGAAGAAGTGGTGTAGACCGCGAATTTCTTCAATTGAATTGGGCCTCTAATATGGACCGACAATTCTTCATCCAATGGCGACAAGTTACCACTGAAACTCTTTGATGAAGAAGTACAAGTACCGGTGGATTCGTCCATGTTGGTGATATCATTGTAATGACCAGAATAGCCTATTGATGAATATTTCACGAAACTGGTGCTTCCAGCAGAAACTAATGGAAAAAATGCTGCTGCAGCACATACAAAGGAATAGCTGAACTTCATTGGACCTTGAATTTGATTGAAGAAATTATAAGAGAACGTCGAGTAATTAGTTGGAGGATAAAAGATTTAAAAGAGTGACTAGGGCCAAATAGATCCTTATAATTATTTTCTTGATCGTGAAGCTGTCTCGGAAATATTATTTTATGACGAGCATTAGAGAGCAGCAGCTCAAATACGTTTTATAACTATATATATATATATATATTTGCGTAGTCTAAGCCAGCATGTTGGGTCTAACGCAGTTTTTTTCATAGTGTGCATTTAACCATGTTTCAGGAGCCCGATGTATCAGGATTGTCGCAAGTTGGTGGGCGGACCCCTTGACACGGGTTGGTAGTGTCAAGATAAAACATCCTAAACTAGTAGAGAATATTTGTTGGTGTGATGGTCCCACTGGTAATAATTTGCACGCCAATTAGCGGCCCTCCTTATAAGAGTGATACACCTGTGCATACTGGTTTGCGTTTATCTTTTCAAACCATCATATATTTTTCACTGTAGAGGTCTTTCATCAAAAGTAAAAAGAAACTAAAATAAAATTAAGTTGATATATCCACAAGTATTAATTAATTAACACCATCATTGGTACGTTACTTTTAGAAAACAGCAGGGTAATATGTGGGGCAAATAATCATTGTGATAGGAAGTACTACCATGTTCTCTCCTCTTTCACCAAAAAAGAACTGCAGCCTCTACATGAACGTGTGTGCTTCACAACTTGCACATTGCTATATTGTCTGCTATTTTCCAAGCTTACGAGGGAAATCACCCCTACTATAATTTATACAATTGCTATTATTCGCTATTATTTGCTACCTTTAGATAATCTTCACAATTTTTAAATTTTTTAAAACTTTCAACTTTGGTTAGTAAACCATTTAATTTCACAATGAATGTTCCACAATTCAAAGTTGCGGACAAGCGTACTGGTCCAAGTTACATCCCTGAATTATCAGAGATCATTGGCCTGACCCACGGAGATAATAAGGAAAACTTTATGGATATGGTAGAAAATGGCTCATCTCTTGAAAAGTGCAAGCTTTGGGCTACTATTATCAGATATTTACCTGCTTCCTATTACTTTTCAGAAAACTTTCTGAAAGCCATAGCCTCGCCGGTAGGCACCACTGATGATTTGAGTAAATTCAACCTTAAGTTATACCATATTTTGCAGTATACTTATGAGGGTTGTACAAAAAGACATGCCGAATTGAATATACCGGAATCTGAGTATCGAGAAAGAGCTAAATTGCTCGTTTTATATAGAACCGAGTAAAAAGGTATTGTGTTCTTTCACGAGCAGAAAAGTAGGTATCAATACGTCCATAGAAATTCAAACAAGAATAGGGGGCAAAGACGCTAGATTGAATCTTTATCCTGATCTCAGCATTACACTTCTTGATGATAAAAAAATTTGGTTAGATGAAATTAAAAGACCGAGCCTTCAGATAGTTACAGCTTATTTGGATTTCCTTTCCTCAGAATCCCTGATCACCAAGAAAAGAAAACTAGATCTTGATGATGAGGGGAATTCAGCAGCTGTTTCTATTATCGACCAAATTGCTACCTATATGATATTATGAGAAACACCTATTGGAATTTTAAGTGACAGTTTTACTTACATTTTTATTCAAATCTTGGACTTGAAAATAATTAATGATGAGATCCACTTACGATTGGAGTATGCATGTACCAAGTCATCCAGCACCCTTAATACAGAGGGTCCCATGTCGGCCTTCTCGACACTTTTGGCTTTGTTATACGAGGAATTTAACAAGTCTGAATTTGAAATAGCACAGAGGAAAGCTCGCCTAAATGGCGATGCATCGGCATTATTAAGCAAAGATCATTTTGATTCCATTTTTTGTGAAGCGGCACTGGATGATTTCCGCTCATATGCAACCGGTTACTTTGAAGTAATGGCAAAAAGTGGGATACAGAGAAGATTCGATGAAAAAATTGATGATGCGAAGCAAACTTTGGGATATCACACTGTTTATATTGATCATGAAGATCTTGTGGATGAAGGTATTTCCAGAAGTATACAAACTGATTTTTTTCAAAACTCGCAAGTCTTTAGGGTCAAGATTAAAGAGCTTAAAGATGCAGGGGTGTCGATTGAGGAAGATAATAAGAAACATGTACTTTTAAAGATTTTCGATCCTCAGAAGTACATGATTAATATGGAATCACGCACGGAGCCTGAAGAAGTCATCCAAAAAATGGTAAGTCACTTCAGAAATGAATACATCAGTTATAAACTGATCGACTTGCACAACCAAAAAAATCAGCATGAACAAATCAGTAAATTGAAGATATACGCATTTGCTTTTTTCAGAGTCTACTTTAAGCAAAATAATAAACTAGAGGACCCACATAGGTTGGAAAACTACATTGCTGTCGGTCCTGTTTTTCTTGCTGAAGAACTAACCACAAAACCCAAAACTATTGAAGATTTTGTGGAAGGTGCTAAACAATTACTACATATGCACAATAGTGGTGTATATCATAACGATATCAAATTATCTAACGTATTCATGAGAAAAACAAAGCATAAGAACAATTTTGTCTTCATTGATTACGGCTTAAGCGAAATCAAGTGTGTTCCAAAAGAAAAGAAAAGCCCAAAAAGTTCGGGGGGTATAGATTGGTGTGATTTCGAAACTCTTGCGGAATCGATGGGAATTGAGAAAGCAGAATGGGAAAGAGCATTGTTTTCTAACGTATGAGCCTAATTTTTTTTTCTTTATTGTTTTCTTTTTAATTCTTAATTTCTAATCCGGAGATATTTGAACAGAAGTATTCGAACGAGCAGCTCTATCCGTATCGTCAGCGAATTTTTTTTTTTGGTTGCCTTCAGTGTTTATTGTAAGTGGATGCCGATCAGTAAATTGAAATTATGTCATCGACTTTGTACGAGTGAATATAAAGATAATAAATAGAACGATATAATAATATATATTAATAACAAACGCCGGATTTTGGGTTTTCGGCTAGTTGTTATATGCATAATATATGACTACGTATATAATTTCTAGTAACGTTGAATAAGATTAAGAGTATTCAGGGTGTACAGGAACCCCACCTACCATGTATTATATGCTTGTGTTCTAACTAATCAAGCAAATGTGAGTTAGAACCCAAGTTGGTCCCTAATGGTTGCGAACATGACAGCCTAGAGGAAATGCAATTGTATGATTTCAGCAACGTCGCAAAAGCCTTTTTTTTTTTTTATAAAAAAAAATCTCTAAACGCACCACAACTATATATATATATAATATTGATCGAAAATTATGATTTCCCACTATGAGTCAGAGCGACCCAGACTTTCGCAACAGTTCATTGGGAGTGTCAAAATGTCCAAAGACGTCAAGGTTGAAGGAGAGCGCCAGAAGCACGCCGCCGGATGGGTTGGATTTGTGGCTGGAGTGTGCTCTGGGATGGCTAAGAACACCGTTGGTCATCCATTCGACACGATCAAAGTAAGGTTGCAAGTTTCTGAAGGCCGTTTTACCGGTCCTATAAATGCCTTGACACAAACCATTGCTAAAGAAGGTATCAAAGGTCTTTATAAAGGCTTCACTCCCCCGTATGTATTTTATTATATTACATTATACTATAGTATATTTATTTATGCTTTTCTTTTTTTGCAATTCATTTTACTAACTTTTCAAGACTTGTGGGATGGGTTCTTATGGATTCTGTCATGCTTGGATCATTACACAATTACCGGACTTGTTTGATGAACACCATTTATAAAGATGAACAGAGACTCCCGTTGTTGGGTCATTGTCTTGCAGGGCTAGGGGCCGGGTGGACAGTTTCATTTGTCGCTGCTCCAGTTGAACAGGTGAAAGCAAGATTGCAAATCCAGTACGATGCTAAATCGAAATTATATGCCGGTCCTATAGATTGTCTTTTCAAAGTGGTGAAGAACAGCGGTATCACTGGGCTATATAGAGGGTTATTCCCAACTATGGTTTTCAGATCGAACTTTGTGTTTTGGTGGGGGTCTTATGAAATCTTTACTAAATGGTTTGAAGACCACACCAACATGTCGAAAGTGGCCATCAATTTCTGGAGTGGTGGGCTCAGTGCCACAGTGTTCTGGACCATGGCCTATCCTGCAGACGTCATTAAACAAGTCATCATGACTGATAGTGTGGAAAACCCGAAATTCAAGAGTTATCTGCAAGCCGTCAAATACATTTACCAAAATAGAGGAGGGGTCAGAGCATTTTTCAAAGGTTTTGCTCCTTCCATATGTCGTTCATTCCCTGCCAATGCTGCTGCTTTGGCTGCTTTCGAGGCTGCTCTTAGAGTATTGGATAAATAAGTTCTTGGACTATAGTTGCATATTTTTTGTTCTTTTATTTCATATTCATAGTGGTGTATATGCATAGTGTGGTACGCATACTTCATTCGAATGGTTTTCTTAGACCAAAGTGATTGATTGTAAGTTATTTAGACTGTAAAAAAAATAAATAGCTTCTTGGAAGTGTGTACATATACCATCCTTGATTTGTTGCCGCAGGTATAAATACTAATTATCATTAACAGGTGACGTATAGCAGGCCAATATTACCAATCCACGGATTTTTTTTTTTTTTTTTTTTTTTTTTTTTTTTGCTAAGAAAAACAACAAAGGGGGAAATTTCACAGATCTACGGACTTTTCAAGTGTTTTGGTTTTGGCAGGACCCAAGATGATGAACCACCACCTAACTACGGTGACCACCGCCCCACTACGGCCGTCGAACTTTGTCACTTTATCACAGATCGGGGTCGAGCATGCCACAGGCAACGTTGTGGGGGCCACGGTTGGGCCACAGACCATCCAGGCGATCAGCAATATCCAACAGCAACTCCGAGGACGAGGGATTGGGTTGGAGAATGTGGTTCTGGTATTAGTGTTTGTGAGTTCCCCTAACGACGTCCCACTGGCCGAGCAGGTGTTGCAACGGAGATTGGGGCCACGGGTGGCACGGAGGTTCCAAGTGGTCCAGTTTCCAGGAAAGGTGAAAGTAGAGCTACGGGTGGTTGCCAAAGGGTGCCACGGGAGTGCTCTATAGACAGGATATTTGAGTGCAATAGAGTGATTTAGAGTAATCAATCAACGGTGGTTATTGTTGTATAGACACTTAGTTTACCCGGAAAATGCTATAGTGACACTCAATGATTGGCACAGAGATTATAAAGTGCGACGTATGGTGTGGCTGGGAACTGATGGTGTAATAATCACAGTAATAGTAATAATCGATCGTTATTATTGTTGTTGGAGAAAAGGGTCTGCCTACTACTCTCCCCAGATCAATTGATCGACTGTAAGAAAATACACGAATCGCGCCAGAGCGAAAAATCACCCCCGCCAAAAATTAAAAAAAAAAAAAAAAAATTGGGGGAAAGAAAACGTAATGCATTTTGACTGATTTGATTCATTTAGTGGTATATTATTATTATTATTATTATCATTGTCAACATCACAATCTCCAGAATCTCTACACAACAAAATATATTACACCAATACAAATTATCGAAGTCTGCCGCGTTCCACTTCAAATCAAACCAAAAATCATATTTTTATTGATGGCTCAATAATAACAGATCTGATCTACATAATTATCCACCATGGGGATCTTCACACGCCGTAACAGAACCGGCTCAATATCAAATCACAATAACAATAACAACGTAACAGAACATATTTTGGAACACGACATCCCCGATCCTTTTGCCGCAGGTTACAACGATGGGTCAATTGGTCTGCGTGCCCGTTCTGATTCTCGAAGCTCAGTTAATGTAACAGCCTCATCCACCCAGCCACTTACATCCTCCAACATTAACAATATCTCCGGCACCCCTCCAGGGCTTCGAAAGAAGTCGTCAAAATTATCTCTTCACTCATTGAGTAACGAGGAATCAACTCGTCAACGATCTTATCTGAGACTTCATAACCTTGTCGCGTCATCACAAGATCAAGAAGGGCTGCCGAATGACAAGATTCGCCAGCTTAATTTTGGTATTGGCATTCCAGAAATCGATAATACTAGCACCACTGGCAGCGACACTAGGCTCTTAACTGCGAATAATACCGGAAACTCAACCGCCCCAAGTTTGTCTTCACCTTTGCATTTGCAAAAAAAACCTCGTCGAAAGATTAGCGTAACCGAACTTAACCATATCAGAAATCATAGTGTCACCAGCAGTACTATGGATATACCTCTGTTTGAAAATCAGCATTTTTTCCTGAATGCTCCAATAAACGCCGTCAATTCAAATGCAAACATGTCTATTGCATCATCCAATATCTCTGAACATCGCTCTCAGAAATCCATTGCCCAATCGCAACAGAAGGAACTACCACCACAGCCAACAGAGCAGCATCACCAGTCATCTCAAAAAGTTCAACCCCAATTGAATACAAAGAAATCATTCACATTTTTCAACAGGTTGATGAAACCAAATAAAAACAAATCAAATAATAATCTGAATGATGCTACAGCCTCAAACGCCGCCGCCGAAAGATACGCAAGTAATCTGCAAATGGAAATTGTCCAGACAAATCTATCACTTGATGATATGTTTAATGATACTGATATGCTTGAAGAGTCAATAAGAGATAAGCCTCTACCACCAATACAGAACCAAGACAACAACAAGATCAACCAACTCTCTCAAAAACAGAATGCCGAGGATTCGGCACCAATTTCTCAGCAAATAATGTATCGCAAGCGGCCTATTGAATCCGCTCCTGATTCAAGATTAAGTACTCTAACCGAAGACCTGTTTTATTTCAATTCAAGGGTACCAACAACCCCAGTATACGCAGCTAGTGGTGGTGACACTGGGTCAAGAATTACTGTCAATGGGAAAGAAAAGTTTTTGGCTTCTACTAATGAAGGATTTGAATTGCCTTTAAACGAAGATTGCAATGGTGATTCATACGCACCTGAACAAAATGATAATAATGATGATGAGCCTTTGCATAATAAATTGTTGCCTCCAATTGGCGATGATATCAATGAAAAACCGGGGGTTCACTCAGATGACGAAGACGAGGATTTGAAGATTTCTGATGGCTTCAAGGCAAATGAAATTTCAAATAAAACACCAGCCACATTGAAAACTACTCCCGGCGCCACCACAGCTTCATCACCAGCCTCAGCTTCCTCAAAACTTAGTAGAATCATCTCAAGGATGTCGCTTGGCGGAATTACATCACCAAAAAGTCATCGAAATTCACTTATTTCTTCCATAACTGCGGGAAATACTAATGGGAAGAGCTCCAAGTCTAGTACAAAAAATAAGATTTTGCGGATTTCTGTTTCAGATAGTCTCTACAATGAACCCGATTTTGACAATATTGCACAAAAAACTTCTCAAGAGCAGGGCAAGAAACTGCAGAATGATTCACGAGAATTCATTACTGCTGATGATATTCCATTGCTGTCCCCAAATGTTTTGAAGGATAACTCTGCCACCCCTGGTATCCGCACTCCAACTATTCCAGATAATGAAAGTGGTAAAGCCAGTGATACTGACTATACTGGTGAGTCCAACAATTTACCTACTCCGACTGTGGGTTCTAGTCAGTATTTTGAGATGCTAATGGATGAAAAACCTAAGAACAGTGACTTGAACAATGAAATATTAACTCCAGGATCTCAACAAGCCGATCCAATAGGCGATCTCAATGAATCTTCACCAGTTGAAAATCTGAACACCACCACTCCTGGAGAAATAAAAGCTTCAAAATCTGAATCCCAGCAATCACAAGGCAAAACTAGCCACTCCCTTTTCAGATCTCCAACCAGAAGATTAAGCAAAAGATTATCTGGAAAATTTAGTAGTTCACCATTGGTATCTTTTTATAAAAGTGCTTCTCCTAAAAGATTCTCACCACTTTCATCCAATAATGCTGCTGCCAACGGTGATACTTCACCATTGGACGCTATCAATGTACCAGAACTTTCTAATGACATCAACAGCTCAATACCTTCTTCAACTCCGGCGGAATCTGAAAATTCAAGTTCTGCAAAACTGCAAGCCCTGTCTTCGGATAACGCTGAGATTATTGAAACCGCTATTGTTGCAAAGAAAGTTGTTGGGGTTTCTCCTGTCAAGGTTAATTTTTCACAATCAAATGATCCGAGGGAGAGAAAAACTAACCAATCTTTACCATATAATCAATTGAAAGCTACAGAGCCTACTGATTATCTGAATGCCCCTTCTCTGTCACTGTCGATAGCACTACTGATACCGGTACACGTGGATAATAATGATGTACCTAAACTGTTGGGGAAAATTGAGACCACTAATGATTTCTTGGCTTTTGATGATTCTATTGAGGACCACAATTATACTCAACTTTCACCAATTGAGGAGGTTGATTCTCCACAAAGTGCTAGAATTGGTCGGGGGATGTTATCTGCAGCCCATAGAGATATTCCATCTATCACATCGTCATTGAGTAAACTAGCAGGAGTGGATATGCCTAATGCTAATAATAATTTAATGATTGGTGATAGAGGTTCAGGGACCGCTAGTAGTAGTAGTGGGTCTGGGATTGCTAGTGGGTCATTTACGGTGCTTAAAGAAGATGAAACCACGGATTACACACCGATGGGCAGTAAAAGCTCTTTGAAATCCACTGAATTGGTGCTGTCAAATGTAAAGCTGATTAAACAAAATGATGCAAATGGATTGGATCACCACAGCATGATTTCGAGGAATAACGTTCATGGCCGTAATCAACAAATTACCAATGATGATACTGCTGCTGCTGGTGTTATACTGTCTGACCAAAATCCACGTTCCAAGGCAATCAAAGCACAAAGTAAACTCTCAGAGACTTTTACGCTTAATGACCTTGAACATCAAAGTCAAAGAAATGCAAGCACAGACAGCATTGACGGGAAATCTAAGGCAAATGTCAGCTTTGGCGAAAGTGATACTAGTATGAACAGTTTGAGTGTTGGTAATGTGCGTGTGAGAAAACCTCGTTCCCCTAGAACAATGACTTCATATCAAGAAGATTTCTTGACTCGACTGGCAAAAACTTTGTCTACAATTTCTGTTAGCACTAACAAAAGAAATACCCTCAGGCCAATATCCGCGACCTTCAGAACTCCATTGTTACCAGACTATGAGGATGACGTTGATCAAACTCCAATATTGCCAACTGATGGGAAAAACAATAGTCAGATCACTTTGAATTTTGCTGAAAAACCAATCAGAGAGGTCATTGATGAAAAAGACTTGCAAGAAAACAGCCCGGCTAGGATTAACGAAATGGCAGGAATGGAAGAATCGAACTTTGACAATATCAATGATATTCCAAAAATTTTGGAATTCCAAAAAAATATCGCTGATGTGACTCAAAATGTTCCACCAGAACTTGTGGAGCTTTTGCAAAAAGAAGGGTTCAATGATTTCACTTCTCCTAAATCGGTTGACATTAATTATGAAAATTTCGTACAAAGTGATGAGTCGCTGACTAGATCAACTTCTGAGTTCGAGTTTGCCACCGATAAGGATTATTCTAAGAATAAGAAACTTGACTTCGCGGTACGTTCTATACCAATTGAAATGTCTAAGGACCCAATTTTTGCCAACATTTTAAACGGTAATGAGTCTAATCCATCAAGCAGTGAAGTTGATACGATTGCCAAGTCTCCATCCAATATTGGTTCAATAGAGGTATATGATGTGGCTGCCGCCCCAAAGCAACCAAAATACCCACCGCCAGTGCCAGGATCTTATCATCCTACAATTGCTGAGGAATCGGAAAATGAATCCCCAGTTTTTCAAAATGGTGACGATCTGTTAGCCAGTTACAATGGACCTACTGCTAAGACCACGAGTAAAATGAGAAGTAATAGCAATAGTGATAATCCATTTATTGATAACGGTAATATTACTGCGATCCAAAACTACGATGGTACCCGATCGAGCATGTCATTACCAAGGAAATCTAGTCAATTGAGTTTGAACAAGATTCTTTATTCTAATGCCAACGCAATGGCCCTGACGGTTTCTGATTTTGATGGAAATACTATCCAAATCAGCAATAGTAATAGTAATAGAACTTTAACTAAAGGATTCCTGTCTCCAACAACATCACCATTCAAAAGATCTACTCAATTAAAGCATTCTAATAGTTTAAGGTTAGTCACCACCACTCCTCGTGCTAAAGATGCATCGAATGCTAAGACTCCCGAAACTGATCGCAAGCTATCGAACTATGATACCTCAGAGTTGAATCAATCCATGACCGACTATAGCATGCGATCACCTGATTCTTTATATTCTGCCAATAGTCTGTTTCGCCATCGGGCATCTTCTGTTGGTCTGCCAAAACATAAACCTTCATTATCCAATAGTACTACCGACTCAATCTATCAAGAAGTTTATGGCAATTTGAAATTACGAGATGGATACCGTAGTGATTTGTCATTGAACGCCATGAAGAAAAGTCCTAGTATCACTTCACTTGACTTGAAAGGGTATCATCGGAGTAGGCACTTCAGTTCAGACTTGCACACTGACTCTTCTATTGATTTGAGTTTCTTTCAATCGTCGGAGGAGTCCAATGAATTGGCGCTGTTGTTCATCAAGGCTATCCATACATTTGATGCTACATCCTTAGAATCAGAAGACCTGGCGATTTGTTTGAGTTTTGAGAAAGATGATATTGCGTTTGTTTTCAATATAGATGAGTCTGGATGGGGTGAGGTTGTGTTATTGAGTAATTTATCTAAAGGCTGGGTTCCTATGAATTATTTCAATTCCGCCATCGATGATTCGCATCTGGAAGATAACAAATCCGCTGCTAAGATTGCCGAAAGCAGGATTTATTTAAAACCGTTATTTGTTGCGGCTGCTGGGTTTTTGTTGAATCCCCAAGAAGTTCCAACCGGTGATGCTGGGTTGTTTACATTTTCAACAAAGCATATGAATGATATCAGAGACGGGGTTAAGTTGTTATTGCAACAAACTGACTGTATTTCCCGCGCGGCCCCAATTGTTAATAAACGACCAGTCATCAGAAAAGTTAGAAAAGCTTTACTTGCTGATTGGTATACTTTAATGTCTAAGGCGGAAAAGTATAAGGGGACCACTGATGAAACCAAGATCAATTTCTTGAAGTCATTGACATATAAGGTTTTGATTAAAGGTTTAGCATTTTTGGATATTTGGGGTGATGAGTCTGTGTCATATGAAAAGGAAAAAGAGAAATTGAAGATCGAAAAGAAAAACCGTCGTCGCAGCAAGAGAGGGCTGAAACATGAGAAAGTGCTCTATTTGGAGCGTGTACCATTTGCGGTGGAGAGATTAGAGGAGGTCAAAGATTTGTTATTCAAATATTTGTCGTTGATTTTGGGGAGATTGGACGTTGTGGAAAATAATTATCTGGGATGTGAACAATTAGAAAGCATTATTCACCAGGTGATCTTACTTTTGAGGGAGCTTTTGTTTATTGGAAAATCTGCTACTGTATTATTGAATTCCAGTAACATTTCCCTCGATAGCTCCTTAGATAACTTGTTGGCTTATGTTAGCGACTTGGTCACCAGCGTCAAGCACTTGGTTGCTAAGGCTGATGTGGAAGATGATTATGATGATGATTATGAGCCTTCCATCAAAGATGAAGATTACTATTATTCCAAAGAAGGCACTAAGTTGATCAGGGTGGTTGCACAAATGATTATCTCGGTATCCAAAGCCATGGGTAGCTGTCAACAATTGTTAAACTTGACGAAAGATTTTCAATTGAATATCTATCGAAAGTACCCTGATTTTGAATCCATGAGGATTACTCCTACAGAATTCATTAGGAAATGTGTTGTTGGGTTGACAGAAAATCAATCGATTCATTATAAATTGAATGGTGTGTCTGATTTATCAACAAACAGAAGAAGTAGTGCTTCCTTTAGGTACTCCCATATTAGAGGTGGTTCCAAAAAGAACTTGTCCATCACTTTTGATGGTTCCAGAATTTTGAAAGAATTTTTATCCAACAGTGACTCTGATCCTAGGGACTCTGTCATTCCAATCACCAACGAGGAATATGATTCCGAATATTCTGTCGACACTTTGATGAAAGAAGTGGTTTATGATGATAATAAGAATGTCATTGGTGCAAGTTTCAAGTCCTTAGTCTTCTTGTTAGCCAATGAAAGAACCCATGCTAGTACCTTTTTCATTTCCACATTCTTCATGTCTTTTAGAAATTTTGCGTCCACTAGAGAGTTGATCCACGAATTAATTAAGAGGTTTGATATTGGGGATAGAGAAAAAGATTTTTTGATGAGAAATTATAGATTGAGGGTTAATGAAGTTAGCGTGTACGACTCAAGATTGATGAACCGAAGAAAAACCATTCTTGCGGTGATTCGTATTTGGTTAGAAAGTTACTGGGACTACGAAAAAGATTTCCTGGAGTTACCAACTATGGTCAATTTCTTGAATGAGGGTGCCATCGCCTACGTTCCAAATGAGTCTTTAACCATCATTGAACTTTGTGCCAGATTGGCTATCAAGCATCCATCTAAAAAGAAGCTCGAGTCCATGAATTCAGAATACCTGCAGTTGATCTCCAGAAGAATTGGGTTACCAAGAAAGAATTCCGTCGGGTCCGAGTCTTCGACCAGTCTAATTTCTGCTTCTGATTCTGAACATGATTTATCTTCTTTGAGTCTGAACTCATCAATGTCTCTGTTAGTGTCGTTGAATTTGCCAATGAATTTTAGTAATTATCATATCAGTACCATCATGAGTAAAAGTCAAGGGGCGACTTTGGAAAAATCGGTAGCGGCGTTTAGGAATATCCTTGGGGATAGCTGGCCGACTCCAAGATCATCATCCGCCGATTACAGTGCCAACGGGAAATTATTCCAGACTCTAGAGTTGAACCAAATGATTGATGCTTGGTTTTCTGTTTGTTCAAAGAAATTAAACATTGAGCCACCAGCGGTTGCTACTGAATTAACCAGCCATAATGCTGTAGATACCGCCAAGCAATTAACGGATATTGAATCGAGAATCTTTTTGGCAATCCGTCCAGAAGAGTTGCTTGATGAAAATTTTAGAGAAAAGAGAATCCACTTGAAGAAGAGTGTCAATGTTGAGAAATCCGTGTTGTTTACTAATTTGCTATCAGATCTTGTGAGTGATACTATCTTGAGTCCTGGCCAATCTATGAAAGCTCGGGTTGCCAACATTAAGCAGTGGCTTAAAATTGCTGCTGCTTGTTATCAATTGAGAAATTATAACTCTTTGGCAGCTATTATGACAGTGTTACAATTATCGGCCATTAGTAGATTGGACAGATTATGGGCAAGTTTGAGTGGGAAATATATGGACACGTTTGAATTTTTGGTGAAGATCATCCATCCAAATAAAAATTACAAAGTTTATAGAAATTTGATCAAGCCATATATGATGAGCGAGGACAAGAAGTCACCAATGGCGATTGTTCCTTATTTCAATCTTTTCTTACAAGATATTATTTTTGCCAATGATGGTAATAGAAGCAAGCGAATTATTACGATTGATGGCGAAGAAAAAAGCTTGATTAATTTTGATAAGCACTCTAAAATTGTGGATACAATTTCCAAGTTGGAATACTTCCAAGTCACGTACCCTGAAGGAGATGCCAATAATTCGACTAATGCTTCGTCTTCGAGTTCAAAACCTTCGGTGTTTTCCTTCAGTCCTATTAGTAACAATGAAAGTTATGATACTATTGTATCGAATCCAGCATTTGAAGAATTCATCTTGTTCAAACTTTGGGCCACTCAACAGTTCAATATTTTAGACTATGATAGATTCTGGAAATACAGTTTAGAGATCCAGCCGCAAAATAATCTGAATTGAGCTATGTGTTTGTTTGAGTTGATATTGTTTTTATTATTTAGTTTTTTTACTTTCTTTTTTTTTTTCACTTACTTATAATGTTTTTTCGTGGTATAGTATTATTATTATTATTATTATTATTATTATTATTATTATTATTATTATTATTATTATTATTATTATTATTATTATTATTATTATTATTATTATTTATTGTTTAGTTTTGCTTTTTAATAGATGTGTTATGATTTTTATTTCTTTCAAGCTTTGGTTGTGCTTGCATTTTTTTTTGTTTTTGCTTCCAAAAGGTGTCAACCTATTTTGTTGGATATAAGTTTTTGATATTTAGTCATTTCTTATCCATTTTGTTAATATCAAAAAATGATTACTAGAAAATAGTTCAACAATTCATCTTACATTGACACTAACTACCCAAAAAAAAAAAGAATATTTTGCTTAAAAAATACTGTAACACACCTAAGCTTTATTGAAAGTTGAAACCCAATACAAAAAGAAAACGGAAATATAAATCAAATAATGAACTGAAAAAAATATGTATAAGTATATACGAAAAGAAATAAATGTTTTTATTTAATGCCAATTCTCAAGCAATTGCCGCGGCCGCAGCCTTGTGCCTCCATGGGGGATTCAACGGATGAATACCGTGCAATGTTGGAAAAACGTCCTGAAAGAAGAAAAAAATATGCCCAGTGACCACATCCAATATCATATCCACCACGGTACTGCCATTCAATAAACCATTGATCACCGCATACACAAACGGCAAATACGGGGCTCGGAAATTAACCAACCCTAGGATCTCCATCCTGGCACCGTGGTTTCTTCGAGACCAAATATAGAGCAATGCGTCGTCGAGTTTGGATCCCAAGAAGTAGGTTGGTCTAATGAAGGTGGCGAACAAAATGAGAATCAACCCATTGACAAAAATCAACCACAAGTAGTCCCAGGTCCCATCAATCGTGGTCCCGAGAGATTCCTCGAGGGAGATCGAGGTGGTCATGGTGAAATATAGAGAGAAAAATAAGTCCAAGCTAAATCTTCGAACGTATAGAAAACAGGTGAGTAGTCGCCAATATTCGTGCTGGTGGAACACTTTCTCAAACGAGTATACAAGGTCGATTTGTCGGACAATCCCACAGTATTCCAAGATAGACATCAACACAATTCCCCCAATCCAGCATCTGGTCACCGGGGGTACTTTTCTTATAAGCTCAAGAGGAATGTTTTCCATTTCTTTTCTTTTTTATTTTTGTTTCCTAACCAGTGTCTAAAAGGCTCGTAGGTATAAGGAATTGGAATTGGAATTGGAATTGAGATTTGAATGCTTACGGGAACTGGTTATTACGGTGTGCAGATAGGACTTAGGGTAGGTTGGAGAGATTGATATTTTGTGTGGGTGAAATGTGCAACAGCCGAGCATCGCTCATAACAACATATAAATGTCAGTTCTAGTGAAATCACATTACTAACTGCACTCACTACCAGAGAATGGTAGTTGTGCACGAAGATCCTGTCAAAGGATTGGTGAGTACAGCTAATCAGCCAATCAGAGATATTCTGATACGGGAGAAGATTGATCTTCAGAGATTTAAATAATTATACATAGAAACATATAAATGACACACACAAACCATCCAGCCCCCCAATCTAACTTGTAACAACTCATTATTATTACTTCATAATATCCCAAGATAACCCTAACTATAACTCATCCGTCACTTACAATGCGGCACCTACGGATGATCATACTTCCAATCTGGTGAACTCTACCGAGAATTTACATGGCACCGAACCTGGGACACATGAATTAAATCATACACAAATAAGACAATTCGTGGAAGAAAATGGAGCATTTCATTAGGAATATAATTCTTCCATTAGGGCCTAAAATTGGAAAAAGAACACAGCAAATGGTTGAGATTTTTAGCTTCCCGGAATAATGTTGACAAATACGGGAGCATTGAAAAAGATAGTTTCCAAAAAGTATACAAAAATATTTTATGTGCTTTACAAGTATCTGGTTTGGGAAAAACCATTGACAACGAACATTTTGTACCAAGTGATTTGCATCCATATGAAGAAGACATCATAACTATGATATTCAGGGAATGCTACAGCCCCGAAGAAATCATGGATATTGACAGATTTATCAGAGAGTTAAAAAGAACAAACAAGATGGTATTCACCGAAGAGATAAAAAATAAGTTACGCTTGGAAATGAGAATTGATGATCCAAAATATGCGGAAAATATCTTGGAATACATGACATATGATGAAAAGTTTAACAGACCATTAGCATTTGAAGAGTTACTCTTTACCATTTGTGACATACCTGAAAACATTCTCTACTCTGGCGATTTACGTTCAAGGAAACCAAGTGATATTTATGAACTTATTGATGAGATTGAGAATTTGAAAACGAGATACGATACCACTAAGATTATAAATGTGGTGTCAAAGAGAAAAAATTCCAAACCTGTGAAATGTTACAGATGTGAGAAATATGGACATTTTGCTGTGGCTTGCAAGAGAAAAAACCAATACAATCAGTTCAATAATCATAATCACAGAATCAACAAAAGTTTTGATGTGGGAAAGAATCGGAACAGACAGAGTCAAAGATATAATCAACAAGAAGGGAATATAAACAATCAAAACAGAAGTTTCTACAGAAATAACCAAGGAAACGCTTATCAGAACAACAGTCTAAGAGGGATGCTGCTAAGGCTACCATGGAAATATTCGCAAAAATCAAAACACAACACACGATAAGAGTTCGAGCAATACATAGTGACAAAGGGGGGTGAATTCCGAAGTATACCGTTTGAAGAATATTTGAAAAAAGAAGGGATTATTTTCACTACCACAAATGGTTATCAGAGTATTGACAACCCACTAGTTGAGATGCTGAATGGAACTCTTATGAACATTGCCAGAAAAATTTTAATGAGCTTCAAATTCAATGATGAAATTAGGACACTTTCATACCCGTGGGCAATTTTGCATGCCAATCTTTTGCATAACATCAACTGGTTAGACTCTATTGAATCGAGTCCTTACTTCAAAGTTTTTGGTGTTCCTTATGATACAAAGAGATTACTAGCTTTTGGTGAACTAGTCATTTATAAAAAGCAGAAGACAAGGAATAAATTGGATCCAAAAGGACGCATGGCTTATTGGGCTGGAAAATTCGGATACGATTCAAACATCTTATTGGATGTGGATACAAAAGCCATAGTCTAAAGTAACAACATCAAATCAACGAATCAAAAACTACACGACTATACGGAAGAAAACTTGAACAATATAAATTCAGTGGAAATTATTTTCGATATTTTGAATTTTGATGGAATCAATGAGGTGTGTGTGTACCGAGAATCTACAATAAAATCCAGAAATCCGGTGTGATGAACTCTTTGGAGGAGGAGAGCGATAATACTTGTGTCTCGTAGAATATATATTCTTGACAACTGATATAGTTCTGTTTAATTAAATAACTTTTCCGTTCTTACAAATTTGATTTATTAATTGCAGCGTGTTTCAGAAATAATGCGAGTGCAAATTTCCTCGGAGAATCAAGGATATGCGATAAAATGGGCAGAGTTTCTTACTAGAAGATCAAACAGGTTTTTGTAAATATCAATTTATGAGAGTATTCACGGCGCCTTGCTCAATCCAATCAAGAGATCTAGATCCCTCAGACGAATGCTTCAAGTGGAAAATACATATTAATGTTCTTTGGCATGTGATAAATTCTATGGTTGTCGCCAGGCCCACTTCCTACGGATAAACAGTCACCGTTGCTCAATGAGTTTCTCTTTAATAAACGGTTTACACTACCATTTTATCGTCATAAACTCTGGGAAGGCGATTGGGCTGAAAGTAATCATTCGTAACCTCAACGGCATGGCCATACTTTTTTTTTTTTACCTTTTTCCGTTTTTCTTTCTGATTTTTCTCCGCGATGAGCAAAACGATTTCTGACGTGTGATTAATTGCCATCGATAGATCGATCTCCTCATCGTTTGTCTATACAATATATATACACACACAACATGGACATCGATGTTTCTGCCTTGAAAAGCGCTCCTAAATGGAGTGAAGATAATGAAAAGATCATCCGTGAGCCATTCGATTACCTAAAAAGCCTGAATGGGAAAGAGTTCCGCACCGCCCTCATTGATTCATTCAACCAGATCCTAAAAGTTCCTTCGGCCGATTTGCAAACCATCACTCAGATCATTGGAATCTTACATAACGCCTCATTACTAGTTGACGATGTGGAGGATGGATCAAAGTTAAGAAGGGGCAACCCGGTGGCCCATGAGATATTTGGGGTGGCGATGACGATAAATACTGCCAACTACATGTATTTCAAGGCTTTCCAAAAAGCGCTTGAGTTGGGGTCCGAGGCGGTGGAGATCTTGAACGAAGAGTTTTTGAATCTTCACCGAGGCCAAGCGCTAGATCTATATTGGAGAGAATCTTTGATTTGTCCAACCGAGGAAGAATACGTCGACATGGTGATGAATAAGACTGGGGGGTTGTTCAGGTTGTCAATCCGGTTGATGGAACAAAAATCACACTTGACCTCAATACAAAAATCATTTGTGCCATTAGTGAATCTCCTTGGTATATCGTACCAAATTAAAGATGACTATATAAATTTATCCAATACCCAATACTTCACCAATAAAGGATACTGCGAAGATTTGAAAGAAGGGAAGTTTAGCTTCCCAATCATTCACGCCATCAGGTACGATCAAAGTAATAAGGAGGTCATTAGCATTTTAAGCAAACGGACCGACGATGTCGAGTTGAAAAACCATGTGGTAACCTATATGAAAACGGTATCAAAGAGTTTTGAATACTGTGAAGCGACTTTACAGAAATTGGAAGCCAATGCAATTCTATTAATGAATGAAATTGTTAATGAGAATCCTGATTTCAAAGAAGACACAAAGTCTATTGAGTTATTGAAAGTTATCATAAAAAAGATTTGCGCTCTTTGACTGTTAATTTTTTTTTTGATAACTAATACTTTTTTTTATCGGTGTTTGTACTATAGTGGCTAATATGGAGTTTATAATTGCTTCTAATTTATTTTTAATGATTTTTGCTTGGAACTATGTGTTATGATAACTACGTTTGTGGTGATCGTTATTGAAACATTGTAAAAATATAGTCGTAAAAATGAACAAGTAAAGTGAAAAAGAAGAAAAAATTAAATAAAAATAAATAAATAAAAATAAAATAAAATTAGGAATTTTAATTATCACAAAAATTGAAAGCATATATATAGCAAAAGCTAATGTTGAGCAACCTCAAGTTCATCAATCATTCGTCTTTTTCCTGCATTTTTGCCTTGATCTTATTCTTTAAAGCCTCACTGGCACCCTTAGCTTCCATGGTCAATGGCGCGGAACTACCCGTACTGCTGGCACTAGAAGATCTTGGTCTGATATATTCAGAGAAAACAGGAATGTTCGATAAAGAATTACTAGAGTTCAATCTAGAAATTGCGTCAGAATCAGCAAACGAGGACTCCGAGATGTTACCAGAAGTTTCTACTTCGGCTTGTTGTCTTAGACGTTCTAATTTCTGTTGTTTTCTTCTTTGACGCAATTCTTGAGTCTTTCTATCTTCTTCCTCTTCCTCATTAATGAATATCTTATTACCAGATTTATCGACACCAGTGGTAGTAGACTTTTCACTCATTTCCAAAAGATTGAAATCATCAGGATACATTTGCATACCAAAATCGTCGACAATTTCGGTAATTTTTCTTGCCAATTCTCTTCTTTGGATCTTCAAATTGTTCAAACTGATTGGGTCAACAATAGAAAGATAAAGCGGCCTCAAACTCTTGAAAAGATCCATACCAGATTCACCAACTATCAAGGCAGCATAAGTAACAGAGGCAGAAAGTAAATAACTGGCAATGAATAACAAAATTAAACTATGGTTGCTGAAATAGTCTTTCCTGTAACAATAAATAGTAATAATTGTTGAATAGAAAATGTATAATAAAGGTGCAAACACCATGGAAATCAAAATCTTCCATGTAGCCAAAACATCATTAGCTTTAATTTTAACCACCGAGCCAGCAAGCGCTTCTTTGGCCTTCTTCTTTGAGATAATTCTTGCACCAATGAAAACAGGGGCAAACAAAATTGTTCCGGGAAGAGCAAAAATAGATAAGAAGGTGACTTTAAGCGATCTGTAGATCAAAACAGCGAGATTTCTGAAAATGTTAATTTCCGCAGTTTCCACCATATGATCGGCCACATGATAAGCTTTCAACAGTTCATTGTATTGCAAAATTTCTTCCTTGATTGCTATAATCTTCTCGTCGTCTTTGAAACGTTCGTAACCTTCAATAATTCTTCTATTGAATTCAGTTACCAATGGGAAAGGGAGTCTTTCAGCAAAGTTTGTTTGATACAATCTTCTTGAAGCTTGAACAACCATCAAAGTTTCAAAAGAATCACATTGCATGGTGACGGCTTTCAAACCGTCCTGAATAATATCTAACAATTCCTTGACTGCTTCTCTATTGGTCTCAGGGTTTTGATAAGCCTCAACCAACCTGGCAGGAACTTCAATTGGATTACCAAATTCAACAACTGCCCTCGATCTGAACTTGTGAGGATGGAAATAATTCATACCACAAGGCACAATTTTAACATTAATACCAGGAGTGTGAGTCATCGCACCTAGGGCCATAATGGCAACCCCAGCCTTCAATGGCAATAAACTGGTTCTATCATGACTGCCACCTTCTGGAAAGATACCAATACATTCATTGTGGGCCAAATGTTCAAACACTTGTTCATAAACCTGCTTTTGATCAATCTTATCAGCCACCTTGAATTCGGTAGACCCAGATAAAAGCTTGCCAATCTTTGAGCTTCTTTTCAAATTGAATTCTTTTCTCAAGATTAATTCGTTGTCAGAGATAATCTCCTTAATGTCCGAGTTTCCCAAAGAATTTGGCAAACCAATAAGACCTTTAACCATGCATTCAGTAGTAAACTTTGTTCCAACCCCATGGACTCTAGTTGGGTCATTTTCGAGGTCTTTGATAAAAATCTTTCCCGAGGCCTTTCTCAAATTATCTTGTGCTCTATTAACCCCAATTGACAATTGGCAGGTAGCGAGAAACCCGACAACTTTTCTCTTCAAAGACTTTGAAGCAATTAAAAAACTAACACGACGTCCAACTCTCTTCTGGACTTGTCCCATCAAAATCACCGGATCAACAAACTGGTTAGCATGAGGGGCCCCAACAAAAATGACAGGGCCTTCTTTTGGGATTTTGTAACCATTTCTTGGTCTGATTTCTCTGAAGAAGCAGTCAAAAATGCTGGAAAGAATCCACAAAAAGAAATCATAGATCAATTTCTGTGAGGAAGTGAATTCCTTGTAGCTTGATTTCTGCTTGGATTCATTCGCTGATGAAGTCATGATGGATGGACCTCTCTCCCCAAACTTCGATTATCTGGTGATAATATTATAAACAAGCAAGGCTGTTTAAAAAACCAACGCGACAAATATATGGGGCAAAAGCAAAAGCAAAAACGAAAAAAAAAAAAAACAAATGTGGTGGCCAACTAAGTACTCGCTGTGAGCAATTAAACTGTAGTTTTCCTGTTGTTCCACAAAATGGAAAACTCATCCTGTATTTTTTTTTCCCGCTACCTACCTCACTCTCACACCGTTGGCGTGGGCCGCTTAATGGTACATATGGCCGCATGTTAATGCATCAAAGCTCTCTCCGAGTGCGTTAAGCAACCTTCGGTGTTTGGGTGTTGTGCTGCTGCTGTTGGTTTTTCTCGATAATAATAATTGGGAGGTACGGGTGTCTCGGAGATTGGGGACGTTGACTCGGCGATGGGTTTTTTTCTTTGGGGTTTTTCACCAATTTTTTTTTCAGTTGTCCGTGCTATTCTATCCATTTTTCGTTGTTTTGCCAAACTGTTCACACCCCCTACCCACATATAGCAATATACTGATGTCCTTTGTTGCTTCAGGGAAATCTTCCCCTCCAAATCCCAGTAACCAAGCCATGAAGCGCCAAAGAGTTCCTGTGTCGTGTGCTGTTTGCCGGAAAAGAAAGATCAAGTGTGATCGAAAGAAGCCTCACTGTACCAGTTGTATCAAATCCGGAATCCAATATTTGTGTCTTTATGAGAAACCCGCTTGGATTAATGCCGGCGGCTCTTCTATGGGCATTAGTAAACCCACAGAACCCCCCGGCCAAGGTCCGAAACCAACAGAGAGTGCTTCCAAGAGAGTGGTGTTCAAGAATAACCCATCTCTGCCGGTGAGTTTGCCGCCGGTGAGAGGCGCTGAATTTCCAGCCACGATAGCAGCTAATGGCTCATCTCCTAGATTTTTAACTCCTTCAAATGTGCCGATTTTACTTCCAAACCCTTTTGAAAGCTCCAGAAACGGTGCTACCGCTAGCCAGACATCTATTAATGGTAGTATTGACAATCCTAGCCCACCATGTCAAGATCCGGTATCCACCACCACAAGTTCCGAAGGCTCTAATTTAGAAGCAACAAAAGATAATGAGAAAACTTATCCGAATGTCACTGCACCAAGCCCTACCAGTATTCCTTCGGAAAATACTGACTCAAATAATTCGTTGGTACACAAGGAAATTGAAATGTTGAAAGATCGGATCAATAGATTACAGGCGTCTGTGTACATGACCCAACTATCCAAACCGAATGGAAATAATAACGATAGACAATCACCAAGCCCTTTCCTGATTTCTCCGAGAAACGGGCTCGGCTCGTTGAATATAAGAAACCAGTCTCAAATATCTCCTGATTTAAGGCTGTCAGCCACCCCAACTTTTGTTAGGAATGATAGTGTTCAACTTGAAAATAATCAAAGGCATGATGATGATGGCCTGAAAATTAAATCATCAGCTAATGGTAATGAGCAAAATAGTTATAATAATGATCTCAAGACTACTAATATTGATCTTGATAATATGGAGATGGACTCGCCAAGCTTTTTAACAGGTTTTGGCCTAACTGGCCAAGGAAATAAGCGAAGTGCAAATGTTAATAGTAACTCAAGTAATGTCACGAGTATAGCAACATCGAAGCAAGCCTCCAGCAACGGAGGAAAATCCTCGGAATATAATATGTCAGAGAGTGCCTTTTTTGATAACTTCATGAAATCCATCCAAAAGAGTGATTTCCTTAATTATATCAACCTCAATATGGATATAAATGATAACGGTCAGTTGATGTATTCGGTTCCCGCTAGCTTGAGTAATAAATTCACAACTGAAGAATCTGAATCAACCCTAGATTTGGCCAATAATTCCAAAACAGTTAAATCGGGTTCATTTGATAATTTGCAATTTAGCTTCCTGGCCCCTCAAAACATGTTATTTTTTGAATCATTCAATTCAATTTGGCTTGCATTTGAAAATGACTTTTATATAAAATCGTCGTTCCAGTTGGCTTGTGTTGATATTTGCCCATTGTTGGCATACTGCAATCAATTACTTTCAGGTTCAGGAAGATTTAAGGATCCTACAAATGAGGAGTTGTCATCGGCAAGTCTCTCTATAAACTTTCCTTTGAGTTCTTTAGTAACTAAAAATGATTTGAGAATTGTCAGAGATTGCATCAAAGCAAATATTGGATTGGAAAGACACTTTATCGAACCAATTATCAATACTCCTTCAGGATTCTCAACATTTGATCCAGTAACCCAAGAATTTTTGACTTTGGCAAATCCAAGGTATCGCGTTCTCGAAAGAGTTTATTTGAAAGCATTGTTTAAAAAAATTCATGATTACATTCCAGAGAGGAAAGTTGTGATTTTGCTACTCTCAAGGTTTTTTAAAACAATATGCCATGCTTTTCCATATTTACATAAAGGAACAGTGTTGATGTCGGTACAAGATTTAGATGAAATTTTGCATGCCGACCTTGAATTCGAGGAAATTACAAAGCGCTTTATGGAAAATTCAGTGACTTACACCTTGGATAACATTGGAATATTGTTTGTGATTTTGCATATTTCCTATACGGTTGTTGTTGACAGAATTAAAGAAAAAGTTTGCGAATCCAAATTCAATGAAAATTCTCTTGACTCGGCGGAGAAATATTTGATATCCCTTGATGATATCAAATTCAATAAATTTATTCATATTGCCAAGACTTGTTTCTCTTTCAATTTCAAACTCGATGATATTTATGAAAACTTCCACAAAGTGAAATTTGGGTTAGCAAAGGTCCAATTGGGGTTATCACTATTGTTAAATAATCTATGTTTTGAAGACCAAATGAAGAATGATGGAATCTTTTTCAAAAATGTCTGTGAACACTCAATTTTTGATTCAGCTTGTGGATATTCAGACACAAGCTGCGATTCAACTCCAAATACTGCCACTACAGAGCTGACGACAGAAAGCACCGTTGATAGCAAAATGTTTGATGATGATTATTACGCAAAAGACTTTGTTAACTCTATTAATTCTGAAAAAGCCCCTCGGGCCCGCAATACTAATAAGGCGAAAAATGGTAACTTTTCATTCAAATCAAAGAACTTTATGCTTAGCGTGCAAAATCTTCTCATGGACAATGCCAATACTTTCAATAAATTATTTGATTTTGCGTTTGCTTTAAAGATGAACCATGATCCAATGGATTTCATTGATTTAAACTTGGTATTGGGACATTCAGGAGATATGAGTTATAATGTCAAGGACACCTTGCAAATAATTAAGTCATGGAGATTAACATGGTTGGAGATTGTTCATTGTGATAGAATTTTTTCAATGATTCTTGGAACTAGGACTCACATTGATGATGATGTTTATGATAATAACTTGAAAGGTTTCTCATTATCAGATAATCTACTCGAAAGTCCAGAAGACAAAGTAGTTTTCAGAAATATTTCTAAAAGAAGGAAGGTACAGAAGTACATTTTCTCTCCGATTTGCAAATTATACACAAAAGTCAATAAACAGAACTTCAAGGTTAAGTTAAAAGACTACTTGGCAATCATCAACTCCATCGATAATTTCATTCAGTTTCATAATGACTATCGGGTGGAGGAATTATTTGATTTTGTTGATGGTTTCAAAAGAAGATATCCGATATATTTTAGAAACATTGAGACATTAAACGATCAAGAAAAGGAAATTTATTATGATATTGAGAATAAGAGTATCAGCAAATCTTTTGAAGTTATCAACTCTTTAAGCTATTTTATGTTTTCCATTGGTGCTCAATTCTCGCTTTATTACACGTTGTTTTCTCATCTTGACAGATTGATTTGCTTTGAACGATCCAAAAACGATGTCCCGGTGTTCAAGAAAATTTTTATTAATACTGAGACAATTTTTGTACAACTTATAGCGATATTGAGAAGAATTTTTGGTGCCCCACATTACAGAAAGTTTTTTTTTAATCATTTCAAGGTCTTGATCAAGAGATCGCTTGAACCCTTCTTATTGTCGATGTATGTGCATCAAATTGGTGTCATAATTAGGCTTTATCACACTATCAGGTTGTTGAAAGATTTTTCGAATGAAGGAAAGAGTCAAATCGATCCATTGCAAAACTACAAAGTCATCGATGATAATGCTGAAAAGATTGTTAATTGGAATATATTATTGAATAAAATCATTTCCAGTGTCAAAGAAATCGAGCAATTACTCAAAACCACCAATAACTATGATAATGAGTCGCTACTTCAAGATCTAACTCCTGAGCAATTTGAACTTCATGAAAGAGTTAATCATCACTCCTTGAAGACTAATTCATTGTATTCAAGTGAACTCATTGCAATCATTTCTTTAGAAAATGCGATTTTATCAACCATGAACTTGGAATCAAATATGGAAATGTTTGAGGATGATATAAGATTCGACTCCATGGACATGTGCAATGTCAAGTTGAAGAGATTTGCCACCACCAATGGGAAAAGTGTTATTTTACCCAATTTTAACAGCTTTTTGTATTTTGACAACACTGAAATTAGCTATATTGCGAATGAATTGATGAAGGATTTCAGTGCCGAAGCACCTGGAGTTTCTTCAACCACTTGAATCATCAAATTGTATGATTTAACAATAATCAGTTTTTTTTTTCACTTGTTTTATCTATATATAGATTATCATAATAATACTAAATTACAGAGCCAGTGTCAGCTATATATGTTGTGATATAATTCATACTAAGGAAGAAGTGTTTTTTTTTATTCTTCATGATTTTAGTAAACTGAAACAAAGTGTAATACTCCCAGCAAAGTCTATTATCATAAAGTGCATACATGCTCAACTAAAATATAAGTGATAAATTTAGTTTAATGAGATCTGATGAACATAACCTAAAAACTTTTTGTTCTCCCATCTCCAGCCCTCCCAGTGCTTTTACTGGGCCTCTGAAGAAGAGAAAGAAGCTTGGTGGACTAACCGATGGATCCATCGTGAAGGAAAGCCCTGCAGAGTACGGTTAGATACCCTTATGCACCGTTGTGCCTTTTCGCGGGATTCATTTTTTTGCATATCCGTCAACTCCCCAGCCTTACTTCTTATTATCGTCTATAAAGGGAAGAAAGAAAAAAAGTATATTTAATCCCAGGCCCATAAATCATTGGGAACACTCACCCAAATCTGTGGGAAACTTAATAGCTTAGGGTGTTTAGTGTACTGTTTCCATTGACAACAAAGGACGAAATACAATAAAGTGATAATATAACGGGATCGACTCCCCAATTTTGTCATGGCAGATTTATCGGACGAAAATAAGAAAAAGCGAAGGAGAGTCCCACTTTCTTGCACCTCCTGCCGGAAAAAGAAAATCAGATGTGATCGCGATAGACCTATCTGTGGGGCTTGTGCAAAATCCGGACAAGGAGCAGCGATTTGTGAGTATGATGAGCCATTTTACAACGGTAATGGCGGCGAATACTCCCACATTAAGGCGGCGACCCAACCGATTGGATTGATCCAAGTACAAAAGTTTTCAATCAACAAAAATCCCAAGGATTATAAACCTCCAAAAAAACCTTCAAACCCTGGTATTGGTGGGGTAACCAATGTTTTTGAAGGTTCCGGGGCGTATCATGAAAGTTTTATAAACTATAAAAACATCAAGCACGCTGATACTACTCTTCCACCAAGTAGCCACTTTAGTCGTTTTAGATTATCTTCGAATGATTTGTCACTCAACAAGACTCCGGCTGACTTTATAAAGAATCCTACTGCTACTTCTGTTACTACCGTGTCCACCCCAGAAATTTCCTCGCAGTATTTGCCGAATTCCAACGAAAGGGCTAATAATGATGAATATATGCTAAAGCCAATTGAATTCAAGTCTTCTATAAATCACCAACCGCCAGCGATTTCCAGTCAGCAGGGGGGCATTCTCCCTACTACTATTTTGACAAACCCAGAGCAGGGAAACTTCTCTAGTGTTCCGGTAAACTTTTATGATGGTGTGGCTTCGATCAAATACAGGAAACCGAAATTCAAGGTTTCTAATTGTGGTCCCTTAAGTGGTATAAATTTATTGCAGAGGGATTTTTACGGGAGAGTTTTGTTTCGAAATATGGTGAAATTTAGAAAATCTATTCCACATACACTAAAAAGGTTATCGAAACAACCAAGAAAAGAATTTATCCCTAAATCGCTTGCAAATGATGATCAGCGAACCCCTTTACCTCCAGCAGATAGAGGTAAACATAAACATATCGAATTAGGTTTAAAGAATGGCTCTTTCAAAGACTACGACGATGAAACAAAACTTTGTGAAGAAATATCTAGAGTATTACCTCCAAAGGACGTGATATATATCTATGTTGACCGATTTTTCAAATATGTTTATCCATTCTTCCCATTACTCGATGAACAGGCTTTCAGAGATGATTTGTTAAATTTAATTGGACCGAAGCTGCCCGGTAGCGTTAGCTCAGGCACTTCGAGCCTTGATAAGGTGGAAATCGTTTTCGATAGTAAAAACAAGATTCTTGATACTGCTACCTTATTGATTGTTTTAAAGCTTGCATTTCTAAGTGTTTACTCATACAAATATGATGGTTGTGCTCCTAAGGAATTTGGTCAACAAGATTCTCCTTCGCCAATTAACAATTGTAATGAGCAAAATTCTGAGATTAAGTTGCTAATGAACTATCCAATCACTTCACCAATTTTCAAGTTAGCCAAGGGTTGCTTAAACAACTTTAACTTCTTAAGAAAAACTGGCTTAGGCCTTGTTCAAACATTATATTATTGCAGAATTTATAATTGCCTTGGTTTTGAAGAAGGTGATGGCCCCGGCGGTTCTGAATCAAATATATTTGCCGGCGTAATTTTTAGCTCTGCAATTTCTATTGGGCTTCATAGGGACCCTGTGAAAAATATGTTAAATTTCTGGGATTGTGATGGCGAATCTGTCAAATTTCTTCAACTCTGGCGGAAGCTATGGTTTTCGTTGATTGATCTAGATATTGAACAATCCATGAATTGCAGTTCTATTCCTAGCTTAAATCAAGATTTCTCCGACACCAAATACCCATCGTACGAGAATTTAGTTTCTGGCTCCAATTGCAGTGATTTGAATATTGAAAAAATTGTTCTTGATCATATCCTCTCCAAAAATGAAATAAACGCAGTAATAAAGAAATTGTTGGAGAAGATCTGCACTATGAAAAAAGTGGCAACGATTGGGGAACTTGAAGAAGATCTTTCTGAATTGGAGCGGTACATGAAGGTGACTTTCAGGGGATATAAGGACTTGGTAAATGATTTTTGCACTAGAAAAACTGCCAAATTACCAAAATATGATTATATTTCAGCAGTGTCTATGGTGAAGAAAATGAGAAGCTATTTTAGTATGGTAGAGTTTGTTTTTACCATAAAATACCATATTTTATTGGCAATTGAAAATAATCATAAGGAGAACATTTATTCGCAGCAATTTTCCAAATATTTGACCGAACTATTCGAGTTATCATGTGAAGCGTTGTTGATCACTAAATTTTGGAGTTTCTATGGTGACTCTTACATCGACAACTTCCATTCATTTCAATACTTGTTATCATCAAATGTGATGATGTCGCTCATGAAATACAGTTCGTTCTTTTGTTCCTTCCTAATGAGGTTGATTTCTTTGAAATATGGAATGTTATTGCATCAAAATGAACCTGGTTCTCAGTATGATAGAAGCTCGATAATATTTCACCTTATTCTTTTGGAATGGTTATTTGAAAAAGGGGTTGAGTACTTGACTTATATTTGCCTCATTAATGATAATTATTCGGATTCTTTCCACTGTTCATCCAAAGGCAGGATTGTTTCGAGGTATTGTTTGAAATGTGTTACTGACGAAAAAAGTGATATTGACTATAGTGCCCATAATTTGTTTAGAAATGGTATATTGGAAGGAGATAGATCAACCGATGGAAAATTATTTCCTGACACCATTAAACACTATGATTTTTCACAGTTGAAACCTTTATTTACATTATTTGAAAAGTTTGAGCAGACAAACGCTCACTTGGATAATATATCTTCTAGGGTTATACCTCCGACATTGAAAAGTATCAGCACTAACTCCGATTCTTCAAGGATTATTTGCATTGAAGATATAGTGGCGCAGTTATCTAAAGAGGACCTTGTTTCCAGTTATCTCAAAGGTTCTGGACCACTAGCAGTTGATGACGTTCATCGGTTGTGGAAATTTTTTTCCAATAAATATGGTGCTGATAATAGTGAAAGAAAATTGAAAGTTAGGGCATATATCGAAAAAAACAATAGTTCCAATACTTTAGCTTTCAAGTTTCATGAAAACAAAAATAAGGATACTAAAAACAACTCCGCTGATGTTGTTCCAGCCATGAATATACCGGTAAGTACTCACTCTGAGTCTGAATTTGAATACAAAGGTCAAAATTTGGTAAATGATAGTGGTAAAAATGTCGATCAGCCATATTTTAGTAATGGCCTGGTTGATATGGATAGTTTGATGACACAGGAGCAGTTTAATTGGGATGACAATATTTTGCTTGATGATTTGTTGCGAATTGATGATGACGCTTTGGATATTTTTGGTATTGAGGGAATGAACTTTGAAAATTTTCATTGAGATCAAAAACGAATAATGCCATGGGTTTATATAATTATTAAATTATCCTAGAAAAGAAAAAAAAAAAGAAAGATAATAAAAAAAAAAGAAAAGACATTGCCTGAAAATCAACTTCAATGGGATAATCTGTCTTTCTAATATCTGTGATCGTGTATACCAAAAATCAGAAAGTCAAAGTGTATTATGACTTTGAAAGATTCTTTTGGTTTCCCAGAAAAGGTTTATGATAACACATCTTATACCTTGTTATATTTCTTAATATATTGACTATATGTTTTATTGAGCGGGAGTCTTGATAACAAACAACTCTGATAAAATGCTAAGAGAACTAAATTCTCATCTAGAGCTTGCTTTTGAAGTATGAAAGCAAGGGGATTTATGATTTGATGATGAGCACCAGAGAATAATAGCTGGACTATTTTCGTGCTATGCGAGCCTCAGTTACTCCTTTTTTTTTTTGAATGGTAGCAGACCTTATTTTTTTCAAGTAATAAATATAGCAATCCTTTTTTAATCATTTGGTTCAATAGATTTGGTAGTATTATCTATAGACTTCTTCCAGTAGAAAGGTGATGGCAAGTAATGACCAAACCTAGGACTCTTATTATTCCGCCAGGCATTACTTCTAAAAGGAAAGATACCACATTATTTTATGCAAAGGCCATAATTGCATGTGGTAGATATTTAGTTTTCCAATGACCTTGCTGTTTGTGTTCCTTCATCATGCAGGTAAATCTTTGGGATGATCCACAAACAAAAATTAAATCTTTTGGTATCTAAAAGTTTTCCTCTAACTACATCATATATATTGACCATCCGGAGAAACTGATCCCATTATTAAAGCAAAATGTTTGGAGCTGATGAGAACACAAACTCAGAAAGAACACAGGAATCTGAAATGACAATGTTTGATGATGAGTATCTTCAGTTCATCAGCAAATGCACTTCACCACCACCACACAATCACACCAACTTCGATGATTGTGAAGCTTTGATGAGCATTAAGGACACTGAGAAGTTCTCAGGGAAAGTTGGAAGACTATCTTCAAACGTCGATGGTTGGGTCGATTATCTTCAAGTCATCACAATCATCATAGCCATTGCCGTTCTCTTAATAACCACCCATTTGATTTCCCAAAGGTAAAGTGAAATTACCACCTCTATGTAACCTTGCAAAAAAGCTTATTAACTGACTCAATATAATAGAAATGCGTTTGAAGCGACTTTACAGGCCTTGGTTGTCGCGTTTTCCAAGAGCAGTGCTGATGACCAACGTGCATTTTTACGGATCTTGTTTGATATTTCTCAACAGGTTGAAAACGCTGGTTACTGAAACTCAAACAAGAAAAAGGATCAAAAACAAAGGTTTTTGATTATCAAATATTTTCATTCTACCCTAATTGGTTTCGCTTAGACTGCAATAACTTACTTCTATAATGAATTTTCGGTTTTGTGATGCTGTTGAATCCATCAGTTTGTAGCATTCTCTATTTTTTACCCTTTTTTTTTTTCGTTTTTTGATGCGCGATGAGGAAAAATGAGGAAAGAAAAAAAATGAAAAATTCCGTAAACTTCGATTGAATCAACCAAGGTCGATGATCGCACCACCAATCGTTTGAGGAATTAATGCTGAATCAAAAAGAAGAAACCGTAGCCATGAATGGTGTATTTGCCATAGCCAAGCCAGCGGGTATCTCATCCGCCAAACTTCTTGCAAAAGTGCAAAATTTGTTCAACAGTTCCAAGGTTTTTGCCAATGACTTGAAGATCATCAAAGAAACTACCATCAATAATTTCAAGCAACAATATCCTAATAGAAATCCAAGTAGAAAAGTTTACAATAGGGTAAAAATCAAGATGGGTCATGGGGGTACTTTGGATGTCGGTGCTTCTGGTGTTTTGGTGATTGGCGTTGGTGCCGGTACCAAAAAATTACAATCATATCTTAATGATTGTATCAAATCTTATGAAACCGACGCGGTATTGGGGGCCAGTACCACTAGTGGTGATTTCGAAGGAGAAGTGTTATCGTTAAACGACGTTCGTCACATTACAAAGCAACAAGTATTGGATACCGGTGCCAAATTTACTGGGGATATTGTGCAAACCCCACCAATTTTCTCAGCCATTAAGATTAACGGTAAAAAATTATACGAGTATGCCAGAGAAGGGATTCCATTACCAAAACCTATAAAGGAAAGAAACGTCAAGATTCATGAATTGAAGTTTGATGAAGATAGTATCTTGAGCACCGATCATTCGTACAAATTGGTCCAACCTGAAGTTGACGAGGATGGTAAAACTATTGTTTCTAAACTTGCATCGATCAGTAATTTGAATGAAGATCAATTACATTTTTCCAAGCAGTACATTGAAAAATATAAGAATGACAATGATGGCAAGGATGTCGAACATATCAAGTCTAAACCAATTGATGACCCAGAATATGAAAAAGAAATCTTGAGTGAAAGTTACGTACCACCAATAATTCGATTTTCAACCACGGTTTCTTCCGGGACTTATATCAGATCTTTGATCAGTGACATTGGTAAAGCATTAGGAAGTTCGTCATATATGACCAAATTAGTGAGAAGTCGTCAAGGTGATTGGAGATTAAACGAAAATGTATTTACTATTGAAGATTTTTCCAAATACCATGAAGATGTTTGGGGCAAAGTTTTGAAGTCAGTTTTCGACAATGGTGCGGCAATCAACCTTCAAGAAGTATTGGAAAAGGAGAATGAAGAGTTTTTGAAACAGCATCCAGAAGAGGCTGGTCATGTGTACAAGTTCATGGAGTCAGATACTGATGAAGATATCCAGAGTTACCATAAAAAATTCTCTAATAACAAAAGAAAAAGAGGGACGCCCGATGATAATGATGCGGATGAAAACCCAAAGAAGAAACAAGATTCTTAATATTCTCTATATAACTTAAAAATAAAAACCATCATAAAATAAAACCTAGAATAAATAAAATGCAGAAAAATTGTAATTTGGTATTTGTCACTAAATGAATACCCCAACTACTATCTGAAGTTGCTCCAATAAAGTTGCAAGTGAGGTAGCTGGCACCGGTATCCCAGTAATAGGTGCTTCCAGATATAGTTGAAACATTATCTGGGCAGGAAAATCCAAAATCCGCTGGACAATTTCTCACTAAAGCATAACAAGAGTTATAACATGGCAAAATCTCGTAATAAGACAATGGCTGGATTTCCGTGTTGACAAACAGAGTTCTGGAAGAGCTAGAGTTTCTAAAAACGTATTCGGGTTGATCATCCGTAGTACATCTTGGAATAGTAACCGAGCAAAGCCAATTCTTATACGACTCCGCACATTTATCACAAGACGTCAACGGTGAGAAAATGGCATCCGATTCGGTTTCGCAAGCAATTTGGTTCAACGCTTTCAGAAAGTTTTGATATATATCACTAGTGTTGTTGTCATATTGATATTTTAAATTCGCTTTCTCTTGAGAGTCGGAATAAGATGCTTTGGCAGGAACCGAGTAGGCAACGTTGGAACAAAACTCTAAATTATAAATCAATTGGCAAGCCGCACTGTCCTTTGTCGAGAATTCGATTTTTTTGAATACTGTACCACCATAGTTCCCCTCACGATCAGTTTCTAATGCAAAGCCCATATATGATGTCGAGGTATTCAAGTCCGGAATGTAAAATTGCTGCCGGAGCATCTCACTTCTATTAGTATAGCTAAGCTCCATATCGTCTGAGGTCAAGATTGCAGGCCCATTTCTGATAGCACACCAACTGTTGGTTAAACCTCTGAAATAATCCACGTCAGAATTATATGGGTATAGATAAACCTCATAATAGTTATTTTTTGTACTATTAAAACTAGGTACATTGAGATTTGGGGCCAGCGAAAAATTACCGGTTACTAATAATGCGGAGGTGTCATCTGAATCAACAAGAGAAATCCAAGTTCTATTATCCCATTGATACACCAAATCCTTTTGAGAAATCCCGAGTTCATAGTCCCAAATATCTGTCAAGTTTTGTGTTGCCGGGGCTGATACCTTGATATACATAGTGACAAATGTGTTGTTAGGGTTGGAAGGAATATCGTGTTTTGCCAAACCTTTCATATAACCATGGGAAAAGTTAGTCGATGAGTAAGTAGCATTAGAAATATTCTGGACCAAGTTTATGTCAAACCCATAATCAACAATCAATTGATTTGTTAAGCCGACATCTTTTGGTAATGTACAGATATTCCCACTCAAGAAGACCAAAATATGGTAGAAGGAAGATAGCCCAGTCGACGTAGTATTGACGTTGAATTGATAATATTTTGTTTCATTGGAACCGATGATGTCACTTATTGGTTCCCAGTCAGATAAGCTGGTGGAGTTGCCAGTAGAACCAATATCGTTGATCAACAGCGATCGAGGATAAAGTACTTGGACATCTTTGTCAGCGACTTTTGTGAAAAATTTCCCGTTCACCTCCCGAACACCATCTTCATTGACATTTTGTATTAGTCGTTGGAAACTTGAAGCGTAGAAACTTCGTAAAGAATCGGCAACCGCATAACCATAGCCAAGCGATGTATCAATCTCAGATCTTTTGCCACGCTTCCTTAGGCTACTTTGAATCTCATAGCATATTTCACTTTCCTCTTCACCATTTTTGAGATCTATCTTAGAGCAGTCGATATTCAAACAATTTTCAAGCTGGTTTGGAGACTTTAAAAGATGTTTGGTATAGCACTCTCGCCAGAGATCATCGTGGGATATTCCTGCGCCAAAATGGAACTGTTGAGAGGGCGACGACGCCACCAGTTGAGCGAAAACCACAAGCAAAAGACACAGCAACTGCCAGATCATGGGGTATTTATTCAATAGCAAATAATTCTCCAGGAGATATATATCTATATATATATTCTATAATACTAATATAATCGCCTAATAGATTCTTTATTATGTATTTTCGTCTTTTGACCTTTTTTGTCACGTGGAGAGCTTTCTGCTTTGTTTTTCTCTCTAAAAAAAAAAAACACACACGAAAATTGTTTTTTAATCAAAATGACGCCAACCTTCAGTGGAAACTATCTCGTAGATCACCAACCATGCCATCGAAAGACGGGTACCTCAAAGAATCTTTACAGCAGATATACACCGTGTTGCAACAGTAAGTGGTTCTGTCTATTGCTATTATTTGGATTATCCTAATGGAGAACAGGATTTCATATTTCCCCTGAAATAAATATTATTATTATTATTATTATTATTATATATTTATGATACTAACTAGAGCATTACAATAGTGGCGATACCAAGCTGAATATTCTTAACACTGGCTTCTACAAAGATTTTTTCGAAGAGTCGCCAACAAAAATCACCGGTTCGTACTTGGACTATGAAGAAAGTCACAATGAGTCTAACAAAGAAGAAGCCGGGGATAACAATAACGATGATACCCTCAAGGTAACAATCAATGATAGATTTCAACTGGGATACTATACATCCATCTACAAACTATACCATGATATAAAAGTGTCGGCGTCTGTGCTAATATCCAACAATAAATTGGGAACGGAACAATATCTTGATGTCGATAACTATTATAAGTTTGCTACCGAATTTCTCTTGACCGAGGCTGGAAGATTGCAGTTGGATTTGCAAGAATTCAAAAAGTCATTATTGAATATTGAATCACACCAGGAACTTTCAGAGTTCTCTGACAGTTTGGCTCATGATTTTGACAGGATTTCTACGAGCTTTAGACACGCCAATAACGAATCCTTGTTTATCGTTACTGGGCAGACCAATAATCTTCCTTTGTTCAGTTCTGCTGGCCAAAAATCCGAGCTTGATCTTAATGAATATCCAATTCCTGAACCGTTCCGCTCAATGAAAGTGTTGCCACATTGTGTGGCTACTCCTGGTTCAAGTTTGGGATTCTTGTCTTCATCTAATGTTGAATCAAAAGTTCCTAATCCAACCCTTCCTCCAACGGAAATCACCAGAGACATCTTCCATCCAAATTGGCACGCTATTCCTTGTGTTCCTTGGCTTGAGTTCAAGTCCAGTAATAGCTTCATACCTTTAATTGACGAAACCATTAGCGCATTGAATTCTAGAAACAAGGGGAAAATATATTTTGAACAAATTGGTTTGCCAAAACTAATCAAATTGAGAGATGACTATTACAAAAATATTGAAAAGGAAAAAATCGAAAGCGAATCTGATAAAAAGGTAATTAATGCGGATGAAGATAAAGAAAATGAAGAGGAAAAGAAAAGTGAAGATGAAAAGAAAGATGAAAAAATGCAGGATGATAATGAACCAAGCGAAAACGGTGAGCAAAAGAAAGATGACGAGCAAGTTGATGAACAGGAGCCAAATGGTGAACAAAAAGTAACTGAGAAAAAAGAAATGGACGAACAGAAGCCTGATGGTGACATTAAACCAGAGGAGGAGTCAGATAAAACATCAACTTCTATTGTTGGACCAGGCATTCTTGATATCAATGTTAAGAGCATTCTAGAATGGAAACCGGGCCAAAAATTTGAGGACGATGAAATTAACGCCCTTGAAAATGGGAAAGAACAAAAGTATGTAAGCAAATTGTTGTTTGATTTGAATAAATTGCGTTCCGAAAGGTTTGTCGCCCAAAGAACTTCAAAAGTGACAAAGCCAACCAATAAAGAAAGAGAAATTTATTTCAAGGTTAAGAGACTTCTACAAGCGATGGTTCAGAATTTAAAGCCTTCGGATTTAGTCGACACTAATGAAGAAGAATCAGAAGAAGATAAAGGATTAAGACTCTCATCAAATATTCCTGCGCTACGTATGAATTATCCTGGTACTCTACATGCTCCACTTCCAGTTCAGTATAACGCGGCAAGATATACCAGTAGATTACAAAGTTTGGGAACTAGAGCTTATAAGAAAAGAAGATGATGGTTTTCTTTATGAAGTATTATTATAACCATTTGTATTTTTCCTTAAGTGCTGATTCCGGTTTTATTTTATTTTTTTTTCTTTTTTCCTTTTCTTGTATTGTATAATTGATGTAAATTAAATTTATTGTTTTCTCTTTCGTTTGATTATTTTGTAGATCTTATTTTTTTTTTTTATTTTTTACTTATCGACGCAGCCAAATAAGGCATAAATTTATTAACTTAGTAAGACAGAATGAAAATTAGAATAATAAAAGAAACAATAATTACACATTAAAAAAATAAAATGGCAATAAAAAACACCCATCTTAAGCAACAACCTCAATATTCTGTCTTCTTTCCTTCTCCTCTCTATCTTTGATGGCAGTGAAACTCTTAACTCTAAGCTCCATCAAATGATCAGGTTTGGTATTTTGTATATTCAAGTATCTTTCACACCCAGAAATCGGACATTGTTTATTTGATCGAATCACTTCAACCAATGATGCTTTTGAAAACGTATGTCCACATGTTGTGATCACCGGTTTCTGGAATGGTTTTCTGGAGATAGGACAGACTAATTCCACCGTCCCACCAGCGACTTCAATATCATCGTCATCATCATCCCTATTGTCTGATAGATTCCCGGGTAGCGGCTCCTGTGGGTGTTGAACGACAAACGCATGTTGTTGAAGCTTTAGTAATTGCTTATCCACTTTACTTGAGCCATTAGCAAGTTTCGCCGTCTCTTCTCCAAAAATATCAGTGAATAATTGGCTTAAGTTTGCAGGAGGATTTTCCAAGTTTCTGTAATGTCCAATAGTTTCATAACTCAATTCCTCTTCCTCCATGAACCGATTTTTCACCACCGTTTTAATAGACTCGGTGGCGTTTGTTAGCACTTTGATTTCCGATTCCATATCCGCCAACAGTTTCAACGCATGGATTGATTTATCCAATACCGATTGGGTATGATTCTTGTCTTTTGGTTGATATTCCACCGTATTCAACAAGTACGCATCGGTCGATTTGATTAATTCCTCTTTCAAACCAGATATTAATTCGGTGTGCCCCTGTACCCTAAAAGTGTCAACCATTCTTTTGGTGGATTTATCAATTGGAACGTATTCCGGTAAAGAAAAGTCGTCCAAAGTAGTCATGAATTGTTCAACCTCTCGATCGAATTGCTGGATTGCCTCTTCATCAAAGTCAGCATAATCTTGAATTTCCTCCGCCCGCTGAGTATTATTGGCCTGACTTGATCCATCCATGGCAACATCACCATCGACGTCCCTGTATCTTTGAAGTCTTGCCATATTGAAAAAAAAAATCTGCAATTCGAATATATTAGTTATATACTACGGTATACAGAGAGATAGAACGATCTGTCGCGTTATTTTTTTTTTTTTTTTTTTTTGTATTTTTTTTTTTACAATTTGCTCCGTGTTTTGGTGCAGCAGTAGATAGATGAACCATAAAATTTGATCTGGTATGATATGAGTATTCTTTATATGCCACTGTTATTTATTGTTGTTGTTTTGTCTCTTGATCTCATCTTCTTCTTTTTTTTTTTTTCGAATCTACAACTTAAATAGAATTACCATAAAACGTCAACGACAGTGATATTTAGAGTGCATTGGAATAGGAAAATTAAGCAGATCAAGAAAACAACAAAGAACAAAATAAAATTAAAACAAACGAATATGAACCAATAGCGCAAAAACAAAATTAAAAAGATAACTTGAACGGTTTAGAAGACTACAAATCAAATGTCTAAGGGATCTATAAAAAGAAAAAAAAGAAAAAAGAAAAAAAAACGAAATAAAATCACAAGAATTTCTTAATGTAACTACTGCTTGCAGTATATGAAAATCCTTTGAAGACCTCATGATCAATTTCATCATCTGGGATGGCGTCGCCTTCGGTCTGAATGATGTCATAATTACTGATCTTCATGCTGGTGAATTCATCATCGAAATTCTCAGCTAAAACTGGATCTGTAATAAGAGGCAAGATCGGAGCCTTAACACTCTTGTATTCATTTTCATCCGCTAATAATTCCCACTGAACGCTTCTGAAGAATCTCAATTTCTTGAACTTTTCAAAATCGGTATCGACATTCATCCGCTTATCTGGATTCTTATTCAAAAGCTTGTTTAACAAATCCTTAGATTCATTAGTAAAATAGAATGGATACTTGATTTTATTTTTCAAAATCTTGTTACAAATAGCCTTGTGGTTACCGCCAGTGAAAGGAGGTTTCCCACTCAACATATCGTAAATCACCGTACCCAAAGACCACCAATCAACCAGAAAACTATAGTCTTCTCCTCTTAAAACTTCTGGTGCCATGTATTCTGGGGTACCAATAATACTATTGCACTTGGAGTCTTGTTCAGTACTAATTTTCGATAACCCAAAGTCCGTCAAAATTAAATGACCGCTGCTATCCAACAAGCAATTCTCTGGTTTCAAGTCCCGGTACACAATCCCAATCTCATGCAAATGTCTCAATGCCAATGTCATTTCTGCCGCATAAAAAGCGGTGGCTTTCTCATCAAGAAAGTTACTATTAGAAGATAAATGATGGAAAAGCTCTCCTCCAGGAACAAATTCAAGGTAAAGATAAATCTTGGATACATCTTGCAAAGCATAAAACAATTTCACAATAAATGGGTTTTTAATTCTTGCTAAAATATCTCTCTCTGCCATGGTACGCTCGATTTTTTTACCAATGTTGACACTGTCCACTTGCTCGTCATTATTTTTGCTCATCAAAGAAGACTGGTTTTTTGCAGACACCAATATCAGCGCTTTCTTAAGCTGTTTCTGAGCAAAAAGCTTTCCTGATTCTTTATTACGGACCAAAAGAACTTTACCATAAGCACCTTGTCCTAAAACTTTTAATGGCTCAAAATCTGAAATTCTTGGATTGAAAATCGCATTCGACCCGTCTTCTTCGTCAATATCATTAGAGGCAAAGACCACCAGCTCTCCGTCATTCCCCCCGTCAAAATGACTATTAACGCTGGCACATTCTTCCCCTAACTCGATTTTGATACTATCTGCGAATGAACCAACAGAGAACTTTCTGACCAAAGAACTTTTTCTTCTTCTAGATTTCGCACTACTTGGAACCATCATATCGACGAATTCCAACGTGTCTTCCTCGTATTGAATCATAGATGATCCTCCAGTAAACACTTTCTGATGGTTCACAGTTAAGGATGGTAAATGATCGCCGGCTTCGTCTGCTGAATGATCGCTTCCATCGGAATTCTTGTTATCCATAGCAGGAGTATCAAGTCCCACAGAAAAGGCTTTGAGTTTCTGGGTGATCACACTTATTGGTCTTGCCATTGTTGATGTCGTTCTCTATTGAATCAAAACGTGGGCACTCAGATTTTTACGGTTGACTTGTGGCTTCTGATTAAAAAATATTGTGCTTTCCCCTGAAACATTAGCGTGTCTTAGTGATATCTATTCGATACTGAAACCTATCTTTCTACCTTTTCTTCCTTTCTTTCTTCCCCAGAAGGACTTCTTGTTATCGACTAAAACCCATAATAGCATAGACAGACGTACGTCCTCGGCGTTTTTTTTATGGGAAAAAAAGAAAGGAAAAATAAGTGGTGCCACCATCGCGGGTCTTTCATCACACTCACTCACTGGCCACCGTTCACGAAACACAAACAATTTGACCTCTTAGTGGAATATCTTGATTGGGGTTTTCTGAAAAAATATACTCAAAACTAGATTCCATTGAGCTTTTAAATGCAATGGTGAAATTTTCCGTCGTGTGAGCATATAGTAGGTGCGTCTGATGCGGGGTCGTCTTCTGGGAATCAACAAAAGATCTGATAAGCCCGGTGACCCCAACGTATAATCTATTGGTCAGTAATTCAGTGATGGAGCTTGAAAGTAGTTCGGCCGAGTCATAAATGTTTTTGCTATCTTCCAAGTGCAAAGCAGATAATATATAGTTACAACAATAACGAGAAATATCCGATGAAATAATTTGCTCGCCATTCCCCGTAGCTAATAAACTGATTTCATAAATGACTCCATTATCATCCAAATCTTCGTCTGCTTTCCGTTTTCTTGAATTCAACTTTGGTTCTATCACGTTCTTATAAAAAGGTAAATCCCTGCTAGACATTATGAAAGTTCCTGCCCCCAAAACACTAGCACAACCAATTCTTCCGGGATTTTTTAACATGTTACCTCCAGATGATGTTCCGTTAAGTATATTTCCCTTCTTATCAACTATCAGAACTCCGATTGTATCGGTGATATACTCGATGTTATGGTTCATTTTTTGGTAATTTTCTTCAAACAGCTCACTCTGTTCTCTCCTCATTTCATCCCAGTAATGATACAGTCTCTCAGCACCATTTGTGATTAATGTATCGTTATCACACTTTCCTTCCTCAAAAAATTCTAGTGGCAGCTGGGAATGGTAATCCACGCCACCATCAACAATAAAACAAGGCTTCGTCACACCCAATTCTTTATCACCAAATGTGATTTCTGCCATCCTTGAGAAATTCAAGCACCTTGAGATTGGGAATTTGTAATTCTTTATTCCAGTCATTCCAAAATAACAATTCTGAGATGTGCCAACCTTCAACAATATCTGAGCATCATTGTATACCTGTCCATCTGAAGCCAAAGACGAACCAATGGAGGCATTCGTCAACAAAGAACCTTCAATTAACTTTGAAACGTCTGATAGCGCTTTCATAGAACCGGTGGGGATTTCAAATTTTCCCAGGCTTTCATATATGGTTGTATTGGAGAGATTCTCATCATTCAATGCCAAGATGCCCTTAGTACAAGCCTTCTTGAGCAATTTTTTGAACGATTTGCTGTTCTTAATCAGATGTTTGCCAGCACCAACATGGATCAATACAATTTCATGAGAATTTGCCATCTATCTTCCTATAAAAAAATAGTCTTTAAGATCACAAAAGATCAAAATATGTTTAATTCCAAAGCAAGATTGTCAGTTACTTATCTAACCAGCGATTGAACAATTCGCATTAGGAGACATCTACCTGGATATCCTCGATAATTGGATGGGAGTAATGTTACATAAATTTGTGTGACTTCAATAAGAAGAATGTTTTGGCAATCAACGGGGAGAGACTCTCCACCCGTAGCGGTGGTTACCGCAGTCCGCGCCGGGTGGGATTATCCGGGTATTCGCTGCGTTTGGAGATCCCGTTAATTTTTTGAAGGTCATCAATCAATTACGTTATAATGGTGTGCGAATCGAATCTCAAATAAGATCCCAGACTCATAGGACAATGTTGACGGTAAAGAGGGTGGTGCTTCATCCTAAAATATGCAGTATTGACAACATCCTGTCACTACTGAGAAGATGGAACTCTACAACTGCAAAGTCATTAAAGCCACAACAGCTTAATCTTCCTAGAGTTAGAGATACCCAAAACATAAGTCAAAGAGGTATGCTCGGTTAACCTTTTTTTTTTTTTTGTTTTTGAAACCATTATTCGTTGTTTGTTTTTTATTTTATTTTACTAACGATTTCAGTTGTCAACCTTGAAGGTCTTTTTGCAGGTTATAAACCCCTTTTCTTGGGAAATGGGTCGGCAGAATTAGATCCGTTGGCCAACATAGACGAATTTGAGGATCTCTTTGGTCAAAATGAAGAAATGGGAGGTGATCAACCATTGGTCCCATGGAATGCGTCTATTGGTGGGCTTCTTTATAATGACGATGCATTTCGTGGCGTGCCAAAGGATGTGGTTAAACAACTTCCTTTCTTCAAACCACCTGAGGCTAATAAGGAAGGTGGTAACCAAAATAAGAGATCCAAGTACATCAATTTCAAAGTTCACAACAAAATTGTAGATGGAGGGCTTTTTGATAATTATCAATCCAATGCCAGGTCAAAAAAAGCCTTCAAGAAAAAGAGCATTGTTACTGGTGCCAATAATAAGATTAGCTTCACCCCCGGTAATGTGGTGGATGATACTTATGATCACTATGCCGACCTATTTCTGGATTATTTATACTCCAATGATATTAATTTGGAGCTTATTAAAGAAAAAGAGCTGCTATTGCAGTGCGTTATCGATAATTTCAAAAACAAGCTTAATAATGAGTTGAGAAAGAAGTATGGAACTGAATTGTTATCAAACACCCCGATATACAGATTACCAAGATACATCTTTGTTCAAAGAAAGACCATATCTAGCAAGCTGTTGTTCAAAAAAAAGCTTTACAAGATTCTTCTCAAGGAAACCGCAATGTTATATCGAATGTCTCATGGCTTTAGAGCTACAGAGTATAATAAGGATCGTTTCAGAAAAAGCTTTATGAAAAATGTCAAACTTTTGGTGAATAATCTTGTGAAAAAGATTTCCATAGATTTCCAAAACCCTAAATTTGCTGATGCTTTGGTGATCAAGAAAGTTTTAAAGTCAGCAAATGGAAATGCCAAGGATATCACGTTTGGAAGAATATATTGGTTTAATCCAAAGAGAAGATTTGATTTGATCAGGAGAGGTAAACAGCAAACTGCATTATACCACGAACACTCGAAATCTATTAAAGGGTGGATATTGACCCCGATGTCTCTTATATGTAGACATGGGATAGAACAGTTGAAAGTTGTGAAGGAAAATATCAAAACCGTTGACGAGAATGAACAAAACCATAACGATATAAGCAATGACTCAAGAAAGTAGTTTTTTGGCATACGTGTGGTTTTTCTGGACCGTTTTTTTCATTTCCTTTAAATTAATTTTGTTTTCTAAAATTGGTATCCTTTTTTTGGCATTGTTTTGGGGTTGTTGTTTTTTTTTTTCGTTGAAAATATTTATTTTGTTCTCACGGTTTATTATATATCATATATTTACGGTAGAAGCATCTCATTTTTCCCTGACGGGGTGCATTTTAATTAGATTCATTTAAATTAGGGTTATTTATTTATTTTCTTGTAGATTTACCCCATCACAATCTAGCTAATATTTTTGTTTGTAGAGAAATGATTATTAGAGGTATAGCTTCCCACTTTCTATGATTATTTTGAATAATTTGACATGCTTTAATTCCACGTTGGTGCTATTGTGGTCCTCAATTTATGTCAAGAAAGAAACCACCAGATTACCTATTGTTGTAGTGACACATTCTGAGTATCGGGACTTGCATGAGTATATTAGAAGACTGGCTAATTAAACAATAGATACTTTTTCTAATTTCTTCATCATGTAGTACCCTGCTCGACTTTTTTCTATGACGAGAAATCCTATAATAATTGAATGTTGTAAAAAAAAAACTCTTATGAAATCACTATAATTTTGTCTACTCTGCCATAAAAAGAGCAAGTAATTCTATTATTTATTTAACATGTTGTCATATTTTTGTACTCACTAGTTTTTCTTGAAGAGACATCGCAAAGTTTTAGTGTCGTCTAAGCTAAAGATAATTGAATTGATTAATGTTGCTTCTTTCCTTTCTCATCATTTTATCATTTTATGCTACGTAATTTTGAACTCTAATTACTAATCATTAGATTTTTGAGGGGACTGTCATTTAAACTAACGAATTTTTCATCTTTGTTAATATTGGCAAGGAAATGAATCATGATTTTCATTTAAAATATTCATAGGTGATTGAAACCTAATTAAAATGACATTCGAATGTTGACTTTCAAGAATCATTCATTTAAACCAATATAACATAACTAGCCAATAAATTAAAAAAAAAAAAAACAAAAAAAAAAACAGCGTTAGAAGTAAGTCTCGAGGAAAATTCACAAAAAATTGATGATGATTAAAAATATCTGCCTATTATTGCTTTGTGGCAATGGTTCAAGTATACCCAATCGAAAGCACTTTTCTTCAGTAAACTTGTTATCCTGGAACTTATCAAGCTGCAATAACCATCAATCGGATATGCAGTCTCAATTGATTTCCAATAATTTATTTACTGTGAACTATGATTATATTTTCAACTGTCTTGACACAAGATTTACCCTTAAAATGTCCCTTTCTATATCATAATCTCAATATTGGAACGATGACGCATCTCTGAAACTATAGCGCTCGTGACCTGATGCAGATCGCGAACATGATGATGACTGGCTGGTGGGTACAACCACCCCAGACTAAAATTTGAACTAGAAGAACCCCTAGTATAGTTACCAGTTGGTGTCAAACTAATAATAGCCTGCATTAATCAGACTTCCATCTATAGTCAATTTTGGTTCTTTAGTACAAAGTGAACGGCCACCTCAGTACTGTCTTTTGGTGCCTTATTGAGAATCATGCGGAGTGTTGGAATGTGATGGTACTCAACAATAGGAAATGGCCGGTTAATTATAAATTTGACCTGTCAATTGGGCCGTATACCTTCAAAAACTTAATAGACTTATATCTTCTGGTTGCATCATGGGGCATTTCGATGAGCTTGGTGCATGAGCATTATTAAGGCAATGGACTTCTCTCTTATAAGTTTGGAAAATCCACATTCATATTCAAAGGAATGGTTTACAAAAAAAAAAAAAATAGTTTATATAAAACAACACAGTTCATTTTACTTCTTTTTTGTCTTGCCCTCAACCAATTGGCTGTTATCTGCTCAACCTTAGTCATTCCTTTAGCCTAATTACAAGTTATTTGTTGAATCTTTTTGTCAATCGTTGCTTGATCATTCCAAGAACTATTTCATTCATTTTGTTTTTTTAAAAATAAGATTAATCACACAAAAAAAAAAATAGCCAAGCAAAAAAATGAAGTACCAAAGTCTTATTTCTGTTGCCTTGTATTTTGGCACCATGGCCATGGCAGCACCAAAAGCCCACTTTCATAAAAAAAGAGATGCTGCAGTCACTACATTATCAACACTTGAAGATGTGGTCACCGACGATGTCAACGTTACAGTGTACATTGATGATGATGGAGAAACTACTACTGATTTACCAGCTACAACCCCAACCACTACAGTTAGTCCAGTGGCCACTGCAGTTCAAGACGATGTTGTAGCCGGCACCTCTGCGGCTAACACTGCTGCTAACACTGCTGCTGTTGCCACATCTGCCCAAGCTTCAGAAACCTCCACTTCTACCTCTTCTTCTTCTTCTTCTTCTTACTCTTCCTCTTCTTCTTCCATTGATGGTGATTTGAAATCCTTTGCAAGTCCTGGTAAATTCGTCGACGGTACCTTGTCTTGTGACTCGGTGCCTGTTGGTAATGGGGTAATTTCCATCGACTGGTTGCAATATAATGGGTGGGCCTCCATCTTGAACTTGGGTGGTTATGCCTCAACTACTTGTGTCGAAGGTTACTATTGCTCCTACGCTTGCCAAGCAGGGATGTCGAAGACACAATGGCCATCCGATCAACCATCGAGTGGGGTGTCTATTGGTGGATTGGTTTGCAAAAATGGGTACTTATACAGAACCAACACCGATACTGACTACTTGTGTGAATGGGGGAAAGAAACTGCCAATGCTGTTTCTAAAGTCGACGAAGTTATTTCCTTATGTAGAACCGATTACCCAGGTTCAGAAAATATGTGTATTCCAACCAGATTGACCGCAGGATCCACTAAACCAATTTCTGTGGTTGACTCATCGACATATTATAAATGGGAAGGCCAATCTACTTCTTCTCAATATTACGTTAACAATGCTGGCATTGACGTTGAGGAAGGGTGTATCTGGGGGACTTCCGCCGGAACGGTTGGTAACTGGGCCCCAGTTAACTTGGGTGCTGGCTATACTAACGGGGTTACTTACTTGTCAATTATTCCAAATCCAAACAATAAAACCCCACCAAACTATTCTCTTAAGATCGAAGCCACTAGTGGTTCCACACAGAGTGGGAGCTGTGTCTACGAAAACGGTAAATATAATGGCGATGGAAGTGATGGTTGTACAGTGGGTGTCACTAAAGGATCATCTAACTTCGTTTTCTACTAAAGCAGCCTTGGATAATATATATTTTTGGAAATAATATCCAAAGCAACTCTTCATTTCTTTATTAATTTATAATTTATAATTTATTTCGATTCTTTCATTTTTACTTTCATTTCTGTTGATTCTATTCTCATTTTTTTTTTTTTTCGATATCTATTTCTTTGAACAAAAAAAAACTTATAGATATAATATAACATGTTAATTTCTCTGTTTCTTAGACCTCACAACCATTATCTTCTTCATTCCAACATGCTGTAGTCGTTCTGCTTCTTCTACTTTCTGAGTGCCCTTAGCAACGCTATCACACCCACAAATGGGAAAACAGCTGGCGATGAATGATGAAAGGACGACCCCATCACACCATCAATTAACAATCAGATAATATGAATCCCCTACTATCAGAAGACGATGATGACTCTTCACTGTCAAACTACCAGGACTCCACCGATTCCTCTATGATATTGGACACGAGGCCAGGATCAGCTCATAATAATAACAGTTTAGTAAACAGTAGAATCAACTTGAGCTCATCTAATGATAATGTGTTACAGAGATTGAACCAATTAGCTCTACAAGAGAGGAGCAACAGTGCTACTGATAATGATAATGATAATGAAAATGAAAATGATAATACTACTAATAATAATAATTATAATAATGATAGTGATGATGATGTGGGAAATGGAAGTAGTAATTCGATCAAGGATGTTAGGGTTACAAAGAATAAACTCTCCATTATGAATTCACAGATATTAGAGAATCTATCAAAATCTTTCTACTACGAAAACGAGCATCCGATCTCTGAACCATCGTATTTATCGGTTCAACAAGCACAAGACCAGCAGCACAGCAGTTCAATAGAAACCACAGTACCGATAGCTCAGGAACACAACAAGCAAGAGATTATTGAGCAAATCTTGAAGCCATACGAGGAAACCAAACCTCAGAAGATTCTAATAAGATTTCAGTCGATCGGATCTACGAGGCAGATTGAGCCAAGAGTCTATAAGATATCTAACAACCAACAGTTTTCTCTGTTGATTCGATTTCTCCACAAAAAATTCAAGCTTGGAGATAGAGATGGGCATGTGTTTTGCTACATTCACAATAGCTTCTCACCCAACCCAGATGAGATCATCGGGGATTTATTCAAGAATTTTGCCATCAATAATGAGTTAGTAGTATCGTATTGTGAAAATGTTGCGTTTGGCTAGGTGGTTTCTCCAATAATACATGATTATTATATTATCATCCCTCTATTTTTGTTATCCAATGATTTGTTGTAGTCTTTAGATAATCACACACATATATATAAATAATAATAAATGGTCAATTCGAGATTGGGGTAATTATCATAAGACGGTAGTTTTGATGCACCCAACAATCAATAACAATAAGGATGACTACGAGTCATCCCACACGATAAGTCACTTTCCCATAAGATGACCACCAGTCAGTACCATATGTACTCGGTTGCTCTGTAAATGAGTAATAAAATGTGAAACTGATACACAATTACCAGAAACAACTAAAAAGGAAATGCTTATCGTTATCCTGCAATTGCCTAAAACTCTTCAAAAGGGAAAAATGATTATGCAATGACTAATTCCGCACACCGGGCAACGCTTCAGAAATTTTTTCACCAACGAGTTATAAACCCTCTCACATCTCACATTATTTACCGTTGATCTTTCCCAGCTTAGATCTACATCGCAAACACAACACAACCAAGCACAAATACTATCTCACAATGTGTGGTATTTTCGCAGTATATAACCACCCAGATGTTTCTGGGTTCAAATCACAAGCCCTCAAATTGTCCAAGAGAATCCGTCACAGAGGTCCAGATTGGAGTGGTAACATCACCAAGAAGAACACCATCATGTGTCATGAACGTCTTTCTATTGTCGGTGTTAGCACTGGTGCCCAACCTATCACCAACGAAGATGAATCTTTGATCTTGGCCGTTAACGGTGAAATCTACAACCACATCTCTGTCAGAGACAGCTTCAAAGACTACGACTTCAAGACCGCCAGTGACTGTGAAGTCATCATCCCATTGTTTGAAAAATACGGTCTTGATGCTCCAAACCACTTGGATGGTATGTTTGGTTTTGTCTTGCACGATGTTAAGAACGACAGAGTCATTGCTGCCAGAGACCCAATTGGTGTCATCACCTTGTACATGGGTAGAAGCAAGAAACAACCAAAGACCGTTTACTTTGCTTCTGAATTAAAATGTTTGACCGACGACTGTGACGAAATCACTGCTTTCCCACCAGGTCACATCTACGATTCCAACACCGACCAAATAACAAGATACTTCAAGCCATCTTGGTGGGATGAAGAAAAGATCCCAACCACTCCAGTCGACTACAAGAAATTGAGAGCTTCTTTGGAATTGTCGGTTAGAAAGAGATTGATGGCCGAAGTCCCATTCGGTGTTTTGTTGTCTGGTGGTTTGGACTCTTCATTGATCGCCTCTATTGCTGCTAGAGAAGCTGCTAAGGCCAGTGAAAACGTCTCATCCGACGAATTGGCCGGTGTCGATGAAAATGGTAACTTGCACGCCAGCAGCTGGGGTAAGGTCCACTCCTATGCTATTGGTTTGAAGGATGCTCCAGATTTATTGGCTGCCAGAAAGGTTGCCAAGTTCATTGGTACCATCCACCACGAATTCACCTTTACTTTGGAAGAAGGTTTGGATGCCTTGAGTGATGTCATTTACCACTTGGAAACTTACGATGTCACCACCATCAGAGCTTCCACCCCAATGTACTTGTTGTCTAGAAAGATCAAGGCTCAAGGTGTTAAGATGGTTTTGTCTGGTGAAGGTTCCGACGAAATCTTTGGTGGTTACCTTTACTTTGGTTCTGCTCCATCTGCCCCAGAATTCCACACTGAATGTATCAAGAGAGTTAAAAACTTGCACTTGTCTGACTGTCTTAGAGCCAACAAGTCCACCATGGCCTGGGGTCTTGAAGCCAGAGTTCCATTCCTCGATAAGAGTTTCTTAGACTTGGCTTTGAACATTGACCCTGCTGAAAAGGTCATCAAGCCATCTGAAGGTAGAATTGAAAAGTACATCCTTAGAAAGGCCTTTGACACCAGTGATGAACCAGATGCCAAACCATACTTGCCAGAAGAAATCTTGTGGAGACAAAAGGAACAATTCTCCGACGGTGTTGGGTACGGATGGATTGATATCTTGAAGGACACTGCTGCCGAAGTCATTTCTGACGAACAATTTGCCACTCCAAAGCCAGAATGGGGTGCCGACATTCCAACCACCAAGGAAGCTTACTGGTACAGATTGAAGTTTGACGAATTGTTCCCACAAAAATGTGCTGCCGACACTGTCATGAGATGGATTCCAAAGGCTGACTGGGGTTGTCACGAAGATCCATCTGGTAGATACGCCAAGTTGCACGAAAAGAAGGTTGACGAAATTAACTGATTATTGTATTATTGATTCTTCCCCTTTTTTGTCCTTTATTAACTGTTAATGTATATGTGAACTAAGTAGTATAGAGAATAAAGTATTGTATTATTCATGATTTTATTGGAGTATATATAGTAGTAGTAAGCTCACACATACAAGTATAAAAAAAAAACGGGTTAGAGGCACGCACCGCAAGGAAAATATCACGATTGAACTGCGATGAGGAGCTACTGTTAACTTTTACTAACCTTTTGAAAAGATCGGATTGCAAAAAAAGAGAGAGAGAATAAGATGAACCAAGCATTGAAAGATCTATCAGATTTCATTCGGGATTGGGTGTACTTGGACCTCAAGTTGAACTCCACAATCCAGGCTATTGAGAACCTGTCAGTGTATATACATGTGGAAAATGATTCGAAATTCATCGTCAACAAGATATCCAACGATAACTTCTTGATTAATGTGCTCTACAAAGATCGAATTATTGTTACTGCTCAATTGAAACTTTCTGATTATGTCTCGAACATTCTGGATCCAGAAACTAAAGAACGAGAAAAATTCAATAAGTATCTTAGTGACACAATCAGTGGCAAGTATTATGAAGCTCTAAATGGCAATTCTCAGACAGTGAATGAGAAAGCCGTTAACAAACAAACCGAATCAAGCAAACTTAAAGAATCATTTGGTGCTATTAATTCAAATATTCCCGATAAATCCACAAAAGTAGGAGGAACTGACCTCAGATCAACAATGCCTAAGTTGCCAACAGCACCGACTCCTCCATCATCAAAAACAGAGGTGAGACCATCTAATCCAAATGATCCACCAGGGTTCGAGGATGAGTATAAGCTTCTACCACAAAACTCAAGTTACAATTCGCCCAAAGTTTCTGGGTCAATTGGCGAGAAAGACCTTGATCCCATGGGAATCGGAAAGTACCCGGTTATGAAGCCATATATTGATCCATTAGGATCAGGATCGTCAGGTTCTGGGGGAATGCACCCAACTTTTAATGATCCTTTATTTCATCCTGAAAATAGAAACTCGGGAAACGGTCTGCTACAGCGTCCACCAGGAGCAAGATGGAGTAACCCAATGTTTGGTACCGATGATCCCGAAGATATTGAAAGAATGGGACAGGGACTTCCGGGAACAAGCGGATTAAGGGGTCCGGCAAATAATGGAAGTTTTGGTTTCCCAAAGGATGGCAATACTGGTAATGGTGGCTTTGGCTTTGGCTTTGGTGGGAATGGAGCAGGGTTTGGTTCTGGAGGTAGCAGTGGAGGTTTTGGGTTTTGAGATGGTTTTTGTTGATAGGATTGTGTACATAGGATTATGTTCATATAGTGGTTATCAGTTATGAAGGTTTTCTGATTTCATATCTATATAAGAATTATTCGAGGATTTTTATATATGAGCAAAATGACTGATATTGGTCATTTTTAGTTATTCCTAATCAAATAATGAAATGATGAAAAAAAAAAAAAATACTAATACTACTGCTTATTTAGGCCTTGATTTTTATCACTGCATAAATATCTATATCTATCTTTGCATTAAATATTGTTTGCAACTGACTTTTGTAAGCCTGTATTCTGTAGAAAATTCAGAAGACATGAATTTACATCTTCAACCATAGGCATCAAATATACCAACAGGGAAATAGCCTTTCATTGTACTAAATGCCTTGAAAACCAATAATAACCAATATTCTTTCGTGATTACTCTTATGATATCTTTGCATTACTAACAGGAAATGCATTTTCACCATGCCTGCATGTATTTATTGTATGCACTCACTCGTCTACATGACACAAAAACGGTAACTCTGAAATCATTGTTTTTGTGTAACTCTTTCAAAGCTTTATTGATTTCAAGCGCTATTGATATTATTCTATCTGATACTATTTTTTTATTGTTATTTGTTTCCACAGAAAATACCACTACAATGTCCTTGCCAATTTTGAGAGCTGAAGAGAATATCGATGAAAACTTTGATGAATCATTGGAACAAGCCAAGAATGATGGTCATTTCAATACTTTGAATAAAATTTCCATTAATAAGGCAGCTTTTGATAATCCGTTGACATTGAGAATTAAAGACATCAATGATAGTAATAATTTAGAATCAAGTAAGTGTCTATCATTTATAGAAGCCATTTATTTAGCACTACTAACACATGCCTGTGGTCTTACCTTTACCAAGCTTGGGTTTGCAAGCTTTGAATATCGCTGAGTATTCCAAAAAAGGCCTTAACCGGGAGAAACATGAACCAGTGATTCCTGGCTCGTTACCAAATGAATTTTCCTTCAAGCACATTAATGTAATTGCACAAGAAGAAGAAAAAGAAGAAGAGGAAAACGATGATCAAGAATTTGTTGATACAAATGAGAATGGCCAAATTTCAACTGCTGCTTCATCTAATAGAGTTTTTTCCAAGATTTCTAGTACAACTTCGTCTCCAAATATCACTTCATTATTGGAGTCTTTTTCACCAATCTATGGAATAAATAGTCAAAATGAATTCGTGGCATTCAATGACAAAAGGAAAATTGGCAACTATTTAGAGTCTGGGAGAGTATCTTTACAGATGACTGCTAATTTTTGTAATAACATCGAGTTGCATGTCAACAAGCTTGCAGATGGACGTATTGGGTCAGGAAATTTACAAGATAATGTCACTAGTATCCAACAGAATTCCAAGGAGGTGATTCCGGGAAAGTCTGAAGAAAGAAGAGATCTAGATGCAAAAATTAATATTGTCAAGTTTGAAAAAATTAATGTTGTTGAACAAATTGCACCAGATTCGGAAAGTGAAGAATTCAGTATTTCATATGATGAGGGAGGTGTTGAGTTGCAAGACTTGAATTTTTCTTCTAAGAATTATCAAAAGTATAATATTGCTGAGGACAAAGAGTTGACCAATGATACAGTCAAAACCATTAAGACACGCTACAAGTCTGGGAAAATTTCACTATTGCCTGATAATGCGTCGTTGAATTTATTTGGACTAAAAAAGCCAATGAATGTTCATGCTATGCCGTTCTTCTGCACCACCGATGAAATAATTTCTCCAGATGAAATGAAGTTATTAACTATTTTGGATTACGAAATCAATAAGGAAGTAAAATCCCAAGATACTGAAATGCCAAAGCTATTTGTTCAAAGGGTTTGGAAACGTGTGAAAGATATGTTTACAATAGAGGATTATCGAAGCAAATATTTATGGGATGATATATTGCGCTCATCGGAAGAAGGCGAACATTCCATACCTGCTCAACAGGGCTTAGAAATTAACCAGTCGATACTTTCCGTCAATAATACTGATATGCTTCCATATGATATTAATAAATCACCAATAGAAGACATGACAACTGGTGACAAATCTATCAATCGCAGAGAGTATAAATTTATTCCATCAATGAGGAGCGTTAAAATATAGTTCATTCGACTTTGCAATTTATATTCTCTTTTGCCTTTCATAGCAATTTATATTTTTTCATCACAATTTTATTGTGCTAGTGTGTAGAGTTGATCTATCCAACCAGGAATTAGTTTGTTAGTTTCAAGATATGTGTCTCTAACTAATTCTTGATTCTTAATTATGCTGGATGACGCCATCAATTTAGTAGAACAATATAAACTGGCACCAGTCCATGATCCCAAAGATATAATTGCTTCATATTTGGCATTCCCCGCTGATCTTAATTCATGCATTATTCTTGATTTCAACCCAGGAATATCTGACAAAAATCCAGTAAACATGATTCTTTTGCTGAGAACCGGTCTTATATCTATTGGTAAACTGTCTAGTACCTCAATAATTAGACTTGCTAGAGGTATTTCATCGTCATCAATTTCTTTGGGAGTTATCTGAGGAAAAAACTCTGATTCCAATGCTTGGAAACGTAGCCTGTTTGGAATTTTGATGTTATTTTTATAACTGAATACATTATTATCATCATTATCACCATTACCATTACCATAACTGTCGTTGAGATTCTTGCAGTATACTACTTCATGGATAAGATCTTCGATAAAATGAAATACTTCATTTTTGTTATTAATATCAATGCCTTCAACGTGCTGTTTATTGTTCAACAATTGTCTCAAAACTGCATAGTGAAGCTGCTTCCCTGATCCTCTGGTTGTGGTTTTGATATTTTTGTATAATAACTTCTGATCAAACACTGGCGATATGGTTATCATATCCCAATCCAAGTCTACCACAAGCCCATTTTGAGTGCCAGCACTCAAAATACTAAGGAGAGAGTCCGGTAAGAAAATCAACAGCTGAGCATGAATGTAATTCAATAGGACGTTTGCTATGAGTCTTCGAATATGATCTGGAAGGAAAATCGATACTGGAATGATAACTTTGCACCGTTTAGAATCGACCAAGAGATCGGAGTTGTAAATATGGGACACGATTTTCTCAAGGAGTCGTTCAGTATTGGAGCCCTGAAGTGGTTCAAGGGTCTGGAAAAGTAAAAAATCATCATGGAAAAGCCATCGCTTATGAATGAGATCCAGTTTGTAGAAATTATCAATGGTGGCATTTAGTTGAATACTGGGATCGAGAATTGATTCGGATAAGGATCTGTGATTCTCTGCGGTCAAAGCATAAGATGCACCATTAAGAGAAATCGAGGCCATATTAAGGGATTGATCACCATTAGTTTTTGATGGTTTCTGGATATGAAAATTCATTATTGGGTCATTGGTTTGTAAGGTGGAAATCGGAGCAGCATCACCGGCAAACCCAGCTTTAATGAGTCTTGATCCAATCTCAAGAATCACAGGATAATATTGCTGTACCATCAGTTCCTGATCCATAGTTAATAAATCTTCTCCTCCTCCTTCTTCTTCTTCTTCTTCTTCTTCTTTATTTAGAATATATTTGTTGATAGTTAGCTCATCGCATTGGATTTTCTGGTTGTTATTGTTATCATCATTTTTCATAGACCACTGTTTTTTTTTTTTTTTTTTTTTTTTTCCCCACCATTTACAAACAACTAACATCAAACAGTGGCAACTCACATCCATGGAAGATCAACTGTTGGATCAGGATAATATCTTTGAGGCCTCGACCACTGAGATCTCCCATATTACCGCAGTGCTTTCTGCCATTGCCCAGGTGGGGACCAATGCAAAGCTTTTCATCGGTAGTGATGGGTTGATCTTTGTTTGTGAGAACGTCCATACCATCAGGGCGTCTGCTACTTTTGACAAAGGGTTATTCGAATATTACCTGTTTCGTCCCAAACCTGATGGGCAAAATCAAGATAAAAGCAAAAATAATAATACTGCTGCAAGTGAGACAGATGTTTCTAGCGATGATGATGATAATAATAATAACCAGGCCAATGGGTTGAGTCAGAAAGTGAAACAGATCAGAAAACATGTTAGAGAAACTATTAAAATATGTCTTGATATATCCTCTGTTGTTGAATCATTCATGATTGCTTCATCATTATCGAAAGTGAACAAAGAGAATGTCAAGAATGTAACGGTGCGTTGCAAGCTTTGTTATAAAGGACCGGGGGAAAACTTTGAAATCTCATTTTCGGATCCTTTGATCACTGAAGACTGTATGTTCTCAACATTTGTCGATATAGAAGAAGAAGACCAGCGACATTTACAATTAGATACTGGTGCGTTGATTTTGGAATCGACACTACAAGCAGATGTGATTTATGATGCCCTCAATAATTTGAAGGATATGAATGTTCAAGAGCTTTATATCTATGCTGCAAACAAGATGACCAACCAGAAAACATTGGATGATGGAAGAGTCGAGCAGAATCAATTGATGTTTATATCGAAGGGAGAAATGGGGTATTCAAGGTTTGTGTTTCCCGAGTTGGAAAAACTCGTCATTAGGCAGTACGATCCCACGGAATATCAATTCAGAGTGGTGAAGAACGACTTCATTGTCAGTGTTTACAAATTTGATATGTTCAAGAAAGTCATGAAGGCGGTGAAACTCAGTTCTAAGATTCGTATTAGAAAAGATAATAAAGGGATAATTAGTGTCCATCTATTGACGGCGTGTAACATTGATGGTATAAGTGTTAACCCCAAGATTTTCGGGGTGGTCCCCAAGGGGAACAACATTAGAGAAAATCCTCCGGATTTGGGTAGGAGAAAACCACTATATGATGGAACCATCATTGAATTTATCCTATTGGAGCTTGTGGTGAATGATGATGATGATGATGGTGGTGGTGGGGAAGATCCATTCGACAAGAGAGAGATCATTGAATTGATCAATAACGCCGAAGATGGATCGGGATCACATTCGAAAAAACGGAGGAGGACTCGATCTAAAAGATTAACTGAAGATTACAGACCTTCTGGGGGCCTTGATGTTGTCAATGCCTTGAAGAAGAAACAACAACAACAACAACAACACCACTCAGTTATTGATCAAGGGAATTACAACGATTTGCCAATAATCATCAACACCTCCAGAGGAATCAATGATATTTTGCACAACATTACGGTGAATAAAGGAGATGGTCCACTAGCAGAAGGATTTTTGGATGATGGGACTGTTCTAGAAAATGACTACGAAATCGATGATAATGATAATGATTTTTTCTTTTGAAAAAAAAAAAAAAGATGGCTTTAGTTCTTTTGCTTCATGTTCTTTTTTTTTTCCTTTTGACTTCAGTTTTGTATTATTAATATTAAAGAACTAATGTATTATATATTCAATGAAAAACTAAATTATTGTATATTCAATGAAAAACTAAATTATTGTATATTTATTAAATGAAAATTGGCCACGGTAGATGCAATTTACATGATATTAACAGTTACGTCCATGCGATGGGTTTCTAAATACTTTACAATGAAAATTTATTATCATGGTCTCTTTAAAAGGTTAGAATATACATTATTCTTTAAAGTCAATATTTCATAGAAAAAAAAAAAAAATAAGTCAATGTGCTTACAAAGTTCCCCTCAGTTTGTCGAAATAGATATCGGAGCTATCTTTTGTGAGGCAACCTTTTGGAGTTTGAAATATCAGTGAGAGATTGAACGTACCTTGCATTTAAGGATTGCTTTTTCTGCGGTATTTCTGGATGGAATAGCTAACTTTTGACATCAGCTTATTTATTTATTTATTTTCTTGGCCAGAGTTTGTTTTGATCTCGGTAAGAGTTTGATTTTTTTTTTCTTTTTTTTTTTTTATCCAAGTTTGGGGTGGAATTGTTTAATAATAAAACAGATTACAGAAATGAGAGGTGGGAAAAGGCTGTTGTGAAAAAAACAAACAAACAAACAATGATGGAATTTGGAAGATTATACATAACAGTTTAGAAAGTGACCTATTACCGATGATTCAAGAAGGGCTTATTATTGTGCCTATTTTCCTTTTAATCACTGGCGATACATCTTCAAGAGATATTCAAATGAGATCTTCAAGATAAATTAATTCAAGATGAGTCCCAGTGATAGTCTGTCCAAGATATACTCAAATGACATCCTCTTCATGATAAATTCAAATGGCATTCTGTTTTCAAGAAACACTTAAATGACATCCTCTTCGTCTTGGTTATGCAATGCGGCAAAGTCAGATCTCATGTTTTCTGGAGGTAAAATATTTGGCACGAATTGTAGAGCACAATAACCAATCCCCACAAATGAGATAAGGAATCCTGGAAACACCCGGAGAATATGGTCGTGAGACACGATTATTCCAATAAGGAGGTAGAAAATACCACGGCCAATGAATGAGAAGAGGAAGGAAGCATAATTGTAGACTTCTTGGGGCACTCTGATTTCTATAAAACAATAGATAGTATTTGTTAGTATTGATACATATATCTAAAGATAATTCCAATAATATTATTCTCTTTATACCATCGCATTACTTACCAAGAAAGATTATTCCCGCACCAAAGAATATCACAAATAAACCTAAAAAGAACTGCACCACTTAGTTAGTAACCTCTGGTTCTTGGGTGTGTTTTTCCATTCTCTCCAGATATAATAATACTAGAAAATCAATCAATCAGTATCTTGAATTAATATCAATCAAACCATTGTTATACATACATCCTGACTATTATTTTCATTGGTTAGTACCTGAATCAATGACGAGCGAAAATAGTAGATTATACATACAACCCTGAGAGTAATTGTGAAATACCGCATAACACCTATATTATATACTTGTTAGTATCGTCATTTCTTTTCTTAATTACCATGTTATATATACATCACCTAAGCCATTTCTTCTTCTTCTTCTTCTTCTTCTTCTTCTTCTTCTTCTTCTTCTTCTTCTTCTTCTTCTTCTTCTTCTTTGTATATCCCACAACGTAATCTGGTATTATCAAAGTGTGTCAAAGATAACTAAACTCACACTCAATGCACCAACGGCAAAATTGGCAATCTTGAAGGCATTGCTGAAATCACGGGTGTTGTCACTGATGTTAGAGAAATCCATCCTTCGATTATCTTATCACTAGTAGATATTCCTTTATTTCAATTCAATTGTCCTCCTTTGGTTGGGTACTTATCTCTTTTATTTTGACAGGCGTTTGGTAATTTTCTTTATATTTTTTTTTTCTTGCTGTATGTATTTTTGTTTTTTTCGTGTGTTTTGTTTTACGTTTTTCTTTGGCGAGGCGAAGTTGCTGGCCTCTATCTACTCGCTGTATCGAGCTAATTACACTTAGTAGTCCAGTACGATATATCTTCTTTCTAATTCTCTGATCAATTATAGCTATTTCCTCGTACTGCCCCCCCGCTCCTCACACCTCACACACTATCATATGCGCATTGTTAACAATTTACATAAGATATCTGGTATATGCTGTGGTGGCGGAATAGTGATTAATCAAAAACGAACAGAGAAAGACACTCAATGAAATAATGAATTGATCAAACAAACAGATAAACAAGATATAGGAGAGACAAAGAAAATAATAATAAAAAAAAAACACTAAAGAGAAGTCAATTTATTTATTAAATAAATTCAATCAAAGGAATAAAAATAGAGAAAACACACAAAAAAAAAAATGAGAAAAAGAGAGAGAGAGATAAAACTAGACTAATTAATTACTATAACAAATAAAAATATATTAACTTCAACAAGGGAGGGATCAATTCTTCTAATCAAAGTAGTGGTTTGCAAAGTCAACAGTCTTCATATATAGAATTAAATAATCCGGAGGCATCATTGGAGGTTAAGTTTGAGGGAAGAAAAATTGGATCAAATAAAAATACTCAGTACCTATATTTTTTTCTTTCACCAGATTCCCAGGTTTTCGTTTTATATATATATATTTTTTTTTAATTATTTTTCTTTTTTTTTTTTTTTTGGATAATTCTTTATGAGCTATAACACACCATCATTAATTAGCTTCATTTTCGGCTTCAGGTTGTTCTTCAGCTTCAGCTGGTTCAGGAGCGGTTTCTGACATATCAGAAGTCCACAAGGTCAAGTTGTCACGCAACAATTGCATGATAAGAGTGGAGTCCTTGTAAGATTCTTCAGACAAAGTGTCCAATTCAGAAATAGCATCATCAAAAGCTTGCTTAGCCAAGTGACAAGCACGGTCTGGACTGCTGAGAATTTCATAGTAGAAGACAGAGAAGTTAAGAGCCAAACCCAATCTGATTGGGTGAGTTGGTGGCAATTCAGTAATAGCAACGTCAGAAGCAGCCTTGTAAGCTTCCAAGGACATGTCAGCAGTTTCTTTACGCTTGTCGCTGGTGGCGAATTCAGCCAAGTAACGGTGGTAGTCACCCTTCATCTTATAGTAGAAAACCTTGGATTCACCAGTTTGAGCAGATGGAATCAAGTGCTTGGTCAAGACACTAAGAATGTCTTCACAAATTTCAGACAATTCTTTTTCAATCTTGGATCTGTATTCACGAATCAAAGTGACTTGAGCATCATTACCTTTAGATTCTTCCTTTTGTTCGATGGAAGAAACAATTCTCCAAGAAGCACGGCGAGAACCAATGACATTCTTGTAAGCAACAGACAACAAGTTACGTTCTTCAACAGAAAGTTCTTGACCTGAAGAGGCAACGGCCTTCATGTTTTCAACCATTTCCTCATAACGTTCAGCTTGTTCAGCAAGCTTGGCCAAATAGACAGAGTTTTCGCGAGAAGTAGACATTTTTGTGAACTGGATAAAGTTAGAAAGTTAGTAAAACAACAAAACTGTGATATTTTGACAGGCTTCAAGAAATAATAACAAGAAAAAAAAAAAATTATAACGATTTGTGTGTAAATCCTAATTAATAGCTTGTGAGCGTGTGTAGATTAAGAAATGCTGTTCTTTGTTTTCCCCCGTTGTTGCAAATTAAGCGCCATCAAATCGCATAGCAGCACACCCATACATCAAGATAACATTGGCAACAATAGCAGCAGCATTGCCAACCAACCAACCAGCAAATCAAATCGAGCTTCCATAAGATGTCAACAGGAGATAACAAAACAAAAACAAAAAACAATCTAGTGAGATATCATGATTGCAAGAAAGAAACCGCATTGCCTTTGTAAATCACTGTTGTTTGGAGCTGTGTGGCGTTGTATGTCAAAAAAGAAAAAACAAAAAAAAATATGGGGGGGCGGTAAATACCACGTAAATTAGAAAAGCCCAACGCCTACAATCCAAAAACAGCGATAATCAAAAGGCAATTCGTATGGAAAGAATGATAATCAATATGATTATAAGCAGTGAGGCCAATCAATGGATAGATTGGTGGTAATTTTTGATGAAAAATGTCGATAAAATTGGATGAGCTGGGAATAAACAACAAGACACACTCACCCACACAAGATCACAGATAAATAAAGAAAAATAAAAAAGAAAAATATAAAGAAGCACTGCGATATTAGAATTGTAGTTGACACTTACTACTGTTTCCAGGAAGGGAAGTGTATGAAAAGTTTATAGTATAGGAATTGGAAAGATAATACTTCGATTATGAGGAAGAAAAAGATAGAAATCGAAAGGTGGGAGATTTTTTGTTTTTTTTTTTGCTGTTGTTTTTCTCCCAGGAGTTTCTTGGGTAGGATTATTGGGGATGGTCCGCAGATGGTCACGTGGAGACGACGGTGCGACCTGTCCCCTCGCCGAGGGGTCGATCCCGGACCAATCAGTGACCAAAAAACCATGTTCCGGTACGGAACGTTCATCACATTGTGCACGGTCGTGTGATACTGTGATGATGGAGCCATGCATTACTTGAGGAGATAGATATCTAAAACATGGGTTTTCAATTTACACAGTGTAATCTCTGCAAGTCGATTACTAATCGATGTGAATCATCTGAATAACAAGACTCTGGCAATTCTTCTGGCTGATAAAAAGAGCTCATGAATTCATAAAACATTAGAAAAGTAGGATTAAGAGAAAGATAAAACATTGACTCCCTAAATCCGAGTAACTGAGATAGTCATGTAATACTCATGTAATAGTGGAGCATTTAGAATATGATGGGCAATCGTTAATGAAAGCTCAGCGTAGAAGAAGATTGAGCAACAACAATAATAATAATGAAAAAAAAAAAAAAAAGAATGGTAATACATTAATAACAACCAACCAAATAGTGGTACAATACCAACTTTTAATAGCCAAAGAATCGATCGATATTTTGAACTAACCAAGTTTAAATGAGAGTCTCCAAAAGCAAAATCCAAAAAAAAAAAAGAAAAAAGAAATGCATGAAACCAAACATCAAAATCTCTTCCATTTGCAACATTATATTGTTTAACAACTATCTTTCCAAAAAAGAGCGAATTAAAAAAAAGTCACATCTGTAAAATCTCACTCACAATCTTTGTTTGCCATTCTTGATACTTCTCTCTAATAACTCTTATTCTTTCTTTGCATATTTAGCGGTCCATTCCTTGGCGGTCTGTATTGCTCCAGCCTCATCTTTCTTCCAGCACTCTGCAACATCATTTGCCAAAGGATCGTCCGGGTTAGGAGAAGTCAACAAAGATTGAATACTCAATAACAATGTTCTAATCTGTATAGCAGGAGTCCAATTCTTCTTCAAAGTATCGAGGCAAATACGGCCCAAACGATCGATATTTGGGTGATAAATCTTGGTCAAGAATCGCACTTTTGGAGCAACCATAGGATAGTCTTCTGGCAAGAATAACTCAAGTTTAAATAAGCCCCCTTCGTATGGAGATTGATCTGCTCCTTCGATGGTGACATCGAAATAACGAAGATTATCTTCGTGGGGCATCGCGGTGATGCCAGGAACAGGGTCTGAAACCAAACGTTCAGTTTCCTAGATTATCTGTTAGTCAACACAGTTTTTGATAGTATCAAGCTATAATGAGAATCATCAGCCTCTAAATATGTGGCTCTTCGGGTATAACGTAATCATAATCCATCCCATACCATCGATATAAAAAGATAGAAAAGAAAAAATCCTAAAAAAAAAAAAATAAAAAGAGACAGACAAAACAAAAGGGTCTAATATTAACTCACTCTTATAATTCTCTTTGATAAAGCGGCCATGGTAACCTTAGTAAGTTGTAAATCAAAATTTAGTGTGAGAAACAACAGCCAGGGTGCTGTGCGGGTCTCTTATCACTTTTTTTTTTTCCTGTCTAAGTTGAAGGTCCAAGATCGTGAAGCATGATCTTACACGTGCTTTTTTGTTTTTTTTTTGTTTTTTTGTTTTTTTCCTCTTGCAGATTTTTATTGCACGTTGTGGATGGAGGAGAGTCCTACGGTGATCGTACTAATACCATACTATATTCCTATCATATCAATAACCACTTGGATAATAAAATGCCTCCAAAACCTCCAGGACCTACTACTAAAGGAAGATTTTTCGCTGCCTTAATCGGGTTGATTGGTGGTACATCTTTGGGTGTATACTGTCTTTCCGATTACCAACTTGTATGTATTGACTTACTACCAATGTTTTGCCTCATGACTCGTAATTTGGATAATATCTATTTGGATAGATTGAAAAATTTCTAATAAATTGATATTTATGTGAAGTTTCTCCAAATGAGATCTCTTTTTCTCTTCTCCTCCTTCTTCTTCTCCTCCTCCTCCTCCTTCTCGTTATGTTGATCTGGTTTTTTGGCAGCTAACTTCTAATTTCAATGAATTGTGATCTTTGTTTTTTTTTTTTTTTTTTTTTTTTTTGTGAAATCAAAGGCATTTTATAATTAATTGACAGATTATTCTTGTACTAACAATATAATCAGGTTAAGAGACTTCCTCCTTTAGAAGTTGAACTAAATGAAGATGGTACCCCAAAAGCCTTGCCATTCCGCATCACTCTAAAGCCAACCGCTCCTCTTGAACTTAAACCAGAAGTCAAAGAACGTAGAAGGTTAGAAGAACAGAAATATTTGGCTAAATTACGACTCGAAGAAGAGGCTAAGCAGAAAGAATTAGCCGATTTACAGCGAAAAAGAGAAGAGGCTGCAAAATATATTGAAAATAAAGAGAAACTGGAACAGGAAGATGAGAAAATCGTTGAACAAATCAATTTGAAAATTTCCCAGGAAATGGAACAAAATGCTGGGAAGAAATGGTGGCAATTTTGGTAAATGGGGTTTTTTAGAAGGAAACATAATGTTGTTTTTTTTTATCCTACTTTGTAAATAAAATGTTTTAGTGATAATGTACAATAACGAGATATGCTTTTGGAGCGATGTTGTATCAGAGGTTTTTGAAACAAAGAAAGATGTGTAATTGATAATTGAGTAATTTGAAATGAGAGTAACTGGTCAACGAACATATTGTAATTTACTTTACAAAATACGAATCAAGAATTAATAGATAAGACCAACTTTGTAGGTATAGACATAATAAAAATATTGACAATGAGGATAATTCTATAAATGAAAAGAATATTAAAAATTTGAAGATAATAACTGAAAATTGAATTAGTGATGAAAAAAAAAAGCCTGGCATTGACTACTACTCTCCCGAACTATCCAACTTAGTGTGCTCACAGTATATAGTAAAAGATTAGCTCCATCCTTTCCTTATGATCTGTTTCTTTCAGAAGATTTTTGCTCTCAATTTTCATTGTTCTTTTCTGATACCCAATGTTATCATTTATGACAATGACTAGCTATGAATAAATAAATGATACCATCAAAAGAAAAATATACATTGACAACTTGAGTACTGATAACATAATATCACTCATGATTCGTATCTCGGCATCCATGTTTCACTTAAATTCAATACTAATATACGAGAATAGTCCATCTACTGTATTCCTATATATTACATTGCTCAAAACAAGTGTCATATTCGCATTTTGGTGATCGCTAATCGCTCACATATCATTAAATAGCAGTTTTTTTTTGTTTTGTTTTTTTTTGTTTTTTCAGTGATCTATTTTGATCTTCCCTACTATCATCTTCCTGATCCACAACGTTCACAAACCCTTTGCAATTTCATTCAAAACACCAACAATCATGCTACTTTCCTCAGTACTCTTGCTGCCTTTCTTACCACCGCCACCAATCCTTCCCCATCCTGATTCCTGTGCCTTGTAAACCCTTACCACTTCGCTGTTTTTACGATCTTTTGCAAGGGTAGCATATTTCGAAAATTGAGATTGCAAGTACTTGGATACTTCTTCCGAATTGAAATTGTTAAGGTGTGCCTCATCAGCGGCGATAGGCTTCCCTTGGGAAGGAGGTGCACTAGGTTTGTTTGCAGGGATTTTTGGAGATGAAGAAGAAGCAGAGGTAGGAGGTAAAGGATTTGTAGCTGTTGCAATTGTTGCCGTTGTCGATGATGATGATGATAATGATGAGGATGTTTGTTTTTTTGAGGCACCAGATGACCATGGATTCAGAGAAGCTGGGCCACCTCTAACAACTGCCGCCCATCCGCCACGAGCAGCTGATGGTTTAGAAACTGGGGTATGTACAGGGTTGGAAGAGCCCGCACTAGTTGTTGTTTTTTCTTTAGTGTTTGATGGTGAAGGAGCTGTTGTCTTTTTAGTGGTACCAGGTTCTGGGGATGTAGTGGTTGGTCTTGATCTCGAGTTTTGGTTTTGGTGGTAAGGCTTCTTGAGAGATCTGGTTTGGGTTTGAGTTTTTGAGTTAGACATGATTGGAAGTATTTATCTTTTTTTTTTTGAATGAGTTTTCTATTTCTGTTATAGTGTTTTTTGTTATGATTTGAATAGAAAAATAATCAATCAAGCTTTCTATTTTTCAAGCGGATTTCTTTTCTTAGTGTAACTCTAGCAAGGACGGTGAGATCGAAAATACAAGCCAGGCAACAATTGGTGGAATTTATATATATAGGTATATATATATATATAGGTATATTCAATATGGCAGGCGTCTGGGCGATGTATTTATCCAAAAAAAAAATAAGGAACAACGTTGATGATTGGGTTCGCCAATTGATTTCCTTGTGCCAAAACCGATATTTTTTTTTCCCTTCCTCATTCGCACGCCTGCACGTGATCGTGTAGTAGCTTTGGGGTTGGTTAGGCGGCGCGTGTCCTCATGATAATTTCAACCACAGACAGACAGATAGCGATGCGTTGGCACTTTTTGACTATCAATCATGATAATAAGTGGTAGAATAATGGATTCTCATAGAATAATGTGGATATGCGTCACAATCCGGCACTATCCTACAGTGAAAAGATATGAGAAAATAACTCAAGGTATTAAGAAATGTATAATAAGAACTAAAAAAATGAAACTAAAGGCATGATATCAAACCAATAATAATGTTATTATAGAATTAACAGTAAGAGGAAAAAAGAATAGATTAGACACAGAAAAGGGTATTGGCTAATCTGTTGACAATAGATATTAAAAGACCCAGTACCAGTACCTCACATAATAATAGCTTCATGTTCAACATTAGCAGAAATAGTTTTGTGAGGCAAGACCTTACCACCGTTGACGTAGATTTCGTCCTTGACCTTGACGTCATCACCCAAAACAGTGCAACCTTCAAGACGAGCCCACTTACCAACTTCGGAGTTCCAGCCGACAATGGTGCTCTTGACCCAGGCGTGGTCCTTGACAATAGAGTTAGCAAGGATGACAGAACGTTGGATTCTGACACCATCACCAACGACGACGTTTGGACCGATGGTGACGTTTGGACCAATCTTACAACCCTTACCAATCTTGGCGGTTGGGTCGATCATGACGTTACCACCTTGAACGAATTCTTCTTCTGGGGAAGTCAACAACTTGGAGCCCTTCTTGGTCAAAGAGGTAAGGTACAAGCAGGTACCGGAAAGGAAATCCTTTGGTTGACCAACGTCCATCCAGAAACCTTCGAGGTCAAAGGAGTATAATTGGGATTTTTCAACCAATTGTGGGAAGATTTCCTTTTCAATAGAGGTTGGCTTCAAATCAATCATGTCGATCACTTCTGGGTTCATAATGTAAAGACCAGCATTAATTCTGTTACCGACAAACTCGACTGGCTTTTCAACGAAACGGTCAATCAAGTTTGGAGTGTTTCTGTCATGAACGATAACACCGTATTTGGAAGGTTCATCAACCTTGGTAGCAACGATGGTACCCATACCACCGTGGGATTCGTGGAACTTGATGAGGTCGTGGAATGGGTAGTCACAAATGACGTCGGAGTTCAAGACAAAGAAAGGAGACTTGTCCTTGCACAAAATTTCTTGGGCCAACTTCAATGGACCAGCAGTACCCAAAGGTTCGGTTTCGACAGAGAAGGTGATCTTGACACCGTATTCTTTTTCGTATTTTTGAAGGGTGGAGACCATGACTTCTGGTCTGTAGTTAACGGCGAGGACGATATCGGTGACACCAGCGTTAGCAAGAGCCTCGATTTGATGGAGGATCATTGGACGGTTACCGAATTCGACCAAAGGCTTTGGGACAGTAAGGGTAAGAGGTCTAAGACGAGTACCGTAACCACCGACAAGAATCAAACCTTTCATTTTGTGGGTATTATTATATTATTATTGTTGTTAGAGTTGTTGTTGTTGTTGTGGGGAAGGTATATACTATGGGAGAGATATAGTATAATACGAGCAGTGAGCAGGGTGAAAGAGCGTAGGTGTACACACGGTCAAAGAAGTAAAAAGAGAGTATGGAAAGAAATACTGGAAAATAAAAAAAAAAACCAATATTTATATATAATTTGGAAGCGGGCATTTTTTTTTTCCAGCGAACACGCTTTTTCCATCCATCACCCATCCATCGGCGATGTCGTGGCTTTATCAGGGGGTGTGCTGGGCACGTGGTGTGGACACCGACAGGGTTACCGGCCACCATCTCTATTGTGCAGGCCACAACATATTATTAATATTACTGTTGTGTGATATATATATAATATATATAATATATCTAGAATGATCATGCTAGCACATAAAAATTCAATGTCCATGTGGCTGGATGGATATATGGGAACGAGCGAGCGAGCGAGCGACCCAGAGAGAAGAAGAAAACCAAAAAAAAAAAAAACATGTGAGGTCATAATTCTCAGATGTTGAAAAATTCCAGCGATCGAACAACAAACAATAAATAATAAATAAACAATCTTGCCCCTGTGATATTTATAGCAGTGACAATGCAATTACGGGAAACCCTGCCAAAAATAGCAGCAATAGCTACGATATCTGACCACACCCAAATAACTGATATTCTTATAAATTACCTGCTGAAGGACTGACTCTCTACTGTGTAACATTAGTTAACTTATTATTATTATTATTATCATTATCACTATTAGTATCCACTTTTACCGTTATCGTTTTTTGTTGTTTTTTTTTTTCTGTCTTGAAGTTTTTTGGGAGCTTCCTTGTCCATGTAGCAATTTATTCGCTTTCAACGTCCGTAAATTAGCCCAAATCTGCCAATTAAACTTTCTCCGGGTGCCTTGCACAATGTTCCCCTTCCGTTTTAGGAAAGCCAATTCCCATAAACTGTTCCTGCCAACTCACCCACCCAAAATAATGGGTGGCCAGGCCAGGCCAGGAAAGGCCAATAAATCTACAGATTGACAAGCTTCTCTGTTGATATTGATGACATCTGGTTGAATGATTAATGAATGGTTTATTTCCCAAATATTTGAGTATATGTATATATACTACATAATACTATTTATTCAGATGAAAAAAAAAAAATTAGAGGTATTTTTTTAGCCTGTTATCGCTAATATTTTGACTAGGTATATTCACAACCTCTTCATCTTCATCTTGTAGGACTCCAAAAATGAATTAAATTTACAAAAATTTACAAAAATTGGACAGCCATGTTTAAAAAAAAAAAAAAAAAAAGATAAGAAGCTGAAAGAAAATAAGCGGCTGGGAATGTAGCAAAACATATTCAGACTAATAAAACCTGTAATACCACCAGATACAATTAAACTTAAAAACAGTAAAACTAAAATTCAGATACAATTTCATGAGAAATAACAACACAAAACAACTCTTTCTAACTAGCACTGCTCATCATAGACTAATTTCATTAATGCAATCAAATAAAAAAAAAGGAAAAGGAAAAGAAAAAGAAAAAAAAAAAAGGAAAAGGAAAAGAAAAAGAAAAAAAAAAGAGCTATATTATAAAGTCATCACCAACCATTACCCCATCCATCATCTTCATCCATATCAACCCTCAAGTTCAATTTATTACCCCCACCAACACCATTACCTAACTTTAAACCACTCTTTTTCGCACCAGTAGTAGGTTTCCTTTGAATAGAGTTGCTGGAAATTTTTCTTGATGAGGTAGTAGTTTTTGTCCCAATACTGGATGCTTTTGAATTGGAACTAGTCAGTTTCTTCATACTAAGATTCGCCAACCTATCATTCGCCACTTCAACCTCATTAGAATCATTCTCCATTCCAAATCCCCATCCATCATCTGCTCCATCGCCATTTTCTTCATCCAAGTCAAAATCTTCATGAGTACCCCATCCACTCGATGTTTTAGCAACAGTTGACAACTTTCTTGTAGCAGGTTTCGATGAATAGCTATTAACAAATGATGAACTAGAGTTATTTTCATTGCTCATCCCGAAATTATTGGTTGGTTGTGGAGTTGATGCCCTTGAATCAGTTGGTGTCAAAGTCATGTCAGTTTCCAATTGCCCTCCGACACCACTCATTTTGGAAATCGCTCCCATCGCTAAATTATATCCGAAACCTGACAAACTACCAGTAATTCCCGGGCCAGCAGCTTCAGCAGCAGCAGCAGCAGCTGTTTCCGTGCCAAAAGAATCGGTAGAGCTAGAACCAAAGTTAGAACTTCCGCCATTTGGCCTTGATGAGCCACTGGAAGATATCATGAACCCTTCTTCATTCATCGGGTGGCCAAACTCATCCACATCATCTTTACTTGGTAATCTATCAGCTTCTTCATTGATTTTCTCCATATAATTTTCAAACACTTCTCTTGCCAATTTTCGAACCGTTCCACTACTATCCAATAGACATGGAGCAATCGACGACAATACTCTAGAACAACAGATTTCCGGAGTGAAAATTTCAATGTTTTGCCCAAACGACATAATCGCTGCTTTTCTTGCCGGTGGAAATTTATCCTTTATTGCCTTGTTGTAAGCAGTTATTAATACCCCAGCACGCGCCAGAGAATTCAAATGCTGGGCCAATTTACATAGACACACCACCACATTGGTTCTAATGATCTCAGATTCATCATTTTGCAATTTCGCCAAATATCTCAACAACTCATTACTCAATTGACGATCAGTAAGTTTTGAAGCAATCGGTAGCACTGCTTTAAGAGTTTCCTCACGAATGGTAATATTGGTATCTGAAAATCCGGTGAGTAAAGGTCCAAAGATCTTATCACTAATTTCTGATTTTGAGAGTCGAGGGGCAAATTGTGGAAGAGATGTAAGAAGCGTAACACGGATAGTTCTATCAGGTAGGCTAAATGCTTGGATAATTATTGGAGCCACGATTTTCGAGAAAACTGTGTCTTTAAGTTTCTCACTAAATGAAAGAATGTAATAAAGACAAGTGGCAGAATGATTCATATCTTGTGGTTGTTGGTTAGACAAAGATATCGAAAATAAGTTAGCTAATTCTGGAATGATTTTGTATTCCAAGAACCCTGGTGGGGCAACAGGTTTCAACTGTTCCAAAGATTTCATAAATTCAAGCTTTTCATAGTTCAGCTTCAAACTCAACTCTGCCAAATCTCTATAACATCTAATCAAACCGGAATTAAAAATTTGCGATTTTTCACCTTGGACTAAAAACTGTTCCGTGGAAATTCTCGCAGTTGGGGAATTCTGCATCAATTTCTTGTATGCTGGTTGTAAAAATTTCGGAAGCTTGCTGACTTTCAAAAAATCGCTGCTTGAATTAATCGACCTAGTATCCGATACCTTATTGAACAAACACCATATCAATCCACCAAGTTTATATGAGTCAAGTTTGTAAGGATGGCTCTTAACGCTATCCACTCCTTTCGTGGAAACTTCTGGGGGCACAATGTTTTGGAAAATTGGCGACGCAGCACTAAGTCGGTATAAAGGTTGATCAGGATCAGATTTTGTACTGGTCATCAATTCAAATCCTCCAAGTCTCCATTCTCCTGACTCGGTCACGTAAACATTTGATATGTCCAATCCTCCGTGGATGGCGCTTCCTTCAACGTTCAAATATTTCAAAGTTTGGGCAATCACATACACCCCCAACATCACCGCATCGTCACTGAGTTGGTCGTTTTGGTCTAAGTATACTGGTAATGGTACCACCGGTTCACAAAAAATATGAAGCATGGAATCAGTTTCCAGAGTATCGTAGACCTTTAACACTCCTGGTATTCTTGTTCCTTTTAGTTTCTTGATAGCATTTCTGGCAAGCGCCACATAGTACTTCTTGGAAGGGTCACGAAGATCAAATTCAAAAACCGTACAGGTATTGGTCAGATCGCTTTTTGAGGTACCTTGGTATAAAGACCAAATTGAATTTGGTGATTCAATCGGTTCACCTATTGTGAAGGGTAAATTGTAACCCGAAGTGAAGGACCCCAAAGTCTTCGTAAGGAAATTCATTGTATTGATTCTGTCCTTAGAAGTATCAATACTGAAAACAGTAAATTTACACCCAGTAAATTTCTTTCCTTTTCCAATCAAAAAAGAAACCTCCCCGTCTATCAGTAGTGATGATTTTGATCTTGGTGAATTGTCAGTTTCACAAATTTCCGTAAGTCTGGCCAAGGGCTCGTAACATCAGACGTTTCTCAAAAAAAGAAATCCTTCTAGAAATGGTTTCTCTAATAACGGACACCGTTTGATAGGCAAAAAGAGTTAGGTGTATAAAATAGTTACAAAAAGAAATATTTTTATCAAGTTTCAAGAAACTACTTATTAAAATCTTGTTCGTGTTATTATTGGTCATGGAAGGATACAGTCGCCACAACCAAAGCGGAATAATCAATGACTGACCTTGATCCTTCCTTTAATCTCAAGGTTTCACCATAAAATTATATACACTGTCTATTTTTAATTATCTAGAGTATTTATATGATCACCTGTAGTGTAACCACCACTATTTTTTTCTTTTCTGTACTCCTTTTTTTTGACTGATACCTAATAATATGTTGCAATTATTTTTTCTCAAAGTTGCAATTTACTTGATTTGCTATTCGGATCATTGAAGATGTTGGGTGACATTCTCATAGCTTGGTATACTATCCCCGGCACCCTTCTTTTGGATAGCCAAAGCACTTGCAACTGTCGCGAATTTGATGGCGTCCCCATAAGCTTCTCTATTTAAACTCAACTGACTGACTACTGAGCCAAAGAATGTGTCTCCTGCCCCCGTTGTATCAATGACGTTTTCTTTGGCCACGGTTCGGGATTTCAAGAACTCGACTTTTGGCGTCCCATCTCTTGTGGTTATAAAAAGAACTCCCATGGATCCTAAAGTTATGATCACAAGATTGACCCCTGAACTATTAATTTTGGGCAAAAGTTTGCGAGCCACATTTTCATAGTATTCAACTTTATCGTTTGAAGTGGTAAAGCTATTTGGAACATCGTTTGGGATGTCCAAAGATTCCAATATTTGTTGAGATTCAATTTCATTGACAATCAATAAATCGACATTCTTGAGGTAATCCCCAGGAACTTTCTTCATTGGAGAAGGATTGTAGGCAATTTGAATATTCGGACGATTTGTCTTTATCCAATTAATGGTTTGCACAAAGTATGGGAATTCATTTTGAAGCATTACAAATTGCTGTTTCTGTGAATCATGGGCTGGGAAATATTTATCGAAATCCGAATTGGATGGGGTAAGAAGATCATTAGCACCACCGGCAATCAAGATCCGATTTTCCCCATCACTTTCCACTAAAATGGTGGCTACCCCAGTACGCACACCGTTTTCTACCGTCACCTCAGAAATGTCAACCGCTTCTTTTTTCAACGAATCAAGTAATTCCGTGCCAAATGAATCATCGCCAACTTTACCAATCATCCTAACGGTATATGTGTCGTTGTTCTTGACAGTAGATGGTAATAGACGGCCAAGTGCAAGAGCCTCGTTGAACCCTTTCCCGCCAGTATGAGTTTCGAAACTATCAGCCTTAATCGTTTCCCCACCCTGTGGGACCCGCGAGGTAAAGGTGACAAGATCATAATTAAGTGATCCAATAACTGTGAGAATGGTTTTGGTCATTTGTGATTGTGAATAATGTAATAATATTGGTACTTTCTAGTAATTTATATGTCTATATTTATAATGCTTTTTGTTCAGATCCACCAGATATTAATATTGTAACGAAGAACAATCAAAAAACGGACTTTAAAGTTCTGGGGAAAAAAAAAAAAAAAAAAAAAAGAAAGAATTCAGGTGACGTAATTCTATCGGCCATCAGGAATGGGGATGGTATTAGCTAATATCTTGACTATATCGTCTTGATAAGGTGGTATTTCTGATTATATAAAGCGTATTATATTTCGATAATCTGAGAGATCCTTGAATTGTTGTTGTACTATAGAATAGAATGCACAAATGAAAACATCCTTGACAAATAAGTATCCAGGATGCGTGAAACACTAATAAAGTCACTGGTGATAATTGTTAGAAAAATAACTTAATCTCCTCCTTCTCAACATTATCTACCTTTTTTTTTTTTGGAACTCCACGTCACAGCAATGCTCTCATAACATTTATAATCATACTTTGAGTGCTTGGTTGAACTTAGGGTTCTGCTACTGGGTGATTTCTCAGTTTAATTCTAAGTTACGTCTTACGCAAAGTACTGGTTCTGTTATTGTGCTTTATGGATAGTTTGAATTATGTTAGTCTTCAGAAATGTGTGTAGCTAATGTCTCATTTCGTGATCTTTCCTATAAATACTTGTGTTGTGTAAATGGCTAACCATAATAATAAAAAGTTCGATATTGTAATTTTGAAGTGGACTATTTGCATCACTGTAGAGTTTGTGTTTTTCTTTTTCTTTTTTTCTATTTATGAAACAAATATACGTGAAACAACCACAACCATCGTCAATTTAATAAGGGTGTGAATCGTATTTTATTGTAGTGTATCCAACACGATAATACAAAGTCGCGACTCTATTTGATAGATATTCCACTCATGCTGCTAGAATGGGACGATCATCAATGAGAAAATTAAATCTAACAACATTAAGAACCAAAACAATTACTATTCATTTATTGACCATTGCTCATCCCATTCTTTTTGTTGTTGTTGTTGTTGTTTTAGCTGCTGCACCACACGTATTTATCTACTTATCCGGTCTACTGAGACAGAATTGATCACCAGCCAAATACCTCTTCAAGCGGGATTTTGCCAGATTTATTTGCTAGTCGAAGTGCAGGGTTCTCCCTGACCAACAGGTGCGTTCCAGCACATTTCACCGACCCCCGTCTACTCATCATGCATCACACTATCTCGTGAATAGCCAGCCTGCAAATCCTGTCAACCTCCAATAAATACTCGAAGCTTTTCCTTGTATATAAAAAAGGCTAAAAAAAAAAGAAAAATTTTGTTTAGTCTGCCTTCAGTTAACCTTTTCATTGGTATTAGCTACTAAAGATATACACGTTCTGAAGAAGTAAAAGAAAAGTGAAGGAAGATACTCAAGATGTCTATGCCTGGGTCAGCCATTAGAGGGCCTCAACAAGAAGATAATATTGCCCTCAAAACTGGAGCTTCTACGCCTCTTCCTCAAGCCGAAAAGTTGAAGCTGTCTGCCCGCTCAAGGAAGTCTTATCAATTATCAGGACAACCTCCAATCGATAAACCACCTCGCGACCTTTTCAACCGTGTCACGTCATTTGTGGACGAGAAAATGGGACAAATCCCTAGTCCAATGGAGCTCCATCGTCCATCAGAACCTTCTTATCATGAAAATAATCGTTTCCACAATGTCAAACTAATGCTCATCAATAAAGTTCTCGAATACCCTTTTTTCGAAACCCCGATATTTTTCATCAGCCTCTTTGGTATTCCAGAAAATGCGTTCACTCTTGGATCTTTTCTTCAACTTTTCCAAATGGCCATTCAAATCGCCACTATCTGCTTGTGTGCTCAATCACTTAAAAATGACGATTATGAAATCCAACACAGAATCTGGGCTTTCCTCATTGCTCAATCGTCAATTATTTTGGCAGTGGCTACCCTTTTCACCTTCCGTGTACTTCGCTTGGGAAATAATGGTGCCGTTTTATACAGTCTCGTCAGTGCTTGCCTCGCGTTTGCTGCGTTTGGTGTGGCCCTTGGGATCCTTATGCCAACCGAATGTACCAATGAAGTTATGTACTGTCGTATGAGACGTGCCACTACTGGTCTTGTGTCTCTTAGTGCTTTCCTTTGGCTCATGGAACTTGTGATCTTTATTACTATTGTCTATGTGGCTCGTCTTAACATCATCCCAGATCCAAACGATGGGATGTATGAAGGGTTCGTTATTCCATTCAGTGCTGGAAATGAAACTTATCCTCCAAAGGGCGATGATCACCGTTTCAGTGGCTCTGTTTACCCTCAAAGCGAAATCACTAATGTCGGTGAGCCACATCAATTTCTCAAGACTCCTGCCTCCTTGATCACTCCTCAAGCTCCAATGGAAATCGCTTCATCTCCTGAGCCTCCTGTGATGAGAAGATTAATTATCACAGAGGCTGGTCTTGAACCAGTTCACAGTGATTCTCAATTAGAAGGTCTCAAACCAATTGTACTCTACGCTAATCCGGAACAAGCTTCTACTGAAGAAGCGGCTGAACCCCAGCTTTAAATCTAATATGTTTCATTAATCATTTCGTCATAAATATTTCCTTTTGCTCTGTTGTTTTGTCAGCTCATTTCCTTTTTATTCTATTTTTCTTAATCATATCCATATATACTAGCAGATGTGTTTATACTCCTCGCCATTACATTGCATTTCCATTTTCCCAATTAGTTCCAATTACCCAGTTAATATAAACAAAAAACAGTATGGCTTCTTTGATTATAAAACATTGTAATTGTTTTTTTAAGATTTCAACGCAGTAGTAGATTGGGTATTCAAAAAGTAGAAAAAAAAAAAAAATGAAAAATTTGGTTTGTGAATATCTAAAGAACCTTAGAAATATGGAACAGACCTTCTTAGCACATTTCTTGGGTATATCTCTCAGAGGTACAAGAAAAATTGACACTAGCATTATTTCTTCAGTATCACCTGAGTCAAAAGATACTAGAGAATTAATTATACCCCGCTGATATGGCATATTATGGCCAACGGTATGTTATTATGAAAAAAAAAAAAGTTAATAAGCTGTTCCGTATCAATGCACTTCTAGGAGCAGCAAAACTTTTGACGTTAATCTCTTATTGTAGATTTAATCGCATTACTAAATTATATTATACCGCATTTAAATATATTTCTATTCTTATTATTATTATTCTTCTGCGAATACTAAACTCAAATACATCACAGTTTCTGGGTGTTAAAATTGTCTGTCTCTTTTGATTAGCCGCCTCTTTACAAGAAATGTTTCTTTCAAGCCTGCAGGTTTTGTGGCAAACCATCTAAATAATTATATATTTTCAAAGGGAAAAAAAAAAAAAGAAAATTCTCATTCTCATTCTCATCTTCAAAACTTAGTATAAGTGATTTTCCTCTATCCCGTATTTGGAGAAATAACTGAATACAATGGTAATCCTTTTGTTCCTCGTTTGTTATATATGGTGTGTTACCGCCGTTGAAGAAAATCTTGAATTGCTTCATTCCAAAATTAAGGTCCACTATAATCAAGTAATTACTAATGATATCGAAGCAAGCTTCACAAATGAAAGGAAATCTATGTCTTCCACAAGATCTATTATTCTTTCTGAAAACTATCTTTCAGATCCTGATCAACTTATCACGCTTGGTCTATCTGGACTCATTAAAAGTTCATATTCAATTAGTGTCCTAATGCCACCAAATAGCACCCAAACCACAAGTTACTTGGTTCCATCTGGATCCCAGCTCTTAATGGTGTTTTATATAGATAATGGCTTCGTCACTGAAATTGATGATACTGAACCTTTCACACCTCTTTGTATTGCAAAGTATTCTTGGCTTCAAGAGGTCTTCGCGGTTATTCCTTACGATTACATTGAAACTAATTTTGATGTTGATGCGGCTGAAATCATTTCCCAATTAGATAGCAGTGCTCCTGAAAGTTTGCATGCAAATATGAACTTAGACAGTATGCCTTATTTTGTAATGGCGTTCAAGACTGAGGCTCCCTCACCAATTTTCAATCACACTCAAATGGAAAGAAATAATTCTTACATGTTTAAAGAATATAATGACAGTAGAACATACCTTGACATGATAGCAAGTCAATGGACTGATAGATTCGGCATTGACTCGTTTGCACGTACCAATTATTGCATCATAAATGAAACCCAAGGGAATTGCTTAAACATAGATGAGATAGATGGAACTATCAACGTTTCTCCTTTTGAAATCGAAAATACCAGAAAAAAGAGAACCGTGAAAGATGAGAAATTTGATTTGCAAAAAATGAATATTGAAATTCAGAAATTGAAAGATATTGATATAAATCAAATGGTGGATGGTGATGAAAAGATCATGAATATTGTAGAACCTGGATTAGAAAATAACCAGTTTGCAAAAAGGTCAAGAGTAAAAAAGGCATTGAAACCAGAATCTCAAGATTTAAAAGAGCTTAGAGAAAGTCTACTTTACTCAAAAGAGACAATTGCAAGTATTTTCAATTCTTTGAAAAAAATGACTACTGAAAATCTTAGTGAAAGTACTCGACAAAACCTCACCAACTTTGGCAAGAAGGTAGGGGATTTATTGGCAACTGGGGAATTTAAATTATCCATTCAGGTAAACAATGACAGCAAGGGAATGGAATCCAAAACATATTCCCATGAATTGAACATTTAGACTAGTTTATTATTCAAATTATTTTCATATGAATAAATACTGAACAAGAGGTTTCCTAGCAAATGACTTTCAGCAACCCCGTTATTTCTATTACGTGTTTCAATTCTATTTGAGTTCCACAAGATATTTCATTCTATAGATTATTATAACTTTTTCTTATTAACTAAATTATTGATTATTGGGGACTTCATCTTCCTATCTTATTGTGGAAGTGATAAACAGTACAGGTTATCCAAAAAACTAGAAATATCAGTAATAATTGACAGTACGGTATGCATTTCCGGCATAAACTATCATAACGTCAACTGATTCTCAATCATGATATTAATAACCAAGAATTCACTACGCTATTTCATTGGATAGCACTTCTTCTTATCTAAGCCAGCAGCCCACACCTAATAAATTATAACATTGAAGATAGTAGTATGTTCCCACTATCGCGTCTTACCATATCGGGTACTTTCCATCGATTCAGAAGGTTACCCGATATGCAGTGTATGCGATTTTCCTTTTTTTTTTTTTTATTTTCTCAGTGAAATTGATGATGTCTTCCCATTCAGTTGACCTATATTACAGGTTATTTCAAATAGAGAAATAAACATTTGAAACCATGTCAAAATTGATTATTGCCGGCAAAGGCCAACCGCTCGCTTACGGTGCCCTTATTGCTGCATCTCTTGTGAACAACGCTCATAAAGACGCTATTGCTGTTGAATATGTTGACGAAAAGTCTGCTTCTAAACAATCTAAAGATGCCAATGCGGTTTTGAATGATTCTACCATCGGTAGCGGTGCCATCATTGCTGCTCTTGCCTCCAAGTACCCAGATGTGTTTGGTACTGATTCAACCGAAATCACTCACTGGCTCGAATATGCCACCAAACTTACCACCAAGAATTTCAAGGAATTATCCGAAGTGTTGAAAGTTCTCGAATCCCACTTAAATTTCAGATCTTACATTGTTGGTTACGCCACCACTGCTGCTGATGTTGCTATCTGGGGTAACTTGCGTGCTAACCCAATTGTCGGATCTATCATTAAGAACAAGGTTTTCATCAATGTGTCCCGTTGGTACGGTTTGGTGGAAAGTAACGCTACCTTTAGCGGTGCTGCTGAATTGTTGACCAAATCTCTTGGGGAGTTGCGTAAGAAATCCACTGGAGGTAAGAAAGAAGGTCACAAGGCCAATTTCGACATTGATTTGCCAGGTGCTGAAATAGGTAAGGTTGTCACTCGTTTCCCACCTGAACCATCTGGATACTTGCACATTGGACATGCTAAGGCCGCTATTTTGAACCAATATTTCGCCCAAGCTTATAAAGGTAAGTTGATCATTAGATTTGACGATACCAACCCATCGAAGGAAAAGACCGAATTCGAACAATCCATCATCGAAGATTTGGAATTATTGGGGATTAAGGGTGATATGCTCACTTACTCTTCCGACTACTTCCAAACCATGTACGACTTGGCAATTAAAATGATCAAGGAAGGTAAAGCTTATTGTGACAACACTCCTCAAGAACAAATGAGAGCCGAAAGAATGGATGGTATCAAATCTGCCAAGAGAGACGCCACTGTCGAAGAAAACTTGAGAATTTTTGAAACCGAGATGAAGAATGCCACCGAAGTTGGTCAAACTTACTGTTTGCGTGCTAAGATCTCTTTTGATTGTCCAAACAAGGCTCTCAGAGATCCAGTTATTTACCGTTGTAACTTGACCCCACATCACAGAACCGGTACCGCTTGGAAAATGTACCCAACTTACGATTTCTGTGTTCCAATTGTTGATTCCATTGAAGGTGTCACCCACGCTTTGCGTACCATCGAATACCGTGACCGTAACCCACAATACGAATGGATGCTCAAAGCCTTGAACTTGCGTAAGGTTCACATTTGGGATTTCGCTCGTGTCAACTTTGTTAGAACTTTGTTGTCCAAACGTAAGTTGCAATGGTTTGTCGACAAAGATTACGTCAGTGGTTGGGATGATCCTCGTTTCCCAACCGTCCGTGGTGTTAGAAGACGTGGTATGACCGTTGAAGGGTTGCGTAACTTTGTTATCTCCCAAGGTCCATCCAAGAATATCATCAACTTGGACTGGTCTTTGATCTGGGCTGTTAACAAGAAGGTCATTGACCCAGTGGCTCCACGTTACTCTAGTGTGGTGAAGGAAAATGTTGTTACTTTCAACATTGCCGATGGTCCTGCCACTCCAGTCATGGAAGAAAAGCCAAAGCACAAGAAGAACCCAGCTGTTGGTAAGAAGCCAGTGTACTACTACAATAAGGTTTTGATTGATCAAGCCGATGCTGAATTGATCAAGGATGGCGAAGAGCTCACTTTGATGGACTGGGGTAATGTTATTGTTGACAAGGTCCACAAGGATGCCAACGGTATCGTCACTTCTACTGATGGTAAATTGCACTTGGAAGGTGATTTCCGTAAGACCGAAAAGAAGATCACCTGGATTGCCGATGTTCCAGAACAAGTTATGCCAATTGAAATGATTGACTTTGACCATATGATTGTCAAAGACAAATTGGAAGAAGGTGACAACTTTGAAGATTTCATCACTCCAAAATCAGAATTCCACACCTTGGGTTATGGTGATGTCAACATCAAGAGCTTGAAGGTTGGTGATATTATTCAATTTGAAAGAAAGGGTTATTTCAGATTGGATAAGCAAGCCTCTGAAGGCAAGCCAGCTGTGTTCTTCACCATCCCAGATGGTAAGACTATCAACAGATACGGTAACAAGAAATAGATTATCTTATGTAGTTTTTAGATCTAAATGAAATGATTTCCCATATATTATTATTATTATTATTATTATTATTATAATTATTCTTGTTGTGTTATTATGTAACATCATGTATCGTAGCGCATACATCGCGAGGGGGAGGACCAACAAACTCTAATTTTTTTTCTACGGTTACGCACCGATGGCGGGGCACCACGACTTTCTTTCCAGATTTTTCTGTTTTGTTGGAGGTTTTTCCATTCTTTCTTCTCTTTCCCTCCAGACCTACAGTTGCTCAGCAATACAAACATATACACACAATGGTCTACTCTGTTCACCAAATCGGTGCTAAAAACACCTTGGAATACAAGACTTACATTGCCAAGGATGGTAAGGTCGTCTCCCCATTCCACGACATTCCTCTTTATGCTGATGAATCCAAGAAGATCCTCAACATGATTGTGGAAATTCCACGTTGGACTAACGCTAAGATGGAAATCTGCAAAGAACAAACTCTTAACCCAATCATCCAAGACACCAAGAAGGGTAAGTTGAGATTTGTCAGAAACTGTTTCCCTCACCACGGTTACATCCACAACTACGGTGCTTTCCCACAAACCTGGGAAGACCCAAACACCGCTCACCCTGAAACCAAGGCCAACGGTGATGACGATCCTTTGGATGTTTGTGAAATTGGTGAAACCGTTGGTTACACTGGTCAAGTCAAGCAAGTCAAGGTTCTTGGTATCATGGCTTTGTTGGACGAAGGTGAAACCGACTGGAAGGTCATCGTCATTGACGTCAACGACCCATTGGCTCCAAAATTGAACGACATCGAAGATGTTGAAAGACACTTGCCAGGTTTGTTGCGTGCCACTAACGAATGGTTCCGTATCTACAAAATCCCAGATGGTAAGCCAGAAAACCAATTTGCTTTCACTGGTGAATGCAAGAACAAGAAGTACGCTGAAGAAATCATTGCCGAATGTAACGAATCCTGGAACAAGTTGATTGGTGGTAAGATCGAACCAAAGGAAATCCAATTGACCAACACCACTTTGGCCAACACTGAAAGCTACTCTGCTGAAGCTGCTTTTGCTGTCCCACCAGCTGATCCAAAGCAAGATGCCCCAATCGATGCCTCTATTGACAAGTGGTTTTTCATTTCTGGTGCTAGCGCCTAAGCGGGTCAAAAAAAAACAACAACAACAATAGTAACAACAATTTCTTAATAAAGCAAATTGTATTCAGATTTTGAGTTGACCAGTTTATATAATCATGTATTAAAATTTTTCGTTTAAAATAACATGACACCTTTTATTAAATTTTACAACCTTTGATTTTACCTGTAGATTTATCATTACATACATTGAAAAAAGAAAAGGAAAAAAGAAACGAACAAACAAACAAACTATCTATTGGTATTAATCATTCTCTGACTTGTCTAATGAACTGTTCAATTTTCACATTGTCCTTTCTTTTAGCGGTTTCAATACCACTACTAACATCAACACCAATCACCCCATTGACCCTTTTTGCCAACGCCACATTGTCTGGCGCCAATCCCCCGGCCAACATGAATTTTATCGTCCCATTCGCATTGATTTTATCAATCAGTTCCCAATCTAAGGTTGTCCCTTCACCTCCAACAGCGCTGTCCAATAACACAAGCAAGTGTTGACCATTGACACAAATTTCATTGGTAAGTTTTTCAGAATCCTGGAGGTCTTGTACGAGGTATCGAGAAATAACGGGGATCCCCAATTTTTTGAGTTCTTTAACGTATTCAAGCTTATTTTCTGACCCGTGAAGCTGCACAATATCCAAATTGGTGGCGTTCACTGCATCAACGATCTCTGGTATTGATTGGTTTTGGAACACCCCAACTAAAAAAGGTCCATTATTTGCCAATTGTTCCTGTACCTTGGTGAAATATTCAGCACCAGAAGACGCAACATCACCAGAAAGCACAGACTGGAAGAATTCAGTTTTATTGAAATCAGGGTTTTTAACAAGTCTAGCATCGTGGCATCGTTGGGAGATGTCTTTGGCTACTTGGTGATGGACGGTTCGACTTCTACCAGGAACGAAAATTGCTCCTAGAAGATCTGCACCATTATCAATAGCACACTGGGCAGCGTCGATGGTCTGGAGACCGCAAGTTTTAGCAAGAATCACCATGTTTTTATCTGATATATTATTAAATTTTTTATTTTTTATTATATCAATGAAGACTTAATTAACAAAGAAAGAATCAAACGAAAGAAAAAAAAAAAAAGGGTTTTGTAGTCATCGGGGGTGCACCACCCGGAACAATTATATAAGCTGTAAAAAAACAGCCAGGAAAAAAGTGACATCAGACAGGAATTTAATAACAATTTGCAATCACATTATTGTATTCGTTCCATTTATTTTCATTATCTATTTTCTGGGGGGTATATTTCAAACTCATTCAGAGATATTCCTGGATTGTCCATTTTTCATATTCCATTTTTCTCTGTTTTGATCGAAAATAATATCATAAATGTTCAAGAGGCAGAAGATGATAAACGGTAGAGACGAATCATCAATTACTCCAGCGTTGATCAGTCAAGGACCGTTTACCATAGAAGATTTTGAAGGAGGGCTTCAGAACCTTGAACAGCTACATTCCAAGAAGATTCTCGTGTTGGGGGCTGGTGGTTTGGGATGTGAGATTCTTAAGAACATGGCCCTATCAGGGTTCAAGCACATCGATGTCATTGATATGGATACCATTGACATCTCCAATTTGAATCGTCAGTTTCTTTTCAGAACAAAAGATATTGGCAAATCCAAGGCGATTGTTGCCTGTGAATTCATTAGGAAAAGGGTAAAAGACGTCAATGTGACCCCCCATTTTGCGAAAATTCAAACCATGGGGGACGATTTCTTCAAACAGTTTGATTTGATAATTCTGGGACTCGATAACATCGAAGCCCGTCGCTGGGTGAACTCCCTTGTGATTTCCTTATACGATGTCAATGATGATGACTCGCTTATACCGATGATTGATGGCGGTACAGAAGGGTTCAGGGGTCAATCTAGGGTGATTTTTCCTAGACTCACCGCGTGTTATGAATGTACTTTATCCCTTGCCCCAGCAGTGAAGACACAATATCCAGTATGTACCATTGCCAATACTCCAAGATTGCCAGAGCATTGTATCGAGTATGTGAATTTGATCGAATGGCCGAAACAATTCCCCGATAAGAAGTTCGATGCCGATAATCCTGACGATGTCACCTGGCTTTATGACCGATCGTTGGATCGTGCCAAACAATTCAACATTTCTGGAGTGACAAGATCGCTAGCCTTAGGAGTGGTCAAGAACATTATTCCGGCAATTGCCTCTACCAATGCCATCATTGCTGCCAGCTGCGTGAATGAGGCATTCAAAGTACTTACCAGTTGTAATCCAAATTTGGAATATTGTATGCAATATTCTGGTGATAATGAACCATTCACATTTAATTTTGCTCCGGAACAACAGGCAGATTGCCCTATTTGTGGATGAAAATGTTATTTTTGGTTGCTTTAAATAGTAAGGATGTTTTGAAATGAAGGAGATCTTAGGAAGAGGATATATATATATCAACATATATTCCCAAGCAAACTTCCTCACAGTACACAATTCTTTTACAATTTGTAATATATAAATGCTTGGGTATGTCTATGAATTATTGTAGTACTAAAGTGTATTATGGAAAAAAAAAAGATTGAATGAATGAGAAAAAAAAAGACAGAGGGAGAGAAATTTGGAAATTCCGTAATCAGCCTCCTAAAAAACTCTGGCGTTGAATATGAGCATTCAACCTGGCCTGGTTAGCTGAATGTAACACTTGAGACAATCTCTTTGCTGACGCAGGATCTTTTTTCAGAACTTGCATAAAAAGTTGTTGATACTGTGGTACCATATTATCAACAAATTCTGTAGGTTTTTGATTATTAGAAAATTCTACCGACATTCTTTTTTGTTGAGATTGACGTTGAGGAGGAGCGCTAGTCACCGGAGCATAGTTAGCTTGATGGTAAGGTCTAGAGTAATTTTTGGATACACTTTGTTGACCTTTTTTCTCCAGATATTGAAGGGCAAGACATTCTGATGGAAGTTGATTCTGAGAATCATTTTCCGGGTATGGAAGGGCTGCTTGAGCTTTAGGATGATATTTTAGATGGTTTGTTCCCAAACCGTCATTGGCGGGGTATGGAAGATTCATAAGAAGTGAACGACGATATGTTTGAGGGTCCGTCAGCGAAGAAAGTTCATTGACAGGATAAGGAAGAATTGAATTATGGTGATCGGTTTTTGGAGGCACCATTTGACAAGAAGAAGTTGGACGGGGTACGATAGAGCTCTGAGGTGGCGGAATTCTGCGATATTTCTCTGGAGATGGTTCAGGTTTTGGAGATTCAACCACTGCACGCCGAGGCAGTCTTGGAGGTGGCAATCCTTGTTGACGAGGAGGCGGCAAAGGTAAATTTTTTTGAATCAGGAGGTTGGAAACATTCTTTTTCTTTTGACGGTGGTCGTTTGCTTCTGGAGAGCAATGCTTGGGGGTCATTAATAGAGGAATATCAGAGTTGCAACGCATATTGTTTGTGGCATATTGCTGTTTCTGCTGTCGTTCTTTTTGAAGTTCTTGTTCGACCATATATCTTTGGTATTTCTCCAACCCATCAGATTTTCTATTTTCCGATCCTGTGTCACATTGTGGTGAGATATCATTAGTATTGAATAAGTCCTCTAACAATTGACTTGGTGGTCTCGCATGTTTGATTTCTGTTTGATCTTGAAGCAATTCCGAATTTCTGATTGATATGACTGATACCCGTTTTGCGGCCTCTTTAGATAATTGGTGCTCAGGTCTTGCGAAGCTCGGTGAGTTGTTACCTGGAGCCGATCTGGCGGGTGAAAGACAGTTGGATTGAGAAGGTGACGATACGTCGGCAATGGTTGGTGGTACACTTTGGATGGGTGATAAGAAATTGAATTCGTCTTCATGATCATGCTGAACTTTCTTCACCATCAATTCCGTCAACGGAGACACATACATCGATGCTTGTGAAAGACGTTTTTGTCGTTTAATGTCTGATTCAGTGCAGTTGTTATTCACGGTGAGTTTTTTACCCACTGGGGCGTAAATGTCGTCAGTGAGCTCATTGATACTACCACTGATAGAAGACCCTTTAAGAGTGGTGTCGAATGAGTTTAAACTTTCTGAACCATCACTATAATAATAGAGTTTGCCCTTAGAAGCAAAGCTGTTGGTAGTGATAGGAATGATATTGTAACTGCCAGTTTTCTGGATTATCTTTTTTTCCTCACGGGCTTTACGATTGGCGTATGCACATTGACAAAGAACAATAATAAGCACCACTGAAAGTATGGCTCCAAGGACCGATCCAATAATAATGAATAAGAGATCATTGGGGAGTCGCAGGTGTTGGTTAGCGATGAACGGGTTATTCACCGTCGGAACTTGTACACTAACGGGTGTCACGGTGGTATGAAGTGTGGGCATGGCATTATATGTTGAAGTGATGGTCACGACAACCACCGCACCAACTTGGGCCATGAGCCGGAAGATGGCAGCTTTGATGCCTAGTTTTGGTACCATAAGGAGAGGATCAACGAGACCTTTTCTTTCGCAGCTTTTTTCTTCTTCTCAAAATTCATGTCTGATTTATTTTTGTCACAGAAAGGTCTCAAGCCCTGATATTTATTGGTTTCTATCATTATTGTGGAGGCACACCTTGCTGTGTCCCATTCCACGGATCTCTCCATTGGCATGTTGTGAAATGCTGCAGAATCCAAGTTTCACCACCGAGATTCAGCGGGTGCGGCACCCTGTCAGGAGGGATGGTAACAAAAGATATCCACGGGAATAGACAATATCAAATAGAAATAAACTGGTATTTTGCCATTCATGAATGAGGGTATCTGAGATAATGCAATGATGTGGAATCAGAATACTTTAATGGGAAACTAAATGAGAAAGCGTGGAGAAGGAGTTTGTAGAGGTACCGTACCGTGCGTGCAGTGAGCGTGTGCGATAGATAACGTCAAAGGAAATCAACAATAATTTTCAGTTTTTACACAGCACGTCGACCTACCATGGCCCCAGAATCCATACTTTTCAGATCGATCCCCATTTTTGATGTGCCAAATACTTGAGCAGCCATGAAGCTTTGATACTAAAAGTTATCGCTATCAAACAATTTTGACGATTATAGTTGAAATGTTAATATAATTGGGAATGCGTTAATGCAGACCAACGGAGTGGTACCATCCCATTACCACCCAAAGCTTAGTTTTTTTGACAAAGAATTTCTATAATTGGGAATGATATTGAGATGGTGACGGTTAATCATTGAGAGAGAGAGTATCCAATGAAATGATCCATGAGGACAATCTTTTTGGAAAGTTTCTGTCAAAAATATTTTTTGGCCATTGGTGAAAAAGTCCCAGTTTTAATATTTTTTATTTTATGGTTTAATTTCATTATTTTAAAAACTAATCAAGCAAAACTAGATCATGATTTATTTATTTTGGTTATAATATGAATAATTAGTTATGTATGCTGCCTTTTAGATCTAGATTATTGAGAAAAGAGTGTATTATTTGATGCATTGACGTAAGATTTTTGAGATTTAAGGGTGATATTAGAGATCATTATTTCTCATTGAAAGAAGTTCAAGACTTCTATTCAAATTGAGGTAAATCCAAATCAAATACACCAAAGAGACTGTATTGTTGACCATCGGAAAGTCTTAATAGCCATTGCAACATGTGCTTGAAATCTGCTACAGAATAAACAACAATTTGAGTGTAAACTTATATATATCAAATGTAATATGAATTGAAACAATGAAAAAAAAGATGACAAATAATAATAATAAAAAAAAAAATAGAGTATTTCAAGTGTGGAGAAAATTAGCAGTTATAATGTGGGGAAGAAATATATATATATAAACAAGATTAGTAAACTCTCTTACCAGGAGGAACGGTCTTACATTCATTTTCGTCCAAGGTCTTAGAAATGACATTTCTGTAAGCCAATTTGACTGGATCACCAGTATTCTTTTGCCATGACAAGGAGTGCTTCATCCAGTTGACATCATCTCTTTCTGGGAAATCTTCTCTAGCATGGGCACCACGAGATTCTTTTCTAGCGGCGGCAGAGTTGGCGGTTTGAGTGGCACAAGTCAACAAGTTTTCAAGTTCAAGAGTTTCCACCAAGTCAGAGTTCCAGATCATAGATCTGTCGGTAGTACCGACATCCTTGAAAGTCTTGTCGATAGCAGTAATACCCTTGACACCTTCGTCCAAAGTTTCTTGGGTTCTAAACACAGAAACATCCCTTTGCATAGTCTTTTGCATGGCCAATCTGATTTCAGAAGTTGGTTTTGGACCACTAGCGTTTCTAATCTTGTCCAATCTTTCAATAGAGTGTTTGCCGAGTTCGGCATCCAAAGGCTTGTGTGGTTTACCTGGGGTCAAGGAGTCTCTAACAGTATGGGAGACAGCTCTACCAAAGACAACTAAATCCAACAAAGAGTTAGCACCCAATCTGTTAGCACCGTGGACGGAAACACAAGCGGCTTCACCACAAGCCATAAGACCTGGAACAACCTTGTCCTTACCTTCTTCATCGATGGTCAAAACTTCACCGGTCCACTTAGTTGGGATACCACCCATATTGTAATGAACAGTTGGCAAAATTGGAATTGGTTCCTTAGTGACATCGACACCAGCGAAAATAGAAGCAGTTTCAGAAATACCTGGCAAACGTTCTTTAAGAACTGAAGCTGGCAAGTGAGACAATTGCAACAACATGTGGTCCTTTTCTGGACCAACACCTCTACCGGCTCTAATTTCCATGGTGATGGCTCTGGAGACGACATCTCTGGAGGCCAAATCCTTGGCGGTTGGAGCGTATCTTTCCATGAATCTTTCACCTTCAGAGTTGATCAAGAAACCACCTTCACCTCTGGCACCTTCGGTGATAAGACAACCGGAACCGTAAATACCGGAAGGATGGAATTGAATGAATTCCAAATCTTGCAATGGCAAGCCAGCTCTAGAAACCATAGCGAAACCATCACCGGTACAAGTGTGAGCAGAAGTACAACTGAAGTAAGCTCTTCCGTACCCACCAGTGGCCAACACGGTCTTGTGAGCTCTGAATCTGTGCAAAGTACCATCTTCTTGGTTGTAAGCCATGACACCGACACATTCACCGTTTTCCATGATCAAATCCATGGCAAAGTATTCGATGAAGAAATGGGTGTCGTGTCTAAGGGACTGACCGTACAAAGAGTGCAAAAGGGCGTGACCGGTTCTGTCGGCAACGGCACAGGTTCTGTAAGCTTGACCATCATGACCGTAGTTTCTGGCTTGCCCACCAAAGGCTCTTTGATAAATTCTACCTTCTTCAGTTCTGGAGAATGGGACCCCGAAATGTTCCAATTCATAGATAGAGGCTGGGGCTTCTCTGGTCATGTAGTGGATAGCGTCTTGGTCACCTAACCAATCGGAACCTTTGACGGTATCGTACATGTGCCAATGCCAGTCATCAGGGTGCATGTTACCAAGGGCAGCATTGATACCACCTTGAGCAGCGACGGTGTGGGATCTGGTTGGGAAAAGCTTGGAGATACAAGCGGTCTTGAACCCTTCGACAGCCAAACCAAAAGCGGCTCTCAAACCGGCACCACCGGCACCAACAACCACACAGTCATATTCGTGGTCGATGATGTGGTATTTTTCTCTCATGGATAAAGCAGCATTTTCTTTACCGTTGGCACTGGTACCGTTGGTGATGACAGAGTTGGCCTTCAAAGAGGAATGGAAAAGACGCTTTGATTGGGCGGCAACAGAAGTCTTAAAAAGACCAGAAGAACGCAACGAAAGCATTGTGAGTTGTTTTGCGTTGTGTAGAGAGTAGTATTATTGTTGTTGTGATAATAAAGACACTGGAAAAAAATGAAATCAACTTTTTCTTATTTTTTGGGGTCTATTTTTTCTATGTATGGGGTAGGATAGATAGATTACTTACTGTTTGCTATTCCACCAACAAGGAAAGAAGAAACAAGACAGAATGGCCGGGTGTAGTGGTGAAAGGTAATCCAATCAATGGGGCGGTTTTTATTGAGTAGGAGAAAGAAGTGTCTGTCACAACAATCATTCAGATCCTCCTCCTCCCCAGTAACTACTAAAATACTCGTTGAAAAAGCGACTCGGTAGCCGGTACCCGGGGGAGATGGCGGCCATTAATAAAAGCTCGTCGGCGATTGGCTGGCAGCCAAGGGCCCCCCGAGTCACATGACAATGTGTCAGCGTGACAGATCACGTGTGATAAACCCGCGGTCCTTTGCTCGCACCCGCCGTGTTGGTACAGACGAGGCTACCTACCGATCACACACACCCAAGTTCCAACATATATTATCACAACGTTTGGATGATACTCGCCAACTTACCCTTGTCGTACTTAATATACTTACTGCTATGCTTGGTGAACTCCCCGTTCGCATACTTCTCGTAAAACCGATTGTACAACGGAATCACAAAACTAATCTCCTTCACCAAATACTGTTTCAACTGTTGGTCCTTGATGCCATACGCCTTAAACCCTTTCACTAGCTCGTCAAACTCATTGTTGAAGGTCTTCCACTTGTCCTTAATCGCATCTTTATCCTTGGAGCTGATCTTGGTCTTCTTGTTGGTGCCATTATTGCCCCCAGTGATCACCGTGACATCCATAAGGGTACTCGCCAACCCTTTCCAACTGGTCAAAAACATGTTGAGTGCACGCTTCCGCAATTTCTCCAATCGCTCGTTTCCTGCAGTACCCAAAATACTGTAGATCTCCGATTTCTTCATCACTTGTTCGATCAACGTCAAATTCGTCATCAAAAAGTATCCGATAGTGCTGGTCTTCTTTGGTAATAGTACTTTGGCCTTGATTTCCAAACTGATCATTATCGCATCGATACAATCGCTGAAATAAGACGATAAGAGAAACTCCTTATTATTCTCATCGATCGGGGTGCTAGTGTTGATACTGGAAAATACCCCTAACCACTGAGGTTTTGGGCTAGGAATCCAAGTCCCAGGCTTCATGTCCCCAACAATGCTCAATGACGCTTGACGGTACTCAGAAAACTTCCGCATACGAGAGATGAGCTCCACGGTGCATTCACTGACCCCGTTATCCGAAGGCATGGTGATGATATTGGAAATACGAGTATCGATAAACTTGAGATATTCTCTAAACAAGTTCCCGGAAATCAGCTTAATATTATCGAATATGCTTTCAAGGCGTTTGACACTTTGATTATTGGAAGCAGTGGCATTGACTTTATCCAAAGCAGGACTGACTTTGAGATAACATTGGACCAACTCAAATGATAATACCCCTTCGGTCCCGTAGTTTTTATTAATGAAATCAATGATTTGTTGAACAATATTGACAAAGGTGCTGAAGATTGTCAGGAAGAGTTTTTCAAAGATTCGAAGCTTCTTGGCCGCGTTGAGCACCACGTTTTTAAGTTTTTGGTCGGTATATTTGATGTTGGAGAATATCTTGATGATTAAATCGTTTTCCGTCAACATAAACTGAATTAGCGCATCGGTGTAGTGGTTGATACCGTTAGAATTCTTTTCATACGGAACATTGGCACCTTTAGACAAAGGTTTGGTCGACGCTTCAAGAAATCCTAAACTTTCTGATACGTAGATTCGACGTTGTTCAATATAGATATTTTCGATTTCCAAGAAGTCGTCCACCAGACCAGCTTTCCCGCCAATTTTCTTGAAGTCAGCAAAATACTGGACAATCATCATCATTTTATTAATAACATTGTCATCTAATACCGGGAATGGTAAATTTTCGGTCATCACTTGGGTGGGGTCAAACGGTTTCAGGTACTTGATAATGCTATTTTTCGCAAAGATCAACAACTTGGCCTCTCCGTTTTTGATGACTTTGACAATATTATCAAACACTCCTCGGAATTCATCGATCTTAAGCATTCGCATATCGCTCAATACTTTTTTACTATCCTTTAAGCACTGTATATATTTCGGAAGGTTATTTTCAAGCACCAGAACATTTTCAAGCACCGCTTCATACTGAGCCACCGTCGACGCGCTGTCTTTTACTTTATCCACGAGCTTCAAGCACTCTTTTATGTTTCTTTGGTAGATCTCGAGTCTTCTACTATTATCTATCATTGGCTTGATCAATGTTTCTGAACGTTGTGACGTGTGGGCGATTTTCTTGAGCCCAAGGTTGACACTGGAGATCAATGCCCGCGACTTGTTGAGGTTCTCTTCCAAGATGGCGACATCTGCCTCGTCGACATCCACAATCATTTTTTAGTTTTCGTTTTTCCTATGGTAGTATATCTCAGGGAGATCAACGATTAACGATGATGATGGCCATCATCATGCCTTTTGACTGATGATTTGGGGTGGTACAACGATGTGTGTGTGTGTGTGTGCCGTCGCTCGCAACCTTTTGCCACGTATCCATCACATGACAGGTGCGTCGTGCAGATTTTTTCAAATTTTTTTTTTTTTTTTTTTCGTTTTTGGTTTTCAATGCGATAAACAAATCATCAATTATTGGTATTTTATACATTGGTGTATACTATATATCGTGATCTGGGGTAGAACACCATTACTGTCATTGTATTTCCCCATTTATACCAATATTTTTAAAGCATTGTGCTTCACTGACAAAAGCAGCCATTTCCTACATATTTGAGGAACATTTTTGCAATTTGCAGGGGGTGATTGTTGTTATCTATATTCCACTAATTACCCACACACATCGTTAATTGAAACCTTGGATTCCTTCTGGAAAAACAAAAAAAGAAAGAAAGAAAGAAAGAAGAAAAATAAATAAAGGAGCAAGAAGCAAGAAAATAAAAGTCTATACATATAATAATATCTTTGCCAGTTTCAATTTATCTGTACATTAGATAAAGTACGGCCGCCCTCCCCCTTAAACCCAATAATAACAACAACACACACACATATATATATATATATACACAAAATGTCAAACGACCGTCAACAAGAACAGAGTATGCTCTCTGTCCCAGTGATTGCCTCATCCCTTATTGGAGTATTTGTGTTTTGGTTTATCAAGCAAATTTTGGAAAAAAAGAATTTCGAAAACACTGCCAGAATCTTATCCGATAATTTCCAAAGAACCCAAGACTTGCAAGCCAAAGAACTTAAAGAAGAAATCAAATCATTACAAGCGCAAATCGATGCCAAGATCGATATCATCGAACAGAAAAACGTCCATATCAACTTGATCAATAAAGAATTCCACAATTTGCAAAAAAATTACAACCGTTTGAAGAAAGAATCGATTTTCTTGAAGGATCAACTTCATAATGCCCAATTGGATATTGTTGAATTCGAACAAGAGAATGTCAATTTGGTCAATCAATTAAATGATGCTTTGCAGCATATCAATTCGTTGGATCAATTAATTGAAAATGAGAAGTTGACCGACCAATCGATCTCCAAAATTGACGAAGAAGAGTTTATCCACGCAGAAACCACCCAGGAGAATTTCAGCGAATTGATGGCCGCTGCTGAATCTACTAAAAATATCATCACTTCAAGTACTGAAAAACTCACTACTAAACAAGTAACTGCTAAGTTATCCAGGAGTAACATTTCCATTGACAATCTTTATAAACGGAAGTTTGTGCCTCGTGATGACTTTTATGATGGGGATGACGATGATAATATCAGCGTCACTGAGTCCCATGAAAAGTCTAGCAGCAAACACAACTCTGTTGCGTCGGCCAGAGAATCAACTAAACAGTCAGACTTCCCAGAATCTAACAACAACATCGATCTTGATCAACCAGTAGAGAAAAAACGGGTTCTGAATATCGAGTTCGAAGAAGACGAAATTGTCAACGAAGAGAATACCGAAACTGCTAAAAACACCAATGACGATCATGATGGAGCCGAACTCCGTTCTTTCCCGCTGAACATCATTTACGATGAAAATATCATCACTAACGCCAACCCTCCATCACCAATGAAGTACGATTACTCTGCGCAACGTCGTGGGCACGCGAAAACTGAAAGTTCCTTTAGCCACCGTTCTTATAAGTCGGGAAAGTCTTCTAAATCGTCCAAATCAAACACTTCAAAGGTCATCATCAATCCCGACAATGGCAGTGAAATCATGGTGACTGGTCCAACTAATCTTAGACGTAATCGCAGTGCCGGGAAAAGTTTTGGGATATTCCATTTTGGTAAAACCAATAATCATAACACTGCCAACGAAGCACAACGTGAGCCAGAATCAATGATCACCAACGCTCATATGTACGATGTCGAAGACGATTACAAGTTCAAATGGGTCAGCGAGCTTGAAAACCTCAAAAACTCTGTCAGTCGTTCTAATTCTACTAAACGTAAATCTGTCGGCAGCAGTGGGTACGGGTACCATCATAACCACCACCAATTCGAAGACGAAATCGATGTTCCAGAAAAAGAAACTAAAACCGATGTTGCCAGCGACGTTTTGATGGTCGATTACCAACGTGGGGTGATCTATTCCAAGGATTACAATGCTTCTCTGAATTTGATCCCAAAACTTAGCAAAGGGAACAAATTCGGATTCAAGCGCAAGAGTGGTGACAAGGCCGCATTCGAAAGAAGGGCCGTCTCTTCTTCAACTTGAGTTATCCCTTTTTTTATTTTTTATTTTTTGTTCATTTATTCTTTTTTCTCTTTTGATATCATGATAAATTTGCGGATCTTTAGTATTTATTTGTCTGATGATTTGCTGAATCACTGACTTTTTGTTTGTTTTTTGTTTTCCTTTTCACCAATCACTTGTTGTTATTTGGTTTATCTTTGTTTTTTTGTTTCTTTTTTGTTGATGTTCTAAGATTTATCTCCCTTTTTTTTTTGTATCTCTCTAGTTTTCTTCAGCTTTTTCTCGTGCTAGTGCTCTTTGTTTGTTCTCGTTTATCAATCAGCTTTTTTTTATCATTATTATTATTATAGACGTCTTAGTTTCTTTGTTGATGCTTACAATTTTCTCTATTTGTTTTTATGGTTTCTATTATTACCCTCTTGGTTATTCTTTGTTCTTTGATAGATGAGTCTTTCCTCTCAAAAGACAATTATTCAATATCTAATATCTCTTCACATTTTCTTTAATCTGTGACAAAAGTTATTTTTACCCACTTTCAGTATTCACACCCCTGCCTTTTTCTTTTTCTATATTATATGCACTCTGGCGATAATCTGAAATACAATGTAGAAAATATGAGAATTCTACACACTGACATCTTCTCAAAAAAAAAACACAAAAACTATTAATATAAAGTACAACACATCGAGTATACAACGAACATGACGTGTATTTTTTTAACAAAGTTTAAAGTAAGATGAAAAGACAAGGACAAAAAAAAAAGAGGGAAGCAAGGTAATAAACCAAAGTTTATAATGTTTATCTTATTGGAATTGGGCTTCTAATTCATCACTGGAAACATCATCTTCACCAGTTTCCCTTTTAAGATTGTAATGTTGAATTGCATTTCTAATTTGTTCAAACAAATCCTTATCTCTACTGGCATCTTGAGCCGCAGAAATTGTGCTACGTCTGGAAATAGTTGGTGGGAGATTCGAAATTTCATCAGTAATGCCTCCTTGGTTTTCATCACCCAAATCAGAATGCAAGGTATGTCTTCTAGAAATAGGGAAAAGCCCCATCGATTCTTTAGTTGGGGACCCGTATCCCGAAGACATCAAATTAGCACTCGATTTGTAAGACCGACGTCTCATCAATTTACTGGAGAATGGACTAGCAGTTTCTTTGAACAATCCTTCTTCATCAAGGTATTGGGCAGTAATGGTTCTTGGAGTCTTTGGAGAACTGGTGGTGACACAAGAAATACCCACATCGTGAATTAACTTGGCCACCAACGCGGTCCAACCACATTGGTGCGACGCGCCTAGCCCTCTACCAGTATCCCCATCAAAATATTCATAGAATAAAACATAGTCTTTGAAATATGGATCGTAGTTATGCAAATCATTATCAGCATCATTGCATGCCCTAACATCCATTGAATCAGGAACAAAAATCCTGATAAGACGATGTTGAATGAATTCTGCAACTTGGGCCAAGTTCATCATATTTCCAGAACCTTTTGGACATTCCACTTGGAAAGTATTACCATAATACAAATAGAATCTTTGCAAAGATTCCACTAATAAGAAATTCACCGGGAACCAAATTGGACCTCTCCAATTGGAATTACCACCAAAAAGCCCACTATCACTTTCCCCAGGTAAATATTTCACTTCGTATTTTTGGTCGTGAACCACTTTGCTAAATGGATGTGCTTCATGGTATTTCGATAATGATCTGATACCGTAATGAGATAAAAACTCATCTTCATCAAGCATCTTTTCCAAAATCGCCTTCAATCTTTCCTTGTTGACTAGTGCCAATAATAAACGCTCACCAACCCCTCTTTCAGTGGTACTGGCAATATTACGTTTAGCAATATCACTTCTCCTTTCAAGTAAGAAATCAAGTCTGTGCTTGAACCCTGGGAATTTTTGTAACCATTCTGGTTCAATTGTCAAAGAAGCATACAAAGGAATCAATCCAACCAATGATCTAACCGGTAACAACTCTTTATAGCCATCTGGGTACTTAATGGCATCATAATAGAACTTATCGCTTTCATCCCATAATGACTTATCACCTTCTTCAGATTTATAAGTCATGGCGTCGGCAATCAACAAGAAGTGTTCAAAAAACTTCGAGGCAATATGCTCATAAACTTTTTTATCCCTGGCCAATTCTAAAGCAATATTCAACATTTGAAGAGAATAAAATGCCATCCAACCAGTAGAATCCGCTTGTTCTAAAACACCACCGGTTGGTAAAGGCTCGGATCTATTGAAAATACCAATATTATCAAGACCAAGGAATCCTCCTTCAAACACGTTATTCCCATCGGAATCTTTTCTATTGATCCACCATGTGAAATTTAAAAGTAACTTATGGAAAACCCTTTCCAAAAACTCCTTGTCTTGGCGTCCATGCATCTTTCTTTCCAATTTATAAACTCTAAATGCCGACCAAGCAAACACCGGAGGGTTCAAATCATCAAACGACCACTCGTAACTTGGGCAGGCCCCATTTGGATGTTGGTACCATTCTTTCAAAAAGATTTCGATTTGATTTTTAGCAAATTCAGGATCGATCATTGTCAAAGGAATACAATGGAAACAGGTATCCCAAGAAGCAAAGAAAGGATATTCCCATTTGTCAGGCATAGATAACACTTCATCACAATACAAATGTTGCCAGTGAGAATTTCTATGGTTGGCTCTGTTCTTTGGAGGCTTAGTTTCCGAGCCTCTATCACCATTGAACCAATAGTCCCAAATGAATTGATAATACTGTTTCGACCAAAGTAAACCTGAAAACGCTTGTCTTTGAACTTTTCTCAATTCAGGACTGATTGGCAAAGGAGAAATTCTCCAATAAAATTTATCCGCCTCATCTTGCTTGCGGCCAAACAATTCATCAAATTCCTCTTCATCAATATCTTCTACCAACAGTTTATTAGCTTCATCCACCGGGTAGAATTTATAACGAATGGTGACATGATCACCTGGCGGGATACCTCCATTTTCATCGAACGCAAACCAAGCACATGCTTTGGTACCTTGTTCCTTTGGGTTGACCACGCTTTCATCTTCCTCGATAATATAATCATGGAATGCGTCCTTAACATACTTGTATTCGTTTGGTTGTTTGTATAATCTCTGTTTGTTGGTTTCATTATCAGTGAATAAAAGTTTTGGTTCGACATCTTTGGAGATCCCTGCCGATGGTGCAAACACAACCCGTCTTTCACCAAACTTCCAATGATTCAACTTTATTGACGCCTCAGCCGATTCTTTTTGTAAATGTGGTTTTGGTCGATTTTCTTCTTCAATAGTGTTCCAACCCCAAGTATTTCTGAAAAAAACTTGAGGCAAAACATGAAGTGGTGCCGGTTGATCACCACGATTATAGGCGGTAATTCTAAAATTCAAAACTTCTGGGTCTTCATCGTCTTTGGCCAATTCGAACAAGATGTCAAAGTAGTTGTCATCGTCAAAGATTCCGGTATCTTTAAGTTCGAACTCGCGTTCTAATCTCGAGCGGGTAGTAGATTCTTTGATCAACTGTTCGTACGGGAATTTCTTGTGAGGGTACTTATACAAGTATTTCATATATGAGTGAGTAGGAACGTTATCAAGATAGAAATAATACTCTTTGACATCTTCACCGTGATTACCTTGAGGACCACCGACCCCATAAGCTTTTTCTTTGAGAATATCGTCATTTTCATTCCAAAGAGCAATGGAAAAACAAACCAATTGATGGCTATCAGCAACCCCTGCCAACCCATCTTCACCCCAACGGTAGACTCTAGACCTCGAATCTTCAAAAGTGAAATCACTCCAAGCGTTACCATCATGTGAATAATCTTCGCGGACTGTCGCCTGTGGAATTGGTTAGTTAGTCAGTTTTGTAGTTTTGTTGAACAAGTTGCTCTTATCAAAATGCTTACCCATTGTCTTTCACCCAAATATGGCCCCCAGCGTTTCCAGTACTTCTTTCTTAAACGGTCTTCCTCAAGACGGATGTCTTCAGCAGTCCCATTAAATATCGTCATTGTGATTGCGACTATAATGGAATAATCTTCTTAATGATAACAACAACAGTGATTGCTCATCCCTGACAAAACAAGCAAAATTAGACAGGGGGGAGATTTCTGGGGAAAACCCCAGCGATGCAGGGCGTCAAAAACATCACACGTGATCTGGAGGGAAAAATGTCAAAAATTTTGGGGGATTTTTTGACAGCATTGGCGGTGCAACGTTAATCATTATTTATTATTTGTATTTTGTTTGTTTCGATTGTAGCTATTCGTTGTGATTATAGGTATTTTTTAACAACAGCAGAGAGTAGAATAGAAAATAACCGAAGATGAACTGGTACTTTGTCAATGTACTGGGATTGCTGATTTATTTGCTATTGGCTGTGCTCTGTTTCTCTCCGCATATTTTGTAATAAGAACCATAGTCGTTCATAGGTTTAGATCAGGAGTATAGTGATTTTAAATATAATATAAATTCAACTACTTTGGGGATGATAAAAAGGTCAATTAAGGGAAATAACCATCTCATGGTTTAATACCTAACTATTTTACCGATAGGTGTTGGACTAGCCATTTGAACATTGGTTTACTATGAAAAATGAAATATGGAATACTGATGTACCATATATATAAGAATACAACCTACTAAATACTTACACTCCACCTTCACCACCAAGATTGAAGAATGGCAGCATAATCACCAGTGTCAGTGCCATCGCCATCATGATAAATTGCTGGACGCACACGTTATAAAAAAAAAAAAAACGTTGCAAAAAAGACCGCTTTGATAATAACGATGGTCTCGGTAATAATCACAATCACAATCAGTAGCAAGAGCGGGAGATAATAAAAAAAAAAGAATAGTCTGAAGCAATAGGTGATATCCAAATAATATAATAATACTAATACCCACGTACAAACAACGACAACAACAACAACAACAACAACAAAAATAATAAGACAAAAATACCAAACAAATGTCGTACTATCTTGCCCTAATAGGAACTCAAGACAATCCCGTATATGAAGCTGAATTCGGGACATTCAAACAGGGTGGTGATGGCAGTTCAAAAGTGAGTATCATCTTTATTGCCTCTCTTATTCATTCCTATGTTTTTTCTTCGTTGTTTTTCACAATCATTCATTGATTTTAAAGAAACTAGAAATAAAGATCTATATACACATATATCCTTGGTGATCCGCCGATTCTAACAAAAAAAACTCTTTTAGTTCTCGACGGAAATGAGGGAACTTAACCCGTTCATAATACATTCCTCGCTCGATATAGTAGAGGACCTTCAATGGGTGAAGAATTCTATGTACTTGAAAGTCATTGACAATTTCTATGGTTATTACATCAGTGCCTACGTCCTGCCTACCAACGTCAAGTTCTTATTGTTACATGAAGTCAAGAGCGAAGAAAGCATCAAACAGTTTTTCTTCGAGTTGAATGATTTATACGTGAAAACCTTGTTGAACCCTTTCTATAACGTCAATAATGTCATCAAGAGCACCAGTTTTGACTTGAAGGTGAAGGGATTGGCCAAAAAGTATCTTTGAAGATATTGATGATAATGATGATAGAGCTTTTTTCTTTATATTTTTTCTTTATTTATTTTCTTTCCCCCAACCCCCAAAATATTTGGAAATACTTTTAGTAATGCATGGTTTTTATTGTCTATTATTGTTTATTGAAAATTTTTGATATTTAATGTATGTGGAAAGATGCAATACCAGTTGAAAGGTACAAGAACAACAAACACACGAACCAAAAACATAAAAAAAAAGAAAATAAAAAATTCATTAGATTAGATAATAACATACTTAAATCATTAATATAAAACATATATCCCGAATATTATACATATAAAATTACACACAAACTAAAAATTAAGCAAAAAAAAAAAAAAAAAATAACTAAGCAAACAAAAACGCGGAAAAATTTATAATGTACAACAAAATTACAGTCTCTCTCCCTCTTCTCCAGGCTTTTTTTCCTCCTCTCTTCAAAAAAAAAGACTTCACATCAATAATAAATGAAACATTCATGCTTTATCAATCCTGGTTATACCCTTCAAAAGTTCTATATCATCAAATTGGTATTCTTCATCATCTTCTTCCTTGTCAGCATCCTCAATTGAAGTTGTTTTGATATATTTCCTTATGATATTGGAAATGTGCTTCTTTTTATTATGTTCAAAACTTTTAATAATCGAATCATTGAAGTTTAGCTTATCAACGAAGGTACTAAAGTTGTTCAATGAACTTTCATAACTAGCCTGTACTTCGTCGGTTATTAATGAAACCTTATCATACATTTCATCCAAATTTTTATCATCCATAATCGAAGAATACAATCTCTCCATTTCTTCAGCCTCATTTCTCTCTTTTGTCGAACTTCGTAGCTCGTCAATTTTCTTTTTCAAAAATTCTTTTTTTTCATCATCATTCTCATCCAATTTAATCTCATCTCCTGGTTGGAATGTTTCATAATCAGCAGCAATCTTATCCCATTGCTCGTTTTCTTTTTTCAATTTGGCTATTCTAGCATCAAAAGTCTTCAAAGTTTTCAAATTTTCGACATTCTGTTTATTTGGAACAATTTTCACCTTTTTCTTGATCTTCGTGTTGTCATCAGGCCCTTCTTCATCATCGTCCTCGTCCCTATTCCACCAACTTGTTTTCACTTTACCCTCCACCAAATCACGAATGATTTCTTCTTTGATCACTTTAGCAATATTTTCTGCAATCAAATCTTCATTGCTAAGTTTCTTAGCCTTTTGTTGTTTGGACTTACTTTTATCAATCTCAAACTGTCTTTTGAAACACCAAGTCAATAGTTGTCTCATTCTATGAGGTTCTGGAAGATCCTGATCTAAATGCTTGTAGAAATTGGATGGCAAAACATCATCATGGGGAGACACTTCAAATCCATTGCCGATAGATGAAGTACGTTTACCTCGGTTACCCAACGAAGAACGTCTATTTGACTTTGCTCGCAATTCCTTATTACGACGATGGACTGGGGATTCAGATATTTGTAACGGTTGCTTCTTGCCTGGTGATCCGTACACCTTAGTTGATGGTTGGCTTAAATTAGTTTTGGCGGTGAGTTCTAAATCCGTTGGTACATTTGATATAGTTTCAGATTTCTTCAATTCTTTGTTGTTGATTTTATTTTTTGGTATTATTATTGTTGTTGTTGTCTTGCTTTTGATGGCCCCCGCCGGTTGCTTTTTCTGCGATTCATTCTTTGTTTTAGTAGACTTTTTTTCCTTTGTCACTTGTTTTTTGGCAGTTTTTGCTTTTGAAGATTTTGGTGACACTACAGGCGGCGAGTCTGCTTTATTTTCTGGTATGGATATCAATAACTCAGTTTTGGTGGGCTGAGATTTGGCCTTTGGTCTCAATGAAGTCCGCTTCTTTCCTTTCAAAATTGTCCGGGTCATTTCTGTCATAGATTCCACAGTATCTTCTAAATCAAATTCATCATTTCTATCAGATTCAGACTCTATATCCAATAGCTTGCTTTTCGTTTTCACCGCTTTTAGAATTTTTGCCGATGGATGTGGTTTTCTCGGTGAGGTTCTAGGGGCAATTATTGAATTATTATTATTGTTTCTCATCTTCTTTCGCTGTTTTGGTTGATTTTCCAATACTATTGAAGAGCTTCTTCGTTTCTTTTTAGGAAGAGATTTCACCGGTACTAGAAATGATTTTTTATTGTCATTATTATTATTATTATTATTATCATAATCATCATCATCATCATCGGTGTCTGACTCTCCGGGCTCTGCAATACTTCCCAAAAGATTAGATTTGTTTAAAAGAGGCTTGCCCGCACGCTTGAAAAGAAACCCATCGTCATTTTCCAAATCATCGACTGATTGCGATGACATGAAACTCGATACGTTCGATCTTCGAGACCTGCTCAATAACGATGAAATCTTTGAGGTGTGTTTCCTAATTGTCGAAGAGTTCGAAAGAATCGAGAGGTCATTGGTATCATTTATCGCGGTAGTGCCTTTCAGTTTAGATGAAGCTTTTAGGCCATTTCGTGCCGTCGTCCTCGTCGTTGTGGTTCTCGACGACGTTAGTTTTTTCTTTGGTGGCATGGTGTAGTGACCGATTATTGTGGTTTAAATACCAACAGACGTTAATAAAATAACAAGCAAGAGATTCAATCGTGATATATTTATATGTGTGTATCAATATATGTTTTGTTTTTTTTTTGTTTTCGTTCTTTTGTTGTTTTGTTTTTTCTTTCTGCAAAATATTAGCTTCAGTCCAATTTTCGTTATGTTGGATCAGCTACCATCCATAGGTATGAATTGATACGCGTGAACGGTTCGAGGGGGTTTGAAAGCTAATGGTTCTAATTAATATATTAGATAATAATAAACCACGCGTAAGGGCCTCTTCTTTTTTTTTTTTTTGTTTATTTTTTTTTTTGGAGCCACAAAAAAATATCGTTTTGGCAGGGTCACGTTTGCCTCGATATGTTGATTCACCCCAATTACTATACAATAATTGAAATATCTTTTAAATGTTCATAAACTTTTCTATAGAATTAGCTAGCAAAAAAAAAAGGTAAATAAAATGAAATCAGAAACAAAAAAAAACACATTATAATAAATTTTGGTAAAAACTAAACATTAATGAGAAATAGCGAGCAAAATAATGAATGAAGTGAACAAACATAAGCAAAACAAAAGTAACACACACACAAAAAAAAAAAAAAGAAAATACACATCAAACGAAATTAAAAAGGTATAAATAAAAATCTCACCAAAAGATCCATTGAAGAACCTTGATAATTAAAGCAAGACTCTTGTAAATGAGTTTGAAGAAGCTCATGGTCAACCATATAAAATATAGCAGTCCAATAATACTATACTCCACTACCAAGAAAAAGATTTTCTGGGCATAAAGACCATCACTATTCATTTTGAAAAGCCTATTATTACTATAGGATAACTTTTCATTGATATTCTTCAAATTGATCGACAACCCAGTGTTGATTTTTGAAATCAATCTGTCGGCAGTCGACAACAATTGGTCGATTTTATCCGAATGGTTATCATTAAGGTTGGATTTCATCTTGCTTAGTCTTTCAATCTCTTTTGTTAAAAACTTCAAATAAATTGGCAACAAATTGGAGATCCATTCAAAAGAACTGTTTGTCAGGTCGTAAAGAGCCAGAAATTCTGATACTGACGAAATCTGATTCTCCGGTCTGCTACTTAGAGGAGAAGATGCCAAAGAAGAAGAATTCGAAGACCCTGGACCATTGCGTTTTGTAAGTTCGAATGCTCTGGAATATTTATATCGTTGAATTTCCACATGGTTATTAATCAACGAGAGCCTGATATTTGCCAGCCTGATTTCGTCTCGCAAACCGGTTCTGAAACATGCCTGTCGTTTAGAATGATTCTCGTCTTCAACATGAGAGGGGTTGTCCAATGCATTTTCTGTCTCTTTGCCTCGTTCTTCAGTCTCCTCAAAGTTATTAGATGAAGACCTGTGGGTTTCCGAGTACGGCTCTAATGAATTGTCATCTTCTTCAAATTCCACAAGATCATTATCTCTACCGATATTATGCACGAGCGGTTTCCCACCAACTTTCGGGGCCAACCCAAGTGATGATACAGACGACCCGTTGGAAACAATTCTTCTTGAAATCGGCTGGATAGGAACATTGCCAAGGATTTTCGTCACTCCATCATCGGTATGGCCATCAAATGAATTATCCAAGTCTTTGAAAGATTTGTTGATATCATAGCCAATATCCACTAAACCCTCGCCCAATTTACCGCCGTCATTGGTGATTATTCCTCCCGCACTGGCATTATCTTTTGATTTATTGATCTTGCTAATCAATTTATTCTTGACAAACCCTTTGTTTTGTGATATCTTCTTCAATCTACTGGATACGTTATCCAATTTAGAACCTTCTTTGAGGAAAACTGGTTCGTCATTATTGAGCATCACCACGGGATCTATGGTTTCGTTTAACGACGGGGTGGAGAAATGGTGATGTTTCTTGTTTAATGGCGATTCTTCAATAACATTATTATTGTTGTTGTTTGGTTCCAATAAGCCCAAAGAATCTGAAACCATCGAGGTAGTACTCTCGTTCAATGGTTCTGGTACCGTCAACCCAACATTACTATGGTTAGAACTACTATTACTAAATGAGTTATTTTTGGTAGACTGATGATGATTTTTGGTGGTGGAGACAAATGGAATTGATAATTGGAAATGGGAGTTTGAAATATTGAAATTCTCAAAACTCGAACTCGAGCGGCTCTTGTAGGATTTTTTCCGCAAATTGCTGCTATTCTTATTGAGTTTATTCAAAGAGCTACCGCTATTCTGTTTTTGTGGATGGTTATTATGATGGGTCTCCGGGGTATTGCTACTATTGCGGCGGGAATAAAGCGGTTGTTTATGGTGGTGATTGATAATTCTGTGGGAGTCCCAATAATCTTGGAAAATCAACTGGCCCTTCGAGTTTTTTAAAATATCCCAGTGTCTTCTTGACCAATAATAATTGTTAACTATTTCATAGCTAGGGATCGTCCAAATCAATTTTTTCTTTGGGTTAGTTGAGAAAGTGGTCGACGCTAATGGATGGGTGAACCGTTTTTGTAAGGTTTGTAAAGAAGTCATGTCCCGTTTTTTCATCGCTTTCCGATTTCTAATGATTTGCAAAGGATTCCAAGATAATGTCAATCGTGTTTCCGAATCCTTATTGTAGTTATTGGTTTTCTTATTTTCATCATGATCATCGTCATCATCACCGTCGATCGACACTTCGTGATCCCCTTCATCTGTGGTACTACTCGGTGTGAATGGTTGTTGATATTTTTCCAAAAATACATAATAAGCACTGAGAGACGCTCTGGCCCGCTCGGCTCTGATCAATGTAGCCTTAGATACTAGCAATGATCGGCCATGTTTGTCGTCTGGCTGGTAGTAATCGGTGTCGAACTCAGAGGAAGGGCCGTCGGGGTTCATGAAATTGTTATGTTGATGGTTATTGATTTTTCTAACCCGGGCATTGTATTGAGAGTTCAATTCTTTGACATTATAGGTCTTTAATGGGTCGGGGCAATTATAATTGGGGTCGGCAAAGTCAGACATCATCGATTTTCTTAAATCCAAAAGCAACGGGGACAATTTCTTGATTTCTTCAATCACGGTTGGTTCATTGGTGTCAATGATCCGGAGTATTTCATCATTATCATTCCCGATTGTCAAAGGGGATGGGTGATCCTCCAGCGATGCGAACGCTTTGTCATCGTCGTTTATCTTATTGACGGTCTCAGCAATCGATCGTGAATCATCATTGTCATTGTGGCGCTTGAAGAGTTTAATTTTGTTATTTGGTGTTTTTTCCAATGCTCTGACTCTCAATTCTTGTTCTTGCTCTAATGGATCTATACTATCCTCAAGGTTGGTTGATCTTGATATTTCGGACTCTGGGAAAGTTATGTTATCATTTGTGTGATGATGGTTCAGTCTGTCGGTGTACGAATCCGATAATTGGTAATCTCTAGGAGTCAGTTCATTGTCATTGATGGTAGAAGCAAGTGATACAAAATCTAATTTGAATCCAATGTTCTTGCGAATCTGCGATTTACTGCTAGAGTACCTCTTTCGTGAGTTCATTGTTGGAGAAACTCTAGTGATGACGATGGTCGTAGTGTTAGTTTGGCACTTTTTCTCTCGCTTTGTATGTTACTGGCGTTTAAATATCATTGACGTTTTTTTTTGTTTTTTTTGTTTTTATTTTATTGTTTTGTTATATTTTAATAGTACACTCTGGTATTCTAGTGGCTTGTTATAGGTTAATAATTGCTTTATATTCATTTTCCTGTCAGAGTTTGTCAGCCATACAAATTTATCGCCATCTAACAAAACCACAGGGTTCCTAGTACTTACACATGCTCCAACACGGTGGATCTTGGCAACATTTCCGTCACCTGACACGCGTGATAATCACATGCACATGTACATGTACACACGTGCTATGTGAGTGTGCGTGTGCGTCGGTCAACATGCATCAATTGGAATAAGGAAAAGAAAAAAAAAATTTTATAATAGTGATATTATTTCGTTGTTGTTTTAAAGGCAATACAAAAAAAAAAAAAATGTAAGGTTTTTGATTCGGATTGTGAATTTATTGGGGAGCTTCCCTTATATTAAGATGATGATTCTGCAGAAGAAGAGCTCCAGTAATGAGGAACCAGTTATGGATGGACCACCAGCTATAGGGTTCCGACAACGGGAGAAGGAACATGAGCCGAAAACCGAAACAAATCCACACCACTGTATAGTTTGTCACCCTCACTAAATTATTCGTCGTTCTCTGCTCATAAAATAGTACCTTACAAAGGTGTATTCCTTGCAATTGTGGTACGGTACAGTCTCGCCGGTTCAGAATAATTGCGATCAAGTGGCACTGAGAAGGAATCCAGGGTCGAAGTAGATTCAGGCGATTGTGAAGTATTGTTTGGCAATTCAAGAGAAAAATAAATCTTGTGAGGCTAAGGTTGAAGCTTAAAGAAAATAACAAAAATCGTACGGAAGTAAGCAGACAGTTAGAACAGATCAGCGGGTTACCATCAGTGATCAATGAAGTGAGAAATCGAAATGAAAATATTCAAACAGCCCAACTGAATTCCCTCGATGTGAATTTGAATTTCAATGAGGAATTTTCAGGGGTTATTTGAAACCATGACCAAGTCATCGGAGGCCCGTACCCGATTAAAAGACAAAAACCGTTCGAGTTCTTCTCAATGATTTGTACATCTTGGCATCATCAGTTATCTTCAAAATTGGTATCATAAAACATAGCTTCTATCTTCAAAGTTAGGTATCACAAACATAGCCTTTAAACACACGCCACTTATCTTCTTCAAGGCTGGGAATCACAAAACACTTGTGGATTTCCCCATCGAGCCATCTAGGATCGATTATATGTGTAATGTAATTGATCCTCTAGAAGCACCAGATATTTCAATAACAACGAACGATTTCTTATCTCTTCAAGAGAATAAGCCGAGTCTATTAGCGTAGAAGACAAACTAACTCACCCAAGAGGGGGAAAAAAAAAAAAAAAAGAAAAAAGGTAATATAGATTAGTATAATGATCAATGGGAGACTTTGCCTTGCTCGCAAAACATTTTCCCCCTTTTTTTCGCGTCACTATTTGATGACCTCCTCGAAGTTTAATAAATATCCATGAAATCAATCCAAGCAGCAGCCAAAGTTTTGGTGCGGTGGATATTTTAAAAAATCCTTCAAGGAAATCTTACCACAGAGTTAATATATTGTGGAGATTACAAGTAGTAGTAAACTTTCAGGTAACATTACCAAATCCCCCTGGGTGCGCAGATCATATAATTATATATATATAGATATTTCTGGTTGTACTCCGTCATCGTTGACAAGTTAGGCTGCTTTTAATACCGATTCCCATATTTTTGGAACCCCAGTCTGCCAAAAAAAGTCACCTAAAGCGTCGTCTTAGATAACAAAGAAAAGACTTGAATAAATGGGGATGGAGGTGGTGGGATTACTTAAATAAAACCATTTTTCGATTTTTGGGGAGAAAAAAAAAATGGCACTTCTGTGAAGATAGATAGATAGATGCCTTGATTATGCCAATTGGTGTGTTTGCTTTTTCTCCGCGATGGACTGCCGGCTATTATTATTACCTAGTAGTCCTAAACATCATTAGAAACCAGAAATAGTTAGGAGGAGTTCTGTAAGGGATATCTACGTACATTTGATTTGCACAAACGGTTGCAAGAAGCAAAGATGAAACATTTGATAAAAATAAAAAAAGGTCATGAGATATGTGTGTCACGCAATTGATTTAGTTGACACACACACACACACACACACACCAAAAAAAAAAGCAGCACATTTGTCATTACATTATAGATGAACTATCATTGATAAATGATGATAACATAATCTGGTATTAAGATAACCGATGGTTTTTACATTGCAAAATGTGTGACTCTATATATATGGGCTAATAAGATGGTTGTTGGTGAAGCTTAGAGAGAGAGAGAGAGAGGTTGAAAAAAAAAGAGAGTGCAAATTCTCCCACTTGTTTAGTCTGCCTCATTTAGCTAATTACCTTTCCCATCTAAGCATGGCACTAATAGATGATATAGAAAATGGTGAAACTTTTTTATGAGGTTTGCAATTGTTTGCTGCACACACTAAAAAATAAATAGAGCATGGTGCGCCTTTTTTTTTTTCTTGGAATGAAACGTTTTCCGACCAATTATTGTGAGATATCTTTCAATGGAATGGGATGGAAAATAATATAAAATAAAAAATAAAGTAAAAGAAAAAAAAAGGTGTTATAATATATTACATTATGATATTTATTATATTCCAGGCACACCCACACCCGCACTGGGCTGATGTCACCCAATTTGTTGGGTCGATGGGGTTACCTTAGTGTGCATGACAATAGTGTCATCGGGTTTCATATCGAGGTTTAGTGCTATCCAAAGCAAAGCTCGTCTCTGCGTGTACCTATATAACCTAAGACTCGCCTTCTTCCTCTTGGTGGTTGGTTTTTTTCCAGATCACCCATCTTAATCACATAATCAACCGATATTTTTTTATCATTACTGCGGTATTTCTTTTTTTTTTTTTTTTCAATACTAATGGCCACCGAGTATTACCATGAAGACATGGCATCGCCAATGTCCCGTCAATACTCGATCTTCTCGAAGTTGAACAACAACGATAGTTTGGATGATCTAGAATCAACGTTCACCATGGATAATTATAAGCCCCATGGCAGCACTAACTCTACCAAACCTTTGGCTCAAGATAATATTCGGGGTTTTGCCAGTCGGTCCAAACTCATCAAGATCAGCACCGGCGATAATGATTTCAATGATTTGGACAGTTCCGATGATGAACTAGACGCTGTTCTTCCCAGAAGAACTAGAAGAAACTTGTTCGATGATGATGATGATGATGATAAAAATATTAATAATAATGATAATAATAATAATAATAATGAGAATGAAGAAAAACTCGAGAAAATCACCGAATCATCATCGACCGTACACAAATCTCATGCTGATTACCGACCACCAATCCCCGAGAAAGATACCCCGAATAATATTAACTCACAAAAATTAAAGAGCACCCCTCGGAAACTCCCTCCAAATTATCCTCCAGCTTATACAACCAAGGGGAGATCACCATTATCCCACCAAGCGTATCACAATAAAGCAACCGAGGATGGTGTGGGTGTTGCTGGAATCGACTCGACCGAGCTCATTAATTTCAAACCATCACAAATTGGGAACGTTGAAAAACCATTATCATCGTCGCCTTTCACTCATGGAAGATCGTCGAGTAAAACCAGTGACTTACTCATCACCCCTTGTGCTTCTACTACTACTACTACTACCACCACCCAAGATGTCTTGAACCCGTCCCTTAAAGTCATCACTCCCTCCACTACATCCAATTTATTTGATGGTAACCATAATATTTCGCGGTCGATCTACCGTACCCTTTCCGTTGCTTCGTCGTTGACCGATCAGCAATCTCGTGGGTCCATTGGTCCAATTACCACTACCATCATCCCACCACCTTCCCTTGTCTCGTCTTTGAAAGGATCGTCTTCTTCTTCTCCTTCTTCTTCTTCTTCTTCTTCACAATCATCTCCGCAAAAAAATAAGAAATATAATAAGACGCGGCTAGGAAGCTTGTTTGTCTCAAGTAAAGAACTTCAACGTCAAAAGCAAATGCTGAAGTATTTGGAAAGTCAACCGGGTACCTTGGTCGATATGGATATTTCATCTTATAATGATTCACAAACCAGGAATTCTGGTACCTCATTCAACGATACCGACAGTGTTTATAGTAGGAGATCTACCAACAGTGCTGCTATCCCCTTCAATGACACCACTAGTGTGTATAGTAAGAGATCTACCAAGTTGTTCCATAATCCTGGTAGTCATTTTGAGAATTATGAGAAATACGGGAGGAAAAACCCGTCGAAGAAGTTATTTGGCAGACTATTTGGATGATTCTTCTTGTAATGTTTCTCTGTTTATATGTGTTATTTCTTCGATTCTAGAGTTGATTTTTTGGACCGTTTGTTTCTTTCTTTCTAGGGGTTTATATTTGGATCATTTTGTAGCGTTTTGGGTAATTTTTTTTGTTCCTTATCTTCTTGTTTTGTTGATATGATTTATGACTTGATACGTATATGGTTTTTATAAACGATATCATGTTTTTTTTTTTTTTTTCATTATTATTTATTGATATTATCTATTATTGTTTGTTAATATCTGTCATTTTTAATATCTCTTCTTATTAATATCTGTTATCGTTAATATTTTTCTTTTCATTTTTCTTTTCATTTCACAGCCCCAAAAGCTTCAATGTCATTGTTAATTAGTGTTTCCCTTCAATTCTCATCTTGTCAATTATTACCTGTAGTAGAGTACCAAATCTACACATACATTTAGAACAGTTGGAAGGAGTTAAACAATATATATCTCATACTATATTATTGTTATTATTTTAAATTCTATACATCATATAAAAGAAATATTGATCTGAGATTTATGTATGGTACAAAAAGAAAATGTCAAATGACGATAAAAGGTTCCCCATCAAACAATAAGGAATTTCAAAATTACCAAGACCTTTTTTTTTTTTTTTAATCTTGTTCTGAAAAGAACTGAAAGGAAATAAAATCTATATTGATTGTTTAAATATTATTAGAGAAGAGAAGAAATCTATTGTATAGTATAAAAAAGAGAGATATGGGACAGGAAAAAAAAAAAAAAATAATAATAATCAGAATGATCGAAATCAACAGAAACAAAACAAAATTTCAAATAAAGAGAATCAACGAGCTTCCGGAAAGAAAACAGAGCAAAAAAAAAAAAAAAGAATAAGTTAAAATCAATAAATATCGCATACTTGTCAGTGTGTACTAGAATATCACTGTTTATAACGAGCGTGGTATGATGATTAATGGCAGCGATTAAAATCTGGGAGAGAAAAACAAACAAACCTGGGTCACGAAATGAAATACTAGACAAAATGAAATGAAAATAGAGGAAACCACTAGGACAAAGCAGAAAGAAAAGCAGGGAATTACAAAAAAAAAAAAAAAAAATAAAGAAAAACAACAAAAAAACGACAAAAACAAAAAAGAAGAAGGACAGGAAGAATGAAATGGAAATTGAAATTAAAACGAGCTTAGAAAATTTAAACAAAATATGGGAAATCAAAAACAAGGTTAGAAAATCAAATGTTGAGGGAAGATCAAAGGTTGGTGGTTTTTTTTTTTTTTTTTTTTTGGAAATCACAAAATGAGTTCTGGAAATTCATCCGCCCCCAACCCACTATTTGGAGACTTGGCCTTCATTTTCAAAACTGAACAACGATTTAGTTTTCTTGACTCTTTTGGCATCTGGTGAAACACTAGACATTTGACGTAATGGCTCGGACATGGCTATTGGTTTATGATTCTTGGTACTTCCCGAATCTGCAGAATTGACCGAGGTTTTCTGCGATGGTTGTGGAGACGGAGGTAATTTCGCTGGATCGATACTGGTGTCCAAGATCGTGCTCAAAGCTCTAAAGATCCGGGATGATGATTGGGGTTGGTTGTTGTCTTTCAATGGTGGGGACAAAGTATAAGAATGACTGGAATTAGTATCTTCAGACCCCACGTCTTGGGAATTGGCGGTGTTGGCAGTGGTTGAGGGAATATATCCTTCAGTAATGTCGATCTTATTGGAGATGATGTTTTTTTGCACGAATTTGATATCCGATAAATAACTGGCACTTTTCTTTAATGATCTGTATAATGAAGATTTATGTTTTGGTTTTTTGTATCCATTAGGAGTATTGTTGTTGTTGTTATAATTAAGAGTATCAGTATCGGTGGAGACCCTCATTTTATTATCTGTATGGTTGAGCTCCTCTATTGGTTTTACCTCATCCGTGTAATTCTTTTGATGAATATTATCATTCTTATCATTAATGCTACTATTCATTTCTTCAGCCATACTATTCTTGTCATCGAATAAGTCATTGGTGGTGGTGAACGGAGAGGCAACAACACTGTCTTCTCTGATGATATTAGCACTGACGTTTTGAGTTGGTGGAGGTATGATAGTGTTGTTTGGCGAGGATGATGGTGATGGTGATGATATTTCTTTTTGGCTTAGTTGGCAATTAATGGCCGATAGTCTTTTAATTTTCGCGATGGTGTGGGCATCTTCTTGATGATGGTCTAAATCCTCATCGTCGGAATAATTCGATTCGAAAGTTGTGAATTTCTTCGGGGTTCCAAAAATGTCTTCTAAAGAATCCCCTGACCCACGATACATTATAAGATATTGATTATTAATGATTGATTACCTTTAGGGGAGAGTTGAAATATGATCTAGCCAAAATATATATAGATGAAAGGACCCACAATTATGGCTTAGGTGATGACAACAAACGATCGTTTATATATGTATTGTATATAAATGAATGAATTATCTTAACTGATCAAAGTCCAAAAAATGAAAAATGGATGACAGACACAAAAGAAAAGAAAGAAAGAAAGAAAGAAAGAAAGAATGAATGAAAGAAAGAAAAAAAAAAATCAAAAAAAAAAAAAAAGAGTCGATCGATATACACATCTATTGTCTATTGTAGACACTAAAAACTACAAAAAAAAAAAAGTTTTTTTTAAAAAAAAAAGCCCGAAACAGCCCAACGGAATTACGGTGATAGTCTTGGACCGTTCGTTAGCTTGCTTGACCGTACATTGGATAATGCCAAACCAACCATGCTAGCGTCAGGAAAATCACCAACCACTGACTATAAAATCATCCTCTGACAACAATAAATGGCAATCCCTACACTCTACACTCTTTGTCAACAAACCACTGGGACACAAAGACCAGCATTGTTTGCGTACAAAAATAAACCCCCCTCCCCCCACCCCAGACGCCCCGAGAAACAAGAGGAGGAAGGACAAAGAGAAGAGGATGGAAGAAACAACAATACAATCAGAGTTTTCATCTGACGCATACCACCACTACACTACACCAGTCAGTCAGTCAGTCATGGAACATGAAACGCATATCTTGGAGCTAACCTCGTGCGCACTAGGCTGCTATTGCTAGACCACACCCACCACCTATTGTTTATTACTTGTTATGTTCAGTACTAAGAACGGACAAGACACACTCATTATTTTAGACCCTTTTATGATTTAGTGGTTGTCATTGTTTGTTTGCTGTTATTGTTGTTGTTGTTTTTTTTGAAATTTTTCAACCTTACCAATACTTATCGTAGTATTATTATGTTATCTGGCAACAACAATACTGATGTGATACATAACAACAAATCACATCATGTAACAGCAACGCCCACCGTAAAATTATCCCGTTTTCACTTTTTACTTCTCCCGATCGACCCACCGCCGATCACTTCCTTCCCATCCAAATGGGACTTCCCACCACCGGCATATACGACGCCCCGACGTCGAATCAATAATAATAATACGGTTGATCATCAGCGTTCATCATCTCTTGTATATATCACCATAAAGAAAATAAAAAATAAAAAAATAAAAAATAAAAAAATAAAAAATAAAAAAATAAAAAAATACAAATGAAAAACTCTATAATCTAGCAAAATAAAATGACAAAAAGAAAAAAAGAAAAAGAATAACCCTATCCATAATTGCGAATAACAAGAAGACAAAGGACAAAAGAAAAAAAAAAAAAAAAAAAAAAAAATTCAATTCAATTCTTTGGGGTTGATGATTGCGACTTTTGTGCTTGTGATGGCTCTGGACCCCTGAATGTGTTTTCAAACACATCTCCCATCCCAGGCCCTGAACTGGTAGGAGTAGGAGTACCACTTTGCAACCCAGAGAAATCAATACCTCCGCTCGCACCACCATTACCACTACCGGGGTTATTATCATTATTATTGAAAAATACAATCCCGTCAAAAGCAGGACCTGTCAACATATTATTATTACTATTACCATTATTATTATTGCTGCCGGTAGCTGCACCAATGGCCGATATTCCCCCCATGGATGTGGTAGACACGCCATTGGTGCTACTTGTAGACATTGGAAAGTTTGTTCCCACTGGTCTAGAACTCCCATCCCTTCCTCCAAAATTATTATTGTTATTGTTATTGTTATTGGAGTTGGAGTTGGAGTTTATCGCTCCCTCAGTCATATAACCAGAATTAATACCGTTATGATTTGTAGTAGTAGTAGCAGCAGTAGTAGCAGCAGCTGCAGCTGCAGTAGCAATAGTAGAATTATTATTATTATTCAAAACATTGGGTAATTCAAGGTTCGAATCACTTCGTGACATTTGTTGGTTGAAATTGCTATTATTACTTTTACTTTCCAACATATATGGAGGCAAGAATCTTCCAAACAAATTCATATCAAATTTGTCAATCATCCCACCAAAATAACGTTGATCTTCGAAAGGATTGCTATTGTTGTTGTTATTATTATTATTACTATTGCTATTGCTGTTATTGTTATTGCTATTGCCATTATTATTATTATTATTATTATTCGGTATAGGAGAATTAGACGAATTTATTTCGGCATTCTTCGACTGATAATTAGTCTCACCATTTTGTTTATCATTATCATTGGCAAATTCTGTAGCTAGGTATTTCATATCAAGTTGGAAAGAAGGTTGAGGATTCGTAATAATCAGATCAGCATTATAATAAGTCCCATTCAAAAAACGACCTTCACCATTATTCTGTCGTTGCTGATCTTGCAACCCCATTGGTCCAAATATTTCATGGTCTCCAGGCTTGTTGTCTTCAAAATATTTCTGATGATTGGTATGAAACTTCTTTGTCCGACGATTCAATTTTTCAAACATCACATTCAACGTTTGGTAAGTTTTCGCCGCCGCCATTGACGAACTTTTAAGGTCAACCAACACATCTTTACCCTTTTCTGCATACTTGGTGATTTGCCAAACGTTGGCACTAAGATCACTGTTAGAATTCTCGTGAATATAATACACCAAACACGCGACTGAATAAAAAATCGGATAGATACTAAACCAGTACGCACCATTAAGCAATTGATGCTCGTGCATTTCCGTGGCAAGTTCAATAATCTTGATGGCAACATTAATACAATTCATCCCGTATTTTATCAGATCTTGGTTAATATTTGGTAGCTGGATATACTTATGCGAAATCAAGTGAATGAATGGCCGATAAAGCGCCAATTGCACGTGGAGGTACGCCAATTTGAGCAATCTATTCTGTTTGTAAAATTTGATGGGGATATTGATATTGTCAGGATTGAGCTCCATCGGCAAATTCTCAAGCCATTCACTGAGCTCCTGCTCCATAAGCTTGACTTTTGAAATAAGTTGATAAATAAAATTCGTCTTGGTATCCTTGACCCTAGTTTTCTCTTCATAATACGAGTCGGTATTGATGGGGTAAATGTTTTTCACAATATGGTTCAAGATAATGATCAATTTGGTATGATCATTAGATATCGCAATGGTGGTCAATTTCTTGTTGCGATTTTTGGGAGCAATGTATCCAGTTTCGGCAATGAATTCGTCTTCGATATCCAAGGGTAAATCTTGATCTATTTGATCGTCAGATATCTGGGGTAAACCGAGCACCGTATTCATGTAGACGTCGATTTTGTAGATGGACCAAAACAATCTTTTTCGATTCTCTTGGACAATAGCATTAGAGTTTTCTGCTTTACGATGCAAGCCGATTCTAAACGCTGATCTTAGGGCAATTCCCACAAAAGAATAACAGGTGGATAAGTTGGCAGTGCACTGCAAAAAGATGATAAGACAGAAAAGGGTCTGGATGTTCATAACGTCGTTAGTTTCCACGAGTTTTTTCTTGATCAACGAATAAGCAGCGTTATAATAATTGTAGGCGTTGTCGTCATTTTCGAGTAATGCCCCGATCGCCAAAAAACTGTAAATGCACGCCAATTTCTTGTTATGGTGGAGATCATTGTTATTGGTTGCAAAAGATTCGGCGGTGTTATAGAAATCTTTGACGATATTGATCAAATTAAGACGATTATAAAACTTGAACAACAACGCGCTATCACAAGCGACATGTAGTAATCTAAGGGAATCGTCGAGTGATGGTAAACTGATTTTCACCACTTTGAACTGCGAACTGGCATGATTATGATGATCATCATCATCATCATTATTGGTGGCAGATATTGGGGTGGTATTATTTTCGTTAGATAATGGGATAACTTCATTGTCAGGCTCCAATTTCAAATTAAACGCTTGACTATTGTTATTGCTGGTTGACGACAACGAGGTGGCCATTGGTGTGCTGTCGCCCTCTTGCTTGGGGTTGGGGGTGGTAGCAGCAGCGGCGGCGGGAAGGGCCTCCGCGTTAAATTTCTCGACAAACTGCTTGATGTCTAGACTGGGTCCCTGTTTATCGTCAATAGGAAAATCTTTATCGATATTTTCTTCCAATGGTTCCAGCTTGGGGCGGTTATCGGGAGGTTGTAGTAATGATTGGACAAATGCAATGTCTTTGGCTTGTAGCGAGGCGATTTTGGGCAACTGGATGCCAGGGAACACCATTGATAAAAAGAACTCATAGCTGGTGATCTTATTCTGCAAGTCTGCTTGGAAATTCTTTGATTTCTTGTTTGCTGGTTGGTTATACGAGCATTTGTAGTTGTAGACCTTGCAATGGATACAGGGGTTCTGGCCGTCACACTTGACCTTCTTCTTTCTGCCTTTAAATAGAGGTGGCAATGTTAGTAAGAGAAGGTGTTTTATAACGAGATGGATAGATGGATGAGGGGGATTGACATGTCACTTTCGCGCACCCTCCAAAAAAAAAAAAATGACAATAATAATAATATAAATAGACGCAGACACTCAAGAGAGAGGAATGGTAAATGATGGTGGATACGTACACTCGTCACAGGCTCTTAGTACTCTCTTGCGTTTATTGGGGACGATGTTCATGGAGTTCATGGCGGTGGAGCAGGAAACAACACAGCAAGAAGATAGATAGCGAGATAGAGGGTGAAGGAGCTAGAAGAGCAAACAGCGCCAAAAAATAAAAAAAAAATAAAAAAATAAAAAAAAATAAAAAAAAAAAAAAATAAAAAAAATAAAAAAAACGCCGGCGCTTAGATCGCTCGCCCGGGTCCGTAACGCATAAGGGGGTGATGGGGGATGGCCACCCTGTGCTGTCTTTGATCATGTTTTTAACGTTATTATAATTCTTATTATTCTTATTACAATTATTGTTATTATTATTATTATTATTATTACACACTTGTTATGTTGTGTTATTATTATTATTATATGGTCGTTAGATATTACTATTATCATTACCATATTTGATGTGCTACTGAATACATGGTATTACAATGGTGACCGCCCTCTGCTGGTTGCACTTGTTCCTGGCAAGTGACATACGGTGACCACACCCAATAGAATAATCTCAATTAAATAACGCAAATAAGATTTCCAGCTAGCCAAGGTTAAAAATAGGATCACTAGAAACAATAATATTGATAACAATAATTAATTATAATAATAATAATAATAATAATAATAATAATAATAATCATCACCATCATCGTCATTATCATAATAACAATAATAATCATCATCATGGAAAGGAAGGTTTTTAAAGAATGATGGAATCCCCCCCTAACAGCCAGTAGTATTGTTGTAAGCAGCCACCCACCGTGGAAAAGTACTTGGTGATACACAACTCACTCATCCATGTCCATGTCCTGTCTCACACCTTCTTCTTCTTCTTCTTCTTCTTCTTCTTCTTCTCCACAATCAGCCAATTAGGAGGAGAAAAAGACCTGGCCACCATGCTGTTGTTTCACGTCACCACCACAGACACAGACACAGACACAGACGCATTGAACTGTCTCGCCATGCTTGCTTGTGCTTGTGTGTGGTGTCGGTACGTGCACCACCCGCTCGGTTCTATTAGTTACACGCCCTGGCGGAATACCATCCTTCCACAGTGTCATTTTTTTCTTCTCTATTTTTTATTGTGTAATCATTTGTCCTTTCATCTCCATCCATCAACTATCTACTCTATGTATATAAACTTCCCTTCTTTTTCTTTCTTGCCTCTCCAATAAACATATAGGCCAACTCAAAAAAAAAAAATAAAAAAGTAAAATAATAAACACACACACACACACACACACACACACACACAAGACTAAATAATATATACCTTCCCAAACTGTCCAATGGCCGATCTTATCGAATTGCAAAGAAAGGCCCTATTGGACCATATAAATGCCATCCAAACAGATAATGGCCTTAAATATTTGGTGCTCGACGAAACCACAGAGTTCCTTGTCGACTCCTTAATCGACAGAAAAACTTTGCTCAGATACGTCACCGCAGTAGAGCGTTTGGACTCCAAAAGAAAGTCTAAACCTTCGATCGACGCCGTGTATATCATCGACCCCACCACATTTTCCCTTAATTGCTTAAAGACTGACTTCAAAGTCTCTCCTCCCAGATATCGCTCCATGTTCATCTATGTGCTACCTAGCCCATCAGTTTCACACACCATCAAAAGTTTCTCCCAAAATAACAACCCCATCTATAAATTGATACGATTCATCAAAGTGTTCAATTTCAATTATTTGCCAGTCGACAATAAAGTGTTTTTGACCACTTATGATACCACTTTGGACCCAAGCGTCCCAGTACAAAAAGATTTCGATGATAACGATCCAAAACTTGTCGAAAAATCTAAACAAGATTACCAAACTTATTCGGATAAGTTGACCCTCAACATGTACTCGATGCAGGTTTTTTTCAACCCAAGTTTTAGAAACTTTGTCAACTTCATGATCGATGGGGTGGTTAATAGTTTGTTGAATGTGTGTATTGTAACCAATGAGTACCCAATCATTAGGTACTACTCGCCAAAAATTTCATTCCATCAATCATCAATAGTCTCCAAGCTCGTGGCGACAAAACTTCAAGAAAAATTGGATGATTATCTCAGAAATAACCCAAAGTTCAACCCGAACTCTGGGGTGGGTGGTGGTGCCGCCAGCTCCGCAAGTCCTGAAAGATCGATCTTGGTGATAGTTGATCGTTCTATTGATTTGATGGAACTATTTTTACACGAATTCAACTATGAATCAATGATTTATGACTATTTGCCCCGCTCGGAATTCAATAACAAATCATCGGTGGTGTTTTACTCTTCAGAAAACGCTAGAGGTACCAAGATTAAAAAAGTCTCCAAGCTCACCACTAGAGCAAAGGACAAGTATTTTGACAAGTACCGGTACTTGCACATTGCAAAAGCCTATGACATGTTGAATGACGATATCAAAAAAATGGTGGAAGACAATCCATTATTGATGAACACTTCCAACGCCAAAAGTACCACCGATATTCTTCACATCATGGCGCATTCCCAAGAATTCAACGAAGACCGTAGATTATTAACTTTACATAAACAACTCATTGAACGGTTTTTGAAAATGAGTATGGAATTGAAACTATCTGCCCTTGCCGACCTTGAACAAACCATGGCGGCCGATGGGTACGATATTGATGGCCAATTCATCAGATTACAAAAATTGACCGACAACATGGTTGCCACCCTTGATGAGATGAAAGCGTTGGATGTCACTTATAAGATCAGATTGATTGTGTTGTACGTGTTGAAGAAAAAAGACGGGATTTTCCTTGACGATTTATCCAAGCTCTTGAAGTTTATCGGGGTTTATAATGAGCGGGAATTGCAAGGGTACATCCAACTATTCAAGAACTTGAACTTGTTGAACCATGATGTTATTAAACTTGCCATGAATCCTCATTCACATCACCAGCAGCACAAGGATGATAAACCAAGAAATATCGAATATGGCGAAATCGATAACTCACAACTCAACACTTCCAGATACAAGCCGGCGATTGCCAAAGTGATTTCCAGCCTTGCCAAGAATAATAACGAAGAATTGTCAGAATTCCCATTTGCCAATGAAGCCAACAACACGTTGCTTGAAGAGTCGGTTACTGGGGGCAGTCATTCTTCGATTTCTAGTAATTCCACCTCTTTAAGAAACAAGAATCTTCAATCAACTTGGTCCACGCGCTCCAAAACAAAGACTAATCGTCAAAAAATCTTTGCTTATATGATTGGAGGGATTACTCCTGCAGAAATCAAGGCGGCCCACGATATCGGTGAGACCACCAACAAAGACGTGTATCTTGGAAGTGAACATATTCTTTGTCCAGGGGAAACCATTTTCAATATCCAAAACTTGAATAATACCAATGCCAAAGAATTGAACCCGTACATTGAATTCAAATTACACAGGGAAAGCAATGGGAAAGTTCCGGAGTATTTGTTAGATAATGATTTCCCTAAACCCCAATCACAACAACAACCCCAACAACAACCACAATCTTCAATGAAGGATAAATCTGGTAAAGGTGGCTGGGGACAACGGCCAGGAATGATGAAATCTAGTAGTGCTCCAGCAACATCTGATAAACCTAAGGAAAAGAAGCATAAATTTGGTTTGAAATTCAAAAAATAAATGAATTATTCGTGATTCCAAGGAATTTTATAATCATTTCAATGATTTTTTTTTGACTTTTTTTTTTTTCTTGTTTTATTCTATTTTGTGCGTCTTATGAGTTATTGCTGGGTTCCCTTAATCTTTAACTTGACATTTCATCGATGTTTTCTACACTGCCAAAAGATTATTATTATTGTTCTTATGCTTATTCGTTTTCCTAATTTAACTGTGAATTTTTTTTTTTTTTTTACCACCTACATAGAGTACATTTTGCCTTCTTCCTGTTCAAATTGTTTTTAAAATAGCTTTCTCCTAATAAATAATTGATTATAGTATAACACGATTGCCCATAATCATGGTGGTGGAATCGCCAGCTGGACGCAGAAAATGAAACAGTTTAGAGAACAAGATCATTAAAAGTAGAAATAGAAAGACTCTCTCCATAAGTCATTATATAATACATCATATATTGTGGAGTTTACATTATATTTTATAATACGGAGGCATTTCCCCCCACACACGCACGACCTACTTAACACACGCACACACACACACACACACACACACACACACACACACACACACACACACACACACACACACACCAAGTCAGAAAAAAAGTGCGTGTGCTCTCACACCAAAAAAAAAAAAAAAAAAATTTTTTTAAGAGAATAATAGAAGGGAAACAGCTTAACAGCAAAGGTGACAGCCTTATCCTATTATTGATACCATTATTTGCCGTTACTCAGGCAAACCCTATTAACAATAAGAATATTAATATCACACTTTCTTAGGAATCTGATTCTCGACTCTTCTTAGCTTTTCCTTTTATCTATTGGTGGGTCCCGTTTATACAATGAACCTCCAGCCGCCCATAAATTTGGGCAATGATGATGATGATGATGATAATGGGTTTCCTCAAAAATCCTCGAATTTCCATAACGCCAACGATCCTTCGTCATCTCCGTCATCTTACTGCTCAAGCAACTCGTTCGCCAACCCTGATCCCCGCCCAACATCTGCCGTTGATGATTTCATCCACGATGACCTTCATGGTTGGAGCCCGGTATCATCGAGCGATGGGTTCGATACCACCACAATGGCCACGCCAAAGCGGGAAACAAGCTTCGTCAATAATGACAATTCTCCATTACATATCCAGCTGAAGTCGAAGAAATTGGTGGCGAGCAAAAGATCGAGTCGACTGAGAAGCGTTGATTTGGAAACCGGCTCGACCAATTCCGATTCCAATGTACGGTCCACCAGCATCACCGCGACAAAGAAGAGGAAATCAAGGTTCAGTTCTAAGCAATTCAAAATATTCAGAAACTTGTTGCTATTGGAACAGAATTTGCGAATGCAATATGCCGAGCAGCAGTCATTGCGAACCAAGTTTTTATTATTCTATTTCACGATGATTGTATCCAGTATGATGATTTTCCTTAAATTGTATTTTACTTCTTCTTCCTCAACAACGTCTAATAACGAAAGTGAAATCATTGCGTTTGAAGATAAAAACTCCCTGTGGAATTTGTTTTTGAAGTTCTTTTTAGTGTTCCAGGTCATCACTTTGACGCTATTTCATATTAGTGGTGAATATAAACGAACGATCGTCATGCCAAGACGGTTCTTATATTTGACCAACAAATCACTAAGGCAGTTGAATTTGCGGTTGATCAGATTACCTAAATCATTGATTGACCAATTCTTGGATATTTGCAAGTTTTTCTTGAAAGTCATTGTGTGGTTATCTATCCTGTTCATTGAGGATTTCATGCCATTGAAGAAAGTGTTAATAAACCGGAATCTTTGCTACGTGAGGGATTTTTTGCAATTCCTTAAGATTTTGAAACTTCGATTAGTATTGATCCACTTGAGCTCTAATTACGACCAAATCAATTTGAACAGTACGTTTAATATCAAATTGAGTCTCAACTCCAGAGTGTTCACGCCAAACATTCGCGAAAGCTGGGAATTGTTTAGAAATGAGTTTTGGTTGAGAGAGTTCAATAGAAGAACCAAATTGATCTATTCGATCAACTATGATACCGATATCGTGGCGATCGAAGAAATGGTTCTTAGAAACGAAGTAGTTAATAAGAAAACTGGGAATTCTGTGTCTAAAATCGGTACCCCTCGCCTCGGATCACATTCGATGTCGCCTACGAGAACCCCTAGATCAAAATCAAAGAAATTACACATGAGTGCTTCTCCAGGCTTGAACTCACTACCAACCCCACGGTCCCAGACTTATACTCCTTTGACCACACAAATGCTCAAGTCTTTTGAAGCACAACAACAACAACCAGAGCCAAATGATTCTAAAGTCACCACTTCTCCTGTTTTGTCGTCAAATTCCGCGATCATGAACAAAACCGAATTACTTAAAAAAGATCGTGATGACCGTAGGGTTAGAAGAAAGTCTCAGATCAATTTGTCGATTCCCGAATTGAATTTATCTAAACCAATAGACTATGATTCATCCGAGGTACTTGACGAATTTATTCAAGATGATGAAGAGAGAATGAACACTTTTGATGGTGAGGATATCAACCGTTTACAAGAGAAGCTTCAGAAGAGAACACCTAGTTCGGCAAATAGAAGGAGATATTCGTGACCCTTGCAAGAAAAAAAAAAAAAGCATTACAGCTTTTACTCAATTCTCTCTCTCTCTCTCTCTCTCTCTCTCTCTCTCCCTCTCTCTCTCTCTCCCTCTCTCTCTCTCTCTCTTTCTCTCTCTCTCTCTCTCTCTCTCTCTCTCACTCACTACTGCTGGTTGTGCCTTCTTACGTTACTTCTGAGCCATGATCTACTTTGACTATAATGGTATGGTCTCTCGTGGTACTAATGATTATGATGATACTTTTGGTACTGCTGTTGTCCCAATCATTGCTGCCTCTTCTTCTGCTGCTAAGGAAGATGCTTAGTCCCACAAATCGGTGACGGTCAAATCCAAGCTACTACGATTTGTATTGTTGTTCGATTTTGCTATTTTTTGCTATTTTTTAATGCTAGTTGCCCGCCATTTATTTATTTTATTGCTTTTATGTTTATTTTTTTCCTTTGGAGTTTTATTCAAATCATTAGTTTGCACTTCTTCTTTTTCCCCTCCTCCTATATTTGACCCTACTCTAGTTTTGAAAGAGATCATAACTTTTTTTTTTTCACATACTTTAACATTGTTTTTTGTTTTTTTTTATCTCTGTCTCTCTATTTCTCTATCTTGATGATTGCTTTATTTTTGCTCTGCTTTGATTTTGTTATCTGTCATTATATCTTACTACTCTTTTGAATATTCTTGGTTTTGTTTTTACATATCTTGGGTTTGCTTTATTATTATTATTTTTTCTGGACTCCACATTTATTGTTCATTTTTAGGTATATAAATAGATATACATTCTTTTGGAAATGATAGTTTTATTCTTTCTTATTGTTTAAGGCATATATATGTTGTGTTGTGTAGCAGCATACATGAGCTGGCTAAAAAATCAAAAAAAATCACAAAAAAAATTAGGGGACAAAAAAAAAAATGCCAAAGGGTGTGTGGTATGTATGTATCTATCTATCATAAAACTCCATGCACATTTTGGGAGATTTTTATAATTGATTTATTCCCCTTCTAGTCATTGTTGTTTGTCATTCTTTTTATCGAATAATAAAATTATTAACCCTCCCCCTCTTCCGTTTTTTGTTCATTTATTTATTTATTTTTTATTCATTTGGATCAACAATATAGTATCACCAAATGGGGGTCGCAGACTTATTGACCAACACCCAGGCCGACGCTGGCAACAAATCCGATTCATACTATAAGCTCAAGCTTTCGCCATTGCGATACAAGCTTCGAGCTATGTTATTGCCCATCATCGCTGAGGAAACCCGAATGGTGTTCAAGATTCAAAAACGGCTCCGGTGTGATTTCTTGGACGTGTATTTTGCCTGGAGCGCCAATTTGGCATCGCACACGTTTTACGTGATCATGTTACCGTTGCCGTTCTGGTTTGGGTTTGTTGAGATCACCCGGGATTTGGTATGGGTGCTTGGGTTTGGGATATTCATTTCCGGGGTGGCCAAAGATTATTTCTGTCTTCCACGTCCCCAATCCCCACCGTTGCATCGGATCACCATGAGCGGGTACACTGCCAAAGAGTACGGGTTCCCATCGTCGCATTCTGCCAATGCCACCTCGGTGACGATGGTGTTGTTCTATTACTACTTACAGTTCTATTTTGCGGAAATGGGGTGGTTCCCGAACCTTGCGGTGTCGCTATTTGTCGTGGGATACTGTGTGAGTTTGATGTTTGGGAGAGTTTATTGTGGGATGCACGGGTTCATGGACGTGTTGGGCGGCACGTCAATTGGGGTATTTTGTTTCATTTCTCGGTTGCAAATCTCGAAGATTTGGGACCCATTACTTACCAGCGACCAATTCCATTGGTGGCTCCCGGTAGGAGTGGTGGTGTTTGTGGGGTTATCCGTGCATTTCCATGCCCAACCCGTCGATGATTGTCCGTGTTTTGATGACTCGGTGGCGTTTATTGGGGTGTTGCTCGGTCTTGAGTTGTCGAATTATTATATGGCGAAATACGATTATTTCAAACAAGTGGTGGATCCCGCGGCTGGGGTGACTTCGACGGTGACGTTGCCTTATTCATTTGAATCATTGGGGTGGTTCAAGACTATTGCCAGGGTGGTGGTGGGGGTAGGACTTGTGGTGGTATGGAAAGCGGTGAGTAAGAAATTCTTTCTTCGGTTATTGACCCCAGTTTACGGGATGTTGGGGGTGTACATCCCCAGGAATTTTGTGAATCCCGTGAGTTTATCGAATGAATCGTACGACAATATCTATCAAAGTTCAATGAAGAGGCTCGATGAGGATGAAGTCGCCGATTTCCCAAAGTTTGTCAAGAGTATCACCCAAAGACCAACGCAGGTCGAGGATCAACAAGGTGATAATCCTCCAGAGTCCATTGGCACACATAAAAAGCATGATGATGATGGAGAAGAAGCAAAGGGTCATAAAGGGGTGTTGGAAACTTGTGGGGCGTTGAAGCCAAGGTATGATGTGGAAATCGTCACCAGATTGATTGTGTACGCAGGGATTCCGTGCATGGCGACGGTTGGATTTGCGGTGGCGGTGAAATTATTGGGACTCGATTACCAACCTTATAAAGTATAGTATAGTATAGTGTAGTAGATGGGGAAGGGTGGTTTATATCATTGAGGTATGATTTCTGAAATATTTGCTTATTAGTATTCAAGTATGTTTTCCAGTATCTTTGTTATCAATTACTACTATTGGGAATACGATTTCCAGGATCCTTTATTTATTTTTATCCAAGATTCAATTCATTACGAGAATAGAAAAGTGCTAGTTTTCATTTTAAAATAAAAAAAAAAAAAAAAAAACCTTATGCTACAAATAGTTAGCTTATTTTATATATATACATATATATATATCTTGAAGGATAGCTCAAATTATTGATATCATTGTGGTACCTTTTTTTTTTTCCCCTTTTTTTTGTCTGCTAAAGTTTAGTCATATAGTATAGAATTTGTTTGTGAAATATCTGCTTTTTTTTTTTTTCATTTCTTCAAATGTACTAGTAATTACTTGTTAATTGAGATAATGATTGAAACTGTGGGTAGTTATTAGACTTTTTGGGGCTGAAGTTACTGCTAATTTTGATGATTCTGTTATGCTGGATGGTGGATTCTGTAGCATAGGTATCATAGATACTGTTCCCAGCATAAAAGAGATCACACCAGTGATCACAGATACTGTTGTTAATGACCTAGGACACTATCTGTCATTAATAATTTTTTGCAAGATATTCTAGTATTTAGAAGAATTCTCTTAGATTTTCCAGAACATCTATTCCTGTCATATTCTATTACTTTCTATTACTTTCTATTACTTTCTATTATCCTCTATTACTTTCTATTACTTTCTTTTACTCTCTATTATCCTCTATTATCTTCTAGAACTATTCGATTGTTCTAACAGAAGATCGAATTATTCAAATGGAGAGATCTCTGTCGTTTTTTTCCATTTTATTATTCTTATTTTAAAAGAGATGCTCAAACCTTTGCAAAGTATTTCATACTTTACTTTAACAAATGATTTTATATTTCATTCGATACAATCATTTAGTAGATCTAATTTTCTTACAAGGCTCTCAATCCGTGGATTAATACAAGACCAAGCTAAAATTACAGATTCTTTAATAGTAACAGTCTAAAATAATTGTTTGCTAAATATTTTTTTTTGATAGAAACACACAAACAACATTGCCAATACATGGATGGGTCCCAAAAAAACCGGATTCCAGAAATGGAACATCACAACGAAGTTATCATAATAAGTTTACCAATTGCATTGAAATTGTTTCAAAATAGGAACTGTGAGTACTTCCAATTTCAGGAAAGGTTTTTTTTTTTTTTGGTCTTCTTTCTTCTTCCGAAAAAAAAACCTTATAAATAAGCTATAGCAATCAATATATACGAGAGAGAGAGAGAGAGAGAGAACCAGAATTGCCGTGGGTGGGTGGGTGGGCTGTTGTTGTTGTTTTTCACCATAGAATCAATTAAAATCGTGTTGGAGTCTGTGTGTAGGATGGTGATATCATTTTTCCCCAAAACCCTAATCCCTCAGCGAAGAGAATATGATTACCAGAGAGAAAATCCGAGGATTTACTTGCCAAAAAAGCTTACATTGTTGTTACCCTTAAACAGTACAGCGAATACGCGGGAGGGATTTGATGCCTCGCTAATTGTTATGCAATTACCACTATAAGCGATATATAGATAGATAGATAGAGATATATGCTTATGGAGTAGTACGTATACGCTTGGGAAAAAACAAAAACAAAAGCAAAAACAGAGAGCCCACACCCTGACTCTCCTTGTTGAACACGATCTCTACTAATTACTTATAGGACTGTTTGTTTAAAAATGAGGACTGATTCTTCTTATATATCTATATCTATATCTATCTATCTATCTATCTAACATTATATTCAAACATTATATTCAAAATATGATATTTTACAACACTGATAATTCTTGCCATAGCACCCACCCTCTACGCATGATGGATGGATGCACTCAGAACTTGCTTTGCACTACTTTACTTTCAACATCACCCCCCCTCTCTCTCAAAAAAAAAAAAAAATAAAAAAAAGATATGCAGTTTTTTGTAAGACAACATTTTGTAATTTTCGATCATTATGAGATCAATTGAAACTTCTGTGATTCCAAAATAGACAGAGACATGTTGTCATTCATGCAAGAGAGTATACTTCTTTTTTGGCCGTACGCCATGCCCATGCCACGGCGATGATGATGCAGGTGGGAAACCATTATTATTATTATCAACTAGACTAAACTAACTGTCTTCTATGTTTTATTATTATTATTATTATTATTATTATTATTATCATTATTATTATTATTATTATTATTATTATTATTATTATCTTGACAAAGATTCATATTGGGGTGTTATTGTTGTTTTTTGCTTTTTTTTTTTTTTCATGAAGAGATGGGACAATAAGAAAAACATCATTTGGTACATTCTTGAAACAAAAAAAAAACCTATGAGACAAAAAAAAACTCCGTTCAGCTTCAACATATGAAATAAGCCACCACTGTCTGCACTGATAAAAGCACAAACAGACAAACAAATAAAATCAAAAAAAATCAAAAAGAAGGGAAGGGAAGGGAAGGACCAGAAGAGAATAAAAACTCGTAGGAGCATCTGTAGTCGGGAGGAGGAGGGCGGGCATAAGCCCAAGGGGGGATTATTATAATCGGGGTGGGATAAAAATAAAATAAATATATCATGGTGGTGATGTCGAACGTATGTAAGTAAGTAAGTAAGTAAGTAAGTAAGTAAGTAAGTAAGTTAGTAAGTATTCGACTGAAAAAATGTAAACTCCTCTTCTCGGAAACTAGTTGGAAGAAAACCCCTCCCTCCCCCACAAAGTGTTAAAAGAAAGTCCCGAGGATTACACGAGTTTCAATACAGGACACCTATTGTCATGGGAATATTTTGAAAGACTACCCAAGTGATGTTGATACTTGAAACACTTTTTGACGTAAAAGTGAGAAAACCATTTAGCGTAGCAAGCAAGGAAAAAAGTTACGTTATAACAAAAAAAGAGACTTATTGGATTTTAAAACCAACTAACTAACACCGGTTGATTTAAGCTATAGTTGACTACACCCTAATAATTGTTGAATCAAATTTTTAGGGGGGACACTAACGACCCATACACGGTGATCGGTGGGAACAGTCGACGATGGATCATGATTCTAGACTAGATAGATACTACACACTGATACGTTGCACATTTCTGTATCCAACACACCTCCTGTGAACCGCCCTATAAAAAATAAATAAAAATAAAAATAAAAAATAAAAAAAAAATAATTTATCACACCTTCTTTATCTTTATCATTATTTATATGTGTCATTCGATAAGCCAAATCATGCCAAGTGTCATCACAAAGCATCATCCTCCCCGAGTAAACCATTCAATATAAATTAGTGCTGTTGTATGAGGGGTGTTTTTTTTTTTTTTTTTTTTTGATTTGTTTAAAGCTAGTGAAAAGACGTTTTAGTTTTTAGCGCAGCCTACCTAGCTCAGTCCTTGAATCAAACGACGATCAATTTTTTTTTATTTTTTTTTTTTTTTTTTCAACACGAATGCAATGGGCGTTAAAATCGTTGTTAAAAAGAACAGTTATTTCAAGTGTTTCTATTTAAGGAAAGAAAAGATGGGCTTTTTTTTTTTTTTTTTCTGCCCATACCATTGCAAAAATCCTTTCCATCTTAGGAAACTGAAAATCGGCGTTGATCAAAAACAAACATATCGCCATGAATCAAATCTAAAATGGCATCTGTCTCATTGGTGTGTGTGTGTGTGTGTGTGTCGATCAAAAAAAGCACTAGATAACCTTTTGATCAGCGATTTGAAACAACAGCAACCACCATGATAGTGTCAAGAAAAAACCCCCATTGGGAAGAAAAGATAGATACCGGAATACTGATAGGGGTGGGGAGGGAAGAAAAGAAAGAAAATCGCATTGTCAAATGGTGATTGATGCCTTGCGGATTTGCAGCGCTGTATCATGAAGGCATTTACTGACACACACACACTCCCTAATAGGAAAACCGTTTTCCATGTATTACTGGTTTCCTGATGATGATCAACAGTGATTTATAATAGAATGGTATGGTTATGGTTGTTAATAGGATATGGTGGTATATTATTATTATTATTATTATTATTATTATTCTTGGAGGTCCTGAAATTGTATGGCCGATTGATTCTCCAGGCCTTATGTTGCAAAGACACCACCACCCCCCTTCCTCCCCCACGCCAAAAAAAGGAAATACGCCAAACGAAGGATATAAACTTTTTTTTTTTTTTTTCTTCTTCTTCTTGTTCTTAACAATTTTGCCGAATACTTGGAGAACTTGAAACAAAACAGACGGTGCCTTTGCTCTCCCTCCTCTCCCCCCCTCCCTCCAATGTGCTTTAAATCCCCATCAACAATCTGTTACAAGTATCGTTGTCGCTGTCGTCGTCTACCGGCTGGTGGGTGGCATGGATGACTTATGCAGACCCACACTTTCTGACGCATGGTGTATGCAGCGTCCCTGCTGCCGTATCGAGTAAAATTCTCCCTTCTGCTGAGAAAGAAAGAAAGGAGGGTAAGATGTAACCCATCAGTTCTCGACGCGCTACGCTACAGAATTGTGTGTGTGTGCCTCTTTACTTATTATATTAGAGGTGTATTATGATGACTATGTACAAGGGCGAGCGAGAGGCAGAGAAGGAGGGAAAAAAAAAGCCACCTGTATCATGATCACAGATATTTGAGGCAGGCAGGCAGGTATAGAGATTGAATGGAATCACTGATCGGGAACGATATATATATATATATATATGTATATGGGTTCCTCCTGTTTGGTTTTTTAATCTTTTGTTTTACATCCATCCCTTCCTCACCACCCTGGGATATATTACTGTACCATCCATCCCTTTTCATTCTTATTTATTTTTTTTAAGGGAGGAGGAGGAGATCCAAACTCTGTTTCATTTTTATTATTATTTACACTCATCCTAGTTTCAAAAACAAACCATATCTAAATTGAATAACTGTAAGGATTGGAATTACCATGAAGTAGAAAGATACGGGAGATTTAATTGATCGATGATAATAATAATATTTGTTGTTGTTTGAACATATATATGAATACTTTCGGTTAAGTACCCAACCAGGGATCAATCCCATACAAACAATTTTAGTATTATATAATATTATATATACATGATCTAATGATCTTATTCATTCGCAGGTATCTGTTTTTTCTCGTAAAATGTGTATAGATCGACATGGATAACCGATTATTTTTATTGTGGTTGTCAACTCTCTTTTGTTTTGCTCTTTCCCTAAGAATAGAGAAACCTGTCAAGGGTCGGGAACTAATTTAGTGTTCCCTGGATGTGTCTTTATCTGTCTGTCTGTGTTTGTGTTTGTGTGTTTTTTTTTTATCTCTCTAAGGAGATAGATAGCAGGGATGATAAAGAACAGGATTCATAATTAACTGTCGCCTATTTTCCTTTAATTTTTCTCTATTGTTTTGAAGGAGATACACAATTGATGATGATGATGCAGTCAGTCCTCATAGATCTCGTAGTTTATCTATGTCTACAAATTAAGATATAAAAAAAAATGTCAGACAGGAGTAATGGATTATATTTTCCCTGAAGAGAAAAAAAAAATATATATATATACATATATAGATACAAATATTTGTATATACATCCATCTTAGATTAATCCGCCGCAATCCCTTAGAATAACAATAAAAAATAAATTTCCCACCCATAATATATATATATATACACACATACATACCGACAGGTATTATTCTTATATCTGTATCAGGTAATATTCACATATGTACGGTTTATTTTTATCGAACATAATTGCCACCTACACCTACGCCTCCTCCAAAGGTCAACCGAATAAGAATAATAATAACAAGAATATGAATATGAATAAGAATATGAATAAAAGAGAAATGCTCAGGGTAGTTGAGTAGCGGCCGGAATTTACATTACATACTTCGTGGGGGCTTCTTATTGTAATATTTTTGTTATTGTGGCTATATTTTCGATTACATCCCCCTCTTTACATTGTTATCGTTACACTGCTGACATTTTGAAGGATAATGAAAATAATAAATAATTTTTTTTTTTTAAAAAAAAAAGAATAACCATCATCATCATTATTATTATTATCACCATCATCACACCATAATATGTATTAGTATTATTATTATTATTATTTATTATAATTAGTATTTTCCCAATTAACCCATTCTCTTAAGGATAAACTGTCAGCAGCCGTCCGGTTGGCTGGTACACTTGTTTCTGCCTAACAACCCTCCTTCCTTCCTTGCCTGCCTGCCTGCCTGCCTGCCTGCCTGCCTGCCTGCTTGTAAAAGGGCAGTGTCAGTGCTCCTAAAGGACACCCTACACCTACACCCACACACCCACCAGGATCTAGAATCCAATCGATCAATGCGTAAGGGAGGACAGGAGGGGGTGGAAGCCTTCCTGCGGAGTGCTGCGCCCGACAAGCAGAAAAAAGGAGATCGTCGTCGCTCGGTCGCCCAAATCCTTTTTGCCTGCAAGTGGCTGTGCGGTGCTGCACGCGCCGTCCGAAAAAGAAAAAAACCCATTAATTAAATTAAAATCTCACGAAAGCTTAATTTCGGGGCAATTTTCCAATTCAAATTTTCTGATCGCACACACGATATATAAATATATATATATTCATATTCACATATAATTTTTTTTTCCCCAGGGTAGATTATATAAATATAAATTGTGACGCCTTAGTTTTCTTTTTTTTGGTTATAATTCGAAACAACAAGACAGATCAGTCATCCTTATAAGATAATCAAGGTTGAGAAGAATAACTCATAATACCTTATACTATACTATATCATATTATATTATATTATATTATATTCATTATACCTTTCACACACACACACACACATCATTAGAGAAAGTAACGTAACACTTTTTCCTTTCCTCATACCATATCCACCCACACACATTCATGAATATATTATTTTTATAACATGTCCAAACTATATCCTATCCAACTAGTGCAATCAGAATTATCAATCCACACTAAAACCATCAATGAATATCACGATGAATTGTCGGTTAACCTCCAAGACATTTCTCAATTGTATAGACCAGACATTTCATTGATCAAGTCGCAACCAGAATTGACCCTTGATCTTCGTGCCCCACTCTTGGATTTCCTTTTCAAAGTGACCAAAAGAACCAAACTATCTCCAGGAATCTTTTACGACGCCGTGAAGTTATTTGATAGATACTGCTCCAAAAGAGTGGTGCTCAAGTCTCAAGCCCAATTGGTCGGGTGTACTTGTATTTGGATTGCCGCGAAACACGAAGGTGGTTGCAACCATATTGTCAGCTCTCTCAATAAACCGATTCCAAATAGATGCCAGGGCCCTACCCAAAGAAGCCGGATCCCTAGAGTCATTGAATTCGTCCAACTATGCGGGCCATCATGTGGATACGACGAAGGGATGTTCATCCAAATGGAAAGACATATCTTGAACACTTTGGAATGGAGCGTGTCGCAAATTTCCGCTTACAACTGGTGTTTCAACCTTCATGAACTCCAGTTGATGAATGATTCTATCGATGGTACCATCGCTTCCGATCATCAAAAAATGTTTTTTGTGAAAAGCTTCATTATCGAGTTGAGTTTGTACTCTGGTCACTTTATCATGGCCGACCCTGCCAATTTGGCAAGATTGATCAAGAAGTTGTTGTCGATATTGATTCTCAATGAAGAAAGTCATTTCAACATCAAGCCTAACAATTTACAAAAAATCTTGGATGATAACAAGACCGATGCTACTACTAATACTACCAATAATGATGATAATAATACTTGTGGCCAATCCAAAGACTCGTTGTCGTTTTATACCGGGACTAACGATAACGACGAAATCAACCGTCTTATTTATTCGATCGCCACGGTTTCCAATACCATTTTCCAAAACTATACCAGCACCGACTACAAAGAAATCAACGAGATGATCCATAAGATCCATAAAGTGGCGGTGTCACACATCATGGCGCTCAAAGAAGAAGAAAAAGAAATCAAGCGTCAACAAGAGTTGTATCATCACCAACAACAAATATACCTCAACCTCTCGACTAACTCGTCAATGACCAATCCTCATAATAATAATAATAATAATCATCATCATCATCATCATCAATCGTCTGGCCACCCTATCCCAACACCATCGTCTTCGCCGCATTATGATCCCGAAAGAAGTCCTGATGGATATTCCTCTGCCTCGTCGTCAAATTCCGACTACGAAGATGGATACTCGACTTTCAGTAGGAAAGGCAGTGAGACTACGATATCGTCAGTGATTTCCAGTCCGTTACCATCGCCTGGGTCCACCAATCAGCAAAAGGAAACCCATGGTAGTTATTTGAGTAGATTGGTGATGAGATCTTGATTAGGAGAGAATGAGTTTTTTTTCTTTTCTTTCTTTCTCATATACAGAATATCCCCTCCTCCTCTATTATTGCTGCTGCTTTTCTGTTTTTGGTTTACTCATATTAGTCATTCATTTTGCTGCTACTTGCTTATTATCTGCTTATTCTTTTTGTTTTAAAGTATTTCCTTGAAGAAATACAATTGTGATGATCATTACTTAACGAATCTTTATTATATTTTTTTGTTCTTTTTTTTTTTTTTTTTCGATTTTGATTTTGTCTTTAGTTTTTTTTTAGTTTTGTCAATTGTCATTAGAATATTTATTGCTTGCCTGTCATTTCATTCATTCATTTAAATTATTCAACTGCTGAAACTATTTTTTTTTTATTTTATTCTTCGAATTTTAGAAATGGGTTTTTTTCTGAGCAGTATTATAATTATTATTATTATTATTATTATTATTATTACTACTACTTACTATATTATCCATTATTATTACTTATTCATTACTATATTATTTATCAGTATAACAACCTGTTATAGTTTACTTCTTCAATTGACAACAACCAACAAGTGTTTGAAACATCGATCCACCATTTCCATGTATTATTATTATTATTTTTATTATTATTTTTATTATTCTTATTGTTCCAGCCAGAAGATCCGCACTGTTGGGAGAAGAAGTCAACGTTTATTTGGACACAAACTCTGTTGTTGCATGCAAGCGATGTCAATTGGCAACCGGTTGTACACAACCAATGGTTGTAGCTCTCTATTGTATATATATATATATATAACTCTACCAAAAATACCCTACCTACACTGCGGTTCCAGTCTATAATCAAACTAACACAAAACCTTCACTCGAATAACTATATAAACGAATATAAATAAGTCATTATAAGTTAAGGACGTACTCCGCATGATACAGTTACAGTAGTGTAGTAGGCGGATTGATTCTCATACCAACATATTTTTTTTGTTACTGTAACAATCTAATATATATATTTTATCCTTACGATTATTTATTACTATTAAAGTTATCTCTGCATTATCAATTACGAAAAATCAATTATTGGGGGAAAAAAAAAAAGTCTAGAATATCAAAACACCGGTTGTTGTTGTATAAGGTAAGCAAGGATCGAAGATCCCACTCTGTTGTTTGGCTTTTGGGATGGTCCTTCTCAACCAATGTAGTAGGCCAGCTACCACATCTAGGGTTGGTGGTTGCTGGACAATAGGTAAGGGATTATCGGACGTACAATGTGTTGTTCAGTATGGGAATTAATTTATCCCAACGAACGTCGTTATTGGTTTGTGTACACTATAATACTACTGCTACTTATGGTTTATCCATGGAAGAAGTTTGTTTACCAATTGGTAAGAAAAAGAAAAATAGCTGGCTGCCTATTAGCCACCTACTAACTACCTAGCTACCCAGCTACCTACCCCCTGTATACCCTGTATACCCTGTTGGAGAAAGCAAAAAAACCCTGGAAAAGTTCTTATTGGAAGATTTTCTTTCTTCAGAGGGTTCTTTTTTTTCTTTTTTTTTCTTTTTTTTTTTTTTTTTCGCTTTTCTTTTCCAGCGAATAAGACCCCAAAAGGAGAACAAATGTTTATTCTTTGGGATGAAAATGAAAAATGAAAAATAAAGATGACAACAAAAATAAAAATAAAATAAAAATATGGTGTGACAAACTGGAAAATTTCTGGGGGTTTTCTTGTTTTTTGTTTATTTTCCACCCTGCACGTTAAATAATGGATTTTTCAAAGAGAATAAAATAAATAAATAAATAATATGGACTGATATTCCAATATTCTCATTCACTATAATGATATTATTTTATCATTGATAGATAGATAGATAGATACATACATACATAATATTAGTCATTGAAAAAGAAAGAAAGAAAGGGACACCGAGTTGATTATTATTATTTCATTACCGTGATTAAATGAGTTTTTCATTAACCATCATCCATCGGCCGCATCATATCCTTTTCCGGAGCGAGCTGATGATTTGATTGATTGATTGATTGATTGATTTATTATTATAATCGTAAGTAAGCCAATAATGATTATTATTTCTCTCCCGGATCAATGGTAACCCCCCGCTATTGTCAACATGGGAGATAGTATTATCTACAATTGAAGAAGAAGAAATAAAGAAATAAATAACCGTTTCCCATCAAAGTATTCACCAAGTTTGGGCCCGGCCGGCACTTGAAAAACAAAAAAACACGGTGAGTATGATTTACGACTCGAGCAAATCTTTTTTGACAGTTTTCCGTAATTATTAATTTTTAATTTGATTGATTAATTTAATTTAACCTCTCGAGAATCATATTGTTGAAAGGTTAAAAGTTTAATAAACAAAAAAAATCAACTGGGAATGCAAAACGAACTATCGTCAATCTTTCATTGGGAGAAATGAATAAATCTACAGGAGGTAAATGAGGAATGTGCTATTTAGCGAAACACAGGAGGATGAAAATATTACGGCCGAGTCAGTCAGTCAGTCAGTTAGTTAGTATTTAATCAGTTGTCTCATAATTAAATTATTTATTATGTTTTGTTTTGTTTTTTTTGGTGGATATGTAAGTTAATAATATCATTACAACCAACCGGGCAGGAAGGAAGGAAGTAATTGATGGATAATATGATATGGGTGGGTCGATATTATAGATCTCAACAATACAATACGAATGCCGGTGTTTTTTTTTTTGTTTTTTTTTTTCTTCTTTGTGTTGTGTTGTGTTGTGTTGTGTTGTGTTGTGTTGTGATGTATTTTTGCTCATTGACAACCGGGGTTGAGATTTCCTTTTCAGAATTTTAAATTTTTTTCATCCAAGAAGGAAGAAACCGTAATCAATAAATGAAAAAAAGTCCTTTAAATGAGAATGACACTTTGGACCACCAGCAACAACAGAGAATGTGAGAGAAAAACGAACCAAATAATCAATTCCCAAGTCAAAAAAAAAAAAAAAAGTGAGGCTGTAATTGATTATGATAAATTACAATCAAAATCTACAAAAACATTATTATCTGTCATCCGAATTATTATCATTATTATTATTATTATTATTATCACCCCGAAGGTCAAGATACAAAGAAAAAGAAAAAAGAAAAAGAAAGTGTAAACAAAAGAAAGAGAACACCCTGGTAAAAAAAATAAAAATAAATAAATAAATAAATAAATAAAATAAATAAATCAAATAATTAGACTTCGTGTCAGTGGTTAGTTAATTTGATTAATTGATTGATTGATCGTGGTAATTTACGCACGTTCTGACATGAGTTTGATCAACCATCTAATTTACTTACCTTTACCTTTACTTTACCTTTCTTTCCACACACACACACACAGCACACTCTTTATTTTATATTATTTTATATTATTTTATATTACTTTATATTATTTTATATTATTTTATATTATTTTATATTATTTTATATTATTTTATATTATTTTATATTATTTTATATTATTTTATATTATTTTATATTATTTTATATTATTTTATATTATTTTATATTATTTTATATTACTTCATTTCTCATTTCTCATTTCTCATTTCTATTGTTTCCCTCTCCAACCAAATGGATTAACAACACTATTAACAAAATGTAAATCAGAGATAGTGTGACAGAAAGTGACAGAAAGTGACAGAGAAAGAAATAAAAAATAAAATAATATGACATGATAATATCTAAATTACTAATTATATGTGAAAAAAAAAAAAAAAAAAAAAAATACCCTCTAATTATCATTACAATTTATCTTCATTTTGATCTTCTCGAGTGGATTAAAAATTGAAAATTGAAAATTGAAAATTAAAAATTAAAAATTCTCGGTGTCAAAAATTATTGGCATCGTGCATATTTAATTTAAGGAGGGTGTGTGTATCTTGGTGTCACGAGTGACTATAAGTATTATTATTATTATTAATTATCAACAAAAAATAAATAAAAATAAAAAAAAAGGGGGGGGAAGACCGTCTTTTAAATTCCTCAAGTAACTACTAAGTATCAATTCATCCATCCTAATGAATTATCATTAAATTATAATTCCCCATTCATATTTCAAATATCTCTTCTTACAATCCCATACCATCCCATATCAATCAACAGAAAACAATAACAATCTAAATAGCATTTTGTATCATATATATATATATATATATTATAAAAAGAAAAAAAGCGAAAACTAAACTAAAAACTGCAAAAAATAAAACAATTAAAAACCAAAAAACCCACCATATGAAAAAAAAAAACTGCAAAAAACTGCAAAAAATATCTATATATAATAAAATGATGAAATGAAATGAACTTTTAAAGAAAACTGATTAAAACTTGGTATTGATCGAAAGTTTTGTATTATTATTATTATTATTATTATTATTATTATTATTATTATTATTATTATTATTATTATTATCATTATTCTCTGGATTTTCTTTCATCACCACCGTTTCTCCAATTATTGGCAATGATTTAAGATTAACGTCACTATTGTTGACGCTCAATGTTTGCGGCGTCTGGTTTGACATCATCGAGGTACTCGATCCACTGCCACTAGGAAATTTGACACATCCTTCTTCGGAGGGCTCGTACGGATTAAGACATGGCGATACACTAGTAGATCGAATTTGTGATGAGTAACTAGCTTTGTCATCTAACACAAGACCAGCCGTCGCTTGTCCAAGAATATTATCCAACTTGGTGGTTGTTTCATCCTCATTATCACTAGAAGATTCTGAAGATGACGAGTTTAAAGTGGCATGTGATCCCATCATCATAGTATTGTCATCATGATTATCATTATCTAATTGAAAGTACCAATACTCGTTATTGTCTTCATGTATTTCGTCATTATTTTCTTCGTCAGTTCGTGATCCTTCATCATCATCATCGTCATCTTCCTCCTCCTCCTCCTCCTCATCATCTTCATCATCATCTTCATCATCATCATCATCAGAGCCATAATCATGAGCATTCGACTCGACTTCATCATCAGAATTAAACGAAGTATGAACTGGCGAAGTTGTTTGAGGAGAGTTACTGAATTGTACAATATCATTAACATCATTAATATTGACTTGCTGATGCGACGAAAATCTTGATGGTCCAACACCATGCTTGACATTTGCCAAGCTACGCGCAGAAGATATCGAGGAACTCGCTCCCATCATGATGGCTGCTAACGATGCAAGATTTCTTCCGTCATTGCCCACCCCATTGCCCGCCAGAGAAATTCGCTGCGGGGTGCCAGGCTCACTTGGTGATTCAATGTAGAAATTGGTGTTCTTCTTTCTTTTCTTCAAAACATCGTCCTGTTGACGTGACGACGTACGAGTAAGCCTCCAAAGATCAACCAATTCCGGGGATATCATTTCTCTCTTCTTCTTCTTTCTCAAAATATCCTCCTTGTTGACCGCAAAAAACCAGTCGACATCCGCATCATACTGGTACATATTCCAATCTACACCGTATGGCTTCGGTTCAAGAACGTAAACACAATGAAGTGGCACATCAAGCTCGGTGATGTAGTCTTTTTCCAAGTTCATAAAGTAAGAAAGAAGCACTCTTGCCACCACTTTATGGGTGAGTAAGAGAATATGATCGTCCATACGTTCGAGTTCGACAATCAATGGACGAAGACGATTGATAACATCAAGGTAAGATTCGCCACCGGGGAAACGATGAAGGAGTTTGCGACGCGAATTCGAGCTCAGGTACTCATCTTCGTAATAAATGGTTTGATAATTCTTGAAATCTTGAGGGAATTTTTGGGCAAATTTTTTGGGACTCATACCATTGACTTTACCATGAGATAACTCGTTGAGCATCTTGAGCTGTTTTTTGTTGAAATCACGATCATTGAAATAGTCGGCAGATTGCACGGTTTGCTTAAGCATTGACGACCAAACTGACATATGAAGTTCGGGAGAAAGACGGGAGGTCGTTGTCGTCGAAGGTTTAAGGGCTTCGTCGTCATCTTCATCTAAATACGATTCCTCAATATAGTGCTTTTTCAATTGACGAAGGCGAAACTCTTTTTTTTTGAAATTCATAAACCTTGCCAAACATTGACCATAACGTTCGCCAAGAGGAGTCAATCTAGAGCCTTGTTTAGTAAACCCAAGCTTGCCGTTGAGATTATCATAAGTTTCACCGTGGCGGGAAATCCAGATTTGTCGTTCGTTCAAGTTGAAGTTCAACATGAAAAACACCACTTGAGAACTAAGAAACCCGGAAATGTTGTACGAAGTGATTTTCTTGCCGGCGTTAATGATTTTGATGTATTGTAAGTTTTCATTAATGCTTTCGTAATAAGCCTCTTCATCATCATCGATGGTTTGGTATGCCTCTTCGTAATTGTTCAACCGGGTTTTGAAATCCTTCATTGCTTCAATCGGGTCCTTATCTTTATAATCTGGTCCACTAAGTTTCAATTTCATATTACGGTTAATGATCCGGCGATCAGTACAAATACTTTCGAGGAATAAGATCTTGAGGTTCGAGTGTTCAGGGGTCTTTTGACGGATGGCTTCGATGATATGACGACGGCGGAGTTTGGTGGTGTTGGTGGCGTCGAAAATCCCCACGGTACCATTGTCCTTGATGAGGTAATCAATGAGTTGATCCAAAGTGTCCATGGCCCAAGTTTCACGGATTTGTAACGAATTTTCATTTTGGGGATCAAAGAAACTGGCGTCATGAGAGGTGATGGTATTATTATTGTTATTATTATTATTATTATTATTATTATTATCTGATGCAGGATCGTCCATTTCAAATGGTCTGGCAGCAGGACCCTTGTTTTGTTTGGATAAACGACGAGTATTACCAACGTTGAAAATTTTGGTATTATATTGTAACCAGTTCAAGTACCTGGTGACTTTTTTAGTGAGGTATGATTTCCCTCGGGCGGGAAGTCCCACCATGACGATGACAAGCTTGGAGTTCAAATCATTGATCAAACCATTTGGGGATATTTTTGATTTTGTTTGTCCGGGGACATCGATCGATGATAGGATGCTGCTTGCGGAAGCGGAGTTTTGGTGTTGGTGTTTGAGTTTTGTTTTGCTATTATCCATGGAAAACTCCATGGTGATGTTTTCCAAAGAGTGGACGGTATGAAGATCGCTGGAAGATTGGACAGACATTAAGCGCTGGATGGTTTCTTCAATAGCCGCCTCATCAAGGACGGGTCGCTGGCCATCGCGGTGATGATTATTGTGTGTCATTTTTTCTTTTTCTTTGTTTGTTTGTTTGGTGAAGTTTGTGCAAAAGAGACGTGAAGATGAAATATATTGTATTTATTTATAAAGTATTACGGATATATATTAGTCACTGGCCATGATTAATGAGAAGGAAACAAGGAAAGAAAGAAAGGAAGAACTAAAAACTCTGAAATAAAAAGAAAAGGAAAAAGGAAAAAGGAAAAAAAAAAAAAAAAAAAAAAAAAAAAAAAAAAAAAAAAAAAAAAATGGGTGAGAAACAAAGAACAAGGGCTTCCGGTCAGTCAGCTGTGGGTGTACGATGTATGTCATAATAATCCTCCTCCTCCTCATCACATCAGCGACCGATGGTGCGGGAGAACAAAATTTTCCGTCACCAGGCGGTGGAGCCATCAGTCAACATCCTCTCCTGGTGTCCCAGCGGCAACGGCAGTGGTGGGACGGTCATCCAGGGTGGGGGTGGCGGACGAGGGGAAGCTGCCGCCGCCGGAAAAACCTTGGGGGTGGTGTTGTCACCCCCTCGGAGATTCGGAGACGCCCCAAACAGGAAACCGCAGCTGAGTCATCTCGCAGTCACGTGGAGTGGAGTCGGTCACTCTCCTTTCTCGCCTCTATCGTAGCGACACTGCGGATTGTTCGTGCGATAAGGTCGATAAACAGACAGATAGGTAGATAAATAGCTATATGGTATTGTCATGTTTTGTTTGGCTCAAAACCGCAAGATATTGAAAATATCTTTATCAACAACCAACAATACCCTATCCTTTGTAATACTGACAACCGCCATAACGTGGTTACATCGCAGTAGTAGCTGAGCGGGGCAGAAAAAAAAAAAAAATTGAAAACCATCCTGACATCATATATTATTATCGATAACCAATAATAAAAACAAAAACCAAACCAAAACAATATATAACAGTATGTAGAAAAATATTGGTGCCTAGTGAAGTCACCATAAATGGATATATAGAAAGAAAGAAAGAAAGAAAGAAAGAAAGAAAGAAAGAAAGAAAGAAAGAAAGAAAGACGAAAAAAAAATAAAAATGAAAAAATAAATTGAATTGTCACAATATATAGTAGGGCAGTACATATTTTTTTTGTCTTTTATTATGTTTTGCTATCCAAAATTTGCCACTTACTCTGGAAATAACCATCCAGCAGTTCTCAAAACAATAATTGGCAAATTGTGTATATCAGCAATCTTTTCAGATCCCGGAATACGTTCGAATATGTCCCGGGTGATGGTCCTTCTTAAATCTCAATAGATTCAAAGTACTACTGCTGCCCTTTTGTATAATCTCTTCGAGATTCGATGTCGATCGACTAAAACTCATAAGCGGTCTCTTTGGTTTCCCAGTTGACCCAGCCTTATTACCGCCACCACTTTTGTAATTCTCAAACTCCTCGGCTATTCTAGATTCTCCTCCACTACTACCACTCCCTCCACTACCAACACTTATCGCTTCACTCTTGTTGCGTTGATGCAGCCGAGTCTTCTTACCTTCTTCATTGCCAGTCATAGTACTGAGCAAATTACTGAACAGACTATTACTATGCGATCTGAATGACGTTGGTCTTTTCTTCGCATGAATCTGATCCGGATTAAGTAAATTGAACGAAGAACTCGAATTAGAACGGAAAGAAACTGGCCGGGATTTAGGAGAAAGCATTGGACTATGATAATGTGCTGCTAACTGCTTCGATTCTTCCACCGTCAAATCGGAAATAAGAATCTCTGGGGCAATTCCTTGTAAGCCAACATTACTTTCACGATGTAGATTATTTACTCCAGCTTCGTTTCTTTGTTCATTCCATCCGGCAGCATCATTGGTAATTGTGCTCTCACTTCTATTATTCTCGGTAATCTGACCAAATAACCCATCAGCGTTCATCACAATGCCATCCCTAATAACAGTTTCAGAAGAAGGAGAAGAAGAGGCAGCTGCAGCAGGAGATTTCGTGGCTTCATTATTACCACACTTCAATGATCGTTTCTCAATAAACTTGGCACGTTCATTAGCCGAGGAAAACTTGAGAAGTTGCTTGAGGTATCTGTACCATAACAATAATTCTTTCTGATCGGAGAACTTGAAAGAAATCTTGTCAGTCTCATCATGAGGCCCAAACTCCTTCTCAAGGCTAGGAAGGGTATAAGATCTGGCGAATGGGGCGTCCAACTGGTCAGAAGCGTCAGAAGAAGATCGGAGAGACTCCGGAACAATGATTTTGAGATTCGATTCTTGAGGGGCACCAGTAGTATCAGCAGGAATATTTCGAGATGGGTGTTTATAAATCATCTCAAACTTGTTTTTGGAATGATCAAATGGTAAAAGAGTACAGCGATTGAGATTATAACTGGCGACCGGGGCAGCGTTTTTCAATTCAAACCCCGAGCTATTAGCCGCGAATTCAAAAAGCGACGAAACCGTGAGTAAATAAAAGCCTTTTTTGTAATTTTTCAAGAGTTTAGATTTCTTATTCAAATAACCAGTTTTGATACATTTGCTCATGAAATTATCTTTGAAAGGATATTCTATGTCACTAAGTTTCCGGGCCTTTGGTAATTCACTACCAACTTTCAAATCTTTGAGAAAGTTATGGCCATCATCTCTATCAATGAAACTATTCCATTCTTCGTAATATTTTTTGTTACCAAGGCCGTCTTGCAATATCTCTTTCATGATCAATTTATAGCTCAATTTGGTTTGTGAATCAATGACATTACCATGGGTAAGGAAACTTTTTTGGATTTCCTCGAACACGATTTTTTCGAGTGAGGCAGCGGTGGATTGTAAATTTATGTACGCCTCTTGTAAATAGTTTTCTTGTAAAATTTGGCTCTTGAGTTGATAATCTAACCGGAATTTTGCCATGAATGGGTCCTGTTTGAATCTTTTCATTGGATCAGAACCCCCGGTTGACGTTGTACTTCCATTTCCGGCTGCCGCCGCCAGAGTACCAGTGCCAGTGCCAGCCAAAGTTTCGAGATAAGCCGATAACTTCTGACCAGTAAGGGCAATTTCTTGTTTCAAATCATTACGGAAATCATCACTTAAAGTGCGAATCTCTTTAATTTTTTGATTCAAGTCTTTGCGAAGCTCTTCGAGCCTTGGGATCACGTAGTTGGTGAGCTCAGTGCTGAGCTTCAAATTAGTGGAGGAAATATTCTTGTGGTAAAGAATCAAATTGTTTGGGGCATCTTGGATAGACCCCGCGCCAAATGGCAAGAAATTTTGCAAGGCCGCCCGGTCCAATGGCTCATTAATAATTGGATAACCCTGAGTTGGTCTTCCGCGGTTGTTAACCAATTCTTCTATGGATTCCGGTAATGGCAATGTATCCTGGTAATTGAAACCGGTCGATGTGCCGTTGACAAACATTGGGAAATTGACAGCCTCGCACAAATTCAAGTGAATTTTCGACATTTGTTGGCAAGAGACCGCCAAAACTTGATAGTAATTAACAAGAGACTTCAATATCTTGATCCATGTTTGAAGTCTCAAGATGAGCTTATTGATAGGTTTGGCATTGGTTGGAAGGCCTAGATGGAATGGGGACTTTCGGTGAGTTGGCGGGAGAATCAATTGTTTCATGGCGTGTAAAGAAAGATCACTGATATCATTGGTAAGGGAACTCATTGACAATTCACTTTGGTACGGTGATTTTAAACCCATTGGGGGTCCATCGCTGGCGGCACTATTGCTGTTGGCACGATTTTTAGGAGAGACCCCTTGATCTGTAATGATGTTTGCAGCATCTCTGTAGGCGTACTCAGCAGCAGAGTTCATGATTTCTGAGTCGGTGTCACCCAGACACGAAGAGCTTTGGTAAGTGCGAGCGTCCATGGCGCCGTGGTTGAATTGGGTGATTTGTTGCTGTGGTGCAAGGTGAGGATTGAAGGGTGATGGATTGGTCGGATCTTGTTGCAATAAATAAAATATACTCGGGACTCGGGATCAAAAAAAAAAAAAAAAAGGAACACACTGCAAAAGAAAAGAAAGGAATAGAATAGAATAGAAAATAAAAAAAAAAAAAGAGAAAGAGAATTTCACTAATTAGTTGGGTGTATTGATTTAATATAATACGATTGTGACAAGACAAGTTGGTGTGATTGCTATAAATAAAATATTTCTTGGAAAAGTAGGCGATGTGGTGTTGTTTGTTTGTATACTTATTATTTATTTTTTTTCCATCTCTCCTTCTCAACAGCCCCGTTTTTCCTAGTTACTACTGTTATTATTGTAAAGCAACTAATACCTGGCATTATTTTAAAAAAAAGAAAAAAAAAAAGCAAAAATTTAAAGGGTCTTTAAAGTGAGTATATTATTCCATTAATAGAATGGCACCACCACCGGTCACCCTGGCCGATGGGCCCAGGCTTTAATTTTACCCCCTCCTGGGTGGCCCCTTCCTTCAGCTGTGCCTCATTCACACCCACGATACGATACGATACGATACACGATAAAGAAGAAACAACCACCATGGCTTTTATATATATATATATATATATATACTCACACTGGTAACTATTATATTAGACAGAATGGAAAAGGTGCTGCCCGTCCCAACAATATTAGTGATTATCAATTGGCCAAATAAAAGACTGTGTCACTTGATAATATCCCTTCAAATTAGTGTTGTTTTCCAGTACGAACATTGTTTGAACTCTTTTGATGATGTCACAATAGCCACTACTAATTCGCAGGCTACAATTGTCATCCTTCTTTGCTCATCCAATCTATATAGTCCCCAACATTGTAAGAGAAGAATCCTATTGCAAAACATCATTCAAATCAAAATGCTACTAGTTGAGCTTCTGCTTCTGAATAAAATTAGCAGAAAATACCAACGATGATTCAATTACCACCAGACTTGTTACCTGCTGACTCACAACTAAAACTACAACTACAACGGCTCCAACCGTTTCTCCTTTCCTTTGCCATTTCATTCCTAGATAATTACTGAGAAATCCTGGTAATGTTTGGGGTCCTGGTGCGGTATGGTTTGGTGCCCGTCCCGGTGGGTGAGTAAAAAAAAAAAAAAGTTGTTGCAAAAAAAACTGCCTATCTGTATAGTAGTAACTTTGTGTATATCAAACACACGGCCACCAGCAATACTACCGGGATGGATTCAAACAACTACAGGCACAATGGAGGTCGTTACATGTATCCTAACAACTCGCGATCGAGTAGCCCCCACAATGAACGATCCCGTGCTGCCTATGGTGTCCCTCCTCATCGTGGCTCAACTTATAGGAATGGCTATAACAGTCCCAACGTTACTCCAAATATCCCCCAAAAACCTGGCACTGGTGTTCTTCATTCAGCATCGTCATATATCCCCTCCCATAATGCAAATCCCCGCCAACAACGTGATGATGGCTTGGATTTGGAAGAGGTGTGGCCGGAAATTATCGATATCCCGGAAAATCAGTGGTTGTTTACCAAAGAGGATATTGTCGACAAGACCCCAACACGAACCCACCAAAAAGAACCAATAGACTACAATACAGAACTTGTGTTCCGTGGGAAAGCGGTGCTTCGTGCAAAAGAGTTTGGTAAAGGTTTAGGTCTAAGGCTACGAACTGTCCTCGCAGCACAAACATACCTCCAGCGATTCTACATGAATGTTTCGTTTCCCGAATTCCCGTATAAACAAGTGGTGGCCGCTGCAATATTTTTGGCAACTAAAGCCGAAGAAGATATGAGGAGAATAGACAGTATTGTAGCAATCCTAGCCAAGCAAGAGAATAATCGAAATGAAGAGGAATGGGGGACTTATAAAGACGCCCTTAAAATTTTGGAAAATAAATTACTAATAGTTCTTCGATTCGATCTTTTACTCCGTTTCCCGTCAGATATCTTTGTGGAGAATAACTATGCTGATTGTTTCCCAGAAATCCCAAATAAAGCCTTATATGAGGAAGGTGATTGGTTTTTCAGAACTGTGGGGTTCACCCCGGCCGTACTATTGTACAACGGTAATGAGTTGGCAGCAACTGCGTTTGCATTAATTTGTTCCAGATTGAAGCGCAAAGTTCCTCATCTCTATCTTCAAAAGAAATTTGGGGTAGGTCTTGCCAAAATTAGCGACATTATAGAGTATTTGAGACCAATATTGCGGGAATTTGTCAAGCAGCAGTTTTTCTCAAGGACCATCATCAGCAACAAAGAATACACATACGATGATTTATTGAAATACAGCTTGGAAGATTTGAAAAACATTATAGAACAAGTCGATGATGACGATCTCAAACAGGGGAATGAGGAGGCAGTTATTATTACATGGAATTCATCGTCTCAGGTAGATAATGACCTAATTCCACCTCCAACATCAGCCCCTCCTCTACCTCCTGCTCCTGCTCCTACTCCTCTGCTACCACTAGCACCTCCTGCGTCTCTCCCGCCCCCGCCACCTCCTTCAATTAATGCTGCCCGGCCTCATGCCTCAGCAAATAGATTTACTGATCATCCGGCAGATTCAGATAATAGAAGATACTACCTGGTACAAGATGGCATGGTTCCTGGTAGAACTCTTCCGGATCAACAAAAAACTAAAGACCTTGATTATTAATATATGGAAACTTAACGATGGTTTTTTGAAGGAAAATCTTGGATTGATTTGTTATTATTATCCATCCTTTTTTTCTTTCCCCCCAATTTGTCGAAAATTACACTATTTGTTTCTATGACATGACACTTCAATTCACAAGGACTCTAAACTTTCTCTATCTCATCATTTAACGATTAATGAATTTAAATTTCATGTTTTGTAAGCAGTAAAGTGATCCACTTTCCCTCTCCCACCCCCATTTTTGAATTTTTGGTTTCGAAGCCCTGGTTTTTTTCTGGAATTTTATTCATGGGAAAATCGTTAAAAGTAAACAGTGTGTGGTACCTATGTGATTATATTATATTATTATTTTATATTATATTATTCAACCTCCCATAGCGTATACATTAAGAATATGAAGCAAATAGAATCAGCAGCATTGTATAGCCCGGAAGTTCTGGCGCTCAACCACAAAATCAAAACTTTGCAGACCGAAAAGAAAATCCTTGAGGCGTCAAAAGATGAAGAAATAAACCGTCTTTCAAAAAAATTCATGAAGCTCACCCAAGAGTATCAGCTCTCATCATCATTGCAGACATTTGTGAATAGCGAGAACGAGAAATTAAAGGGGGCGAATGATGAATTGACAAAGAAACTCCGGTCGAAGTCGCGTGCCGACGAATCACAGATTGAAAAGTTGAATTGGTTGGTACATCAATTGCAAGAGAGCGTATCCGAAAAAAATTTCGAGTTGGACAGTGCAAATAATACCCAATCGATGCTTCTTACGAAATTGGAAGTTCTTGAAAAGGATAAAGTTGAAATCAGAGGACAATTACAGAATGAATTGCAAGAGCTAAGGAAGAAGAATCTTGAATTGATGCAAAGAAATAATGTGTTGGAAACCGAAATAATTGATCATCGTCATATCAAGGAGGGGCAACCACAACAGCTGGTAAATAGTACAGTATTGAACCGTGATGATTTTGACACCCTTAATAAAAGTTTGATTCAGCAAATAAATGAAAATACCCAATTGAGATCTAAAATTGCGGTTAAGGATCTTGAGTTGCAAGATGCCAAAGTTGACACCACCTTAATAAAATTACTTGAGGAAGAAAAACGTTCGCTACAAAATACCATCGAGCATTACCAGCTTAATATTGCTCGACAAACATCACGAATGGAAGAATTATTGGAAGAAAATTTGCGATATAAAAGAGAAAGAGCCTCATTTTTCTCGCTACTCCAAGATTCTCACAAGGATCAAAATCTTGAAGACTTTGTGAAAAATTACAATTCCTTTGCCACCACTAATAATGACTTGTCTTCAAACATCGAATTCTTGAAAACTCAATTGGAAGATTTCAAAAACTTCAACGAAACCCAATCGAAATTGATCCATGACTTAAATATGAAATCAGATAAAGTTACTCAAAATAATAACGAATTGAAATCGAATAATTCTGACTTGATAAATAAAAATTTATTACTCTCAAATGAGATTCTGTTGTTGAATAGCAAGATTTCCAGATTGGCCGAGTATAATACAACTATGAAAACATTTGAATCTCAACGTGAGACATCTGCCGAACCTCTACTGATGGAAGAACTTCAGTCAGAGCTTAATAAGAAAACTAAAGATATAGAGGCTCTCGAAAAAACATTGAATAACTACATTAACCAAATCCAAAAGACCAATGAGGAATCCAACAAGAGAAAGAAACTCAATGATACCACGCCACTGGTGATTTCTACTGTCGAATCCAATAATCCCTTGTTGAACAAATATCATGATGAAATATTGAAAAATAAAAAGGAAATCATTCATTATCAAGAGCAACTTCATTTGTTTCAATCAAAATCTTCTCATTTTGAAAAACGTACCAAACTCTTGGAAGCGGAACTCCTTAAAGAAAAGAATTTCGACAATGATAAACAACAAACAAAAGAGAGAATTCTTTCTTTATACAATGATCTCAATCCAATGCTCAAGTACCAAAAAATCAAACTGGAAACTTTGAAATCATTGAAAGCGGAAAATGATGGTTTGCTCACCCGTCTTGATGACTTGTGCAATGAAAAGCAAAGAAGTAATGACGTGCCATTGATTCCAAGGGCGGTGCTTAATAGATATATGGTTGAAGTGAAGCACAATGAGAAAGAGATCGAGAAACTAAATAAGAAACTAGATCGCCTTAAAAAAGTTTACGGTAATAAATCCAAGGAGCTCCTTAGCAGTATATCGTTGTTATTTGGCTATGATATTGTGTTGCTTGCCGACACCAAGAAGATTAAGGTCATACCAAAATATAGAGATTCGGAAGATGCTGAGCAGCAGAAGGATTACTTGGTTGTTGATTTACAGAATAGGTCATTGCAAATTTCCAGCAATTCAAAAGACATTTTCTACGAGAAGTGTGAAACCCTAATAGATTTGTGGGTTAGACAGAGAAATGAGATTCCGTGTCTTTTATCTGCGTTGAAGTTGGAGCTTTTTGAGTTGCCAGATAATTCTTAGGAAAAATTATACAGATCCTGGTTTATGTTGTGGATGGAATTTATAGTTTAATAATAATTGATGGCTTTACAATCATTATTATTATTATCATTATTATTATTTTTCTTTTTTAATTATTGTAACCTTTCAGCAAAAAAGCCCCCGGAATATATATTAGATTCTCTATATTTGACGCCATATATGGCCGGGCAACCCCCAGAACGTTCTGAAGAACACCATGTTTAAAATCAGGAAAATCAAAAAGTTCAATAACGATAATGTAAACAGATTTTTCCCACTACCAATACAAAATTTAGACAGAAAAATAAAGCGGGAAAAAAAACAATGGTCGAAGTATCGTTAACGGTGGGTAAACTCGATGCGTCATTGGCGTTATTGTTGACAAAAGATCATCACTTGATTGAATTTCCAACGATTTTGTTGCCGGATGGCGTACAAGCAGGATCGATCGTGAAAATCAGATGTGATCGTGATTTGGATAATGAGAAAAAGGAAGAACAGCAATTCCATGAAGTGCAAGATCAGATATTCAAGATGTTTGGCCAATCCGAGCCGGAAAAACCAGTATTAAAATTGAGAAACGTCACCCAAACCTCGTGTGTTTTAGAATGGGAGCCGTTGAAATTGAGCACCGCATCGATCAAATCGTTGACATTATACAAGAACGGCGAACGGTTAGGTCAAATACCAAATCCTTTAATCAATACCACCACAAAGTTATCAGGTCTACCAATCGATACCCCATTCAAGTTTAGCTTGCGATTGGATACCACTGCGGGGGTGTACCACTCGAATGAAATTGAAGTTAGAACCCATAAGATGACTGATTTGAGCGGGATCACCGTATGTTTGGGAGAAATCGATTGGAAAGAAGAAGGAATAAATAAAGAAGATATTGCGGATATCTTGAAGAGCATGAATGCCAAACCATTACAAAGTGAGGTTAAGGTTGACACTACCCATTTTGTCTGCACGTTAGCCAAGGGCCAACAGTGGAAAAAAGCGGTTGACAACAATATTCCGGTAGTTAGACCAGAATGGTTGAAGGCATGTGATACCGATAAAAGAATTGTCGGGGTTAGAATGTTCTATCTTGATGCCAACGGAGAGTTAATTAAACAATATAAAATCACTCACAAAGAAAAAATTATCGTTACTAATCCACCAGCGGCATCGGATTCCGACGCCGCCGATGAATTGCCAAAGAACCCGTCATCCAAAAATTCCAAATCAGAACAATTCGATGATGTTCCTTTGGATGGCTCTTCCACTAATGTTACTGGAGAAAAGACCGTGGTTTCGGATGATGCTGCTTTGAAAGAAACCGCTGATAAACTAACGAAAGCTGAGGAAATAATTGCTGCCGAAAAAACTGAAGTTTTGGAACTGAAGCTTGAAGAAGACCAGAAAGCGGTTGAAAAAACAGAAATCGCTTGTACTCCAGATGAAGTTGTTGATGAAGAATCTGTAAAGGATGATCCTACCGACAAGGAACCTGTTTCGGCTGAGCCGGTTATAAAAGTGGAAGATTCCGGAGATGAGCCGGTCAGTGAATCTAATGAGGAAGAAATTGTAACAGAAGATAATAAGCAGGAAGAACAGAAGGAGGAAAAGACTGAAGAAGTTGAAGAAAAGACTGAAGAAGTTGAAGAAAAGACTGAAGAAGTTGAAGAAAAGACTGAAGAAGTTGAAGAAAAGACTGAAGAAGTTAAAGAAAAGACTGAAGAAGTTGAAGAAAAGACTGAAGAAGTTAAAGAAAAGACTGAAGAAGTTGAAGAAAAGGCTGAAGAAGTTGAAAAAAAGACTGAAGAAGTTGAAAAAAGGAAACCAGCTGCAACAAAAAGTGAAAATAAGAAACTGAAGAAGAAAAAGAAGCAACTGAAGAAGTAATTGAGGAATCAACAGGGTCAGTAAACAAGTAGTTAGTAGCGAATACCATGGTTATATTATTATTATGTATATCTATGTATGTATGGTATGCCTAAACGCACGGAACAACAGGAAGAAACGCTCCGAGATTGGTGTACAGATGTGCAGACAGAATTCGGGGCGGTACAAAACACTCGTTCCGCCTCACAGATAAAAAAAAAAAAAATTAACTAATCAGTCAATCAATCCTCTAAAGGACATTAGTGAAGTATTCAGAGACACACAGCTATGATGCGCTCCAGCCCATCATCAAACGATGAAGGTCCTGAGACAAGTTATCATATCGATGAGAGCTTAAGGCCAGGTCATAGAGTCAGTAGTGCCTGCGACTCATGTCGAAGAAGGAAGACAAAATGTAGCGGTCAAAACCCTTGTGCGTATTGTGCTGTCCACAATCTACCATGTGCTTATACTTATGTGAGGAAAAAAAGAACCAAATACAAAAAAACCACTAAGATAATGGATGCATCAGCTTTGGAGGTTCAGATTGAAGTTTTGACCTCTAGAATTGGTGTGTTGGAGAACCAGATATATAACCTAAATACCAAGTTTGATTCCGTGACAAAAATGAATGAGCTCTTATTGGAGAAGTTGCTGAAAACACAAGATTCAACTAAGAACATCTTACCGCTCATAAGGTCGCAGTCAAACACTCATAATATTCATAATAATAATCGCAATCACAATTACAATCATAATCATAATCATAATCATAATCCTAACCATAACCAGAATAATGATAACAATAACAATAATATTAATAAAGCGCCTGTCACAAATCGGGGATACGACCCTATGAAAATATCACAATTAGTTCAAAGAGATAGCACTATTGATAAAAAAACAAGAAAAGAGATCGTTGATGAGTTTTTAGATCTCATCTCATCATCAAGTTCGGTCACGATTTTTTCACAACCATCATTAAAATCAATTAAGAGGCTTAGTGGCAAGAATTTTGAGATTTTTGAACCGGTTGTTAAAGACCATGCAAAGATTATTAAGAAAATTACACGTTTTCTTAAGATAGATTTTAATCAAAGCAGTTGTCATTTGACCTACTTACTAGAAAGAAGACAGATTATTTGCAATCTTATCCAGGTGTTCTTGGATCTTAATGTTGACAGCATGATGTTTTCAGGTAAAAAAGGTGGTTTATCAATTATCAAGGGTATATTAGAAAAATGGAAATCATCTTCTATTGCAACTCCTCCGGACCTCACAAACTCCGAGCACTTGATTCTCTGTGCGATTGTTTGTCTTGGATGCAGTTACATGGATTTGACAATAACTGGTAATGGCAACAGCTCTCAATCTTATAGTCCGATGCCCGCTTCGATAACTCAGAGTATACTATCTTCTGTCAACGATCCGCAACTTAATATTGCCGAACTAGAGCGTGTTGCAATGAAGGACTGCTTTTTTTACTTTCATAAGCTCATCAAATTTAATGAAGGTCCATCAACCATATTTGGCATCTTGTTATTGTGCTTTTACTTGAGGTCCACGGTTTTCTTCAGGTGCAATTATTTGATCTTGAGTGTTGCTTGCAAGCATATTAAATCACTAGGATATGATAAGTTTAGTATCGCCTCTTGTAGTCCTGACATTGATGAAGATATTTTGGTGATAAAAATGCTATGGTTCAAGTGTTATATATATGATAAGGATATCTCTTTTTCGGTGGAAAAATCTCCAATGATGAAAGATGACGAACTCACGGATTATGATTTTTTCAATTTTACCAAGATCATTATTGCGAAGTTCCTTCAAAATAGAAATAAGGAAATGAATGAGGATTATTCTGCGTTACTGCAAATTAATTTCAATCAAGATAATTCCATTGTTAATAGAAGGGCTTTCTTTAATGTTTTGCATAAATTTGCAACTTATAGCTCCTTTGGGTTTGGACTTTTGGTCAATTACTTTTCGTTCACGCTAGTAAAACTTTTAAGCAAATATTCTAAAGAATTCTACCGCAACAGTGTTTTGAATAACATGGAAGGATATTCCGATACGTCTTTGGCTAATGATGAGGACTTTTTGGGATCATTCTTCAGGGCTTTAGACGTTGTCAACCAATTGAATATAGAACTCAAGGCTTGGGAGGAGTCGCTACCTGAAAATGTTCGCCCTAATTCTGGAATGGATATTTCATTATACAAAGTGTTGGGTGATTATCATGATGAGAATTTTGATCACGAAAACAAGAGAAGAAAAATCAATAATGATCAGAAGAAAACTGAAAGTGGCAGATATTTATATCCTGATTCTTTCTCATACCGTACAGAATTGATTAGAACTAACGTTGCTTTTCTATTGATGACCCAGTTTACTTATTACTACCACGTCATGAAGGCAAACAGGCTTGCCCATAAAGCTTGCTACTTATTATACAGACGCATTGATAAACATAGTAGCACGACCTCTGAGTTCGAGCAAAAAAGAATTAGACACGCATTCCGCTCAAGAATGGAAACTTTTGAAAATAGTTACCTTACCGCCGCCAAAAGCATTTTGATTCTATCATTCTCGATATTCAAGTATAATCCTCGTGTGATCTATTGGGGGGCTAATTTCATTTTCTGTGCTTTTTTTGTGATCTTCCTCCATAGCGTGGGGAGATTCTCTATCGATGACCCAATTCCGTGTTGCGTTAACACCAATGAGAATTGTCTTTATGAATTGCATCTTTTGATTGATTGTTATTTGTGCTGTTTGTCAAAACCAGTGTTTGTGATTCGTCACATTGATAGCAATTTTGTCGAACGTTCTGGAAGAAGAATGGTTTTATTATGTTTGGAAAACTTGAAAGAAAAAACAACATATAACTATGATACTGACTACAAGGTTGCTCAATTTTTGTCGGTAATCAAAGCCGCCAATGAAAAGGACAATGCCTTTCCACCATCTGCCAATACCAGTGTGGACGGTAATAACGATTATCTTCATCCATCAAACGGCGTGTCAAATGCCCTGGCTAGAGATATTAATGCATTTGATGGGGGCCTCAATACTCAAGCTTTTAATAATTCATCAACCATAAAAGACAACAGCAAGAGTTTCTTGGGGGGTTTCGATAACGTTCCAATGAATGGGCTTAATAAAGATGCCAGTAGTATTTTGTTCATGGACCCCTCTTTTTCAGCTCCCCTGAAGGATTTCCGTGAGCACTCCGTCGCGCCAGCGTTTTTCTCACCGAACGTACAAGATGGTAATAATAACGATAATAAACTGGCGAATAATTTCCTCGTTAATGAAACTAACGGTGATGTTCGATACGGTGGTGGGTGTGAAAGTGATGATAGATTGACGTGCGACAATATATTTTTAGACTTGAACGATCTTGATCCTTTTTCTATGAATGGGTCGCTTTTCCATGATGATACTCAGAAGTTCGCTGCCCTGAACTTTTAATCACAGTATTTACTAATTATTTTTTTCAGTCGGATATTCCATTTTATTTATTCTATATATTAATTATTCTTTTTTTTTTTCTATTAGATATCCCATTTTATTCTATATATTATCATTATTTTTTCATTCTCTGTTAAATATCTCATTTTATTCTTGATAGAATTTTTTTTTCTTCCCTTTTTCTTCGTGGATTGGTCTCGCTATTTTCTTCCATTTTGGCTATATATTTTTTATTTTATTTTTTTACTTTTTACAATTATATCATTAGTTAGGGCTCTCTTTTTTATTTGGAATTTTGGTTTACAATACTTATCTATAATGTTTATGTATATATATATACTATAATGAAATGAAACAGTTTATTGAAAAAAAAAAAATTATTGTAATTATAATCTCCAAATTTTAATCAAAATATTTCAATGAGAATATTAATAATGGTGGCAATTATCCAAAAACAAATTGTTAGCAAACCAACCCATTTATCCATTTTCCATCCATTTCTTGGGACGGCAATGACCAAAAATAATAGATTGGCAATTAAGGTGATATTACTTATCCATAACGTCAAATTTGGTTCAAGATCATACCCAACGTTCATACTTGAATTTGTCGCCATAATTATTAATCCACTAACCCCAACCCCGGTTAAAATATTCAACAATGGACCGCCAAAGCATGCTGCAAGGGCCATTCTTGGAAAGCCCATTTTAGCAATGGTGAAATTTGCAATGAGGTCACCTAGAGAATTACCCACTGCAAATACCGTGAACCCTAATATCGCCTCGCTCAAATTGAAAACCACAGAATAAAGCCTTAGAATCGTCACCACTTCGGCAGCAATTTCGGAAATCCAAGCCATACTCATTCCAAATCCAAGAACCGAAAGTGTGAAATACATAACCTTCTTGATTCTTAAAACTAGAAGTAGCCTGTTTGAAATTGTTCCATTGCCAAAATTTTCTGGGGAGAAGGATCTCAAAATAATTTTGGCAAGTACCAAAGCAAATACTATCGAGACTGGCAAAACCACTGGAAAGTAAAACTTATGACTCGCAAATACTAACCATGGAAGAATAATTATTGAAGTAAATGTTTGGAGGGTAAGAATAATCTTTTCATCCGAGTATTCAGCGAACGTCTTTTTGCAGTATAAAATCTCTAAAACTTTTGAGCCATAATCTAAAGCTTCATCGTTAGTTTCTCTAGTGAATTCATTAACAAGCTTCAAGTTTCGGAGCTCAGCAAGTTGTTTAGAAGTATCTCTAAAGTTTGAATAGTCAATAACTGGGACAGTGCATCTCAAAAAAAAGAAGATAGGCAACACTGACGACGTTAGTATCTTATCAACTAAAGATTTAGAAGAAAAATCTGATAACAAAGGAAAAAAAATTATGGTTAGCCTTGATGAAGCCAGATATTTTTCCAAGTCATAATTTGACTTCAAATTTGTGAGGCCCATTGCTCTTTTGGTTTTGTTGTTTCTCTCTTGTGAAAGATTTGACTGGGATTCCCTTTCTTGTGAATAGTGGTGATTTGATGTTGATTCATATTCTGTCTCCACCGGTGTATTTAAATACAGCTCTTCAGTTTCTGAAGATCCGTCAAAAAGTTGAGGATAATCTTCATATGCAGGCTCCGAAACTGATAATCTGTTGTCAACAGTGATATCCTCTGGGGGCCTGATGGGCTCTGAATAAGGTCGCGCCATTGAAGCGTCATGAATGCCTTGCGCAACAGTATGTAAACTAATCCTTTCATTACTTGAGCTTTGATTATCTATAGCACTTGATTCATCGAGCCACTCTGGGGTGGTAGGTTTGGATTTTTGAGCATTTTGATTGAGCTTAATGGCGTCCATTAAAGAAGGTCGCACAAAGAATTTGTTGGTATCCATGGTGTCATCGAATTCATCCTCTTCAAAATTTTCATTATCGTTCTCTGTGTGAATATCATACTGTAAATTGTCGTCTCCAAAAACTTCTCCAGGAGAAATAACATCTTGGTATGTGAGAAACCCACTTACACCATTGTTTATTATTCTGCTGGTATTAGTACCACCACTTTTATGACTTCTATTATCAATATCATCTAGTCCCTCATCCAAGAAAGGGTTATATCCAAGATGCACACTTCCTTCTGCAGCGTTATTTATTAGATTATTAATATCTGGCTGGTTCTCATCTTCTTCATCATCCCCTTCATTAGACATGTTGTTTTCATTATATCTTTGCTGTCCAGAATCATCATCATCATTCAAAGGGTTTGAGATCGGATCATATTCCACATCATCAAAGTACTGGCTTCTTGCCTTTAAATCCTTTAGTTTTCTTGCCTTTACTCGGGAATTTATAAACTGCCATACCAAAACCATGATGACGTACGATACATATAAAGCTATCAAGGTAACGCAGCCAATCCAGGATATATTTCCCCTTATTAGCACAAAATAGTCAAACACCAATAGACATACTAAGAAGTAGAGTATGTCCCTAATGAATGTCTTTTTCACAACTCTAAACGGATGAATCACCGACATAGATCCTACCACCACTGATGAAATAAATAATGCTGCTCCTATTAATTCCCCGATTGCCAAGGGACCAGAACCTATCTTCATTGAGTTATAAGTGCTGAAAATATCGGGAGATCCATTACCGAATGCTAATAGCGTGAGACCAGTGACATTTTCGCTTGTATGAAAGAACTTGGAAATCGAGTTCAAGTTAGGACACAAGAAATCAGAAGCAGCTAACCCTAACGATACAAATAATATCACTAGGGCAACCGCTGAGAGTATAAGTAGAGTATTTGATTTGGTAGATGATTCAAAGCAGTAGTATAATGTTAAATAATTTATGTTACCAATTTCCTCGCCCAGACAATGGTCGATGGCATATTGACACTGTTCTTCCCTGGGTATTGTGTTGACGGTTTGACAGATGGCCGTAGCGTTGGCAAATGAGCCAGAAAAAGCCCCTTCACACCTCGTTATTAGAAGTATTATTGTCCACCACCAGAATACTGTGGAGTCGTACTTTGTCATCTCTTGTTGCCATTTGTGTATTGTCGCGTAATAGCATTATTTGGTAGATTTAAAGAAGGGTTGTCTTATTTTTTTGGTACCACAAAGCGATGATACCACCCGCACGGGTCATTGATCGCCATAATCGGAAATTATCCTGATTATACACGACGTCCTCGAAATTCAAAGGAGATCCAGAAAAGCATTTTAGAGGATCCTAATGCTACTTTTTCAAAGCACAATGTTTCCAAGTTATGCTGAAATCTTAATTACTAAAGTTTGGTGGTTACATCTGGAAATCTCCAAATTTGCAATAATTCAGCTTGTTCCACAGGGCAAACGGTTCCAAATATAAGCCCATTCTTATTTCCCGAATTTAGAAAAATTGGTTTTCATAGACTGGGGGTTTGAAAAAAAAAGCTCCTTGGAGAACTTTTGTCACATTAATTTATCCAATTGATGATATCCGCACATATTTTTTTAAGTTTTCTGCACTAAGAGAATTGGATCTTTGAGGAAATAAACTTACTACGAAGAATAGTTTAGGCAAATATTAACAAATAGGACATGGAAATAGAGCCACTAACCGAAAGTTAGTACAGCAGGGAGTATTACCTAACTCCACGCAACAAAAATCCAATCTTTTCGCAATCCATGATAAAATTGTTGAAAAGTGCTTTATTTGCTAATGTTTGAACACTGCGCATGACAACCATATGACTATTGCGTCCATATACACCTGGAGGTATCAGGCTGCAGAAAAAGCTCTCGAATTATGCCATTTTTGCGAGTGCGGTTATAAAAAATTGTACAAATTTTCATATTTCCTATAGTATCAGCACGTGCTGGTGAATATCTTTACTGTAATTTTGGTGTCACTATTTTTGCATTTTTATGCAATGTTTAAAGGGCAATAATTGACCAAATAACGTAATTATTTCACACATGGGGTGTGAAGCACTCCATGAATTACCCAAATTTTTATCTGGATCATTCATTACATGGGGAGTTTGGAGCAAGACGAAATAATACATAACTTTAAACATTTAAAAAAATCTTCTAATATTGTAATATGAGCCAGCTACAGGATGTAGTTAACAAATTAACTTTAGCAGAAATATACGAATAAAAAAATATGTTACTGTCCAAGATACACCGACGAAACCATTGTAGCTATGTATTGGTTCCTGTTTTTATTAATACAATAGAAATTATAAATAATATACGCTGTTACCATACTCGATAATACACAGAAAGACATCGTAGTTAATCTACAAGCCTCTCCCAACCGAGATATTCATTTACCAAGATTTCATTTCTTTTGAATTTCATCGAAGTCTTCAGGAGCCAGTGCATCTGGTGTAATATTATCAACGCTGATTGCTAAACTTTCTAATACTCGGTTCATTTGCTCGTCAGGGTATGTGAAGGGACCCATCAAGGAATAGATTATATTGTCAACACCAACAAAAAAAATTCTAAATTAACTACAACCTATTGAATAGATTTAAAGAATAATTACTTATATGAAGGCTAAAATAAAAGTGAGGAAAGTTGGAAAAGCTAAAGAACAAATGAAAAGAATAATAAATAACAAAAACGAGGGGAAGCTTTGGAGAGCTGAAGAACTGAAGATTTAAAAAATGGGGAGAAAACTAATAATACAAAAAGTCCGCTAAATAGAGTGTGATAAAATAAATCAAAATTCAAAAAGCTATTAGCAAGCCAGCACTAATAAAACTCTTGTATCAATCATGTATCGGAACGAAAAGAGAATGGACAATGGATTATTGTAATTATGATGTATTTTTTTTATTTTTTTTTACTTTATTTGGATGATTTTGTATCGTTTCCAATCACAAGAGCAAGAGAGCACCGACACCCAACAATAATGAACCAGAGAAAGTCTTCAAAGATCCAGCTTCACCCAAGTAGTTAATACTAGCGGTAGTCAGGTTAGAGCTGTTGTAGGTTGAGTAAGAAGAGTAAGAGGTACTGGCATAAGCATCGAGGGTACTAGATGAAGAACTGCTGGTGGTTTCATAATATGAAGTGGTAGATTCGCTATACGTAGCATCGAGGGTAGAAGATGAAGTTTCATCGTAAGCGTCACTGGTAGAGATGGTACCTGCCAAAGTAGCAGAAGTGGTTGAGGCTTCGGTGCATGGACAAGTGTAGGAGGTGGTAGTAGAGACAGCAGTGACGTAAGCAGTGACATAGACGGTGTCTTCTTCGGTGGTGGAACTAGAAGTAGTAGAGGTAGAAGACACTGAATCGTAAGCCTCAGAAGTAGAAATGGTACTAAGTGGGGTGGAAGTGGTGGTCACTGGGCAAGTGGTGGTGGTTTCGGTAGAAACTGCAGTGGTGGTGACAGTAGCGTAAACGGTATCTTCACTGGAAGTGGAAGAGTCGTATGATTCGCTGGTAGAGATGGTACCTTCTAAAGTAGCGGAAGTGGTTGAAGCTTCACTGCATGGACAAGTGGTGGTGGTAGTGGTGGAGACAGCAGTCACATACGCAGTGACATAGACAGTGTCTTCGCTAGTAGAAGTAGCAGTAGTAGAAGTAGATCCGACTGCAGCAAGAGTAGAGGTGGATTCAGCTGAGGAAGTGGTTGAGGTAGAGGCAACTGCAGCAAGAGTAGAAGTTGCTGATGTTGAAGTAACGGTATCAGTTGGAGCTTGAATTTGACCATCAGTGATTTGAGAGATCAATTCAGCGTTGGATAAAGTATGAGCAATAGAGGCTTTGGCAGAAGAGGCTAAGGCCAAGGTGGTCAATAATTCGAATAAGACTTTGGTTTGCATTGTTTAAGAGATTATTAGTTTTAAAAAACTTTTTTTTTCGACTGATTGAAAATTGACGTTGATTGGGAAGAATAAAGGATAAGGAGTTGAAATTAAATGAGTGGAATGAACAAAACTATAATAGATATATTCGTTTTGTTTATAGGTGTAGTCGGTGGTGGTTAACGAAAGGAAAAGATTCAAAAATATGATATTGTTTTGCAAGGGATATGGTAAACTTTTTATAACTTCTCTCACATTATGAAAAAGGCTTAGGCCAGTTGCATGGGAATGGCCCATGGTACTAAGGGTCTTTAGTGGTGCCTAAAACGAAGCTCACATTCTTACCGTGATTGCTGGCGTTTTGTAATGGTTTTCTGTTGTATCTCCGAGTTCGATACTGAATGTTCGGACGTCCCATCACCAAGGCGCGATAGGTGCGTCGCCATGCATGATGAAATTATCAACGCCGATAACATTAAATTGTTCATTCTTTGGCAAATTCCTGGTCATTTTCATTTTCATTTTTATTATTTTAGAAGCAAAAAGATTATTTGATTTCCCAATTGTATATGTTTCAGTTTCTTTTTTTTATGTTTTTGAAGGGACTCTTTTGTCCCGCAAATATCTCTTTTTTTCCTCTATTGAAGGTACATGCTAGTTGAAGCCTTGGGTTTGGGACTAACCGTAAATGAAATATCGTTTAACACTTGACGCTGGGAACATAGCTGAACATACAGGAAATTGCCACAACATTCCTTATTCTCATTTTCGGTGCCTTTAAATGACTGAATAAGAAATATTAAGTATGCTCTTCATTTCTGTAGACCTCTGCCCAGACCGTCGATGTATTGACCACCACTGTAGGACCAAAAATGAACACAAAAAGAAAGAACTCTATTCCTCGAGAGCACCACGCATGGAAATTAATATTTTTAGAAAAATAATGGATATTGTAATTACCATTAATAAATTTACAGATATAAATTAAGAAAATTATCATATATATTGTTTGGAGCAAATAATATTAAGAAGAAAACAAGATCACCGAAAATAAGGCAACTGCTAAAGAGGCTATGACATTTAACTTGTAAGCTTCATTTGTATACCCAGAAGTATCAGTTTTGTCTGTATCATTCTCATCAGAATACATATCCTCGGCCTCTGGAACATCAGCAAATGCTGCTTGGTTATCTTTTCCTCTCACTGGGAATCTTGGAGTTGTGCCGTTTGATTTGTTACTAGAACTGGCAGCTTCACTTAAAGGAGGTAATCTAGCCACACTTTTGTTGTGGTGTTCTCCTGGTCCCTTGGTACTGTAAGCTATTGGAACAACTGGACGATGCGACTCAAAAAAAAATTCATGTGGAGTTTCAGTTAAATGAGTTAATTGATCTTCGTATGCTCTTGAGCTAGAATGACCTGGAAAGACTGAAGAGATATAAGCATATGAGGATTCAGACTCAGGAAGAGTTGGACTGGGATACACGAGTTGTTGAAGATGCTCAGAATGAAGGTCAGGGAGAGTTGGGGTGTAATATGTGAATTTTTTGTGCTCTTTAGTTTGAAAAGATTCTGATGAATCATAGTCTCCAAAATAGGTTTTATTAGGACTGGTAATGATACTTTCTTGATAAATTTGATAGTTTGGATCAAAATTACCAGATTCACCACTTAATGATTCACCAGCATACACAGCTTTCACTTCCGTAGTTGGTTGTGTACTAGGAAAATGGGTAATAGTTGGAATGTAAACTGTCTTATTAGACGTGGAAATATTGGAGGCTTCCTTGTTATTAAAACATGGTGGGGATGGAGCAGAGCTGTAAACCTTGGAAGTGGAAGAAGCTTCAACACTGTATTTCGAGTTATTAGTATAAGAGTCAACCACAGTGTTGATATAGGTCGCACTGCTGTGGTTTTTAATGTACCCTAGATTGTTCAGTTAATATATGTGATGCTTGTCATCGAGATGAATAAAAAGTACCAAGATTTCAAATCTTAAACATACCTCTATTAGAATAAGTCTCACTGAAATAATTAATACTAGAATAATTAATACTAGAATAAACACTGCTGGAATAAGCACTGGTATAATAAACTGTTTCTGTGATGGTTTCAGTAACCGTGATCGGAGGCTGGGTGATATAAATAATACTGAAATCTTCTGCAATTTTTGGACCAAAATTACTATTCTCTTTTTCATATCCTAAAGTATCAAAAGAGGCAATACTGTCGACCAAAGTATTGATATGGTTGGCCTTCGAAAAGGAAATCCAGCATCCAAGAACCACGAGTCCGTATTTAAATTTCTCTGTAGGGACCGACATTTCCAGTTGGGACTAAGTATAAAGGATTTGGTTACAATTTCCAAGGTTTAATCTTTCATATTTTCATTTATTTTTTCAAAAATACATATACAAAGTAAAAAAAATAGGGAAAAGTTACAAAAGCTGTATTTTATTTTGGTTATTGTGTCATAAAACACAAAATGCACATGCATGATAAAAAAATTGTCAAAATAAAAAAATAGTGAAGGATGCGAGATTCGAACTCGCGCATCTTACGATAATCGATTACTCAACTGCTCCGCAGCAGAAGAAGAACTGAACCGTTCTTGAGTCGATCGCCTTAGACCGCTCGGCCAACCCTCCTCTATGAAAAATGTGGTGAATATTTGTAACCAAAAATATTTCTGTAATAAGGTTACCCGGTCCAATATCATTATTTTCTCAAAATCATCATTTACCTTCGTAATTGGTCTTTATTGTCTAATTTATTTATTATAAACGCACCCAAATTATCATTTATATTCACTGGGGTTCTTATACCTTTTTAAATGGTTGATATTTTGCTCTAATTTCTGAAATGTGTTACCAATTTATTAGTCAGCCGAGTGTACACTCTCAATGTTCCGGGAGCATTAGTCAAGTTTTCAATGTGCGGTGTTTTTCTTTTAAAAGATTACCAATAATTACATTGGATAGGGTAAAATCGATTTTGTGCTAGTGGTTGCGCTAAATATGTGTAGAATCGAATAGTTGTTTTGTTATTATACGCATGTATTAGATAAAAATAAGTGATAAGAATTGAATATAATCGGTTAAGAAAATGATATTTATAAAAGCAATAAACCAGCAATTGCAATCACAAACGAGGAACCGGAAGCAAGTAAAGCCGCAGCACCATTAGAGCTGAAATTAATGGAAGCAGATACATAAGCACTTGAAGCGATACCCGAAACAGAAGTAACAAATGTTCCTGGGATACTGTGGGTAGTTTGGATGGTCATACCAGAACCAGTATTAATAGTGGCACATGTAGTTGATATGAGCTTAGTTGTGTTTTCTTGCAATTCAGAGGATGATGGAATCTCCGAATAATGAGACAGTTTACTAGATGATATGATTTCTGGTGATTGGGGAGAGTTTGGTTTCACTGAGATTTCTGAAGTAAAAGTTTCCGGGTTTTGCGAAGATACTGGTGTAGAAGCTGGGACATATTCACTGGAAGTTTTATGTGAACAGCCATTGGAGCAACTTGTAACGGTTTCCCATTGAACCAGAGTTTCAGAATCAATCGCAGTAGAGGTGGAAATAGCAAAAGTTTCGGATATGGACTCAGAGACGGTACTAGTAGGAATTGGGCCGTTGGTGGTGTGAGATGTAACCGAAGCACCAGTACTTTCACTACTAATAGTAATAGGAACCTGATTTCCTTTAGAACTTGGAATTACTATAGTATTATCATCACTTGTAAGAGTATCCAGAGAAAGTGTGTTTGAACCTGTTTTAGAATTGGCGTCAGCCAAGGAGGTGGCGCCAGTAGTAAAGACACCTCTTGAAAAAGACGACACAGAACCCGTGGTGGTGGAAGATGAAACAATAGGACATTCTTCTGGTTGATTCATTGGTAGCACTAACAAGTTACAACGGTCCTTACCAGTGCAATTAGTACTGAAGTACACCTCTTCATTATCATCCAGGTTGTTTTGTAAAACAAATTCCCAAGTTTGTTGTTGCATACTCTCCCAACCTTGGGAAATCCAAGAATAAAAGAATCCTTGATCCCATTCCGAACTAAAAATGTTATGCCATTGTTTCCCATTTTGTCTGAACTTGATCTCATATTTATCAAGTGGCATCAGTGGCTCAAACGCAAAGAACCAATCAATACGATAGTATAAGTCAGTAAGCTTTTCAATATAGAAGCCTAAATTCGAATCTTCGTTAACACGATACATGTATGGAACTTCAGATGGACAATCAAGTTCGATGGGATAGAAAGAAGCAAGAGTTGTGTGCGATGAAGATGATGTTGATTTAGTAGTGGTGAAAAAGTCGGATGGTGTTTGAGTAACTTGGGAATCGGTTTCAGTACTGTAGGTTGAGTAACCATCACCATAAGAAATAATTTCAGTGTAACCATCACTATAAGAAATAATTTCAGTAAAGCTATCACCATAAGAAATAGTCTGAGTACTGTATTCCACATCACTTGTAGCAGCGGAGATATCGGTACTGTAGCTTTCGGTGCTATAATCGAAATCAGTGGATGCATAATCACTGCTTGTGTACCATGTACTCTGCAGATCAGTGATCATTGAAAAGTTATCAGTGTCACTGGTAACAAGGTCTGTTGAGTGACTAACATTGTCGGTAATTATTGCAGTAAAGTCAGTTGAGTGAGTAACATCATCAGTGATGCTAGAGGAAGAACTCGTGGAAATAGTCATGTCATTGATAATTGTTGAGCTGGAATATGACTCAGTTTTAGTGCCATTGGCATCGGTAGTTTTAGTAACATCAGTTTGACTGGCAGAAGGTTCAGGTTGAATCGAAGAAATGCCGGTCTGGGTGGAAGAAGCACCAGTGTTTGTTACAATAGATTCCGGACTACCAACGTTAGTAGTAGCAGAAATGTTTCCGGAACTAGATGAGGTGTATGTAAGAGTGACAGTGGCAATTGGGCCAGAGAAGGTAGTTGAACCACCAATCTCACAAGGTTCATAATCAGGAAATATGATGTCAGTACAATTTTCTTGTCCATCACAATTTGTTGAGTAAATGACTTCGGTTTCTTTGACCTTAAGACTAATTTCAAAGCTTTGATCAGTGATAGCCGTCCATGAATCAGCAAACCAACTGTAAAAAAACCCGTCCCTCAAAGTTGCATGAAGAATATTATTGAAACTGTCGTGGTTATGACTAAACTTGACTTTAAAGATATCCATGGAAAAGAAGCTCGAAAAATCGTAATACCATTTGATCCCAATTTTCCCATCTGCTTTGCGCTCGAAAAAAAACCCAAACTTAAGGTCTTCGGTCAAAGTGTATTCTTGAGACCGTACATAACAGTTTTCTCCAGAAAGTTTCAATTGCTTCTTATTAGCAGTGCTATCTGGTCTTAGGGTGACAATGTCGTTCAGTACGGTAGAATACTGGGAATCGACAAGTGACAGAAACTGCGCCGAGTCAGTTGGGGTCACTGTGACATATGATACGGCTGGATTGGCAGAACTGAAGCCAATCAACAGAAGAGTCACCAAATAAACAAAAGATATCAACATATCTTAGAACTGTATCTAATATTATTGACTAATAACCCACGATTCTGATTTTCAGAAGAAATAGTAAGTATACAAGATTTAACGAATTCCCAACGATACTTCGGACATATTGCACTATTTAAATACGTATTCAATATCGTGGTAAAGACATTAAAGGAAAACAAAGAAGAAGAGGAAGAAGCTCCATGGATAGGCACTAACTTGGTTTAGTTCATTCCATGATTGCCCTGTGGCTGCACACACATTCTTGAGTCAATGTGATGATGCCCTTTCGATGGCTCAATGGGTTACCCGCACAAGGCAATGGCAATATATGGGAATAACCACAGAAAAGGTAGAGATAATCAATATGTATATATTGTAGAATAGTTTTCTTCAATATTTACTTTCTATTCTACTATATGACTGAATTGTTTTCATTCTATTTTATTGGTCATTTTGACTCTGATGCAAAACAATAACAAGATCGATCTGTAAGCGGTGATGAAATGGCATGTATGCAAATCATGGAAAAAGAAACATAGCTATGGCCCTAGTTCTATAAATATCCATGACCGAATATTTTGACCAAAATGTGACAGAGCAGGTCTTGTTACCCCAGTGATCTGTGCTACCCTTCCATGTGTCATTATGGGTCTATCTACCACTGGTGGGTGACGGCCGGTTCTGTTATTACCCCGTTTCCTCGACAGTCCCGTCTAGCATATATTCAAGGGCCGTCTAATGTCAAACCAAGAAGATCGATCCACTTATAACGGTGCATCATAAAAAGAAAAGAGTAAAGAATAATAATGTAATAGTACGTTTTTTACTTTCTGAGATATTCTAGTTCTTTTTTCTGTCTCGTTTGCTTGCTCCCTTCCTTAATAATTCCTCGCAGACGTCACATCACACTACAGCGCATTGCTTTCTTTGACGAGAATCACATTGATTTGGGGCTGAAATAAATATAGAAGAGTTCCCGGATACTTTCTTCTACACAAATCTGCTGCTATCCTTGCCCAATTGTCAAAACTCAGTAATATATAATATCACCATAAGGGTCACAACAACACTCCGCCCCACAAATTCAAGAACCATTAGATCGTCACACCAATAAATACTCCTCTGGATATCATTAAAAGCAAATTCATTTTCATTGAAAACCTATTTACTAAATTAAAAATTATTCTGTCCAAACAAGAACAGCTACGACAACCAGAAACTGATCAAATTAATACTCAAACATGGCCATAGGTGGGTTTAGAAAATTCTTGACCACATTTTCCTCTATTTTCACACTAGCAGCCCTCGCTCTAGTGGTGTTTGCAATCGTTGGTCCAGTGAAGAAATCTGCTCTTGACACTATTCATTTCATCCGATTTGATTTATCCAACATTAATTTGGCATCAATTGCTTCTGATTCAGGCATCGCTGAAACTTTGGCTAATGCTGCTGAAAGCATCACTTTTAGCGCCGAGGATTTTGGGTTCTCAAATACTTACATCTTCACAGCCTGGGGGTATTGTGAATCGAATGGTACTGGGGCTTCTGCTTCTATGAAATATTGTACTAGTCCAGAAGCTTTGTACTATTTGGACCCCCAAACGTTTTTGCAAGAACAACTTGATTCTAACGCTTATTCCTCTGTCGTTACTGAACTCATTGGTAGTGATCAACCAATTCAGATCACCCTTCCAAGTGAAATTAGCACATACACAAACACCATTGAGGCAGTGTCCAAATTGATTTTCATTTGTGGCTTCATTGCTATTGGTGCGTTGGCTCTTAATTTCATTAACAATTATTTTGCAAAGAGATCACATATTTTGAGTTGTGGAAGTTTCTTGCTTTCTTTCATTGGATCAGTTGCTTTGCTTTTGACAGCTGCTGCTTCAACAGGTATGTGGGTCTTGGTGGAGACTAAATTCAATAAGGAATTGGAAAGCACCGGTGCCAAGGCCCATATTGATCCAGTTTATTACGGTTTAATCTGGGGTGCCTTGGGTGCTGGCTTTTGCTCTACTATCGGTTGGATGTTTGCAATCTGTTGTGGTAGTACCAATGTTGAAGATTATGAAGATTATAAGGAATGAACCCATCTTCCTGTATCTGTTAAGTTGTTATCTTTGATCCATGAATTATACAGGGAAAACCTTAAATTTTCCCATTTAAAGCAAAAGATATATTCGGTTTCTGTTCTTTTGTTATGACATTACTGCTGGTGGTGGTGAGCCAGCTTTTAAATTTGCATCTAATGTCATTCACCATTCATTCATTCATTCATTTAATTAGTGTTTTTATATATTTTGGTTTGCATTTATTGTCTTTTTTTTTTTCCAAGCATATACAGTTCTTTTTTTCTACATTGTGATTTTTCAATTAATATTTTGCTTTGCATAAGTTATTGTGTTTTGATCTTGTAAACTCGTTACTATCGGTTATATGTGTACCTTTGCTAGTTGAGTTTTTTTTTTTATGTGTCATATCTGTCAGCAGGGAACAGTGTTTTGGCAATTTACCATTTACAAGGGTCCTGCTTCCGTCTACATTTTCTAGAAAATCATTTCACATTCATTAGCAGATAAGGAATAAAAAAAAATCGTTGATTAAAGTTTAATACACTTTATTATAGAATACAAGTCGTAAAGAAGTCGATATACATTTTCCCGGGTTTTTGTATGATATCACACTTGCATGACTGAATCACCAGCAATGTAGGTAATTTTATAATTGAAACTGTTTATGAATTCAGAATTCAAAGTGTTTTCGTTGATTATGCCATCGATGACTACAACCATGGTGAAGCCAAACCATGAGCCCCAAATGGCTCGTTGTTTATCATTGGCATTATTATTATTGTTGTTGATTCCCCCAATCATGCCATTCATTGGGTTTATTTCTGCCGATTCCCCCAATTTGTTTTTTCCGTTTTCATTGAATCTCACTTTCCCATTGATCACAAGATTGGTCATGTTCATTCCAGGAATTGTGTGGTAGTCATATGACTGTAACTTATGCTGAGTCAATGGCAACTTGATCCAGTATTCTGTAAATTGTCTCTTATCAGTCAAAGGGCTGGCATTAATTAAGATCTTGACATTATTTGAGCGAAGCTGCGGTAGTGGATTGTAATTCATCAAGTTATTACTGTTGGCTGGGGGTTTGGAATCAAGAGAGGCGATTATCGAGTCGCAGAGTTTCAGGAAGACGTAACTGGACATTATGGAAGAATTGACAGGATGTAATGTGATGAAACAGCAAGGAATCAATTAATTGGTGGGTGATTGTTTCTTTATTAATGGTACTTGCAAGTTGTTGTCACTTAAAAAGATATATATATATGTGGATCTTTTTATATTAGTGGACAAGGAAGCAGCAGCAGGATGGTTATCCGGGTTTATTTCTGTGGATGTGTCTATAATTGGCAGATCACCTGGTACCTAGAAATCCTGATCTGAACGATGGCAAATGATGATCTCTGGTTGATTTGGCCCAGCCATCGCATTAAACATAAAGAAAATTTGGAGAATTTTTTTGTGCCTGGGCGGTTCCGGTCACCTGACAAGCATCGACCCGCCATGTCAATTGCCGTTTTGGGGGGTTGCGATGGCCAAAAATGATTGAATGGGCCTGCCATGTCAATTTTGTTTCTGATCGAAAAATAAACCTTTCCAACAACTCGCCTTCTCTATTTTTCCTCATCGGGGATCAATCAGATCGAGATATTTAAATAATATTGGTTCCTGGATATTTTCTTTTTTTATTTATCTGCTATCTCCTAGTATCACCCGTGTGCCATTGATTCCACATTAGATCTCATAATTTTCCAACTAAATCGGTTAGCGATAAGCAGTCATTTCATTTCTCCAACCGTGAGTCAATCAATCACACAGCAACCAACAAACACTCGCTCCCTCACTCGTTTTATTCATTGATTCCATTAGCCAGTATACATCATCTAAAGCAAAAAAAAAAAAACTCACTTTCACTTGCTATATATCCGGTGGAAAATTAAATAAAATAAAAATTAAATAAAGTTGAAGGGTTCATATATAATCACTACACTTCATCATTCAACAATGAGTTGCTATTTGCCAACTTCTAGCATCAGAACTTCCTCTGATGGCATCATTAATGTCCCAACATCATCTACACCATCATCCACAGCAATCAAGTTCGAGGCTCCTAATGGGGTGTCCCATAAGCAAATAGCAAGCAATCTTAGCAAAAGCTCCGAGGATTCTTGTGCTTCCAGAAAAAGAAAATTCAGATATCCTGATCTCTATAAAAATGGTCCAGACTCTGTCGCTACCAATTCCAATAGATTGGATCCATCAAAACGTCCAAAGATATCATATCCTCCAATCACCACCACCACTACCGGAGCTAATCCTGGCAACATCATCGCTACCCATTCTTCTTCATCTTGGACCCCTCCTTCCCCAACTACTCAATCAAATTACCTTTCTAATAAATCATCAACTTCATCATTAACCTCGTCAGTGATCAGAGATTGCTCCTTGAACTATTTGGATACATTACCAACCAACGTCAATAAGTTGCCTGGTACTGAAGATCCTTGGGATATTAGCGATAGCAGCGATTCAGACTTTGCTATTGGTCATAATCACAATTATAAGATCCAATCTGGTTCGACTGATAATACAAGCCTCGCTGCGAGTTATGGAGCTACTACTACCGATCTGCAGGAAATGGAAAGCTTCTACATTAACTGGAGGAAAAACTTTGAAAAATGGCTATTCATTAAGAATCCTGAAAAATACGGAGAATTCAAGAACTTTTTAAAGTTTAACTCTAACACCGCAACTTCAAATTCATTTGGTGGTAGCGACGTTTCGGATTTCGAGTCTTCTCCAAGCTCATCCCCTCGTCGCCATGCAAATTTCAACCATCCTTCTAACATTACTTTTGGTGGTAATCCTTTCCACAAAAGATCTTATTCTTCAGGAGCTACTGAGTCCTCGTCTATCAAGGATAAAATAAACCAATATCTTGTCCATAAACCAGTATTCAATTCAAGAATCTCCAGGAAGTTCAAAAATAAGAGCACCGAAATAATGTTACATAAAATAACCAAGAAAAGAAGCTTTACTGGTTTGCCAGCCTCTAATAATTCTATTTCAACTTTGATTAGAGCAGCTAATCAACTTTCATCGCTGCCTGGAACAATCGTTTCTCAAAAAGTGCCGGTTACCAAGCAATATATTACTGATGATGTTAAGCTCAGCCCAATATTGTCAATTTCTAAAAACTCTCACTCAAAATCTAATGGTCAACCCAAAAAAATTAGATTACCATCAATTGATGAGATTTTTGATCCACAATCTGCAGTTTCTTCTTCTGGTTCCACTACCACCATCAACAATCAACTAGTCAATGGCGCACAGGATAGAAGATCCATCTCCACTTCATCTGTCGAATCTACCAACTCCGTATTTTCCGATAATGGTTCCATCAATTCTTTCATGGAAGAAGAATATATTCCTAATGATACTACTGCTGCCAAGTCAGCGTTATCCCCTCCTCTAATTGCATTCAAATCCGATTTCCCCAACCCTCAAAATATCAATTCCGCCTACTATAAACCTCAATCAGTGAAACATTCCTCCACATCTCCTTACAATTATGTCACCTCTCCATCGGCGGCTAATTCATCATTTGGTCACCAAGTTATGCCTCAAATCGTGAAGAAACCATCGCCAAAAAAGCCATCGCCAGTGCAAAACAAGGTTACCGGTTCTCCTTCTCCAAAGAAGCCGAAATCCTCACACCATTGCAAACGTACTTGTGTCTCATGTGGCTCGAGTCAATCTCCATGCTGGCGTCCTTCATGGTCTTCTAGCTCTGGTCAACTTTGTAACTCCTGTGGATTAAGATACAAGAAGACCAACGCTAGATGTTTGAACAATAAGTGTTTGAGAATCCCAGCAAAGGGTGAGTTCAATCTAATCAAGAACAAGGCTGCTGGAAAAGTCGAAGACTATAAATGTTTGAGATGTGGATCTGAGGTCGAAGTTAAATGACACATTTAGCTTGCACTTACTTGGTCCATGTTTTAATCTTTCAGTGATTCCACGAATCACCTCAATCACGCTGTATTTTTAATTCTTTTCTCTTCTTCAATATTCATGATAATGTTTTTTATTGATTTATTTATTTTGCTTTCACTTCTACTTGGTCTCTCTTTTTAATAATAAACAGTACGCTAAAATACCTATTTTTTTAATGTCCTGATATTTTCTTTATATTCTTCGATAAATGTTATATTAGATCTTTTTATAATTTATTTTTTTGTTTTTATATTTTTTTTATATTCCTTTTCTTTTTTTTTGTGGGTATACTTTGAACAATAATAATATGATATACGTATGTTTCTAATCATTTTCAACTAGTAATTATAATCTACTCAAGTGGAATCACGAAATCCGAAGGTTATACATACATATATCTAATGAATTATTAAAGTACAATGATGGCAGAAATATTCAGGAAAAATAGCAATCCGGTGCAAGTTATTAAAAATATTTAAGATTCTTCTCCAGGGATACGCACCATCATCGTCACCATCACCGATGCAAAGTACTTATGTAATAAGTATTAATTAGTGTCAATTAATGCCAATTCACTCACTGTATCAACGACGCAAATAGTAGTTGGGTTGGATATTAATTAGTCTTCTTAAATGTCAAAAAATAAGGTGTAAAGTGATTTGCAAAAAAGAAAGCCCCACGCGGGGCTCGAACCCGCAACCTTTCGATGACGCTTAAAACTAAGAGTCGAATGCACTACCGATTGTGCTAGCGAGGCCTCGCTTGTCATTTAGCATTTTTTTTGAGATCACCTACATTTTTTTTATGTCTTAGAAAATTTTACCCGGCTTTTGAATAAATTAGGTAAATAACATGTAAGCCGGACTTATAAGCCAGTATGTAAAAATAATTATTAATGATAAAAACTGTAATTCACTCCTCTATCACATTCCTTTTTAGTCTAGAATGAAGATAATTATCATCTGTAAAAGAACATTCACTTGAGCAAGAGAACTACTGCATCATCAACAGCTCTAGTACCATACATCACAAATAAAGTTAGATTTATGAGAAGTTTTCTTATTATATCTGATTTGCTCTTTTATTTAATCTCATTAGGTTTCAAAATAATCAAATAGTTTCGATATTTCTTTTTCTCCATCAATCATTTATGGCTTTTATTATTATTTTTTTTTCACTCTGTTGAGGCGTTATATATTGCTATCTAAAGGATCTAACTAAAATAACCATGTCATGAAACATAGATATTCCGAGTAGTGACTAGCTAAACCATGAAGAATAAAAAGTGATTTCTTCAAAGACTATAAAAAAAGTACTGGGGTTAATAAAAAAGGAAAAAAAAAATACTCAATAATGATTCAAATTGCTTTAAAAATGGAATACTTTAACAGCATTTCGCAGAACCAAATGTCGCTATATATAAAGCATATATAAACTATATTAACATTATTAATTAAAACTAAATTTTACTATGTTTTACGCTTTGTCTGCATTATTGCTTAATACTTCGACAAAACACAATACAACTGTTCTACTCATTATATAAAGGGCTCAACATTCCAGGTGGGTTATCGTTATCGTTATGCATTTTATACAAAATATTAATTTCCAAAAGAAGATATTATTAGATTTCTATAAACTACTACACCAACTTAAAAAAAACTGTTTCCGTGATGCATGGGACATTTATATCTTCTGGCGGGAGAGAGCTGCCAAATAATATGACCTAATGAGCCAGATTTCTCAAAAAAAAACACGATAATAGGATTTAAACAGATTTATAAAATACAATAAGCTCATCAAAGAGTATTTTAATGTAATTATACCTGTAAAAAACTCATATATAAAAATATTATATACCAGCACGACGGTATTTATACTGTTATTTGTTTGCACTCAATAAACAGAGTAATCAAGTATCGTGATGTGGTGGCTCAATGGTAGAGCTTTCGACTCCAGCTTTGGAATATTCTTACAGCTTATTCGTGTAATCGAAGGGTTGCAGGTTCAATTCCTGTCCATGTCAATCACGACTTATTTTTTTGAACTCTTTTTAAAAAGTCATTTAGATCCTTGACAGTTGTTTATTATTTATTTATTTACTTATTTATTTATTTTCATTTTTAAGGATGAGCGGGACACATTTTTTTTGAGCACTATACTGATAATATCATGTGAAGGATAATATATATTAGCTTCTTTGTAATATTAACTTGATTTTTTATTAAAATAACATATAAGGAATAAGTGGTTTAGTACCTCTTTAAATAGATAATGAGTATAAAATAGTAGTTATAATAAGATAGGGAATAAAGTAGAATAAGATCCACTTAAGATTGGAGTATACGTATATCAAGTCATCCAGTACCCTTAATACAGAAAGCTGGATTTCGGGGTTTCAGTTAGTTATTATAAATATAATATAATATGGATGTGTATAATATAAATTTCTGGTTATTGATATTTCTCAAAAATTGTGGAGAAAAGTTTCGTCTCTCCCTTCAATATAAATATGATGGGGAAAATTTTCTACTGGTATAAATGTATACAGCTTTGGAGTTTGACGAAGCTAGAACATATGGAATCCACGATGAAACCATTTCAAGAATTTCAATTAAACCCATCTATTAGATCAAATAATAATAATAAATAAAAAATAAATAGATAAACAAATCGTTAAACTAAAAACTAACAGAATAATATTTTAAAAATACACAAGAATAGTACAAAAAAATGGTTAATGAAAATAAAATAAATAACAACGACACAAAATTATGCAAAATATACCATTATTCTTTTGGATGATCAAATATGCTATAATTATCAAAACATGAGTTAAAATAAGGAAGCGTTACTGATAAGATTAACGCAAGAAGTAGTTACGCTTACCCTTTTCAGCTCTAGTATCAGCTTCATCAAAAGTTTTGTGGTCCCATTCAATTTCAATGTCCAATTCTCTTGGGTTGATCTTGTTTGGTCTGGAAGCCAAATAGCAGTCGATTTTTTCACCTTGCTTAACGTTCAAGACTTGGTCCAAGTAGAAAACAGTTTGTTTCCAGTGAGTGTTTCTGTGGAATGGACCGGTGCTGAAAACAACCTTGTTTTCTTCGGTATCGGATGGGAAGACAATATCGAACCAGGAAACAAGAGCGTGGATTTGGTCATCTCTGTTGGCAGTCAAAGTGAATTTCCTGTGGAAGGCTAATTGTTCAATAGTGACGGTGTTCAAGTCAATTTCAACCAATTCAGCGGTAGAAGTGTTGACGGAATGGGCTTCGACACAATCAACCAATGGCTCGGTCATACAGATTGGAATGAATGGAGTGTAGTCAAACCCGTAAACATCGTTCCAGAAGTTGATTTTTTCATCCTTGTATTCACCATCTTCGATACCAGCAATGTACATGGTACTCTTGTCTGGGAAGATCAACCCGCCTTTCTTCAAGTACTTGTCTCTGGCAATGAGGACGGTATCGAGCATGGATTCATAAAGCAAAAAGTACCCCATCCATTCGGAAATGATGATATCAACTTCAGGGTATGGCATCACCACGTCTTCCAATTTACCTCTGAGAAGAGTGATCTTGTCATCAAGACCGTTCAATTTGATCACTTTTTCAGCCATCTCAATAATGTTTGACATATCCACGGCAATGACGTGTTTGGCACCAGCTCTGGCAGCAAACATAGAAAGAATACCAGTACCACACCCAACATCAAGAACAACTTTGTCTTTAAAAAGATGTCTGTTTTGGAAAATTGCCTGACGATAACTCAAGGTACGGACCTTATCCTTAAGCATTTCTTCATGAATGGAGAAATGGTCATAAGAGGAGAAATAGTGCTGTTCTGAGAATGGAAGAGCCTCCTTGTTGGTGGCATAGTCTGTGGTGTTGCTTTCAGCCATCTTTGATGATTGATTATATTGTTATTGTTATTATGGTTGATGGATATAAAAATTTAAAAGATGAGAGAAAATTTTTTTTTTCACATTTTTTTTTTCTTGTGGAAAATCCACACGCGTACAAAACTGCCAACATGTGGGGGAAACTTTTCTTTTATCTCCTACAAAAAATAACACGTAAATAAGCGTAGATAAAGATCAATAAATAACCTTAAATAGTCTCTGGCATCTTCATGATCATAACAACCAACGAAGTCCATCCAAGAAAGTGGCGAACCCCAGTAGGGTTCCCGTTGCTTTCATCATAGTTTTCCCAACCGTAACCGGTTTCTTTAAACTGTTTGAAAACATTGTTCACCAAATTGGATCTCAATTCTTTATACAATTTCCGTGCGACCTCTTGGGTTTCTTGGTCCATTAACACGGAGTCCTCTTGCTCCGTTGAATAATAGATTAAACTATCCAAGATCAAGTAATTGATATTAACCCAGACTTTCCCCCTCCAGTAATCTTCCCCTTGTCTGAAGAATGGGTCTTGCTTTGACAAAGATCTGATACCGTAAGTAGAGAACAATTCTTCTGGATCAGCAATCAAGTTCAATACATCAATAAGATGGGAGGAGTCACGAGGAATCAATTTTAATAAGAATGGGAATAATGAAATATAACCCTTATGACAGACAAAAACATCTTCATCAGAATAGTCAAGAGTCACATCACAATAAGCTTTATCATCTTCTGACCAATGCAAATCGTCAATGTTCTTGATAATGGCAGTTTCAATATTTCCATATCTTTCGACATCTTCTTCGTAACCCAATAACTCTGCCAATTGTTTCATGGAGCTGGTGAAACTTCCAATCCAAGAAATCAAGTCGACATGAAGTTCCCCGATGTCAGGAACCTCGGCTCTTGGATAATCATCGAGACCACTTGGCAAACACAATTTTTCAGTCCTACCAATCCACCTGTAAGCTTCCTCCATGGAAAAGGCTTCTCTTTCAAACTCCTCCAATTCACCCTTTTGAGTTCTTCTGAACCATTCGTAATGTTTCTGGAGTTTTGGATAGATATTCTTGGCATAGTCAAGCAATAATTCAGGATGGTTCAAGTGGAAATCACTAATACCATCAATAGAAATATCAGAATCGTCACCCATGGCCCCGAATTCTAAAACATCTTGAGGTGCATTAATATCACCAAGATTGATTTTTTGTTCATAGACCTTTTTCTGTTCGTTAGCCTTTTTAATGACGTTGAGGAAGACTAACATCAACGTTGGTGGGTTAGCAATGTTTGGATTCTGAACTTGGAATTCTTCCGGAACCTTACTTCTAGCTTCTTCGCCCAAAATTTGTTCTCTAGCAATCCAGCCATCATCATCAATCAAATCAAACCAACTTTTCAAGATTTCCAATGCCAAATCAAAATCATATTCCAAAATAGGAATCAAATGGAAACCTTCATCCCAATAGAAACCTCTTGGGAAGAATGGTCTACTTGGGACCGAAGTAAACAACTCAAATGGACCTTCTGGTTTACCATCCAATTGCTTGAATTTTCCTTGTTCATCGTCACCTTCTTCATCAATTTCGGTAGTTCTATCAACTAAATGGTCCCCGAAAAAGTACCCAACTCCTCCAATCAAATTGGAAATGAAGTCTTCCCCGAACGCCTTATATTTCTGAAGATTGAAAGGAGAATTAAATTTGAAAATTTTGTGGAACTTATCATTGAATTTGGAAACGGTGATGTCGATTTTTTCCCCAAGGTTCTCAAAAGTAACCTCATCGTATCCAGCGGCTCTAGCAATTGGCTTTTCAGTATTTTGGGTGTTGAAAACAATGTCAAATTCAAACGCTCCTTCGAAATTCTTTTGAATAAAATGCATGTTACCATCGTACGCATGAAGATCTGGCAAAGTTAACCCTACAACCGCAGGAGTTTTCTCAAGATCAACATCGAGTTCGCCGGCAGTGTATTGTTTGTTTAAAGTTTGCAATGATTCTTGAATCATACTGACAAACACTTGTTTTGCTCTCCAAATATTATGTTCTGGCACGTTCAATCCAATATGTTTGGTGTACTTTGGGTCGTAATTCTCACCTGGTACGAATGACTGGTCAACAGTAACGTGTCTGTTGGTATCTGGACCATCATTAATCTCAAGTTTGAACTTTGCAAAATCTTTAGAAATACCTTCTAACACCACAATTTCGTCATGTTCAAATCCTTTTGGTGTTTTAGCGTTGGCAAGCGTCAATTTCTCTCCGGTAACTGGATTAAGAATTTCTAAACCAGCATAAAGCACCATAGAAGTTTTCACTGCTTCATGGCCCTTTTGTGGGACCCCCTTAACTCTTAAACCCCAGGATTGATCAAGTTCATTCTTCAAATTATACGACTTCACGAATTCAAACGTCAAATCAATGTGGTTTTCATTGTCTTTTATTTCCTCAATTCCCCCGTATCTTGGATCGAACTTTGTCCAACCGAATTTCTTAAAATCGTCGTTTTGATCACACATATGCTTGGCCTTGATGATCGAGTCGAAGTTGTCGAGATTGTACCAGAACAATCCAGTCATCAAAGAATCAGGGATTCGTGGCCGCATCCCAATGTATAAGTTTGATCTATAAGGTCCCCACATTAAAGATGATTTTGAAGCAGTTTCATAATCCTCGATCGACACTCCGAAAGCCAAAAGAGAATAAAGAGAGAGGACCACAAGAAACTGGGACACCCATCGCAGCAACATGATTCTTGACGTTTATTCTTGTACTTCTGTTGTTGAATGAAAAATATAATAGTGGCAGTGAGGTGGAAAAGCGTTTCTGGTTTTTGAAAGGTTGAAGTGTCCACTTCCATGGTGCGTCTAGTAATTTCATAGCCCATCTCTGGGTATTTTGGTGGATATAGATTCTTTGGCTAAGTGAATAATATTTATTATATTAAAAAGTTATTTTCTGCCGTTGGTATTATCCTCTTCATTCACTTTGATTTGTGCTGATCATCAAATATATGCGTAAAGCCATATCATTGACGTAATTTTTTCGATGTTTTTTTTTTTTTTTTTTTTTTTTGATCTTCATGGAAGATGCCTGATAATTAAGGATGAGCAGTGACAATCCAAATGCTTTCAGACTGGCGAGGGGTGGACGACTGATAAGAGGCCCAAGAGGCAGAGGAAGACCAAGACCCGTTAGATTCCAAACTTCGCTCAATACTGAACCACTATCCAACGATGATCAGGAGAAATTGAAGCAAAGAGCATTAAGGTTCTCGACGAATAACAAAGACCAAGGAAAGAACTACGGGCTAGTGAGTCGTGGTGAAGATAACACTTTGCAGTTGAACAGAAACAATGAACGGGAAAAGTTTTTTGCGGATATCAAGAAACAGTTTATCCTTCATTGCTCTAGCTATGACAGCGTCGAGGGATTAAGAGAAGATTTGACAAATATCAAGGACCACAATAAATCCCAAAAGACCAAAGTGGAGGAAATTTTAATGAACCTTCGGAAGTTAAGAGAAGCCTTACTAAATGCAAAACCAACCGAATTCACCGCAAAAGTCTTTTTATACTCCATCAAAGTGGGCTCTCGACTGGGTCATTACCAGACATATGTTCCATGTATATCATACCTTATTTCCAATGTTATTGAAAACAAACATGCTGATTTCAAACTTCAAGAGTATGAATTGGACGAAATCATCGGGATTTACATCTTACACCTTGCTCATTTCAACTTGAAAACTATCGACAAAGGCCATATATATTCCAACTATCAAGATCTATCTCAATGCTTCCAACTTTTTTTCAAATATATTCCCCATAACTATGCAATCAAAAAAATTTTGAAGGCGGTGGGGTCCAATGATTATGTCACCTGGTTCAACACTTACGCCAATGAACTTCGGTCGAATTTATGTTACCAAATGATCATCAACAAGCTAGCCTTGAATAAAATAATTCAAAACTTGTTATTGGTGCTTAATTCCTCGTATTTCATGATTAGTGTCAACTACTTGGAGCAGGATCTCTTGTCAGGAGTCGTGAGTTATGATTATTTGAAGGCCAATTTCCCCCAGTATTGTGGCCACTGGAAGTTGAATGAGGGCACAATAATTATTAGAGAACGAAAAAGAAAACCAGATCGGCAGTGAATGAAGTCGGTTTGTATAATTTAATAAATGCATATATAATAGACACAAACCATTGATTGATCCATATATTTGGCACACCTAACTATGAAGATGTGCGGGTAATGGTGGTAGCACAAAGCCAAGATGATGAGGAGGAAACTCATCTCATCACTCAGTTATTTGCTACGTTCACCAGCACCTAAAAGAAAACAGCGAACTTAGGATAACAATATTACACAGATATGCCCGAATCAGATATAAATAAAGAAATAGATCTCATAAACCTGCAGGGTCTCAGCAAAATCAAATTGAATAACTTGATTTTGAACTATCTAATCGTTGAGGGGTATGAGACGTCTGCTATCGACTTTTCAAGGGAAATTGGGTTAGATTTGTCGCAAATTGGGTTAAGCTGTCCAAATAACGGTAATAATATTAAAAATAAAAATCGATCGTGCTATGGCTCGCACGAAAAATACGAATCCTTGGTTAATGGGCTTCAATCCATAAAGCAAAGAAATGAAATCAAGTTGCTATTGATCAAAGGCGAGATATCCACCATCATCAGCAAATTGAACGAGTATTATCCATTTTTATTGGAAAGCAATGAATTCCTCCATTTTAAGATCCTATTGTTGAATTTAGTGGAAATTATCAAGAAACATCAGCGAGAGAGCGGTAATAACGATGAGCGGCGCTCCAGTTTTGCTGGCAGAAGGAAATCAGTTGGTGATACCACCAAAAGAAAGAGAAGGCTATCGTCAGTTTCTTCACAAACTGACAAGAAAAAAACCAGGCGGAAATCATCTGCTGGTTCGACAAAATTATCCATGAAAGAATTGAAAAAAGAAGAGGAATTCTTCAATTCCATCATCTCCTTTGTGAAAGATAAGTTATTCAGTAAAGCCATCCGGACTAAATCATTTTTACATGAGTTGGAATTATCCATGTGTCTTTTACTTTTCAACTTCAATGATTTTCAAACTGGAAATGAGGATCATTTTTTACCTAAAGAACTTTTGAATTTGGTCAATAATAAGAATTTTAAGAATGAAGTGTTTAATCTTATCAATAATGCGATTTTGAATTACAATTCACGTTTCTTATCGCATAATGTTAGTGTTGGGGCAATGTCTGATAATGTCGGTAAGGTGAGCAACGAAGGCGAAGGATATGGATTTTCCTCGACATTATTGAATAATGATTTTATGAACAACAATGAGAGATCTAAATATAGAAACGATTATGTATTTTATGATACTGACAGTGATGATGATTCAGATGAGGAATCTAAACCGCCGAACAAAGACCACCGGAATGGAAAGGTTGCCAATGATATGTTTGAAGAATTATTATTTGAAGAAGACGAAATGAATGATGATGAAGAATCAGGTAATGATGATGCTATGGAAAACGATTTATTGGAGAATCATTTGAATAATAATATTAACTCAAAGTTTAAGCAGTTGATCAATTTATGGATGTGGAGCGAAAATGTCATGAATGAAAAGACAGACGATGCCATTTTGAGGGTTGATTTAGAGAGATTATTTAGCGAGTGAATGATTATATAGAAAGGAACACAAGTCATTATTAGATACCCATAACAAGTAACTTACCTTTTCCAACAAGTAAGAATTTTTTCTTTTTTTTTTGTTACAGATTATAAAAAGTTTCAATGCAGTTATAGTTTCATTTAAGAAAACGGAGTGAGAATAGAATATATATATATATATATGCGCTATCTATTTATTCATTCTTCATCATCGTCATCATCGTCAACATCGTCGAAATCTTCTCCTTCGGAATCTCCACCTCCCATCATCTCTTCCTCCTTCTTTCTCTTTTTAGTCTTTTTGGCATCCTTTTTCTTCTTTTTGGCATCCTTTTTGTCTTCCTTTTGTTGTCTTTCCAATTTCTTTTGCTCTTGTAATTTCAAAACTCTATCTTGATGTCTTCGAGATTTCTTGATCACATCAATAACATTAACGTTATCATAACCGATAATATTGTCATGACCTTCACCTCGCACCATGATATCTGCCATATTGACTAACCCATTACTAAGATACTTCTTGCTACCACCAATTCTGAGTTTTTGTTTCAACAAAGCTTCGAGTTCATACTTTTTGGCTCTCAGTTTCCCGGAATCAAGAGTTTTGCCCACTTTTTTGTTACGTTTCTTAGTAAGCGCATCATCTTCAAAATCCGATAAATCATCCACTTCAAGTGCTTCTGCTATTTTGCTCACCCAAGAATCTTCTTTGGATAATGAAGATTTGGACACGTCTGATTCCGCCAATTCACTGGCCAAGTGCCCTCTTTCACGTAATTGATCAAGAATAGATACCTCAATTGGCAATAATTTCACATCATCATCGGTCAAATTTTGGAATCTAGTGAATAATGCTCTCTTTCTATCTTTTGGATCATCTCCTGGCTTTTTATCCATCTTCATAGATTCTTCAATAAGAAGACGTCTCAATCTTCTCAATGGCCCACTAACTTCTTGTGGAGAACACAACATGATGGAAACCCCTTCGGAACCAGCTCTACCGGTTCTCCCTGATCTATGGATATATAAATCAGCAGATCTTGGTAAATGGTAATGCACCACATGGTCAATATTTGGGATATCTAACCCTCTGGCTGCGACGTCGGTGGCCAATAGCACCACAGTCTGTTTCTTGTCTTCGCTGACACAGCTTTTTTGGAAATTTTCCAAGTTCTTAAGACGTTGCTTTTGAAGCATCGACGAATGGATAGAGAAGCATTTGATGTGCAAGAATTTGAGGAATGAGTTGAGTCTCTTTACCGAATCGATAGAATTGGTGAAGATCAAAGTGGTACCCGTGTACATTGTCAAGAAATAGTACAAGTACAAATCTCTGTTGGTGGCATCACATTCAATAAGTGCTTCGGAAATGGTTCCAGAAACCACTTCTTTAGGATTAATATTGATAATTTTCGGATTTTTTTCCCGGAACTGTAGCTTAGTTTTCAAAAACTCAATAATTTCATGATCATCGTTAATGGTTTCTGATTCCGGATCGTCGTTATGGTTTTTTTTACCATTTTTCTTTTGTTTTTTATTTTTGGCTGGCTGTTTCTTTTTATTGACATTTTTATCCAATTTACTGAACAATGTTTTAGAAAAAGTGGCAGAAAACACAAAGGTTTGCCATTTCTTTAAGTGGTGGGTCTTTCTGACTTTATAAAGAATCTCAATGATTTTTTCCAACTCCCCAAAATGACCATCTTGTAATAACCTATCAGCTTCATCTAATGTCAAGATTTCAATTTTTGAAATTTTATTCAAAATATCATTATTGTCCAATTCTAAAAGCTCTAACAAACGACCAGGAGTAGCAATGATCAAACCAGGGTTATAACTCAACAATCTTTCTTGTTTTTGGATAGAAAGACCCCCGGTAATAGAAACAATAAGTTTGCCGACGCTCAGGGCATCCTTCAAAGGATAGTTTTCCACAACTTTCACAAAATGACTATGTACTTGTTTGGCAAGTTCTCTAGTTGGAGTGAACACAATACCGACAGGAGAGTCCAATGGTTTATTACCGTTTTCCTTCAATCTTAGCAAGAACTTCTCCAAGATTGGCAACCCGTACCCCAAAGTCTTACCAGAACCGGTGGATGCCTTACCAATCACATCATGATCGGCGATAGCCGCAGGAATACAGGCTTTTTGAATTGGGGTTGGCATATTGAAGGCGAGCTTCGCGAGAGAATTCAAGGTGTATTTACTAAGAGACAAGTCTGACCAATTTTCAATAATTGTTTGCGGGAGTTCAACGGAATCCAAATCTTCGTCTTCATCGAGGATGTCTGTAAGTTTACTTGTTTTCAAGTTTTCCTTATAGTCTGCCAATAAGTCTTCATCTACCTCATCATCATCATCATCATCATCATCATCATCAATATTAATATTATCATCTTCGGCTTCTGCTTCTTCTTCTTGCAAAACTGTGGCCAAGGCTTCTTGTTCAATTTCAGCCCCATCGTCTTCTCTATCACTGAATGCAGTAAATTCCTCTCCGTCATCCTCATCATCTCCGTCATTATTATCATGTTTTTCCTCTCTTTCCTCTTCCTGTCTAGCAATTTCTTCCTCGTCTTTTTCAGTTAATAATGATTGGTTCTTTTTAACTCTACCATTTTCCTCTTCTTGGGCCTTTTCTTCTTCGGTTTTAAGTTTCAGTTGATCTTTTACAACAAAATGAGCTTTACCATCAACATATTGCACATCAACCCCTTCAATCTCTTCTAAACCAAAGAAACCTTCGACAATATTTACCGATTGATTAATCTTTACAGAATTCCATTTGAGATCATCTGCAGAAATGAATTTCTTAGCACCTGAGCCTCTAGAAATTGGAGTAGGCTGGTCATCATTAGAGGTCTTTTGTTTCTTAAGTGTATTTTTTGAGCTTTTTATTTTATTCTTACCAGCATCCTCACTATCTCCAATGGATCTTTTCTTGTGCTTAGGCTTGACAAATTTACTAGCCATGATTTATCGGAAATCTATTTGCAGGATTATCGGTTCTTAAAACAAAAAGAAAAAAAAAGCAAACGAATGTTTCTTAACAAGTGACAAAAAGAAATCGAATACTACCAAATCAAACAACAGATCGATACCAATTATTATCCGGAGAGAATATTTCAATATTTCTTCGTCATCTCATCTCAAATTTTTTTTTTCCCTAAAATTTTTTTTTTCCTTATTTTTTTTACTTGGCGCACCGCATAATATAACATTGAAAAATTTGTGTGTGATGCCTAGAAAATAATCTATCTGAATTCTAGAATGCAATATTATTATTTGCAAAAAAGTAGCGATTGATGATTTTCTAAATGAAAGTCGGAATCGCGGGAAGCCAAAAATAGGAATCGGAAAAATGCTTCACATTTGAAGATAATCAGACAACTAATTGACCAATTTTTTTTCTCTTTTTTTTTTTGTTGCCGTACGCTTTTTTCTTTTAAGTTGAGCACTAAAAAGACGTATTTTTATGCTTTCATGAAGTGCAAGGCGAGCCAAAATCAGAAGAGCATCTTTGAAAAACTTAAAAAAGTTGACAACAATACATGCCGATGAGATCGTCGTCTATGGGCATAGAGATCTCTAAATATGGAGTTAGAATAAGAAAAAGTGTAATAGAAAAGAAATTAAGAACAGGATGTACTAATAGAAACACAAGGCATCAATGCATATATACTGATGAATTCTGACCAATGGGCATATGCTTTGTTTTCCTTTTATTGTTATTATTTGTTGCTATTGAATACGTGCTTTAAAGATGATACTACGGTAACTTGGAACTAACAAGGCTGCTTTATATTGTATTGTTCTTGCAATACTTTGTGGAGGACGAGACGTTAAAAAGTAAATGAGGTTAAAAGAGATATGATATGATAATTGCCTTTTTTTCTTTGTCTTCTCCAATGGCCTGGCGGATTTTTCGTTTTCATTATGGGAAAAACTCTTCTATATTTTTATAGTGCCGTCTTTTTCTCTCTCTCTCTTTTTGGTTTAATTAATCAAATTTACGCGTATAACCTTGAAACTACATAAAACTATTTTCTGTTACTTTTCCTTTGAGTTATTCTTGATATTCTTTGGGCTACTGATTAGGTTCGATACAGGTTTGAAAGTACTAATTTTGCAAGTGGAACATTAACAGATATTCGGAGAACGAGAAATGAATCAGAAAAAGAGACGGAAGCTTACGATCCTCAAACTACTTCTTCATTTCCGTTTAAATTTTTGGAAGCTCAGGAACTGAATTATCTGTAGGCTGTTTTTTTTTTTTTTTTTTTTTTTTCTTAATTAATTGCGTGATTAGCGATATCAAAATAAAGTGCTGCAAAAAGGCCTAAATGAGCCAACAATTTAAGTGAATCCATCCTAATTAATCGAATACTTCCTGCCATCTTGTTTTTTTTTATTAGCTTTCCTCTACAGCTCTATTACTAGGAAACTCCATAGGACAACAAATTTTTTTTCTTCCCATAACGTTTTAACGTTTCACCGTTAACATATTTTGCACGGTGATCCAGTAATTTTTGATTGGGTTCTTTGTGATCCCTAACTTTCTAATAGAGTAATGGATGCCGAATATTCACATTATTAACAGGATGCTCCTGAACCTTGCAAAGCATATTTTTCTTTTCTTTTTCTGGAGAGTGCCTCAGCAAATGATTAATATGAATTTCTCAACAAGAGTACAAACGTTAATGGGGAAGAGAAAAAAAGGGTTGTAAAAGTAGCAACCAACACGTTCATTTCCAGCCAGTCAATACAATAATATTTGGAAGGGCAAAGGGTAGACAAATAATTGATTCCATAGAAATGGCCTTGGTGTAAATTGGGATGGTTCGGCGTGACAGGGAATAAAATATAATTTCTCCGTTTATAGTTTTATCACGTCAACCATCTTCGACCCGCATCCTGTCTTCTTGGTGTCTCACATATTTAGAACAACAGGTTACATGGGACGTCTAGTTGTTATAATCAACAAACACATTGCACCAATTGAGATCTACTGCCTTGGAGTAAATAAATAAGTAATCGTACTCAAACTGCCAACCAATAAGAGTATGGCTGTTGTCCTAAAATGGTATCTACAAATTTCCCAAAAATGATGCAAATTATAAACCTGACTTGAAGGAATAAATGACCTTTCCATTTTTCTTCGTGTTCTGGCCCCCCTTTCTGCTCAAGACCTCCTTGCTTCTCTATGTATTTCTTTTTTTTTTCTTTATTGCTTTCAATATCATTTAACTTCCAGCCATGGGAGCCGAATTTGAAGGAGCTGTTAACTCTTGCACCAGCATCCCGCCGCTCGCAACTTGTTTAGTCGATGGGATCGATGAGCGCAGATCGCAAAATCCCTCCTGCAATTATGTAATGCCAATCAATCAGGCACCACGATGCCTACTATTTAAAAGCATCATCACTAAAATTAAAACCAACACTAATTTCATTGTAGTATGTTTAATAATTGGACCTGATTGACAAATTGACACTGATTGGCGAGTGAAAATCAATATGATCAAGTCAAATTAGGTATCCATATGCGAGCTATCACAATGTCCTACAATCCAAGAATTTGGCTTCAGCAATAATCTAGCAAAGATGTTTCAGTACTTTTTTTTTTTTTTTTTTAATCTTTCCTTGGTGTCCCATCTCCAACATTTTTCTTTTGAGATTGGCTAGGAAAAAAAATAACACAATAACTAAGACGTCCACCCAAACCTGGATTGTATTATCTGCTTTTCCTTAACCTGCCATGATTGTAACTTGTTAAGCACGAATAGGAGCTGCGACAACAATTTTTTGCATGTTCTCCGCAAACGGGGGGAGACTATAGAGAAATAAATAAGTCATACAAGCATTTGAAAAACCATGTATCTGCCATAAATAGCTTTAGCATTGAACCAATTGGTCTATAAATGCGTAGACAAGATAGCACTATTGTCAATAGTGATGTACCTGGACATCCCATCAGTTAAGGTTTCCTATTAGTCGACGTATTTGCAATGATTTGTGAACAATCTCCTTGATGCGAATATACCTAAGCCCATCGCAAAACAATAGAATACCTACACTTTTTGCACTACTCAGATGGTACCTTACCATGTCTTCTAAAAAAAAACCTGGCTTCCACAGATCCTTTTTTATTGTAGTAGCTTGTCAATACACAGTATATAACTATATATATATATATATGGATTTTGGGGAAAGTCGTTAGTATGGTTAACTACAAAAATGTGTATATGTGTACGTGTCTGTTTAATACTTTATAACCTATACCAAACATAAATGTTAGCTGGAGTATTATCAAAAAAATAAATAAATAAAATAATAAGGTCAATAAGCTTGCTATTGTCTTTCGGTTGAACGTCATGATTTTCCTTGGATGAGCTAGCCGGAAATATGATCACAATAGGGATTAACCCAGGAATGGGCCACTAAAAACATAAACTAGTAGCGATGATAGAGTATGATAAACATATATTTACTCCTTTAACCATAGCGGTGGTAGATCCCCTAGTTGAATAATAGGAATTTTTTATCTTTGACATGATATAACAATGCAACATAACCTATAACAATGCTAAACAATAGTGATGAAAGCCCACCTGCAGTGATGCTAAAAACAAAAAAAAATTCACAGCTCATCTCTTGAGAAGTGCTTCCGTAAGATGAATACTTTGGTGGATCAAAATTGTCTACATTGTTGTCTTATACAAGATACAAGAATAAGAGGCAAAAACCAGAAAATATTTACCTTTTTTCAGTACACTGGTCCTCAGTTTTTCGGAACCAAGGGTGTGTCAAGAAGTCGAATCTACAAAATAATAGAGAATAAGGCCTTATTTTCACAAACAAAAAAGAAATAGAATAGAGCAAGCATATTGATGAATTACTTTAGCAAGTTGATTATTTTGATGAGCAAACCTGACTTGAGTGCGGTTTTTTCCCTCATCAATACAACAAGCAGCAACAAAATAGATGTCTATCAAATCACCGATGGGTCACAATCCCTCTACATCTATTTAAGTTAATATGTCCATTACTACCGTTTCTTTTTTTCCAATTTATTTTACGCCTTAAATTTAGGTAGTTAATAGTAACATTTAGCACTATCCCTTTTCTTTTTTCGTTTTATTTTTTTTCCTTCTTTTCCAGATCGAAGGAACCAACAGAAGCAGTAGTATAGAATACTAAGAAAGTGGCGTATATACATCAACGAATGAACTAATTAACACGAGAAAAGCGAAAACAAAATCCCAAAAAAGAAATTGTTGATAATTGCTACAGGATAAGTTAGATAGCAGGAATATATGAGTCTTTTTTTTTTTCTTTCTTTTTGAGTTGTTTTTCCTTAGCAAAGAAATATGTGATACGACACGCAACTCGCTTGCTACATGTTGAAGGGAATCAAGATCCGATGCTTTTCACAAAAGATGAGATTATCTCCCGGACGGTGTTTATAATCAATACGGCCCGAATTGGACTTTTGCGATTGGTTTGGCAAACAAAGTCCAGACCTTTTCTAACAATACTATCATTCATCCGTTCTTGTGCAAATGGATATCCTAATTCCATTGGTATTGGCCTTTGGTATAGAGAATTAAATCATCACTTTACCTTCGAAGGATTATTATTTGCTAAATTCAGTTATGATGATGTCCAATTGTAGCAAAATCATCTACATCTTCTAGACCAATTTCTCGAAAACAGCAAAATGTATCAAATAATTAATTTTAAGGCCCGCCCTCTTCTCTCCTGTATCTTAATGAGTAGTGATTTTTATTAACAAGTGATGATGTTTGTACACACCCGTCACCTTGTTTTCTGTTCCTTCTCATCTTTTCTTTATACTAAATAATCTTTCCGCGATTAATTCTTTCTTTTTGAGATACTTTGTTTTTATTGGCATGAACACGTCCTTTTCCTTTTTGAAAAAAAATAAATAAAAAAATAAGAGCAGCGAGACTTCAAAGACACCTGGAGACGGGAAAAAAAAAATGGGAAGTTGCTTCTGCTGCTTCTACTACTAATTTTCAAGCAAGATCCCAACTGCAATCAATATAACTTCTCACCTCACCCCGGCAGAGATCGTGGGACACTTTTGCAGAGAGCAATATTGCACATCGAGGTCTGCTGGCAGGAAATGTGACATGTTGCTACATTGCATTGCGCATTAACGCATGCATACATAGACATACACAATGCAGCAGCAACATGCAAGCAGCAGTAGAATGCGAGCACGCGTCGCCACCAAGTAGCGATAATTGTTAACTACAGAATTCAATCGAAATTTCGAAGCGTTTGGTTTAGCAGTACATATTGGACAGATGATAGATATATAGATATGGAAGATGTATATATATATATACCCAGCATGTTCCCTGGGGGTTGATCTTTTTTTTTTTTATCTCTTACTCTTTCTTTCTTACTCTTGATAGATCATCTTTCTATATTACCTTCACCTCAAAACAAAGCTCCTCACAACGTCTCAAATTAGTGTGTTTGTGCTTTATTTTAGTGTAACACAACTTGCCAACTTTCATTGCGAAAAAAAACAACAACAGAAGAACAACAACCCATTTTTTTCTTTGTGAGTTCTCAAGAATATCCAATATCTAACCGAAAGTTATCTGGTCTAAAATTTGATATCTACCATAATTAATTGCGAGTGGCTGACTATCTATATTGAGCACCTGCCGAATCTTGCCCCTGTCATTAATTGCCATCTAACCTCAGCGTGTCTCACTTTTCCCTAATTTTTAGGCACCTTTTTTTTTGTTTCTATTCATTTCCTACTTTCGGTGCAAGCGGAAAATTAGAATTACATAAATCGATCTAAATACTACATTTAGCCACAAATCAGTCTAACTCTCCGTCAAAATTCCTCAAACACAATGTCAGGCTATAACGTCGAATCTGCAAACTTGCAATACTCGTTGCTACCTCCTCAACCTACAAAACCAAACCACCATTATCTCTCCTCTATGAACAATCAACAGGATTCAGCAACTGATAATCAGCCTAATGAGCAGTACTTCGGCAATTCTGGTTACTATTACAATGAACAAAGACCTTCCACTGATGCTGCTAATAACCATCAACAGCCTGCTCCATCATTAGGCAATACCCCATCAACTGCTAATAATGCCAGCAGCAACAGTAATCAGAACTTGTTCTCTTATTCAAATATGTACTACCAAGGGCCAGCGGAAACACCATCACAATATTCTGCTTCTTCACATCCTTCAACAGCCTCTATGCCAAACAATGCCACTGGTACAGCAACTCCTTTTAGCTCTTACACTTACCCAACAAGATCCTTCTCAAGTGTTCACCCAGGGTCTACCACTGGACACCAGCTTGTGTACAGCGGAATGCAAGGGTATCCACCTGACCAGCAACCACCATCACACCCAGGACAACCTCCAATGAAGCGTTACTCGGTATCATATCCAATGGGTGCTAATTTGCAAGGGACTTTCCCATCATCGAGCATGAATTATGCCGAACCATCCCAACAATACGGCCAATTGAGCTATGCTTTCAATCAAGCTCCAAAGCAAATAAACATGTCTCCTACGCAGTACAAGGACCAAGCTAGTGTTGCTGATCCTACCACTACTGCTACTGCTGGCACTACCCCAGGCACCAATGCTACTACTTCTACTCCTTATTACTCTTTCAATAGCAATTACTACTACAACCAACCTTATGGTCAAATAGGAGGCTCTGCTAACAATAACTTGGTGATGAAGAATGAAGACTTCCTTAATGATTTGTCTCCAACGGTGGTAGGGTTCGGTCACCCACATACCCCAATTTCGTCCTCTCATAAAGCAAAGAATGAAGATGCTGTTGACCCTCACCCTATTCCTTTGAACTTGGGAAACTCATCACAACCTTCAAACTACAACTCGCAACAACAATACTCACAATCGATCACTGAGTACGGGTCAAACAAGGACATCTTCCAAGCATTCAAGAATCGTCTTGATGGTCTCAAGCATGTGAAGCTAATCAGAACTAACACTTTGCCTAAAGAAGAAATCTCCAAAAATATCACCGTTATTGAAAACAACAACAAGAAAGTTTATTTCAACTTTGAATACCCAACTGTCTCCATCACTTTCCAAGAACCAATCAACAATGTTACCTTCGATTGGTCCGAAGCTGAGAAATCTGGCGAAAAGCGGAGATTGGTGCTCTTTTACTGGGATTTCTGTTTGGTCAAGGCCAATCATGTCATCAATAATGGTGTTTCCCGTGATGCTTCTCCACCTCTTCCAATGCCACAAGCTCACACTACTGAGTTCTTCAATGAAAACTTGGAATACATCAAATCGATTCTCCACTTGAAGCATGAAATCATCACCCAAGAAGAATACCAAATCTTGTTCGAAGACCACCCAGCCACTAGTATTAGTGATTACCGTTTGAAGCAGCTTACTTCCATCATCAAGGACCCAGTCACCAATACCATGAAATCCACTTTCGGAATAATTTCTTGCTTGTATTGGAACCATACTGATAATTTCTATTTGACCTCTGTTGATTTGTTGTTTTTGTTGGATAAGCTCAGTGGTCGTACTTCAAGCATTGCCAACAACGTTTCCATTGCCGATATTGTCGTTGTTAATGGTTGTGGTGATGCTAAAAGGAGTACTGGTAGTGGTGCTCCTGGTCGTCTTGTTGGTGCCACTTTAGTGTCGAAGAAGGGCAAGTTTGCTTCCAAGCTGCAGGTGAAGAAGTTGAAGCAGGCCGCCAAGTTTTTGAAGGCTATTGATGGGAAGGAAATCAACAGAATCAGAAGAAACTTGTTGAACTTCAAGAGCATCACTTTGGGAAAACAGGAAGCCGAATATGAAGACGATTTGAGACGTCGTCACCAACAGTATCAACAGCTTCAAGGAAACCATCAAGTTGCCTCGACTTCCCAGGGTGCTTCCAACTTTGGTACCGAAGAGGAAATGATGTTTTTCCATAAAATCATGTCTTTCTCGAATCCAAAACCAAGAAAGATCGAGAAGAAGTTGAAAGTTTATGAATGGAGAGTTCTTGAACAAGCTTTGGATAAAATCATGAAGAAGTATTGTGTTGATTTGAAGAATGGAAGCAGTGGTATTTCTGATGATTTGAGAGAAAGTGGATTGTATTAATGGGTTAACATCATTGGTATTGTTTTGGTTTAGGGTGTTATTTTTGTTCTTCTTTTTTTTGTTTATTATTATTTGGTTTTGTTTTGGCTTGTTTAGTTCAGGAGAATTCTCCATCTCCATGTATTACTAAGGTCAGTTTTATCTTTGGGTACTGCGCTACATTTGATTTTACTTATAATATTCTTTCATTTTCCTTTAATTTTATCTATTGTCTTAGTAAATTGAAATATTTTTTTTAGTTCGTTTGTTTCTATCTTCCATTTTATATTTGTTTTCTATCATTTTCTATGAATATTGTGTTTTAGGATTATCTTTCTGTTTTTCATGGTGTACTACGATTTCTTCAGTAATAACTATAATAATAATTAATATAAATATAAATATAAATAAAAATATAAATATAAATATAAATATAAATATAAATATAAATATAAATATAAATATAAATATAAATATAAATATAAATATAAATATAAATAATAATGATATTGGTATTCATTCCATGTATATGTGCGAAAAATGATAGAAAGACGACCACTAGAAACCACCTGTTTTTCTTGATTTTTTCCCAATTTTCTTTTTCAAGGGCTGCTTTAAAGGGGTTCGTTGTTCTTATTATTCAAATTGTTTGCGAGCTTGCCCAAAAGCTATACTCTATTCGAGCACAATTGACAGCCTTTTTGGGCATAAAATTAATCCTCTTTTTCTTAACTAGCCCCAGGCATAATTGAAACACGATATTAATATATACTCATTAATTAACGGAAACTTGTTAATTAATCAGGAATATTGATCTATACATATGAACTCATCAATATCAAATTAATGTTCGATTAATGAAGGTACACATTGCACGGAATATTTGGTGGCTAGATAAACGAGAAAAACAGGTAATTTAGTCACAGGAGCCTGTCAATTGCAAAAAGAAATGTGAGGCGACTAACATTTTCTTTTTTTTTTTTGTACTGAAAATCTCGAAGAAGTAGCAAGGCACCCCAAAAGAATAAGATGTCTTCACATTTATTCATTAGAATTACAAAGTTATGATTGTTTACACTTCTTTTTTGTCTACGTCTGGTGTTGGCTAGTCCGGATGCTTTCTGAAACCTAAAATCCATGGCTAAGGTGACGATGAAGGATGGTGATGACGGAGAAGAGGAAGAAGAAAGTGTTGATCAAAAAAAGATAAGAAAATAGAAGTATTAGCGCGCGTCTTCTATGACAGCATCGTTAGGTGACTCGCGATCTCGCTTCCCCTTATATTACGTCTGGGTGAAGCACGGGACTTAGCTAGGGCGTGCACAACTCATTCTTATCTCATGTACACACGGTTCAGCTTGTACAAAGTATGCCATTGGGGTTTTCGCGTTTCGCGATTTATTTAACCTTTTTTTTTGTTATTTGTTGAACTCTGTTTTGACTCCTCTCCTTATACTTTTCCTTTATTCCTTTTTTCTTTTTTCTTTTTTTGGGTTGCTGGTTGTTGTTATTTTGATTGTTATCAACGTCAACAGGAGCAACAGAGCTTGCTTGATTAAGGCTGGAATTGTTTCCTGATTGGGTGGCCGCTCAATTGTTTTGTTCTTAACTTATACGATTTTTTATCAGGCTTTGCTCAACGAAATTGGTATAGACACGAACCAAGTACCCTGTTTACGTAGTCACCCCAACTTGCACTGTGAGCAAAGCAGCACAATCAAAGAATATCAGACAAAAAATAAACAAGCAAACAAATAAATCACACTTTTCATAGTTCATGGACCGATTCTAGAACCCAGCTCAATTCAACCAAGTCTTTTTCTGTCTTTTCTTCGCAATGATAAAAATTGGTAACAAAGTTCGAAATCTGGTTACGATAAAAGGGTACCAAGCTTGCCTCTATATATATTTGCAAATTTGTACGCTAAACATTTACAATTTTCTGGTACCTGACTTTTGTTTCTCCCGAATCTATCTATCGACACATTACCATGTGCAAAGGTCTAAAAAATACCAACGGAAATACCCTTTGTGTGCAACCTTAGTTGATGTGTAGTAGATATATAGAGGCTCCGCTTTCTACAGTGAAAAAAAATTTGTATACATGGTAAAAATGTTGGAGAGTATTTAAACAAACAAACAGAAAAGATTCATTCTCCATTCCAGATAAACATCAGTTTATTGTTTTTTTGTGAAAGGCGTACCAATAGAAACCATACACACTGGCATACATGTATCATGAAATTATTCCTAAATCTTATTAGTAGGATATGATCACCAGCTTGTACCGTTTAATGTTAGGTTAGAAGCGTTAGACATCCATCACAACACAATAAATTTCTTTTGAACTTTTAAGCTTTTGGACCTCTTGACTACCACCTCCCATTTGTATGGTCGATCATGTTCTTTGTTTTCTTCTACATTCGATTTTAAAAAGGACACAAAAAGGAAGATTGATTATTTAAAGAAAAGGCTACTTAACACAAAAATATTAAATTTAGTCTTGAACTTTTTGAGCACCACGCAACAAACCAGTTCTTCTGGCAGCGATAAGACCGGCCTTTTGACCAGAAACAGCACCTCTAGAGATGGTAGAAGCCTTACCAATATGTTGATGGTTACCACCACCATGAGGGTGATCAACAGGGTTCATGGCAACACCTCTAGTCTTTGGCCATGAGTTTCTCTTAAGTCTGTATTTGTGGAATGCTCTACCAGCCTTCAACAATGGCTTGTCAATTCTACCACCACCGGCGATAACACCAATGACACCTCTGGCGTCAGATGGCAAGATCTTCTTGGCACCAGATGGCAACTTGACTCTGGTCTTACCTTCTTCCAAGTTGTGACCAATGACAGTGACGTAGTTACCAGAAGTTCTACCCAAAGCACCTCTGTCACCTGGCTTTTCTTCAACGTTACTGAGAATAGTACCTTCTGGGACAGAAGACAATGGCAAAACGTTACCGATGTTCAAAGAAGCATTCTTACCAGCGTAGATGAATTGACCAGTGTAGATACCTTCGTTAGCAATGAAGGTTTCTTCTCTCAACTTGTACTTGTATGGGTCACGGAAGACAACCTTGGCCAATGGAGCACCTCTACCGGCATCGTGGACAATTTGCTTGACAATACCACGAATGTAACCGTGTCTTTCAGCATAATCCAAGGTTCTCAACTTGGCAGCACCATTTCTCAATCTGGTGTGGGAGGTGAAGATGGAACCAGCACCCTTTCTTTGGTTTCTAATAACTCTACCTGTGGAAAAATCGTTAGTAAATTGAAATTTTTTTCTCACTGTTTTATAGAACTCTAGAATCCATAGCTGAAGCAAGATAATATAACAAGACTAATAGATTATATTTTGAAATTCTTGTTTTGTTGTTGTTTCTGTGAAAATTTTTTTCCCTTCACTTGCGATTCAATTAATACTAAAATTTTTCAAAATTTGTATATACGAATATCCGTAACAAGGCCATAGAAAGGCCAATGATTACAATGATATCTTTGGTATCTTCATTTTGATGAATGTTTTCCTGAATCTTGATAAATAATTGAGTTGTTGAGTATGAAAAACTTTATCCCATTTTGACACTCTCAAGAATCTTTGTTGTCCTTTGTTGCATAATATATTTACTTGATCATAATTCTTGAGTTATCAGCATATGAATTCGTTGCTTGTACCCTAAACACATACCCATTTTTCACTGATGATCTGATACTCTTCTAGAGGTGAATAATGGTAGAAGGACTGAAGTTGTGAAAAAATGAAAAGTTCAAAGTCTCAGAGACGCAGAGACGCATCACAGGATTGGGGGCACCGGCGACAAAAAAAAATTGTGAGCGGAGAAAACCCGTCCCAAACATGCTGATATCACATGATATATAACAACCCACGATGTCATCGGAGAAGCACGTGAACTCGAATAGGGCAAGAAGATATCCGGAAAAAAATTGAAATTATTGATAGCCCTAATGAACCCCGAAAATTCCCCCTGCTGATCGTTTTTTTTCCTTTACTACAACGGTCCGTTGTGGTATCCGTAATAATGCCAACAACAATCATACCAATGTCGCATTGAGAAAACATCTGGTGGAAATATCAATTTCCAATCTCTGTTGTATACTTGCCACCTTTGTTCATTGTATTATCATTAGCGAAAGCAACTTGGTTTTTGAGAATCTAATATTATTGCAGAATCATTAGCCATCGTATGTGTGGAGTTGGGAATTACATCGCTGCCTGTCATGATATCAATATCAATCCCGGAAAATCAAAGCTAATTACATAGACAAGAAAGGCCCACTAATTTTCACTGTAAAACTTGTAGTTTCCCAGTATATATTTGTTATTACTCCAAATCCCTGGTTCAATCATGCAGGTCTCCTCATCACCAAAAATTTTTTTTTTGGCTAAGAAAAAACTTCAATTATAATGTCATCTAGCTGAAATACACAATATACACGTAAATAAATATCAAAGTATGGCGAAAAAGAATCAGAAGAAAGAAAAGAAGCCTGTCGTCAATCAGAGGAAGTCTAAACTCAAGAAGGAGAAGGAATATATCGAATCTCTAGAGGAGAAAATCAAAGAATTGGACACTGAGAAGGCCAATGAAATATCACAATTCAAAGATTTGCCATTATCCGAACCAACTATCAATGGGTTGAAAGAAGCCGGGTTTATATCAATGACCGATATTCAAAAGCAAACTATTCCATTGTCCTTGAAAGGCCATGATATATTAGGGGCAGCAAGAACTGGGTCCGGTAAGACATTGGCATTTCTCATTCCATTAATTGAGATCTTGTACAGAAAATCGTGGAACGAATTCGATGGTTTGGGTGCTTTAGTGATTTCACCAACCAGAGAACTTGCCATGCAAATATATGAAGTCTTGGTGAAAATTGGTAAACATAGTGGGTTTTCTGCCGGGCTTGTTATTGGCGGGAAAGATGTGAAATTTGAAAAGGATAGAGTTGCGAAAATGAATATCTTGATTGGTACTCCAGGTAGAATCTTACAGCATATGGATCAAACCGCTGGCCTACAATTATCGAATTTGCAAATGTTGGTGTTAGATGAAGCCGACAGAATTTTGGATATGGGGTTCAAGAAGACTTTGGATAGTATACTTGAGAATTTACCTCCTAGTAGACAAACTCTACTATTTTCAGCGACTCAGACGAAATCCGTGAATGATTTGGCAAGATTGTCTTTGGTCAACCCACAGTACATTGATACAGAAGCCGGAACTAATAACGAAATAAAAAAACAGACTCCCGAATCATTGGAAGAAAACTACGTTTCAGTGGAGCTTCAAGATAAACTAAATATTTTGTGGAGTTTTATCAAAACTCATTTGAAGTCCAAAATGATTGTGTTTTTTTCTTGCTCGAAACAGGTCCATTACGTATACGAAACTTTTAGAAAGATGCAGCCTGGTATCTCATTGTTGAAATTACACGGCAGACAAAAGCAAACTGCAAGAATGGAAACCACCTATAAATTCTCAAAGGCCAACCAAGTGTGTCTTTTGGCCACTGACATTGTTGCAAGAGGGCTTGATTTCCCATCCGTTGAATGGGTTGTTCAAGTTGATTGTCCAGAAGATGTTGCCACTTATGTTCATAGAGTTGGGAGATCCGCAAGATTTGGGAAGATTGGGAAGTCTTTATTGTTCTTGACTCCAAATGAAGAAGAACCATTTTTAAAGAATTTGGCAGCAAAGAAAATTGCTCCAAAGAAGATGAATATTAAGACATCTAAAATCAAATCTATTCAATCGCAATTGCAAGCCTTGTGTTTCTCTAATCCTGAACTCAAATACTTGGCACAAAAGGCTTTCATTTCATATTTTAGATCGATTCATTTACAATCGGACAAAGAGGTGTTTGATATTAACAAGTTGCCATCGGAGGAGTTTGCCAAGGCTTTAGGTTTGCCTGGTGCCCCAAAAATCAAAATAAAGGGTGGGAATAAAGCAAAGGAATTGAAAAACACTTCGAGACAATTATTAAAATTGTCTAAGGCTAATGAAGATGGGGAAGTTGTGGATTCCAAAAAGGAAGTTAGAACCAAATATGATCGTATGTTTGAGAGACAAAACCAGGGGGTGTTGTCTGAACATTATTTGAAGACCGTTAATAATAAGGGTGATGAAGATGAAGATGAAGATGATGACGAGGACTTTATGGCAGTTAAGAGAACAGATCATGATTTGAATGAAGAACAGTTGCCAGATTTGTCTGCACCAGCATCGAAGAGACAATTAAAGAAGGCGCTTTCTAAAAAAGCATCTTTGCCTGGTCAAGGAAATCCAACAAAATTGAAGTTTGATGATGAAGGTGTGGCCCATCCAATCTACGAACTTGAAAATGAAGAAGATTTCCGCGAAAAGGGTGATGCTGCTGAGCAAATTAAAGAGTTCGTGGCAAAAGAATCTAAGGATATGGAAGAACGAGACGCCGAAGATAAGGAGGTTGCCAGAGCGAAAAGACAAGAAAAGAAAAGAAGACGTAAAGAATTGGAAAAACAAGCTTTTGATGATTCTGGAAGCGATGATGATAATGAAGAAGAAGATGTCGCTTATGTTGTCGGTACCGGGGATCTTGATCAAGACCTTGATCATTCTGAAAGAAGCGACAGCGATGATGAAGAACCAGCTTCTAAAAAGGCTAAATGGTTCGATAATAATAGAATCAATGGGAGGGATTCTGGTGATCATGATGGTGTCAATGTGGTTGAATATAATGAACCAGAGACTTTGGAAGATCTTGAAGCTTTGACCGCAAGACTTATCCAAAATTGAACGGGAGAAATGATTCTACAACATTCGGCAATTACATTTGTATAATTATAAAACTTTTTAGCATTCCTTTTTTTTTCTTTTTTTTTTTTTATTTTATTACACTGTTATTAATTTTTTATGAAACTATTATGATAATGTTGTAAGGTTATATTAACAGTCACATGACGCGATTGTCAAATGCGAAGGAAAAAATCCAAAATTAAAAAGGGATCGTGTCAACCATTAAAGTACGGTTATCTACACACCATAATCAGGGAAGGGGTATCAAAAGACATTTCGGCAATGGATTATTTGCATAGTGGCAAGTACCGCAGCCTTTGCAAGGTGCTCAGAACTTATGTTAAAAATGGTTGTGTGTCGAAGTTTCAATCTCTAGTTGATTTCTTGCCGAATCAAGCAGAGACATTGACGGCTACCCATTTAGAACTCCTTTATGCTTTATCCAATTCTAGCTCACTTTTTTCAAAACACGCTGATCCTATCTTTTACAAAGGCATTCATGCTTCCTTTAGTGATATCTTGCGCCAAATATCTCGCAACAAGATTCACTTTAATGTTGAGTCGAATATAAATCAATATTTTCAAGCAACGTACCATTTGGTTAATTCTCTTGTTATTCTTGGAATCAATGGTGATAAAGGCATTTATGATAAAGTCACTGACCAATTGATTCTTAATTTGGAGGTCATCAGGGAAGAATTATCTAAAGCCACTGTCGATGATAATGAAAAGTTAATTTATTATTTTGTCTTGTTCGGATATTTGTTTGCATTCTCACATAATCCGAAGTTTATGGTTTTGTATTCCAATGAAGCGCATGATCCTTCTGAGTTGAAATTATTCAACCTAATCAATGGTATCATTGACAACCATCCATTTTTGAACCAATTAGAATCGATTATTGCAAACTCTTTGGTTATTCCATTAAATGAATCGAGTGCTTATTTTAGCAACGGCAGTGGAAGTGCGAATTATAAGCTACTTTTGCACTTCAATCTAAATTTTTTCAGAGTTTTCGGAAAAAATAATAGGACAACGGAATTTTCATCTTTATTGTTCTTGAAATATTTGAACTTGGTCAAATTGAACTTGATTCTTTACATTTCCAAAATTCCTGTCTCCAATATCGCACAGGCAAAAGAGTCTATCATTGAAACTTTAGTCTCATTGAGATCCAAGGAACTCGACACTAAGGAAGCACGAACCTCCCAGAACAAAGAAAAACCCATTGATCATTTAAACATCGACGATATTGCTTCGTCTACCGGGAGTTTTTCGGATGTTTCCACTGCCTCGGTTGAAACTTATTTAAAATCAAATGATTTGTCAAAAGCTGAATCGGGTCTTCTTCTGCAGATTTCTGCGCAATCATTGGAGCAGCTTTCTACATTTCAGAATGGCACCAACTTTATAATTTTATCGTCGTCCAATAGAATTGACTTGATATTTGAAAACAAATCATTGATTTTGGAAATACTCTCATGTTTGTACTTTTTGAAGTCGGTCAGTTATGAATTCATCCATAAAAACTTGTTGGTGAAAAATCTTATCATCAATTACACCCTGGCCTCTGGTTATTCTTCTCTAGTGGATGGTCATATTGCCGATAATATCTCAAACTCTGGTTTCTCATCCAGCTATCTACTTTCAAACTCAGTTCCTTCAACTGCTACCTCCAACAGTGAGTTCATTGACAATAACGAATTGATCAATCCAAGCTTGTCATTCAATATTTTTGGTTTATTGTCTTTGTTATCCATGGAGAATCTGACCACTCTGTCTGGCGAGTCTAACAATGAAGGCTCTTATGAAAACTTGTGCACTATTATCAACAAGAAGATTTCATTTTTAATCTTCAACAACCCAGGATTGAAATTCACCAAGGTGCTTAAGAAGTCATTGCGTTGCATTGCATTAGCGTATAAATACTCATCACAGGACAGTATCGTTGGATTGATTTATTCCTTGATAAATATGCTTTCTGTGGAAAATGCCGATGAGTCTGGGCTTACTTCTAGAGAATCTGAGGTCAAAATCAACGCATCACAAACTGGGACGGTTTCTAGAAGTATTGCTGGAACATTAAGAGCTCCAAGATTGACAAAAAGTGATATCAATGCATTAAAATCAAGTGGTGGAGGATTGGAAGCCTCCCCATCAAAGAGAGCGGCTGCTACATCATCGATCAGCTCTGCGTCATCGGTGTTGAATGACACTTCTTTCGCCCATAGCACCTCAGTATTAAAGAATGTTGATATGACAAAGACAAAAGATACGTCAATGAGCCAAATCGAGAGAATCTTTTCTAACAGTATCAAGTCAATCATTGAGTTGTGTAATAATTATCACCAAGAGGAGATCACAATGTTGGTGATGACAGTTTTGGTTCAAAAGTTCAGAATTTCTGGTACTCCAATAGTGGACCCATCAAAAAGCATGTCTTCAAATGCACTTGTCGGTTCTCAAGATCCAAAGAATTCTAAAACAGTGTCTGATTTGTTGAGTTTGACCATCGTTAAGAATTTGTGCAATTTAACAAAAAATTTACACGATGATAGCAAAAATTTCCAGTTATTGATGAAAACTTACTCCAACTTTTTGAATCATTCAATAAGCAAAAATCATTGGGTTTTAATTGAAGAATCCATCAATTCTTACTGCAAGATTGCCAAAATTCTAAAGAATAACTTCTACTTGTTTTCTAAAGACGACCTGGCGTCTAGCACTGGTTACTGGTCAATACCGCCAACTCTTGTCCCATCAAGCGGAAATAAATTTTCCTCATTATACAGTACCAATAAGAGACTTATCTACGATCTTACCAGTGCTTATGTTAATGAGAATTATAAGATTTTCCTTCACGAGGTTCTCAACAGTATGATTTCTAAAGGTGATAACATCAACAGCTTGGAAGATAATAGCCACCACCGGTCTCACTCTGAAATTTCAGAAGTGGCAAAGAAAATTGAAATTTATTTAAAACCATTGGCGATGCTTTTGCCGTCACCTTTTGAAAATGAATCTTGTTTGGCATTTAGTAATGACAGGATCGTGAAGCGTGGCAATCTTGTCATTGTTGATGAAGTATCTGTGGGATTATTTAGAAATCTTTGGTTTAATATGGTGGTTCATGGTATGAACATTGATTTGCTTCCATTATTAGTTCCTTCATTATCCAGCTCCATTGAGATGCCAAAGGCTAGCAAGGGAAAGAAAGCAATGTCTCCTACTGCTTCTGCAACTCAATGGAAATCAATCAAGTACTTGAAGATCATCGCGTTTAATTCGCCACCATTAGCCTCAAAATTATCCTGGAGTCATAATGAAAATCTCCTTGAGTTGAACACCGTTCTTAGAAGAGGCTCATCTCATTCCAACGTTAGGTTCCAAAAGAGTGTCTTGGAGACTATTGTTGATAATGGTAGTGGTATAAGTGGTGATGTGGACTTGGAAAAATCAATTATTTCTACCTTGGATACTGAAAACCCGGCTTCATTTAGAGGAAAAATCTCTTCCACACCAAAATTAATGTTTTTGGCAGCTACTATTTTCCTTGAGTTTTTCAGAATTGAATCTGGGGATTTCCATAAAGTTTTGTTGTACTTCTCTGACCCTTCTATTAAGCTAAGCAGCTTAGAAAAAGATATGAAGTACATTACCTATGAGATCTTGTCAACTTATATGCTTAAGATCAACTTGAACTTTAATTCTGTTAATGATGTACCTGCTGACATGAGAAATAGCCAAGAATTACATTTGCCTATTGTCAATCTTTTTACCATTAATCAAATCTCAGCACAAGTGAATGAAATGTTGACGTTGACCTGTGCTACTAATAGCTTCCTTCAAAGTATCGCGGTCAAGTGCTGCGATTTGCTTCTTAGTAAGGTTCCTGGTGTTTTATGTAATCAGGAATCATTTACGCTATTTAAGTTGCTTGATTTATTGAATTTATTATTTTCAAGCATTGTCAATTATGAAAAGCAAAGGTACACTCCAGTTTTGGAATACAGTTTGCCTACCTATGGTTTGAATCTGACGACCAATTGTCACGATATTACCTCATTCGAAAAAATCATCTTGTTGGATTCTTTGGAATGGAGAAAAGACACTTTTGGTAAATTGCAAGTTATGGCCAAACAATGGATCTTACGTGCCATCAATAACTCAGAACAGGTTGTAAAAAATTTGTTACAAAGTTATGTGGTGATAAATTCTAATATCTCCTCCACTGCTAGTAGCCAATTATATTCAACTATCAAGCATTATAAATCTGATAGTAGTGTCAACATGGGTGTATCATTCGCGGTTGAAATGTGTAAAAACATTACCACCACTGATAAAGAAATTTATAATATTGTGAACTCCACATACTTATCTTTCCCTAGCTCTTCTAAAATTGATACTTTGTCTGATTTCCTCATCAATTATAATATCAGTGCGGATTTGTCTGATATCAGATCAGAGTATAATGCTAGCAACTTTAAGACAAGGGCAGCCAAGTTGAGAAAGAAAATTGATGAATTGAGCGAAGGCTTGGAAAATGATAGGAAATTGTTATCTGCAGGGAAAAATTCATCTCGTCATCATGTTAACCACAGAAACAACAATATTATTCATATTATTGATGATATCTCCAACTTCTTATCGATATTGAAGAACTCTAGAAAGACTGCACAAAATCAAAAGGAAATCGAACAGTACGAGGCCGAGTTTGTGAAGTATTTGATTGAAATCCCGTTCAAGGTCTTTAATTGCGACATCTTGAAATACTGTATCTCAAATTGGTTAATTGTTTCCACTAATAACACTGAATTGCAGTTTTTGATTTTCAATGAAATTTTAAAGCATTTCCAACAAACCATCGTCGATGGTAAAGGGCTATTCAACAACCATCATGGAACTAATATTCAGTTTTTACCAGAATATAAAGAAATGGAGTATGCTCCTTCTAACAAGCAAGAGGCCAACCATTTTGCCTCACTTGCAAGTGAGTCTTTCAAAATCCATTTGTTGTTAATTAGGTTGATACAATCATTATTCCACTCGTCAACTTATCAAAGCAACAATTCTTTAAAAAATTTCAACAGTTTCATCATGTTTGTTTTGAAGAATTTCTTAAAGATCAGCTCCCATCCATTCTCCAGGTTATTGAGATTTGAAATTGTTAAATTATCGCTTGATATTTTAAGTGCCAATTTGTCTATCAGAAATGCCAAAATCTCTGATGGCGTATTGCAGGTTAAAAACTCTGTTACTTTCCATAATTTCTTCAGTAGCTTTGCTAATTTGATCATGGATGCATCATTGAATTGGTTCAAGCAAAGAAAAATCCCGCCTTTCGGTGACAACTTATTGAAGATTATGGCCGATTTTGATATTTTGATTGACGTGGCCAACACTATCTCCCGCTTGAACTTGACCGGGGACAACGATTTGGTTTTAAAGAAAAAAATGTTGCTTGTGTTTTTGAATGATGAAATCAATTCTATGAGTATTTGGCTAAACCCTCTAGGTGAAAATAAGTCTATTAGCAAAGAATATGACTTCAATTATGCCAACAACTTGGTTTCTTCCGGGAGTATTAATGAGAAATTCTTAATGGATGCTTATGAATTGAACCCGGTTTTTGCGGTGAATATCGTTTTGAGAATTGTGAATCTGGGTGTTGCTGGTTCTGGAGGGATTTCTTACAAGATGTTCTTGAAAAAGCTTCTTCTTAATGACGGCTTATCAGCCATTAATTGTCCAGATGCTATTGCAATTTTGTTAGATGTTGACCTATATGATCATCAGGACCAACATATTTTGACCAATGAATCTGCAACCAATAGTAATCCTTTGAAACATTTATTATACTGGGACCCGGTGTCTCCTATTGATGCTATTAATCTATTCTTGCCTCCATTTGGTGAAAACCCATTTGTGTTGCAATACGCGATGAAGTCCTTGATTTCCCATGAGGTCAACGTCACCTTCTTTTATGTTCCTCAGATTGTCCAGATGCTCAGATATGATTCCGAGGGCTATGTGCAAAAATTCATTTTGGAAATGGCACAGATTTCCCAATTGTTTGCTCACCAAATTATCTGGAACATGCTTGCTAACAGCTATAAGGACGATGAAGGAACTATTGAAGATGATTTGAAGCCAAAATTAGATGAGGTGAAAGATTTGATGACAAAATCATTCTCCCCTGTTGACTTCGCCTATTACGAGAAGGAATTTTCTTTCTTTAAAGAAATCACCGGAATTTCGGCAAAATTGAAACCTTACATCAAGAAAACAAAGGCCGAGAAGAAATTGAAGATCGATGAAGAAATGAGAAAGATCAAGGTCGAACCTGGTGTATACTTACCAAGTAATCCTGATGGTATTTTGGTAGATATTAACAGAACGTCTGGTAAACCCTTGCAATCGCATGCCAAGGCCCCATTCATGGCAACTTTCAAGATCAGTAAAAAAGTACATGTATACGATGAAGACAGCGGAGATGATGACATTGCGATCAATATTGAAGATGCCGACGGGGTTAAGAATGATGATAATGTCAACACCACCATTGTCGAGACATGGAAAAGTGCTATTTTCAAAGTTGGTGATGATTGTCGTCAAGATGTTTTGGCGTTACAATTAATTTCTGTCTTCAGGTCAATCTGGACGAACAATAACTTAGATTTGTACGTGTTCCCAAATCGTGTCACTGCCACCGACGCCGGATGTGGTATTATTGATGTTTTGCCAAATTCTGTTTCTAGAGACATGTTGGGTCGTGAAGCTGTTAACGGATTATATGAGTATTTTATTACCAAGTTTGGTCCTGAATATTCAACTGAGTTCCAAGTAGCGAGAAATAATTTGATTAAATCATTGGCAGCATACTCCATCATTTCGTATTTGTTGCAATTTAAGGACCGTCATAATGGTAACATTATGTATGATGATCAGGGACACATTCTCCATATTGATTTTGGTTTCTGCTTTGATATTGTTCCAGGTGGGGTGAAGTTTGAGGCCGTTCCTTTCAAATTAACAAAGGAGATGATTTTGGTTATGGGGGGAAGCAATGATACTCAATCATTTAAGAGATTTGAGGAGCTTTGTGTCCAAGGTTACCTAGCTGCTAGACCATACATGGACGTTATTGTCAAGAATGTTTTACCGATGCTTAACAGTGGTTTGCCATGTTTCAAAGGAATGACAACTATTAAGAATTTGAAGGCTCGGTTTGTTCCTGGGAAAACTGAGAAAGAGGCAGCATTGTACATGAGAAAGTTAATACGTAAAAGTTACGAAAGTTTCTTTACAAAAGGGTACGATGAATTCCAACGTATCACTAATGGTATTCCTTATTGATTTAAATAGAATTTTGGTTTGATGCTTTTATTTTTGCTTTGGCCTCTTTTTTTTTTCAATCAATTTTCATTATTATTATTATTCTTATTATTATAAACGTTTTTTTGTTATTGTTTTTTACATTTCATGATAATATTTTGTAGCATATAATATATTATAAGAGATTTTAAAGGTTGAAAGTTTATATAGTACAGAAAAATAACACTAACGAGAGAGAGTTAATATACCAAAAAAAAATTGATTAGCGGCTTTGCACTTGAGTTTGATGATGAGATAAAGGGCCAAATAATATGAACAAGAAAAACAAAAAAAAAATATTCTCCAAATACCAAAATGAAAAAAATAAGAACAATTAAAACAGTGAAATAGCGAAACAATTAAAAGGAAAAATGATGAGTGGAATATGATGCAAAACAGGTTGGGAAAAGTCTCCAACTAATGCGACTATCTGAAAAAGTAGAATCTCAAATTACAAAGGCTCTCTCAATGAAGTCTAGCAGTGAGTGGCAATACCTTTCTCAGTCCATTGAAACTTATTGGTGTCAATGGAGCACTATTTCTACCATTAGAAGTACCACTAAATGAGTTTTCCTTATCTTCCTCGTAGATAAAAAACTCAGAATCGTTTTTTCGCTTATTCTCTTCCATGTCAACAACGTTGAAAGCATTCTGGACAGTTTGTTCCAATTTATCAGCAAGCTTTTTATCATCCTCGACAGCGATCTTCTTCGGTCTGCCTCTCTTCTTCTTTGGCTTGTTGATATTGGCATCAGTCTCGATCCCTCCAACACAAATGTTTCTTTCTTTATGGCGACGCAAGGCATCAATTCTTGTGAATCCTTTGCCACAAAGACAGGAGAATTTATTATTTTCGTGGATCTTCTCATGACGATGCAAATCATGCTGACGAACAAAACTTTTGCTGCAGCCATCGAATGAGCATTTGTATGGTCTATCACACAAGTGAGTTTGGATGTGAGATCTGATGTTATATCTTCTTTGAAACACCTTTCCACAGTTGTTGTAGTTGCAAATGTATTTTTTGTTATTGTCAGGACCAAGGATAAACTGATCGATATAACCAGGAGGCAAGGTTGACACTTTGTCTGCGCCTTTTCTCTTAGGTTTTTGGTGGGTGTATGTGTGATGGTGGTGGTGATGGTGCATCTGTGGAGGTGAAGAAGATACGAGATTATCGGAATTACTAGTTTGTGGGGCAGCCATTATTCCTTCCCACGAGAGCTGCTCTTTGTTGGGATTTGGAATAGACTTAAGTGGGGAGCTGTTATGGGAAGAGGATGGAGTTGTAGTTTGCATGTAAGTATATTCTTCAGGGGATGTGAATGAAGGAGCATTTTGAGAGAATTGAGAATACTTCGGGGATGGGGTCATATAGATATTAGGAGGAGCACAAGTATTTTGGCTTTTCAAATCTGGGGTGGCTCTTTCCGGATACGAATTTGGAGGCTGTAATGGCATGTTGTTCACATTAAAGCTTCTTTTGACGGGCGATGGATTAGCAGTTGCGATTGGGGTTGGGTAGCAGCTTTCTGAATTTTCTGCCATTGGACTGTGGCTATGATAGGACCCTCTTAAATTCTGGGGTGGCTGACTTACTGTAGTATCCAAAATCTCTTGAATATTGTTACCGTAGTGACCAATGGTTTGCTTTGGCATCATTTTGGCAATTTCAGAAGCAAACTGGGAAGGTTGTGGTTTAGCATTGGTAGGAAGTGTAGGAGGATCTGGAGGAAACTTGTACGAAGTTGGTCTGTTGCTTGTAATGATATAATCTTTGGACAAAGTAATGGCTTTTGGATCAATGATTTTGTTCAATCTTCTAGTATTTCTTTCCTTAGCAGGCGAAGGAATGGTAGGTCCTGATGCCGAGGGATTTGAGGATGGAAGAGTGTTAATGACATCTTTCAAGTCAATAGGATTAATACCAGGAATAGATAATTCCCTGCCGTGGAACCCAAATATAGCTGTCCCACTAGGTTTCTTTGAATGCCTTTTGTAGCTTTGCTGTGAGTGATGCTGTTTTGTCCCGACATTGTTACTGCTATTCAATTCAGCCATACCAGATGGCAAATCCAAGCTTTGAAAACCTAAAAGAGCTTCGTTGATTGAGCTGTTTAATTGTTCAACCTGGTTGAAGTTATCATATTGTGAGAGTTGGGGTTGTGGCTGTTGAGGTTTTTCTTCTTCTTGGAACATGAAGTTGTCAACGTCATTGAGGAATTGTTGTGCAAAGAGGTCAAGATTGTTGTTGTTATTGCTGTTGTTGTTGCTGTTCGTCTGGTAGTTGCTCTTGTTATTATCAAACAAGTTGTTGTAAAAGCTCTGCTCATCGACGTTGAAATTTAGCAATGCTGAGTAGCTGCTTGAATGTTTAGCTTCCATGATTCTGATGTGATAATATACCTCGCCAGCAAGGTGCAGATGTTGGTTGTAGTGTTACTCTGATGTGCAATGGAAGACCCAATTTAAAAAGAGAATAAAAATTTTATTAATTCCAAGGAGATGGTTGACAGTTGCTATCAAGAAAATGGGCAGCAGGAAACTTTCTGGTGCAGGATATATGCCAAACACATCATATTTAAGGCCAATAGAAGGTTGAATGCATGTTAAGGCGAGAAGACGTTACCTTCCTCTTTGGGGAAAGAGTAAACATCGCTGTGGTGTTTACTATGCACGTGACAAACAGGGTTTTAGACGGGAGAGAGTATGTGTCACGTGTGTAGGCAACAAGTTAAACCAGGCATAGCTATGTCAACTAGTTATAGAGGTTACATATAACCTGCAAAGTCAACCATACCATTGCAATTACAATCGTGGAAAGTTTTCAAGTAATCGACATGAGAATTTCGTGAGGAAAAGAAAAAAAGAAAGCAACAGAAAAAGAATTACTATATTACTAGTGGTACAAAAGATGGTAATAAAAAAAAAAAAAGAAGCTCTGTAATGGGGGGAAATGCAGATAAATGGTGTAAGACAATTTAGTTTGAATCATAGATTTATATGGAATTAGGAGTAAGTTTCGATCAAAGTATCACGCAAGTTGGTGTTAATAGCGTTTGGTTGGTTATCCTGTAACTTGAAAATACTTTCAAGAACACTTAATTCTGGAGCAGTTGTATCCAAACCGGCAACTGCTAACCAATCATTTACCACAATACCAGCACCAACAACAGAACTACCTCTGTTAACGGTACCTGCAACTATTGGAACTTGTAACAAACTCGACAATTCTTCTTGATCTTGAACAGAAGTTTGAGGGTGAACCAACCCACCTTGGTTGGACAAAGCACAATATGAACCAACTAAAACATTTCCAGCAATAGTTTGTCTAAAAACTTCAACACCCAAAGTATCAGCAATTATTTCTTCAGTTTCCCTTTCAATATCTGGGTGTACTAAAGCAACATAATCGTTACAACAGATGACATTTCCCAAAGCCGACAAAGTTTCTTCGACTCTCTTGATCTGAACGGAATCTGGCAAAGAATTTCTGATGTGCATCAACTCCTGGTCAGTAGTCTGAGTTGGAACTAACAAACCTCTTCTGTTACCGGCAGTCATTCTACCAATAATTCTGTTACCAGCAATGGTTGTGTGAGCCATAGGGATGACATCTCCTAGTTCGGCTTCGAAGGCAGAATAGAAATTTTCTGATCCACCGACGGCAATCAAACAGTATGAGTTTGTCAACTTGGAGAAGACACCTACTTCATTGGAGTTTTCAAATTGAGTTCTGGTAGCCATGGTTTTCAGTAAAACAAAAGTGTTCAGGTATGGCAGAGGTATCACGATATAAGTTTATAATAAAGTAGCAAAAAAAACAAGCAATAGTCTCCTGTTTTTTTTGTTTAAAAGATAAAGATTTATTTCTTCAAAAGTGAATCAAGAGAAATCAATCAAAATGCCGTTAATAAATACAGATTTATTGAACTAGTATTACTAATCTTTAATGAAACTAATATAAGAATTCAAACACACAAAAAAAAAAAAAAAAAAAAAAAAAAAAAAAAAAAAAAAAAAAAAAAAAAAAAATTTTCCTTGTCACATGATTTAAAAGTAATACTCGACGGAAACGTGACCATAATAGTAAGCCGGTGCGGTGGGTAATCGGTGGACTTTTTTTCAAGGATTACTCGCTACAGAATCTCTAATAGCCTTGCTTATGGATCATTAATTTTGAGACGCCTTTTGACGTATTTACATGGAAGCCCAATCCGACTCAACTATTGTTGGGAATGAGGTTTGTTTTTGAAAAAATTTGTGGCGCTAATGCACGAGCGCGAGGCACATTCGTAACATGCATGGAATGGTTATATCCGTAGGCATCTAAGATTAGTGACTAAAGTTTACAGATAGTATTTTAATCTACACTACCATGCTCTCTCGATTTAGGGTATAAATACCAAGGCTTGGCCTTGGCAAAATACTTCTTCTTTGTTCCTTTTTTTTTTATTCATTATCAAATTTCAATTCTTTTATTCATTTCTTTTTCTATTCTAACTATGCAATTGTCTACCTCCGTTTTATTGTCCGTTGCCGCTTCCTTGGCCTCCTTCGCCTCTGCCGCTCCAGTTGAAAGAAGCACTATTTCTCCACCAAAGCTCGACTTCAATGTCATCAGATACGGTGCTGCTAACTCTACTCATTCAAAATTCATGGGTAGAAGAGCCATCAGAGCCGCCTCCTCTGCTGGTGTCAACTTGCAATTGGATAACGAATATTCTTTATACTTGGCCGAAATCGAAATCGGTACCCCAGGCCAACAAATCCACGTTGATGTTGACACTGGCTCCTCTGACTTGTGGGTCCCAGGTGCAGGTACTCAATCCAACTACGGTACCTACGACAGCTCTCAATCTTCCACTTACCAAGTCGACAGATCCGGTTTCAGCATTAGTTATGGTGATGGCTCTTCTGCCTCTGGTAACTGGGCCAAGGAATCCGTCACCATTGGTGGTGCTACAGTCACCGGCTTGGAATTCGGTGATGCCACTACCCAAAACGTCGGGCAGTCTATCATGGGTGTTGGTATGAAAGGTAATGAAGCCGCTGCTCAATCATCCGATCCATTCACTTACGACAACTTGCCTTTGCAATTGGCCAACCAAGGTATCATTTCCAAGGCCGCCTACTCCTTGTACTTGAACAACTTGGACGCCACTTCCGGTTCTATCTTGTTCGGTGCCGTCGACAAATCCAAATACTCTGGTGACTTGAAGACCTTGTCTATTATAAACATCGATGACTCTGGCTCTTCCACCTCCGAAGCCGTGGCCTTCTTCGTTAACTTGGATGGCGTTGCATCTGGCGATAACACCTTCGCTTCTACTACATATCCTGCTTTGTTGGACTCCGGTACCACCTTGATCTACGCTCCATCCGACGTTGCCCAAGCTGTCGGTCAACAATACGGTACCTACTCTTCCCTGGCTGGTGGTTACACTACCTCTTGCTCCACTCAAGGTGAAGATTTCACCTTCACCTTCGGTGACAAGACAATCACCGTCCCATTCAGCAACTTGTTGTACAACACCAACGGTCAAGCCCAGGGTGAATCCGATGAATGTTTGGTCGGCGTCTTGGACTCTGGCTCCCAATACTACATCCTCGGTGATGGTTTCTTGAGATCTGCTTATGTTGTCTACGACATTGCTGACTCCGAAATCCAAATTGCACAAGCTAACTACAACACAGGTGCTTCGGAAATCGTTTCTTTGTAATTCGGTCCTCTTCATCCATTTTGAGCTAGCCTCATCATATTGAAGTCTCACTTCTAATTTTCAATTCTTTGAGCTCCTTTTTCACTTCTTATTTTAGCTTATATGATTTTTATGATTTATTTCAATTAATTGTTTTCTCAAACTTATTTGTGTAAACTGATGGTATCCTTAAGAGTCTGTCTGATTATCTAATTAGTTACATGCTTCCAAAATCTTGTGGAATGATTCGGCAACAACAGATTCTTCTTGAAACTCGCTCGTCATGATAGATATTTTCTCAGAACAATGAGAAATCGGAGAGGACAGCGATTCATTAACTAGCATTTTTTAAGCGCCTAATTCATTAATATGAAAGAAGCATCAGTTATGATTCTTTGCAAAATTCTCTAATGCATTATTCTAATGCGAACAACGTTTTTACAACGATTGGAAAATTTAGGGAAGTTTGGAACTATCATTCTGGAATTATGTATTACTTGTTGTTGTTGTTATTGTTGTTTGGTTATTTTTGTTTGGTTTGGCATTCTAACGTGACTTTTTGCTCTTCTCTTTTCTTTTAATTTCCATCAAAAGATTGCTAAAAACAGTAGATTTAGTTGCTTCGCCAAGAAGACAGGAAATAACTAGCTCATTATTATTACCAAACAACTTATCGAATTCAAATTTCAACTCGGCGTTAAATTTTTCAATTTTCGTTGCGGATCTCAAACTGTAATTGAGACTAAAATTCTCAACTGCTGGAATCTCATTTTCAAAAAGAGATAGACTTTTTAAATTTCGTAGTTTTCCAATATCACCCAAGTTTTCAAAGTTTTTAACAGGAACGCCACATAAATCCAAACTTCTAAGAGCCGGGAAATCGGCCAAATGTCTCAAGTTAGAGACAGGGTTGTGAGAAATATCGAATTCCCTAAGGCTATGAAGACTCAAATCTGAGATATCTGAAATGTTGTTTTGTTTAACATTAAGCTTTGTAATAGATAAAAGGATTTCTAAGCCATTCAAAGAAGTAAGCTTGTTTCCTTCAAGATTTAAGTTTACAAGTTTAGGACAGTTCAAGGGTATAATACTTGAAATCTTGTTGCGACTGACATCAAGCTTGATGAGACTCAGAATATCATCGAGACCTTTTAATGAGTCAAGTTCATTGTTATGAAGGTTCAATTCTATTAATTTTGGCAAATGAGAAAACCCTGTAACCACGCTAGAAATTTTGTTATCGGACAAATTGAGATGCGTAAGTTTTGGTAAATTGGGTAATTTTCCTAATTGAACGATTCCCCATTCCAGGGTAATTTCCAATGAATTCAAGTTTTTCAAGTACTTCAAGTTTGGAATTGAAGGCAATCCAAGCCTCTTCAATTTTAATTCTTCCAAATTCGTGATGTTGTGGAAATCAAGCGTCAGTGGAATAATTTGCATATCCGAAAGCTCAAGCGATACTAAATCCGTGGTTCCGATTGTTTCAATGGTACCGTGTTTCAATGATAATTTTTTTAATTTTGGGAAATTTTTTGAAACCATATTCGAAGTGACACCAGGTGCGATCCCCGTGGCAAAGGTTATTGCCAATTCTTTTAAATTGGAAAGCTTCCAAGTAGAGCCATCGAAATTCTGCACGCAGTAACACAATTCTAACCTCTTCAACTTGGAAAAATCGTACTCCGACGGCGAAAGCTCACTAGCTAATACAGGATAATTGAATAACTTCAAAAATTTTAAAGAATCGAGGCCATCCAGTAGCATGTTTTCAGCCGCATCAACGACGATTTCCATTTCTGTAAGCTTCTTGGTAATGCCAGATATAGGAATTGAGGCCCTTATAGATTGCAATTGCATAGCAGAGTTAATAAACCTCACCAAACTTTCCATTTCATGTTTGTCATATCGGATATACCGAGTTTGATATAAATGGATTCTTTTCACGTATTTCCCAACATGATCCATAGATTTATTATCCTTGAAAAAATCTGATGCAAGACATGTAACTTCCGTGGAACCATCATCAAACACCCCAGAGATTTCGGATGTTTCAGGTAAAGTAGTGATAAAAAACGGCAAATTCTTGATTCTGGGTTCCCTTTGGTCTAGGTTTTTAGCAATGGCAATTTTGTCAAACAAAGCAGCATCGATACAGTCTAATAATACTGGTGCATCGACGTCAATTATCAAATTCCGTAATTCCGCCAATTTGTTGTTTGGTGTGTATTTGAAGACATTTGTCAACAATTCTGGTGGAAGCCTGTTCAAAATGACCATTACCTCTCAAGCATAGGTTGATTTAACTGTCATTTGTGTGCTTGGAGAACACACCGCTCTCCGAAGAATTCAAATATTAGTGATCAGTGACTAGTTACCCGCCCACATGTTATCAAATGTATTTCCCGATGGGCATCGAGGATCTTGATTGATCAACTTAATGGTTTGAGAATTGTAATTCAGTTGTGTGAAATAATACTAACATGAAATAACGCCACTTACAAGTCCCAGATTACTCACTAAAAATCACTACATTGCACCTCTCTACTATATGAGTGAAAAAGTATCTCCTAAGACAATCAATTCTCTATCAATTAGAAGTAGCTATATAAGATAGCTCTACAGAATTTGATAAACATCCGGAGGCCAGCCAAGAAAAAAAAAAGAAAAAGAAATCAAAAAGAAAAAAAAAAAAAAAATCGTTAATAAAACACAGATCTATTCAGTTCAGTTACTGGTTTACTAGTTTTGTATGTTCCTCAAATAATTCCTCGTGAATTTTCTTGAGCTCAGAATACGCTTCATTGACTTTGTCAAGCTTTTCTTGTAATTGTGGTGATTCATCTTTCCCAGCATTCATTGGAGAGGCTTTGAAATTCAGCTCCTGTGCTGCAACTTGTGCCAAATATTCATCGAAATCATAGTCCATCTTGTGGTTGTTATTAAGAATATTGTAATGATAATCGTTCTCTGGTATCTGCATGGATAACTCATGATTATTGAAATCATTTGAATCAGCCAAAGTTCTTTTTAATTGTGGGACTTTGCGGTAATTATTGGCTTTCTTTGTACCCAAAATGTTCTCCGACTCGTTAAAGTTTTTAGACAATGTAGGAGAGATCTTCAAGTACGTTACCATACCATTCACCGGTTTAAGGGACTTTAAGCTCTGCTTGGTCACAATGTCGCAAACGAGGACCTTACCATCTGAGTCTCCTGACACCAACAAAGTTCCGTCAAAAGAAACGTCCAATGAGGTTATTTTGAGGGTGTTGGAAGAGTTTTCTTGTTGTTGGTGGGCCATGAAACTCCACTTGAGTTCTGGGTCATCCTCAAGAGTGACAATTCTTGACTTTTCACCAATGAAACGAAGTTTCTTTGTGGAGTCTATTTCAAATAAGTTCACCTGTCTTATCGACCCGTTATCTAAACCCAAATATAGTGTTCTAAAAGCTGGATCGCTGGCAATGCTACACACTGGGAAAAGCAGGACCAATGTCATTTGAAGTTTCAGTGTGTTCAAATCATAAACTCTGCAAGTGGAATCGGCGGACGCGGTCACTAATCTCAAATCGTTGTTGATTCCTGAAGTGATCAAAAAGTCCGTCACAGGCAATGTATGATCAGTAATAGCGTGTAATGGCTTGATAGTAGGGCTGTTGCTAATTAGTTCCAAGACTCTGAAAACTAACACTCTAGAATCATCAGAACTTGTGACCAAGAAATTATTGTTATTGGAGAATTCAATCTTGTTGATCTTTTGGTAATGAACTGACTTATTGAACAACAAATTTCCCGAGCACACTTCCCACACATATAATTTACCTGTAATACTTCCCCCAATCAAAAGCCAAGGTAATTGTAGTTCGGTTTTCGTATCATCATGTTCCAGACCTTGGTCAATAGACTTCATGTTGTGATGGGTCAAAGCTAGACAAGATAATTGTTCCGGAATTGGAATTTTTTGAATTGGAGCTTCCTTCCCATGAACATAGACTTGAATTAACGCCTTATTTTTAGTAGCAACGAAAACTTTGTCATTATCACCATTCATAAACCCAGTAGATACTACCCCATTAAGATGTGCATTGGCAAACTTGTAAGCGTAAGAAAAAGTGTTAGAGTGGATTGATGTGCTAAATCCGACAGAATTTTCACCATTCTTATCGTCAGCAAGTCCACCGCCGATATAAGTAACTATTTCTTCCATTATAAAGTGTATTTAAACTGACTTTTCACTATTAGAGGGAAATGAAAAAAAAAAAAAAAAAAAAAATTCACACTTTTAAAATTTTATTGAGGGTGCCCGGGCCTCATCGCGGTTTTGTGCCCGCGGTGGAAATTTGGAAAATCTGACAAAAACATCGATTTTCAGAGCGCTATTGACGGATGAAGCATTTTAAATTGGCCACTTAATATATTCTCCAAATCACGACAATGCCTATTCCTATTCTCGCGTCTGCTTTGCAAGATGGTGTCGAAGTTATTCCTGGCTGGGAATATATCAAGAACTATGGCCCAATCGCCGTTAGCGTTTTCTTATTGAAGAATTACTTTGCCGGATCAAGAAACACTTGGGAGATGAACTTCCATGGAAGAGTGTTCATTGTGACCGGAGGAACTTCTGGTTTGGGCGCTAGTGTGGTTGATGAATTGGCATCAAAGGGAGCTCAGTTAGTGCTCTTGGTGAAGAATTTACACGATGAATGGGTCATAGATTACGTTGAAGGTCTCCGAGAGAAACACGGAAATCAATTGATTTACGCCGAAGAATGTGATCTAAACTCCTTGCACTCAATTAGAATGTTTGTCAGCAGCTGGCTTAATAGCCGTAACCCCAGAAGACTTGATGGGGTTGTGTTGTGCGCCGGGGAATCTTTACCAATAGGAAAACCAAGACAATTATCCGCTGATGGCGTTGAAAAGCAAATAGCCATCAATTATCTTGCAAACTACCACTTGCTCACTTTGCTTGCTCCGGCAATCAGATCGCAACCTTCGGATCGTAAGGTCAAAATCTTGACTACTTCATGTTTATCGCAAGTGTTCGGTAACGTTGATCTCGAAGACTTATTATGGGAAGATCGAAAATATCCTTCCAACACACCATGGAAAGTCTTTGGTACTTCAAAATTGATGTTAAGCTGTTTTGTGAAGGAATACCAGAGAAGATTAGACACTTATGAGAGAAGTGATAAAACCAGTATGAGCGTCAGGGCAAATATCGTTAACCCTGGGATGATGAGATCGCCATCAACCAAGAGATTCCTCTCTTTGGGATCTATTTTCGGGTTGATGATGTATGTTTTATTATATCCAATCCTATGGATATTTCTCAAATCAACATATCAAGGTGCTCAGTCATTTTTCTATGCCTTATCTAACCCAGAATTGAACGTTCGACCGGGAGGATCTTTTATTCAGGAGTGTTCGGTGGTTCAAAAGAAGACTAAAAAGGAGCTTAACGATGAAGAATTTCAAAAGAAGCTATACGAAGAAACAGAAAAATTGATCAACGATATTGAAAAGAGATCAGCAACCAGGCGCAATCAATCATCAACAGCCGCTAACAAGAAAAATAAGAAGAAGGGCAAGAAACAGCCTGCAAAAAAGGATGAAAAAGAACCTGAAAAGCCAGGGATTTCGTTAATGCAAACGAAGGGGGATGCCTTAGAACGTGAGTTGCTGAAGATGGACAAGACTCTTCCATTATTTGGTGATTTTTCCGGTAATGCGCCAAAATCCAAGGAAAATAAGTATCTTAAAGCCTTGGATGCCAAATTTGAAGCACAACTTGCTTCTAGAAACCAGGCAAAGACTACGTCAACTGAAGTTACCACAGAAAAACCGAAGAGTCGTAAAATATAAAGCTAAATAAGTAATAAAAAGAGGGGGAGATTGAGAAAGACTATATTATTATTGATCGTAAAATTCATTTGCTAATATACATTTTTTTTTTGTTTTTTGTTTTTTTTTTTAATGGAACAATTCCTCTGGCTCAAGCTAATTCATACAGATTGAGAGTTAATTTGGTTGAACAAATCATTAACATCAATGTAGAAATCTTCTATGAGCAATTCCAAAGGATTGTATTTTTCATTATCCAACACTGGATTGAATAACGCTTCATGCGACATTAGTGGCTGTTGTTGTTGCATCATCGTCTGGTTAGCATTATTGGCGGCGGTGGCGGTGGTGTTTTCAACATATCCAACATTGTAATAATCGGCCCCGAAACTCGAGGAGACATTTAATCGCGGGTACGACGTTGTTGAATCATTATTGAATTGCGTGTCGTTACTCTCACCGTTGAGTTGACCTGGAGATTGCGCAACACTCTTGACAGGAATCCTCTCGAATTCGGAAGGGTTCGGTGGCACAACCTCATGATTACTGCTAGCGCACTGTGCTGAGTTTCCGAATTTCTGATGAGTCGGATTATGGAATCTTTCATTAACAGAAGAAGAATCATTGGCACCAGTCCCATTGGTTACCTTTGGCAGTGACATCATTTGCCATGATAGATATCCTGGGGGGTTGAATTGCTGCTGATCTACTAGCGGTTGGTTTGGGATACCATTTGGTGATGGTGAAGGTCTTTGGCTAAAAGCCGGTGGTCTAAATAAGCCACTGGTGTCTTCCAATGCTGTCTTTGTCTTCCCTGTTTCACCCACAGGTTCACGAGCATTATTGTTGTTGTTGTGTTTGCGGTTGTTTGTATTGTTTGAAGTATTGGCTTCTTTGAAATTCTTTACCAAGTTTCTTGCTTTAAAATATGAATAAAAATACAACGAGATTTTGTATGGCACATAAAACACGTAATAGTCTTTCAACTTGTTTTGAACATTTTGGAAGAAAAATTTGAACACCAAGTTTGCCAATTCCAACTTATTATTATAAAAATTGTAGTAGGTGTAGTCATTCTTGACGAAATCTTCAAAATATTTATACTGTTTTGAAAGGTTACCATCGGCATCATGCACCAATGGATATTGGTTACCACTAATACAAATCTCATTGAAATCTTTATCAGAAAACGAGGAACATGGAATCTCATTGATTAGTTCATTACCATTTGCTCTAATGTTTTTCATATTCTTGTCGGTACCATTGAAAAAATTCTTGAAATTATTAGAGAAATCATTTGAATCCCCCTCAACCAGGTCATTATTACCCTTCAGATCATTATAAGAAAACAACACGCTAGAAAATATGAAATTTGAGGTTCTGGTAATGACCTTCAGAATTATCTCAAATAAATATATTTTCACAATCCTATCCATAGCTTTGATTTCTAGAAACTTCTTAGTACTTCTGATAATCAAAACCACAAAATTGGTAGCTTGGTTGGCGTAGAAATTGGTATATTTGGCAAGATCCCTATCTTTAACATTATCCATTTTTCTAAGAATCATGAAGATCAAATTATACAATGTGAAAATGATATCGATAATTTCAATCTGTAGTTTGATTTTCTTGATGAATTTCATAAACTTGTGGCCATTTTTAGGTAACTGGTTATCTTGAACAATTGGATTTGATAGACTCTCGAATACAGGCTGGAAGAAATCTCTGTTATTATAAAATTTGATCAAATTTTGGATATAAAGCTCCAATTTAAATATCGTCAAATTTTTGCACTGTAAACTATTGATTTGGTAACACAAATTTCTGACAATTGGGGTGAAATAATCAAACATGGTATCATCGAAATCACCATCATTACTAGCCTTTTTATTCAATACAGCAAACTGCCTATTGATCTCGAATTCACTAATATCTTCACTATAGTGATCAAACATAACCCTTGACGAAGTCTCGGAAAATCTCAAATCATCCACCAGCAAAGGATACCCTAAATCAAAAGATTGTCTCAAATCAATAAAAGTCACATAGCGCCATATATTCTTCAACATTTTACGATATTCTGGTGTCTCAGCACCATAATTTTTTTCGATATCACGATGCAAGCCACACATCATCACCATATTCAAAATTAACGTATGCCACAAGTGTCCATCGGAACTATCGCCACCTTCACCTTCATTCAAATGAAACATCTTATCAACTTTTAAAAACAATAATGCTTGGATAGATGTGATCAATGGTCGTTTCATCATTTGCAATAATGATAGAAGCTTTGTAGAATAGTATACCAAAACACTTTCATATTTGGTGGCTTCGTGATTCAGTAATTTTGGGTTAATGGAATCGAATGGGGAGTCGGTGTATAGTAAAGAAACTTTCAATAAGGCAATAATCAAAGCAAGTTTTGACAAGTCCCCGTGTCTATGAGTGATAACAATTTTGAAATCGTTTTTGTTTAGGTCGTTGGTATCCATTTTTTCTTTTTCAGTTTTAAGTTTGAAAATGTCATTGAAAATTTCATTGATGTATGATCTGGTGACAAACGGATACAACCAGTCTAAAAGCTTATCAAAGAAGATGTTGACATGTTGAAACATTCTCTCATAGTTTGGAAGAAAGTTTAGCAAATCGGCAAAAAATTCATTATCATTATTAATACCTGAAGACAGACTGCTCATTTTCAACGGTTTCATTTGGCCATTTGCATTATTTTCTATTATATCATAGCATCTATCAATGTTGAACGGGAAATAAGCTGCATATTCCAAATTTCTTCTTGTCGATTTGAAACGCTTTCGATCTTTTGTGGTCAACTTGGAGATTAATTGGTAAATCTCAGAAAAGCTTTTATTAAATGTTATAGCAGATCTGAAGCAGGTGGGGCCAAAATATATGGTTCTATTTGGCTTGAATCTCATGGTGTTGATGTCGGAAACATTAATATTGAGAAATAGTAAATTGTCTCTTTTGATATCATGATCAGTCACTCGACTCTGATCACACAATAATACAGAACCTTCGGGATGGTGATTTTGATCTATTTCGATATCTAATGACTTGAGAATTGCATTCTCCTTCTCCAATAATTCGATCTTGAGGTTGAGATACTCCACACTATCATTATTATTCGAAGTCAAACTATTTGCAAAATCATTCAACAAAATCTTTCTCTGATTAATTTTTGATAACTCATTCCTCAAATCCTGGTTCTTTGAATCCGATTTCTCAGGGGCTGATCGTGGTTCCATACATTCGTTATGGTCGTGATTAGGCTTGTATCGTTTCGAGTCATCACTGGGAGTCATTTGTCTTAATTTCAAGTTCTTGCGCCGCTCGGCTCTTGGATAAATTATTTTCCCCTTACTATCAACGTTGTCTAACACAGCAGCCGCGGCAGCAGCAGCCTTTTCTACGGTGTCGTTGTAGATACATTGGTCCAATGGATACTTTCTGACTTTGCAAGATGAGCAGATGGGCTTCGCCCGATCGCACTTGATTTTCTTTCTCCGGCAACTGGTGCATGATATAATAATTCTGTTCCTCTTTCTCACATTTTCATCCTTCTTATTGATGGAGATATCTGTTTCTTGGACCATATTGCTTGTCCTTTTTAAAGAAAAGAAGCCAATTTAGTTGCGTCTCGCTATGATATGCTACAAGGATTGATGGCGTAATTTTTCATTTATTTTTATTTTTTTTTTTTTTTCTCCCATTTTGTTGGTAATGCGCCCCATCACGTCAGGACCACCAATGGACCCTACAATAACCAAAGGCTATCAGGCCTTGAAGGAGAGGAAGGACTATATAATAGTTTTTTTGCTCCCCATAGATGCCTTCTGGTTGGAAAATGAGTTCAATTTTGAGGTCTCCTTGCGGCTTTTGCCGTTGCGGAACCAATTGAAGGTGAAGAATCAGAAGTATTTCAGAGATCGATGCTTGGGGTTGGGGAACCAGTTGCTCCTAGTATATGTGCTATGGCTAATGAATCAGAGCTGGTCGATAGAACAGGTGTTACTGAGGCTCCATCATGGCTCCAACGGCAAGCCTATGTTTGAAGATGTTGACTTCAATCTCTCAAACGATAAGGAATCGTTACTCAACAGTATGGCAATTGCTGGAGGAACAGTAGGATTAGACACCATCAATTTCCATCTAATTAATCGACAGTTTGTTGATGAGATTAAGTTGGGAACCCTTCATGATTCTGAGTTGGCATTATTGGAGAAGCAGACTGAAGAAGAAGACTATTTACGGTTGTTTGCTCAGTTGTGGAGTTTGAAAGAGAGCTATACCAAGTATTTGGGGACAGGATTGATAGGAGTAGATTTGAAGCAGTTGGAATTTCGTAACGTCAGATTGATCACAACTGCTGGTGATTCAAATACCGGAATACAATTGTACATTGATGGGAAAAGGAAAGTATTAGGTGCGATAATGACACGACTATACAATGATCAAGTGTATTATTCAGTTGTTACCGATAAAGACTCGCCCAGTCTCCAGGAAATTGTAGTCGGTCTTAAAGATTTGTGTTCCGTGTTAAATAACATATAGATATAACTTACAATTAGAATCAATCAATAAGGAGAAATGAGGTATACGATGAATAATTTGGCCAAATAAAATAGTGGAAAGACGAAATTATAAAATCAAAAGAACATAAAAAAAAAAAGAAAAAACGGATTTGCTATACAAAATCACCAAAACTTATACCAAGGCTTTTTATGCAATCTTCTATCGACGCTCTTGTAGTATTCCATTTCAGCCCAACAATCTCTTCCCCATTCACAACCAGCCATATTGACGACAAAATCTCTGTCATTTTCATTGTAAAAGAACTGAGGATCATCAGCTTTATCAGAACATGCCCCAGGTGGGAAGGCATTGATTGATTTCAATGGCAAAAAGCCAATTCTCTCTCTAATCCACGGCTGAGTTCTGTACAAAGTTTCAAAAGCATCTTGTTCTTTATGTTCCCAGATCATGTGCATCTGCTCATAAAACGCAGGATCCCACCAAATATCCAAAAGTAATTCTGACCATGGTGACTTCTTGATCAAGAATGACCCCAAATTGAAACCCCCACAATCCTGTGTGATTAACATTTCCACCGGCGAATTCTTATAATCGGCGTAAGGGATATTCAAGTCCAAGTTCAAAGGATTGAAATCTTTTTCATTGGTGATTCTGTATGTTAAGTTGTTCAAGTTGTTGAAAATATGTTCTTCAAGCGAAAGTTGAGGTTCGATGATGTAAGTGTGCAAATCTAACCACCAAAACCATTTAGTGTTTGGGAACTGGCGCATGGTTTGCTTGAGAATATCGACCTTCTCCCAGGATTCTCGCCATTCGTGAGAGTATCTTCTCTTTATCGTCATGTCCTTGATGGTCAAACCGTACCCGTGTTTATTGGCATAATATTTCTTGTTATTAATAGAACTTCTTTCCACCGACCACTCTTGAGCCCCTTTCCATTTCAAAACCCCACCTCCTTCATTTGCTGCCAATATTATCACGATTTCTGGATCCTTGTTCAAGATTCTTTGCTGCAATTGTTTGAATCTTCCTGTTGGGAATTTAAGATATACAAAAAACATCAAAACACAGGTTAACAACATTAGAGTCTTTTTGAAGCTAGAGAGCATCATCTTCACCGATGCAAAAGGTGATCTCTGCTTCTTCCGTGGCTGGAGAGCCGCATAAGGCGGGATTATTTGAATATCCTTCTCGTGATCCATAGTTCTGCTGGTTGGAGGACGAGAGTTTAGTTGGCTGGAGGGAATCAGATCAAAAAGTTGTTTATACTCTCGTGTCTCTGAATGGAAAATAACCATGATGTGTTACCCGGTGTTTATAATTATTGATAATTTGGTCACGTGCATGACAATGTTCTCTTTGGAGAGTAAGTGAATTCACCGCTTAACGGATATAAAAAGGAAGCTGAAAATAGATATGGACTGTAAATATATAACTTCTATGTTGTTTCTAGTGTAAATTAAAGTGAAAAAAAGAATTGTAGACGTAGCTAGCAGATGAATGGTAAAAAATAATGACTGGGACGGGATTCGAACCCGCGCATCCGAAGAAATCACGGCCTTAACGTGACGCCTTAACCACTCGGCCACCCAGCCTCAGATGTTGGGGTGGAGATGTAATTTTCTCACACCAAAAGTATTTCTTTGAGTGTGGTTTTTGCGTCTTATTGCATAAACATGCATGTTGTTATCGTCCCCCATTCCAATTTTGATGTACTAAAGTTAATAGTTCAGTGTTGGCTGTGAAGGCTGATTGATATTTAAGTATTGATGATCCAAAATATTAGGACTAGGACTGTATTAATATTGGTTGTATTTAATACTAACTATTTGCTTTCTTCTCTATTTACTTATATCATGTATTGTGGTTAGTGGATCCTTAAATGGTGGATCTTCTTCTTCTTCTATGACTGTGGAAAATTCAATACAGATATTCAAATATCAGTATTTTCTCGTTTCTCATTTTTATAATAGAAGATACAAATTTGCCAGTATTTCTGTTTCATTTATGACAACCAATTGTTCTGTAGGCTCGTACAAATTAAAAATATAAATAAAAAAAACTGCCCTGTGCAGTAAAAGTAATGCCTTTACATCATTACTCGTAAACTTTACCCCTATACATATATATATTAAAAGTAGTCTCCATTCGCAACTTCGTCATTAATTGTTCCCCATACACCATCACTTTTCTCCAAGCACCCGCCTATCATTTTCATCATCTTTCTTTGATTTCTCCACTTTCTTCTGGGCTGCCTTCAGCGACGCTTCCTCTTTAATGCTGATGATTTTTGGTCTTTTTAAAGATCTTCTGGCTATAATAACACTTGGATACTGACTTTCTGTCAAAATAACATCTTCAGCACCTGAAGGTCTGGCAAAAATACCCTGATCTGTATAATCGCCCAAATCCTGAATATCCTGAGGAGATGGAACAGCAATACTATCTTTCTTGTGGTCCAAATGGGCGAGGCTAGGAGCATTTTCTTTCTCTACCAGCTTTTTAAATACCGGTTCTTGATGGCTAATTCTCCAGTCTTGCAGTGAACTAATACTGTTTGAATACCTAGAAGGCTTATTAACTTTCTCTGTCTCTTCCACTAAGACGTCGGTATTGTCTGGTTTTACTACTGGCTCTTTGGCTTGAGGGATCTTTTGAGTGGCCCTTTCTTGGGTCTTTCTTTTAGGCGCTAATTGATTTCTCATAGTCATTAATCTCTTGTATCCAGATATGGGTTGCATTCTATCTAAGTCACTACCGGATTTCCCGCTATTTTGTTTTTGTTTTTTTGTTTTATAGTCATTTTTAGATTGATTCACTTTCCTTTCGTGTCGCATATAACAAAGACTGATTATGCATAAAGCTACCGTCAACATGAGAATGAATAGACTAGTCCATGTTAACGCCATTAAATTCGCTCCCACACTAGCAGATAAACCAGAGCTCTGAAAAGCATTTCTCACCCTCACAGTGACTACTGTAATACAAACTGAGGCGATGATGCTAAATACGGTTGCCAACAATAGAGACGCCCCAAAGAATTTTGTTAAAATTCCACTTGGTTTGCAAATGATTCCAAAAGAACTGAAAAACGCCAAAAGAGAAAATAGAAGTGCGAGGATATGGAAAGCATATGCCACTTTGGAAAGATGATAATATAAATTTTGATGATTATTGAAATCAGAAGGAACATTTGACCGGCCAAAGTTATCAGCAGGGGAAATTGGATATCCTGCAGTAGAGTTCCCACAATCATGATTACTACCATTTTCTACTCCGCAAAGTTCGTAGTATGTCCACCGTGATGTTGAGTAAGGTGCATTTTTTATTGATGATGTATTAGCTTGTAGCCAATAAAGATGAGCGAGTCCCGAACTTGTGGAAGCACCATTAAGAACAATAAAGAAGAGAATGACGCAGGTACTAAAATAATTGTCAGCAAACGTGCTTTACCGAACAAAACGTGTATACGAAACTTACCCAGCAAGAAGCACGGGTACAAGAAAACTGATAAATCTTGATTTGGAAAACATTTCTGGTTGTGCTTAACAATATATTTTGTAGAATATAAAATCCAAAAATTATACAATATTTCTTAATTTGCCAGAATATGAAAAAAAAAAAAAGTATTACTGATATTATGCATTTGCAGTGTAGCAATCTCAACTCCCGTTTCTTTTGAAATCTTGAATCAGTTGGACGTCAGAAAGACAACCAATTTTTTTTTTTTTTTGGAATATAAAATGTGTGAATAATTAGATTATCATATTTGAAGATACATATGCATGTGATGGTAAACAACGTGGTAGTGTCCAATTTTCGCTTTACTTTGGTAACCATTTTCATTTGATATTGACCACCCTTATAAGGTAGATCAAAAATCACGGCTAACAATATTTTAAAACTCGTTAATCAATTTTGGGTTATCAATTAATATGGCTTTCCACAAGTCACCCAACGCTGGCAATATATCAATGACCTCGTAGCACATGTTGCATTATGGCTAAGTTAGTTTTAAGTGAATTAGCGATTCTCTTTTGTGCCTTTGTTATTGTTATCTATTATTTTTGATTTATAAAATCAGTATGTTATTACAAACAAGACATATCGTTGTTTTACAATATATTTGTATATTCTGAAGAATGCGAGCCCATTTCGGTCTTGGTGCTGAAAAGACGCGACCAATTGGCACCCCCCCAGAAGATGACCCAACCTCAATGTATTAACATAGCCGTAAGACACATCATTATAACAACCAGTTTTTTACTTTGCCTTACTTTCTGAATCACATAAATCTTTCATGATAAGTGACGGTTATTTTAAGAACCTTGCAAAAAAAAAAAAAAAAAAAAAAAGAAAAACTAGCCCTCTTTTGGGGTTGTTTAGCTGCCCAAAGAAGGTTTTGTTGCTTCTTCAACATCTATTGTTTTGATGCGACGCGTAAATTAAATAATTTGTCAGCAAAAGATAAATAAACAAAAGAATTTTTAGAGATGAGAGATTGCCAATTGTGTTTATTAATTCTAGATCAGTTTCTTTGATTTGTATATTGTTAAGCGTCCTATTTGGTTATTTACAAATAACTAAAATGGGCTGTACAACATCACATAGAAACTGCTACGTGCAAATATCAACGATAAATATAATATATCTTAATATTATCATTAATTCATCATTTCATCATATGTTTAGTACGCGTCACAACGCGTCATTTAACTGATATTTGAAGCCCCGAAGGGAAAAAAGACGCGTTTTTTTTTCTTCCTGAAATTTTTTTTTTTTTCGTCGCGTCGTCGCAGAGAATATTTAAATTGGACGCGCGCCACCTCTTTTTTTTTTTCCCTTTTTAATTATATTATTTATTCTTCTTTCTTCATACACATTTAATTAACTTTTTCAACCCCTCCCCTCCCCAAATTCTCTCATAACTCATATATATATAATCAAGATGTATGTCTACAAGAGAAACGGGAAAAAAGAACCAGTTCGTTTCGACAAGATCACCGCCAGAGTCTCTCGTCTCTGTTACGGTCTTGACCCAAAACATGTTGATCCGGTAACTATCACTCAGAGAATCATTTCTGGTGTATACGAAGGTGTTACCACCGTCGAGCTTGATAATTTAGCTGCTGAAACCGCTGCCTATATGACCACTGTTCACCCTGACTACGCCGTTCTTGCTGCCAGAATCGCCGTGTCTAACTTACACAAGCAAACTACCAAACAATTTTCAGCTGTTGTTCAAAGCTTGTTCGAATATATCAACCCAAAGACTGGTAAGCATGCCCCAATGGTCTCAGAAGAAACCCGTGATATTGTGATGAAGCACGAAAATGAACTTAACTCCGCTATTGTCTATGATCGTGATTTCAACTACAACTACTTCGGGTTCAAGACTTTGGAAAGATCTTACCTCTTGAGAATTGATGGTAAGGTTGCCGAAAGACCACAACATTTGATCATGCGTGTGGCTATTGGTATTCACGGTGACGATATCCCAAAGGTCCTTGAAACTTATAACTTGATGTCTCTTAAATATTTCACCCATGCTTCTCCTACTTTGTTTAATGCTGGTACTCCAAACGCTCAAATGTCGTCTTGTTTCCTTGTTGCCATGAAGAACGATTCCATTGATGGTATTTTTGAAACTTTGAAACAAATGGCCATCATCTCTAAGCACGCTGGTGGTATTGGTTTGCACATTAACAATATTAGATCTACCGGCTCTTATATCGCTGGTACCAACGGTACTTCCAACGGTATCATTCCAATGTTGAGAGTTTTCAACAACACCGCCAGATATGTCGACCAAGGTGGTAACAAGAGACCAGGTGCCTTTGCCATTTACGTTGAACCATGGCACTCCGATATCTTTGATTTCATCGACATCAGAAAGAACCATGGTAAAGAAGAAATCAGAGCCAGAGATTTGTTCCCAGCATTGTGGATCCCAGATCTTTTCATGAAGCGTGTTGAGAAGAACCAAGAATGGACTTTGTTCTCTCCAAATGAAGCCCCAGGCTTGGCCGACACTTATGGTGAAGAATTCGAAGCCCTTTATGAAAAGTATGAACAAGAAGGTCGTGGTAGAAGAACAGTCAAGGCTCAAAAGTTGTGGTATTCTATCTTGGAAGCCCAAACTGAAACTGGTACTCCATTCATGGTCTACAAGGATGCTTGTAATAGCAAATCTAACCAAAAGAATCTTGGGATGATCAAATCCTCAAACTTGTGTTGTGAAATTGTCGAATACTCTGACCCAGAAGAAACTGCTGTGTGTAACTTGGCTTCTGTTGCCTTGCCAGCCTTTGTTGAAAGTGATGACGACTCTTGTACTTATAACTTTCAAAAACTTCATGAAATTGTCAAGGTTATCGCTAAGAACTTGAACAAGATCATCGACCGTAACTTCTACCCAGTTCCAGAAGCTAGAAGATCTAACTTCCGTCATAGACCAATTGCTCTTGGTGTTCAAGGTCTTGCTGATACTTTTATGATGTTGCGTTTGCCATTTGAATCTCCAGAAGCCAAGGAATTGAATGCTCAAATCTTTGAAACCATTTACCACGCTGCTATCGAAGCTTCTACTGAGCTTGCTTCTGTTGAAGGTACTTATGAAACTTACGAGGGTTCCCCAGCTTCTCAAGGTCTTCTCTCCTTTGATTTGTGGAATGTCAAGCCATCTGAATTGTGGGACTGGGATCAACTTAAGGAAAAAGTTGCTAAGCACGGTTTGCGTAACTCTTTGCTCGTTGCCCCAATGCCAACTGCTTCTACTTCTCAAATCTTGGGTTACAATGAATGTTTCGAACCATACACTTCCAACATTTACTCTCGTCGTGTTCTTGCTGGTGAATTCCAAATTGTCAACCCATATCTTTTGAAGGATCTTGTTGAAATGGGTCTTTGGTCTACTGAAATGAAGGACCATATCATTTCTGCTAACGGCTCTATCCAAGATTTGCCAAACATTCCACAAGAGCTCAAGGAGTTGTACAAGACCGTTTGGGAAATCTCTCAAAAGAAGATTATTGACCTTGCTGCTGACCGTGGTCCATTCATTGATCAATCTCAATCCATGAACATCCACATCCGTGCTCCAACCATGGGTAAGTTGACTTCTATGCATTTCTACGGTTGGAAAAAGGGTTTGAAGACCGGTATGTACTACTTGCGTACTCAAGCTGCTAGTGCCGCCATTCAATTCACAATTGATAAGAATAGTGCCAGTAATGCTGGTAAGCTAGAGGCTAAGGAATTGGTCAGAAAGAAGTATGTTCCAAAACATCAACAAGGTGCTGCCTCTTTTGAATCACAAGTAATTGCCCCAGTCGAAGTCAAATCAACCTCTACTTCTAATATTGCTTCATCCGTCTCCACTCCAGCCACTGTTGCCGAAGCCTCTACTCTTCCCGAAGAAGTTTCTAACTTGTCATTGAAGGAAGAAACTACCGAGACCACTAAGTCCCTTGATGATCAAATTAAGGAAATGGAACAAGACATTTTCAGTTCAAAGGTAATTGCCTGTGCTATAGATAACCCTGAATCTTGTGAAATGTGTTCTGGTTAAAGATAGATTTGTTTTTTTTATTTATTCTTCTTCTTCTAGACAATATTGCAAAACTTTTGGTGTATTTTTGTTTCAATTTCGGGTTATTTTCTTTTTATTTCTAATCTTAGTTTGCTTTTCATTTTAGTATTTTAATATATTATAATACATGGTTCGTTAAAAAAAAAAGTTATTCATAGTAGAAAAGTATACCTCCTGCTAAGAAGTGTACCTCATACGATGAAAGGGTCAGTTACCTACAAGAAAATTCACCTCTTCAGAGATTGGGAAAATTACTAACGATCTAAAAAAGTTCGCTTTCAAATAATAGTCTTCCAAATAGACAATATCAAGGGCTCTTACGACGTAATTCAAATATCGGCAAATGACCACTAGTTTCTCAGCAGCACCGGCTTTGATGGCCAGTGGCTTTACATACCCAGTTGGTGAAAACTAAATTAATGAATGTAAACAACTAAATAAGAGTTCTGGAATATGTACTTCTTGAACAAAGAATGAAAAAACCTAAAAGTAGAAGGCAAAAATATTTAAAATGTGATGCAATCATTAATTGATGATGAGAAAAAAATAAAAATAAAATAAAATACTATAATACATTAAATGACCCCCTATATATTACCGATACCAGTTTCACACTGACACCATTCAAGGAATAAGAAAACATCTTTTATTCGCTTTCTTTTTTCTTTTGTTGACGTTGATAAATACTGTGATACCTTCTATCCCCATTGATCATATCTTCTGCGCCTTCCCCGAAAACTTCTCCCATCTGTTCCATTTTCCTCTTTAATAGCATCTCCTCAATCCGTAACTGCTGCTTCAAATGAGCATCGTAATCGAAATGTGGCACATCATACTTGGAAGAACTATTAGGCATACCATGGAACGTAGACTTCACATTTGGATTGTACTGCTCGCCGTAATGCACCCGGTTTCTTGAGAAGTTAAGCCCCGAAGCAGAGTAATAATGGCTTCCTCGGGATCGAGAATAATACTTGGCCTCGCCATAATATTGATTACGATACTCTCCACTCCGCGAGGCATGATGGGTGCCAGCTCCGAATGACGAGCCACCATGTGGAGATTTCTTGATCTTGAGATCGTAAGTGAGCCTTCGTTTGGCATCGGAGAGGATTTCGTAACTGGCCACCAATTTGATATAATTCTCATCGTTGATTTTCTTTTCCTCATCGCTGAGGGCGTCGTACTTTGGATTGGCCTTGACAATGTCAGGGTGATAAACCTTGGAGAGCTGCTTGAATCGACGCTTTATATCTCGATGTGATGCCAGTGGTGATATTCCTAGCATTTCGTAATGTGTCATATTATTCTGTGCAAACCGTAATGGTAAAGCGTACGAAGGGATAGCGTTTGATGGGCCTGAAATGTTCAAAATCCCAGAGGTATGAAACGCTCGTACAATGGGAGCCAGTATTCCTTGTTTCCACGGCATAACGAAATCACAACGCTAGTAACAAACCAATGAAACCTCCTAACAATTCGTTTGGGATCTAAGGGTGTTAAATAATAAAATGATTTTGAATCAAAAAAACGCGATGCCTTCCCACGCCCAGGGCGCATGACCAAACCGAGCTTCCCACCAACATCGACTACAAAAAGCTTCTTCCATTTTATACGCCAGTATCAATATTACATTGCAATCTATCTATATAAATCCTTGAGTTTTGCATAACTTTTAAGAAGCGTCTTATCGACTCCTCTACGGCGGTTTTCAAGAGCTTTCACAAGATCTCTGACACTGAAAATCTCCTCTTGTCTGGCTTCTCTAAACCTTACCCCCTTTCCCTCATTACTTTCTGAATTGGACTTCGAAGATCCAAGACCAGAGCCTCCACGCGATCCTCCTCCAGTCATCCAACTATATGTCTTGGTTCTGCCTGTAGTCATCATTGCCGCCGTGGCGTTGGCAGCACGATGCGAAAGCTCTTCGGTATTTGGTTTTCCCTTCCCATCATCCACTTCGATCCCAAGTTGAATTTTCTTAGTGGTTCTCTTTTCTTCAAGTTCCTTTTGCTTAGTGGCAAAATCTCTCAATGCCTTTGCTACATCACTTCGCGAACCGCTGCTACTCTTAATATTTCTTCGGCGATGTTTCGAATACATCACCACATCCCTTAGAATTGGTGCCAACATTTCCTCACAAGCAACACTCAAGAAATCAGCAAACTGCTTTTCTTGGCCATTGGGAATCTTTAGACCCTGGTTGGTGATTTGCTGTTTTGCGTACCCCAATACCTGGGAACGTACAATAAGCGGCGCCAAAGGGGCATCAGCGCGCTTTATTGGTGCTGAACCATTACTGCTGCCTAGTCCAAGCTTATTCTTATGTTTTTCAGATTCTCGATGTAGAAGGTTTTCTTCTTCTTTAAGATCAACCCCAGTTCCGTAGAGCGCATCCACCACCTTATCAGGATCTGTTGGAGAAAGCCCTCCTTGCTCCTTTTTATTATTTGTATTTGATGCTGGCGCTGGCGTACCAGGGGTCGCTGATGGTGTTGTTGGATTTATTGTCTTTGTGGCTTTCCCTGTTGTTGGTTTATTTGCTGTTATTGTTGTTGTTGTTGTTGTTGTTGTTGTTGTTGTTGTTGATGATGATGGTGATGGTGATGTTACTGGTGCTACTTTATTCTGTGGCGGCAACACAATGCCTGGCTGTTCGTACTTCACTCGCTTCTGATCATTTCCTGATACTCCTCCTGGGAACTCTCTCTTCTGCTGATTGTAATTGAGGTCCATGATACTACTAAACTGCCTTGCCCTTTGTTGTTACTAGAACAACAAGCCAAAGTAAATTAACTCCTCAAAAAAAAAAAATGTTTTTGTTCAACGGTAAAAAGATACCCGGACACTTATCCATAAAATATATCCGGGTGACAGCATCGCTTCGCAAAAGGAAAAAAAAATATTTTTCACTCATCTTTCAAGTAATACTATACTTTATCATCTACCTCTATGATAATAGTACCAAATAATGGCTAAACAGTTGGTGACCTTGGAGTCACATAGAAATTTCAGACTCCGGCTTGTACTCGCGACTCTTGCCCATGTTCCAGTGAAAATTCAAAAGATTCGGGCTGATGATGTCAACCCTGGTCTTCGTGATTATGAAATATCGTTTCTTAGACTTTTAGAATCCCTCACTAATGGTTCTACCATCGAAATATCTTACACCGGTACCACCGTCATATATAAACCAGGGCTTCTTATTGGTGGACAATTGACTTTCAATTGTAACCCATCGAGAGCTATCGGCTACTACATTGAGTATATTCTTCTTCTTGCACCTTTTGCTAAGAACAAGTTCTCCATCGTGTTCAAAGGTATTGATTCCGATTCACACGAAACTATTGGTCTTGAAGGGGTTAAATGGGGGCTATTGCCAATCATGGAGAAGTTTGGGGTACGAGATGTGGAGCTCCGGATTCTTAAACGTGGAGCTCCACCAGGCGGTGGAGCCGAAGCTCATCTTATGGTTAACCAATTACTCGCAGCTCCATTAACGATTCATGCCCTTGAATTACCAAAGATTGCTGCCCTTAGAGGGGTGGCTTACCTGACCCGTGTCAGCCCTAGCATTGTGAATAGAATTGTTGAAGCGGCAAGACAGGTGTTCAGTGAAACTGGGTGCAGAACCGATATTGTCGCCGACGCTTGGAGAGGGGAAGTCAGTGGTTCGTCTCCTGGTTGGGGGGTCACTTTGGTGGCGGAATCCAAAAAGGGCTGGAGGTTTTTCGTTGAGGAAGTCGGGTCTGCGGGGGAGACCCCAGAAGATATTGGTACTAAGGCTGCTTATGAGTTATTGGAAGAAGCATCCATGAGTGGAGTGGTATGCCGTAGTCAGTTGCCTTTAGCTTTGGGATATATGGTGATTGGTAAAGAACATATTGGAAGAATGATAATCAATAAGCAACAAGTTGATCCAAACTTTATCCACTTATTAAGGGATGTGAAAAATCTCGTGGGGGTTGAGGCCCACATCAAACCTTGTGACGATTATCTTGACGAGCAGGATGTTGATGACTACTTGGTGCTTATGGTGAAGGGTGTTGGTTTCACTAATGCTAATAAGAAAATTGCTTGATTAAGGGTGTGTACTATATTTTTTGGATTTCAAAAGCAATATATATATAATTCATGAATTATATCTTAATATCACTTGGGCAGAATATATTCTATGATCTTTGTAAACTATCTTTGAGTATCGCGATAAGGAGATAGATTTCTCAGCTAGGTATTATTTGTTTAATATAGCCACAAGCACCAGTATTCATATGAATGAATGAGCTAGTCATTTTTACGATTGACGTAATTTATAATTGGAATTATATAGTATTTTCACCCTTTTTTATTTGTTGGTCCTAATAAAATTCCATAATTATGTAGAACATGATCTATTGAACTCAATTATAGTATCTGTTAGCTCTTTGGTGACTATTTTTAGGCTCTACTTGAGAAAACACCCATTAAAACCCACGCACATCTTTAAAAATCAATGATCAGAAGAGAAAAAATAAATCAAGGTATATTAATTTATAAATTATGGAAAGTTTTCACCAAAATTAAAATCAAGGCAAAAACATCAAAATATGCAAACATCGGCCAGGAACCGCTTTTAGAAAACCAAAAAAGGCATAAGAGCCTAAGTCAATCTCACTCATTATCATCTATGACAAATAAATAAAGTAAAAGATGCTTTCATTAAATCAGCGAGGACTATAGCCAAAATACTATAAGATCTAGCCAGCAAAAGAGTTAATCTTCATGCTTTTCTTTCCTTTTCTTTTTTTTTTTTTTTTTTTTTAGCTTCAAATTCCCCCAGCTTCACGGAACCATCTAACTCCACGGTCCATACCAACACATACAATCCCATCATTTGTTAAAGAACCAGTGGCGGCTCTAACCCCCTTGTGAATAAATTTGGCATCCAAGATCCCCACCAAGTCACCATCTTGGCCATTTTCACTTTCAGACTCAGCAAAATCGGTCATTGAATTAGTTATTGTCGCCTCTTTTTCCCTTGAATCGATACTCCATATTCTGATTTTTCCATCAAACCCAGCAGACAACAACAAATCTCCGTCTTCGTTGAAATCCACCGCAAAAATCCAACCCTCATGGGCATTGACATCGATATTAGCAGACGAAGAATGCGTAGAAGTGGTCAAGCTTCCAATGATTTCCCCGTACTTTGTGTCGTAGAGAGATATGTTCCCAAACTTACCAGAATCGTAACCGCACGCTAGGATATCTCCCGATGGCGAAAACTTCAACGCTCTAATAGCAGATGAAACTGTAGTACCACTCGATTCACTAGTTATAGAAGGCTTATGAAAAGTGAACACCGGTCTGCAATTACGAAGCTCAGAAACAACAATGTCACCATTGGCAAACCCTGTCGCCACCAACGCAGCGTTTGGTGACACCGCCAACGACATGGCAAAGTTAGACACTTTTGGTTCAACAGTCCCGAAATATTCTAAACTGAAAGCGGGAGTTTTCTGATCATCCACATTAGCCATAAACTTGTATACTGTGGTGTTCCCATTTGATTGAGTCGCCACAAACCGATGATCTTGATTAAGTGGATCTTTGACAAACTCAATTGCCCAACTGGCGGTGCTTGCACTACTCAATTTCAACGATGTAACTTTTTCCACCTCATTATCGGTCGTAAGCTGGTAAAATACTACTTTCCCAGAGAAAGTGGTCACAGCGATCAACGTCACTTTGACGGAATTGATGACATCCTCAAATGCTGTAACATGATGGAGCCCCATCTTATCAACAAATACCTCCTTCACATGGTCCTTAGCACTCTGATTCTCAAGAATATTATTGAACCAAAGCTTAAGATAGCCATCACCTGAAACTGTCAATGTGTATGGTTTTGTCACCGAGGCACCATAAATATCTGATTTATGAACCTGTCCTGCATTGGCAGTAGCAATATATTGTTTCCCCTTGAGGTCATGTTAGTTTGTGCTTCAGAAAGAAAATAATATGACGAGCAAACAGCAACCACTTACCATGTCTAAGATATTTATAAATGACTTAGAAAGCAATATCCAACAAATAACTGTTAGCGTAATATCTCATCAGTTTCCCTTTCCCTAAGATTATTGTTGATGAATTTTTCGAGCGCTCCTGTGGTTATGCAGCCCTGCATATAAGCTACAGTATGTCGAACATCGAAGTATTTGTTATTAATATTAATATTATTATTGTTATCGCTATTATTGTTCAAGACAATAGTACTTATGATAATGGTAAATAGAGCAATCTTTCTTGCTCGAAGTTCTCATGTATCTTCCTGGAAATGAACTTGTCATCTACCTCAGTAAATAATGCCTCTCTAGAATGTTTGGCGATATCATTCAATATTTGTTTAAATTGGTCTGTCAAGTCTTGCAATTTACCTTCAGTACCCACAAAATTCAATAAATGATAGAAATCCGCAAGAGAAACTAAAAGATTCTCTCTCAAGAATTGGGTAGATGATGATTTATCCTCGTTCAATGTTTCACTAACCACAGCCAACGTTTCCTTGAAAAATGTCAATAAAGTGATGATTATCTTGACTCTGAACTTCTTAAAACCAGGAGATTTATACAAATCCAAATAATCGCTTCCAATAGAGTCTTTATCCCCACTAACGAGGAACTCACAGAAGTTGTACAACAATAATGATACGCTTGTCGAGGGTAATGTTGGCAAACCGTCTTCCCATACTTCCTTCTCCGTAGGCATCTCAAGGTGTAATTCATGATCTGGTTTTTCTTTAATGCTGGAGAAATTCACAGCAGTAGCACCGGTATTTAATAGTGTATCCACGGAGATATCATTCTCGATTTCTGCCGCAAGAGTGGTGAAAGATGAGTTGGGTATTGTTTTAGGTTTGTCAATAGTAATTTTTTCTAATTCACCTTCATCAAACGACAAGAATCTTTTGAGAACAATATGAACGAAATCTTGGTAAAGCTCTTTGGTAAATTCTGAGGTGATTCTTGAGTAATAATAATCAATGACTTCATTAGTTCTCTTAAATATGAATGAAATACTTTCTTTCATTTTATTGTTAGTTTTTGAAGAAAACTCACTTTGATCACTATCAATAACCAATAAATCTTTCAACCCCTGATCTTTAATTGATTTACGGAAGATCAATAAAACTTTTAAAACATCAACGTAACTAATGTACCCATTTTCTGTTTCTTTTGAGACTAACCCGAATATTTGTTCCAAGAAATTCGTAAATCTTTCAAGTAACAATTTTTCAAAATACTGTTCCCGAATTTCATCATAAATTACCGTAAAGTGGTCCTTGTACTCTGTCAAGAAAGTTTCGATAGCCTCAGAGTTCTGATAAGCATCAAAATCATGATCATTAAAGAACTCTTCGTTGATATTCATCTCATGTATCATTGGATCACTCCCACTAGAATCGAAATTATTAGAAATCAAATTCTGCATGATGCCAACGTTAAATACTTTCAAAACAATTTTCAAATTAGAAAAAAAATTTATCAATTCACTTGATACATTGATTAAGTTTGGAGGAGATGTTGTTGTCGTTTTCTTTGAAAGATCTAGGTTCATGGATGTCAAACTCGAAACTTTCAATAAGTAAGCATTTACATCCTTAATTTGCATATCATTCTCGGCTGTTGACCAAAGTCCTTCATTAGAATACTCAGTTATTGGTTGGGTATGAAGATAAGTGGCCATACTTTTAGACACTGACATGATTTGGTCAATTTGCGTAGCTAAAATATTTGTGATGTTGGTTTTCCAGATAATAATCAAGTTTTTCAAAAGGTCATCGCCATTCGGTAACATGAGTGTGGTAAGCGCGCTCGAATGGATACTCTTGAACTCTTTGACTGTGACCTTTATTAAGTCAATTAGTCTGGTGAATGGTTTATGAGTTTTGCCGGAACGTACCAGGGAATGTTCGATCGCATAATTCAAACCCTTTTCAAAACTCTTGGAAAAATTATTGACGATTTCTGATTTCCATAGCTTGATAATATCCATAAGGGCTGACTCATCTGAAAATTGATCTTTATAATTCGACATAGAGTACGTGAACTCACAAGAACTCAAAAACTCATCAAAACCATCGAAATTATTAAGAATTGATGCGTATTTGGACTTCAAATTGGCCTTAAATTGTGAGCTCTGAAAGTTCAAATTTTTGATTATTTGATTGAGGAAAGTCTTTGGGAAACTGCCATATTTGTCTGGGAAAAACACTTCCAAGTAGGTTAGTGACAAGTATAAGTAGCTAAGGGTATTTCTAAAAGTTGAAAGATTTTTGAGATTGACAAAAGCAGGGTGCTCGAAAAGGTTAGTTAACACCTTTGATTTCAAGTCAATATAGTATTTCAAAATGCCAAACAAGTCCAAATTCAATACCAATATTAGGGATACTAAAACGGTTATGAAGGCATTATTGTTTAGGTATTCTATCGAGTGGCTATTTGACTTTATTATCAAGCCCGACAAAAAACTCAAATATTGACTCTTCAATCTCACGAACTTTTGATATAGAGTATTTCTTTTATCGTTCAATTCTATCTTTACTAGCAATTTTTCAAACACATAAAACTCTTTGGAGATATGGATTAATTTAACATCAATCAACGGGTTGAAATTCAAATTCTTGGCAAGATGGTTCTTGACAGAGATTACCAAACCATCAATAGAGCTTTGTAAAGTTAAAAATGCCACTCTGAGAGATTTTTCATTGTTTTGGTTCAGTTTATTAGTATTCAAAACATTGGTATCGATGAATACGTGATAATTCTTCAATAATTTATCCAAGTTTCCGGTTTGGTTGTCATTCAATTCGCACAAATCACTGAGTTTCTTATCCTGATCCTGAACTATCTTGTTCATAAGCATGATATTTTCAGCTGTTGACAAGAGAGATCTATATTTTGACCCTACTAACGTTCGCAATTCATTGGTCTTCTCATCAGATTGAACCTCCAAGTTATGGCTTATTTCTCTGATTTGGCTTATCGTTAGTGAGCGGAAAAGCTCAGCAGCCTTAGCCTCATTATCCTGTACCATTATTAATAGCTTTCCAGCTATAAGTGTATCGAATGGGGGAGATAGTATATCTATCACAAGCATTCATCAGAGATAATGATTTAAACACTTCATCACTCTCATTTCCGTGATCAATGGAAAAATCTAAGCGTGATCATGCACGTGATCATGCTTATAGACAAGTACGCTCAAGCGATATCGGGGCCATACTATGACCACAGCTCATTGACGAGTAATGTTTTGTGTTGTTCTAATGTTCTATGCATCGATCCAATACAATGCTATCAATGTGTATGTACTAAGCAATATATACCGGTGTTACCATGGTTAGATTCTTCCGGGTTTGGAATTTACATATCATGAAAGGAAATCTTTACTCAATCTTGACACCTCTCTTAGAAGGAGAACACCAATTGCTCGACCCGGACTATTAACCAACTTCGAAATGGATGCTTTATATAATCATTCTGCTGTAGTTCTAGTACAGCCAGTACAACCCACCATGGTGCAAACTCTGTGATTGCTCCATCCCGACATCATGATGATGCGAACCCTGCTACTACGAATGCAGATACCAAAAATCAAAGTTGGAGTACTTTTCGTGATAAGATTCCCCAAAAAATGTATTTTCAGCGAATACCTACACTCGTTACGTCAAGAGATATTCTTTGGTAGACTCTGATAATCCCACAGGTACGAGCCGGAAAATCCACGAGAATTAGCATTGCAATCCCTAATGAATCTAAAGGTCAATACACAAACCGACTTCTCTGACTTGTTTTTCGACATTCATGCATCCAAGAAAGCTTTTTTATTTTCAAACCAAGAAGAGCTAACTGAGGTAGAAATACGATCATTCTAGCCTAGTAAATCTGTACACTCCAAATCAGATTATTAGCAATGTGACTGCTGAGGAAAGGATTACCAATACAAAAACAAAAAAAGATGCAAGCCCAACAAAAGATACAAAAGCAACAAGAAATTCAAGACCAACAAATGACTGAAGGACAATAATTACTCTGGTCGACAAGGCTAACGCCAAGAATTTATCGTTCAACAGATCATTATTTCTTCTCTTTTTTTCTTTCATCTAATTTTCTTTTTCAATACTAATTCTCAAATATTGTATTCATTATGATTAATATACATATGTCCAATAAGCTGTTCCAAGAATCGTGCCTTTTTTTTTTAATCATTTGCTTGATATCTTCTGGCTTCTCCCATTTGATATATTTCAGGAACTATTTCAAAAAAAGCAACTGATATAGGATAATTTCTTCCTAACTCAAAACTTGAAAGATTCTAGATGTAGCTTTCATCTATCAAACTAAGAAGGTACTCCCGATTTCTATCTCCAAGTTTTGGTTTCCTATTAATGAACTTGTCAACTCTTTTATCGTGTTTCTGTTCTACATTAATATTTTTGGAAACAAATGAAATAATATGGTTCCAATAATCAATTCCCGTCACTCTAGGTTCTGATTTTTTGTATGAGCGTTACTACTGTATCTGTCCTAGTAATATCGAAGTAATCTATTTTTAAATTCTCCTCGAGTGAATGGAACACGAGGTCTTGAGGATTGATATACCTCTCTAACGCTTCGCTCAAGTTTCATCAATAATATCCTCATTAGGCGGATGGATTTTTGTAGCACCACCATTTTCTTCACCTAAATGCTACGATAATTTGCATATATATGTGTGTTTGAGTCTAAATGCTGGCGAATTTTTCAGGAAGCAGATTAATGCGGTTGTCAATTTTGTCCGTCTATAATTATCAGATCTTTATCTACCAGTTTCTAATGCAAGGGTCAATTTCCTGAGCCTAATCTCCGCTTGTAGTTTTCTCGTCTTTCACCTTCAGTCAACAACTCTCCATATAAATTATATATATATATATATACGCAGACGGAAAATTCCTGTTTTAATCTCTCAATGCTTTCACTTTGTGTATTGCTTTCACTTTGTGTACTGCTTTCACTTTCTTACATAACACAAAAGATGGAGAGTGGAATTTCAATGACAACAAGAATATAGATATAGATATTCAAACATTCAAGTAAAAATTCCAAATACAATATAAAAGACTGTAAAACAAAAAATACAACTGTATGAGTGATTCAAACCGGGATACTCGCACAGTACAATTAATCATCATATAATTATGTTCCTCTTTTATGGGCTTACTTTGCTGCTTATCGATGTTTTTATTGTAGACACGCGTTTCAATTTTATTGATTAATCCAATTTGATATCATTTTTTCTAAGTAACGTTAACAAATTCATCGAACTTCTTCATGAACAACTTAGCCTTTTCTTCGGCATCAGCAACCTGTTCATTAATGACCAATTCGACTTCGACGGTTGGTGTTTCATGTGATTCAGTAGAAGGAGCCGATTTGACTTCAGTTAGGAGGTCAAAGATGGAAGGTTGGCCAACGGATGGAGTGACCTTGGATTCAGGTTGGTTGATCTTGAAGTTGACCTTGAATCTGTCAACTCTTGATGGAATGCTGATGATATCTTCAAACAAGTCATCGTAGAAGTCTGATTTAACTGGATGTCTTTGCAAAGCGTAGGTTTGGGACTTCTTAACTGCTTCACTAACAAATTCATAAATGGTAAATGGCTTGACTTTTCCTAAGGAGGCTTCGCGTAATTCTACTATTGATGACAAGTCAAATGATTGTTTAATAACCTTTGGTTCTGGAATTGATGGCTTGGCAGGGACAGCGGCATCAGAGGAAGATTTTGCTTCTGTAGCACTGTCCGAGGATTCTGCCTTAATTGGGGCACCTTGGATATTTGAAAGATCTAATTTTTCATGGGCTTTGAAGTAGGTAGCAATGGCACCAGCAGACTCTTTAGAAATCTTTCCCAAGTAAAACAACACATCCCCCTTGAGTAATCTGCCATTTGGGCCAGTAGCTTCAATCTTCTCGAGGGCATCTTCTTTAGAAATCCCGTTGGATTCTAAAAGGGTCAGCACCGATGGGAAAAGGGTTTGTGATGGGTTGGCCTTGTTAAAGATACCAGCTTCAGCAGATATTGGTTTGGAAGCTTTCTTTGGAGCAGTCTCAGGTTTTTTTGGCTCTTGTTTTTTTGGCTCTTGTTTCTTTGGGGCTTCGGTTGCTTCTTCTTTTGGGAACTCCAATTTCGATATGTCGTCTTCTGGTTCAGCAAGATAGGCAATGGTTCTCCCGACTGGAATATCCTTGGATCCATTTGGCAACAAGATCTTTGCCAATATACCGTCATCTTGGGCTTCGACATCGATCTGAGCTTTGTCGGTTTCCACTTCCAAAAGAACGTCACCCGAGCTGTAAGCTTCCCCCTCTTTAAACTTCCATTCAACAACACCACCTTTATCCATCGTTGGGGACATGGCAGGCATACCGAATTTAGTGGCAGCAGCCCTCAATACTGAGGCATGAAATACTATATTGGTAAGTTAGTATTCATGGAATAATAATATAAAAAAAAAAGATTGATATACTTACAGCGAACATTGACATTTTGGAATCTAACCACCCCCGTGGATGCTCTGCTAAAGGCTCTAACAGAAAACATTGTTTTTCTTTTTCCAAGACACACAGGATAACCGCAAAGTTGTTTAAATTTCGCTAAGAAACAGCCAATTGCAAAAGCACACCCGGTTAATAATTACAGAGGCACAACAAAGAAACTGGTGATGGGGCCATCCTGCAAAAAAAACGCTGCGATCAACTGATGACTTCTTTTATCACGTGTATGATCATGTGTTTGAGTGAACAGTATCATGTGATTATCCTCCGCGGCCGGAAAGTATATTCCCACCAGGGCTCATAACCATCAAGTAATCGGTACCCTATTACTGGTATATAGTACTAGTTACATCTGTGTTAACTAACAGTGAAATTCTACTGCTGATGCTGAAAGACTGAGAAATTACAGCCGTGTTTCTTTACGGGGACGTGGTGGAAAGAAATCAAGATGAATTGGGTCATAGTGGTTGTAAAATTATTGTTGTTACTGCAGTGATGGAATGACTAGGATTGGATACATATTCGTTGCGTACAGAAATAGTCACGAATCCAATTGATCACAGTAGTTTAGAAAAATATTCCTCTGATTGGCTTAAGAAATCTACTTAAAGAGCTGTGGAGTTTTATATCATGTACTTTTTTTTTTCTGTGAAGAACCTTCGGCCAACGGTCTGATGATAATGATGATGATGATGATGATGATGATGATGATGAAAGTAATGGTTTTGATGCAACAGTACCCCCAATTGGAGTTTTCTCTCAGCAAGAGAGCGAGATCCGCTAATCAAAAATATTAAAGTCGTTCATTACAAATTTTCCAAAGAGACAAGCTCCCCCAAGGAGTCCTCAATAGATTTGGTGATTGAATATGCAAAAAGATTATTCCTTAAACTTTTGTAAAGAAATGCTAACATTTTTTGATTCTCGTCCTGAAGCGGTCTTTGAGAATATTCACTAACATTCCTTTAAGATTGCAAATAATCATATTTCCTACTACTCGCCATTGGTCATCATGTTGATCTCTTTATTGAAGAATGAGAAAATTTGCAAACATTTGAAGCAAAGGGATTTCAAGCGAGAATTGTGGTATAGAGCTGGTAAGGGCTACGGTATTGACAGTATTGAAAACGACAAGGTCTTTTTTTTTTTGGAAATGAGCAATATTGAGGTATATCATTCAAAAGAAACTGGTAATGTCGGGCCATTCCCTGGTGGAGGCCCAGACCTTTTCCAACCTGTGGCATGGCTGTATTTCATTCATGGAAAATCATGAACTTGCAAAGTTTTTGTAAAAAAAAGCAAGATATCTTTGATGTCCTTTTGGGGTGCTCGTATTCCAGAACAAGGGAAGAATTTGTGATGATCATGAAAGATGAGATCGATGTGCTCAATAACCTTGGCGTGTTACAGAACCAAAAGATAAATGTCATCCCAATTATTAAAAAGATTTCTGCATCACTTACCGGATTATCTAATACCACCTATCTGATGCCCGAACCAATCAGAATACCAGACATGATGCTAATGTTTTTTCCAGCTCTCAAAGTATTTTTGGATGTAATTAACTGTTTCTCGATTCATCAACTTAAGATGATGCTAAAGCTGTTTAATGACTCCCCTCACAAACAACGGGATATCTTCAAAATCATCAAGAAGATCCGATCTCCTGAAAGGCCCAAGCAAAAGAATTTTCAGGAAAGATGTTAGCTCATCTCAAGTGCCTAATAAATGATTATTTCCACTTTCATCTTTTGATGAATGGTGGGGACTTTACAGAGAAGGACGTGATTTTCCTTCAAAAATTTCCTTGTCTGCTCTTTGATAAATTTCCTTACAAGTATCCGATTGGTTCTGAATAGAAGCAAAAATAAAAAAACAACAAAATAATTACTATCACATATATAATCGTATATTTTCTCAGTTTCAATTCACATATTATTAGCAGGCATCGCTTGCAATGCATCAGCCAATTGCGACCAATTTTCAGAATGTAATTCACTGTATTTAAGCCTATCGCTTACCCATTCTTGGAAAACCTTGGTGATTTTGTACTGGGTCTCTTGGAACATTAGAAATTCCTGTTGGACACACTCTTTAATGAGCCAGTCCCTGTTTGTTTGTCTAATGACCAATTGTTTATCATTATTGATGGTTTGTACAAGGTTATCAACCTCTGACCCTTTGACATCGGATTTTTTCTTGAGTTGCCCTAATTTCCCTTGGCTTTGCTCCACTTTCTTCTTAATTTCATGAATATTGTTGCCTCCGAGTCTTTTTCTTCTTTCAAAAAGACCGTACAACGATGTTAAATACTCGTTGTATTCTTTAAATTCTTTCAAAATCCCGTCTTCAATTAACTGACTTTCATCCTTTAATAACGCCGCCGAAGTCTTAATATGAGTGCTCATACTCTTTATCCCGACATTTATCGGGGAAATATCCGATGGTTCTACCGAATAGACCTTGTTGGTGGTTTTGATGAACTCTCCAAGAACTTCAATAAACTTTTGATTATCGGTATTATATAACTGTTTTCTTTTCTCAAATCGTTCCACAAGCAAAGTAATCTTCGCCCAGTTATTTTGTATTCCAATCAAGGAATTTTCCGCATCTTCCCATACATTTTCGTGATTATTATCCCAGCTATCAATAAACCTTTTTGAGATTCTTTTCCCTTCAAATTCCTCGAGAATTTCAAGTGGGGTTTGCTTTCTCCATACAGATAGTTCAGCAGGAATCGTTAAAAACATGATAACTATGGCTTCTTTTGACAAAACAGGGTGCTTCATGACGATATTTAAAAATCTTGATAGCCCTCTTTTTCTACGTTCAAGAAATAAAGGGTCTGTATTTGGACCTACTAAAACATTAGTATACCTGGACTTGAAATAAACAATAATAATACAAATTTGGACTTACCTGAAAATCTTTTTGGAGGTAACCCAGGAACCATTCTAAATGGATACTTTTTGAGTAACGTTTCATATAACCATACGAAATCAGAATATCTTCTAACCACTTTCTTAGCATCGGCCGGGTGCGATGCACTCAAGTCAATGGAATGAGACACCAAGTAGTTGATATGTTTGAATACTAATCCTTCCTTTTCGGCAATTTCCAGCACATCTATCACATCATTGGTGTTTGGATTGAATTCTCTTCTGATATTCTGGCCATCTACCATTAAGGTTTTCCTGAGCTTTGCCCCGGTGCTCTGTTGCGAAGCACCAGGGTCATTGAGAATGGTTGGGTTTTCTGACCAGACACTACCACTCACTGAGCCAGTAATTGGGTTGCTGCTGCTGCCAGGTTTTTCTAATACCAAGTCAGGCAAATTATAAATATGGGCTTCCAAATTTTGAAAGTTCCCTGCTCCCAACTTTTGTTGTTCTAATGCAGTCAATCCAATCATGACATTCCACAAAGTGATATCCACAGTTGTGAAGTCAACCTGCTGGTTCATGGTGATCAAATTCAAGATATTCTCAATTGAGATTTGGTTCAATCCGGCTTTTTCGAATACTGACTCGATGGCTAGAAAATCCACCATCCCGTCACTTCTGATGTTGTCGTTGTATAGTTCTTGGTATATTGGGGGTACTGAGATGTTCTTAATGGACTTTGTGATGGCCAGTAACTCTTCATTCTGGTCGATTAGTTCCTGTAAGTAGTCATTGGTGTTATCGTCATCGATGTTGTTAATATGCTGTGAAGGGCTCGCTAGTGACGGCTGAGGGAGCACGCTAACAGAAGACAGCACTTTTGGAATTGGGGTGCTGGAGTCTGACCAAGGGTCTGCCAAATCCTCCGGGAACAACGAGGTCATTTTGTGATTAGGGTTACAGCAAACACAGATGATGATAATAAGAAGAAGAAGAGTGAAAGAGATTATGATTATTTTTGTAAGGAGAAGAAGGCCAGTCTGGCACATCCGTGCACCACATTTCGTTATCTCGCGACTTCAAAAGTGGAACTTTTACGGCAACAACAGAGAGAAATCGATGAGTGAAAAGGACTAATAGACATATATTATGATTGCTATGATGATTCCCCTCATCTAAAACATTTTTAATACAAACAGTTCTCTTTTTGCCTGATTACCACTCATTTTATATGAAGAAACACCCTTACCTCATGGCACTGTTTCCCTCGTTAAGGTGATCTTTTTTTTTCTTTTTGTTGGGGCTCATCGTCCTTCTTTCAGGATACTTTTACCGTCTCCCAGTATTATCACTATTGCCTCCTCGATTATCATGGAATGGAGTCAGATCAATCCCGGCCACCATCTTGACCAGCTTGCCTTGTCGGTGGGTATCGAGTCCGGTATCATCAAACAGGTTGTGTGTTTGTTTGCGTCATTCCCGTTTGCGTTCGTATTAAAGAGGCTTCCTGATCAAAACATCTTGCTCAAAAATCTCTATGTGATCGGTGTATCTGCTTTCTACTTATTTGCTTTGCTCAATATCTTTGGCGGATTCTTGACCTTGTTTTTTGCGTCAATGGGTAGTTACTTGATCACCAGATACATTAGAACCCCATACATGCCTTGGATCAACTTTGTGTTTTGCATGGGTCATTTGGCATCGAGCCATTTAAAGTCCCAGTTCTTTATCGACGAAGTTTACAATCCAGACATCATTGATGTTACTGGTGCACAAATGGTTTTGGTGATGAAGTTGACCTCGTTTGGCTGGAGTGTTCAAGATGGCAGAAACCCAACCGATGAGTTGAGCACTTTCCAAAAATCAAAGATCATCAAGAAGCATCCAAATTTAATCAACTTCATGAGTTATGCATTCTTCTTTCCTTCGTTATTGACTGGGCCTTCCTTTGATTACGCTGATTATGATAGATGGATCCATGGTCAATTGTTTTCTGATGTGCCTGAAGAAAGAAAACCTGGGAGAAGAAGAAAAAGAATGATTCCAAAGAACGGTAAAGTTGTGGCTTGGAAGGTTATTCAAGGATTGTTCTGGGCGGTTTTATTTTTCAAAGGGGCGTCTTTTGTCAGTACTGATGCCATTTTCGACCCCAAGTTCAAAAGTCATGGGTTTATTAGCAAAGCAGTCATATTATACATTTTGGGTGTCACCTACAGATTTAAATATTATGCTGCCTGGACAATCTCTGAAGCCGGTTGTATCTTGTGTGGTTTGGGATATAATGGCTACGACAAGCAAACTGGGAAATTCAAATGGAATGCGGTGCAAAATGTTGATCCAATTGCTTTTGAAACTGGTCAGAACGCCCATGTTTGTTTGGAAGCCTGGAATATGAACACCAACAAGTGGTTGAAGAATTATGTCTATTTGCGTGTGAAGCACAAGAACAGGAAACCAGGTTTCAAGAGCACGTTATTCACATTTGTGGTTAGTGCTTTCTGGCACGGTACCCGTCCAGGTTACTATTTGAGTTTTGTTTGCGGGGCATTGTTCCAATCTTGTATGAAGATCTATAGAAAGAACATTAGACCAATATTCTTAGACAATGGTAAAAAGAAGTTTGCTTACGATGTGATGTCCTGGGTCGTCACCCAGCTTTCGTTTGGGTTTATGGTGCAACCTTTCATGATTTTGGATTTCTCAAAATCGATTTATTGTTGGGGCCTGGTGTATTTCTACCCATTGGTCGGAGTTGCCGTCACCCTTTTCCTCTTTAGAGGCCCTTACAGTAAGAAAGTGGCTGGTTTCCTCAAACAGTACCACGTTCTGGTCCCAGAAACCAAGCAGGGTGCTAAAGTTGCAACGACCACTAGTGCCAGCATTAAGAATCCTAAATTGGCGCAGATCCTCAAGGATAAAGAGGATTATGAAGAATTTGGCAGTTTGGGGGTTCCTAGCCAAGAGTTGAGTAAGGAAGAATTCGACAGACACATGAAGGAAGTTGGAGAAATGGCCGAGGATTTTAAAGAATGGAATACTCATAAACGTAGAAGCTCCATTACCGATGGTCAAGAAGTCATTAAAGATGCCCTCAATGAATTCAAGAAGGATATGGTCTCGTTAATGCCACCAAAGGAAGGGGAGAACGATAAAAAGAAGGATTAATTGTTGGTATCTTGTATTTAGTTGTTATGTAGTTTGTTTATTTAGAAATGGAAATTGCCACTATAAATGTATATTTTTCTGGTAGTTTAATTTATGTTTGATAACGCAGACAATTAATAACACACATTGGTTCTTAATATGTGATATATCTGTGTGCGGTTAGCACTGTCAAAAACCTACTAGAAAACCGTGAAGCATCGTTTGGAAGCAGTTTCTATCACCAATGTACCCTATTTTCAATACAAACCGCTATGAAAAACGTTATTAGAAAAAGGTTAGCGGGGTTTGAAGATAATGATTCAGAAACTGAGGACTCAGAGCATTTGAATATCAAAAAGCGAAAGCTATTTTTGCCTAATGATGCAGTAGCAACAAAAAAAGAGAATAATAGTGTGACCAAAGACGATGATGACAGTAAAGAGATCGTGAGTTATGAAGATCCGCAGTTTGTCACTGGCCAAGAAGAAGATCAACAGAATGATGATATTGATACAACAACCCACCAGCCAAAGTATACAGAATTACAGAAGATGAGCCGGGATAAAGGACTCAAGAAATCGTTGTTTGAAGATTCTGGATCAAAAGGTCTAAGCATAATGGAGAAAATGGGGTTCAAGGTTGGTAATTCTTTAGGATTGCGGAAATATGACAAAGACCGTCCCCTGGTGCCAATTACAGTGAATGTGAAGATCAATAACTCTGGGATCGGAGCGAGCAGCAAAGTGGAGAAGGAACCCCTGGGGGTCACTATGGAAGAATACCATAGTAATGTGAAGGAGAAGAATTTCAAATCACAACAACAGAAAACAATATGGAAATTGATGAAGAAGTCGTTTGAATTAAGTGGGGATGATGATGTTATGGATATAAAGACGATCAATCCGTTGGATATCAATGTTCTATGGAGAGAGTATGTGATCAATCTTCAAGAGAATTTGAAGAGAAAAAAAATAATCCAATTGATGGGAGAATCAGAGCCCCAGGATGATGAGAAATATGATATTGAAAATGATGTTGAATTACAGGACCTCTTGGCGGAAACCCCAGATGAAATCATTGATAAACTAATAATATTCCTACGATCTGAATGCTATTACTGTTTTTGGTGCGGGAATAAATTTGAAAATGATGAACAACTACTAAAATTTTGTCCTGGACCATATGAAGAAGATCATGTTTAAGAAATATAATACAATATACAAAGGAGGCAAAGCATCAAGACCCACAATCCTAATCGCTATCCTCGTCAGAGTCAAACAAATCAAGACCAACTTCTTGGGTACTGCCTTTATCGGGTTCTGGCATAGATGGACGACGATAGGCATCAAAGGAATTACTTCTTTCAATCGAAGGTTGATATTCGGTAGCAGCAGCAGGAGCAGGAGGATGTTGTGAGTTTGCTGGATTGCTAACATTATTATTATCATTATTATTTTCTGGCTCGTCGCTCTTGTATTTTATCAACTCATCACGATATCTCATGGCCATTGCTAACATGCCTTTTCTAAGAGCATCTTCAGCGGGCCATATATAGTTGTTTGGACCAATATTAAGATCCGACGTTGCAGGGATCGTTGTAAATTTTGCAAGCTTGGCTGCGTATTTGAGAAGCTCCCCAGTGGTTAATGGATTATCACCGAATATTTCGTGCTTCTTTTCTTGTGATATGGCCGTGGACTTTACCTGGGGTTTTTCCAATTCCAATTCGTCATCGTCATCTTCATCAATCTCGTAATCGTCTGGTAATTCCAATAATAGACTGCGGCACTGGTTCAACTCGTCTAATATTTGTAGCAGTTGCTGGCTGAGATCAGAGTTGACCACCTGTAATTTGTTCAAGCTGTTACCGAAGTTCTGGTGATTGATGATGACTTTGACAAAGTCCTCGACCCTACCATCGGTCTTCAATAGATTAGCGATCCACCGTAGATTGGGGTCGAACTTCTGGACAGAATCAACGTATTCTTGTAGCTGGGTCTCGAATTCCCTGAGTTCATTGAAGATAGGTAGAGACTCTCCCATTATTATTGTTATTATTATTATTATTGTTAATAATTATTTGTTAGCGGAAATCTTCGTGAGTATTTGCGATTCTTTTGAGGTTTTTTCTCTGTGTGCCTTTAGCATATTTTTTCTCAAAATCACCGAATTTCACCCAATTTGACCTTTTCTTCCTTAATACGATCGTCTTTCACCAACTATAATAATAAATCCATACAATATACCCTGGCCAAAGTTATGCCGATAGCGTCTGTCGACACTGAATCGTCGACGATTCTCCCGCTGAAACCTCTAAGAGACGCGATTGCTCTACTAGTGGTGCTTTACAAAATTCCCACATGGTTGAATTGTATCTTTCTCGTGGTTTATACATTATCAGGGTCTTCTCAGGCCATCACCAGTAGAGTGTTGGCCAAAATGTTCAAGAAGCTCACAAAGAAATCGACATCGATAGCCACGGGCGCTGGTGATACTGGGATTGGTGATGTGTCGGATATCAACGAGCTCATGAATGGCGAAACGATATTACAAAACAACAGCAACAACCTTATCGATGACAAAGGGAAAAAAAGAATAAGAGGCGCAGATTACTTGGAATGGCTCAGTGAATTCCTCAACTCTCAAGCTGTAAGCCTCGTGGGGTATTTGGTGGCGTATGTCTGGTTGTTATGGTATTTCCCAAACATTTTGAACTTGTTCATTTTATCTGCCAAAGCAATGATATCCGTCAGCGTATTTGGGATTCACGGGTCCAAAGGGTTATTAACTTCAGTAATGTTGATATTTGTTGTCATTTTAACTACCACCAGCTTCCATTTTTTCATGTCCAAAATCACCAGTATCCAATCCACCAGCGTGTTGGTCAAAACTTTCCAAATTTTCAATTCCATCGACACACAATTGGAATCCAAGGCGTTCAAAATATCCTACGACTCAAATATTTTCAATTATCACAAATCCTCGTCCATTAGTAATTTCTTTAATTCTTTCTGGAGCACCTCAAACAATGTGTTTTCGATGCACGTTATCCTCATGAATTTACCGCCTAATTTCAAAGTGACCAATTTTATGAAAAATCATCTCAAACCTTTAGACCAACTATCAAAAATATCCCTGGATATAGGCGCCAATGACAACGACGATGAAAACGACGAACCACAGCAACAACAGCAGCAACATGCGGCGACTATCGAACATGAAACCAACGAGGCATTATCATTCAACATATCTGAAGAATACGCCCAGTCGAAGCTAAACCAAATCATCACAAATTCCAAAGACTCTACCTCTGACCCAACTGTTTTTCCTACAAAACCTGCCACTACCCAAAACGACGATGGCGACTATTTCAATGACTCGCCAGCGCTGTTCCCCGATGAAGCACAGGAAGTGGTGTACTCAAACCACTTATCTTCTGCATTATCCGCAGTTATCTCAAACTTGGAGAATTTCTGTAGACTTCCATTCATTCCTTCTTCCACAACTAAAAAAACTAGAAAAATATTCAATGTGAGAGAACTGCAACCTTTATGGCTGGTGATTTCCGCGCTTCTTGCCATGAGAAAACGCCCGGATATTTTTTCTGGAGAACGAACCGTTGAGGACTTAGATGAAAATAACTCGTTGGTACCGATTCAGGAAGTCAGGTACAGTAATTTCTCGTTTGCCGACGACAGTTATCCCGTTAAATGTTTTATCGATTACGTGGGTCCAACCAGTATGGCGTTCCAAGTGATTCAATTTACAAAACCCACTGCCGATCACAATCGTGTCGATTTATTAAAACATATCGATATTGCGGTGGTGGTCAATGGGATCGAATGGAATACTCACACTTATGAGGACTATATCATCATCATTGGCCTAACGCCTTCATCGACCTACGATATTTCGATTCTTGCCCTAAGATCCGGGGCCGAAGATGTTTTGGTGGCAAAATACATCATTTGTACATTATTGGATGGCGAAGGCCATAAGAGCTTGAACTCCGCAAAGATTGAATCACCAATTGACACATTAAAACGAAGCGTCACTACCACGAAGAATACGGTATTTAGAGAACGGGTGAAATTGAAGAAATTGAAGAAAGAAAACACCAAAGCTTTAGGGGAGTTATCTAAAGAAATCGATACGTTGAACAATAAAACCACCGAGGCCAATCGGAACGATGATAAATTATGGAGAAAAGTGGCATCATTGAAAACCGAAGCCAATCAATTACGCGATGAAATTGCCACCAGGAAAAAAGAACTCGAACATCATCAACACAAATTTGAACAAGAATTCTCCATCAGGTATCAATTGAAAAAACACGATTTTGAAAAACGTCAAGCAGAATTCAAAAAACTCGAGGCAGAATTCACCAACGAGATCGGTTTATTAGACAAAGATAAAGAACAACTACAGACGGAGTTAGCGGGTCTCACCATAAAAAACGAAAAGTTGAAGAATAAACTCACCAAATACCAATCTGATCTCCAAAAAACTGAACAAGATATCAAACAAATTGTCGATGATGATCTCAATGCCCGGAAAGTCGAGCGTGGTAAAAGAAATGCTAAGCGAGCCAATCTCATCAACGAATTCCGAGCCGAAATACAAAAGGCCGAGGAAATGACAAAAGATTTCCAAGAAAAAGCTAATAAGCTAGAACAGGAGGAAAAAGAGTTTTCAAATCCTCAATAAGAAACAAAAAAAAAAATGGCTACGAATCTAATGATATATATGTTGATAGTTATAATGATGATAATGTACATTTATAAAATGCAGAAAAAAAAAAAAAGGAGCAATGACAGTAAATAATATAATACATATAATAAGCATATGACTCAAGCAAACGAAACAGATTTCTTCTTCTTAGGTGTTTCAGTTTCCTGGGGCTCTTCGGTGGCAGCAGCAACTTTTTCTTGCTTAGATCTCTTTCTTCTAGCCAGTCTTGCGGCAGAAGCTTTCGATTTCAACTCATTCTTCTTTTCGTCCACAGCATCCTGCTTGTTCTTTTCCTTCCGCTCGATTTCTTTTCTCTTCAATTCACGCAATTCCTCCAATCGCTGGGCTTTTTCTAATTTACTTTCATTGGCCAAATCATTCTTGTCATTAATGGACTTAATGATTCTATTGAGTAATAAGCTATCGTGATCATTCACAAACTTCTTACCCTTCTTACCATTCTTTATCTTCTTTCCTGCCACCACGGTAGTATTGAGGGTTGGAATATGCAACTCTTTTTCTGTATATTCTCTCTCCTTTTTCTTGGTACCATAAAGACGAGCTTTGGATTGTTCTTTTTTCACCTGGGATTTCGAGGGTTTCCTAACTTTGGATTTTTCTGTCAAATTCGGTTTGTTTATAAGGAGGTTGGAAGCCTTAGAGTCTGAAAACACTTCTGACTCAATCTTTCTCATCCCATTTTGGGAAGTTCTTCTTTTGGCAGTTTTGGATTGTCTATGGACCATATTGTAATCTGATAATTCACTGATAATTATGATAAAGCTGGATGCATTTCTGCTCCCATCTGCAAAAATAAATAAAATAAAAAAAAAAATTTTCCTCGTCCCTCTCATCACGTTACCCGGGGTTCTCACCCAACGCACCAATTCACCGGATCTGTGATTCGCTAAGAAACTTGACAGAACTGAAAGGAATATTGGATAACTCTGGGTTTTGGGGAATATTTTGCTCATTTTTGTTGGTGATGATATCGAATGAAGTGTTGCTAATCGGGCTGAAAAGCTTAAGGGCTCGGATATGAGTGTCTTTCCCATTTTGATGGTTGGCAATTACTACCACTCTTATAAATAATGTTTTGAGAATACCATCATGCCGGGCATCACCAAACTCGATATTTGTCCAGCCAACCGGCTCATTGATCTCTATGGTCGTCACTTCTTTCAAATTGTGTGAGCCATTGCCCGCCAAAATCATGATCTTCGAAGGAGTGTAACTCTCGTCCAAAAAGTAGTTTATAAAGATCGAGATTTGCTTGATCTGTACTCTCTTGTTGAAGTGAATATTCAAATGATGCGGCTGCACCCCATCTGACTGCCAATAGGTTTCAGGACTGTCAGCTCGAAGCTCCTGTAGCCCACATCCTGGCTTATAAGACGAAAGAGTCCAAAGCGCCAAGTTCCCAATGTCCACTAGCCCTTGTGCTTCGATTTTCCGAAGCCTGTCGTAATATTCCTCTTTCATATCCGCATCAGAGAGGATTTCTTCGTCTTTTTCATCTTCCTCATCATCTTCTTCTTCCTCATCATCATCTTCTTCTTCTTCCTCGTCCTCATTCTCTTCATCAATCACATGGCCCTCATCATGGTCGTCCATAACAACACCCGACCCATTGAGATGGTCCTCAATGGAGTCCCTGAAGCTTCCAGAAGCGTTAGATCTATTCATCCCAAACGTTTGCGCTACTTGTTTGACTTTGGGTTTTAAAATAAAATAGAGTTGTATTGTTTTTTGTGTAATTTTGTTTTTTTGTCATAGTATACCACGACGGTGGTATTTTACTCATTTCTCTGATTAATCCGAAGTATGGTACCGATACTGGATTGTTCTGACATTGTTACATTCCTGGTTCCAGACTACATTTGAGTAGTATTAGCAACCGTAACTTAGCAAGTCAGGAACAAGGAGCAATAATCTGGATAATGATGTAAGGAGCTTCTTTTAGTCAGGAAGGAAGAATTATGTATTAAAGGATGTTTACATCCTTAAAAATATCTCACACTAGTAAACTAGATGTAGAGTAAGGAGAATTAATTAACATTGACTTGACAGACCCGAAAGAATATTATTATTGTAATGAGTTCAACTAATGATTCCAATGATCCTGTCAGTGCTAATGCACTGAACACTTCAGCTACGCAGGCTGATATGGCTTCTACTGCTAATCAACAAGCGGGTGACTCTAGCTCTGCTAGATACTCCCAACATTTTTCTTTGTTTAGAAACCCGCCATATTGGATCATATACCAATTTTGTGGGATTTAATGAATAAATTTCGCAAAAAGATAATGACTGGGACGGGATTCGAACCCGCGCATCCGAAGAAATCACGGCCTTAACGTGACGCCTTAACCACTCGGCCACCCAGCCTCAGATGTTTTGTGGGAGATGTGATTTTTTCAGACCAAAAGTGTTTTTTTGTGTGTGATTTTTGCGTCTTCTTGCATTATCTGGAATATATTTGCATGTTTTCTTCAATCTATATTAAATTAAATGTTTTTTCATTAGTTATTGGTAAATTTTATGGCTTTTGGATGAATTATTTTATATATATTTTATACATTCTATATAGTCTTTTTTTTTTTTTGCAGTTATAACAAAGAGATTAAGGAGGCTGTGAACTTTTGAGTTTTACCTGATTTTACAGCATTTATTGTGAACAATTGATTGGTAAAAGGTCAAATGCAAAAAAGCAAAAAAGATCACTTGATTGTTTATCAGTTTATTTTTTCCTTATTTCAGTATTGTCAATGGCATCACTAATATGAGAATCATAATATTTTCGTCGATAATTCCCTAAACTGTAGGCCCCGAATATCGCTATAATAGACTGGCAAGCTATTAAAATATAATGTGATTGTAGTTTTAGATATCTCTCATAATTCCTAAAAGTAAAAATATGCTCCAAGACCTTCATAAATAAATGCTATCCCAATAACTTCTTCATATTTGAATGAAGAACACTAATATAATCTTCAATAACACGCGTGATTGAAACACTCTGTGTACTTTTTAAAATCATTCTACGATCAATTAAATAAATATATATTATAGTGGTATTTTAATGTGTATGAAGAGCTTCACCAAAACTGCTTCTATTTGAAAGTCTCATCTTTAAGATAAGATACTAATAATTTCATTTTGGAACCTACTTTGTTTGAAATGGAGTGTGGCTTAAAAGTATAGAGCGTAATAGCACCAAAGGATACCAATTGATTCACATTATCACCCAATAAAAGAAGCGAATTAAAGAAGTTTATGAAAGTGAAATATAGAAATTCATATCAACTCAAGAGCTTGAATATCTACTAAAGTGGGTGTATCCCATATCCAGTACTTTTGATAGAAGAGTCTTCCAACCTTTTGAATTCGATGATGCGGTAATGATATTATTACTCTGACACAGAAGAGATTGCCAAAAAAAAAAAAAAGATATGCTTTTAACTAGATATTAATTTTTTCACATTACCTGTGTGTATCGTTCCTACTGAAAATGTTTTCTGAAACAGAAAAGAGCAACATTTAAAAACTATAAAACACAATATACCATTTTAATTAATCTGAATTGAAAGAAGGGAATTATAAACTGATGAGGAGATTTAAAATATGACAAAACGAAAGAAAAATATTAAAAGAATCGAGAACAAACTAATATTGGTAATAAAACAAGCTGGAAACGAAAACAAAAAATAGGACTTTTTTGGGACTGAGAAATATGCATTAGCAAAGAAAAAAAAAATAAAAGAAAAATAAAAGGGAGAAAAACTGAAGGAAAAATATGAGTTTCAAGGAAGATTAATCCATAATGAACACGATGAAGGAATATTGAAAGTATCTGTAATAACTTTTTTTTTGTTTTATTTTCTTCCCCTTCACCATATACGAATGAAAACAGCTTTTTGAGAACAACTTCATAGTTCATCAACGTAATGACAATTGCAACAAAGACTTCGCTGCTCCCATGGATGTCGAGGTGTTTCCTGGTTCCTTATCAAGACTTTGCTTTATTGGAACAGAAAGCCTTATTGGGGTGAGCACCGCGATCGAATCGTTGATATCGGTGGAAGCGGTGGTATCAATAGTATCGATGGTACTTGGGGTGGTACTAACAGAAGAAGCACAAGACTCCAAGGCCCCAGGAGCAGCAAGGGTGAGATTGTGGTCAACTGTGGAGGAGACATGTCCGATGGAATTCACGATAACTGTGGAGTTCCTGTTATTAATCGTGAACCCATTATCTAGTTTTATCAAATGTTTTTGCGTCAATTTCGTCATTCTATTCATCATCATGTCTAAATCGAATGTTTTTTTTTGCTTTTTTGGTAAAATCTTGGGTGGCTTGGCGATCAAGCTTGGGGATAATGCGGAGCTCAATCTTTTTGGGAATGATGATGAAGTTCCAGAGTTGGTGGTTTTAGACCCTAATAACTGAGAAGGACCTTTTCTATTGTCACTGAGAAACTCAGTGGTCTCCGGAGACGAGAAATCCGAAAGTTTTGGTAGTGAGGATCCAAATAACCCCGAAGAAATAGACGATGCTGATAATACTTCGGCAATTGGTGATGAGGTAGCAAGATGTGGAGACTGGTTAAGCACTTTGCGGAACATGAGGTCTGTGTCTAATTGACCGGTATTATGAGAGACGGTATTGTGATTGGTAAGGTTCTTGTTATTATTACCGGAGAGTTGGGACAATGGGAGTGCAGCTTGGTTGGTTTTCAACTTGTAATAAGCCAACTGGAGTCGGACTTTGAGTTTTTGGGCATGGACATCATCACTGAAACAAGAAAAGCCGGCTAGAGGAGAATGGCTACTTTCTTGTCTGCTAGTGGAGTACGAACATGAAGATGTGGATCCAAGAATCCCCGAAGCAGACCGATTGGACTTCGACGAGCAATTGTGTGGTTTGAGTTCTATTGGAGGTTGGAGCTTATTCATGGTTATATATATATATATATATATATATCTTATCTAAAATATTATTATCCTCTTTGCTATTATCAATTGTTACCTTAGATGCTTGAACGATAACACACACCAAACTAACTGAACCGAGAACTGAAAAGTTAATCAAGAAAAAAGAAAAGAAAAGGCAGATCTATTAGATGGAATATGAGCGAGCGACGGGATTCTGCTTTCCTATTTCCCTTCAGTTTGATAAATAGCACGACTAGAAGGTGAGAATAAAGAACACTATAATAACTGGATACTTTGTTTATATTAGAGGAAAAAAAAAGAAAAACTCCAAGAACAGAAGGTGTATATATGTGGGAGCTGGTAGATGGCGGGTGGGAGCGCGTCGATACACGGAATTTTGCAGCAGCGGTTTTTTGCAGCAGCGGTTTTTTGCAGCAGAAGGAGGCGACTGTTTCACTAGTCCACTGACAAGCACGAAATGGGAAGCAAGGGTGAATATTTTGAGAAGGAATACCAGGGTGAATTTAATAATGTCATTTATAATATGTATTTGTAAATAATCTTAGCTGTTGGAGCACAATACTAATTGACACTTCAAGAAGGTACCAGGGACACGGTACTTTTACACCTAAAAGAGAATAGGGTACAGGACCCCGTTATTTCCAAATAAAACATCCAAACATCGGTAAAATACAACACCTATACACCATGTACACTTGTTGCATAAAAAAACCCTGCATTTTAATGTAATATACTGTGTGTATCAGGTGATGCAAAAAAGTTTACTTTTGCTTGCCCTCACATAATTGTAGCACATAACCACACAACTCTATACAAAACAGAAAGAAAAGTGATGACTTAGTGGGGAGGAGAGGGGTGTATAATATATTTATTTATTTATTATTTACTACGGAAAATATGATATATATAATAGTCATAGTGATACCGGTAGTTCTTTAAAGAGGGGACATTGGGCAAATGCAATTTTTCCCGATTTTTTTTTAAGATTAGTAGGTGCACCATCAACAATCACAAGGTTGATGTATTTCCTTTATGTTGTTCACGCTGCACTGGAAGTGAAAAAAAAAAGAAGGCGGTTTTCTTTCTTCTTTTCCTTCTGGTTTTTACATATGCTTGTCTCTTATTGGTGTGACTTACTTCCTTGCCTCGGGAGTTTAATAATTATGTTATATCAAGAAAGGAAGGAAAAAGGAGTGAGGAAAAGAGAGCAGGGTTACGGGGGAAATGCTTCACAAAGGAAAGAGAGAGGTGAGAGTAGAGATAGACCCAAATGATTGTCCTACGTGCTGACGGGCTAAAAAAGACAAATACGCTTTTCCAATAACGACGCAATTATCCCAATGAAGATGGGGGGATGAATATATGAGTAATCTATATAGTATATATACATAACAAACGCAAATAATAATATAAATAATAATAACTGAAGGGTTCAAAACTGAATCCCATTGCCGTCCCAATTTGGTGGTGAACCCAAAAAAAGAAAAAAACTCTAATTTTCCTAAACAATCGCTGCCGCAACCCAACAAGGGAGGTGGAAAAAGACCGGATATTTGGTCTCACACACACTAAAATTTTTAGTGTGTCTCCAACTTCTATCTCTTTCCCCCCCATTTCCTCCATTTTTTTTTAATTATATAAAAGGTCAGACCAATCCTGGTTCACCGACTTTTTAATTTTTTACTCTTCTTATTTTTTCTTTCCAGTTCGTTTATTCAACCCGCTTTCTCCACATAATAATTAATTAACCACTCATCATGCAATTCTCCGCTGCTTTCCTCACCTTGATCGCCTCTGTCGCTGCTATTGAACCAGCTGCCTTGAGCGCCTTGTTCTCTGACTTGGCTGTCAACTCTGCTCAATATCTCTCTTATGTTGAAGCCAACCCAACTGCCGATGTCCAATCCCTTATGGCCATTGCCAACGAATACGGTTCCGCCACTAACTTCGGTGCCTTGACCACCGCTTTCCCAACCTCTGACTTCAGCGCCTTTATGGCTGGTTTCCCTGGTGCTTCCAGAGTCTACAGTGAAATGTCTGCTGCTGACGCCGCTGCCGATGCCTCCAGTGCTACCACCACTGTCGCTTCTACTTCTGCTTCCGAAAGCGAATCTTCTGCTTCTAAAAGCGAATCTTCTGCTTCTACTCAAGCTAAGTCTACTACTGAAGCTACCACCACTTCTGCCACCGCTTCTGCCACTTCTGCTACTTCTGCAACTTCTACTACCGCTACCGGTGGTGCCAACGCTAACAGTGCTTTGATGCTTTTGCCAGCTTCCCTTGCCTTGTACGTCTTTGGCTTTGCTTTGTAAGTGGTTTTGTCATAATCATTGTTAAGCATGAATGAATTTCTTTTTTTTTTGTGTGTGTTTTTATTGATTTCCATAGCTTTTTTTTTAATTATTTCCTTCTTTCCTTCTTCCCTTTATTGTCTAAGTACAATAATCTTTATCGTTCTTCTCTTCTTTTGTCTAGTTACAGTATTTTCCTAGTATCGGAGGTTTTCCTTATTTATGAATTATGATGTTGATCTTAATGTTTTGAAAAAATGGCTTGTAAAAGTTGAGACCGCCAATAATAGCAAAGCCCACAATACATTTGATACATTTATCAACGGGGCTTGTTTTAGTGACGGTATTGACAGAAGGGTTTGACACCTGGTCATTATTTTTCTTGCTTTATATCATAGATGATGAGGTGTACTGGTGTCTGGATTAACATCAATTCATTAATGTTAAACGGATTTATAAACACGTGATCAAATATACCACTCAGCCGCTCGAGCGCTGACTTTACTATGGGAACGCTCAATTGATTGTTTTGTATACATGGATACATCGCTATACCCCATGCGTAATAATAACGTGAATTAGAGGTGTCTTTTAATTAGGAATTAGAGTTTTGGCATTCAGGATTAATGTTTGTTTTACTCCACAATTCGCCGACGCCTCAAAAAACTTACGATTTTCTTTCCCTCCTTTTTTATCTTCTACATTAATTAATAATCCAATTAACTGATATATGTTTACTTTTTGTTGCACATGAGACAAATCTCACGCCATAAGTATAATTACGTCCATAAAATAAAGTTAAATTAGCAAAGAACCCCCCCGGAAAATGAAAAAAAAAAAAGGTTCATGCCAAATTAAATTTCAAAAAACCAAAACAAATAAATAAAATACAAAAATCAAAATGGCCTCTCATGGTGTCACTAAAATAGCTCATCAAATAATAATAATAACAGTAAGCCACCAATCAAGTAATTACCGCATTTCTAATTACTTGGAATGACCCACGGGACCTCTCCAACCCATTGGCGTCTGAAGAAGATGACGACAAGATCGGGTAAAACAATTCTTCATACTCCGACAGCAGCAACAGGTCACTGGAGATTGAATCACTATCAAAAGAGTATGGCACGCTCGGAGGTCTGGCAGCTTCATCACTCTTGAATGAGGCAAAACACGACACAAATTCATCACTAGTAGCACTGTCTCTCCTATCGTTGTTCAGAAAAATCTCCGTGGTTTCATACACAACCCCTCGGGATACCTGGGCATCTTTCAAGAGTTGCTCCACCATCTGGGCATCTTGGTTGGCAAAATGGATTCGAATCACCACGACCTGTTTGTCATCGAGCTTTTCAATACCGATTGGCAAGCATCCATAATGATCAAAAATCGCTTTGATTTCCCGGTTGACAATGGAAATCTCTTGTTGATATTCACAAACATCGTTGGAGAAAACACTAAGATATTCTTCATCCAAGAAATTCATTGCTGGGGTGGTGAATTGCGGCAAAGAAATTTGGAATTCCACTAAACAACTGGCGAGACCCCGGGATTCATCACGAATCAACCCCAAAACATTATCAACATTTTTACTGGCGGTAGCAGCACAAGGCACAAAGTTTTGCTGGATCGATCCTTTTGTAGATCCCCTGGTTAGCTTGTTAGCAATTACTTTATCCGATCCATTGGTAAAAAACGCTCTGGTGCTGATGGTCATGTTTTGTACAATGTCTCTAGTAACCATGTGTGAATAATTGGAAAAATGACGGGCGTTGTGGCGGTTGAAGTTCCCGTACAAACTGCTTGGGAATCTTCTACCATGCCTCATTCCCGCAAACAGATTTCCGTACTGCCCACTATTGAAGGCAGTTCTAACAAATTCTCTGGTAAATGGTGACTTTGAGGCAAATTTCCCGGTTGGTCCTTTCAAGGAAAACTTTACAGATGATTTCAAGATATATTTCACAAGGTTCCCGAATATCGAGCCTTGGAATCCAGAATATCCGGCAGTGGTAGAATAATGACATCTTTGTTGAGCATTCAATCGAGAGCGTAACCGTTGGGCCGCCAGTTGTGGTCTTTGTCCAACCCTAACCGGAACTCTCGCAAGGGCAGGTTGCGAACCCACGCGGCCTAAACCATTTTCAATGATGGTTCCAGCCTGTTCCAATGCATCTTGGACCTTACGAATCCTCTTCCGAGCCAATGACACCAACGATTTGATGCTATATTGAACGGCAGGAGGGGGCATATTATTTTTTAAAAAAAAATTCACTTCGTGCCGCGTAAGCCCAATAATAACCTCAAATTCTAATTTGGTGGAATGTATAATATAGGAATATTGTCAAATAACTTGTTGAAGAGTTGTAATTGAAGGTCCTAGTGAGAGTCATCCGCTGCTTTCTTTTGTATAAATTTTGCCACCCCGATGAGCTCCATCACGGGTAAGTCACATGCCAACAGATCACAACAACATTGCCTCAACATGCATTGAAACAAAAAATATTAGGGCAATTGTTATCTGTTTCCCCATGAACTCGCCAATGTAAAGCTGTTTCTTGTTTCTCGTGGTTCATCCACAATATCTATTTGAATTTTCACCAATTGATATTATTCGTGATTCCATGACGGTGATTTCCTAACAAGGTTTTTCGGACTCCAGTAGTGTGTGTGATTTCCCACATCATACCATTTTTCAATCTCCAATTAATGCAACATTGATAGGTTGCAAGGTATATCCTGTAACAGCTTTATTAGCGTAGAAATTAATTGGCAAATTTGTCAAAACATAAAATAAAGTAAAAAATAAGAAATATAATTATAATTTAATAGAGATCTTGTTCCTAATTAAGCTTCGGCCGAGCGAAAACTATAATATAAATGATACTGACAAACAAAAATCATACTATTATTTTATTTTTCATTGCATTTCGGCCTCTGACAAGAAATCGCTACACCCTAAATTCTAAGAAATCCTCATTTCTTTTTCTTTTTTGAAAAGAATAATACAGGCATTATAAGTGACAAAAGTGCTGTCACTTTTATATACAATTCGTAATTTTTTATCGCAATGAACATGGTCTTAGAGGGCTATGAAAACCTCGCCGTTTGATTGCATAGGAGGAGACAAATGTCAACTTTCAATTGAAAGCGGGGGTGGATTATCTCTCGCAAAAATAAACACAAAAGCCGTTAGGTTTCAAATTCAGTAATAGGAACATTTCAAAAAAAGAAAAAGACGTATCAGTGAAAGACACAAGACAGACAAACAACAAGAATAGTAATTATCTGTGTACATTTGAAAATTTTTATGTGGTTAATTTCTTTTTTTGGTGAAGGGAGGGACTTGGTGGAGATCTATTTCAGTGGAAAGTCTGAAGTTTACGATTAAGTTGATTGTTTGATATGGCATGTAAGCGTGATAACCGTTCATCTTTGTTTATGCTTTTCGGAATTGTAGTATGCCTTATTGTTAATGAAGATCAATCAAGTAACTCGTCACTGAATTGATTGTCGCTCGTTGCTGTGCTGCTGTTATATTTTCTTTTGTGTGGACGCGTGTGTATTTGTTCTGGTCCCTGTTCACATCTTTTAATCTACCTTTTCACCTTTTTTGTTTACATTATTACGTTTTGGGAACAAAGTTTTCCAGATCGATCGGAAGCCGTTGATCAGCGGTAGAAAAGGCAGTGTTTCACACCCCCACAATCCGGCCAAAAAACAACAACACACAATCGATCAAACAAACTATTGTGTTACTTGATCTTGTAGCAAACATAATGTATTCTCTCTCTGCCTTCCCAATCCAATCGATAATTCCAACGTTTGAGAACTCTCCTGCCCTAACCAGCCTTGTAAAACGTTTCTTAGGGTGCTTTTTCTGGCATTATTTTCTAAATAGTCAATATTTACGATAAGTGGATTTAACGATTGATCTACCGTTTATTGTGTGTTCAATTGATCGACTTTCCCATATCCATACTGGCGAATCGGTATAACAACGGTATGTCCATATATTTTCGTATATCAGTCTAGTGTATCCACACACCGTCAAAAACACCCCAATGTACCCCCTCCCTGATAGCACCATATCTCTCCAAATGTGGTTTCTTTTCTTTTCCTCTTTTTGTTTGAAGGAAAAGTGGCCGCTGAGAGATAGGAATAATAACCTAGAAAAGGTTTGGCAGTATTGTTGTGAAATACATACGAAGACAGAATAGTTCTTGAGCACCTGCATCAGGAGTATCACTTTGGGTTGTATAGTTGATATTCTTTCTTTTCTTTTTTTTTTTTTTTTTTTCTTTTACTTGGGAGCGCTTTGGTTCTTAGGGTTACTTGTGGTTACTTGTGGTTACTTGTGGTTACTTGTGGTTGTAGGTTTTGTAAGTGATGCTGTTAAAGGTTGAAGCTTTTTTAGTGGCATGCATATAGACAAATTTAAACAATTTTTACGTGATCTAGTTTAGGTTATTAGTTTTTTTCTCTTTCATTTCTCTCTTAGAAAAAGTCTAGAATAGAAAGCGAATAGGGGCGAAGAGAAGAAATCTGCTCCAACCTCTTCCTATTGTTTTATTTATATTCTTTCCTCTCTTTGTTGATAATTATTATAAAAGTCCTTCCCTCTCTTAAAACGCCGGTTCTTTACGCCACCTGACATTGATGCAGTTTTGCAGTTACTCAATAGGCAAAAAAAAACGCCCCACAATAACGTGTAGTCACAAAACGAGCGGCAAAAAAAACTGCCCATTATGATGCATGATAACGTACGTGAATGCACAGCCACACGCACGCACCAGTATGGTATGTACTACCCGCCCGTAGTCTGTACAGAGACCGAGGCCCACCAGCTGTTTCTTTTTTTTTGTTTCTTTTTGGATGTCGTTTTGTAAATTACCACTGTAGTGCATCGCATGACGTGAGCAACGTGCTTCCACATACATAGCGTAGTGAAATGAACAGCGTGAGCAAAACAATTATCACTTGTAGGGAATCAATCCTCTAACATTGTTCGAGCTGCTAGGAATCCCTCTTGCCAACCGGAATATTAATCATTTACTATCCTGAAATATACACATATATCTATCAGCATTATTTATGTGAATAAAGAAGGCACCCCCTATTTGTTTGTTTTTGAATTTAAGCTTGATAGTCTGCATGCGACGGTAGCTTAGAACGCCTTAGCATTATTGGCTAACCTTTGAAAGAGTGCATATCAAACAGTCTAAATAACACGGCCCCTATTTTCCCTCTATCCAGTTATAATCTTATTCTTGTGTGTTATTATTCACTTATTCCACTTTTTCTCTATTCAACAGCGATTGGCAGTACCAATTCTGTGCCTGTGTGTTTCACCCTTCTTAACTTGATACAGCGCCCGATTGGCAGCCTCCCCCCCCTTTTCCGTTTCCATCAATTACAGTTAGATAGTTTGATAGATGCACACACAAAAAAATATATATTTACATATATTTAGTGTCAATTGTCCTGTACTACTGAATTTTTTTTAAAAAAAGTTGGTTTTTTGCTTTTTCTTCTCAGTGTGTGAAAACCAAACCATTTTACCATTACATCCCACTTCCATTCCCCATCATAGTTACACATTATATGTTTACTCTCTAGTAATAATAATATTAATTAATAGAAAAAAAAACTCCTCCCATTTCCATTACATCCTGATAGATCTTTTTTTATATCTTCAACATGTCTCCATCACAAATCACAGCAAAAGCCAAATTATACCCCCATCAATTGATGGAGTCAGAATTAAAGGCTCATAAACTTGCTATCAATGAATACCAAAAGGAACTTTCGCAATCAATGTTCGATGTTGCTTCGAATACCTTGCCAGACGTCACCCTAATCAACCAACAACCCGAACTCAAATCGTCATTGAGGGCTCCATTATTGGATTTCTTATTCAAAGTCGCTAAGAGAACCAAAGTCACCCAAGGGATTTTCTACAAAGCCGCCAGATTGATGGACAGATACTGTTCCAAGAGAATTGTCCTTAGAGACCAAGCACAATTAGTTGCAGGCACTTGTTTGTGGTTGGCCGCCAAAACCTCTGGAGGTTGTAATCACATCATCAACTCGACCTCAGTGCCTAGCGGTGGAAGATTCATGGGTCCAACAATCAGATCAAGAATTCCAAGATTGAGTGAACTCGTCCAGCTTTGTGGTCCTACTTGTGGATACGATGAAGGAATGTTTGTCCAAATGGAAAGACATATCTTGGATACCCTTAACTGGGATGTTTGTGAAACTTCTATCTACAGTTGGGCTTTCAATCTTACTGATTACCAATGCCTCAACGATTCTGAAGATTACGACGTCACTATCGACGACCGTAAAATTGCCGCCATCAAGAACTTCCTCATAGAAAACAGTCTTTATTCCGTTGATTTAGTATCAATCCACCCAAATGAATTGGCGTTAATCATTAAGAAAATCCTCGTCACTTTGATTTTAAACGATGACAAATATTTCAGCATCAAGATGCAAAACTTGACCAAGATTCTTTCCAGAAACAGCATCGATAACCACGATGCTACCGAAGACGATGATGAATCTAAAAACAGATTGTTGAACAAGTACAAAGATTTCAACATGAACTTAGCAAACCGCTTGCTTCTTGCAGTTGCCAACTGTACCTCCACTGTATTGAACGCTTACACTTCTACTGATTGCAAAGAAATTAACGAGGTCATCCAAAAAGTTCACAAAGTCGCCATTTCCCACATCATGGCCCTTCATGAAGAGAGCAAAAACAAGGCTGCTCAACAACAACAACAGCAACAACAAATGGCCCAGCAACAGCAAATGGCCCAACAACAACAAATGGCTCAACAACAACAACAACAAATGGCCCAACAGCAGCAAATGGCTCAACAGCAGCAGTTTCGCCAACCAACCCCAGTATCTACCCCAACTCGTTACAACTACATCTCCACTAGCCCAGGATCCGAATCAGATTATAGTGATGCTGATTCTGTCCTTTCCAACGACGTTGCGGCATCGAGCTCTTCTTCAATGTCATCATTCTCTTCACCAATGAACTCACCAAGACTTGACGGCAAACCGCAACAACAACAATCACAACAACAACAGCACCCATATAGCAACTCGACTTCAAGGTCTGGCAGTTTTGTCATTCCTAACCATCATGCCAAATTCGCTCCATATTCAAACTTCAATAACTCTCGCTCGAGCATGTCAATATCCATGAGTGCTAGAAAAGGGTCGAGCTTTAGTGGTAAGGCCTCACAGAAGAATTTTCCACTTCCAAACGGCTTGAAACGGGTTGCTTCATCTCAAATGAGTTCTTACGAATACATTTGAATTATACAATATCTCAACGTTATACAATTTTTTTTGCTAAATTCCTTGCTGTCTTTCTTTTTTTTTATGTTTCTTTCTCATTGATTTTCTGTTTTTGGCATCGTTGTTAAATTCCTCTTTTACTTTCGGCATCACCTATATTAGTTCTACAGATAGAGATTCATACGTTATTGATTAACCTTTGATCTTTTGAATTGTTTTATATTATATTTTGTTCATTAGCTAATTTTGTTTCCATTATTTTTTTTTTTGTTTCATTACATTTTCAGTTCAGTTTCATCCCAGAATAAGAAAAATAAAAACTATATCCCTATACAATTCCCTCTAATTTACTAAGCTTGTAGATTCCATATAAGGCAATAAACACATACTTTCCATCTAATCCAATCAACTCAAAGTTTCCACAAAAATGGAAAACTTTCCTATTGTGCATTTCTGCCCCATCTATCGAAACCAGAACTCGCTCCAAGATATGCAATACGGCTTATCCAATGCACACACCAGGAAGAATAGTAGTGTAACTATTGTTTACAAGCATGGCTAGCAAGCTAGCGCTTTATTTGATGTTTTCTATTCATTCACTTGCGACGACTGGAGAAATGAGCCTAACTGGTATAAGTTCAGTAAAATTTCAGACTCAAGTAATTGTAACCGGCGATACACATTATGCTGTTGAACCTTTTATCAACTGCACCTGGCCCTGTTTTCTTACAAACACATGCGAAAATGATAAAATGCTTACTTTATTCTTCATTTTCTTTTATTCGTATTTGGGAATATATTTTAAACTTTACATTTATTTCCAGAACACACTATATTGACTCTAAATAGAAACCCTTTTGCGGATATTGAAGAAGCAGTTGATTATGCGGAAGATGAAAACAATATACTCCTAAAAAAAGCGGAGAGAAAACTACAATTCATTTTCAATTATTTCTGTTGAATTTCACCAGAAGCAAGTAATTATTCCTTTTCGTCTATTCTGATCTGCAAAAACTGCGCAAGACTTCAAAAACATCTAAAAAGCTTTCCCCTTCCAGAAAGAATGAATTAGTTTCCCTGGGCATCTGAGATGAAAAACCAACCACACCAAAAAAAAAAACTATTATTCTCATCAATATTGAGACATTTAATGAAACAGTAACCATAAGCCGTAATAGTAAAGAGTAATACCGCAGCCAAGCATTAAGTTTGTTCAATTAAATGAGACATTCGACATTAGTGGTTTCGTCACTGCTACTCAATCATATTCTCAATTTGGGGACTTGGGGAGAAACAAGTGAGCTCGATTAAATTGTATACTAAGGTATCTAAATATTGTTTCTATCATGTATGTCCACCAAAATATCTAACGTAAAATCATCTATTGATTATCTTGAGCCCGAAATGTTCAATATACTCAAATACATTCAAAACAAAGGGGGAAACAACAATGAAATAACATTATATCATCAGCAGTGGTCATCCGATACTACTGTTAAGCTTTTATACTGCTTCCATAATACCTGCCAGCTCAAATATTCAGAGAAAGTACAAACAAAGTAGCGATGGTTTGCTATGTTGTATTTTATTACTCACGTAGCATTTCATGATCCATCTCATCTCTCAAAACAACTGAACCAAACTGATCTTCTTCTTTCCTATAGGGGCAAAGATTATTTTCCAAATTAGTCAATTCTTTGACTGTGTAATCTGGATTCTATAGAGGCCCCTTAGGCCACCAAAATCTTCATCAGTTTCCATTTTTTTCTGTGAATAATAAATCCGATCTTTGGAAATCCCAAAATGAAGGTTGCACAGCTTATTGCTCCAAGAATCAACGGCGGAAGGAGATATATATCCCCTGGTAGCGTCATGTTTTCTCAAGCTTGCTGCCATTTGACTCTAATTCTCTTGCTTCTCCAGTTCATGAAGCTCATCTGCGGTTAACCCATTACATTATGATATTTTCAAGAATTTCCCTCTCAATTAGAACATACTTGGTAACCGTAAAGTCTTCGTTAATAATGACAGGATCCATGGTGTTGAATAAAGTAGATTTGCTTGATAAAAGAAGAAAATAATTGGGAATCAACCTAATGCTGCTAAGGATATCACAGAATTCATTCTGGGAGAGTCATGCTTTTGAAGCGTGATATCCAATTCTGCGCGATTATGTATATTTATGTGAGGATCAGGGGCATTTAAAGACTGCTCTGTTTTATTAGAGCATACTTCACCAGCGTCAACACCATGCTCATATGTAACAGTGCGAAATCCATTGGCTTAATGTAGTGTATTGACTACCCCTTCCTTACTGATCTGAAGCATTATCAAATTTTTAAGATTATTGGTTCCTAGGTGTGATTTCAAAATGTGATCCAAAATCACAGGGATTGTTATAATAAAATTATACGAAATAATATTAGAAATGAGAATATGAGAAGTAGAGGGTAAAATGAAAGGAGTGAATGCGGATGCATTTGGAAATCGTAAAAATCTACTATACAAGAGCATGGCGACACTCCGGTATTATAACATGATATATTCTTGCATAGAGTGCTTTTCCTCTATAGCAATAATCAATAATACAGTAATGTATTATGCTAAGTGAAGGCTTCGGAATGGAAAATAACTCCATATATCTAATACAGTGTCACACATTTGCTATTTAAAGTAAAATGATGTGATAATTCAGATGCGATACCATATTAATTACAAATTACAATTATTATTATTATTGTTTCTGTTTTTGTTTTGGTATTATTGCTTTTTTATCGGCATTTTTTCATTTTTGTTTTCGTATCGTTTTTAATGTTTCTAGTGAGAGCAATATCTTTCTTTTTTCCCGTAATACCAACAAACCCTGTAACAACACAATGTATCACATGTTCCAGTAATATTTCATAGATTCCAATTTCTTCTTTTTTGTCTTTTTTTGACTAATTTAAAACCTTTGCATCTAGTTGGGATAATCCGGGGTATCGATTTTTCCCTGGCAACATATTAATAGGGTAAATAAGCGAAGCCCCTAGGAACTTTAATTTAACATAGTGATGATGTATATAGAAATTTTTTGCTTTTTTGATTCTTAATTGTAAAACAGAGCAACGCGGAATAAATACCGAGAGTAAGATGGAAGGAAATAGAAGATAAGAGAAGAGATGAGATGCGAATAAAAAGGAGGAGAATGGAAGAGATAGAAGAGAAGAATCGTACTAATAATTATCGAAAGGGCTAAAAGCACTCTCAAGAAATTTAATAATTGCATGAAGAAGTAATAAAGTACAGAGGTTATTGAGGGATGCAACCTGGTTGATAATAGTTCACGGTACTTCAAGCTTTAATTGTGTCTATAAATCATTTCATAAGTTCAATTGGAGGCAAGCTGATCAAGCAACCAATGCAAGGTTGAAATACAATTGGAAGATAAATAACAGGTGCACGTAATCCAGGCAACGTTAAAATTTGACTTACATCTACATAGCAGACGAGTCATAAACCTACCCACCGTATTGCCGCTATAGGTTGGTGATTGCAAGACACCACCAATATCATACCGAATTGTCAGCACCCATCCGTGCTCCCCGGTCTGCCGCTGCGGTAGACATCATACATTTAGAGGGTGTGTCAGCCGGGTACCTTCCAGACCCTTTTTTTCTGGTTTCGGCGCGTGTTTTTATTTGTTGTTTTTTTGATGAGGATTATTATGATCATCACCACCAGCAGCATACTTTAATATATATTATATGTATATTATATGTGTATATTGCCTACCTTGCGGTCAGTTCTGCGTGTTTTGATTGCCCTGTATAGACGTGATCTTGCTGTCATCAACCGCTATACTTGGTATCGACGATGAGGCAGCGGCACAGCAGCCGCAAGAAGGGGAGAATACCCACAAGAAATGGTGGCGAAACAAATAGGAAGAAAAACCCTTTACTGAATAGCCAGATTACGGGGTACGATTCTGAGAAGCCCAGAGAAGAAACAGAATATCAAGCTTTCTATCCTGATTTGGACATCAAAGAACCATTGAGCGTATACATTGTCAAATCTCTGGATGCTGATTTCGAAGAGTCTGGGTCACAACAACCACAAAAACAACCATTACCAGAAACACTGCCCGGAGATATTAAAAAGAGGATTGAATTGTCTAACGGAAATTTAACTCAAAATGAAAAGCGGCAGTTAATGAAAGCCATCATGCCAAAACCACCGTTACAACTCTTTATTAAGGAATTATTGCAATTTAGTGACGAATCAGAAGTTTCATCTCATTCAAAAGTACCCACAAAGACAAAAGCAGAGTTGTATGCATCTTTTAGGAAAATTGCTACACCAAAATCCAATAAGAGAGGTCTTGAAGATTCCGATGAAGCTGATACTTACACCATCTACAATAAAAAGAAGAAATTTTTCAACTACATTGAAGAGGAAAAGCAGCGACAGGAGAATACTCAACTAAAGGAAACCAACGGGGTACCCCGCCAGTGCCCGGACCTATCTTCATCAACCCCAAGCTCAAGAACCCTGGAAAGTGTATCGTCAACACCCAATTCTTCTATTGATTTCCAAAACCCATTAATGGGTAAGGTTTTGGGCTCAAGCTTATTGTCATCAGGTGGCATAAGAGATGAAAATTGTGTCAATAGAAATTGTGGTCATCAACAACTTGTAAATAATAATCCACCAACGGAAAGTGCTATTCGCCATCCTTATTTTACACCCCAAATAATTCCTAGACCATCATTGGATTTGATTTTAGAAAGAAATCCAAACTTGATTTATCAACAAAGTCGAATCATTACAGAAACATATTTCAAGAAAATTAAGAAAGCAAGCTTTGATATATCCTCTAATGCAAATTTACTTAATTCATATTTATCCAATGCAAATTTCAAATTGCCTAACAATGAATCGTTTGAGGAATTGAGAAAAGAAAACCAGATAACCAAGAGTTGTGAATTGTCGGAAAACAACGATGACGACGCCGTTGGTGGTATTGAACCATCATGTAAACTGCTATCCACTCTAAATCCAAATATTCAAAAAAGCGAATTCAAGAATAAAATCAGATATTTTGGATTCAAAAAACTGCAAGAATACGAGTTGTCAAGAACCTATATTCGTGAGAATGATTATGTCAACACCGAATCTTTTGAATTGGATGTTTTTGAAGAGTTTGCGATATCCCACAAGCTTGATATCAAAGGGTTTAGTATGTTCAGATGCATGTATGATATGGATGAACAAGATGATTATTTACTCGGAATAATCAATAAAAAACGGGTAAAGAACAAGCAGGTTTTTATTCCTCCCGAAATATTTGAAATTTGCATCTCGTTCCTTGAAAAAGAATGGTATTTTTTATCCAAAAGAATCCCTAGAAACATCGACGGAGAAAATGAATTGGCTTTGAAATATGAGAAAGCCAAAGAATTTGCAAACTTATTTGGTTCGGATGATGGGATTGGAATGGCACCAGAAAATGACCAGCCTTGTGCAGTATGTAACGATAGCGACTGTGATAACCAAAATGCCATTGTATTTTGTGATGGGTGTAATATTGCGGTGCATCAAGAATGTTATGGGGTGGTCTTTATTCCTGAAGGTCAATGGTTATGCCGAAGATGTATGAATTTGAAGAGAAGGAAAATCCTGTGTGAGTTCTGTCCTTCACTTACCGGGGCTTTTAAACAAACAGATTCTGGCTCGTGGTCGCATCTTTTATGCGGCTTATGGATTCCAGAATTAGGATTGAAAAGCAATATCTATATGGAAACCATTGATGGGATTGAAAAAATTCCCAAGAGTCGGTGGAAATTGGTGTGTTATATATGCAAACAAAAGATGGGGGCGTGTATTCAATGTGCCAACAAGAATTGTTTTCAGGCATTTCATGTCACTTGTGCTAAACGTGCTGGTCTATATTTGAAAATGCACGGTGGAATCCAGGGGGTACTTCATGATAAAATGAATTTGACGGCATTTTGCGATAAGCATTTACCTAATGATTATCATCATTCGACCCAGGTGAAAGAAGGGATTGATAAGACCCGGTCGTATTTCTCTATGCTCAACCATCATGAAAATGATGGACCAAAATACAAGACGTTTGGTGATGGTATCAGTTATTTTGAACATGCCAATATGATGCGGAAAAAATCGTCTCGAACCGTTGTCTCGGCGGTGAAGGCGTTGAAGGATAATAATCATAAAATCTTGCGTTGGCAATCACGTAAGGGTACCCCTATTGCCCCTCAACTATTTCTTGATAAATTGATGAAGTTGCTAATTTTTTTGAAAGTGGAGGATGGGGCGGTTGACAAGTTGGCGCAAACTATTTGCAAGTATTGGGCGTTGAAACGTGAATGGAAAACCAGTCCGTTAATCAAAACTCTTGATGTTTATAATTTATCGAGTGTTGAGAGTTCGAGCGAGGCGATTAAAAAAATCAAGATGGGGAATGTCATGAATAATGATATTCATAAGTTAATCGATATTTCTGAGGATATTATTACTCGGCAAAAGTTGCTTTTGGAAGGATACACCAAGGATATTGAAAATATTGAGAAAATTAGTTTTCCAGTATGTGGTTTGATTAAGCCGATTCTCGCCAAAGTTATTAGGTTAGACTCGGAAGATCTTTTGAGGCAATATGAGCCATCGGTGGTGAAGGATGGGAAAGTTGTCAAAAATGTGGACATTTTGAGTTTGGATCGAATTGTTGATAAATTAGGGAAATCGGGGTACACCAAATGTGTAGCGGAATTCAACAATGATCTAAAATTGTTGTTTAAGAATGTGGAACAATCGCAAGAAAAAAGGGAGAGTGTGAAGGCATTACAACAAATACTCCGGCACCAATTCATTGATCAAGTTTATCCTGAGTTGGATAGAGTTAAAAAATTGGAATATGAAATCTTCGAAAAAAACCGGGGTAAAGGAGGGTATGAATCGGTGCTTAATGACCTAGAACTTGATGACGTTGCTAAGGACTAATCGTTTTTTTTTTATATTTTTTATTGTTTATGTATTATTTAGACTGTTATTATTATTATTATTATTTACGCTTACGCTTTTTAGTTTTTTTTTTTTCTAATGAATTCTATAATTACCTGGTTACGAGTAATCTATTATTACAAGTGTACATCTTGATAATTTTCATTTTATGATTTTATAATTCAAATTTGTCATTATTTCTCCACCGCCCTAGATTGTCTTTATTATTATGTTTTCCTATCAGTTCTGTTTTTTAATCAAAACTTCCCTATTTCATGATCACAATGCCTGCTCCCCCTTCTTGACTTCTAAATAATGAGTGAGATTGTATTACATATCGATACAAACTGCCTTCCATCTCACCCTTCAATGGTTTACAAATGCGGTCATACCATCGAAAGCTAAAAAAAAAAATTGTTCCATATATTGTAACCCATTTTATATGATACCGTGATAAATGGCCAATGTGTCGATGTTGTTTTTCTTATATCAAAGTCATCAAATATTCCAATTAATTGTATTGTTTGACTCTTCAAATGTTCCACTCCAGTTGGGTATTCGAACACTCCATTGATATTTTTTGTTTTGCTTTCTAATATTTTATTGGGCAAGTCAAATATTATCGGCCACACAATGACAATTGCAATCAGGAACCGGACAAACCGTATGATCCTGGAACCACTGATCCGCGTGCTTCGAATGCATCCCATGGTTACAATTCAAACAGAAACTGCACCAATCGCGGAAATAATCCTGGGTATTAACTTTTGGGTCGTTATTGTAGCGAATTGGCGCCCCTAAAGAGTACAAACAAATCGCGCATTTCGGTAATGGCGCCCCACAAACACAAGTAATGGTGCTATTATCCTTATTCAACATTAGTTTTCTCCCATTGACCCCGCCACCACCACCACCAACTACGGTACCGCCACCCCCATTGAGAACGCTAACTTTGGCACCTCCACCGATTACTGATCCTCCCACACCACCAGCACCACCACCAGCACTGCTGCAACCAACTCCCGAAGAGGAACCATGGTGATGATGATGTTTCCCGTATCCGTGTTGTTTCTTATTATGTAAAAGATGCGAGATGTCTCGATCACACTGGATACACTTGAGGTACAATTGACGGTCCTTCTTTGGTAAAAAAAACTGGATATCCAATCGTCTGGATACCGTTCCAAGCAGCTTTCTTCCCGAATTACTTTCCACCAGCATCATCGTCATTGTCATGGCATCGTCCTGCTGTTGGTCCACCAACTTTTTAGTCGATGATGATTCGTCACCACCGGCACCGATCACTAAGGTTCGTTTACGATACAAATCATTCTTCAGAAGTTGGCGGCGTTTGATATCGAACCGGGCTCTGATTTTGAACAATTTCCACCCATTGAGTAAATGACAGTACGATGCCATCCAATTATTGGCCCGTAAATCATCAAAGAACCGAGGCACCGCAAACGCACTAATGAGGGCCACGGTTTGGATATCGGTGTACCGATCATTATAGGTTTGTAATAACGCGATCCCTTTTCTGGTGAGCCCGGTCAACATGATCCCATCGGGGTTCCCGGTCCGGATCACGTCGGTGGTGGTGATTTTCAAATACTCGGTAAGTTTATCATCCGGAAGGTACTTCAATGCGATCAATAATTTATCCTTTAATGCCAATGATGGTTCTTCCAACACGTCTTGCCAATTACGATCTGTCAAATACGCAAAGATCGCCCGTAAATACGGAGATGACAATTTCTGGGATAATTTCCGACACTGGTCTTTCCAAAGCGGCTCACCATCGTAATTATACGACGCTTCTTCGGAGATTCTCTCCATATTACGATTGAAGAACCCCATCATTGCTGCAGCAATGATTCTTAAATCCACCACTTCGTAACCTTCTTGTAATGGGCCACGATTCATATCATCATCAGGAATTGACGAAAGAATATCGATCGCCCGAAGTACGTCACCTTGAAAAACACAAAGTCCCGCGGCCTTTTCATAATACTTCAAAGAGATCAACGTATCGATCTTGGTGTCGAATTCCTCTTTGGTAATATACCACCCACAACTAAATAAACAATATCTCCGTTGGATCGCTTTTTTGGTACGGGCGCTGAAATCAATCGAGGTCATATAAGTTTTGTTGGGTTTATGAACGAGCCCCATGATTTTTTCGAGGATCCGTAAAAACTCTTTTTCTGCCACTTTACTGCTCAACGAGGTGAAACAACTATTAATTTCCGGATTGAATCTTTCTTCATCACGTAAGATTTCTTTGATCCCATCCCAGATATTGTAAATCCCTTCAAAACTGATATTCAATCCATCCTGGATCGTCAATCGCCGACGACAGTTCTCGTTGGAATGGTAGAGCCATTTCCAACAGATCCGGAGTTGCTCGTAATTGGAATTCAAGTAATTCTGATCCTTGTTGTAGTAATTCTTGTTAAATTGCGAAAAAAGTTCAGAATTCAGGTGTAAATCAGTGAGGTTATAGTTCTGTTGCGCCCGTTGATACATCACCGAGGCAATATCATCTTGTAGGATTTCACGGATGGGCCTGGATGAACCGGTAGAGCCAGTAGTTTTTTCATCATCTTCATCATCATCACCATCTTTGCTACTATCATCATCTTCTTCACCCAGTTCCTCATCAGTATTTAGAATTGATTCAACTTCTTCGTCTTCATCAACTTTTCCAGAATCCTGAGGCTTTTCCGGTTCGTTATTATTAAGATTCACATCATTATCATTATTGACCATATCATCTGGATCTCCAATATTATTCACCGGCAGCTCTATCAACAACTCATTACCATTACTGATCGTGAGAGTATTATAATTGCTAAAATCCATTGATGAATCACCGTCGATCACGGGAACCTTGATCACCTTCCCTGACGCTGTGAGTACTACAAATGATCCAAAATATCCTCCATAACTCTCACAGTGATCAAAAGAAATCACTCTTCCTGCTTGTTGTGGGCTAATCTTGGTGTTCTTGCACTTACTGACAAATAACGAGTCAATATTGGAGACTTCAATGTTATGTTTGCGGATATTGTCAGGTAAATGGTACGGCTGGACAATATTATTATTATTATTGTTGTTGTTGTTAATATTATCGTACGAATCATGGGCTTGCTGGACTTCGTACCCGAAACTCCAACGTTTAATATAACTAGAGGTCTTGGAATCCTGATGTAATGTGGTGAGTTCGTTATAATTCCATGGGGAGAACCGGTAGCAAGGAACCGCGTTTTTCAACGAGTAAGTTTCTTGAGTAAATACTTTTGGCAAAACCAAGATATTGGTTTCTTTAAACACGTCGTTGCCGTCGTTATGTTTCTTAATGTATCGACGATCCCAGATGGCAAGATTACCATTTTTTGAATTGACCGATGAGAAGAAATGGTCGGAAAATGGGCCACTATCAATGTATTCGGCAAACGAGGTAGTGATGGAGAACACTGTTGGGGATCTCGATCTTAAATCAAGTTCTTTTAAACCATTGCTGGTACCGACTAATAAACTTTTGGACGCTGAAGCAATGAATTTCAATGAGACAATGTGATCGTTCTTTAAGTAACTACGATAACTCATCAGTTCAAAAGGACGATCGTAAACATGGACCCCATGGTGGCCTTTAGTTTTTTCCAAGCCCACTGCAAGAGTATCCTCGGGACTGAGAGATAAGCAAGTGGAGATCCGTGAACTGGTGGTACGAAACACTAGAGGGTCGAACTCGGGGTTGGTGATATCAAAAAGCGTGGGGAAGTTGTTGTTGGCGACCACCACCCCGTGACGAAGACGAGAGTAGTCTAGGCAGTTGATATTTTCCATAAAGGATTTTGAGTGGAGTTCTCTTACCTCATTCTGGTAATGTTAGGGGGATGTTGGTGATGATTAATAGAGATAGTCAAGATACATACGCTTCGCGAGCCATTCTTGGAGTCTGGAGGCAAGTGGTAAAGAGAGACGTGTTTACCATTGGTACCGATGGAGATGAAGTACTGGTTACCGCTATCGGCCCATTCGTACGCGGTAATCAACGATGTCATCGTGGGATATATATCGATAGTGATATAGGGTTGGAGTGGGGACGCATTTTGACGGTGTTGTTTTGAGGGGGCGGAAATTTTTGATGGGTGTCTAAGGGCACGCGAGAATGAACTTTGTTATATTTTATATTATTATTATTATTATTATTATTATTATTATTATTATTATTATTATTATTATTATTATTATTATTATTATTATTATTATTATTATTATTATTATTATTATTATTATTATTATTATTATTATTATTAATATTACATCTCATTATCTATATTATATTCAATCGTTGTTCATTAATAAAATACAAATCTAGACTAAAACAAAATATACCCATCATTTAACCATCATATAATCATCATACCACTATTTAAAGCTTCTGTAACTCTTTAATCTTCTCAATAATATCAAGCCGCCTTTGCATTTGTACATCAATCACCCCATTCAAACTCCCAATATAATCAACAGCTTTAGTAAGTATCATCGCCTTATTAGGCTTGGTTTCTTTACCATTCTCATCGTATACAAGCATCAACGGTGGTACAAGCTTACTCAAGTCCTTAATCCGCTCCTTGATATAATCTCTCCGACGACGCTCTACTGCATTATGGAACTCCCGACGACGCTTTAGTTTGTCTTCTTTGGTAAGGGGTTGTTTGGAGGCAGGAGGCCTAGATAAATTATTGATGCTAGATGAGAGAGATACCGGGGAATTAAGCGACCCATAAGCGTCGAAAGATTCTCCCCCACCATACGATGAAGGAGAAAACCCAGTTGTTGTTGGTTGGGTAAGAGGTCTTGCCTGTACGTTGGGGGAGAAGTATTGGTTGTTCAAAAGGTCTGAGACATTGCTGTTTCTTTGGATTGACATGTTTAGGGAAGGATCATTAGTATAACTGCTATTATTATTATGAAGGTTGGCATCGATCAGCACTGGGCTGGCGACGTTGGTAGGGGTTGAGTCGATTTCTTGGAAGGTGTTGTTGAGGTATTGGTTGTTTAGGAGGTGATCAATGTTGATATTATTATCTATATTGTCGTTGGTGTTATCATTTATATTCTCATTTGTATTCTCATTTATATTCTCACTGGTATTGTCATTGATATTCCCGTATTTGGCCACCATTGATTTGTATAATGTTTCAGCATCGAGGCTCTCATCGTTCAAATCGAACCCGACGTTCATGTTGTTACTGATAAGTTTGAGAAGGTCCTCGCTGGTGGATTGTTGGGGGGTTATCTTTGAGCCTTCGAAAGACTCGAAGTTTATGAAGTCGTCCATATCACAATACGAGGGAATAGCAAGCGCAATAAAATACCCAGTAACAGTAGTTATCACCTACTAACGGTATGAGGGCCGAAAAAACAAAAAGAAAAAAAAAGGAGGAGGAAAGCTAAAATGTCACGTGTGGTGATCACTGGGCTTTTGATTACCGCGCATTGTTACATAATCTCGCATAAATCATTGAAAACTAGCAGTGTTTGCCATTGAAATTAGTCGTTTATAATAATAATTATATATATATATGTATGTGTATATGTATATGTATATGTATATATCGATACAACCTGTGATGATTAGCCGATATATTATCATCCTGTTCATATGATTGTCTCGCAGATAACCCATCATTGGGCGGAGAGAAAAACCGTCCCTTAAAAAAAATTGCGACCGTCAAAATATTTCAATCTCCCTTCAGATTGTCATTTATATATATTACCATTTTGTTGATCACTATCACAATGTCCTCTCTACACACATCCTGTATCTTTTGCAAAATCATCAAGGGTAAGCTTGCCAATCCTCTTTTTTCGTTTATCTCTCCTCTATTTGGTCGCAATTTCTAACATCATCAGGTGAAATCCCTTCTTTCAAGCTCTTTGAAACAAAAACCGCTTATTCCTTCTTGGATATCCAACCAACCACTGAAGGACATGCATTGATCATCCCAAAACATCATGGTGCCCGTCTTCACAACATTCCTGATGAATATCTCGCCGATATCTTGCCAATTACCAAGAAACTTGCTGCCCTTTTTGAAGTTGACCATGATCAAGACAATTTGGAAGGTGTTGGCTACAATGTCTTGCAAAACAACGGGAGAATCGCCCATCAAGAAGTCGACCATGTTCATTTCCATTTCATTCCAAAAAGAAATGACACTACCGGGTTAGGTGTGGGATGGCCTGCTCAAGAAACCGATTTCGAGAAATTGGGCAAACTTCACGCATCTTTGAAAGAAAAGATTGAAAAGATGTAAATATATATACGATCTAATTACGTCTCATCTCTATCCATGGGTATTATTTCCATATTAATTTTGATACTTGAAGCGTCGGTGCTATTTATGTAATAATATGCGATATCATGCGAGTATCACCACATCCTGTCAAGTGACGTTGTGGTTTTCTTTTCTTTAATTTATTCCCTTTGTTATCTTTATTCTCTTTGTTTGTATTATCTCTTATCTGTTTATTGATTCATGGTACTATCCTCATTATGGCAAAAACCTCACCCAAACTCATCCACAACAGAAAACACCGCTCATCATCCTTCTCATCCCCTTCATCTCCTTGGGCCCGGCGTAAATCATTTCTTTCTCCCTCGATGATCAATGATGAGAAGCACACGATATACGAACTATCCTCAAGCTATTCGTCTTCCGATGATGATGGCCCGATTTTATCATTTTCTCTTTCTTTGAAAGTATCTCAAGGGTTCAGTTGGAATCAAGACTTGTTTGCCAGTGAGTATCAACAGTCCAGAGCTAATGATGACGATGATCAATCCGAAGATGATAAAGAGACCCTGGTGCAAGATAATATCAAAGTGATCCATCAAAAAAGACGGCACAGTGCAAATAACTCCAGAGATGGTTACAATTGTGTCGAGGTCAGTGAGATCATTGTTGATGATGATGGGTTTGAAGAATAATTGTTGTTGAAATGGCATATGATAATTAGAAATCTGCCATAGAGTCATTACCCAAATTATCTAATTGTCATCATATCATCTAATGAATACCATACCATATATCCTTCTCATAATGTTTGTTCTTCTTGAAATTGTTTTCATTGAAGTTGTTCTTATAATGTTTTCCTTTTATCTGTTACTTTCTTTAAATTCCCATATACGAACGTCAATATATAATACCCAATAACGAATATGATAAATACAATGTAATTAACATAATATAACTAAAATATGTATAATAGAGAAGATAATAATGATGGCTTTCTGGCTGGTTGCGCTTAGCACTTTTTTTCCCTCCTCATCACTTTGGAAGCAGAATTGTCACCAGAATTGTAATCATCTTACATCTTCATCATCCCATCTCCCAATGGATTACCAATGAAATATATCTCGCTTGACCTGGATGAAGGAGACTCTATCATTGATGATTCCCTCATTGAAGAAACTGGCAGTGTTCCCCCAGTAAACCATCCCAAAAAACATTCCAAGACTATCAAAAGAACCAGATCCATCAACCTTTCGGAATTGGCCAGTCATATTGGCACCACTGAAAAAAAACCTCGCCATGAAAAGATCCTTTCTCTGTCATCTAAGTTATCAGCCAATTTATCAATTAAATCTGTATCACCATCACCATCATCATCATCATCATCACCACCATCATCATCATCATCATCATCACCATCATCATCATGGGTAGATAAATACTCCCCCACCTCTATCAATGACATCGCAGTTCATCCCCGGAAAATCAAAGAGGTCAGAACTAAATTAACTTCCATGCTCTATCATGACTATCCACCTCGACTTTTGATCCTCACTGGTCCTTCGGGATCTGGCAAAAGTACCATGGTCAAACTTCTATCCCAGGAACTTCTTAGTAAACCGGTCCTCGAATGGATAAACCCTTCGACCATTAAGAATACCTCCCATGTTGATGCATTTAGTGAATTCCTTAAGGCTGCAAAATACTGTCAAGGTCAAAACCTCCTGATCATCCTTGTTGAAGATCTTCCATTCATATTCCACGAACCAACAAAAGACGCATTCCAAGCAGCAGTCTATCAATGGCTTCATTACGATCCTTTAACAACCCTCCCTCCACTAGTGATATGTTTAACAGAAGAGAATTTCGAAAATGATAAAAATAATAATAATTTTGCCTCCTGGGACATCACCAATAATTTCTCGGTCGATACAGTGTTTGGCCATAAAGTGCTCCAAAGTCATGGTAAATACCAGCAGATAAAATTCAACCCCGTCAACGCCACTTTGATGACCAAGACCCTAAAGCGAATCGTTAATGATAATTCCCAACTATTCAATCATCATCAATTGAAATCATACCTACCCAAGCTCGTGGCCAGCGGCGATATCCGCTCAGCAATCTTGTCATTACAATGCTGGGGAAGTTGGAGATCCAAAGCCCACCAGCTCCCTGGGGTTACTGATTCGATGTATTTGGTATTTGGTAAAGATGTTCTGTTTGATCTTTTCCATATTATCGGGAAAATCATTTATGGGTCTCAAAAAGTCCAACCAGCTGATCTTTTAAGGTACCTGGAGGAAATTCCTGGCAACCGGCAACTGCCACCTGATAAAAAAAACTGTTTTAATGGATTGTATTTGAAGAAAAGTTCATCTGATAACTCATTATCTTTGAAAAGTTCCCCTACTGATCAACCTTACAACATCAAACTCGCCACTAATTACGTGTTATGCAATACCATTCTCGCCAGTAACACATTGGATCTTCGACTCTTGAGCTTATTGATTCTTGAGAATTATGCTATTTACAATTGTAGTCATTACAAGCTCTCCAAGGCGTCCAAGATTTTAAAAATTCTTTCATTAGTCGATACTTTTCCCAAATGGCAAGTGGATCTTGAAGTGGCCACTGATTTGGTGGTACGGGGTACTAGAATATCCCTTGAGCAAGATATTTCAAAGAACCAAGTGATGTATCTTGACAATCTTGGGAAATGGTCATTGATAAATGGTGAGAAATTGTTAAAAAATGAGGAATCATTAAGAAATGATGATAAAAAATTCCCTCTCAAAAGTCAGGGCCAATTTGTAAATCCCCACCAGAAATCTTCCACCAGTAACCATCGAAGTTCCAACCATCATGATAAACTCGGGTTCCCTAGAGATTTCAAATTGATGAAAAAATCCCGACACACCAAAGACGCGGTGAATTTCCACCGGTATCAAAAATCCCAGACCTCCTCCTCCACCATTGGAATCTTGAGCTTCAATGATACCAATCTCTACCATGGGTATTATGAGGCCGTGATCAACCAGCAAAAGCAATTTAAGGGGAAAAGTTATGGGTATATTGCCCAACAATTCAAGGACAAGAATTATGCTGGACACCCACCATCAAGATTACAAAACAAGATTGATGAATTGTCCCAATGGTCAACCCAGAAAAACCTTTTAATAAAACGTCTTGGAGGGGAAATCAACAGTAATGGTGGTGATCAAGCTGGTGGGACAGTACTGACAATGATGGGGGACCTAGGAAGAAATAATATTGCAGAGTATTATAAGAATTATGAGATTTATCAAGGAAATTTTGGGGAAGAAAACGACTATAGTGAGGGAGAATTAGAAGATGATCCGATTGATGATGATGGCGATGATGATAATGTTGGTGGGGGTGATAATTGGAGCGACGGGGAGATGATGAGTGACTCTGATTTGGACAATTTTTAGATGGAATTTGATGGGAGTTTTATATGCGGTATGTAATATAAGAAGTGTAATATAAGAAGTGTAATATAAGAAGTGTAATATAAGAAGTGTAATATAAGAAGTGTAATATAAAGTAATATAATAAAAAATGTAATTCATAAGATTGTGTTTTACGAATAGTCAATTTTTTTGATATTTTTGACTACTAGACATTAAAAGATTTTGCTTCCCCATGTCTTATGGAATGCTACTAATGATTTGAAATTGATAAGTAAAGGGAAATATATGAAGGAGATAGAAGAATAGGAAGAAAATGGGGGGAGAGAGGAAGAGAGAGAATTCTATCACAAAGATAATCAACAATGAGATGAACCAGCAGAAAAACAAGAGTTGAGGAATAAAAAAAATTGGAGGAGGCGTGAACTGTAAATTTTAATCTTTACAAGTACAACAATGAAAATATTGAAAGCTCACAAAAATGTAGAAGCCCATATTTTCTTTTTTTTTTTTGTAAATGCTGTCTGTATATCTTCGAATAGTTTTCAAAACAGTCCCTTCATAACTACTATGATGAGCCATTATATAAATACCGTTGATATTTTAACAATCATAGTCAAAAGAATTCTTTCCATTCATTCCACATTCACTTGCTCCCCCTTATTTTTTTTTTTTTTACAAATAAAATGTTTCTCCAATTCTTTTAGGTATTCCAATTTATCTAGTAATTACTTTATGATACCCTTATTCATAATACAATTAAAACCAGGATAAAAGTCTGACCGATACAAACTCATATTCCAATGATCATCACCCTTCTACTGTTTTCATCCAATGATAAATTCCCTCTCCACTCATTACACGAAATCATCACAAGAACAAACCACAATTTATTAAAAAATATAAGAAAAGTAACCATACATACGTGTGTAATATGTAAAGACTATAATATAAACCAAGCATTTAATCCCAAGAAAAACTATTTATCATTATTCTTTTTCAAGCGTTCAACGTATTGTTGAAGAAATCAGCGTCTTCTTCCAAGCTCTCCTTGACAATATCCAACCCCCCTTGGAATTCCCCATTGATGTATAATTGTGGGAAGGTTGGCCAATCGCTAAAAGCCTTCAATCCTTGTCGCACCGCATTGTCCTTGAGGATATCAAAGAACCCAAACTTCGCTTGGTGTTCTCTGAGAATGGCAATCAATTGACGAGAGAACCCACATTTTGGTTCGGATGGCGTTCCTTTTATGAATACCATGATTGGTGCGGCTTTGGTGAGTTTTTCAAGTCTTTCATTGAGTTCTTCTTCAGTTTCCTGAGTACGGGCACCACTGGCCTCTTTTTCCTTTGCGGGAGCAGTAGTAGCTGGAACAGGAGTAGTAGCTGGGACATAATTACTATTATCATTATTACTATTGGTATCATTATTGGTTTCCCCAAGTTTGCCACTCTTGAAATCGGCTAACGCACTTGCAATCTCCTTTGGATCGGCCCCCGACACTTCTTTCAAAATCACTGAGTCTTGGATAAGAATGAAATGTGGCACCGAGGCCACTTCAAATAATTCAGCAATGTTGGCTTGAGCATCAGCATCAATTGATAAGAAAGAAAACTCTGGATTAGCGTTCGCCAACGCGTCAAATACTTTAGACATTTGGGCACATGGTGCAGCCCACGAAGTATAGAAATAAAGCACAAGCAATTTATTGCTAGGGGCTAGTCTTGTCACTTCGGTGAACTGGTCTTCTGAAGTAATTTCCATGATGTATGACATGGTTGATAGGGGTTTACTGATCGAATAGATAGAAGAAGCCAGAGGAAAATTCAAAATTTTGAACTCAATTTTTTTTTTTTTTTTTCAATTTTAATTTTTGATCGTTTGGTCACGTGGAGTGATGGAACCAAAGGAAGAAGAAGAAGCAGAGGAACTATTCTGGAAAGGCTTTTCATTTTCAGGAAAAACAATGAATTGTTTTAACAGATAGTGGGTAATCATCATCTACAAACAATAATAAACAAAAATCTCGAAACAACAAAGAAATTATAAAAAAATCAAACTATATAAAACTTCAATGTAAAAAAAATCAACTACAATCTTCCCCATTGGGCTAACAAAAAGTCCAGAGTAACAGAAAACAAAAAATCCAGAGTAAAAGAAAACGATATAATAAGGGAAAGTCAAACAAAATCAACAAACTAGAAAAAAAAAACGTCGCGAGCTTCTCCCTTGTCTAACCATTGTAGAAAAATCCATCACTCGCATCAATCAACTGGTTGTAATCATACAAATCCTCATCGGTTTCTTCACTCACTGCCACCTTCTCGTTTGTTTTATCAGTACTCCGTTTGGCGGAAATGACAACACGAGGTCTGCTCGTCATCAATTCAATTGAGTTCCACTTAAGTGATTCCTCGTCAACAATCCCCATGAACTGCACGGTACGACGAACGTCAAACAATTTGCCAATCTGCTCTTTGGTAAACTCACTCACGGAGTCCACTGATTTTTGCAACAATAACTTGAGACCGTCCGCCCATACTGAGGCGAGTTCCGCAGTATCCGTGTAGAATGACACAATTTCTTTACCCAGACGATCGAATAATGTGAGTCTATGGAATACATTCCGTGATTTTATGTTGATGAAAAGACTAGTGAATCTCGAGGCATTGGAAGAACTCTTACCTAAACCATCAGATAATGACGAAGTTAAAGACCCAGCAGCGGCGTTGTTCAACGCCGTGACTTTGATATCACGAATTGCTGAGATTTGAATGTGTTTTGAGTCCAGCTTTTCAAGCACTTGGGGCTCATCAAGATTGACTTTCGAGGAAAACTCTTTATAAAGAATATGTTGTCTATTTGGGGCCAAGCAAACATAAGCTTTCTTCGAACGTTTTTGTCGAGTCGACGCAATACTGGTGGGCCCTCCTCCGGTTGCTGATGCACCAGGCAAGTTCGATTGATGCGGGAATTTTGGCTCAGAAATTCTGGGATCCTCAAAATGAAACCACGACCCACTGATCAATTGCAAAGTCCGTTCTTCTCTGACAAAATTGCCAACTTCGAGTTCAAGTCGGTTATCAAACGACCCAATGTCAACCCCCCAACACTTTTCACGGCTACTAAACACCTGCTTGTATTGCAAGTCCCGGGCACGTTGGAATGAATAAGTTCTGAGCAATTCCAATAATTCTGTGGTACAGATAGGAAGGTCAGTTTCGTTCTTTGAAGCACAGACTCTCCCATTGGCATCCTTCAACACCGCCTTAAGAAGGTTAATCATTACCATAACATCATCATCATTCAAACCTTCCTCGTTGCTATGGTTTTCGGCTCGAGAATTGCTCCAAAAATCGAGCGATAGCATCATACATGTGGCAAACACCGTATCAAAACATGGGAAATAGTACTGAAGTTTGCTGAAATTCCGTTTGGAAATCTCTTCATGAACTGGATTCTCAGAAAACGAAAAGAACAAGTCTTTCGTGATGAAATCACTAAGGGCAAAACACATCTTCAAAACTGGGAAGCAATTTTGAGGGGTGGCGAGGATCAACTGTTCGTAATACTTCTTGCGGAACACTTCATTATTTCTAGAAAGAAATATCTTCGCGTTATGAATAGCAGAAACACTAAAATTCTGGCTAATGAAGTTGATTGGATCTCTTGTAATCCCTGATTTCTCGAAAATTTCTTCGTCTTTCTCGATGCTACCAAGACTATATTTTTTGGTGTAACGCAACACCTTTTCAACAAGTTTTTCATGATGAGGATTTTGTGGGTCAAATTTGATGTTCTGTGATATCACATTCATCGCAGAAAGCCCTACCTGACAGGCTTCAGTAAAAGTGCAGTAATCTTTGAAAAGCTTCGGGTTACTTTCATTCTCCCGAAAGACGTTTTCACACACATCGATTAACGCTATTTTTCTAGTGATATCTAAGAACACGCTGAAGAATTCAAAACCATAATTCTGAAGTCCATAAAACAAGTAAGCCACAAACTCATAGCATAGGTACTTCCCAATTTGATCGCTTTCATCGAGCCTCTTGCAAACAACGTCAAGGATCGAAATATTGGTTTGGAGTGCCATGAAAAGGTCATTAGCTATTTTAACGCCAACATTCTCACTTGTAGCCTCGACAAATGTGCCTCTGAGGAAGCTGTTAATGATCTTGAGCATTTCATTTCCCAAACGGCTATTTGGCTTTTGAATCCCAATCTTGATAAGCTCGTTGAAAAAAGTCTCGTCGAACAACTCGGCCACTTGATTCAGCTTTGGCAATCTGCCTGACAAATTAGCAATCACACAAACGCTGTTGACCTTTTCTTGACGATCAAACTTATTGACCACGTTTGAGATGCAATAGTTCAAATACTGTAACGCATCAGAAAGAGGAAGTGGTTCTTCTGGATGGGCACTCTTGAACTTGTCAATGAGGTGGCTGATACGAACAGAGTCTAACGACTCTGGATTTTCTTTTAATGACATAGTGGTTGGTATTCACACTGAAAGATAAGAGTTTTCTTCTCACTTTCTGAATAGTAATAGATCTCTCCCTGCTATTATATATCGATCTGGAATGTTTGAGTACTGTGAGGTGTACAATTTTTTTTTTTTTTTTTTTCCTTTTCCTTTCCCTTTTTTTTTTTTAGCGGCCACGTTGAAAAAACGCATGGATGTCAGAAATGAGGCCAAAAAAAAAAAAATATCGGCCGATAATAAGCTACAATCAATCATCAGATAAACTTAACACAATCCTCAACAAAACAACGATGGAGATTCTATCATTATATAAAAAAAAAAAAAAAAAAACTGGTCAATGCAGTGACAATACCGCCAACTCTAAAGTCCATACCCTTCTTATGTGTACCTTGACACTTACTGGTTCGGCAAACACCTCATTTACTAGGAGCTCCAATACTTCATTCAGCCACCAGCACTTCCGTGCAGGCTTCTTCCAAAACAACAACAATTTAGAGTTTGCATCACCTTCTCCATCTGCCTTTAATTGTACAAGGGCCAATGAACTGACCACCAGCTTATTTGACTCGACATCTCGGTGTCCCCAGGCATCAGTCGTAGTATATCCGGCATGGCACAACATGTCCAATAAATGCTGTTCGGCAGGGCCCAATGGCTTTCCTTCCTTGTATCCCAAACCTTCAAAGATTCTGTCGTGCTGTACGAGCTGCCTGGCTACCAGAAGCTTGATTTTCTTCATGTCCTGTGATGAAAGCCCGGTAGTTGGCGGTATGCAGTAGAAATCGAGATCTTCTCTAAGGACAATAACACACGGCTTTGTCTTGAGTACCGATGAGTCTAATGGACGGTACTCGTCACCACTATCGTAGTAGTAGTCATTATTGTTATTGGTGGCGGGCATCGAAGCAGCCGCTTTGCTAAAAGATTGGAGAATATATTGGAAGCATTCTGGAGAAAAATCAACGTAAACCACGTCGTTCTCTGTCAAGTTGGTTATCACTTGTCCTTGATCATCAAGAAACACCCCGTTTGGGAAAAGACAAAGCAATATGCTTTCAGGCAAGCTCATGAGCTCATCTCTAGTTATCTGGAACAGGGTGTTGCGGACGTTCAAGTTGATGATCGCATTGAAGTCGTCTTCTTCCTGCACCTGGATAGCGGCACCACTGTCCTGTGACACTTGTGTTATGATGTTGGCCATTATTTTGGTTTGTGTTGGGGTTAACCAGATGAAGTGTTGTGTGGGCATGCGCTGTTAGAAATATTTATTGTTTTGGTTTCACCTTTGTTCACTAGCGATGCGGAAGCTGTTGCCCGGTCTTCATCCACTGCCCTTCCCAAAAGTGAATTTTTTTTGGGTGGTGTCGGTCTCAACAAGGCCTGCCTGGTATAAAAAGCCATAATATTATCACTAAGAAATATATCATAATAGTAGTATAATATATATATATTAAGGATGGCGTGCTGTGGAGGTTATAATACAGGACAGTGTTGTGGAGGCAACCAATGCCCATCTCCTGAAAACAATAACGACCACAACGACGATGATGTTTGGGCTGACCACGACGATCTTCCACAGCAAACAATAGCATCTGATTCTCCAGATATTGTTGCTCTCCGCCGTAAATTTGCTAAGGAAGGGTACATAGATGGCAAAAGTCAGTGGCAAGAGTTGGGGCTCCAACAAGGGTTCGACCAAGGCTACCCAATTGGTGCCAAATTGGCGATGCAATCAGGGTGCATCTTGGGCAAACTACAGATGATAGTGACAACTTACGAAAATGAAAAAGACCACGAGCTTTTGAAGCAGTGTACTGAGGAGTTAAACATCACTAACGTGTTGGACAGCAAGTACTTTGACCAAACCACCACCGAGTTGATAGGCGATGACCATCCAGCGATATCCAAATGGAGGGTCCTAGTGGAGGAAGCTGTCAAGTCAAGAACGTCGTCGTCCACCACCACCATTGACTAATAAACTCTTTTGCTTTCTTTTCCTTTCCTGACCGCTGTAACCACTTGTTTGGCGCGAGGATGCCTGGTAGACTGAAAAGCTCTTCTTCCCGTGCTAGCCGTTCAACCCGCCCATCCTCTTGTTAAATGGGTGGCGTCATCGATACTTACATGTCGCTCGGGTTGCGGGGCCCTGCCTCCCCCAGCTAAAAAATAAAAACAAAAAAGTATCAATTTCCTCATCTCGCTTCATCTTGTTGATGACATACCAAATATATCCTTTCATCTCTATATATGCACATATAAGATGGACAAAAGAACCGCCTTCGACAAGGCCATCAACGCCACTTCGTTGATCTTCAAGTCCTCGCCCGTCAATGTCCTTCTTGTCTTCCTTCCATTCGGTTTGTTAGGAGGGTATCTTGGATGGAACGCCATTGCGGTATTTGTCCTCAATTTCTTTGCAATTTGTGCCCTTGCCAGCATTTTGGCATTCAGTACTGAATGTATCTCTGATCACGTTGGTGAAACTTTGGGGGCTTTGTTGAATGCCACTTTTGGTAACATTGTTGAGCTTATTGTCAGTGTTATTGCCCTTCGCAACAACCAGATTAGAATTGTTCAAACCTCGATGTTGGGTTCCATCCTTTCCAATTTGCTTCTCGTTCTTGGATGCTGTTTTGTTTGTGGTGGCTGGAACAGATTACAACAAAGCTTCTCCAAGACCGTTGCCCAAACTATGAGTTCCCTCATGGCCCTTGCTTGTGCCTCTTTGGTAATCCCTGCTGCTTTTAACGCCTCTTTGGCAGAATTGAACCATGAGGCTCCAGCCACCCCAGAAAACCCAAACCCTGAAATCCTCGCGTTGTCCAGAGCCACTTCAGTTGTGTTGCTAGTGATTTACGTCCTCTATCTTTTCTTCCAATTGGTTACCCATCGCTCCCTCTTTGAACCTGCCGAGCACGAACTCGATGACGAGCATCACTCAATCCGCCGTGGCTCAATACTCTCCTCCGAAGAATCACATCTTCCAGAGGTACCAGTCTCCCTCGATGACGATCTTTACACTCTTAGTCTTCGTAGCTCGATAATCACTTTGGTGGTCTCGACTTTGTTAACTTCGTTTTCTGCAGACTTCCTTGTTGGAAGTATCGACGTTATGGTTGAAAGAACCGGTATTTCCAAATCTTTTATCGGTCTTATTCTTATTCCAATCATTGGTAATGCTGCTGAGCACATTACTGCTGTGATTGTCGCCACTAAGGATAAGATGGACCTTGCCATTGGGGTGGCCGTTGGTTCTTCGATGCAAATTGCGTTGTTTGTCACCCCGGCCATGGTTCTTGCTGGATGGGCCATGGATGTGCCTATGAACTTGTATTTTAGTTTAATTGAAACTGCGGTGTTGTTTGTTTCTGTCTTCATTACAAATTACTTGATTTTGGACGGAGAGAGTAACTGGTTGGAAGGGGCCATGTTGTTGGGTACTTATATCATCATTGCATTGGCCTTTTACTTTTTTCCAGGTTAGATGAATTAGAATAGCAAGAGGCTTAATTTATACTGTGTTATCGTGTTTTTACTTGAATCTTAATGTTTTACACCTGTCAGAAATTCTCCATTTTGAACGTGTTTCGACTTGTATTAGATATTATAAGAAATGTTTGTTTTGAAGGCTTTTATTGTAGTCCCACGTAAATGATATTTCCTGATATTTCCTGCTATTTCTCATCATATTCCTGCTTTTGTATTTATATTTTCATTACACAGTCAAAGCTGGTCTCTCCTCAATGCGATAAGGCGGAGCTTGCCGATCGCTGGTGATTTTTCAGTTTGAAAAAAAAAAAAAAAAAAAAAAAACTGTGACACCTTCTTTTCGTACCTTTATCATCAACCATTAACCCTGCTGCTCTTAAACGATCGCCTATTCATATTGTTGCCGCAACCCTCTGGTTTCTTTATTGTTGTGCATTCATGCTTCTTCTTGTCAATCAATTCAATGGCATATATCTTCTAGTATAGTTCAATTTGACTCAAATTAGTGTCTTGATATATCGAGTCTCAGCCTAATTCGCATGAATCAGTCTTCCCCATCGTTGTCTAACCTTGAAGACCAACTTCAAGGTCTTTTAAAGGACCTTATCTCTGTTGAAAAAGCTCTCAATGGCTTTATCAAGTCTAGAAAAGCATCACCACCTCCTCCATCGACCAACAAGACAGCCCAAGCCATTGACGAGTCACCTCCGATACCACGGTTACCGGAAGGACTTTCCACGAAGTTTTGGGACTTCTTGAAACTTCTCATTCGCTTTATACGTCAGCATCTCGATGTGGTTTTTAGTGATAAACAATTTACCGTCGCCGCTGCGGCATTCATCAAAAACGTGAGAGTTTCAAATACCCAAAGGCCGACCAAGACATCATCATCATTAATAACAGCAACCAAGAAAGACCAGCCCCAAAAAAAGCTGTATCTCAGGAAAAAGTCCTCGGCCCCAAACTTGTCCCTGAAGCTCTGTGGCGGTGCGTCCCTGGCTAATGATCAAGAGCGGGTGGTTAGGCAGTTTTTTGAAACTCACGATTTTATCGTGTCTGTTCTCTCGAATGTTGAAAAGTTCTTTCAAATAGGGAATCATGCAGTGATAAACCCTGATGTATACGTTGTGGAATCATTAATAATGATATTGCTCAAGAACAATGAAAAGTTTTTGAGTTTCCTCATAACATCCGTGCAATGTCCAGCCGATGACACTGTCAAAATTGAGTGCTTCCAGTTCCAAATCACCAGCAGTTTCCGTATTGATACCATGCTACTCAAAATATTCAAAGTACTAGTTTCCCAGTGGCCTAAAACTGTAATAGAGATGTTGTGCAAGCGTGGAAATACGTATGGTCCAATTGACGAATTCTTTCGACAGTTGCATTGCCCCTCAGAAATATCAGCAGCAACATCTGCATTGAGTTATCACAAAGTTTTCACCCCAGGCTTGGAAATCGTTGACATTTTGATTTGGAAACTATTGTACTGCGGTCTGAACAAACTGGAATCACTAAAAACTGGCGTAGCGAAAGATCTGGTATCGCCAAAAATCCACCAATCCTCCCCTAATTATAATGAAAATACAAGGACGTCACGCCAACGTGCCATTCGACAGGCTTCAAAACTGAATCCCAGCCAATGTGCTACTAATCAAACTACAAACATAGACACAAGCAATACTATTGATTACCAACGATTTACTCAGATTATCCTTGATTTCTTCTTTTCAATCACTAATAAACTATTGAATGGCTGGAATTACCGGCTTGCTGGTAACATCATCAATGAATGGTTGTTTTTAATTCCAAAGTCTTTGAAATTCACCAGCTATCAAGGCACCTTAATTGATTGTCTCATTAATAGTGAATTTTCCGGTAACATCCTCAAAATTAGACACCTATTGAATTTTCGATTAATTGATTTTGAAAAAACTGATAGTATTAATAAGTTTGATTATGATTCCAGCATCCGGCATTTCGCTTCAGAAAATGACAACTTCATCATTTCGAAATTATCTCAAATACTCGTTCATTGTTTCCACCAATATTATTTCACAGAGACCAAGTTGAATATTACCGATAAATCTATCAGTTATTATGATTTAATAAATCCAATAAGAACATCCTTTGTTGCTGAGTTTCTTAAATTGGTACAGCTTATATGTGGATTTGACTTCCAAGATGACTTTTCAAATCCTTTTCCCTTTCTCGAGCACTTGTTTGAAAACTTCACTTGGAAAGAGTTGATGGATACTTTTGTACTACTTAACGATATGTTGCAATTAACTCCATCCGCAACAAATAAGAATTTATCGTCACTGTTAGGCAAACAAATCATGAAATTGCACCAGGATTTCAATTACGAGTTGTGTTTGTGGAGGTTCTTCAATAATAAATTGGATCCACCGGTACCTTCTGCCGCGGCATCATTACTTGGGCCAGCTGGGGCTTCAAGATCTAATACGCCGGTACGTAATATCAAAATTAAAACCGCAGTGGCAATACTCAACAATACTACCCGCGTGACGTATTCTGAGGGGCAATCAACAGAATCATCCCACTCATTTAGACCTCGCCCTCCGCCTATTGACAATCTACGTCTAAACCAGTCGTCAAGAAGGGTGATTTCTGATACTTCACCTGCTTTCATTCAAATAAACGGTGCCCCAGAGAATTCAATCGATGACCTTTGGGGTAACAAGGACCCCACCCAAATGATTAATATGGAAGATGGTCCCCGGAAAATCCAATCATTGACCAGCTTGAAAAATAATGATAAATTGAAAGACTCGTCGAAATTTCTTGCCGAATTGCGTACCAAGATTGATAAGAAATTAGAGAATTCTAACAATAAAACGCCGGCAAATTCTAAACTTAACTGTTCATCAACCGAAGAGGAATATTGCATGAATATTGATGAGGTTTTTACTAGTGGTGTTAACCTTAAAGTCATCCCAATTTTGAAAGTTTCACTAATAATATCAAGATTTCTCAACAATCGACTAATTAAAAATCGCAATGAATCTACTATGGTTAGTGATGAATTCAGGCTTTATCTGGACTTCCGCAGATTATTTGAGAGCTTATTCAGCACTTTTATCAGGTTTTGGATCGACTCTAAATCGCAAAATAGTGAGGCAGATGTGGAATTATTAATGCAGTTGATTACTAATTGTTTTGATATATTTATAAAAGAATATTATAATAATGATAATATAAAAATAAATGATTATATTATTGCTAAATTTGAAGGTCTTAGTCATCAAGATGCTGTTCATTTGCAGATCAAAGAAAAAATAGGGTTGGGAGTATGTCGCAATTTTGATGAAAAGTTAGAAGATGAATTGAAGATTCTTATTAGAGAAAACAGGATCTTAAATCTTATGGATGGTGATTGGTTTCAATCCTTAGATGGTGATACTATTGAGGACAATTTGTATTATTTTATTGTCCTATCGCCAAATCAGCAATATTTATTATTCAAGAAATTCAATATCGTCAATATCAAAAACTCTGGCCCTACAAAATCACACCAAAGATTTCAATGCAGTACATCGAGTAACATAACATTGGTTAGTGGAGGGCGTTCTTTACATGAGGTTGATTCTAGGGTGTCAGGGGGAATTTCATGCCAGGAAGAGTATCAAGAACCAGTTGAAACCATTTTTATTAAAGATGATGAATTTAGGTTCGAAAACCCAAATTTGATTGATTCTGATAATAGTCGAAGGCTTTATTTCAATGATATTAAAACCGTGAGCATCGAAAATTTCCTTGATCATGATATGATGAGAAATAGATTTTCCTTTTTAAGCCTGAAATCAAATATAGCCAGTTCTGCAATTCGCCGGCCCTTAGAGCTCATAAACTTTGGCAGTAAAAGACTCCAATCGTACAAAAAGTTTTCGATAATAGATAAATCTGATCGTCAAGTCGTGAAATTCATGACGGACAAAGAAGAAAAAACCATTCTATGGAATGATGGTCTTAATATGTTGGTGCGTGAAAGTCGCAATAAGAGAGCGTCTACAGACGCTGGACCAAAGAGTTATCATAATAATGGTTATCTTTCAGAAATCGTTGATAATGAAACCAAAAACCATTTTGAGATGTTGTTCAAAATTAGAAGATCGGTACAGTATGGCCCATGGAGGTATCAAAGAATCGATGGACCTTTTGAGAATTCAACGGATGAGAATTATTCTAGTGATGATGATACAAATTTGTATGATAGAGAATTATTTCATAAACTAGCGGTAAGTTAAATTATGATTCATAGGTTGCATTTTACCACGACTTTCTCTAATTGTCTTTTTTTTAAAAAACTTCTTCTTTCTTGGTGGAGATATATATTCAATGCGCTTATGTATTATATTACTTCTATTTACTATATGTTTACCTTTGCTAGCTATTATCTTGCATTTATTTATTATATTGGAATTATTATATCTGCAATGGCTACTAGCGAGTTTGGTATAAAGAATGGATGTCTCCTTTTATTCATACTATATATACTTGTACTGGACCAGAGTCCTCTTTATATAGTACTCAGTGAGCCACCAGTCTCCCGGGAGGCTCAGCCTCCGGCTGTATGGTGTTTACTCTGGTATCAGATCTCACCTTGTTACAATATTGCATTTATTTTATATGTGTTTGGTACGATGCTTCAAATTGATTAGCTCATCAACTCAGAAGTGTGCTGTGCTTACTTAATGCAAGGTAACTCTGTAATTCATAAATATTTCTTGTAATATTTGAATACAGCAGGCTTTCTCTTTTTACATTACACATGTATATGTGACGACCAGGCAACTCTCAGGCCATGAGAGCAATAACCAAGAACCGTGGGCCCAGCCTGACACAGATAGTAGTTAGCGACCTGGAGGAATAGTTACTACAAGTAGTAGACGTTCGTCCTGTGTGTGTGCATAATTGTTGTAATAAAACAATCTATTGATTCTTATCTTCTCCGTGAACAAATCAAATGATCTA